AGGCTCGGTATCTCAGATCCCTTCTGGCAGCCAAACCTATTGACGTCCTTTGATGGGGAGCCGGAGGCAAACGGTTGGATGATGGACTCATTCCTCGCAATGGACGGGACCGGCGTTGTGGACTGGGGCGATATTGAGTCCCTCTTGTCACGGAATCCGGGCCAATAGTGGCTGGGCCAAGGCGCACTGTCTCTGTAGTATGGTATATGATCTAGCCCGGACGCAGAGGCTGTGAGGCAATAGTGTATACTGCGTAATCCCACATTGTTCGGGACCAAGCATCCGTCGGGATGACTATGCCGCAAACTCAAACCACCACTTACTCCGGATTTCCCCACATGAGAAGTGGATACAATGGAGATGCATCACAGGGGATGTCAATCCACATTTTCTAACAGCCGGAGGTAAGTCCGTCAGTGTGCACCTCATTCAAGTCGGACTTGATCAGTTAGCCGATACGGTGCTGTAGCGGGTAATTCGCACAATATGCGAGCCGGAAGCCGCATTCTTTTTTACAGCGCCCTCCGCGCCATTCCATAGGACTACATGTTCTGAAAGGAAAGAACTTGACAGCTTTCAAAACCATCCTGCTCGCTACACACTTACTGATTGCGGGCACAAATTGATCGTTCACAATGTCTCAAACCAACGGCGTCCCTGTCAGCAAGTCTGGTACTTCACTGGCAGCTCCGCAACAGTTATTCATCTCGGGAAAATACCAGAACAGCCAGGATGAAGGGACCTTCCCCGTGAAGAACCCCATGACGGGAGAGACCATATACGAGTGCGTCTCAGCATCTCTGGATGACTACGCCAGCGCTATAGAGGAAGCACATGCAGCCCAACCTTCGTGGGCACGCCTCGGCCCCTCGTCCCGGCGGTTGATCCTTCTCAAGGCCGCCGACATCATGGAGACGTACCTCGACAAGGACGCGCCGGCCATCCTGTCAGCTGAGGTCTCGGCCACCAGGGGATGGGTCAGGGCCAACATTCTGTCCACCGCCGGCGTTTTCCGCGAGACCGCCGCCCTGGCGACGCACATCAAAGGAGAGATCGTCCCTGCAGATCGGCCCGGCACCACGATTCTGGTGAGCCGTGAGCCCGTCGGCGTGGTCCTGGCCATCAGCCCCTGGAACATGCCTGTCACGCTGACGGCCAGGGCGGTCTGCTGCCCGCTGATCTGCGGGAATAGCGTGATCCTGAGGCCGTCCGAGTTCAGCCCCAAGTCACAGCACCTCGTCGTGCGCGCTCTGACCGAGGCTGGACTGCCGGCGGGGTGCCTGCAGTTCCTGCCCACCAGCGCCGCCGACACACCGCGGGCGATCGAGTTTGCAATCCGGCACCCGAAGGTGAGCCGCGCCAACTTCACGGGCAGTGACCGCGTTGGCCGCATCATCGCCGGACTGTCGGCATCATGTCTGAAACCGTGTGTGCTGGAACTGGGCGGCAAGGCGCCCGTCGTGGTCCTGGAGGATGCCGATGTGGAGGCCGCCGTGGAGGCAGTGGTTTATGGCGCGATGTCCAACAGCGGGCAGATATGTATGTCCACGGAGCGTGCGATCGTGCATCGCTCCCTGGCAGCGGACTTCAAGGCTCTGTTGGTGAAACGGGCGGAGAGCCTGCGGGTAGGGAACCACCTGGAGGATCCGGACGTACAGCTCTCGGGCCTCTTCACTGCCGCCTCTGCCGAGCGCGTGCTCGGCCTAATCAAGGGCGCCGTCGACGCGGGCGCCACGCTCCTGGCGGGCGACCTGGCGCTTCACGGACCGTGCCGGACGATCCTGGCACCTCACGTCCTCACCGGCGTCACGCGGGATATGGACCTCTTCCACCGGGAGACGTTCGGCCCCGTGGTCTTCGTGTCCGAGTTCGACACAGACGACGAGGCCGTCGCGCAAGCCAACGACAGCGAGTTCTCGCTGTGTGCCAGCGTCTTCTCGCGTGATGTCCTGCGCGCCATGGACACGGCCAAGCAAATCCGGACGGGCAGCTGCCACATCAATGGGCCAACCGTGTACATCGAGGCGCCGCTGCCCAACGGGGGCGTCGGCGGCGCGAGCGGCTACGGCCGGTTCGGCGGTGTGGCGGGCATCGAGGAGTTTACGGAGAGGCAGATCGTGAGCTTAGCGAGGCCGGGGATGAAGTATGCTTTCTAGGTAGCCACTAGTCTGGGAGATCTCGGTACACACTGGTTGAAAACCAACATTTCTTGTCCAGATTCATCTACATGGAAACTATCATCATCTATGGGACACAACGGACCCGTTTTACCACAGAACTTGTTCCGGGACGTTTCAGGAGCGAGATTCCCTTATAATTCTATTTCTCAAATGCGGATGGGAGTACCGTAGACTTCAGACCAGACTTTCAGGGGGCCTATTCCCAAGTATTGCATGACTGGGTTCCCGCACGTTACGATTTAAGAACCAAGTATTCCCATGCACTTGAAATATTCAAAATTAGGTTATAATAGATTTAGTCTCTTCAATCAAAGAGACCGGATGGTCAACAACTGATGCCCGTATATGACCTATCTTTAATCCCTACTCCAGCCCGGGTCACCTCCCTTGTCCCGGATCTCTTTGCCCCGCCACATCAAGACACCCACCGTGAAAGGGAAGAAGAACACAGTCAACGCAGCAAAGAGACCAAATGGAGAAGCGGTTCCGAGGTTGGCAATCATCGGCTGCGCAAAGAAGGGACTTGTATAGGAGAACAGGTTGCGGATGAGGTTGAAGACCAAGTTCGCCTCCGCGCCCTGGCGAGGGTAACATTCTAGGATGTAGGTTTGACTAGAAAAAAACACTCCTTGTCAGCCTATTTTGTAGCCAGCGTGTAGTAAAAAAACAGGGACTGCATACATAACCGTGGTGGCAATCTCGATGCCAAAGATGTAAACGGTCTGCCCGATCAGAGGGGTGATCCAAGCATTTCCAAACTGGATCGACGTGCCGAACATGATCAGGCCGCCCGGCACGGTAATAAGCGCCGGCCAGATCGCTTTCAGACGGTACTCAGGGCGCCACTCGTGACCCTGCTTCAGGGCCCGCTTAGCGATGAGATCCAGCGAGGGCCCCGCGTAGACTTCGCCGAGCAGAGCGCCGATGAGTCCTGAGAAGCCGGACAGCCCGACGCCGAGCACGGAGAAATTGTACTGCGCCTCGAAGATGAGCGGGATCTCGGACGTGATGCCCACGTGCATCATGTAGGCGATGCCAAACCAGAAGGCCGACAGTATCACCGCGGGGTACTTGAAGAGGACAAAAGGGCGCGTCGCGATGAAGAAAAAGCTGTGCTGCTTCTCCTCTGAGCGCTTGGGGATGTGGATCCCGTAGCGGTCCCAGAACGTGGGTTTGCCTGGCGCGGATGTGGAGATGGTTGCAGGATGCGCGCGTGTCTCTCGGATGTAGATGGTCTCTGGGAGGAAGAAAATCTGCATGATGAGGCCGACGCCCATGAAAATCAGTGGGATCCACTGGGAGGCCGGCCAGCCCAGCTTGTCGTTCTCTATAATGGGTCCGCCGATGCTGTTAGGAGGGTTCATGTCAGCTGTTGCTCTTCCAGAGGTATGGGAGCATGTATTTCGACACATACATTGTTCCCAAGAATGGCGAGACCACAATGGCCAAGGTCGACACACCAATCTTCTTGCCCTTCTCGTGGCGGAAGAACTGCAGCATGGCATGGTCAGCTCTTTCCGTAGGCCCTCAGGGTAGCAGTGATATCATGGTGCAAGGAGATGATTTACAATGTCCCCGATACTCGCCGGCCCCAGTGTCCAGAACGCCGAACCACCGGCACCGAGGATGACACGGCCAACCATGCACGTTGCATATGTCTTAGACGTCGTCACAACGGCTGCCCCAACGATCGCGATGATATTGCTCATGAGCAGCACCGGGCGACGGCCTATAAAGTGGCTCAGCGGGCTCCAGAACCAGGGCGCCACGGCGTAGAGAGCGACGGGCGTGTTGCCCAGGTAAACGGCCGTAGACTTGGAGACGTGCATGGACTTGGCCAGGGGCACTGTCCCCGTAACCAGCGTGGTCACGGCCACGTAGCAGACGAGGGCCAGATACGAAATGGTGAACATGGCGGCGTGCTTGCTGAACCAGGACCAGTTGAGCGGGTCGTTGGGGTCGTCGGACGGTTGCGGCATCAGGACGACGCCGTCGCGCATCTTGAGGTTGGGCTCAGAGACGGCATCCTCGCACTCCGAGAGATGTTTCTCTGGGTCCTCCACCATGTCGCTGTCTGTATCTGATGGGGTCAGCTATGAACTCGTGAGGCCTCGTCTAGGACTGGGGGTGGACTCACGCGGGATAGCTTCTTTTTTTGTGCTCATGGTGAGACGTTGTTCTTTTGTAGGTTCCTAACGGGAGTCCACAGGGATCAACTGTGGAAATTTCCCCAGATTCAAGAAATGCATCCAATTATAGGCCAAAGCAAATCCCGCGCAGCACGGCTTTTTCGGGAGTGGAGTTCGGACGATCCAGGGATATGGTCTCGGTAAAGACATGATGGAAGATCAAAGCTATTAGCCAATTGACCATGGTCTGGTCTCTTTGGGGCCTAGAAGCCGTGAAGTTGTTAGGGTCGGATAGTTGTCCGAATGGATCCCTACGCTCACCCCGGATTCCACGCGGAGTAGATGGGTCCGGCATCCAATTTAGCTTTGTTGGTTCCCTGGGAATGGCCGGGGAAACCGGGGAAACCCCAGGAATATCGGATGGTTGGCTCCGGTCGGATATAAGCCGTCTTGGCCAAAATCCAAAGCAACAGCTCCTGCGGAGATGCGAAGAGTCCCGAGAATTGCAGGATGTTGATTTCGCCGTTCGCCAAGGGCTAGGATGGAGAGGGGATGCAGAGAGAGATGAGTGTTTATTAAGATCCCATCTTGCTTGCAGGCCGCTTTCTTCCACGACGGAATCCTACCAAATTGTCTTTCTCTGCTTTCTCCCCTCGACATCCTTTTCCTTCTGCCTTTCCCCCACGCCATCATGGGCTCGCTATCTGTACCGGAGACCTCTCTTGCGGCGATCCAAGATAAGGAGACCAAGGCCATCTCAGTCGCCCAACGCCCAACTCCAGTCCCCATCGGCACTCAAGTCCTCGTCAAGCTACACTACTCCGGTGTCTGCGCCACGGATCTCCATCTGGCCCGCGGAAGCGTCCCCTATCTGCAGCCCAATGTCGCAGTAGGCGGTCATGAGGGCACGGGGGTGATCGCCAGCGTCGGCCCCGACGTGGACGCGGAGTGGCACGTCGGTGACCGGGTCGCGGTGCGGTGGGTGCACATCGTCTGCGGGAAGTGCGAGGTGTGCACGACCGGCTATGAGAACCTTTGCGCAAGCCGGAAGCTTGCAGGTAAGGACGTCGAAGGCACCTTTGCCGAGTACGCCATCGCGGACAGCGCGTACATGGTCCGCCTGCCGGCTGGGGTGAGCGACGCCGATGCCGCTCCGATCCTGTGCGCGGGTGTCACCGTCTACAAGGCGCTCAAGATCGCCAACCTCCGGGCGGGCTCGTGGGTCGCGGTGGCAGGGGCCGGTGGCGGCTTGGGCCATCTCGCGATTCAATATGCGCGTGCCATGGGGCTCAAGGTCGTGGCCTTGGACGCTCGGAAACGGGATCTCTGCCTGAGCCTGGGCGCGGAATTGTACATCGACGTGCTCGAGACGGACGACTGTGTGGCACAGGTGATCAAGGTCACGGATGGGGGAGCTCATGGTGCACTCATCTGTGCCTCGTCCGGCCAGGCCTATGCCGATGCCGTCCAGTTCCTGAGACGGACCGGCACCCTGGTGTGTATCGGTCTCCCCCCGAAGCCGACGCCGCTCCCCCTCGGCCCCGCGGACTTCGTCGCCCGTGGCATCAAGGTCATGGGCACATCCACGGGTGACCGCCAGGACACAGTGGAGGCTCTCGCCTTTGTCGCCAAGGGCCAGGTAAAACCACAGCTAAATGAGAGGAGGCTAGAGGATGTTGAGGAGATCTTAAAGGAGATCGAAAATGGGACGATGCAGGGTAAAGCGGTAATCAGGATAGCCTGATTTTACGGCCCCAAGGCATGTATGCAGCTCCACCCATGGGGGTCATGATATACTCGGTACTATACTAACCGAGGACAGGAACGTCAGGATGTATGTCATCACTTAAACGCAGAAAAGACAGTGCCAATATCAGAGAGATTAGGCGGTCTCGTGGCTCTGGCGAGGGAGAAAGGCCTGATTCTCATTGAGTAGGCTTATCCGGCGAGGACTCTTAACGTGGTCAAAAGTAGCCGTTTCGGCGCTCAATCTACCATCACTTAGCGTTGTGGTGCATGTTAGGACAAATCAATTGGCCTAGTAGTTTCGACTACAATATTATAAAGTGATGGTTCATGAAAAAGAGTAGATCGTATAGCCACTATTACTTATCCTGATTAAGTCCGATTATGTCTTGAGAAAATTGAACTATACAGGTAATAGAGCATTTTAAAGCATTTAACGTCGCTCTGGCACCGTTCTTGCAAGGATCATAACCGGACGCCGATTTCTTAGACACTCGACAAGAAAATCTACAGTAGAGACCCCATAGGGTCAAGGGCCTTGGCAGCCTTGTCGAGAGAGGCGTAGATGGCAGTGTTGTCAATCTTGATGGTGGAAACGCAATAGGGAAGAGACTTGCTGGCGACGCGATCGAGGAAAGCCTACGTCACAATTAGTTATTATAAACAAATAGTGTTGAGTAACTCGACAAACCACTTACAGCGACGTTGTCTTTGTTCTTGGAAATGGCAGCCCGCAGGGTTTTGCGCTGGGCCTTGTTGAAGGCAATGGCGTGGTCAACGAAGGCATTGTTCGCCTCGATGCTGCTCACGGCAAACTGAATTCGAGAGCACTTTAGTTAGCATCCCACATTTTGTAAATTGTGAGGGTGGGAAAATGTCGGTCATACCCCGTGGAAGGCTTGGCAGAGAACCAGTTGGACACATTCAAGCAGGGGCTTGTCGGCCTGCATCATATTCATCATGTCCAAGTCATCGGCCTCGTTGGTGGCAGTGGTGTTATAGGAAGCGACAACATCCTGCATTACTGATCAGTTACTTGACTTAAAATACGATAGAAATTATCGAAAACATCGAGAGATCACTAACATCAGCAGTGACAGCACTGGTGAGGTGGCTTAGGTGGTTCAAGAGCAGGGTGGTCTGCTTTTGGCCGATGTCAAGCGAGGCCAGGTTGTTCTGCAGGCCGATGGCGAGGTCAGCGTCGCTCATGGCGGCAGACACAGAAGTGCTGAGGGCCAAGGCGGCAGCCAGGATAATGTTCTTGAATTGCATGGTGTTTGCGGTAATGACTGAATGTCGAGGGCTGTAATGAGTGTACTTCGTCGACCAAGTGTGAATATGACGGCAACGAGGGTGGACAAGACGGGCAAGAGAGTGCTAGGGTGCAAGTCCTTTTTATTCTCAACTATCTGATCGTGACAAATTATTTCATTCCGGCTGCGTAGTCGGTCTGGACCAAAAGACATGCTTGAAAGCGGCCGGAAATCAGGGGGTTCCCAAAACAACGGTGAACAGGTTTCAAAGTGCGATGCACTACTGCACCTGGAATGGAACTAGTGGCCCGCCGACGAGGGGATTTGGCCTTTTATCCTTGTGAGGCAAGAATCCCCCGCCGTGGGACTGCGATCTACAAAATCTAAGTGGGTAATTGAAAAGATGAATAGGGATCGCGACCTGAACTTGATCACTATTGAGCACCGTGGAGTCCTAAAATTGAGACAAGTGGAGCTCGAGATTTTAGCTGCCGACGAACCCCGAGTAAATCAGGAACGGGCCAACTAGTGGGCAGCGCAGGCAAATCTTTTCTCTTTCGGGTCCGGTTTGAAGCCTAACTCAAATAACGCATCGTGCGAAACTCGGCCCCCACTCCCCGATAGCGCACCACATTTCCATCCGCGGTTGTGCGATTGTAATGCATTCTCTCGAACATTTACGAGCTGGCCATAATCAAATTCAGACATTGCGCACTTTCATCTACGAAGGTGTGCGGAAGGTACGGAAAGCAGAGAAGACCGATTGTTGAGCATACTGGAGCTATCAAGCCTAGTTTGTACTGAGGAAAGAGAGGCGACAAGACACATCACGGGAAAGACGGAAGCCTCGGACGTTTAGGGCATTGGACCATGCGTTTCTGCAATGGAACCGGCAGCTTCCGTTACATATCGTACTTGTTGGACAAACTCTAAATTGACCACTATACGTGTCTAATTATGTTGACGTCTTCGACTTGGGCTTAATCCCCAGGGCCTTTTACAGTTCTGTACGGAGTACCGTATGATCATCATGTCCTGCAGGCACTGTCGATCGCTATTTTATCCCGTGGATCTATCTGTGTTCAGCCGGTTTTAGCAATGATCTACAGAAATAGTCTACCATACTCTGCAAGTTGTCCATGCTTTGACAACGGTTCCTAGCAATTCAGATCGACAATGGACTAGATTCTGTTGTGATGAGTATGTTTGACCCCTCCTTCCATCTGAATGCCATTGTTGGCGACCTTCGCGTGGGTACAAAAATTGAGCATTCCACCCATATCCCTGTAGCCACTGCACGAATTTGTTGACCATTCGAACTATATGAACCATTCCACTAGTGTCTGCGTGTACGAAATCGGTGAAGTAATTGGAAGTCAGCCGCTTCGTTACCCTAACGGCAATGTAACCATAGTCACATAAGCTTATCCTTCCATATTTGCTCTACTAGTCGAGCTGAAATGGACCTCAGGTTATTTGCGCAGCGTGGAAGAGATTGTAGTAGCATCATATCTTCATTATACCAGCCGCTTGGTAGTGAAACGGGTGGTTGATTACTATGGGGATAGCACTAAAGAGCAACTCTAGTCGGCTGGAGCCACCCGGGCTACTTTCACAGTCACCCTGAAAGCGAGATTCCCCGTTAGTGTCAACAGAATTATGATATTGACCTTCGGGTCGGGTAGAAAAGGAGTCTGCGCTTCTTTTAGGCTGTTCACGCGGGAATACAAGATGTTCTTTCAAGGAGGCCCAAATTGTGAATATTTCGCTAGGATATATTTCCCTGAAATGTCGCCGCTTCGACAGGGTAAATAAATTGCCTGGGGAGCAAAGGATTTCTCGCCTCGCTGAATTATGCTTTCTATAATGAATGAAATCTGCGCGTCGGAAATGAAGTTTATGCTATCCTTGCTTCAGGAAAGAATATAAACAATCTCTCCGGTTAGAGCGAACTCCATCACCCATGTCCTCCAATTACTACCAAGGCAATGTTGAAAAGCAGGCAGCAGGCGGATGAGCCAAGCGATGATAGCGAGAATGATACCGTATTAAAATGAAAAAAGATAAGAAGAGTGATATTATCTTCAGCATGACGCTCCGCCTCTCCTTGCACTGATAAGAGCAGAAGGGCAATCGCCGCGACTTGTTGGGAGAGAAGTAAAACGGGTTTTGCTGGAGCGATTCAAACTAATTTCCATTCATGGCGGGCTTGTGTACCTAGTCTCATCCTTTTTTATCACTGCGAAAGTACTCGAATGAATTTCTCATTCGAACGCATAACCCCTCTCAATATAATTACTCGAGCAAAATCCACTGCTCGTAGATACCGCTCTCCCAAATAACGAGCTCGTCCAATCGTGATCAGAATAAACAATATAACCGATGAAAATATCATTCCGTGTCTGATTATTTGTCATCTAAGTGCTCAGGTTCAATGATCTGCGTCAAGTTGTGCGAGCATAATCTCGGCCCCAACAACCCCGCCGAGCGATAAGCGCCCACCCTTTTTTTGCCACCTCGCGCGTGCTGAAGTCCCGCATATCGATTTCCCAACCCTGTATAATCCATTATTTCAGTCAATAAGCCGTACGGAATTGAGGGATTCGATCCACGGCAACTGAATATTCTCACAATGCCTCCGCCTGGTGGGACTCCCGATAATGCTAACTACGATGTTCTGGTGGTAGGCGGAGGCCCAGTGGGACTACTGCTTGCATATCAACTGAAGCGCTTTGGTGTGTCCGTGTGTGTTTTGGAGCAGCATGAGAAGGAGATGCAAGACGCCTATGGGCGGGCGATCGCACTGTTTCCAAGAACACTAGAGCAGCTGGACCAACTTGACTTGATTGAACCGATGCTACAACTTGGATTTGCTTGCAGAACGAGCGTGACATACAAAGATGGAGAGCGAGTGTGAGTGTTTAGATACTGTGCAAGGCTATTGACTGATCATAAGTAGTCTTCCGGGAAGAGTATGGACGTTTATGGAAAACATTCAGGACACGACTTACGACTTTGTCTTGGTTCTGCGGCAAATGTACACTGAACAAATTCTGCGAGAGAAATTAGATGCCGTTGGCGCTAGGTATTACCATGGGATGAAATGTGTCGACTTCACCTATGATGAGAATTTGCCGAGGGCGAATTATCCCATAGTCTCAACTTTCGTCGATGGCGGTAGTGGGGAGCAATACCAACTCAGAAGGTGAGCTACATTACGAAATTTAGATTAGCAGAAGTCAACTTACCTATTTCACAGCAAGTATCTCGTGGGAGCCGATGGAGGGCATAGCTTTGTTCGAAGACACGCCGGGATCTCGTTCGAGGGCGATAGTTCAGACGATCAGTGGATCCGCATCGATGGTATCGTCGAGACTGATATGCCCCTTAACCGCTCTTACGGGTTTGTGATCAAAATCTACCATTTTGGAAGCAAGAGTCTGAACGAGATTTGTCAGTGCCATAGAAAGCAAAACGCACGGAAACGTACTCTGGGCACCACTCGATCATGCAGCTACCCGAATTGGATATGCATACACTGCCGAGATCGCTGCAAAGTACCCCGGAGGTGTCACGCAGGAGGTTGCCAAGCAGGAGGCTATTGAAGCAATGAAGCCTTTCAAAGTCAATTTCAAGGAGGTTCACTGGTGGACACTGTATGCGGCCACCTTTAATTATGTGGTGCGACTCTCATGCTGACTTTGAGCTCTGTAGATACAATATCGGACAACGGCTCGCAAACAGTTTTTCAGTTCGAGATAGAATCCTGTTGTGTGGTGATGCAGCGCACACTCACAGTAGTGGCGCCGCCCAAGGATTGAACACTGGCATCCATGACGCTGTTAACCTGGGCTGGAAACTGGCACTCCAAATACGGGATGCAACAAAGTTGGAAGTCTTGAAAACTTATGACACCGAACGTATGACGGCAGTCCAGCAACTAATAAGATATGACAAAGACATCTCCACGCTGATGTCTCACAAATGGCCTTCTTGGTATGAAGGGGACCGAAACGCCGATCCATATCACGTTCTGGGTGAGATCTTCGAAAAGACTGCGTCATTCAATACTGGATTGGGCATCTGTTACTCGGAAAATTTTGTGAACCAGACATCAGCTCTGAGTTTGAGAGTACCTCCAGGAAGTCGTCCACCAGATCTGGAGCTGTCTACCCCTGGTACCGATCAGAAAGTCAGGTTCCAACATATTACACGCAATATCGCAAAATTCTGGGTGGCTGTCTTCACGGGAAATATCAATGCAACCCGAACTCCACTTCGACAGCTCAGGAAGGCTTATGCGGGCATGAGAGCGCTTCCAATAGATGCATTTGTGAGTTGGATTACTATTAGTGCCTCAACTGGTTGCTCTCCATATGAAGCGTTAGGGATGGAACCATTTGGAAATACATACTATGATGCTACAAGCTGCGCTCATGAGAGGTTTGGCTTCAGCTTGGAGAGAGGGGGCATTGCAATTATTCGCCCTGATGGCTTGCTTGCTACCGGAGGCCCTTTAGATGGACAGTTTGTTGAAGAGTACTTTTCGAAAGTCATGCAGTGAGGGCCTTGATATCCGGCAAGGTTCCAAGCGCGCAAAAACTAACGGTCAAATCAATAAAATAAAGATATATTGAAGGAATGATTACTATGGTTGAGGAGAAGTGGTGTACAGAGTAGAAAGGAATTGATAGGAGCTCACCTGGGCATTGGTGTCCCTAACACCATGCTTGAATATACATAGACCAATTCTGACGAGAATTGATTTATTAGAGCTCGAGAAAGGTATTTGAAAAATAAGTCGCTTATAATTGAAACACATATCAAGCCTCCCTTTCAAGACAATAATAAAGAGTATCTGGTTGCAAGTCTGGTAAACGTCGACCGGCTGTACCTGCGCGAGCCATTCCGTTCTTCAAACATCCTTTATCACCCCAAAATAGGCGGACATGATCCCAATCATCCACAAGCTGTATCACCCGATTGAATTTACCGTATGACGCGGGTAGAGTTCCCTTCGGCTTTTTCTTCACCATGTATTCCGAGGCAATTGCCAAGCCAATGAACAACACCATCAGAGCGATTATCGGCAGAAGCGCAATATTGAATGACACATCGGCAGTGAGAGCATAACCAAATACCCACTGTATGACCGCTTTCATCGCCAACATTATCAGTGTCTGCCAGCTGAAATTGGACTTCCAAGAAGGGTCGACCTCCGATCCGACCGATTCCATATCACGCCATGCTGCTTCGTCTCGAGAAAGATTGAACAAGAGCTCCACACAATGCAACGCAAAAGTCAGGAAAGACTGAACGATGATCTGAATGATCAATCCCAGCCAGTATGGAGGTGATTTGGTAAGTTTCTTGAAGTCAAAATACATGGCGCCATAGAACCGCCAGTATGCCTGCACGCCTGTCGAGAAATCATTAAAATTCTCCGTCATGTAGCCTGATTCGACCGTCACAATTCCCTGTGCTAGAGACCAGACAGTAAAAAGCGCACAAAATCCCCAGATAAGGCGTCGGGCTAGCTGGACGTGCGGTGCGATACTGAGCATAGTGTCCTGCGTCACTCGAGATGTAAAAGGTATTTTGGAGGACGCCTCTTGTGACACTGCGTATTTCTCATCTTGGCCATTAAGCCACGCTTTTGCATTGGCTAGAAGGGAGTTGTTCCAAGTTCTTACCCCACCAGTGCGTAACAAGCTAAAAGTCGACACACTGACCTGTAAAAAGACTCCGACACCGAGAGCAAGTATTGCCAGGCCGTTTATATCGATGATATCTGAGGATTCAGAAGAGCCGTAATCAAATAATTGGGTCTGCTCGTTCCACTGGCCGACAACAACCACATCTGTGATGGCAGACGATGTCGCCCCGTAGGCAATTGCCAAACCAATCAAGGAGATCAAGTTCATGTACCAGCTATTAGGCCCATGTGCATGGGCCCTAGTGAAGAGTCGTACATATGAGTTGAATTCCAGGCGACCTTCGTCAAACAGAGCCCATCTCAGGGTAGTGGCGTGTATGTAATTGGTCGTGTCCAGAATAATGGTCACCAGAAGATTCAAGAGTAGTTGCACCAACACAGATGTTCCTTGGCGCAGCTGCTGGATGCGATGACTATGAGGATAGGGCTTCTCGGGTGTCATACTATGCAGGAAGAAGTTGACCATTATCACCTTTTTCCGGACATATGGCGGGATGGCGACATGGTCGGAACTTATCATGATAGATCCTGCAATGAGACATGTGGACGCAAAAATCCATCCTAAAGCTAGCCCAACCGTACAAACGTTGCGGATTCCTAAGGCTGGATCAACCTTCCCATGGTATATCTTGCAGACCTGTCGATCCTCGGTGGGGGATTGGTGGATTCTGGTCTGCATTGGAATAATGAAGGAGATCCCTCACAAATGACAACCTGGTATCAACCCTAATTCTAGGGCCCAATCGGCAATTATTGTATGATTTCGACTTTTTGCCGAGTGTTACTTGGACGTTTCGAATATAAAACGGATCCCCGGACTCCTGTAAGCTCCCACGGCACGGGAGGCATACCAAAATGAGGGATACCTTTGTTTCAATCTCCAAAGTGCTGATAGGGGGGCTCTTATTTTTATAAATTGAATAGGGGCAGTGCCTGTAAGGGGAGAAGCAGTTGATGGGGCCCTTGCCAGCCTGCAGAGCCAAGACCGAAAAGAATGTCGATTCTCTCATCTCGGCATACCTTATAGGTCTGGACACACAAATCCGTTACCCTTTAGATCCTGGAAAGAATTTCAGGCCTCCAGTCTTTGCATGCTTATTTGACATTGATAGCGGCAAGTGGATCCCTCAAAATCGAAGAAGAATGCTAGCCCTGCTATCTCCGCATGATCATTTGGTCAAGAAAAACAAATGCAGAATGCAAAATTTCCCAAAATATTTAACGATCTATTTGAAAATGCGTGACGTTGCCTTCAAAGCAAACATACAAGGATGGTGTGACCTTCGAAGATCTTTAAAAGACGGATAACTGTCAATCAAACCTGGACCCAAAACGGCACTACCCACTCACTATGTACTTGGCCTATATTCTCTTTGCTATTGTTCCATTTAGCTACACCCGTGCAGTGGTTTTCTCGCAACTGCCAGCTATCTCAGATTCTGCAAATCCTAATACTACAACTGATTCAAGCTGTAATTGCCTCCCGGCTGATGACTGCCCCAAACAATGCAAGTGTTGCTTTGATACGCAGGAATATGCCCGATTTCTTCAGTATGGAGGTGTGTGTCTCAAACCAACTTTGCTGGAAAGGATTCAGAGCTAATTACTATCAAGACTCCCGACTCGACGCGGATGAGTGATTTCAGCTTCGGCGCTATGGTTCTGGCATCGGCAGGGAAGTCATTGGAACCAAACCATTCTTTTTTATTCTTGTCTGTCTTTCAACATACTCTTATATCACAATAGTGCAATTTAATAATAATGAAGGGAGACCTCTCAAGAGGTGGAGATAGTTAAATTTCAGTCATTGCGAGTGAAATAAGGTATATGTCAAAGCAATAAATGACGGTATAGACTAAGAATGTTGCCTATAGTGCATTTTTGTCTAGTTGCCATTTTGCCGAGGAGTTGGCCCTCTTTTGTCTTGACAGTATATCTGTTAGGTAAACCTAACCTATTCACGGGCTCGGGTTAGGCTGGGTTCGGGTTAGCGCGGGTTTTTGGCGCAGCGTAAGCCCGTAGGCTTTGTCAAGGTCTCACTGCGCCGCTAGCTCATGCACTTCCTTGACCGAATTTCCCCCGCCCACTAGCACCCTTTCAACATCCCACACAAGTTGATCCTCTGTCCTCTATCTCCCATGCAAGTTTCCTGGCCAAACGATATAATATGTCCATCACAACGCTTCCTCCGGAATTATTGACCAAGATTTGTGGGTATATAGAGCTCCAAGACTGGTGCGCGCCCAGGATCGCTTGTCAACAAACCTACAGAAAGTCACTAGAGGCCTTTGCAAAGCGGTACTACAAAAGCCTCTCGTTGCTTGTCACCCGTGAGAGTCTGAGTCGGTTGGAATAAATTGCGGCTCATGACCTTCTTCGGAGTTCAGTCAATGAGATTTGGGTTGTCCCAGCATTTTTTGAGGGCTGGGGTAAGATGCATTATCCCAACTTCGCGTCTTCTGGGTTTGGCAGGCAGTCAAAGAAGGGCTGGAACCCAACGGAGACTGATCTAAGGGCTCGCTTTATAGCATACGAAGCTATGGTAGCCGACCACCATTCTATTCTGGAGTCCTCAACCCTCAGCGATACCCTTGAAAGGTGTATGCCACGTTTTGACAACGCTGTTGTGCTTGGACTACGGTATTATTCAATACACCTTCTCCTTAACTCAGCAAAGAATACCTACTTCCGCTGTCTGGGTCTACGCGAATTAAGGAACCAGCTCAACTGCAGTGAGAAATACTACGAGTGGTTCAATGGGCATTGGCCAATCCTGCTAGCCAAGACTCACGCCTTGGTATTCTCGGCTCTTGTCAAAGCTTTAACCAAATCTAGCCAAAGGATTCGGGGCCTCCACACATGCGGCCATTATTTCTGTGGGCTAGCATTGCAAAGTATTCAACTTACAGAATCGGATTATCAATCCCTTCTCCCCCTTCTAGGAGAGTTAAGCTCTCTACACATATGCATTCGCTTACCTAAAAATACCCCTCCCGATGAAACCAACCTGGACTTCCTTCTCAGTCTCCTAGTCACTGTGGCACCGACACTAGAGGATCTGACCTTCTCTCAATGGATTCCGAACAAGGAATTGAGCCCTCATTATTTTGAAAATATCTCCCAGAAAATCCAATTCTCGCAGCTACGGGAGCTTCATCTTCAGTCGATCGAAGTTACAGTGGAGACTTTTAAGGCATTTATACGAACGGCAGCCCCGACCTTGGCACAACTCACACTGAAATCAGTGAGCTTAGTAGATAGGCTTATTTCGGCCCCAGACCCAGGACCAATGATTGAAGAAAGTCCGGGCCCTTCGTTCTGCAGAGAAACTCGGCACGAGGTTCAACAACTTTGGCGGCGTATCTTTGAACTTTTAGCAAACCACCTGAAACTACAATTTATCCTGCTCCACAACCTCGGTTATCGAGGAAGACATATGACCTTTCGCAATTACTTACATCCTCAATGTGGAGAACTGGAATCGCCTTTCAAGTCATGTCTTAGGTCTGCTTGTTTCGATGTTACGAAGGCAAGTGTCTCTTTTGATACATGGATTACGCAGCTTCAAATGGACATGTCCGAACCAACCTTGTTTGATCTCCCGGGGACAGATAATCGTAAGTACTATAACATCCCAAATCTCTAGAAAATAAGGCTTCTGAACTAATAGTCGGTGAAAAGGACGGCGTGCTATATCCGATAGGCGGAGGCAAACACTACGGATGGCCCGTGTTTTCGCTTCTTACCGTAGAGAAGGGGCAAATTAGGTATGGAATAAACCTAAATAGTGATGATGATGATCGTAAGTGTCCGTTAGGGGAAACCCTCAAGATGTGGAGATAGTTAAATTTCAAGCATAACGACTGGATTAAGGTATATCTCATATTTAAACTCAAGTTATATATCCGCTCCCCCTCAAATGGTCAATAGTCATATACATGAATTCCGGCATTTCGAAGAAAATTCCGAAGAAAATTAATCCCATCCTATCATTACTGGCGGTTTTAAACCAAAACGCTCGACCCGTCGCTCTTCTTACACCCACAAGCTCCTGCCCCAGATGCTACTTGTGTGGGTGTACGCGAATAGCTCGGCGGTACATCAAGAACAGGGTTGCGATCAAAGAAATTACGAGGACGGAGGAGCAGTGTCATGGGCTCGGCCGGCATGATGGGATAGTCTTCAGGCGAGGGAAAGTGGGTCAGACCGAATGTGTGCCAGAGGACAATATCCGTATTGTCAATTGAGCACTCCGAGCCAGCGGACTCGATCCACGCAGGCAGGCCCTGCGAAGGTTCGCCGGAGGTTTGGGGAACGTGGCGGCCCGCGGGGTGGATTTCCTCGTCGGAGTCTGGAATGTGGTTAGAATTTGGACACGCTAAACATGGAGCAGCAAGGGGGGTGGGAATTGCGTACATTTGGTGACGTGCACCGCGTGACGCGCGAAGCCGGCCCGCTTCCACACAATGCCACCCTCCTTGGGAAGAAGGGGTGGCACGTCTCGACTGACAAGCTTGTAGCTGACGGGCTTCTTGCTGTGTGGGTTGAGCTTGTTGGTGTTGGCCATATCCCAGGTACGGCTAGTTGAGCCGTCATAGTCGGACATTGCCTCGCGAGGAGTGGTGAACTTAGTCTTCTTTGCGTAGAAGGCATTGCCGTACTTGTTTTCCGCGCTACCAACCTCGCCTGGGCCCTGCACGGCATCAACCTGGAAGACTGTGTTGTTGGGACCGTCGATGTTGGGATCCACCCGCAGGCAGAACAGATGCTGGTGGTTGTGCGCGTTGACTCCGGGGTACACCTCAGTGCCCCAGCCCTTGGTGTCCTCACCGGGGTTTATGGAATATGTGTTCAGAATACCAGTCAGCTTGACCTCCAGCTGGACGGTGCCGTCCTGGTGGAAGATCCAGTACACGCAGTACTCGTAATTGGCGGCCGTGAAGATGTGCGAGATAATGAGCTTGCGGCCGCGAGTCACCACGATCGACTCGTCGCGGAAGTCGGTGTGCTTGAAGAGGATACCGGCGTCTTCTTCATGAATGCAGATGGCGTTCTTGATGAGAGTAGACGCGCCAGCACGGTTGACGAAGGAAGCGTCTATATAGTGAATGGCACCCTTGCAATCGCAGCCAAGGGCCAGACTGTTGGTCATATAACCGCCGCCATATTCACCAAGGTCGAAAGCGTGCTTCCGCTGATGGGGATGCTCGGGGTTTCCGTACGGAACGACCATCTCTGCCAGCGAGAGGCGCCAAAACACCGGTCGAACATTGCCCTTATCATTAAACGTGATATTGTTCAAGACAATGCCCTCGCGGTAGTTGAAGCCAACGTGGATGTTCCAATTCTGCCACTCGATGGTGCGACCCTTAACCTCGAATGAAACACCCTCGGGCTGGGTGATGTGAATCGGCTTGATGTCTTTCCGGAAGCCACCCTCCTTCTCAATAGCAGCGGGATGATAGTTGTTTGGCGGGGCCTTGTTGATCGGCCGTCGCACTGGAGGCACATCGATGTGAATGATCTGCTTGGTCTCGGCATTGTAGATGGGGCAGAAGTCGAGAGGGTAGGTGTACTGAGAGTCATCGGGATGGGGTCGGTAGTACATGAGAGCTTGCTGCAGACGCACGCCATTGCCAAAGCGCTCATCGTATCCAATTGTCCATGCTATATAATGGTTTAGCTAAACATCACTCTATCGTAAGTCTTACCTAGGGCGGGTTTACTCACGGTCACAATACACCTTGTGCATATCCTCTGCGGGAATGCCGATGATACAGCACTGTTCAATGACCTTGGGATCTTTTCGCACCACATGCTCGACTTCCTGCAGATCCTCCATGGTAATCAAGGGCTGCACGTTGGGTGTGTGCTTCCAGTCTACGATCTTGTTCTGCTCCAGATCGACCACACCGTCGTACACCTTCCCTCCCGGTGCAATGACAACCACATCGGCCTTTCGCACTGGGCGCGGCGCACTCTCCGGATTCGCCAGCCAAGCCATCATCTCGGCCTTGCGCGGCTCATATAGCGTCACCGCGTTGAAATGGAGCGCGCCATGTTCCTTCCGCACGATAGCTACCACAGCATCAATCTCTGCCGAAGACAGGGGATCAAAAGGGTGTCGCGGCGCGGCCATCGCGCTGACCTGATGGGTCAACTGCTGGAGTCGATCAAGAACCATGCCGGTGTCTGATCTATGACGTGCTGGTTATCGGATATAGTGTGAATGCAGCTCGTGGGTGTATAGAAAGACTTCGCGCTCGGAGGTTTCAAGCCACCAATAGCGATAAAATCCAGAAGGACCGTTGCAAAGAACTTCTTAGGCTCTCCTTCTGGACAACTGCAAGTATTTAAATCCAGCACCTCTCCAATGCGCAGCTCCTCTGATGCAGCGATTAGATAAGACAGGCTGTTTTGCGGAGGCCGGATCCTTTGCACTGATTGGGTTTAGCGCACATTGTCTATGCGCCATGCACGCGAAAAAGGCAATCCGATGCTTGCGGGCAGATAACGTGCTGCTCCAGGCTGGTTATTCCTCGGCGTCTGTAACGCGGGGCCAGGGAGGTCGCATCCTACCCCTCAATGGGGGAACAGTATACTTGCCAACATGACTTGCTTGAATAATACTGATAGGTAATAGTAACAGCTTTCAGCAACTGGAGTTCAATATCTACTACGAGAGCACTTTACACTAATTCGGCATTCAACAAGAGATCACCCCCCTGCTGTACATAAGACTCCCCTACCCATTCTACCTAGATGTATAGAACGCGAGAGACCATTGCAAGAAGGCAAAAGAAGGCCCGGAAGCCCGAACGCCTTGGAGATGGATTTAGATACCAGCCAAATCAACACAGAAAAAAAGAAAATAAAAAAGGGGAAAAAACACCGTACACCCTCCCGACACCCCGAAAAGAACACCTCCCCCAGACGCACAGAAAGTCTCCGACTCGAATGACGGAACTTATGCAAAAGCGACAGGCGAGAGAAGACAATGCCGAAGAGATCGAAAGAAAACCAGCGCAGTAGCCTCGTGCTTATGTACATGCATCATATCGTATGAACCCGTTCTCCCATCCTCCACGTTCTTCATATCTCATACTCTACCGGCCAGGTGTTGGGTAGCCGGAGTGGTGCTGAGGTGTGTGGGCGTTATTAGGCGTGCTGGGCGTACCGGCGGCGGAGTAGATAGTGGCTCCGTTCAGATTTGGTGTCTGCTGCGCCATGTGGTAGGTCATGGCTGGCATCTGTCCATTCAACCCCCAGATTTGACCCGAGTACTTGCTTTCGTCGATCTTGCCATTAAAGACGAGCTGGCGCATCTTCCAGTAGATCTCGCCCGTGACCAGGGAATCCGATCCGGCTTGGTGGGCGATTCCCACCCGCTTCACGCCAAGCTCGTCTGCGATATCCTGGAGACCGGATTTTTGGCCGAGGTTATTGAGGATCTGTGCTGCAGCTTGGGTGAGAGGGGAGTCGTTGACCGCGCCGTTACGGCCAGCGTGCTTCATCAGGTACTTGATGTCGTATAGAGACGGGAAGAAGATGTTCAGGAGTGTATGGAACTCCTCTTCGTTTTCGGGCAATGGGGAGCAGAGCATGATCTTCATCAAGTAACCAAAGTCATAGCCTGAGTGAAAAGAGACCCAGTGAACATCGTCCAGCAGCACGAGGCCAGAACTGATTAGCAATGACCCAAATTCGAAAGGATCAATACCGTTCTTCTCATGCATGTTGAAGTCGATGCCCGACTTGGCAAGCATTGTCGTTGAGTCCTGCGCATACATATCGCCCTCCAAGGAGAACCGGAAGTTGAACTGCCATGTGCAGGGAGCAGGCATCATAGCGTTGCCGTATGGTTGCCCATTTGCATCAGTAGCTGTTGTCGGTGGAACCTCCCCATCTTCATTGAAAAGTGTGATTCCTAGCTGGATCATCTTTAACAGATCGACGTTGCATCGGAGAGTCTGGTAATGGTAGTCTGCTTTGTTCGTGAACGAGCCGATCGGTCGCGCAACGATTCCTGGGAACTCGGTATCCTTTTAGATCTCGAAATCAGCCCACTTCCTTGTAAAATAGGAATATCCATCGCAGTTCAAGACATCTTCGGTCCGTAGAATGCCAAGGTTTGGTGCCCGACGCCTTACCATGCTGATATATGGGTATTTGTCCACCAACTGTCTCAACATTGCCATCTCGTGAGCCAGGTTGTGCTTCCATACGTCTCGTATCCGGGATTTGACCGCGCCTGCCTTCGACTCGAGAGCTAACCGCCCATCATGGCCTTGGTTTAGTTGCTGCTGCTGCATCTGTGCTCCACGCGCGAACCCCATTTGTGCCGCATGGCTTGCGAGCCCCGTGCCACCACCATCAACGCCGGCGCCTGCAAAGCCAGCGACCGTCATGCCATTTGCCACACCAGCGCTGGACAAAGTAAAGGGATTCATGTTTGTATTCGGGTTTCCGGCAAAACCAGGGTGGCCACCGAGCGAAGGGGGAGGCAGAGCGGTGTTGGCGGACTGGGCGTGGGCCGGGTGTTGGGATTGGAGATGAGCCTGTTGAAGTGTATAAGGAGCGCCTAGGCCCTGGGGGCCGTATCTGCCGGGAGGAGGGGGCATTGTGGTGGGAGCTGAAGGCTGCGCATGGACGGAGTGTCAGTTTCGTTCCTCGAAAGGCGGGAGAGCTATGTCCGCCGTATCGGGTATAGCGTCTCTGCGTTCTGCCAAGCGCACCGCTCCGGCTTCACGTCCTTCGCTTTCTGTGGCTTCACTCGAGATTCCCTGCGCCCCTCCCCCGTCTCTCTTTCTCCTCAGTCTCCTTGTTACCTTTGTAACCATGCCCGCCCGAAACCCCACCGGCTTCGACCTCGCCCAATTCAAGGCAGCAGCCTCCCCTCCTCGGTTTACGCCAAGCGGGATCCCTGGGCTCGCAAGTATGCTCTTGATTGCCTTGTCCTCTGATGCTGGAATTACGACTCCGTACTAACCTGGCTCATTAGTGAGACCTGGCGCTATACTGGACCTTTCACCCGGTGGAACCGCTTCAAGGGTCTTTTCCCCGGCCTGGGCATCGCGACCGTCGCTTTCACTGCCTACTGCGCGTACGAGCACTTGTTCCTGAAGGACGACCACCACCACGGTGACGCTCACCATGGCGAGGGCCACCACTAAATGTGGTTCTGCGTGAGGAGGGTCAGATGAGAAATCCGCCGACCGACGAGCAATCAAGTGGAGAATGGATACCGCAAGCCGACGAGACCGACTCGTCTTCGCTCAGGACGAGTCATATAACCGGGTCATTACGATGGTAGCAGTGGCGGCTTCCTCGCCTAGAAGAGTATTCGTCGTTTTAGGGCGGACATGTCCACTCCTGGCAATTGGGAGTGTGGCCTGCAGACGGCGCTATGGGTTGATTTGTCGGATGTACATAGTCTATGTTCAATTACTACACAACAAAGTCTTTTATTTTGTTCCACCTACTATCGGTGTTCTGCATGAAGCGCAAATGATATTTGAGACTCGAGACATTGGGTTAAGTGATTGATTTTGCATTTCAGATGGGTTCAAAGGAAGCCACATGTTTCCCCTGGTCCCCTCTTATGGTGTGACATGACATTATCTCGTGCATGCGTGGGCAACATAACTGTATAACGTAGCTTTTTATTCCTCCACAAAGACCAATGAGATGCCATCGTCACCGGCAGTGACAATGCGCTTTCCATCAAATCCTTGAACGAATCCCATGATTCCACCGGCCTGTTCACCCTCTTCATTCTCGGAGGCGCCCATGTGTCCCCGCCACTCCTGCAGCAGGCCTTGCGCAGCGGCAGTGGTACCACCGCGGGCATCCCATCGTCGGACGACACCATCCAGTCCGACGGAGGTAAGCAGATATGAACGTCCATGACCCGCGGCAGTTGGAGCCCGGCTCTGCAAGAACTCGACCTTGACGACCGCGGCGCCTTCGTGAGCCTCCCGGACATGGCGGCGGACAGCGAATCGATGAGCAGCATCATACAGCGCAATCGATCCATCCACGGAGCCCGCGGCAAGGAGAGTGAGCGGGGGTTGGGAGAAGGAAAGAGTCTCAATGCCATCCGACTGGGCCTGGAGATCAGCAAGGATGGTACCCGCAGCAGACGTGGTGGCCGTCTGGGCAGCCTTGCCCTTGCCAGCGTCCGTGCCGCCAGAAAGCCGAGGAAGACCAACAATCTTGATGCGACCCTCCGCACCACCCACAGCCGCGATGCCACCGCCCGGCGAAATGGCGACTGAGTACAGACCACCCTGAACAGCAAATCGCTGATCGTCTGCAGTCAAGCCGACAATGGCATTGGTACCGGGAGACCCGGAGATACCAGCTGCCGCAGCGGCTCCGAAGACGTCGTACAGATAAAAGCTTCCATCCTCGGAAACAGTGGCCAGCAAGTTGCCATCTGCTGTCCATGCACCAGCAGTACAGGACGCAGTATGCTGGAAGAAACTGTGGACCATAGAGATGGGCTGCGAATCGGTGGCATCGATCCGGAAGACCCAGGCGCTGCCGTCACTGGCACCCATCGCAACGACGTTGCGCTTCTCCTCATTGCCCGCATGGTAGGGGCATGCCGCAATCCAATTGATCTCCTCCACCTCCTGGGCCTCAGCCACAAACTGCCAAGCCTCTCCGCGGTTTCTGGGCGAGGTGTCCCGCCAGGCGCGAAGCTTGCCATCCAGACCAGCTGTCAAGGCATATTCACCCGCAGGCTCAGTGAAAGCCACCGCATTTACAGTGTCGGTGTGTCCATCCAGCTTCGCCAGCGGCACCTGGCTTCCGCGCTCGCGCGGCTGAGGGTTTGATTCGTAGCTCCGCGGGAGGACGGGCTTTTCGGGGGGCGTGGAGTCGAAGATATAGGCGGTGTCGTCACCTGCGCCGGTGAGAACGATATTGTTATGCACGGGATGCTGTGCGACGCAAAAAATCGAGTCCTCGTGCGAGTCAAAGTGTGCTGCGGAGTCGTTCTGGAAGGTGAGCTCCTCCTCGTAGGTCATCGGCTGGTCCTCGTCTTCACCCTCAGAGTCCATGTGTTGGTCCTCATCGCGGTTAAAGACCTCCTCGGCCTCGTCTGCACCCACATACTCAGCGTCATCGCCTTCGCGGTGGGGATCTTGAGATGACATCTCTGCGGATTGAGATTAGAGCTCAGTAGATGCTCTCAGAGTGGTTGATAAAATGATTTGGCACGCTGTGAGCGCCTTTTGGGATCGATTTGCGACAAGAAACTTGCCGAATGCTCTTTCCAAAAGGGATTCAAGGATACAACGACCGGGTATCTCTGACTTATTCTAAGTCGTGGTGGAAAGGATGAGCTGAAGCTGTTACTTTTTTTTTTCGGCACACCTCCCCGCTTAGAAATCCGCATCCCCGCGGGAGCCAAACAGTGCAAACTTCCTATCTTTCTGTCCTTATCGACACTATCGGGTTTTGCCTGCAGACCATGTCGATTAATCGCTGAAGAGAAGAAACATACTATACCAAATGCAGGGATTTGTCCAACGTCATCTTTATCTATATGCTCATTCAATGTCTACCAATATTTTGCCAATTCAATTATCCCATCCCTCATCCAACCGTCTTGAATCGTCGCGTCTGTATCAAATCCATGTTCACCATCAAGTGTTTCAAACCTGATGTCCATCTCTGGCTGTTTGGCGCGAAGCTCACTGATGAACAATTCACTTCCGTAGAGTGGGACTGCAGAATCTTGTCTTCCGTGGAACAGCCAAAGGAAAGGCGGCATCCGCTTTGCTCGGGAGATGTTCTCTACAGGAAATACAGCCGCCTCCTTACCAAGAAAATCAAGGAATTTCCCGTTCTGCACGATGCTCAGCGCCAGGGTAATTCGGTTGCGATCTCCTCCTTTCTCGAGGCCTTCGTCGGCAGTGACTACTGCACCATCTGGCAATTCGCTGAGGTGCTTCTCGACTATATCGTAGGGCAGCTGTTGGTCCAAGTTAGGTGTGTCCCAAGTGATATCGGGTATCACGTACATTGGGTGCACCAAAGATTGGCTTGTCAAATTCCTCATCCCAGAATCTGTCTCTAAGATGGAGCATGGGGTACACTAACACCACGGCTTTGAAGTTTATCTCTGGATGAAGGAGCACGCTTTGGAGGGCAAGGTAGCCGCCAGCGCTTTCTCCCAACACAAGGATCCTGTCCGAGTCGGGCTTGACGAGGGACGATGGGTATGCTCTCACAAGGCTTGATTCTAGATCCCGTTGCACCCAGGACCAATAGTCGGCTAGGTCGGAGAGTATGTCCAGTCCACTCGACTCGGGCAAGAGGCGGTAGTCTGGTGTGACAATGATTGCCTGTCTGGAGATAGCCAGCTCAAGAACCCTATTTTGTCATTAGCATCAGCCCGGGTAAACAGTGCTGTCAAAGATAGGACGCTTCTACAGACCACTTAGGAAACCAGTCGGAGTAGAGACGGGAGCCTCCAATCAAGAAACCGCCATGGAACCGAGCAATTACTGGTCTCCTGCCATGAAAGCTGAACACTCCGCTCAGAAGACTTTTTGGAACGAGAATCGACAATGCGATATCGTGATCTCCCACCGTTTTGTAGACAATGTTGTGGATGTCGAATTCTTGGAAGAAATTGGGATCGTGTGGTTCTGATGCCATGGTGCTGATGTCTCCGTCAAGGGATGAGATAAATAGATAGGGAACCTTGCCTTGAAGTAGGAATACTGAAGTTGATAGTTATATTGAGGTATATTGAGTTGTAATGATCTCAGGTGAATCAATAATTCACCAGGGGTGGTTGTTCGTAGGAAACGTGTAGAAAGCGGGGGATGGGGCCGGGGGGGTTGCCGCGTCAGCCTTGGCCTAGCACGACCCGCAGGTAGTAGGTAAGAACTTCTACCTACATAAGATATAGATCTATATAGGGCTAAATCTCTATTCGCTTACTACCGATTAGACCAAAAGAAACTAGTGTAAACGCGTCATACAAAATAATGGGGTTAGTACCTTGTGGTCATACGTTCTGTCTCCCTTACGACCTCTTTTTTTCCCTCTTTCTTCTGTAACCTGATTTAAAATCCTTCGCTGCCACCGAAACTTCTAACTCATTACGATGAGTCTTGCTCTTAGGGGTATACCCAGGAAGCTAACTCGAAACTTCACCCCGATCTCCCCCGTCGCGTTACGTACGTTCAGTGCTAGGCAAAACAGCTGGCATCTGACCCTCCCGTGTCAAACTTTCTCCTCATCAGCTCTACCAACAAATTCCCAAATGGAACACACACGCCCACCAGCCCAATTCCCCTCTGTGCAGCAACTGTCTCCGCGCCACCCACACCTGAACGCCCTGACAAACAGTTCCGATATGATTGAGCGGTTTCTTCGGGAAGACGGCCATCGCGCATGGGGGCTTGTTATCTACCGCTCTTCGTATCAGAATGAGGCAGCCTGGGACGAGTTTATGCGCCGTCTACTCGCCAATACCACAAAATTGCTAGAATTGGGGGCAGGTCCTAATTTACTTGATAACCTGGCCCTAACTGTATTTGATGACCCAAGCAAGTTCAACAACGCGACGACAGCGGTGGTCCGGGATCATTTTAAGCAGTGGGCGGCGACTATGGAACAGGAGGAACAGGGCCCTATTTCTGATCCAAATCACATCAGAATCACTGGATCGCAACGATATAGATACTGTATCCAGGTTACGCAGGAGGCGTTAGGGTCAGCTCTTGCTGATGATCGTGAGAAAATGGGGTTTGTGTATATTATTCAGGCGGATTGGAAAAAGTATAGTCCGTACGAAAATGGAGAGAGGTTCAAGGAGGAGGAAGAGGCGATTGAAGGGTGCACCCTAGAAGATGTAGGCTGGATGAAGGTTCCGTTTGCAAGTCTGATGCCTGTTATTTGGCGTTACTTGCGGCCTGATTGCGCTTGGGAGATAGAGTATCGCCGTCCGCCGGAAATGTCTAGTTACCCGTGAGAATTTGAGAATAAAATCAAAGTGGACTATTAAATCACGAGAGAATAGATAGGACGGACGATTTTATAACTTCGTTTCGCCCATCTTTGATATGCATCTTAGACTTGCGCTGCTTAGCGAGGTGAAGACTATATATCGACTGATTCCTAGATCTGTAGACTACCACACCATTAATGTTTATTTCAGCGCTTGAAGTATTCACTTGAGTCCCTGGTTATTTACTATCTAGTATAACGCAATATAGGAGGCGATTGCGATCCTCACTATTAATGTTGGGGCAAGTTGAAAATCCCATCCTACTAGAGGTCACTCTAGGTACCTTGATGGTGCCTTCATATTTGTAATCGGAGTCATCGTCAGATTTAGGATCTTATTCCGGTAATAAGCCAGAGCTTGGACGACCTCGGGATATTTGACCAGATCTGTCCCAGCAAGAACAGCACTCGTGTAGGGGGTCATTGCGGCCTGAACCGCCTACATACTCCAGACTTTCCCGACGACTGTAATCTGCTTGAAGTAATCGTCTGCCCATACCCACCACCAGTTTGCTAGGCCGGCCTGCCCTGTCGCTTTCTCAATGTAGCTTCATTGGAGAGCAACCTGCTGGAGTACCTTGTCCCCTTTGGTGGTGACTATTCCGTCTTGGAGGTATTCGAAGAGAGCGAAACCCTGCACATATACAAGCCATTAGCCTTCTCTTGGATCGCGTGCTTAGGGTAAATATTTCAAGGCCGGGCGGAGGAAGGCAGCGCAGACCGCACTCGAGTACTCAGGAGAGACCGTAAGATCGGTTATTTTGCTTCGGAGACAAATACGGTGGGAGGACGGTGAACTAGGTCTGTTTTAATTATTAGATAATCTCGCTCTTAGAGAAAACATTTCGCCGTGGTCGGGGGATGGCCCGCCGGGGGGGGGGGGGCGGAGGGGATTTGCCGTGTTAGCCTTGGCCTAGCGCGATACGCAGGTACTAGGTCACGGACTCCTATTTCCTGAACCCGGAGATTGACGCCAACTACACCAACTTACTCCTCGGCGAGTCCTACTGTGTGGCACCCGTGGGTTCTATCGGCACATACGCTAGCTACCCCGTTACAACGCCTCTTTTCACAGTAACCGCGGCCACCTTCTCCTCTGTTGACATGTCCATTCCTACCTCCACCAGTAATCCAGGGTATATTTATACTCCGACCTACCTCCCCACTGCGCCTGGCACACTTACAGGCTGTACCTCATATCGGAACTATACAGGCCCGACGGCCCTGATTTTTGACACCACAACTTTCAACACTACGCTCGATGTCGACTACACGATTCTCAACGTCTGTGCTATGGTCGCGATGCTCTATCAAGTTACGGTTGACCAGCTGATAGAGTGGAACCCAAGTCTTTCAAATGACACGAGCACCTGCGCCTTACAACCTGGCTATAGCTACTGTGTCTTGGAGAGCGCGGATTCCAGTAAGTCTTACTCATTAGTGGACATATTGCTCAGTTGAAGCTTATAAGAAAAACAGAAACCACAGACGACGATGACGGCACCTACTGCCTATCTATCAACGCCACGGAGCCCACTACTGTGTCAAACTGTAACTGTTTTACCGAGGTAGCTGGCTATATGATTGATGGTAAGAGATTTTTTTAAAAGGGCGAATGAATATATGATCGAGGGGGGTGTCCGGTCGACTGACGTGTACTCTAGATTATACATGTGCGGATATTGAAGAAGACGTGGACGTCACAGAAGCCGAATTGCTGGCATGGAATCCCTGGCTCGCTGGTGATTGTGATACCCAGCTTTACTTAAACCTCAATGAGAATGATGTGCGCTCAGTGTGTATTGGGACCGATACTAATGCAGCGACTATATCTACGTCGAGCACCTCAGCAGCTCCAACTCCAACCGATACTATTTCAGACTGCCAGTAATTCTACACTGTTGTCTCAGGAGACGACTGTTCAAGCATTGAGACGGTATTCGGAATCACTCTCGCACAGTTCTACGCATGGAATCCAAGCAGTAGGTCTCTCTCTACCCCCCCCCTTTGTCTTACCCCAACTGCCCCTAGCGTCCATGAAGAGAAAAAGAAAAGAAATAAAATAAGAAATACTCTAACCAAACCGAATAGTCGGCAATGACTGTACCAATCTTTGGCTTGATGAGGCATATTGTGTCAAGGGCCCAGCGACAACCGCAACCCCGACAGCAAGTGCTGTCCCGACACAGACAGGTATTGTGTCTATAGTGACGAGTACGATAACTTTGTGGAAGATGATTCGTGTGCGAACATCGAGAGCTTGTACAGTAATACGTTCGCGGAGCTATACGGATCGGATTGTGGTAATTTGTGGTTAGGGTATGCTGTCTGTGTGGGTGTTTCTTCATAGACACATACACATTAAGCTGATTAACGATACATTTGAATGAGAACCTTGGATGCTCGGTATTTGCTAAAATTCTGAGTATTCGACCTGAAACATTTGTATTGATAAAGAACTCTGTCGACACATGAAGGGATAACTTACCGCTAGCAACTGATTGGTTGCTGATGGGCCTACATTCGCTTAGTATTTCTTATGTAACTAGGCTGCTAGGCCATGATCAACTACATTATGGACTTCCCGCTCTACATTGAAGGGGCGGGCATATACAGAACCGAACGCTTCATGAGAGATCCACTTCAGCTCAGTCGAAAGCTATACCCACTCTATTCAGTATAGGACTATGGAATAGCAAGGCCTAAACAATGGCCCTGGGTCAGAAATCACGGAAAGAAACAGGATACAAGCACCACACATAGAAGTAGCAAAGACGTTCCAGAACATGCAAAGTACTTGCGCCAGCTCAGATCTTGGCGCCAGCCTTCCTTCTTGCCTCCTTCTCCTGATCACGCAGCAACCGGCGCAGAATCTTGCCACTGGGGCTCTTTGGAACCACATCTATAAACCTAACACCGCCCTTCAGCCACTTGTGCCGCGCTTTATGGTCCTGGACATGCTTTTTGATGGCCTCAGCAGCGGCCTCATCGGAGCCGGCAGAGGGCGACTTGACGACGATGGCCTTGGGGACTTCACCTGCGGCGTGGTCGGGGACGGCGATGACAGCACAGTCGGCCACGGCCGGGTGTGTGAGAAGATGTGCTTCCAGCTCAGCGGGTGCTACTTGCAGACCCTGTATATGCGGGTTAGCCTGCGGGATAGAGCCTATGTGCATACAGTTTCACGAACCTTGACCTTGATCAACTCCTTGATACGGTCAACAATGAAGACGTGCTCGGTGCCCTGGGGACCCTTGCGGAAAACTGCCTCATCGCCGGTACGCATCCATCCATCCTCAAAGGTTTCCTTGGTGGCCTTGTCGTTGTTCAAGTATCCCAATACCACACTGGGGGAGCGCACCACTAGTTCACCCGGGGTGTCGTAAGCTGTGATCTCCTGACCCTCGGGGGACACGAGACGGGCTTCGAAGCCAGGGAGCAAGCATCCAGACGAGCCCAGCACAATGTCGCCGGGATGTGTCGAGCTGACAACGGTACACGTTTCAGTGAGACCTGTGCATAGAATGTGAGGACCGAACTTAGTTTTGAAGGCGGTGGGGACTTACCATATCCCTGGCGAATGAGAACATTGGGGTAAACCTTCTGGAAATCGGCTGCGGTCTCCATACCCAATGGCGCTGCCCCCGAGAAGAGGGTCTTCATAGAGCTGAGATTATACTTGGAACAGATGTTCTGGCTACGAAGCATGTTGATGATGATCGGAGGGACCTTGCAGAGGTTAGCCGGCTTGGACTGTACCTTCCATTGTCAAATACAGGGAAAGACTAACCAAAAAGAGAACGCTGATCTTGAATCTCTGGATCGACTCAAGATAGGACTTGAGCTCAAACTTAGGTAGGACGATGACCTGGTCTCCGCGGTAGGCGCCCGCGTGACAGATGACGACCAAGCCGTAGATGTGGCTTTGTGGAAGAAGGCCGAGTGAGACCTCCGAATACACGGATCTTCCGTCCGCGGGTTGCTGGGAGGCACGATGGCTGTGCTCGAACGTCTTGATCTGCAGGGTGTTCGCGATGACGTTCCGATGGGAAATCATCACGCCTTTCTGGAAACAGGAGCAAATTAGCCCTGGTGACGCGAGACCTTTCCCTATTCCGATTATTCAACGTACCGGCAGACCAGAAGTTCCACTAGAATAGCACAAGAAAGCGGTTCGTCGTGCTCCCTCTCCAGGTCCCCACTGCAGTGGCTCCAGCGCGGGCAGCGTCTTGCCTGCCTCGGCCAGCTGGGAGAGAGACTTATATTCGGATGGTGGGTTGGCGCCACCCAGGAGAGGCTGAGGCACGTCAATCAGATAGATCTTGCTCTTGGGCAGGCCAGCCTGGGCGGCGCCCTCCAGAGCGATGGACAGGAGCGGAACGCAGGTGAACAAGGCTTTGGCGCCAGAGTCCAGAATCTGGTGCTTCAGCTCGGCGGCGGAGTATGAAGCATTGGCAGGCGACACAACGCCACCTAGTCGGTGCACACCCCAGAAAAATGGCAGCGAGTCAATCTATTGAGCAAACCGTCAGTCCTCGACTCGGCGCGTTAGTATATTTCGGCATACCGTATTCACGCTGAAGACTGCCAGAGTCTTATCGAACTCTGTGCCCTGATTCGGTGCCCATCCGAACTCCTTCGCGAGACCGCGTGCGATATGATCCACCCGAGCCACCACCTCCCGCGATGAGTATGTCTGGCCCGTTAAGCCGCACGTGTACGGATCCCTCGACTGATCGTGAGCAACTCGTCCATATGCCTCGTTCAACATGAATTCGCTAACGGGAATATCGTCTGGGACATGTCCCAGCGCAGCGCATCGCGGATCTGGGAGGAAAACCATCGTGCCCTTGGGTGTGCCGCGATTGCCTCACTAAACTAGTGTATGATCTGAATGCGAAGATGACGTTCTAGGCGACGCGCAACAAAAGCCGATCTACCTGGCCGAAAATCAATAGAATGAACAACGAACAACTGCAAGGCAAAGTGGAGGAAAAACTGGGGAAGTTCGAGGGGATAAAGCTCAACAGTCAGAGAAGGGATCCGGGGGAGAACCCCGTGCGGGGAACCGGCTACTCTGCAGCCAACCGAAAGATGACTGGGAAGCTCTTCGACATGAAGCCGCCGCCCCCCCTTACCGAATTGGGTTGCCGAGGGTCCGAGTGACGGAGCTCGGGCCACCGCCGATTCCAGGCCTCTTATAGGCCCGGTTGTGAGTTCTGGTCCAGCAGGGGTCGCCCCTCTCCGACCAGTGTGGGGATCATGACGGTACGGTGGAGCCTCGCGGGGATTTGGGCCGAGGCTGTTCGCGGTCCTCCGAGACGCTTCACAATAGCCGCGACAATGAGATTGCCGAATGGATTCTGGCTCGAACCATCGCCGATCGCGCAAAGTAGTCACATTGGGTTCATTGGTTGAATCAGTCTTAGGGATGCTTCGGCTGTCGGTTTCCGTCTAGCCCGGCTGGCACACGAGCGGACAGCTTACCCCCCTCCTCCAATGGCGTACAGCAACGCTTCATTTCCAAAATCTCCACTCCATCATTTTACACCGCGTCACCATTTTCGAACAGAAGGCTGTGGAGTCCGAATCCACAGTCAATAATCCACAGCGTAGCGAACCGGACAAACGGCTGCTGCTCAGTGCAATAGGTTTAATGGGGGCTTGGCATGCCGATTTTCCCGTAGCCTGGTTCGGCTTCCCTTACTGGTCCTCGGCCGACATTGACCCCCAAAGGCAGTTATTCACTATCGGGGCGAGAGGATAGAAAGAATGAGGATGATAGGGTGAGTAAAACTGGGGGTAAGGCCTCCACACGTGTTTCGCCGTTCCGGGCGCAATACGAAGCAGACCGTAATTCCCTGTCAGCTACGGCATAGCAGAGCTGAAACTGTCTGGGACAGGCGGGACATATGTGTCTGCATCTTCATTGTGGAATGGGATATGATGAGGGTCTACGGAACCATAATAAAGATAGTTTCATTAACTCATGATGATCATGGAAAAGTAGGGCCTTTCGAGTCGTCAGTCGTTCGCTTGCTGATCCGCCAGAAAAGGGCAGAGACCGCCAGAATGGGTATAAATATCCTCTCAACACCGAGTAAAATATGCAAGATGTGCTTCTAAACCCCTGAAAATGCCGAGAAGCCGGAATTCGTCACTGGCCGTTGTAGATCTGATCGCCCCGCAGCTCAAATTCACCTTTCCAGTGCTGCTCGGGGGGAATCAGTTCCGGCACAATGTACCGTGAGGTCAAAGCGAACCGCAGCCGCTGCTCGGGTATCACCGAATGCTACATCTGTCAGCCGAATAGCCCGCCAGCTTGCCCAAATGTGGCGCGCACAAACCTCGAAGTATTTCTGCAGATCGGCACCATGCATCACGACCATATCACCATGCTGCAGCTCTAACTTGATCATGTCCGGGGGGTTCGCGCGAGACTTCAGTGTTCTGAGCATTCCTTCGCGCTCTGCCCGGTATTCCTCCTCGGTGAGCTGGCCGGCTTCAAATTCATCCTTGAGTAGTCGCCGTTCTTGTTCTCCATTGCAGCCCCCCAGAACTGGATCAATGGCCAGGGGAACATTCGCCTTCGTGGCTCCATTGTAGTACTTGGCTTTCATGCGGATGCACATCTTGGACTTGGAACCTAGGGAAAGGGTGGCAATGGTTGGGCCAAGCGTGCTTTCTCCGTCGTCATGATACTAAAAAAAGTGTATCAGCTCAAAGCACTGGGAATAAATAGCCCACGAATAAGCTGACCCCAATCTTCATTCCCTCAAAGTAACCAAGAGCTAGCAGCTCATTTGGTGGTAGATAATCATCACCAGCATTGATGACGGCCTTTTCGGTCGCCCATGATAGGCGTCCCAGGGCAGCGAGGATGACAGGAGGAGCCCCACTAAATGCCCTGGAGTCTACTGAAACCACGTACTTATATGGCATGCCCTGTAATCTCAGTCAGTCATTTCCCTCACGATGGTGAAAGACAGTTGCTTTACATAGTTTACCACAAAGTGACCGGTAAGGGTGCCTCCCACTATCACAAATGTAAGCCTAAATCTGGTTTGATCTGACTGCGGAAGGCCTGATAACTTACCCACGGCCTGCGACAGCGGATACCGTCTGAGACCAAGGTCGACGTTTTGAAGATTCCTGAACAAGTCGTGTGGACCGCCTGGGCGCTCATTGATGCCCTTGTTGGAAACAAAGTGTGTAATTGATCCCACGCCTGGGAGAACATAGGTGCGTGTTTCATACGGCTTGCATGACTTCGGGTCAATTGATGGTTGGATACGGCAGGTCAATTGGTTCCGACCGTAGCTCTTGACGCCAGCGATGACTGTTTTAATGGAAACAGGAATAATATTCCTGAATGCCTGGTAGCAACAGGACTCGTGAGGTCCCAGTGCTGGATCGACTGAGCATTTCCAGCCGCACCACAGGATGCGCTGAAGGCACTTTTTGCAGTCGGGACACACAATGCCTCTCCACGCATTGCGATCCACAGTTCTATCCCACTCCCTGAGCTTTCTGTCTGCAGTGTTGACCAGAGGACCCGGGGCTGGCCTACCCGGCAATCCCAGGCTGCGGTAGCTCAGGAAGTCAGGATGATATGTAAGGTTGGTCGGATCGGCGTTTCCGATCTTCCAGAATTTCGAGCATTCAGGCTCAAGACACATCCATCCTTCCATGTAAATCTGGGTACTGGCCTTCCCGCATGTGCTACACATTTGGCTTGATGGCAACATATTGAAGTTGCGAAGGGCCAGAGGAGGAGGATCCAGGGAGCCGCGAGGTGCCCACCAGCTTTTGGTCGAGAGATCGAGTTTTTCAAAGCGAATCCGGAAGCCTGCGTGTGTTCCCATTCTTTCATGCCACACGTCTGTGATGCGGAAGTAGTCCATAACACAGTAGCGGTGCGGGAGTTCTGCGTGGAGAAGCTTGCTCTTCGATCCTAGATGTATATCAGTCAATCCTTAATTTACGGAATCCATGGGAATACAACAACTTGCCGATCACGAGGCCCACAGGCTGGTCAATGTTGAAGGCAGCCATGATAGCGGTGATAATGATACCGCCCCATTCCTGATCTTTTTTGAGAACCAGTTCGCTCTCTGAGACTTTTTCGCTATCTCCACCCCTAATTAGCTTAGCAGGTGTCTCCAAGAACAAGTAGGAAATGTCCAAAATCAGATGTTGAACTCACATGCGAGTAATAATGACTTCCTCGTCAAGGTAAGGGCGAGCACCATTGCACCCATCCACGAGGAAACCAAAGCATAGTTTGTCATGCTGATAGCTTCCTCCTTGTACGGAGCGGAACCATTCAATAGCATCACAGAGAGCCGGACGGGTCTACATAGTCAATCAGTAAATGAACGGCTAACTGGAGGTGGATCGCAGCATCAAATAATATCTTTACGGACATTTGCCCATGCAGGTGGCTCTCCATGAAAGGCTTTCATCTCATCTAGGGCCTTAGCCTGGCTTCTTGTAATCATCTCCGATAACTGTTGCTGTGCCTGAGCTGACAGTTTGCTTGAAGAGCGTAGGACTGACACGTTAGCGGGTACCCGATAAAACAGGACCGAGCGACGTGAGTCGTTACCTTTGCTATTGAGTGGTCCCTTGGACCTGGTGGTGAGGACGGGGGAGTAGGCGCTATAGTCTGAGAATCAAAAGTGACGTGAGTTTGAATTCGGTGCTGTATGGCCAGGACACCATGCGAGGATGCATGAGAGGAACGTGGTGAGAAAGCCTGTTTGATGGTTGTAACAAGTCTGTAAGTAATGTAATAGACAAGAGACGATGGAAACGGGATGAGTCGGATGTAAGGCGGATTGACGGATGTGCGGATGTGCGGATATATGCAATAAGGAATCGTCCTCCGAGGCCGCCGAGTGGGACGATCGAGTGGGAAATTCTGCCAGGATCCAGCATGGCCACCTTGACCGCCTCCTTGTTTTGGTATCAGGGAGGGCTCTGGGGCCAAGGCGGTCGGACTTTCTGCCGCATATGCTGTCCGCCAACTGTGAGCATTATAACTATGTACATGTCTGTAATATTTAGAAATACGTTGTAATACCATTGCACTATTATTGTATACAGTAACATCGGAAATAATGATATCGAAAAGCCCCATCAGCAGCAGCGACCTTGTCTGTAGATAATCGATGCAGGTTTTTCCCGGTACCATTACTTATCCTGACAGTTGCTCGCAATCGGCGTAGACCTTAGAGTTCCTAGCCAAATGTTTACAGAAAACCCCTGTCAGTAGTATCTCAATGTCTCACACTCTTGAGCCCAACAATTTTCATCGGGCTTTTCCTTACAATTCTAAACGACAAATTCACAAGGGCTTGCAAATTTCGCGGTGCATAATTTTTTTTTTTTGCCGCAATTATGTATTTGGTGTATGTTATTCGATGAACTATTGTGGCCTTAGGCTATGTAATGGTTCCTGGCTTCTATTACGAACATGAGGAGACAACAGTACCTAATTGGGACCTTCGAACATGTTTCACGTTATATCCCCCGATTGCATGACAGCTTCGCCTGCATATCAGAAATCAAAAGCTCGATTCGTTTGCTTTCTAAAACCCTTCATTGAAATAAGTGGCTTGCCTGGCCACTGAGGCGTCAGGCGGTGCACCCACTTTCCCTGGTAGGCGGGCGGGCGCAAGTGGCTGAGCCTCTCCAATCTCAGCCTTGCAACAGCGAAATGACGGTGGGGCAGTTTGGCCCCAAGAAGAGTTTCATCGGGTGTCAGCATGCAGGATGCGCTTATGGCAAGCAAACCCATGGCATGGCGAGATTTTGCATTGTCTGCCAGCAGGGCCGGGGAATATCCCAGGTCGGGAGTATATATGTAGAACTATATAACTCGAGCCACAGATGGGCTTGGCATCACGTAGATAATAAGCTAGGGTCCCCGAGGCTGTGCTTTCCACTTTGTGCCCGATATTAACTAAGTTAGCTGCATTGTGTTTATTAGTCAGAGAAGCTCGGAGGCTCAAAAGCGGAAGAAAAAAAAATTTAGGACCCCAAACAGACCTTCTCCCCATAGCTAGACAGCGCGCTTTCACGTCATCGGCCAGTTGTGCAGTCAGAAATGGTAGACACGAGCGTAGTTACTCAGCCCGACTACGGAGATTTCGGGGGCGAAAGACCCGAGTAATTTGGCGGTGAAACTAGTGTAGCTAGACACAGTCAGTTCCTCCAAGTAGGATAGCATACCCTGTTGTTAAGGGAAGAAGGGAAGGTTGGGGATTGGGTTGATCCTCCGATTCCAAATCCACGGTAAGCCCTCCAACCCGCGCCTGAACCTGAATGAACCTGAACCACTTCCCCTCGCCCCTAGGGCCCGCTGATATTATTCCTCCTCTCCGCATTCCTCCTCCTCTCCTCGGCTCTGTCCACCCTTCTTTCCCACCCCCTTCAACTCTATCGTCGCTCGTTTCTTGGGGGATGCCCACAGCGCGCTGCTCCCCGGCAGTTCGTCACCTGCCCGCGTCCCCCTCATTTCGACGAGCCTGATTGCGACCTGGCGTCGTCGCTTTTCGACGACACCTTGACTGCCGGCCTGGTTCGACACTCGCACCGGGGTCTGAGAGATCCGCATCGCGCACTCAACCAGATCGATTGATTCCTGGGGCTTCCTCTTATCTGCCACAAGGATGGCGGACCCAAACGGTTACCAGGCCTACTACGGCCAGCCTAGCAACCCGCCGGCCAGCTCCCAACCAGCAACCGGTCGCCACGAGACGTACAACCCCCAGCAGCACCCCGCTCAGAACCAACAGCTGCCAAGACGTATGCCAAGCTACAACGCCGGGGATGATTCTCAGCTCTTCAACGCCTCACGGGTCCACAATGCGCGACCGACCGACGCCGATGCGAGATACTCGGTGCAGAGTAGTGGATATGCGGGCGGCGTGGGACAGGGAAGCTACAATAATGCCGCCGGAGGATACGAGGATGATCGTGAATCGTCTGTGTTTTCGCGCACTCCATCTGACCAGTCGCGCATGTCGCCCACTCGCGCCTCGTCGCACACGAGCGTCTCCAGTTACGGGTACCGATACCCCGGATCGTCAAGCCAGCCCGCGTACAATCCCCAGCAATATGGCCTCCCACAATCGCAGACGCAGCCGAATCTCAGTTATAACCCCTTGAACTATACCACTTCCAGCAATAATGCGTCCTATACCAACACCGTGTCAGGTCATCAGCCGTATAATCCCGCCGCATACCAGCCAGCGGGCCTGTCACCAAATCTCGCACGACGACCCAGTGAGGTCTCGCACTATGGACAGACTCCCCCGACCCCGCAGCCCTATGGGTTCGTCTCGCAGCAACCGCCAATGCCCCCTCCTCGTGGACCGGACCATCCCTACGGAAGTCGAACTTCGCCTTACGGATCGTCGCCTGTTAACTCGAACCAGGCGCCTATGAATGCTGCTCCCACCTCATATCAACCAGTTTCATCGCCAACTACTAGCACCTTTGCGACCTCGAACTCCCCATCTAGCGCCTACCTCCCTCAATCTACGTCCCGTCCTTATTTTCCTGTTGCAGCAGGCTTTGGGTCAGACTCGCCGTACCCTACTCCTACAATCCCTCCTGTGAGCAGCAGCTATGACGACCAGCCCCCGGAGCCACCGGCCCATCAACCACAAGGAAATGGGCTCTATGGCAAACGGACCGGCATGCCCCATTCTGCTTCCGCGCGGACTCTGCCCACGCCCCCTGTGCAACAAGATCTACCATTTCTGCCTCCCAGACGAACGGACACACTAACCAGGCATCCACAAGCACGACCTTTGCCGGGCCCGCCGGTCGATGCCGAATTTGACATGAATGAACTCTCTCATTCTGCTCGGTCGAGCACCATGCATAATGATGAATTGATGAAGGAACTTGAGTCTGCAGTGATGGACACACAGGCGACTTTCAACCAACGTCACAACTCTAGGGGTTCATATAACGGCTCGGGATCGAACATACGCTTATCGCCCGACGAGCAGCATACTCATACCAACGGCAACATGTCAGAGATTCAGATCAACTATGGCGCTTACAGTGACGATAGTGAGGCGGAGGCTGAAGCAGGGCTTGCTATGTTGCGCATGGCGGAAGAGGAAGACCAGGCTCGAGAGGAGCGAGAGAGGATGCAAGGTCGCACTAGACGGGAGACAAATGCTTCGGTTATCAGCGCTCGCTCACATGGCTCTCAGACATCAGCCAGAGGGCCTTCTTCGCAACAAGCATCCCCGAGACAGCCTTCTTCACGTGGCCCTTCCCCACACTCGACTCCTTACGAGGATGACGAATTCATTGGTCATGATCTCGCTCTGTACGAGGGAGGTTACCAAGGGAATCTACATTATGGAGAGGAGCCTGCGTACAGCTCTGAGGAATACCCAGACCCTGCTGCTGGAGGAGGATTCCAACGTACCCATGACTCTTTCAGAAGCTCCAATCTGTCCCCCGACGAACACGGGGAGTATTACGATGACTACGAGCACCCGCCAATTGCGTACCAGTATGCCAACCGCCTACACCACCCTCCCTCCGATGCTCGTGTCGATGCTGGAGGCACCGGGGGTCTCTCTGCGCCCGGGCACTATAGCCGACGAATGAGCTTTGATTACGGCGAAGACGGTGACAGTCCGTACGAGCATCAGCAAGAGAGAGATCAGTCGGGCGACGAAAGCCCCCACGGTGGCGTGCCCGAGGATCTCTTCTTCCACCCCGGCATGCGCCCACTGCCACCCGCACCCGTCGAGCCCGCTGGTGGTGCTGACCTGTACACCCACCTGATGCCCGCAGGCACGTACCGGCCGCCGGAGCAGGATGAGATGCAGGGTAATCAACAGTATAGACATCCCTCTTCTATCGCGACGTCCGTGGACTCGTATGGAGAGCAGTTGCTTAGTCCATCCCAAGTTCCACGGTCGTCGTCTCTTTCGACACCCATTGGACCTCGTACTGATCCGCCTATGAGATCGAAGACCGATGCGGACCGCGTTAAGTACAGGCAGCAGCAGCAGGAGCTCCTCTGGCAGTTGCAGCAAAAGGATCTGCCCAAGATTGACCCGGCCGAGGAGGCTGCTACTGTGGCACTAGATCTACCGGCTATCCCCGCGGCACGGCGCAAGAAGTTCAATCTTACGAAGCTCTCGTCGGAGCAATTCAAGAAGTGTGCCGAGCCGTGGGCGCTCAGCTCTATTTTAACTTGGATCAAGGAACTCAGTCAGGATGAGGCCGATCTTCGGGAGCAGGCTGTTGCCGATGCGATTGTGGCGTTGTTTACGCACAAAGTACCAACGATGAACATTGCGGATGCTGAGACGCTGGCGGCTCGGGTGGTGAGCAACATGCTTAAGGAGGAAGCATTGGTCAAAGAGGAAGAATGGGTCAAGTTCAGCAGTGGGCGTATATCTGGTGTCTTGTTCCAGATCACGGGAACTGGTTGCTACTCGCCTAAGCTGCATGAACAGGAGATGCACATCCAGGACACTGATTCATATGGACGCTGCTACTCTCATCACTGCATGCGAACTTTGAAGAAGGTCAACCTCAAGGCACAGATGATGGCACCTCAGAAGAAGGTAGAGGACTGGGTGACCTTCTATAAGGTGCCCAAACAAGTATGGGAGTCCCACCCGAAGAAGGAGGTCGACCGGCAAAACAATCTGCACGAGATTGTGACCACGGAAGATGCCTACATCGGACAGCTGGACGTCTTGCGTGAGCTTTACCGTGACCAACTGGCCAACATGAATCCCCCCATCATTCCGGCTAAACGACTGAGCAAGTTCTTGAACGACGTCTTTGGCAAAGTCGATGCAGTGAAAAAGGTCAACGAAGACTTTTTGTTGGCACAGCTCAAGTATCGTCAGAAGGAGCAAGGGCCCTTTATCGTAGGATTCAGCGACATCTTCCGCGAATGGATTCGCAAGGCGAAGAATGTCTACATCGACTATGCTGCTACCTTCCCGCATGCCAACCACTTTGTGCGCCGGGAGTCTGACCGCAATCCACAGTTCAAGTCTTTTTTGAACCAGGTGCGCGAGCACAAGTTGTCAAACCGTCTGAGTTGGGATACTTTCCTGAAAGCTCCGATTACCCGGATCCAGCGGTATACACTGTTGCTTGCCACTGTGCATAGGAATATGGTCAAGGACTCCGAGGAGAAGAGTAATCTCGCGCAAGCTATCGACGAAATTAGGGTTGTTGCGTTGGAGTGCGACAACAAGGTCGGCGAGCAGAGCAAAAAGACGGACCTGATGGATCTTGCCAGCAAGCTCCAGCTGCGACCGGAAATGCAAAAAGAAGTCGAGCTCAACCTGGACCACATGGGCCGGGAAGTCGTCTTCCGGGGCGACCTGCAGCGACCCGGTACGCGGACTCGATTCCTTGTCGATACGCATGCTATTCTCTTCGATCACTATCTTGTTCTAGCCAAGTCTTTCACCGCACGAGATGTCTCGCGAGTTGGCAAGTATGAGCGGTATGATGTCTCTAAACTGCCCATTCCAATGGATCTTCTGGTCCTGGAGAGCACCAAAGATGACCCCGTGATAAAGTCGTCCGTCCGTGGTGTCTCAACTGTCACCCCTGCGCAGGGTGGTGTAAGCCCTCTGGCCCACACGGGTGGCCCTTCTGCTAACGGTGCTGGTGTCACCCTGGACTCGAAGGACGACAAGATCCTGTACCCGTTCAAGATCAAGCACCTTGGTAAGAACGGCACATACACTCTGTACGCATTCTCAGCGAACAGCCGCGTTGAATGGTGCGAGAAAATCATCGAGGCGAAGACCAAGCACGCTGCAGCTCTGTTCTCGCAGAACGCCGAACCCTTCCGGCTGCGGGTTCTTGCAGATACGGCGTTTGCGTACTCCGATCATACGAACGGGTCGAAAAGTGTTATGATAAAAGGCACTCCACTGCACCGTGCTATCAAGGAGGTTGAGAAGAAGTATGAAACTGGGTCACGGCCTTCGCCTGTGTGCAGGACTGGTGTGAATTGCGCGACTGTCTTCCAACAACCCCCTGGTAGGATGATGTGTGCTGTTGGTACAGACTTTGGAGTGTACATGTCTGATCTTAGTAACCCGCGGGGTTGGTATCGAGTAGGTGTCACTACTCTATTCTTTTGGGGGCTGCTCGCTGACGACGATTTCCAGGCTATCCCCATCATGCGGGTCACGCAGGTGGCTGTCTTTGAGGAATTCAACCTGTTTTTGCTCATTGCGGATCGCTCTCTGATCGCCTACCACCTTGATGTGGTATGTCCTGCGAGTGGCGTTTCCTCGCAATCGCAGGACTCTGCTCGCCGGGCACCACAGAAGCTCTCCGGCAACCGCGAAGTGGGATTCTTTGCTGCAGGCCGGATGAAAGACCGCTACCTGGTTTTGTATAAGAAGCGTGACGGCCTGTCCTCTACATTCAAGGTCCTAGAGCCCATCCTCCAAAAGTCCGCTTCCAGCAAAAGTCGCCTGTTCCAATCCCGCCGCGCCCAAACCGAGTTCTTCCGCGAATACGACGAATTTTACATCCCCGCCGAATCCTACGGCATCAACATGTTCCACTCATCCCTAGCCATCGCCACCCAGCGCGGCATCGAGGTCCTCACCCTAGACAAGAAGCAGTCTTGGTCCGTGCCAGACTTCCGCGCCGCAACCCCGGACGCCACCGACACGCTCCACAGTATTGCCCAGCGCATCAAGGATCTCCGCCCGCTGGGCATGTTCCGGCTTAGCGACAGCGAGTTCCTGGTAGCGTACCAGGAATGTGCCGTGTACGTCAACAAGCACGGCGACGTGTCGCGGAGTGTGGTCATGGAGTTTGTAGGCAGCGCCCATACCGCTTGTTTGCATGGAAAGTTCCTCATCCTGTTCAACGAAGATTTCGTCGAGGTCCGCAACGCTATGAATGGTCGGCTGCGGCAGGTCATTCCGGGCCATAATGTGGTCTGCCTGGATGACGGGAGCAAGTTGCCTGGCTCGTTTGGCCAGGCTGCTGCTGGCAATATGAGCGGGTTCTCCGGTAATGCCAATGGTGTCTCTTCTGGGACCGCCGGGCATACTGTGAAGATCTGCATGCAGCATCCCGCATATGAGCGCAGTCAGATTGTTCTCGAGTTGGTTGAGAATGAGGGCCAGAAGGATTAAATCACCCGCTATTGCCCTTGGATTTGCTTTTCATCTCCGCCTCCAACTCACAAGGGCAGCTTCCACGCTTTGTTCTTACACAAAGTTTTGTTACCCTATTCTATACCTTTGTCCCCTTTTCTTCTACCTACTTTCTTCTTCTTCGCCTTTACCTTCCTGCAACCTTCTAATTTCCCCCTCCTTCCCTCTATTGCCTTCCCCCTTCTCTGTTCATGTCTTTCAAAATGTCTTGGTCCGAAGGTATCCATGAAAGATTCTTTGCATGCATTGGCATTTGGTCATCTTCTTCTCGTCCCCGTTTTCTCGTGGCACTTCTGCAGAGCGCTGTTTTGATGTCATTGTTGTACATAGAAATGTCAGTGTGCCATCTTACGACTCTTAATGATTTATTACCATTTTCTATTAGTGCTTGAACTTGGGTTTCCAATCTATCTAATTGGCATTTTTTGCAACAATATCATATTTATAGACTGCGGGGTCCACAGTCCGGAGGGTAGCTGATATCTAGCGATAGTTGTGAAGAGGTTGGATCTGTAGTTTGAATTGAAAGAGTCTCTTTATGGAAATATCCACCTAGCCTCTGGCTCTGACCTCATAACTTCGCCCCAAGACGAATGCACCAAACACAAATGTAGAATTGCACATCGACAAAGCTAAAGCACCAAAGAAACAAACGCAAACGAGGATATATCACACATAATGCCCACCTCCCCGGCCGCCACCAAGCAATTAAGCAGCCGGAATCGGACGAGGCATCATTTTGATTCAAACTCGACAACCTTGCTTACAACCTCGGTGTCAGATGCTAATGTAGGTAATCTCGCCGCATGGCTGCTGGCCTGGCTGGATGCCTCTTCTTTGGGGCGAATACTGATGTCCTCGGCCTCGGCGCCTTCCAAAAGGTCGCGGTCAGCCTCGCGGACGCTGCGGCGCTCCGGGTCCGCGCCGTACGCGCCGGCGCCCCAGCTGGAGATACCGCCCGCCATAGCGGCCGTAGAGGCACTGCCTTGACGGGAGGGGTAGTCGTCCTCGTCATCTTCATCATCGTCTTCGTCGCGGCCGCCCAGAGCGTTGCGCTCGAGGTCGCGTTGGGCGTCGTCCATGCGCTTCTTGACTTCGGCGGCCATTCGGATGCCGTCGGTGACGATGTTATCGAGGACGCCGCGTAGGCCCTTGCCGGGAGGAACGATGCCGCCGGAGGCGCCGGCGACGGATGCACCTGCGACGGTAGAAACGGAGGGGCGGGCGCTGCCGATGTTGGAGAAGGTAGTGAGATGGGAGGAAAGGGATGAGGATGCGGCGAGGGCAGCGGGGTGGGGGTGGTCGGAGAGATGGAATGATTGGGGGAAGTACGACTCGAAAAACTGTTCCAAGAGCTCGTCGGCCAGGACGACCATTCGGAAGGTAGGAAGGGTGATGTGCAGTGGGTTGTTGGGGTCTAGAGCTTGGTTGGCGGACTCGGACCTGGGTCGATGCTGCTCGTTCGATTCCTTGGGCGACGTCTCTCCTGTTGGCGATGTTCCGGGCTCGGATTCGCCTTCAACGTCGATCAGGTCCTCTTCGTCATCGCCGATGGCGAAGGAACCGAGCTTCTCCGCTGCTTCTGTGGGACCGTCTTTGGTGGTAGCGCTCTGATTCTCGGGATGGCTAGGATCGGCGTACTCGAAGCAGCGACGAATGAACGCGCTGACACTACCTAGGAATCTCTCATCGGTGGTGAGTCGGTTCTGCTCGGCATGATCACGATTCCGGGGGTTGCTCAGGTCCTCCACGGACTGAGTAGCAGTGATAGTTCCTTCGAATCCACGGCGAGAGAGGAAAAGCAGCGCCTCAGAGATTTTGAGAATCCCTTCCCGGTCAACTTGACCATTCCCACTGTCATCATAGAGGTCGAAAAAGTAGGAGATGTTGTTCATGATATCCGGCGATCCCTTGAGGCGCGCCAGGCCATTCACCACATTCTGCAGATTTAAGCCCTCTTCGGGGTCACAAGCCCACTTGCGGTACAGGCGTTGCATGAACTCATGATCGGCCGGTTGGCGTCGGTTGGCCCACAGGAGTGACTTGCCATTGCCCCTGAAGCTGCTGTAGCCGGAAGCGGCCGGGTCTTTTCTGGCGGGGGCAGGAGAGTCAGAAACAGCCCATTTAGACGTCGCAGCCAAGAACTCTCGGAAGGCATCATAATCCATGTGAGTAGGGCTGGGTCCAAGACCGACACGGCCGACTTCCCGGTCCACAGGCGGTCCGAGGATGGATTGACGTTCGGTTTTCTTCTTTTCATGACGTTGCCTCTCTTCCTCAACGAGCATCTGATGCTGTTGCCATTGGTATAGTGTCTCGTAGAAGCGGTCATAAATCATGCCCAGGTCATCCACGCTGAGACGCTTGCTCTCAGGGCCGAGATTGCGGATGGAAGTGCGCTTGGCAAAGCTTTCAATGTTCTCCAGGACAGCATCCTTGTGCCTCTCGCGCTGCTCGATGATGGTGCTGTGCGTGATGCCAGAGAACTCCTTGAAAGCCACGACCATCAGCTCCTGGAATCTGGTGATAGCGCGCAGCTTGGGGTTCTCCGATCTGGGGTGAGCGGATTCATCCAGGCGAGAGAAGTATGACTTCAGGACGGAGATGAATGATCCGTCGTCCTGGATGTCAAGAAGCTCTTCGCCGTTGATGCGAAGAATAGCCAGGCCGATCTGGAACAAAACCTTGGGGCCTTCCAAGAAGAAAACATCCAAGACACGGAAGGCAAAGACGAGGGGCATCGAGTTGATATACAGGGAAAGGAACCAAGGGAGGGAGACGACGGAGAGCTGTACATCGGATTTGGCAAGGTGTTCCCAGAGGATGGGCATGGTCTTTTCCACCAGGGACTCAAAGACCTTTTGGTCAAGAAGGGTTCCGTACATGGTGGTGGAGTAGTAGCCAGGGAGAAGGCGATCACAGAGTACAGAGAGCAGGAAAAAGGCCTGGGCCTCGGACATATATCTATTCAGGTTAGCGAATCGCGTCTTTTGTTTATCGAAATCAGAACGGCCAGACTAACATCAACAGTGCGGCGACGACAATGTTCATCGCTTGACAATAGCCAATCTCTGCATTCGTCCAGCTATACGCTGTCAGAACTCGTCGCAGTCGCCCAATGCCCTCTTCACTTTGAAAGCCCGGGTACTCGGGTAAACTGCGATTCAAGTCTTTCTCAATCTCGTCGATGGCAAGAGACTCTTGGCCGTGGAATTTGGCTAAAGTCTCCTCGTACAACTTGGGCGATCGAATGCGAAGGAACATGGAGCCAGACGTGAGCTCCCAAATCTCTCCTCGCAACCGATTTGGCAGACCAACTCGGATCAGTTTGTGGAATGTGGGTTGTCGAACAAGAGTGGAATTGCGGCCGTTTTCTGTAGCACAGTTTGATTAGTATCAACCAAAAGCAACATAGCTGAGGGATAATCAGCTTACCGCGGAAATATTCTCCCCAGAGTCTCATCTTGCTTCGGTCTCGAAGCTTTCGAGCATCACCAGGATAGCGAAAGAGCATGCCCAACCCAGCATCCGGGGGTTGTCGACCTTCACCCTCATTCCCTTCTTGCGCCTTGGCTTTGGCACCAGAAAGCAAGTATTCCGAGTAGCAGTCTGTAACAACGCTTCGCAAATTATCAACCTCCTTCATGGCCTCCCGCAAGCCCTTCTTCAGACAATCGCAGAACCGCTCGCAGGCCTGCCTGCTGCCGACAAGCTGGAGAATGAGTCGCTGGGGGGTGAAGTGGGGCTCTTGCTGCTTGTGTAGCAAGCCGTTCCATGTTGTCAATGCCAAGGAGAACACATCGCGAGCACTGTGAAGCCGTTCTACGCGACGGATGCAGGAGAGTGGCAAAGTAAAGCCATTGCCAGAAGGTCCTGTGCCATGTGTCTGTCCAGTCCAATTGGTCGAAGCACTCAATGTCGACGAGGGCAGAAAGCTGGTTGGTTGTGTCGAGAAGGAGATAAACCGCTCGCTGAGGTGCAGCCGGCCCGTGTAGCGATTGCCAGCCCGGTCAACACGGCGAGTCTCGTCTCCAGAGTTTGCGGACGAGTTTGGTAGAGGGAGGATGAGTTCGGCAGTGATCTCCTGCAGGGGATTCTGGGAATCAGGCAGGCGGAACTGTTGGCGGAATAGTGAAGCCTTGGAGGGACCGTTGTCTGACGAGGAGAGGGAGGGAATATTGAAGTTGGCTGGGTCAATGAGTGACGAAGCCTTCTGGACAAAGGAGGAAAGCGACAGCATATTAGGCAGTGGTCAATCCGAAGCGGACCCAGCGTGCCTTGTGGAGGGTGCGGGTATCCGATGATGTCGGGGGCGGAGCTAGAGCTGCGATCCGGTACGGCTAGCTAATCAGCGCCGGAAGTATGCAGGACAGCCCGTTCTTTGTTCGAATGAAAGCTCAAAGATCATTGTACTGTCCCAATCATCCTTGGCCGAGCACTTGCAGCTGCAGCTCGGGAACGTGGGGATGGGCGTTGTTGTCGGATCGATAAGAGGGGGGGAGGTGAAGCCCGGCCCATCACGTGATTCTCTCCGCCTGATAGGGCTGATATACGAGACAAACGAGGCCGTTGTTTCAGACTTGGCTTTAATTAGTTTCGTATTACTTTCCCAGCAGTCGTTCTGCAGGCCGGTTGGGCTTTAGGAAGTTCTATTGATTGTGGACCTATTACTGTGCGTAATAAATGTATTGAGAAGGAAATTCGCTGTACAAGCTGGGGACATCACAAGAGTAATAAGAGAAACAGAATGGTAAAAGACATGGGTCATGGAAGTGAATCAAAGCTCAGCTCAAAAGGATGATAGCATTCTCACGTTTGAATTCAACGAAACAGCGCCCTCCTGATCTTGACTCCGGGTATGATATGGGTATTGAGTTCTGATTGATCAGACACGGGGGTATTTCGGGTATGGAACATTTAAGGCTTGTCAACAGAATCCCGACGAGAGGAGGACTCATATGCAGGGAGAGTATCCTCGGAGGCCTCGGAGGCCTCTGAAGACTCAGAAGTCTCAGAAGTCTCAGCCATCAGACCCTGCTTCTCACAGGCGTCACCCTGCTCCCAGGCAGCCTTGTGCTCCTGGGGCTTGGTGCCACGGTAGCGCTGCCAGAGGAAGATAATGGCCTGACCAACAAGCATGCCGACAGCGCTGGCAGTCAGGCCAGCTAGGACACCGAGGATGGCGGGCACAACAATGAAGCGTACCACGCGGGAGAAAGTGTGGGCGAAAGCGCCGTGGGGAGGAGGCGGGTGGTGGCCATGGTGGCCATGGTGGCCATGAGGAGGGGGAGGGGGGCGATCGCCCATCTCAGCACCGAAGTCACCACCCTCAGGGTGGTGATGATGGCGGTGGTGCTCCTTGTCATCGAGGCCCTCAGGGCCTTCAAATCCAGAGAAGGGGGTAATGCCCTCGGGGACGAACTCGTCATGGTGCTTGGGAGGGCCATGGTGGCCTGCCATGCCCAGCATGCCCTTGTTCTTGCCACAACCCTTATGACCGCCCTTACGACCGCCCTTCCCAGCCATGCCCAGAACACGGTTCTTGGCTGCGGCGAGGAGACCACGGACGCGAGCGACCAGCAGCTGCTGGAGGCACTTAGGCTTGCCGTTGCACTTCTTCCAGGACAAACGCTCGGCGGGAGGGGTGGTCTTCTCGATCTCGGTCTTGGCGATGTAAAGCTCGCCAGTGGGGTCCTGGATCAATGTGATAGCGACGGTGTCGACCGGGACGGGGTGGGACTCGAGGTCCAGAATGGTGAATCGCACATCGAGCAGCTCGGTGCCGGGGGTGTCATCGGGGGATCCCAGCGGCATCACCTCCAGGGCGTACCCAACGGGCATGGGGCCCGCGGCCTCGCCGTCTTCGAGCTCTTGAATGGCGAGGACCGGGCTCGGGGGAACAGGAGGGAAGATCTGGCGGCCGTTGGCCAGCAGTCGGTTCTCTTCGATGGAGAAATCCAGCATCTGTGTTGTTTCATTAGTCATTTGTTCGTGAGGACTGCGCCAATCGCATCTCCCCCGTCCGACCTACCAAAGTCGATGGCTTGCCCTCGGTCCAGCTAACCGCACCCTCCTCGTTGTCTTCGCGGAAAGGGCACTCCTTGCAAGGCAAAGCGACCACCACATTCCGGATATCCTCCAGCAGCATCGGGTGAACATTCAAGAAGCCATCCTCAACCGCCTCCACCTGCGGTTCCATCTCAGGGACGACCAGCATTGCGCTGGCGCCCAGGGCGGCCGCGCCACCCAACAGGATGGAACGAACGAACATGGTTTTGTATTTGGGGGGTGTAAGTGAGTAAAGAGCGGACGTCGGAGACAACGAAAAGAGGTTTCAGTGGGAAAAGGCAGTCATTTGAAGAAATTGGGATGGCCAAAAAGTCGTCGTCGTCGTCTTTGTGGAGGGGAAGAAAGGGAGTACGATGATCAGTCCTCAGCCAGTCTTGTCTTCTTTCGGCCGCATGGGGCGAGCCAAGTGGAGGAGGGTGACGCCAGCTTGCTGCGTGGCACCCGCGGCCATTGGCGGGCCGTGTGACAATACAAGACATACATGATACCATTGTGACACTATCAGACTTTGTTATCTGCGTTGGCTTCCGCTCTGCTTGGGGTCCCCCGAATCAATCGCACTATCAGCACGCGTATTTCCATGACAGACCTTCCACACGCCAATCCCCAAAAGGCGCCTAGCCCCGAATAGCCCAAACAACCCGAACGGCCGAACACGACCACCTCGACCGGGGCATAACAAGTCCAACATGACGCTTCTCACCCGAGCAGCGACCGGTCGAAGTCCATCCACTTGGATATGCCGAACTCCACCGAGCCCATCCAGCCCATCTCCGATGCATGTGGGTTGCGCAAGTGCTGCATGACCTCGACGGGCAAGTCGTTCAGGCTCGCCCAACTGTGCCACACTTTGTATTGCCCATAGCTGTGCCACAGCCACATCGCGGTTAGGGTTGGGTACACAAAATACTTGGGATGCTTGTAGTGCATGTAGTCCAACCACTCGATGCCGACCGGGATAACCTCCTTCACAACCGCCTTGATCGCCGCCACCGCTGCCACTACCTTCTCGTAAGCAACTTGGCCAGTCATGTCTGCCAGGGGTTTCACTTGGTGTGGCCACATTCCCGGAATGCGCCGAGGGGAGTGTTGACGCTCTTCCTCTGGCGTCCGTGGCAAATCACCGACAGACAAGGACCGCAGCTTAGCTTCGGGGCGTTGTGGTCGTTCGCGTCCCAGTCCTGGTGCCTGCGACGAGGAGGCAGCCGGGTTGTTTGGCCGCGCCAGCAGCGCATCTCTGGCGTCGATTCCCTCAGAATGGGGTTTCCTATCGATCGACTTTCCCCGAGTATCCACCTTGGGAGTGGGACCCCGGGCCGGTTCGTCATTCACACCGTGAGGGTGTGCCGGGCGGGGTGAAGACGTGTCCTGGCCAGTGTCGCGAGTCTTCCGCCGCTTGTTCAAGATAGGCCCATCTGGTTGTTCGTAGGTATCGTCGTCCGCATCGGAATCGCACTGAATCGGCGGCGCAAACCGAACACGCTTTCGAGATGGTACCGATGCCAATCTATCTCCATCTCCATATCCGTTTCCCAACTGTGGAGCGCAGAGTCGCGGGGGGTGGGGATGGATCCGTACGGCTCGAGCCCGAGCACCTCGATCCCCGTCCGCGCGTGGACAAGTTCGATGGATTCTCGCTGCGCTCTAGTAGGAACAAAAGATTCCAACATGGGGCTGAGATTTAATTCTTCTTCCCTGTCAGAACTCGAGTCGGCTGCTGAGCTGTCAGAGGCCAGGCGACCCTTGGATCCCCACCAACCTGGGTTGTTATAGAGGGCCGAGTCCTGGCGCTGACAGAGACTCAGATTGTCGACACCTACGCGCGTCTCTGCAACGGCGATAGGCTCCCTGTCCTGGTCGATGTAGCCCCATTGTGGCCACTCTTCCGCCATGGATTCATGTCCTCCAGGTCGAGCTTGGTCATGCCCGAAGTCGGCGCTTGGAACCGAGTCACCGCTTCGCCAGCATCCGTGGACATCATACATGAGGAAGTCGCTGCGGACCTCTTCGATCAGGGGTCTGAGCGGCGCCAAGGGGCCCAGTTCATCTTGCGGGAGCTCTGCGAACACTCCTTGCCCGGCAAACGGTTGGCCGGCATTCATCGTGGTGCCGTCCGTGGGAGGCTGGAGAGCGGGCTGGCGGGATCTGGTTTGTCGAGGGCGTCGTATACGATGCGCCAGGCGCCATGTGGTCGAATCACTGTCGGACTCCGATCCTGACGGCCGATCCTTACGTCTTCTGCTGGCTTGGGCTAGTTTCCTTTGCTGGCGAACGTAGTTCTGTGCAGTTCGAACTTGTGCGAGTTGAAAGAGCAGGTTGACGTCGTCGTGGAAGCATTGCATAGCATCGACACAGTCTGCAACCACCTGTCGCAATCCGTGGAGCCTCTCTTCTTGCTCCCACTTGTGCTGTTCGAGATACTGTACCAACGCCGCCCAATCCTCGGCGTTCTTGTGAAAGAGAATGCCATACTCGTTCACATCCTTGCAGGCCATAGTGAGTGACTGTTCGAGATGCCACGCTCTTTTCTCCATCAGCTCCATCTCTCGACGGAGCCCGCCATCTCGTGCGGCGGACCGAGCTAGAACTTTCGCATGGGCTGCCTCCAGTTCCCGGTTTTGCTCTCCGACAAGATCGATCCAGCCTTCGTTGTTTTGTCCACGCACTCTTAATTCGGAAAGCGACTCCTGTAATTGGAGGACCTCTTTCTCGCTTGCGAAGGCTCGGGATTCCACCTTGGCGATAACAGCCTCGTACTCGTCCTGCCGCGCGACCAGCTCATTATGGGATGCTCTCAGCTTGTGGGCATCGGTTCGTTCGGATTCGTGCACTCTTCTTTCATCATCGATGGCCTGCTCGAGCTCCCGCTTGGGGATGTTTTTGATCGACACCCTCTCTTGCTCCTTTGCTCGGGCTATCCGTTGACTGCCGCGAATATCCGCGGTCGAGTACCCGGAATCATTGCTGGGAACCTCGGAGCGAGGAAATGCGGAAGAAGAGGAAGAGGATGCCATAGGGTGGTTTTTATTGGATAGAATGGGCTTGTTTGGACTAATAGAAATAGTCTTGATCAAGTGGCGACTATACACCTTCACACGGGGGATTGTCCAGCAAGGGATACTGGTCAACGGGATGGTGGACGCGTGGGGGCTTCGAGGTTCTTGTACTAATCTTCGACGGTGCGTATTTCTATAGACACCATTGTCTAGTGGTCGTGAACAAAGCATTTGAAAGGGGAAAATACGAAGAAGATATCTTTGACAAGTGACCCTCAGACCACCTATCTACCATGAATAAACCCCCAGCATTGTCGCCGGGCCTCGGGTTGCTTAGTTCGGCGCCTCCCAAGATGATGCATCCGTACATCGCCGAATACTCTTGTATATATAAACTTGTGGACATCAAAAGATATGCAAATATTCGAGCAACATAACAGATGCTTAAATAGCCTGTTCTGTTGATATGCACCCCGAACGTACACCTTGACAGGGGACACACCGTTGACGCAATGGACGTCTCTTTGTTGATATATTTTTAACCTTTATTTGGCCCCCACTGCAAAAATAGAATCCACCACTGGAGAACTCCCCCGGGATCGCCCGCGTGGGTACCAGAGAGAACATATTACTCTAATGAAGGAAAATGATTTCTTTGTATTTGAAGTGGGCTTTTGAGTCGTGTATTAGTCTTACGATTGACTTGTACGGTACCTAAGACTATCTTCAGCGTACCGGGGCAGCTTTGACGGCTGTGGCCGGCCGGATAAAGGAGATGTGCGCGTCTCGGTGGATAGCCCCGCCCACGCGTCCACTGGGTGGAGCCAAAATTTTGGTTTCCCTCTGGACATTTTGTCCGGAGGGGAGAGATCAAAATATGATTTATTGCCATAGTAATGATGATGACTGATGACTCAAAACGGAACCGAGAGAAATTAACTAATCAACCGGAATGGGCCAAAGCGAGAGGGAAAAACGGGACCGAGAAGAAAAGGACGATACACAGAGCAAAGGACAGTAAAGCTGACGAGTGCAACATGGAAGAACGATTCCCCAAGCCGATCACTGATCCAACCAGCCCTTCAATTCCCCGATATTTGGGCACTCAATAAAAACAGAACTCTTCACCTCTAAATTAAGCTCCGCCTTGAACTTCTCCGACAAAACAAGCGACATAAGGGAGTCCACACCAAGCTCGACAAAAGACGCGCTATCAGTAAGCTCACTAGGGTCCAACCCAGTCTCACGCGCGATAATCTTAAGGCAGTCAGTAATAATTGGGCTTTCCGGCGAAGCTGGTTCTGCGGATTCCGTGGGTGCAGGCGCACTAGGGCCAAGCGTCGTTTCCTGAGGAGCCGGGCTGGTGCTTACAGCGGGGCCGCGCGAAGGAGCGGCAGTTGCAGCTGCAGCGGGCACACTTGCTGATGGCACTTTTGGATTAACAACCAGGGCAGTAGCAGGCACAGGCACCTTGGACGAGGTAGCATCGCTCGGGGAGAAAAACTGGTTCATCAACACGCGAGGTACGCGGCGGAATTTCATCTCGCCCATCATGGCGACCACTTCCCCCCCCTGGAGCACATATACGTCGCCGGCATACATATTTTTCTCCTCGATGGGTGCCATGCGAACATAGCTGCGGTATCGGCCACCAGCCACCAGAGGCTGAATGATGCGGCAACTACCCCAGCCAGGGGTGACATAGAAGTAGTCCTTGGTGTTGGACGCGTCACTGCCATTGAGCACAAATCCTCCAATATGGAAGATACTGTCGATCCAGTGGGGAGGCGTGTGCCAAGTGCCATGTCGGTCGGGGCTCAGGATGATCTCCGAGCAGGCTTCCATGCCGTCTAGCACTACCGACTGCATGCCACGGTAGTGGTCGTTGTAATCAACCACATTCTTGAATAGAGTATAGGCCATATTTCGAGACAGACGATTTGCAGCCCCATTGAGGGCCTTTGCAGACAAAGATTCGATTCGGCCGTTGACTAGATGCGTTACTCGATCCCATTCTTTGCGCCACTCAGCAGGATCAGCGAAGTTGACCGTAGCCGAAGCATAGGGTTCCGCCGCACGCTTGCCGTCACTGGAAACAGTGAACCACTGAATCGGCATCTCTTTTGACTGAAGATTAAGGGTTGCCTCTATCTGGAGTAATTGAGCCCGACTCTTATCGGTATGTGCTACTTGTGCGTGAAGGACCTCCAGATTGGAAACATCCATGTGGACGTCACGGGTTTGAGGAAGGAGCTTCTTGTATAGGTATTCACCGATGGTCATGGCCATGTCACCCCAAAGAGACTAGAAGAATGTTAGTGACCGGGCTGTTGGAAGGGGGACACAGAAGGCTTACCGAAGTGGCTACACCGTAACCATTCATGTTGTGCCCATCCACTGCGGCACGGAATTCGGGATCCATGATGTCTGACATGGCAGCCATGGTTGCAATAGTGCCACCTATATCCTCAGAGATGATGCGGTGGACAGACGAAGTCCGCAGGGCAGACCCTTGGGTTGAAGAGACTGTGTCTGGTCGGCTGCCCTTAGGGTAAGCCTTGTCCAGTGTCCAAGTACCGGTATATTGAATCCAATAGTTCTTTTCATTCCAACAATACTTTGGGATGGGTAGAAGAAAGTGTGCCTTCTCAAATGGCTGGAAGTACGAATTCCAATCAATTGGGAATCCGTCGGTGTGCAAAGTGGCCAACGAGCTAGCCATGGTCGTGAAATTGTTCTCGTTCTTGCGCAGAGAAGCCAAGATCCGAGCCTGTGGCATTCGAGATTTGATGAACGGGCCGTTGACAGGGTGTGGGCCAATCTCAATAAAAGTCGCGTTCTCCGGTACAACACCCAATTCTCGACCAGCATCCAAGGCATCACAGAAACGAACCGCTTCACGCGTTGCACGGCAAAGATATTGGCCATTCACCGTCTTCCCATCGAAGATTCCGTGTGCCAAGAGAGGCGAAAGAATCGGAACACTGGGCGTGCGGAATGTCACTTGCTGAGTGACTCGTTCGAAGGCCTCTAGAATGGGATCCATTTGGGCTGTGTGGAATGCAAATGGAACATCAAGCAGAGTGCACTTGAGACTCTCGTTCTCCAAGATGGCGCGAATAGCCTGAATATTATCTTGAGAGCCACCAAGGACAGTGCTTTCCACCGCATTCATGCAGCTGAGCTCGAAGGGCATATCTGTGGGCGTGAGTTTCTTGATCTGCTCCGCAGAGGCACGGACAGCTAGCATAGAATGACTGCCTAGCTGGCATGAATCGAGAAGTAGTTCGGCTCGTTTGCCGACTAGAAAGATGGCATCTGCAGCAGAGAGGACATCCGCTGTTACCAGGGCGGCATATTCTCCCAGGCTATGCCCAATAACTACACTGGGGGTAATACCCAGAGAAGCCCAGAACCGAACCAAGCAAATCTCACTGATGAGAATTGCCAGCTGTGTAACAAGTGGCGACCCACACTTCCCGTCTTCGAGGGTACCGTCGATGGCAGCAATGATGGAAGGAAAGCCTAGACACTGCGCAAGATGGTCTAGCTCATGGATCGCAGCATGATAGATGGGAAAGGCTTCATACAAATCCCTACCCATGGCCGAATAGAAGGCACCCTGGCCAGTGAATGTGAATGGGACAGATACATATGAGCCGGAGACAGGTCGAAGCGTGCTCACGGCATCCCCAGAAATGATGCCATCCAAAGATTTTTGAAGTTGTGCAATGCTGGACGCCGCAACTGCAACCCGAGTGTGATGATGGATCCGACGAACACACGTAGTGTAGGCTAAATCACCAAGATCAGTATCAGGATTTTGATCGAGGTAAGCCAGCAATGCCTCAATATTTCCATTGAGTGACAATTTGCTCTTGGCAGACAGAGAGATGACATGAGTAGGGCGAGGGTCATTTCCAATGCGGACGTGTTTTGGTGCGTCCTCAAGAAGCAGTGTTGTATTGCCGCCGTGTGCTCCAAAGCTGTTCACGAGCGCAAAGCGCTTCTTATCACCAATTCGTGGCCATGGGGTTTTTTCCAAAGCTAGACGAGCCTTTCCTCGCTCGAGGTTCTTGGCGACAACTGGATTAATCTCAGTTTTGATACCAACGTGCGGTGGAATCATGTTTTTCTGATACATGAGCAGCATTTTGATTAAGGAGGCGACGCCGGCTGCAGCTTCTCCGTGACCAATATTTGACTTGACGGAAGCCATCAATAATGGTGTGTGCCGACGCAATTTGGCATTTGCAAAGACTCCCACCACCGATTCGGACTCCACCGAATCACCAGCTTGGGTGCCGGTCCCATGGAGCTCAACATAACTGACAGCGACCGGGTTGATACCGGCAGCTTGCATGACTTGTTGATAGTTTTCTTGCTGAGACTCGGCATGCGGATGAGTAATAGATATCGCATCTGCCGATTGATTGGTAAAGGCGGCATCAATAGTTGCAATTATGTTGTCGTTGTCCGCGACGGCATCTTCGAGGCGCTTGATGACCACTGAACCGATACCATCTGCTCGACAATAGCCGTCTGCATCCTTATCCCAGACCTTGCATTGACCCGTCTTGGATAAGAAATGTCCCCTGCAGAGCATAGCAAAGTTGTCAGGATTGGTAATAACGTTCAGCCCGCCTGCAATGACAGTATCCGCTTCACCAGCCCACAATGCGCTGCACGCGGCGTTGACAGCGGCCAGACCACTGGAACACGCCGTGTCAATATTAAAGCTTGGACCGGAAAACTTGAAGAAATAATTGATGCGTCCGTTTGCAAAGGCTCGCTCGCCTCCTGGGACGGCATAGGTACCGATGTTCATGCCGGCGTTTAGTTCTCGCCAGTCATCGCTGGCTTGTCCAAAGTAGGTACCGATACGGCGCAGACAAGTTGATGGAGTACGATTGGGTGCAAATCCAGCCATTTCAAGCGCTTCATAGGCAGTCACTAGCGCAAGCCGGTGCATTGGATCGGTTTGCTCAGCCTGAATTCGTTCACAATAATTAATTTCTGGATCAGTCTCCTTCCAGTTGGGACGGCTTTGCCGGAATAAGCTTACGTACCTCGCGGGGAGACATGTTGAAGAAGTTTGCATCGAACATTCCTGGAAAATTGAGGAAATTTCCAAATGGTGTTTGTGTGGTGTTGGGAGTGTCGCCAGTCGGATCGTAATGAGTGTCAATATCGAAGCGGTCCGCAGGAATACGAGTATGAACATCCCGCCCCTCTTCAATTAACTTCCAAAACAGCTCCAAGTCATTGGCACCTCCGGGGAGTCGACAGGCCATACCGACTATCGCGAGCTTCGATTGATGCGGAGAGCGGGGAGCACTCGGGAAAAAGTCCGGCTCTTCAGTGAGGCACCAGTCAACAATGTCAGTCTTTCGAAGAGTGACATCAGGCAGACTAGACTGAATAGACGATAACAGCCCCTGGGCAATTAAAGATGTTCGCAGAGTGATGACCTCTATTTCAGGGGATCTAACTACTGACAACTGCCGTATCACCCCCGCGGTCAGATTGTCGAGGTAGATTCCGCGGGTGAGAATTTCCATGACAATCTCCTCCCACAGCTGCCTTGATTTGGTAGCTACGAGTGGTTTTCCCGTTGTCGCCGATAAAACCGGTAGGTGAACCGAAGCCGAGGCCTTTTCTTCGGGGATAGCGACGATAGTCCGAGCACTCTGCGGCGTGTAGAGATGGGCAGCGTGACACAGACCATTGTAAACGGGAAGAGCCATATGCTTTGAATATCGCAGCACAGGGGAGTGGTGAAAAGCATTGATCAGGCGAGAGGGAGGACCTGTTATACTGACGGAGTTGGCATCAGCGGCGCTGATAAACACTTTCATAAGTTCTGGGCTCATCTAAAACCAGCAGTTAGATGATAATGCCCCTGGTAGTAGGTCTGCTTCAGCGTCCTGGGACATGCTTGCAAGCACAGGACTTACAGTGTCCCTGTTGAATCTATCAAGCTCTTGCTGCACGTTTTCTGCGGAAACTCCAGTAACAACGTATGCCCAGCTTTTGGGGCTACTATCTGGTTCGCAGGACTCAAGATATTGCGACACTCCGTCAACATGAATGCCCATTCTAAACGCAATCCGCACACTTTCTACTCCATAGCAAGCCAGATCGGAGAGAGAGGTGGAGACAGCTACTGCCGCAGCCGAGAGAAGCCCAATACTCAAGCCACTCAGAGTCGTGCCTGTCTCCGCCAGGTCATATTTCTGGTTCGTTGCTTCGTGGTGTCTGTTCCTATCTGTTAGCATTGCTTTCACGGCGCTCAGACGTTTCAATAATTAAACACACCCGATAAGGACGCCGACTTGTAGTATGCAGAGAAGGGCGGTCTCAATCGCCCCCCAACTGGCGCAAGGCGGTTGGCTTCCCAGCCGTCGACCAGACCCATGATGGTTTGAATGCGAATCAATTGAGCTGGGACAGACTGTGAGAGCAGGATCACCTCGTCATTGATGGTCGACACACATTCGTCCAAGAAAAACGCTAGGAAATGGAACCTTTTGTCCTTGGACCACCGGTGTAGACGACGGAAGAGGTCTGCGATATTTCCGCTGGGAAAGTCATTTCCAAAGAACGCCAGCCTACTGCTGAAACGATTCATCTCGTCGGTGGAAAGGGAAGAGGGAGTGTCCATGGCTGCACGAAATTTTTCACAATGCAATCAGAGGTAGTCTATCTGATCATCTCTTGGGAGCCGGAGGTTTGAAGTCTTTAGATGGACGAAAACCTCTATCATTAAGGTGCGAAAAAAGGTCCACATATATGCCTTACTCAGCTAGGACTATCTCCAACAAGAGCTGGATTAGGAGGCTTACTGTTCAGCACGCGGACAGCTGAAGACTCATCATGTCGGATACCGACTCGGCGGTATACGGACTCCGGCTATTATCCAAACACCGTGTCTCTGAGCTTCGTCAAAAGCTCGTCTGTACCCGCGAGAGGAAACTGTCATATTATTACCTAGCTCTTCGCTTTCTTGATCGCTCTATCTGGTATCACAGAGTAAACAGAACGCTGTCGCCATGGTTCATGCTTTATACTATCCACTGCTTGTGGTTGGGGCCACTAGCACCTCTATCTTACTCGGTGAGTATTTTCTGATCACTTCAAACGACTAGGACCTCAACCTTTGTGGAAGGCTTAAAATCAGTACATTTTGGTGCTATAGTTGAAAGCCTTAGTGCTGACTCTAAGTCGTAGGCTGCCAGATAAGCCTGTCTTATGTCTCAATGGCTGCGATACTCAGCGTGCTTGATGCCCCTGAGTATACGGTGCTTTCGATGTGGAAAGTTACTTTCGACCGAGGGTTCTACCTCTGCCCCACCCAGGCGATGTTTTCAAGCTTCATATTTTTTCTCAACGGGCTCTTGACTTTTATTTACGGCAGTCCCACATCTTCCAGCCATAACAGTGTTTTGAATTTGGCGGTTGCAGGCTTGCTTGCCATTAGCTTGGTGCCATTCACACTGGTCATGATTGTTCCTCTCGAGGAAGCACTACTAGAGCGCCATAGGAAGTTGTCTCGAAACCGTACCGAGACAACTTCAAAGGGGAAATCTCACAACTGTGCACCGGCAACTGCGGAAGCCATTAATAGTTGTAATGTGATGAAAAGATGGGCTTCTCTGAATTACGCCCGCACGTTCCTTCCCGCAGCTACGGTGGTTTGGATTTGGTTCATGTGCACCTGAGAGCGAATCGCTGTGATCGATCGGTAGTGGACAGGGACCTAAACTTCTCGGGTGTAGGGTTTACTGCAAACCATGAAATCCTGAACTGTATTTCATATCTTTTTTCTTCTCTGTCCTTACTATGTAGCATTGTTTAGAAAACTGAAATCTCTTCTACTGGACACTTCGAGGGCAGAAAAGGAATAAGCTACTATTCTGAAAATATGTAATTGCTCTGAAGTATACCGAAATATTCATTAAAACAAACATGAGCCTTAGAATATCCTTCCAACATCATCCTGACCCCTTCCAGTCCAAGGCCTCATTGGTGACCGACCGTAACCGCAGTTTTAGCGAATCCGCCAAAGCAGAAAGCGTGCCTGTAGACTGCGTACGAGCATCCCCTTTATACCTACGGGAGAATTGCATCACCACATTGGCCAGCTTGGAGAGCTCCTCCAAGATATGTACAGGGGATATGTCGGCTTCAACCTCGACCGATTCCAAACCGGTAAACTCGGCGCATTCCCTCACCCCACACCCATTGCTATTCATTTCGAAAGCTGGGGGAAAGCCCATTACCACCCCTTGAGATCGGTCTTTCAGGTAGTGTCCAACATTCTGGTCTTGCTCCTGTTGAAACAACGAGTCGTAAACATCCAAAATCGCCATGCAGACTGCAGCGACCAGAATAGCGACATATATCTTCCGTGAACAGGGGCATATCAAGATCATCGAAAGTCGGTTGATCGCCCAAGCAGCGGTCTGCACACGGCTCGATAATTCGTATCCCAACGAACTGGTCTGTGTCTCGTTTGTGATTTTATTGTGAGACGTTTGGAGACGACGCAAGATGTCGATTGCTCTCGTCACACAATCCGGCTCGGGTGAATCGGACATTGGCGTCTGAGCGCCAGAAGGGATATCACCGCTCTCGAGTACGCCAGCGCTAGAAGCTTGGCTAGAACTTTGTGCCAGGGGTATTTCGAGCGGAATGAAATGCCAATTGGCTTCAGATTGAAGTAAGTCAAGCCAGTTTGAGTCACCGTTCAAGACATCTGAGAGGTTGAAAAATTCAAGGTCTGCCAGCGGAGATTGCGAAAGGCTAGAGATCTGTTTGTGATTGAATTCCTCATTTAAGATGTATGAGGCCTCGTTTAGAGCGGCTGTCGGTTTTGTTTCAGTGTCGTCTACACCGCCGGTTGCAATGTCTACATCGTGAAACCAATGCAGGGGATTTTCTGCACAAACACCCCCTGCCGAAGGCTCAGTCCCGTCAAGGATGGATGGCTGTGGTCCCTGATGCAGCTGCGCTTCCTTCGCAAGAACTTGAGAGCCTTGAGCCGTATTGCACATGCTAGAGTTGACGACACACTCTCTTGTCGAGCACGAAGGATGTGGTTCCGGTGATTTGCGACTGACACTTCGACGGGTTGGATGTGGACGCCCTATTCGGCGCGCAGGACTGTAGAAGCACGGATATCCCAGCTTGCGACATCGACTGCAAACTGGTTTCTCTTTGTTGCATTTGACTTTAGACGACGAACACGGATCACAACTATCCTTGAGCTTTTGCGTGGTTGGCGGCCCGGCTCTGCCTCCGGCCCCCGTCGTTGTGGTAGGGCTGCTGGAGCTCATGTTTAGGTAAAGGTCCTGGACAGAATCTCTTCAGAAATCGTCCGTCGCAGCGAGAATGTTCAAGGCCGGACGTGGCAAGCATAAATGGTTCTAATATTTACCGAGGCTGAACCGGATTTCACTTGAATTCACAGTGACAAGCGTTTTGCCATGCTCCGTGAAATACAAATTCAATTAGGTCTCAATACTCTAGTGACAACTCAACCTGACACACCTCTTCCCAGTGGAATTACGCATAGAAAACACACGTAATACGAGGTTGAACCAAACCTGCTGTTATCGTTTGTAATGAATTGGCACTCACCTGCTTATTGGAAGTCGCGGTGGAGGAATATGGAAACTTGCATGGCATTAGAGCCCAAAAGAGCCAATGAAGGCATTCCTCTCCAGCGACGTGGTGACTGAGTATTTATTACTCAAATTTAATACAGAGAGAAGGAAAGGCTGAGTGGCTTCCTTTCATTACTCTCCTTCAGTTTTCATGCAGCATCCGTGGTCCTGATCTTGCAGTGCGAAACAGCCACTTGGCTAAAGACAAGAGGGAGTGGGACCCAATCGATAGTCTGACGCGTTATTAAGGAAATTTTGTAAGCAACCAATATGAAACTTTCGAAGTTAATCCGACGGTACTATTTCGTATTTTGGATTTGTTGGTGGGCTATGCGTGGACTGTAACCGTCAGCGGGGGCTCGGATTGTGCATGTTTATGGAGGCCACGATTTCAATTGCTCCAGGAGCCTCGTGAAGTTGCCAATAGCTTGTGAACATGAGAAAGGTAGAGAAAGCCCGGGGTTGTAGGTAGAGAAGGTTGAGTGTCGTATGTATACTTTGACCAGGGCCCAGGATCATTATTATCTTTCCTGAGGCTAATCTGCAAGCCATGAGGTGTATAAGCTGCACCGTTTTGCCTGGTGAACAGCCTTATATTGCATTTTTATCCCCATGTGGTAAAATTTAATGTAAATTGGCGTTGCTTTCGCCGATCTCACTTTGCTTATCATGGGTCGGAGCTGAGCACGCGACTTTTTCTGACGATCCTTCTGAGACTTTGCCCACGGCAAATAAAGAAAGTCGTCTCTCGAGTCCGCTGAATCAACTACATGGACTTAGATATGCAACGTCATATCATGTGCGTCGGGAGGGAATTGATGAAGAGCGGAACTGCCGACACATCCACCTGGTGCCGGTTCCAGCGCGTGTTTAGCCCAGTTTGAAAGCCAATCGCCACCCGAAGGACCAGGAGTGCCATCTCAATACATTTTCGACGGCGTTTTGTACGTTGACGGACCACTTATACTAATAAGATACTGCATGGTTTTGTGTTCCTAGAGGATTCGCGGAAGACTGCGGAAGCTTGGGAAGGACTGATGAGATTGGTTGTCAATTAAGTGGGATATGAGATTCCATGATACAATGGTCCCATTACTTTTCCGGCAAGTTCCTGCGCGCCCTACAGGAATTATCTCATTCGACAGATGCGTTCATATCCAATCGTTCAAATGTTCATACACAAATACACTTGTCAGACTCTGTTTCAAGTGTGCCAAGAGGTGTCAGTGAACGGAGTTGAACGGGAGCACACCATAAAAAGTAAAAATCAATAATCGAGCATGACAGCAGGAATTGAAAAAGAAAATAAACATATACATCTGGCACCCACTACCTATGACGACTCTGCAATGCAATATAGTGGAGCTTCCATAACGGATCTCCGGTCAATGCTGCACGAGGATGGTCACGATGAGCAACTTTTGGCGCAGGAAGTCGACGCGCGGCGCGAAAAGAAGTTAGAGCACTAAATATTTTTGAAATCCGCAGGGTTTTAATCAGCAACTATGGCGAGTGAAAGATTGACGTCGAGGTTGATAAGAGAACAATGGTCTGGATGTTTCTCTTGGTCTCTAAATGAAATTTCCCGCAGTATAAGAATTTTGATATTGCCTGCCAATCAGTAGTTTCAGCTACTGGCTGAATGTCTTCTTCTCGAACCCTGAGATGCTCACACCGACCCACCCAAACCAGGTCATACTCCTGGACACAGATTTCGCCTCTACTGCCATCCACAGTGATTATCGAGTGCGCAGCATCCATGAAATAACCAGTGCTTGCTCGGAACATAATCAAACATGCACACGATCAGTCCTACGCGCACTTCAGACGCTCTGTGTGCCACCCGCGGCCTGTCTATCTGTCAGTGACGAGGGTTATTCACCTTCCTACGATTCCAACCAGGTTCGCAAAATGGATGATGCCCTGACAACGAATCGAGTGGCAATGGAATTGGTCTCGCATGTTCTCCAGTGTTCCTGTTCTGCAATCCCCTCCGTCCAGCTACTTCTTGTTATTTTGTGCGACCGAGTGATGGCCTGGTATCGGGCTATGCTGCGCGAGGATGAAAGGCAGATAGGATACGGTCAAATGATATTTTCGGGCCCATCAAGTGCCGACTACGATCAAAGCGAGCGTGTTCTTGCGATCCCCATTACCGTGGGGAATTTCACTGTTGACAAACCCATGCAAGCGTGCATTAGGGATCAACTCGTGGTCGGGGAACTGCGAAAAGTGGAAAATACGGTTCACCACTTTGCCACGCGTGTTCAAGAAACCCGAGCTCAGACTCCATCAGCTCATAGTCAGCAAATTTACGAAATCTTAACCTGTTTGTTGAGAGATCAGCTGCAAGTTCAGGCGAATATTACTGGCGAGCGCATGGATCTATGGGGGTGACGTGATTGAGGAGGCTATTGGGCGAGAAAAGAATCAAGGCGAGAGGTTTGGGATACGCTGACAGCGATATCAACAAGACCCGAGGGGACTGCAGATTGACTTGAGATAAAAACGGGGAGAAAGGGTGTAAACGATATCCTGTCACCATATTCACAAGTTACGATGCATTAGATTTGATTAGAGTTGAAGTGACACAAGACTTTTCACCACTCCCCAACCCTCAAATACAGGTTGAATCAATATTCTCGCAGTGTCATGCTAAGACCCTGTTGCTTAGCTTACTTCCAAATTTCGTAGTCTGGGAAATATTTGTCGTGGATTCTTCGTGCGTAATCCACAAGAGCCGGGCAGCTCTTGACTTTCGACATGGTGTCCGGTGCACTGGGCAAGAGTTAGTACTCGAATAGCCAGATAATATCGTAGAAATTCTGCTTACGCAATGCAGACGAGGCTAGACGCAATGAAGCCAAACAGCACGGCATCTGCATCGGTCGGACCATCGCCACCCAGGATCCAGAAAGGGCCGTCTTGATCCTCCGCATGAGCAGTCGCTTTCACATAATTGTTCAGCGTGTCCCAGATCTCATGGCGGAAGCTCGCAATCTCAGCCGTGCTGAACTTCAGGGTTCCTTGACCTTCCATGGTCCGTACGTTTTTGTTGTATACAATGTTCCCTACAATGACCTGGATAGGCCAGGGTAGAGCAGCAAGGATTTTGGATCGCATCGCGTAGTAGTTCAATACCCATCTCTCATGGCACTATGTCGGACCAGTAATGTCAGCTGCTGGCCAATCTTGCGATATACCTCAAAGAGAAATAGTCTTAGTACCTGATAGAAGTACAGTTTGTCCTCCAGCAAAGCCCCGATGGACATGTCTTGCAACTTTTGAGACGCTGAGAGGTTGCTGTTGAGATCCTCCAGATCTCCAGATTCAATCAGGGCCTTTGAAATTAGGGTCGAGTCACCCAAAGATTCAGAGGAGCCATCTGAACGCTCGATGGAGACATATGGGACTTTTCCTCGCGGGGCCTTCGGAACTGACCCCGCCTCGGTACGATAGGAGATCTCTCCAAAGCGCAGGCGAGCTTCGAGCTTGGTGACGAATGGAGACCACACATAGCACCCCTTATCGGGAAAACCTCGGAACACAGTAAATGTGGGTGTTGATTTGGGCAGAGCCATTATGAATACGAGAGGTGTCGGGAGGTGAGAAGCGTGCGGTATACCTCGGTCTCTAATCAATTGTGAGAGTGGATGAGGAAAAGTTGGAGAAGGAGAAAACAAAGTTGCGAAGTTACAAGAAGAAAAAGCAAAGAAAGCTTTCCGTGCCACCTCAACCTGTGGCCTTGCGTCAGCCTCGGAACAAAGAGCGCAAGCAATGTGCAAAGAGTGCACGGTTCCAAAACCCGCAGAGCGCGAATCTCTGACGGGTTGGAGAGGAGCTATCGGGGGCCACAGTACAGTGCTTCCGGAAATCGGCGTCACCACCTACACTCTTTGTTTGTTTCACGGATCCGAACTGCCAAGACACACTATTGCACATTGGGAGTTCTTCCGCACTATCCCTGTCCAGAGAATAGTATTATATTGTCCAATAATACTCAGAAATATACCAGACATGTATGGCTTGTATTATCAAGATAGCTGACACCTCACTGCCCCACGTTACAATCGGTCCCTGGCGAAATTTGTCTTCCTTCTCACCACCTACGATCTCCACTCTGCGAACCGGTCCGCTCCCATTCATCGGCTTTTTGTTGATATCCTCTTGATTTCTCTGGGCAGGCTTATATATGGCGCTTACGACAGACAATGATTATTATGCAATCCTCGGGGTCCCCCAGTCTGCAGATTCGGCTACTATCAGGTCGATGTACAGAGAATTAGCTTTGGCCAAGCATCCTGATCGTCAAAGAAATGCGCCTAATGCGACAGCTGATTTCCAACTAGTAAGCTTGACTACCGGCTTTTTAGGCGTGCGTTATCACTGATACGGCTATAATCAGCTTCACGAAGCGTACGAGAACCTTTATAATGTCGATAAGCGCCGAGAGTACGACAGGATATATCAATCAAGGATACGTCCCCGGGAAATTAAGAATCGAAGGATAGCAGAGCTAGAAAAACAGCTTCAACAGCTCAAGGATGAGCGCAAGGTAACAGAGGGTACATTAACCAACGCAAAAAAGGATCTGGTTAGACTATATGCAGAGAGAGACAGTCTAAAAGGAGAGAAACAACGCGTGATGACGGACAAAGCTACTGAGGAGACATGGTGGCTATACTTATGCTCCTTTCTGCCAAGCAGGGCGGCAGAATTTACACAACGGAGGCAGCAACAAGAGTCTGTCATCGCCACTATGATTGGGAAGCAACGAACAAAGGAAAAGAGCATCGATCTGAAATTGGAGGAGATTCAAACCCTTGAGGAAATAATACAGTCTATCTCCTGGGCTCGGATGAAGCTTATAGCAAAAATAGGAACGATAGGGCTCCAAATGACAAAACAGGAACGGGAATGAACATTGGCAGAATTGAGAAAGAAGAGCGAACAAGCAAATCGGGCTGGGCCATCAACCCAGGAATATTTTACGAGAGAAAGTAGCTATTTCCACCAGTCAAGTGCTTCGGATTTTTGATATTTCCCTAAAGTTGTCTGTTGAAGTACAAGAGAAGGGTGCCACGAAGCGTTGATTGGAGCAGAAATCGCTTGGATTCCGTCGATAATTACAGCTTTCGAACACAAGACGTGTAATTATCTGAGTAAAATATGACATTGAGAACTGTACTGGAATATTGATACTACGGGATCATTCCTAATGAGGTGTAGTATATCTTGGCATTGGATTTGAGAAACAAACGAAGAGTGTGGGTCGTGACATCGAGTTCCGGAAGCACAGTATACTATGATCTTCAGCTGCCTTTCCTTTGCTAACTACAGTTCCAATTGGGGGCTACTGCTCTAGTGCATCAGAAAGGACAGGCGTCCAATGAACATACGACGACACCCGTCGGTGTCGGTGCTTGGCGAAAGCCCGCGCCCGCAAAGTCTAAACCGCCAAGTGTCAATATGGAGTCTAAGCAGAAGATCTCCACAGGGCGACGGACTCTGCGGCTTTTAGGATTTCATATCTCCAATTTCCCGTTTTTCGGCCCCTGCATCGCCCTGCATGATCCTTCGCCACCATTTGACACTGACGATCTAGTTCTTTCGGTGTCCACCCCGTCCTTTACCATCTATGGAGTACTTTGCGTGCCAGGGAGTTTTTGCAGTACCGCAAAAGGGTCGAATACTAAGTAATCGACTCCGGCCTTCATTGACTTCCGAGAATCGAATATCTTGGGGATTTTAACTTTGCTATTGGCAGTGTCAAGGACTTAATGGGAATTAGCCTGGAATTCTAGACTTTATTATGCTATCTGGGCTACCTGAACTAGTTTCACATTGACATTCAACCGGGCCGGTTACTACTAAGGCAATGAACCGACAATAATTGAGTGTCGCATCGTCGGATGATAGGGGCGAATACTGATCAGCCTCAAACCTGCCTGCACAAGAAGTTCGCGCCACTGGCTCTCCGTACGCTCGTGGGCGCCCAGAACAGCCAGCATGTGGAGGTCCAGGCAGGCCGACCACCAGTGCGCTCCGGTGTCCGGGACTGCCATGTCATCAATAAGAATTAAAGACTCTGCATTCATGGCCGGCACCAGTCTGCCGAGAATGACCAGGGCCTTTTCGTCATCCCAATCGTGCAAGACGGTGCGGAGATAGTACACCTTCGCACCGATGATGGGCTGCGGCTCAAAGAAATTGTGGGCCATGAGTTCCACACCATCTACTACCGGAGCATTCTGAATCGTCTCGGGAAGATCTTGAACGATAATTCGTCCCGGAAGGTCGGGGTATCGGGAGCGAAGGCGCGCCGACTGGTGGCCGAGGTTACCACCCACATCGACGAATAGAACCTGATCGGTGGCAAACGACTGGGCCAGTGATGGAACTGAGAAAACATCCAGCCAGTCGCCCTCACGGGGAACACTCATCAGGGACTGAAACCATTTCAGATGGTCTGGGTGCTGCTTGGCCCATGGAAAGAAGTCTAGCCTAGTATTGAACCCACGGTGCCAGGCAAGGATCCCACTGGAGTCATTATATTGGTTCTCCTTCAATGTTTCGGGAAGTGCCTGGTAGACAGGACCTCCGATATTGAAGCTGAGCTGGCAGTCAGCCTCTCAAAGCCTGAAGTTGGAAGGGAGTCCAATGGTAACGCAGCTTACATGTAGTAAATGCAGTCTTGAATGGTGGGATTGGCCAATGAATTGGTCGCCTGATTTCCTTTGAAGTGATCCTTGCTGGTTTCGGTAACCTGGCGCATCGAAGCCAAGTACCGTAGAAGCCGCCGTAAAAGAGAAGGTGCAGCACCCGTTCTTTCAGCCACTGTGTCCACACTGAGCGGCTCTTCGCTCTCAGACAGAATACGAAAAAGGCCGATATCGCAGCCAATACGAGCGACGGTCAATTCGAGTTGCTGTTTTGTCGAGAAAGTATGTGAGACAGAGGCGACTTCTTTGGGTGGTGGCATAAAGCAGCGAGAGAAAGAAAACAGAAAACCTCAAAACGATCGCGCCACCAATGGGCAGATGGCTTACCATGTTAAAAAACCGTAGCATGAGATCGTGAGTGGTCTCGGTGGCCTCGGCAGCCGAGCGCAGCGCATTTTGCATCTGCAGTCGGCTGGTCTCGTTGGGCGGCACCGCATGTTCTTCAAAGCAGGGGAAGGGCGTACTCATGGTGACTCAAACTCACAGCAATCGACTCGGCTTAAGAGATTGTTCGAAGCTTTTAGTGAAGTGTTGATCATGGGAACTGCGCATGATCCTCTATCACTGTATATGTATTCTTTTGCTACTTCTTCTTTAGGTACGATTTGCTTGTCCGAGAAACCTTACCTCTTTTCGTGCTCCTGCCAATTTTGGCCCCCGCATCTTCCTTGACTGTATATTGCCGGATTCCGAGGATGTCGGATTCCTGTTCAGCTACAAGAAGGCGATATTTGTGCGCCCCCGTTACTGCTTTTGTTTACAGCTTTCAGAAGTAACAATATCGTAAACTATTTCCATGAACAGGTGAGATCATCCCGACTAGGGTCTCTATAGATCAAGGATCCCGCGTGCAGGTAATCTCAAGACTTGGTTGGGAGTCAATATTGAACGCTGTATATGTGTTACCGTATCTCTGATGTCTGATGGCCCAATGAGGCCGTATACTTCACTATTGATATTGAGCGTAGCTAATGTTCTGAATGGATGTTCTTTGGTATCTGTGGTATGCAATATTTCTCTTACTTTGGGATTATCCTCCCACGCTCTCAATGTGTAAGCATCGCAGATACTTTCAGGACATGCCCCAAAATATGAAGTTAGTCTATGTTTTGCCAGTTCTGGCTCGGGGAATAACTGAAAGTGGAATCCACGTTGTTTGGTAAAGTAGGCTACCTGCAATAGAATGCAATCGTTCCTTGATTGGGAATTTCGATAGCTCCGATCTTGATATAATTCATCGATTTATGAAAAACCATTCTTCAATTCATTATGCTTTAGTAACACCGAAAGTAACCTGCAAATGAAGCAACAGCCTGGCAGCAGCGGTATGCCCTGGCAACATGCTTCGACTAAATTTATGCCCCACTCATCTTGTCGGCCAAGCCTTTCTAAAAGTGCGGTCCATTCATTTCAGGTAAAGAGGTGAGTTAAAGAGGTCTTGTCATATTATACCAGTCACGGACGCATAGAACTCTGGCGTCATGCTTGACTTTCACGCTTGCTCAGGGGCTGTAGTCTGGTCACCCGGCATTGGTTGGTCACCAGAGACAGGCACCGCATCCTCCTGTCGGTGCTCACCATGGAACAGTCCAAGAACGTCCAACTTCTCAGCCTTTTGCCCGGAAGGTTGGATCAGGCCCAACTGGCCCTGCTGCAGGTTGACGGTCATCCCGTGGATAGTGTCGAAGCTGAAGGTGTCGATGTTGATGGTATCCTCCGACCGCAACATTTCGCGCGCACGGATCGTGTTCATGATATGTACCTCTTGTGGAGACATGGATGCCTCAAGCTCGGCTTTCGCCTTAGGGTCAAGCTCCTCATTGTTCAGGCCGAGAGCTTCCATTTTACGGTGAACCGCTTCCTTTTCTTCCAAGGGAACAGGGATAAAGGCTCGGCAACAGAAGTCGATCGTGTCGGAGATCTCCGATTCAGTCAGTCGGGCTTTGACATCGACCGTACCTTGGATGACTTCACGCAACGAGGAGATGTGATCAGCATGAGAGCACGAAGGAATCCGAATGAATTCTACTTACTCGGTCTGAAGAATGAAAAAGCACGGTCAAAGGTCTCCTCGTCCCAATCGGTCAGAACCGGGGTGTCCTGGTCCTTAATTTGCTTTAGAGCACTCAAGACGACCAGGAGGAAACGGGTGTATCCTTCAGCCACTTTCTTAGAGTGCCAGTCTGCCGCGGTGTTCTCATCACAGTCACCTCGCTTGCTCGCACAGATGGTTGCAGCGGCCGACAAACCGCTCGCCATTGCCAAATGAACGCCAGATGAGAAGAACGGGTCGATGAAGCATCCAGCATCGCCCACCAACCGAACATTGGGACTAGCATAACTGGAAGCGCTGTACGACCAGTCGGAGGCAGACTTGACCTCTGAGACAAGCTGCGCTTTGGCCATAAGGCCGCAGATACCAGGTGCAAGCTTGAGGTTCTCCAGGTAGAAGTCTTTGCTGGACGGAGAACCTAGTTTCTTCTTCTCCTCCGTGGCAATAGCTTGGTTTCGAACAACACCAACTGAAACCACATCTCCATGCAGAGGGATAGTCCACACCCAGCCGCTCGCGTCAGACAAAGCCTCAAAGTAAGGCTGACTTTCATGAGCTCCACCCAAGTCATACGGCTCCATATTCTTCCAATATCCCCAGCTAGCGATGTTCTTGAGACCTTGATTATAGCGTCGGTTCTTGTAGTGTTTCGTGCTCACCACGCCGACCCGACCACTAGCATCGATCAGGTAGTTGAAACTAATGACGCCACTGGTGCCATCCTTGCGTGACCAACGGGCTGAAACGGGGCGTCCTGGGTTCGGATCAGGGAACTCGGCCAGTTTCTGTTCCATCGGATCATTCTTGTCCCATTGCTGGAACTCGAGATCGCCAACTCGGACCCCGTCAAAGGTCTTCGCGCCACTTTTGGCAGCGTGATTGAAGATCAATTGATCAGCTTCAGATCGCACAATGTTCCACGTATAGCCCTGTGGGCCACCTGCAGCCACGAAGTCGGTAACTAGCAATCATGTTAGACAGCGTTGCCATCGCCCAGTCGCTGGAGCTACTCACAGACTCGGGGCTTGGAGTTCATTTTGAACATGCCACCTGTCTGTGAAAAAATGTCTTAGTCTTGATTATGGCTGCCGTTGAAAAGCATGAAGTACCTTGATCTTGAAGCCATAGTTGTCGAAAGTGGAGTCAAGGTCGATAAACCGCAGAAAGTGACGCATGGAAGGGAGCATACTTTCCCCAATGTGGTATCTAGGCCCAATCGGTCAGAAACTCCATAGGTACTTGTTTTGAGCCAGCCAATTTCAGGGTAAACCGATGGGCTCATCAGCTGACTTGCCTGGGGAAAACATCGGCTTCCAGCAGGACAGTATCGACTCCCTCCCGTGCCAAGCAACATGCCGAGTACGCACCGCCGGGGCCACCGCCGATGACTAGAACATCGCACTTCTCCGGAATGTTCGACATCTTAACAATTTAAGTTGCGTCGATTGAGAGGCTATAGACAATAAAGGAGCAAGAAGATGATCTATGGTGATTGCTTTTGACTGGATTGTGCCGTGGCTGATATTCGTCAATTGTGTAGCTCGCTATTTATTTACTTTACGCATTCTACCATAGTGACAGTGAAACTTGTATAGGATAGACTCGGAAACCGACTTGTGCGGTGTCTGCATTTGGCCAAAAGAAACCCGTCTCAGTAAGGCAGTCTAGTGGCCGGTGCTGGAGAACGCGAACGGCCGGCTCAAGGAGAATAGATGCGAAATGGGTCGGATTCCGACTTGCGTTTGGATTTGCTTTTGCAATTGTGGGTTTTCTATGCGATAGCTGCCTTGATGGAGAGAGTAAACCCCTGTCCGTGCCGGCTGTCGCATAAGTTGAAAGTATGTACATTAAGCTACCATTTGTCCACAGAACCAATCGATCCGCCATTCCTTGGCTTACCGTTGGCGCTGCATCTCCATCCTGGAGTTTCTCGGACTATCAGTGGTGATAGATGTGATTTCGTCAAGTCATGCTAGCGCATCAGCCTCGGAAACTTGTGGTCAGGGGGGGGCCAGGGCCAAGGATGACATTCCCAGAGGCGACCCTATAATTACTGCGGGTCAATTTCGGCATATTGAGACGCGGGATCAAGTGGATTTCAGCTATTACAAGCCTCCCTGCGCTGGGACAACGGATGTGAATACTATGCAAGTCTGCGCTCTGGCAGCTCCAATCAAAATGACTCAAGCGAGCGCGGAGGGTTCTTGCCTGACAATCGAGGGTCGCATAAACCACCTATGATGTACGATCGACAGAAGCTAACTTTTCATATGAGATTCAAGCCATACCACTGTGGATCAATGTGTCGGTAACCAGGCTGACCCTTGTACCTACCAAGGCCGTTGTAGGGCGTGTTAGCTGTCTGCCCTCAGTGGCTGTTGCGGCTTCGGGGCGTGCTGCCCTCTAGCTGTAGACGTTTGTATTTCGGAATCCGAGGTTTAGGCACACCACCTCCCTCGGGGAGCCCGATCTCATGTGGGAACACGGGTCTAGAAGGGTCCAGGAAATGTGTTTGATGTCTATATTTTCATTGCTTTATATCACAGTGGAAGGGTAATCCCCCGTCGTACCGATGTCTCGTCAGCCACTGCCAAACACCCACCATGGCGCTCAACCCCATCCCCCTCAACCAGTGCGCCTGGGGAGACTATCTCTCCGCACAAGAGGCAAGCCTTCCTCATCTGGCAGATGTTGAAGTTGTTACAGACAGGGTGATTCGGATCATGGGCGGCAACCCGGGAGAGATGCAACTCCAGGGGACCAACACTTATCTAGTTGGTACGGGGAAGTCCCGTATTCTTATTGACACTGGGCAAGTAAGTCTGGGATCAAGAGTCTTTGTTTGAAAAACATGAATGACTGCCGATGTCGTCGAGTCAAACATTATATTGACATGTCTATTGCGGTGCTGACGCTTGACTTACACAGGGCATTCCCATCTGGGCAACCAATATCACCAAGCTGCTCAAAGAAAATAATCTCGAAATCTCACATGTCCTTCTCACACACTGGCACGGAGATCATACAGAAGGTGTGCCGGATCTCATCGCCTATGACCGTCGCCTCACCTCCCGGATTTACAAAGCACAGCCCAGCCCCGGTCAACTCCCCATTGAAGACGGCCAAATCTTCCGAACAGACGGTGCAATTGTACGCGCAGTATTCACCCCTGGCCATGCGGTAGATCACATGTGCTTCATTCTCGAAGAGGAGAATGCTATGTTCACGGGAGACAATGTCCTCGGCCACGGCTACAGTGTGGCGGAAGACCTCGGTGAATATATGAAAAGCCTCGAGATCATGCGCGATCAAAATTGCCTGTTCGGATATCCGGCCCACGGTATTAAAATTCTCAATCTGCCCCGGACCATTCAATTATACATTCGGCACAAAAAGCTTCGCGAGCGCCAGATCTATCATGCACTGACGAAAGTCTCTCGTACCGACGATAATGCCAAAGGCAGTTTGACAGCCCGGGAACTGGTCCATTCTCTTCACGGAGAAATTCCCGAGGACCTCTTCAAGAATGCGTTCGAGCCATTTATGACTGAGTCCTTGTGGAAGCTTGCAGAAGAGCGCAAGGTCGGGTTTGAGGTGGTCCAGGGCCGACGGCAGTGGTTTCTGAACAAGCGCGTTTGGGAGGTGAGCTCAGTGGCATAAAGGGCCGCGCCTGGTGAATCTTGATTTCCTGCCGTTCAATCTAGTAGCACGCAAGTTGTTTTGATCGATATTGTAGATCACCAATCTGTTTCGGAATTAACTGAGAATTCATCGTGCTCCAGTCAAGTAGTTATCGTATCGTTGCAGTGTATATCTACCGAGCCCAAGTAGGCAGATGTTGCCCTCGCGGTGCAAATCATCGCAATTTAAAATGGGTAAGTGTACAATGAAGCGATTATGGTAATGCATGTACGCCGGCCTCTGCCGTCTTATCGTCTCGTGTCCATGAGGTTGTCCGAAGAAAAAAAAATCTTCCGTCTAACAAGAGAATCGGCAATATCCTGATATCCTCCAAAGCTCAAAGCTTCGACTTCTTCTTGCCCGTCACATTGGAAACTTCTTGTCCTGATAGAAGGAAGTCTGGGTATTGCATGTTTCCATTCGACGAAAAGCCCCCCGACATCCGCCAGTTCGCACCGTCGACTGCAGACAAGTCAGATTGTACCATCCTTCATCAAGGATTGTCAAAGGTATCAAGAATAACTTACCGACAAGGGTCTGGCCGGTGACATAGCTTCCTGCGTCTGAGAAGAGATATACGGTGGCATCAGCAATATCGCGAACGTGTCCGAAGCGACCCAGGGGCTGGGACTTGGTGTAGGCAGCCTTCGCGTCAGATGGCAGCAGCCGCTCCAAACCCTACATATGATTGTCAGCCCAGAAACTCCAAGACAAATTCTGATAGACTCACCTCGGTCTGGGCAATCGGGCCAGGCGAAATGATGTTAGATGTCACGCCTCGCGGACCATACTCAATGGCCACGGAGTTGGATAGGGAGTCGATGCCGGCCTTGGCCACGGAGACATGGGCCTGGAAAGGCGTGCCACGGTAGTGTAAAGTTGCGCCGACAAAGATGATTCTGCCGCCGGTGCCACCAGGAGCAGGCTGGACTAGATCTGGGTCAATCTTCCCAATCCAGAACAAAAAACATTTGAGGGGAAGGGGGGCGGGCATACGAGTTTCCGAATCCATTCTGTTCTTGCCGCCCGACTCGACCAGATATGGCAGAGTGGCCTTGAGTGTGTTGTATGATCCGATCACGTCAATGTCCATGACAGACTTGAAGGCATTGACTGAGAGTTGCTCAATAGAGGCCAGGAAGTTGCCCGCGGCACCGGCGCTGCAAGAACCGTCAGTACAGAAAGCATAGCCGCAAAAACAAGCTTATGATAGGATGATAAGGCGACATACATGACATAGTCAATACCACCGAGCTCCTTCACACAGCGCTCCACCGCTTCCTTCAGGTCCTCAAACTTTCGAACATCGACGGCGCCGATACCAATGACCTTGGCCCCCGGGCGGACGGTGGCAATGTCTTGGGCCACACGCTCCGTCTTCTCTACGTTGCGGCCGATGATACAAGCGTTGGCACCCAGGTGAACCAGTGCGCGCACCTGTGCACTGCAGATGGTGCCAGCGCCGCCTGTGCAAAAGACAACCTTGTTTGCTGGAGATGTTCGTTAGTCATCAAGTTCGGATTCGGCCCAGGGGGGTTTCCTACTGAATATATCATCCTTCCAGATGTTACTAATGTACTCAGACTGTGGCAGCGGCATGATGAAAGGAGTGTCGAGGGAAGAGTGGACGGGGTATCACGTAGAGAGAGGTAGACTGGGTGGTGTTGTATTGATGCGGAGGCGACCGTCCCCGTCGCGTTTTCCCCACAGCCGCGGTTCAGCCTCGGCTGGGCCGAGGTCACGCTATGCCGATAATCGCCCAGCCTGAAGGTGACTCCCTTCACTTGCGCTGCTGCACAGCCGTTACTCCGTACATCGAACGAATAGATGTATCCCATACATGGAGCTGATTGGACCAAGCCCGTTCATAACTTTATGCCTGCGGTCGCTATGCTTGGTTCAGGTGGAGGACGCTGTGAGACATGATACCCTGTCCAGGTAGCGGGAGTACGCTTTGAGGAGTGGGCTGTTCAGAAACTCGAAGTGTCTGCTAGAAAATCCCTAGTACACCTCTGCCACTATTCAGAAGTGATCGCTCATTCAGAGCTGGCAATCCGCCCAAAGCGGTTCCGCTGGCGCTGGATGAAGAACGTGCGGTCGCTGATTGGATGGCGGCGGGCACGTCACCACCACCGGCGCCCAACAGACAAAACGACTTCCGACTTCGAGACTCTCTCGCCATCGACTCTGGCGCCTCCATTGAGCTGTCTGCTTCGCATTCCAGAGCTCATCGCGCTTTCTCTGTGATTTGGATTCCGACCGCCCATTCCACACAACGCCATGGCCTGCCCTCTCACTGTCTCCAAGTTTGTCGGCACCGTGTCGCTCGGCTTGCTGACGGTACGCGACAACCACCGACCGCTGAAACCATGCGATTCCTTGCTAATCCGATGCTTCCAATCTTCTAGGGCCTCTCATACTCCACCGCTGCCATCACGGTCCCCTCTCTTAAGCTCTTGTCCACCTCGGCCACCGCCTCCCGCTGCTTCAATGAGGTGAAGCGCCTCAACCGCAAGCATGTGCTGCGACTGTCCAGCCTCGCCAACACCTGCCTTCTTTTTGCATATGCCGCCTCACCGCCACGCCGAAAGCACCCGTTTCTAGTGTTGATGTGTGCGGTCTCCACCGTCGGCTCTTTTGGCCTGGATCTTTGGTTCAACCGACACATGGGCCTCAAGAACTGGTTCTTCAGCGTCGTCCAGGATACGACCTGTGTGCGCTTGAGCACGGCAGCCTCGACCAAGAAAGATGAAGACTTGGTGGTTGTGGAGGCTGAGGACGCGAATGGTGAGAGTGTGCAGCGTGAAATGGACAAGGAGCGCCGTCTGCAGCGCGCCCGGGCCTGGCTGTCTGGGCTGGCTTTTTCGATGGGAGTCGTGGGCCTGTGGGGGGACAAGAAGTGAGGATTATAATCCGATGACTTGTGTATCAACTTCATGTGAACTGGACTGGTTGTCATGCTAATCCTGGTCATTGAATCTCAAATGTCTATCTCTCTCTCTCTTTTTTTTTGCTTTGGCGCTATGGCGATCAGCAGGTGTTTAGGTGTTTCTCTTCATTTCCAAATCGTGAAATCCCCATTCTGGGCGGATCCGTCTCTCCTTTGCCTATGACGTTATTTTCTTTTCCCGTCTTCACATACGGTCTTTCTTCACCACATTGATTTGCTCGTCATCAAAGATGAATAAAACGGAGATATGCTAAATTCTTACATCGACAAAAAGAAGCTCAGCATATGCATCAGCCCAAGCGAGGAAGGTCAACCCTCTCGCATTTTCCGGTAGACCAATCACATTTCTAGTGTATATAGTGACGCAGCGCGCCTGACCCCAACAAAGCGGTGGTGGGGGTGGGGGTGGAGCCCTGCGGTTGGCGCTCCCACGGGCTTAACCCGCTCGCCCGCCCCGAGACTCGAGTATAAGAAGTCATCTCCAGCCTTCAAAATGTGACAAATACACACAACCTCTCACATTCACCCTGACCATATCATTCATCATGCATACCCAGCCGTGGCTCCTGATCCCAGCCCTCTTCCTTGCTGTACAACTCATCCTTCGGCTAAGTCGAGCTGTCCTATCACCATTGAAAGATATCCCAGGTCCCTTCTGGACGCGTTTCACGTCATTGTGGTATTTTAGTCGCGTGCGTCATGGTCAGTTCGAGCAGGACAATATCAAGCTACATCGGCAATATGGTGCGATCGTCCGCATTGCTCCCAACCAGTACAGCATCGACGACATCTCGGCCATAAAGACGATCTATGGACCCGGTTCTCAATTTGCCAAATCTGCCTGGTATGATGGGTGGAAACATCCCCAGCAGTGGACTCTATTCGCGGATCGTGATATCAAGCGACATGGTGTGTGAAACTGGTGGCCACCGTACCCATTTCGCCGTCGCTCATCTATTCCTGCAGCCGATACTCGAAAGCAGTTCGCGAATCTGTATTCCATGAGCTCGCTGGTTCACTATGAAGCCTTTGTAGACCACTGCGCAGGTCTATTTATGCAACGTCTGGGTGACTTTGCTGACAAGAAACAGTCGTTCAACCTGGGGCGTTGGTTCCAGTGCTACGCTTTTGATGTAATTGGGAACATCACATTTGGCGAGCGTTTCGGTATGTCCCGTCCTCTTACTCAGGACTATCGGGTTCTAATTTGATGAGGGTTCCTGGACCGTGGCGAGGATATCGATGGAGCCATCGATGCAGTGCACAGAGTGCTGATGTACAGCACTATGGTGGGAATCTATCCAGAATGGCACCCACGCCTCTTTGGCTTGCTAAGTAAATTTAAATGGTCCGGCGCCAGTGGAAGGGCATATATTGCCAAGTTCGTGCGAGAAAAGATTCGAAATCATGAGACGAACAAGATCGAGGACGAAGCGGTCGAGACCATTAAAACACAAAACTTTCTGGAGAAATTGATTCTGGCCCGTGAGAAGAACCCTGCAAAAGTGACAGACTACCACCTATTCATTATGGCACAGACGAATGTAGCGGCCGGATCTGATACAACGGCCATCAGCTTATCGGCCATCATGTGGCATCTGCTGCAGAACCGCGATAGCCTGAACAAATTGCGTGCGGAAATTGACGAGTTCGCAGCCAGAGGCAACGGTAGTCTCACCTTCAAGGACAGCCAGGACATGCCGTACTTCCAAGCAGTCATGAAGGAGGCGCTCCGTATGCACAGCGCAACCGGCTTGCCAATGTGGAGAGTTGTTCCAGCTGGAGGCGCTCAATTAGGGGGCCGGTTCTTTTCCGAAGGTACAGTCGTCGGCGCTAATACCTGGGTCGCACATTATGATGAGCGAGTCTTTCCCAATGCGAGGGCCTTCCGGCCCGAACGATGGCTTGAGGCAGAAGCCGAGCCTGAGAGGTTGAAGGAAATGAATCAGATGTATATGCCGGTAAGTGATGAGCTGCACCATTGCGACGGTGCGCCCACAGACTAAATTTCCGGTACAGTTTGGCCTTGGCTCCAGAATATGCATAGGGAAGCATGTCTCAATTCTGGAGATGTCAAAGTTGATCCCCCGTCTGCTGCAAGACTTCGAATTCACGCCCTTGAGAACGACCTGGTCCACTCAGAACTACTGGTTTGTGAAGCCCACGGACTTCGAGGTCCAGGTAAAACGACGGACAAATGAGCTTTCAACATAGAGTATTCTCAGTCAGTTCACCCCAAGATTCATGCTTCGATACTCCATGATAAGCCCATTCACATCGCCCATCTCCGTATGGTCATATCGGGGGAGGACCTGATTCCTCGCTTCATCCTCCTTGTCGTCGTACTCGTCCGTAGCTGACATAATCTTGTTTGCTTGACCCCTCTCCGGTTAAATCGATGTATGTTATCTCCATGGATATATATCGTGTAAGGTAGCACATTTCAGAACTTGACGGTCTAAACCCGTGCGATGAAGTACCTACCTTAGTCGGCGAAATACTTCAGCCCACGTGGTTTCTCAAACGACTTCTTCAATCCAGCCATGCGTTTCAATATCCTTTTGCTGGCTATATGTGGTTCGCACCGTTTGCCAAATCCTCCCTCCGGGCATTGGATATTTTGCGATAGAAACGATACCTATAGGCTAACCAACCTTCAAATGCCGAAGTGACTCCGATCGCGTGCTTAGTGCTGATTATCGCGAGTTGGCCGAAGTCAGAACATAACTTGTATCCATTGTTAGTTATTGGTTCTTGAATTTATAAGCGATGCTTAGAAATATCAGCTGTCGCTAGGCTGTGTCAATCCCGAGCAATGCTGACAATGCTGACAATGCTGACAATGCTGCCATGCAGGTATTTAAAATGACACTGAAGATGATGACCACTCAATGAATCCCACTTCGAAATCTATCAAATTTCACAAAAAGTGCGTGAGGTTATTGCCTTTTAACAGTTTTAAAAGCAACGCCATGGCTCTACAGCAGGCCAAAGTCAAAGCAGTATTCTTTGACTTTATGGGGACATGTCTGGATTGGCACAGCAGTGTCGTCCGATCATTGCCTCCGTCCATCCCCGGCGTGGATGCTTCGCAGTTCGCACTCGAATGGCGGAAACAGTACTTTATTGCAAACAATCAGCGGTACATCGAGGGTCTCGAACCGGAAGACATCGACCTAACCCTCGCGCGTGTCCTCGAAGCCGTTCTCGATCAATTTCCCGATGTCAAGTCCCATATTGATACGCAGGCGAAGAAACGACTGGTGGAAGCTTGGCATTCTCAGCCAGCCTGGTCAGAGGTGCAAAGGGCGATACAAAGTGTCCGGGAAGACCTCGGTCTAGAAGTCTTCGTTCACGCCAATGGGACGACACGTCTTCAGCTTGATCTCACGCGCTCTTCGGGGTTGCGCTTCCATATGCTTTTCTCGAGTGAGCTGCTGGGGGTATACAAACCAAGTCCTGACGCATACCAGAAGGCCTTACAACTCGTCAAACTCCCGCCAGAGGAGGTGGTGCTGGTTGCGGCCCACGCCTATGATTTACGAGGGGCTCAAAATGTTGGAATGAAGACTATCTACATCCACCGGTGGACCGATGATATTGACGAGGATATTGAGAAAGTAAAAACTGAGTTTGATGTGTTTCTGGAGAATATGGAGACTTTGCCGGAGGCCATTGCGAATATTTGAATCTGAGGTTGAGTGCGCAAATTTCTCCAGACTCTTGTTAAAGGAGGTTCAAGAGCGTGGTCGATCACTTAGAGAAATGAGCCTAACTAAGATGTATTCCTTTTCCTGACTAAGTTTGCGATCAAGACAGCAATAGATCGGCGGACAACATTTCCATGCACCAGTCCTTCCACGGGAACGGCACGGACGATTCTCTGTTGGAGCTCTCGGAAAGCTCCGAGCGGGTGGACTGTGCTTCCGTGGACAACGTCCTCAGCGTCACACTCGATAACAGCTCCGACAAGCTGCCCGGGCAGCCGTGGGTGCAGAGTGGTGCGAGTACTGGCACCAGCACTGGCTCAAGCACATCCTCCACGCAGACAAGGGCCAAGGGCGGATTCGAAGCGGATGCTCCTTGCGACCGTCGGGACGGCCTTCAGCGCGCTCCTTTACGCCCTGGGCTGACGCGGCCAGTCGACGACGCTACCCCTTGTTTTCTTTATGGATTGTGTGTCGAGAATCAAATGTTGAATGAAAGCCAAGCTAATCTTTGGGGGTTCAAACACATATTCACACGTGTGAAGAGCAGTCTGGCGCCCATAAAATGATCAGTAGGCCCGCTGATCATCGGTTCGGATCTACCAGCGAAGTATGAACCAGACAAAGTCGATCTCGTCCCTGTCGATCGCCGCGCCTCGCTTCGGCGTTGGAAGTATGAAGGGCTTCGTGCAATTACCCCTTGAATCACAGCTTTGACCCGCTACATGTTGGCGTCTCGATTTCTGGGCAATTCTGGGCAATTCTGGGCAAAACTCAGTCTTCTCCCATTCCCCCCATGCTCCCGTTCTGCTGCATTCTGCTTCCCGGCCGTATCCGACCATCACAGAACCCAACATGCGACACCGTGCCACCTGATTCCTCGTCACCCAGCGAACCGCTCTGTCGCAATTCGTGACGTCCGCTCCTTATGCCCCTCTTGGCCTCGTACCCGCGCACGTTTCGCCGGGTGCTGGTCCGAAGCCGCATCCTGCGGTCGCTGCTCATCCTCTTCATAGCGTGGAATCTCATCGAGCTCCACCTGATCCTCCGCCGCATCTCCGAAACAGACATCATCTACCGCGAGCATCCCCGCCGACATGAACGAATTTACATTGCCATGGTCAACTGGAATAATGAATTCATCTTACGGAGCCATCTCAGCAAGGCGATTACGGAGCTTTCCTGGAAGCTCGGCCCGGACAACGTATATATCAGCGTCTACGAGAGCGGCAGCTACGACAATACGAAAGGCGCGCTGATGGATCTCGATGCGGAACTGGATCGGCTGCATGTCCCGCGCAATATTACTTTGTCGCCCATCACGCACGAGCAAGAGATCGCCGCCGCCCCAGGCAACGAGGGGTGGGTTGTGACGCCTCGGGGCAAGAAGGAACTCAGGCGCATTCCATACTTGTCGCGAGCTCGAAATCGCAGTCTGGAACCACTGCACGAGTTGGCCAAGCAGGGGATATATTTTGATAAGATCTTATTTCTCAACGACGTCGTGTTCACGGTTCGTGGCCATCATGACCAGCATGTGGGATTGGGAAAACAATACTGACGAAAAGCGACTGATCCAGTCCAATGACGTGTTTGAGCTGCTCGATACCAATGATGGAGACTATGCAGCCGCATGCTCCTTAGACTTCTCCAAGCCACCGTACTACTATGATACGTTCGCTCTGCGCGACGCCCACGGCCATGAGGCCGTCATGCCTACATGGCCATTCTTTCGCGATTCTTCATCTCGCTATGCTATGAAAAACTTATTACCGGTGCCAGTAACGAGCTGCTGGAATGGAATGGGTATGACTTGTTGTTATGGCTTTATATCAGGGCACCTGCTAATATAAGCACAGTGGCAATGCCGGCCGCACCTTTTCTGGCCAATCCACCCCTTCGATTTCGGGGGATTCCCGATTCACTAGCCGCTTTCCATCTTGAGGGCTCCGAATGCTGTCTCATTCATGCCGATAACCCTCTATCCACCCAACATGGGGTCTACCTCAATCCTCTAGTGCGTGTGGGCTACACTACTGCGGCGTATGTGGCGGTCAACCCCATCTTGAACTGGTTATCCCCCAGAACCATCTTGCAAGGATTGTGGATCAACAGACTACGTCGCTGGACGACGTTCACCTGGTTGAAGGAGCGATTGCTTCACAATCGAATCGCCGATTGGTCTCACCTATCCCCTGAAAACAAAGAGCCCGGGCAGTTCTGTGTTATTAACGAGATGCAAATACTGGACCCTCGGGGTTGGTACCATGTATAGCAGGTTTGCATACTGTCGAACTCAAAAGGTTGACTTATTCATTCGTTACATTCGTTAGATGCATGTCACGTCTCCTAAATCTGCGCCCCCGTAGCCCGGCCACAGCGTCCATAAGGGGTTGTCTGCGCTCGGGGACTCTCTTTACCCCCCGTGGAGGACTCTCTCATATTCGGGCCGAGCCCACTGCACCATCCACTCCGACTCCAGAACCTGTCTTGCAGTGATGCGCCCCTCGGGGCGGAACACAAGCATCGATCGTAGCAGCGAGAAAAAGGCATCTTTCTCCTCCGGTTCCATTGTCATCATACCCCTTTCCCGTCGTGGCTGCTGCACGGCGTTTTCGAATCTTGTCTCCCAGTCTGGGTAGCACACGGCGTCTACTGGTCTGCCGTGTTTGTTGAATCGCCGGCGTAGCCGATCGTTCTTCCTTCCCCATGCGGACCACCACCCAGTGGGCAATCTTCCCAGTATGGCGACTTGCTCAGATGTCACGTCATTCTCCTTGGAGAAATAACTCTTAAACAACGGGAACCAAGCAACCATATCCCACAGCGAGCAAGCTAATGTCCAGATATCGGATGGAAACGTCATTGGCGTCCGACGATCCCACAGAGCTTCCGGTGGCTGGTATGCTGGAGGAGCGTTCGATGTGTATCGCGATTGAAGAGAGGGCAGGTATGCTTCTCCAAAGTCTATGAGCATTATTTTCGCCTCGGGAAGCATGATCTGATCACTGGTCTTCCCAAGCCACACAGGCACAATGCAATCGGTGGGACCCGCAGGAGTCAGTGGCTGACCATCCGCACCAACGACAGGGATGCGCATGGGCTCCCCATATTTCCTGTAGAGAGTTTCGAGGGAAAGTTGATTGATGTCGAATGGCAACCGAAGGACCATGTTGGCAAGACGGACGTCGCCGTGGACATAGCCCTTCTCGTGGATGTGCGTGACGGCAATCGCAAGTTGAGCCGCCATCGCCCGAGCAACATCCAGTCGGAAACCCCCATTGTGAGAGCTCGTCTTAGCACGCTTCAAGTTTGCACCTGAAGGAGTAGTCACGTAGCAAGGGTGCTTGCCATTGGGTCCGTGGGCCTCGAATGCGTCCAAGACAGGGGGAATCACCGATCTGACGATACTGATGTCGAAGGTCTGAGAGGTCTGCAGGCACGCGATCACGTCTACTTCGAGTGGATGCGAGTATCCGGTGCCGACCTTGACGGCGACATATTTCTCGGTCCTTTCATCACGCGCCAGCCATATCGTCGAGTACGCGCCGAAACCTAGCTTGTGCATAACGCGATAGTGGCCCCCGAGGATATCGCCGATATCCACTGGATGATAGCCACCCATCCGGTAGCGCTTGAGTCTTTCGATTGCGCCCAGTGGGACGTAGTCAGCTGCATCAGATTGTTCTGTGTGCGGGTCGCTGGCAGGCATGTTGGAGCGATTGCAAAATGTCCAAATGAGGAAGAAAGGGATACGAACACGTCCGCGAATGATACGGATTAAAGAAAGATGATGAGGGAGATGCGTGAGAAAAACAGTTTGACAACCAAGGCGTGCGTGAGCAGACAAAAGCGTCAACAATGGGACGTTTACCTCATTTGCATACATCGCCGCCTCGTCCCTGAGGACGCCCAATACCTTCCGATGTCAATGCGAGGTTCGCTTACAGTTTGGTTTGGCATTGAGTAATGGATCGTAGCCTATTTTCTTTGCTTCAAGAGCATTTTCACTCGCCAGATACCTCCGAATGTACAGATGTATGAGTTGAAAACTGTATCAGCCACGCATGTCGGCCTATCTAAGCGTCAATGAGTAGTCCTCAATTTCATGCCAGGAGAAAGAAAGCCCTGCCCTCGCTGACTGGGGTCGTTGATTACCACAACACCGCCCCAACATTTCGATTCATTCTTTGTGTAAAGATGATAATTAGGGCACCATTCACAGGTCCAATGTTTGCCACTATGTACAGTGGTAATTTCTAAATTATATACCTATTTACACGGTGAAATTCGGTGTCGCCACTCCAGAATGGGAGAATGGAAGTGGTCGATGCATCACGACAAACCCGAGATCCTTCACAAGTGTACACTCCAGTGCACACTTTCATTTCTCCCCGGAGGTATTACACCTCTTGGCAGACCGCACATTTGTGATTATTGATCGCTGCCAGGTGCGGTGAGCTGGAGGATCTCAGGTATGATCCATTACTAGCAGCTAGGCCTTCACCAGACTATACGGAGTGTTCGGATAACTTCTCCTCAGCGGATGCGTCCACGGGCAGGGGCGCCGGAGCGGGTGTGGCTGCAGGTTTCGGCGGGGCGGGTGGCGCAATCCAGAATACCGGATACCGACGTTGCAAATTATTCAGCAGCAGAGCGCAGCACATGAGCATGGTAGACGACAGCAGAACAACCGGTAAGAAGTACCACGAGAGATTCCAGATCTCATCATTAGTGGCAGGGAGCAAAGCAGTGGCACCCGCCGGCGGGTGGGTGGTTCCAGTGAGCTGCATCACCACAATGGCAGTTGCGGTTGACAATGAGGCTGCGAGCCAGCGCAACGACTCAAAGCGTGCCTGGTCGGGCATCAAGCTGAATAACTTAGTGATGCAAACGCCGATCAGGGCGCTGAAAAAGTGACCGAAGACCAAGGCGCGAGGCTGGGCTAGCGGGCTTTCAATAGCGCCGAAAACGAGGACGGCCGATGCACCCTATAGATTTTGCCCAAGGGCCCAGTCAGCGATCAACGGGTCTGCGAAGCCGGGCTGAGTCACCAGCCGTATTCCTTGGAACTTACATAGGATGCGACAATGCCCGGTACATGACGCGAAGTGAAGTAATGAGAATAGTTGAAGAGCCCTTGCACCACTGAGAGACCGCAGAAAGCTGTGATGAAGGACCACGCGGCGATCTGCCATGTTGGTAGGGGCTTCGGTGCCTTGGCGCGGTAGCCCAGCCAGTGGCTGATCCACGGTGGGAGGCGAGACAGACGCGACGGCGGCATACGGTGGGAGTGAGAGATCCGACAGAAGGTCAAGAATGATATTATGAGATCCCGGTCATCTCACTGGGAAAAAGAAAGGAGAAAATAATCATTTCAAACCTGCCCTGCGCTAGCGTCATTTCGAATGAGGAGAAAAGTTCGTGAGGAGAAGGCGTGCGGAGAAGGAATGAGGTTGGACGTTCAAGTGGGGCGCACCCTTTTTTTCACGTAATAGCAACGGTTCCCGTTAGCAATGCCAGCCGCCTCTCCAACTGATGCGGAGTTACATTCAAAAGAGAAGTAAGCGTTGTGGATGTCGCTAGGTTGAATTGATCTCTTCTGAACCCGAACTGCCATTATTCATATAGAAGATAAATAGATACAGACATAGGATATAGGCAGCCTAGAGGATTAGCTACATTCATTCCCGCAATTGGTACGCGGATACAAACGCGTGAAGTTATTTCATAGTTTCGCCAGTAAGGCTGCACACTGCTGAGCAGAGCTCGACGTGGATACAAAAGACATGCTAGGATCATTGTTGAGACCAATCTCCGCAAGGGTAGAAGCTAGAAGGATATTAGCAGGCGAATTATCATCGGCGAAGCTTTGCATACTCACCTTGAGGATTATATTTTGGCCATCCCAGTGCCTCTAGTCCATGATCTGGATCAGCAATGAATGCCGCCCAGGCTGACCGCATCTTATTCTGCAGCTGGCGCTGTGCATCGGAGATTGCGATCCCAGTAATCTCAGCAGATTCGCCATAAATCATGTTGAGCTCAACACCGTGGTACGCTCCGCTGGTGGGGTACAGGCGGGTGTTCTCCCAATCTGCTTGGTATTGAAATCGCCAAACAGGAGTGTGACGAAGACTCCGGTGCGCGGCTTCGAGGTTGGAGGGACAGAAGAAAGTTTGCATATTGAAGTCATCCCACTGCTGATCTGTCAACGTGGAGCCTTGAGCGTACGAGGCAATTTTGTAAAATCCTGCTTCATTTGCGTTGTGGCCGACCAAGTAGGGCTGGTTCGGGCGAGGGGCCGGTTAGCATCTCCATGAACACAAATGCATACATCTGGTATCTGGAATAGCCCACTTACGATGCGCGCAAATTTCCCTTGCTGTGAAAGGGCAGTATAGTTCTCAAAAACAGTCACATCATCCACAGTGGGCTGAAATGCCGGGGATTTTCTAGCAGGGTTGGTAGTCGGAACCTTTACGGCGCTGGCAGCAGCCAGGATGGCACTAGCTTTCTGGTTCCTCATGCACGGCAGAACATCTCCCGAAGAGCCACAGCCCAGTTGAGCGGAGACTGTATACCAATGATTTGCCGCGGTTGTTCGATTATTTGTCGGGAAGCTGAGGGCCGTGCCAGAGTGCGAAATCAGGCCGGCGACGAGCGGCTCGGATCGATAGGCATATGCCCAATAATCGACAGAAGCACTCCCACAAGACTGGCCGGAGATGACGATGCGGTTTTCATCACCTCCGAATCCCCGGATATTTTTTTTCAGCCATTCGATCGCCAGACGTTGGTCCAGCAGACCCAGGTTCGAAGGATGTCCAGGCAACCCGGGAAACCCGAAGATGTTCATACGGTAGTTGACCGTTACGACGATTACATCTTCCGCATCAGCAAATCCGCCGCCATAGTAGAAAGGAGTGTCGGTCGTGCCGCTGGTCCATCCTATGGCAAAGGTCAGAATCGTGGAATAAGAAAAAGAGATATATGTTCCAGGCGGTAGGATGGAGAAGCAAAAACCTACTGCCGCCGTAGAAATGAACATAAACTGGCTTGAGTTTATTCGAGTCTGGCTTCGACCAAATGTTCAGAGTCAAACAATCTTCACTCTGCGTGTTGTTGTTGATAGCCGCGAATGCTTCAAAAATGCTGTCGAATTGCGGAGTCTTGTCGGGATAGTTGACTAGGCTGGACACCGAGTACATACACTGCCTTTACGACACAAGTCCATTAATCGAAAATGCAGACACAGACTCGTCTCTCAAGATCGCACTTACTTTCCCTGTATTATCCTATGAGTAAAAACTCATTCTGGTGTTTATGTGTTCTATCGTGGGGGACGAGGAAGGGAATGGGGGATGAGATGGAATCGTACATATTGTGATGCAGTATAAACGCCCTGAGGCGTGTGCGGCTCGGGCGGTGCAAATCGCAATTGGCCGACCGGCGGCTGAGCATAGGGAACCCCCAACCATTCTGCGACCCCTGGATTCTTCGGTGCTTCATGGCCCTGGATGATTCCATTCGGCCCAATATGGACCTGCTGCGCGGTAGCGACCGCCGCAATGGCCAACCAGATTACCCTCATGCCTTCTTTGTATGCGTTTTCAATTGAATTCCGAGGCGGGCAGGGGAGAGGGAGACCGAGGAAGATGGTTGGGGGGAGAAGCCGGGTACATATTAGAAGTGCATTGACGTATCTAAAGTAGCGCCAAAAGGAACATGAACTAAGTGGGGGGTGAAGCCCGCAAGAGCCAAACAAACCGTGGCCATTCTGCACGGAGCTACGTAGTCAGTGTTCACGGTTTCAGGTTCATACCAATTTCATTTGGACCCCAACGGGGGCTGTCCGAGGTCACATCAGATACCCTGCATTCGCACGCAAAAATCCTTCACCGGTCCTGAGATCTCAACAAAATAATTAAGACCCCCAGTTCCCCCCCTTGTACTCAGTAGATGCCTATCAACAATGGATATTTTGGATTTCCGAGGCGATACATTCTGACATGACAATGTGATCGGAAGTATGGTGTTTTACGGACAAACTGTCGACGGCATGCCGGATAGGGGTCATATCCTTTTCGTTACGGCGCTGGTGATGGTGCTCATTGCGGCCTTGTTTGTCGTAATCCGTCTGGCAACCAGGATTCATCTGAGGCAGTTCGGCTGGGATGACCTTTTCCTCGTCATCGCTCTGCTCGCATCGGTCTTAACGACAACCACTATCAACCTGGGTAAGTCGACAGTCTGTGTGCATTGACGCAGATACGCCCACCGTCCAGTTTCTAAGCGCTGAATTTGCCTATTCAGCGGTGGTAAATGGCTATGGCAGACATACAGTGGATATGGGAGAGAGCATTCATGCAGCTCAGATGGTATGTTCGATCATTTCCGTGACAGTCAAGCCTCATGCAGGATTCTCACAGTATAGCAGTGGTTTTTCATTGCCCAGGTTCCCTACAAGGTCGCCCTTGGCTTTACGAAGGCATCGATCGTCCTCCTTTATCTCCGAATATTCATTACAGAGACGTTCCAACGCGTGGGAAAAGCCTATCTGGCCGTCATCGCCGCATGGACAACCGCATCTGTCCTCGTTACGATTTTTCAGTGCGTTCCCATCGAAGCTTCGTGGAACAAAGACATTACCAATAATAGATGCGTGGACAAGGATAGCTGGTGGTATGCATTTGCTGCCATCAATACTATCACAGACTTTTCGATCGCCATCCTCCCTATCCCACCAATCCGTCACCTGAAGCTTTCGAAGCGAGACAGAATAGGCTTGTTCTGCGTTTTCGGGGTTGGAGCCTTGTATGTTGTTATCTACTCCTATCTGTCCCTTGCATCGATCGAAGATCTAATTCATGACCATGATGGAAAGTGTCTGTGTCACTAGTATTCTCCGTACGGTTGCAGTGTCTCAAACATCGACAGGGCTAGATCAGAGCTGTGAGTACATTCAAAGCATTGAAAAGTGGGGGGTTGGGACAATGACTGCTCACACCGGTCAATATAGGGGACTTCATCCCTCGCTCAGTCTGGACTCTGGTCGAATGCAACATGGGAATAATCTGTGCATGTCTCCCTATGATGCGCCGACCTTTGAGCTTTGTGTTTCCATGGCTTTTCAGAGGTTCTACTCAGAATGAATCTGAAGGAGTCAGCTATATTCCCATTGAACTCAAATATATAAATCGCCCACGGCACCCACGGCGCCCACGAGGGAGCCAAAGCCAGGAGGAGATCCTGCAAACAGAGGCAAGAGGGGAGGTTATTTTGACAGGGGGACGAGACACTCATATCTCTGTTCCAACAGAGATCCAACAAAATGGCGCCAACTCTGAAGAAAGGAGGAATTTGGATGGACACACACTTTGATAACCTATGTCGGAGCCTACCGCACCCTATCCAGGCCCATCTAAGCCATCCGGGTTGGCATATATAATATACCTACCAAGCGACAAGTATAAGAGAACAAGCAAAACGACATAGTCTCTGGAGACACACAAATGAATTATAGAGACAACAGGCAAAGAGACGATATGCACATTATCAGCAGCATTGAATTACTCCGCTGATGAGAAAATCTCGACTTGACTCACCGCCACGCCGGGGATCTCAGAGCCGTAAAGCGAAATGAAGAGTGGTCTAAAAAGGACAGAATGGCACTAAAGACGGGAGTGAAGAGCCTATGGAAAGCGATCTGCTGCCTTTCCTCTTTCTTCTGGTTCACGAGAGGGGGTGCGCGGGTGCATACTAAGGTGGGTGAGTTTTAATATTAGTGGGATATGGTCTGCTCCATTTACAGAGACAGTCTGATAGACCTCGGCAGATGGCTAAATGGTGATTTCATATGTCTACCTATGAGAATGATGTGGTAAAATCTATTTGCTAAGACTATGTTGGCTGTAGGGAATACAGCTTAGGTACGACTGAAAGGGCGGGAGGCCCTATCCCCCACTCTACTGTCTTATGGAGTAGTAGATATACGATTGAAAAGACACAAAGCATGGTCTGAATCCATAATCTAATAAAATCCCCAGATCTAATTAGGGATCGCTGGCTGATGCGAACTAACATCAGATAAGGGTAATCTCAAGAAAATACATCGACAAATAGATAATGACAGTGGTTCCTCCCATCAACATCGGAAGTATAGAAAGCAGGTTTCCACCAATATTATACAGTTAAATCAGGCCTCAGCTCCCGAGTCACAATGTGTGATTCTCCTAACGCGCCCTTCATCACGAGCACCAGGTCATCAACCGTACCCAAGAATTTAAGGTAGGCAGTCAAGGCAACACAGAAGCGGCGATAATTCTCATCGCGAATGAGATCCGTGCTAAGCTCAATCTGAACTTGGTGAACTTGCCAGTACTCGTAGCAACGCTTGAGTAGTGGCGTTGGAAGCACCTCCGGAAGAGGGTCGCCAGTCTTGAGAGCCTGCTCTAAAATGCCCAGAACCGCCATGACATCACCTATACTGCGATGGTCTAGAAGACCGGTGCGGCGCGCAAGGGAGTCCTGGAACTGCTCTGGCAAAGACGCTGATAGAAATAGCAGGCGCGCAAGGTGTTGGTTCATTCCATGGCAAAGAGACTTCACCTGGCCAAGGGTATCGCTGTCAAAAGGAGAGGAAGAGAACTCCAGGCGGAGCAATGCAACAGGACCATCAAGGGCTGAGAGCGCATCGGCGAGGTCGAGCGCAAGCTGTTCTGCCATGAGGCCTTCATCACGGTCGGGTTGATTCCAGCATGACAAGAGGAGTGCATAGTGATCAGCCAGCGCCCGAAGGGTATTTGACAATGACTTGCAAACGTGTCGTGCCGCAGATGGGGGTCGAGGGATGATTTGCACGATCAAGGTCGCAGCATATCCGACAAGCACGAGCGCGAGTCGTCGCCAGTAAACATTGTAGCCCCAGCCAGGGTTACCGTATGTTGGGATGTGTCTGATGATTCTGTCAGTCAGATGAAACCAATATAAATCAGGCGGCAATGGAACAACTCACGTGTCATTATAGCTGTATCCAATCACCAAGATACAGGTTGCACCTCCCATCATGGTGCCTTGCATTAACGCTCGAGGAGCGAAAATGCGTGCCCACATGAGGAGAAGAAGAACCAGAGCCAGGATCGCAGCGAGGCCGTAAGGGTTTCCAGTGCCATTGCCCGAGCCAATATACCAAGCCACCAAGGCCATGGTGCCACCGACCACAGTTCCAAGCCCACGAGTCGTGAATGACAGGACAAAATCCGACATATAAACGACGACCCCAGTCTGACCCATGATCAGAGCCCATAGACCCTTCTCCCGGTAGAAAAAACCTGCACTAGACGGGATCACTGCCGGGATGCCGAGTGCGACAGAGACCACCACCATACGCAACGCGTACATGCCTTCAGCACAGATGAACCAATGATAGGTGCCAAGCAAAACCCGTCCCAAGCCGCTGCGTCGTTTGACTTTATATCCCCGATTCATGTTTAGACTTTGCTCGGCCGCTTTTGATTGCTCCTCGACCTCATCGGGATCAGCCACCGGGGATTGTGCTGTCTGGACAGGCGCAACAGCAGTTCTGTGGAACACCCAATCAAACGCGTATCGCATTCCTTTCGGACACCAGAGGCGGACTGTTTTCCGTTCCTTCATCAGCGCGACCAGCTGGTCCAAAACCTTTCCCCAAGAGTCCGCGATGCCAAGGATCTGTTCTTCAAAGACCATGCCAATGGCAATTCCCCTTACTTTGTGCATGGTGGGTTCGTCGATGCTTTTCAACTTGCCACTTTCGTCAAAAATGTCCGCATTGGTCTGAATGAGGCGTTCTGTGGTTTCAGAAGCAAATGATGCGCGTAAGCTGCGGAGCGCCTCAAGAGAAGTTTCACTTCTCTTGCACAGTTCGTTCAACCGCTCCTTGGACGGCTGGCCAAACCAGCGTGAAGAATTCACCGCATGAATGCAGTCGGCAACGACCATACTAGCCTCTTGGCAGGCGGGTAGAATCTTGCTGCAAGGCTGTCGAATGGCTTCGAGCATCTCCTGCCGAAGAGCCTCATGTTCGGGGGTATTGAAAGCTTTCATGAGGCTAAGGCTGTCCAATAATTGACGCATGCCGGCTTCACGTTGTTTATTTCCTTTCTTTCTCTCCTGAATCTCGGCCTCCGAATACTGATTATGCGTTGCTGTGATTGCCCGGAGTTTTTCCAGCTTCTCCTCTCCTCCCACGCGACCTATGTGAAACTCCAGCAGGGACAAAGTGCTCAATGAAGCTTGCCGAATAGGCTCCTTCAAGCTCTTGACATCATCTGCATTCCACCGGCTCACTGAGAAATCCAGCGGCAAGAAAGCGAGTGCGGGCTCGATCTTCTTATACGCGGCGAGAATTTTCATTTTGAGCTTCTGCAGGTCTTTCAGATCCAGAGCCTCTCCCTCGATTAAATTGGCTACGGTCGCATCCAACGGGCCCTTGAGGAGGAGTACGGCTCCTTCCAGGCCTTCAAGAACGGTGTGGGAAGTCGATCTTGGGAAGAAAAGGATATTGCAAGCTAATCCAATTCCAATCCCAATGGCTGCTGGCTCAATTAAGACCTTCGGGAGGGTTCCATCGAATGATGGAAGCAATGGTCCGACAGTTAGAAACAGGTCCATGATGATAGTACCAAAGATCTGGAACAGGATGAACTTGAAGTTTTTGGCTCGGAGACGCGCCTAGAATCTGTTAGAACCTATGTGACTTCATGCGGTCAATGATGAGCAGATCTTACGAGGAGATAAATCATGGTACAAATGAGGCAAAAGTAGACAGCTGTAACGCGGGCGTCCAGCATGAAGCCGTTGAAGATAAGCTCTCGTTCCACGAGCGTAATAGGCTGTCCAGTCGAGTTGGCGATGCTATAAGCCTGTTGGCCCAGGGCTTGCAGTCTGGCTTGAGTCTCGGCAGCCGGCCGCGCCGCCAGGGCAGCTTTCATGGCGATGACACCCCACGCCCAGCCAACGGCCATGCCAATGATGAGGGTCAGCATGGCCAGGATGAAGATAAACACAATGCCACTCGGAGGAACCGTGAAAAGCACCAGCCTGGTCGTCCAATTAGCGACGTACTCCACTCCGTGAATTATACATATTTTCACTCACGTCGCGAAGAAAGTGGCCGTCCCGATCGTGCTCAGGGACGGATTGATCAAGATCAAGAGTGAGGCAACCCATGCCGCGACCGTACAGCGAAGTAGAATCTTCAGATCGGGCACATTGAAGTGGTCCAGCCATCCGGGCAACTTCCTGTGTCGGTGAGATGTCCACACCTCCTTCTCCGGCATGGCGGAGTTCTCTGAACTCGTTGCTGGTGAGGTGCCGTTAGGCTCCTCATCGCGTCGAGTGGAGTCGGACATTTGGCTTAGTTATGCCTCTCTCATCGGGATCCGAGAGGTATGTTACACCAAATCTTAAGAAGCAGCGCTAGGCGCGTGTGGGTGGAACAGGGATCGGATCACCAAGCGAAATTTGCTTAGCATCCCTCGCGCTGAGACCACAAGGAGGTCCGAGCGAACGAGCAAAAGCGGGGGGGGGGGGAGCTGAGGTAAGTTTCTCGATCCGCTGAGTAAGTCGAAGTTAATCAACTTACAAAAATACGTGTGGATGTGATTGTTTAAGTGACTAAGGTCGCCTGGCATTGGCTTCAACTCGCATCCTCCCCGCACAAAGCATCGTCTCGACGCCGACATCTGCCACGTCCTCCGGCCCGGCAGTTTATGCGCGACAATTGCAGTGCAGTTGTGCAGGACGCAGAGAATGTGAACGACTAAGGTTCCGGGCGCCAGGTTTCAATGGGTCAGGTTGAAGACTCTTCATCATCCACGAATCAAAAGCCATTCTTTGTGGCGGGTACCTAACTTGAAACGGATTATCTGGTGCTCGAAGGGGCGAAGTATAGGTACTCCGTCCTCTATAGAGTTACATAACTCTTACAGGCTCCCGTCTCTCTCATGATACAACCGGCTTTGGTTGATAGAGACCTGATGTCTGAATCGACCGGATATCAAGAGGATCTCTGCCCGCACAGGTAAAGCAAAATGATGCGCTTTTCGACAGAAGCGGGTACTTTATCTCCCGCCGGCTGCCGCATCCGAGGTAATTGCCTCAGGCAGCAAAACTCAATTTAAACATTTCACGGGCGATCGGCAACTCTGCAGAAATCTCGAACTGGGGCAATCTAGAACGATCGCCCGTCGCACCGGCCCCATCGGCACACAACACGCTCAGGAACATTATTGGCACCTGTGAAAAATAAACTGAACCATCGAATACCGCCTCACAGTCCTAAGGTGAGGCTCCATATCTGCAACACGGCCCTTGCCTTGTCCGCCCCGACATGGCCTGCCCGGGATCTCCAGGATAAAGATGCCTGTCATACCCCCGGACCAACCACCACTCCCATAGTCAAGTTGAAGAGGGTTTATGACAAGAGTCCTGCAACAACAATATTCGCAGTTTGCCTCCCCGAACTACCCGTGTGAAAAATTCACAGATTGCCTCCCGAGAAAAGTGGAGATCCGGGTGCCATGGACCCAATGAGACCCTGTATAGTGGAGCGTGTGCCGTGGTGTCAAGACAGAGAGCCGATGTCGTGATCTGACGCGCTTAGAGATTTCGGAGCAAGAAATAGAGCTGGTTCCCACATGAACTCGCGATTATACACACTTTCGTTTTCACCAGTGGATTCATATATGGGACCTTTTGACTAGGTGGTTCGGTCCCATTCTATACATCCCAAAAGATCACCTATACCTGTCACCGGCCAGACGATGGAGAAGTCTACGTTGGCCACGGACACCATCCGTCCGGATGCTACGAAGCTCGATGATTACGACGCGGATCCCAAGGAGGAGCTCCAGCTCAATGTCGGCGGTCGCGGTGCCACCCAGCGCCGTCTGCGGAACTACCAGGTCACCATGATCGGCTTCTGCAGTGGTATTGGCACTGGTCTGTTCGTCGGTACAGGCTCCGCCTACGCCAAGGCTGGTCCTGCCGGCCTGCTGTTGGCGTATATCATTGTCGGTATGGTGCTGTGGTGCGTCATGCAAAGTATTGCGGAACTGGCAACACTCTTCCCTACCGCCGGGTCGTTCCCTCACTGGGCGACGCGCTTCGTCGATCCGGCTGTGGGCTTCTCGCTGGCTATCTCTTACGGTTACTGTTATACGATCGCTATTGCCTCAGAAACATCGGCGGCGGCCATCATTGTGTCTTATTGGACAGATATGACGCCAGCCGTCGTCATCACGGTTGGCTTAATACTAATCCTAATCATCAACCTGATGAGTGTGCGATTCTACGGTGAAACGGAAGTCATCGGAGGTGCCGTCAAGGTCCTATGCTTTCTGGGATTGGTGGTCACGTCTATTGTCATCACATCTGGCGGCGGCCCGAACCATGAAACCATCGGCTTCCGCTACTGGCACAATCCCGGCCCATGGACGAACTACAACGGCGTCACCGGCCCAACTGGCCATTTCCTCGGCTTCCTGTCCTCGTTCGTCAATGCTTCGTTCAGCTTCATTGGTGTCGAGACCGTCGTCATTACTGCTGCCGAGTCGGTCGACCCCCACCGCGCTATCCCCAAGGCTGCCCGCCGCGTCACCTACCGCATTGGATTCTTCTATGTTCTTGGTGCACTTCTCATTGGCATCATTGTGGACCCCAGGGACCCTTCGCTCACTTCTGGCTCCGGCAATGCGAACAGCTCGCCATTCGTTATTGCGATCAAGGAAGCTGGCATCAATGTGCTGCCGTCGATTGTGAATGCTTGTATTCTCATTGCCGCCTGGTCTGCTGGCAATTCATACTGCTGGGTTGGATCGCGCATGATTGTGGCTATGACAACGGATCACCAGCTGCCCCAAATCTTTGGCCGCGTAAACAGGTACGGAGTTCCGTATATCGCTGTCGTCGCGGCCTGGCTCTTTGGACCATTGGCCTATCTGAGTATGTTCATTCTTTCTGAGTCCGTGGAGCAATTTGAACTAACAAATCATCAGGTCTTGGAAGTGGTGGTGCGGCACAGGCCTTTACCTGGCTTCTTAACCTCAGTACCGTTGCGGGCTTAATCGCGTGGGCCACTCTCTCCTTCTGCTACATCCGTTTCCACGCTGCGATGAAGGCACAGGGTGTGTCTCGGGACTCGCTTCCTTGGAAGGGGCCCTTCCAGCCATATGCCGCCTGGGTTGGCTTCATTGGCGCTACCATTATTACTCTGGTTGCCGGCTTCCCTGTCTTCTTGAAGGGCAACTGGAATACATCCAACTTTATTGCATCATACATCGGCATTCCTCTTTTCATTGTGCCGATCATCGGCTGGAAGCTTTGGTTCCGCACGAAGGTCAGTTGTTCACCTTAGAACCCTTTCTGCTCCTTTAAACAATTACTGACGAGTTCTCTCTACAGTTTCAGCGCAGTGCTACCATTGACCTCTGGTCAGGCCGTCTCCAAGATGGAGAAATCATGCCCCAAAAGAACCCACGCAACACCCTTTGGGGGCGTTTCATCGACTGGCTCGTGTAAATTATGTTTGAAAATTTTGTACAGTAGCATTTTGCATTTTGCATCTATTCATGAAAGCGACTTTTGATGTACAGACTTCCTTCTGCCGGTTACGTAGTCGATCCACTTCTTGTAAATTAGTGAAATCACTCAGCCTGGAACTGCTGTCGAAGCTTCTTGATGTCATGATGCGAAGCCTTGCAGCAGCCACCCACAAGGAAAGACTCAAATGGGCCTTTCTTACTAGCCTCATTCACCACTTGGGCCAGTTGAACTTCCCAAGAGCGCTACCATCCAGTCAGCATTATCGCCAGTAGACAGGGCGCGAAGCAGGATGCACCTACCGTATCTTGGTTGCCATTTGCACTATAGTCAGCCGGCTTCTCCCAAATTTGCGTTTTTGTATTGTAGACCTCTCCGTTTGTTCCATCAGGGTACAAAACCAAAGTCGGGGCAGCAGAGATTTGGCCAGCGGTCAACGCCTCAGACACAGAGGCTCTAAATTGATCAATCAAGCCAGAAAGTTTATGGAGTTTGGTGCAGTTGATTCCGATTCCCCATGGTGCACTTCCATCGTCGGTGGGGGTGATGGCAGCCTCCACAACATCTTTAACTGAACTTCCGTCCGGCAAACAATCATCCTCACGAGGAAAGACGCAAGCAATCCAGAAGGGAGCCGTGATTCCCGCATCACGAATAGCTCTTCTCACAGCACGGACCTCATCAAGTCGAGGCAGTGTCTCGAAGGCCACATACTGCATGCGCGAGAGCAAATCCCCATCCGCCTCCAAAATGAGTTGCAGACGTTCCAGATGCCAGCGATAGAGGGCCTCCTCGCTATCGTGCTCGGCATCATATGCACCGCTATACTCCTGCCCTGGAATCATGCACGCACCGTACGGGCCGAGACTCAGCGCGATCTTGGCACTATCGCGGACCTTAGCTCGCTCTGCGACGTCTACCGCAGTCTGCATGTACCGCCCAATAGCACTCTTTGGGATGCCATTGGGGAACTCGGCAGTCTTTGTGCGCGCAAATCCCTCGGGCGAAACCTGATAGGTAGCTGTGAGAAGGACATCCACCCCTGCCGTGCCAAAGTCCTTCTGGCAAGCCTGCAGTGTGGTGGGATCTGAGACGAGCAAGTGTGTTGACCAGAGTGGAGTTGTAGTGCTGTCAAAGCTCACTCCATACTGGTCTTGGAGGGAGGTTCCAAGACCGCCGTCCAGGATTTGCACTGTTGCCATTGCGATCCTAGAACTTTTGGTATTTCGTGTGGAGCGCGGGGTGTCCAACTCTGATAGTGGACGTCCACTCCCGCCGATTCGGCAGTGTTACATAATCCGCTCTTCGCCGCCCCCGGACTGTCCTGTACGAATGAAATTAATGCGGCCTCACGTCTTGCCTATCGAAAAATTAATCCAGGAATGCAAGCTAGAACAGAGAGTCGGTGGCCTTATTTAGAGGAGAAGCGCGTGGTCAGACCCGTGGTCGCATTGACCTTGATAGAGTCGCGATATCCAATGAAAGAATTACACGAGGAGCACTATTCTAAAAGTATGTTAGTGTGTAGGTACATACCCGTTTAATCACATAATACCTTAAAAAAGCCACAAGGTGGTATATAATTCCTCTCTTAAAACCTTTCCGAGACAGACTGGCACTCTATATAGGACTCGATAGGACTCGGTGCAGTTGTGAAAGGGCCTCTTACTGTCAATTTCGCTGGTATTGGAAACTTCAACCGAGAATTTCCTTATTCATAAAGTATTTTCTAAGTCCGTTACCAGCGAGTATAGACGTAGTAGGGTATGCTATAAATAAATGCAGCCATACTTTAATCAGGCAAAAGAAGGCTGAATCTTCCCGCAAGCTCTTTCAGCCAATCTCTCCCTCATAAGAACATCATATACATGTGCCGCCCACGAACAGCAAACCTGTCTAGTATCCTTCGGATCAATGATTTCCTCCACGCCGAATGCATTTGCCGTTCGCACGGGGTTCATAAGCCGCAGATACTCCTCTTCAAGCTCTTTATAACGTTCCTCTTTCTTACCAACCTTCTCTGCCTCCCGCAGTTCATGCCGATGCCCGACTTCAATTCCACCGTCGAGTGGCAGGGAGCCCCATTGCCCGGATGGCCATGCGACTTGCATGACGGGGTCACGACTGCCGAGCATGACGCCACCAGCCACCCCAAAGACACGGCGAGTTACTACGTTGAAGATTGGTACTGTTGTTGTGTAGTATGTTTTGGCGAGTTCAACACCCCAGCGCATTGTTGCGGCGCGTTCAGCAACAGTGCCGATTGCATAGCCGGCTTGAGATATATTAGACGAGTTTAATAGTGGATAAGGATGCTCGGAAGCGCAGTCAATATACTTACGGACGTCAAGGAATTGCAATATCGGCAGATTCATCACATCACACATCTTCAACAAGCGGGTGAGCTTCTGGCTTCCGGCGGCATCAAGTGCACCACCATTCACCTCGCAGTTGAGCGATATAATACCCACAGGACGTCCACCAAGACGTGCCAAACCACCGATCGCGGTTCGACCCCAAAGTGCACCAATCTCAAACCAGGAATCTTGGTCCACGACCGAGGTGATAATAGTCCGCGGGTTGTACATGCGTGCTTGTCGACGAGGGATGATACTCCTGAGAGCTATATCTTCACGACCCGGCGGATCATCACAAGGGACGACCGGTGGGGCCTCGCTTCCAGAGTTGGGCAAATAGCTCAACACCGTGCGCAGTTGTTCGAAACATTCCGCCTCATTCGCAGCCAAGTTGTCGATGGTCCCATTCGTGCAGTGCACCATTGGACCTCCCAAGTCTTGGAAGTCCAAACCTTCTTCAAAGGTAGCACCCTCCACAACCTTCGGACCAGCATTGAACAGCGAGCCAATATCCGCCGCCATGACAGAGAAATGGCAAGAGACTACTCTCGCAGCACCGAGGCCGATCTATAGAACTGTCAGTATCACCGCTCGCAAGATCACAAACACCGCAGAAGGTACCTACCGCAGGACCAACCACGGCGCCCAAATTAGGAATTCCCATATTCAACTGCTGAATCACCGGCTTAAATGGCCTGACATGAGGCAAATAGCTCCATCCCTCCTTACGAATCGCCGTCACACTCCCACCTCCAGAACTCCCATCCACCAACTTGATCACCGGCACACGCAGCGCAACCGCCAACTTCTCCACGTAAACCGTTTTCTCCGAGCTAGCTCCGTCCGCATGCCCCGATCGAATGCTAAAATCATCCGCCGTCAGGAGCACCTTCCGCCCGCGCAGTAGGCCCACGCCCTGGACATTATTGCTCGGCACGAAAGAAGCGGGCGTCTCTCGCATGGGCGCAGTCTTCGTCCATGTGACTGTGCCGGAGACAGAGCCTATCTCCGTGAAAGAGCCCGGGTCGAGCAGCGCGTCGATACGCTCGCGCACCCAGAGCTTTCCTGCTTGCTTCTGGCGCACGTACCCGCGGTGGCTGGGGTCAGGGGTTGCTGCAATTTTGCGGAGTGTGGCGATTTGGGAAAGGACGTCAGAGTGGTCGGCTGGTAGACGAGATGCTGCATGTTTGGATTCTGTTTTGGATGTTCCTGTTGGAGGCGTCTCTGGCGCTGGGGCGATGTGCGAGGAGACCTGATTCAGACGCTGGGTTGCTGTATGCGGGCCATCTTTGGACGCGGGATGGGCATCGCTATCCTCTCCCATTTTGATCCTTGTCTTGGGTGAGCTGGGGTCTGTTCTATTGTTTCATGGTAATTGCGTGGGTTTTATTTGCTTGCAAGAAGCCTGGTCGGCTTTGTCAAGACCGCAGTGAGGGGGGGGATGTGAGGGGGTGAGGGACCATCCGAGAGCCGAGGCAGGTCGCCTCGATGCTATAATTCATTCACTTGCCGCAAAATATTCATTGACCACGTCAGTGACCAGGAATCTGACTTGATAGTCTTCTCGCATTAATCCCTGTCTTTTTTTCAATCCTGTGGACTTCGCTTTGGCGCTGCCCCGCGGGTGCTTACCATTTGTTACCCCGGATTTCCTGCCCCCCATGCCGTTCTCCCCGCATTCGCGGTCGTTTAAGCGACTGCTGGTTGCCAACAGGTAAACCCGCGCCCCCACCGTCCTATTCTTGACTGCCAAAGTATTGATGTACAGCTATCAGAGGTGAAATATCTGTGCGCATACTCCATGCTGCGCGAGAATTACCTAGTCCAGTCGAAACATTTGCTCTCTACACGTCGGACGATCGGTCCCATTGTGACCTAGGGCGTCCACATCATGCGATTCAAATCCCCTCAGCATCATCATATCTGGACATCTCTTTTCTCGTCGAACTAGCCCGCAAGCACTCAATCGATGCTGTGCATCCTGGGTATGGCTTCCTTAGCGAGAGCGCGGAGTTTGCGCACCGCATATGGACCGAGGCCAGCGCCGTCGTGATAGGGCCTGGGCCCGAAAACCTCGCCCGGACGGGCGATAAACTGCAAGCAAAAAAGCTAGCACAGCATTGTGGTGTCCCTGTTCTAGAGGCTATGAGCGAACCGACTGCTAATGTGGATGAGGCGCGGGTTTTTGCAAGGCAGGTTGGATTTCCCGTTATGGTCAAAGCCGTGGATGGAGGCGGTGGTCGGGGTATTCGTCTTGTCCGCGAAGAGAAGGACTTGGACAATAGTATCCAGCGTGCTCTAGGTGAGTCTCCTTCACGAACAGTGTTCGTGGAAAAGGCTGCTGTGGATGGATTCCACCACATTGAAATCCAGGTAATTGGCGATGGCACTGGCCAGGTGCGCCACCTCTGGGAGCGAGATTGTAGTGTGCAGCGGCGCTTTCAAAAAGTGGTCGAATACGCACCGGCATTGATGTCTGATCGTGGGCTGGTGTCTCGAGTGATCGACTCGGCATTGAAGATGGCTAGTGAAATTCGCTATCAATCCCTAGGCACGTTTGAGTTTCTAGTCAGTGAGAGCAAAGGAGAATTCTACTTCTTGGAGATCAATCCGCGGCTGCAGGTTGAGCATACTATTACAGAGTCTATCAGTGGGATAGACCTGGTGCAGACACAGCTTCAACTAGCACAGGGATGGACTTTCGAGGACGTTGGCCTGGGATCTGATGTCAATGCCAGTGCTCCGCCGCCAGCTAATACCTACTCAATCCAGCTTCGGCTCTGTTCGGAAGACCCAAGCAACAATTTCGCTTTGAGTATTGGCAAGGTAACGGAGTTTGCTGTGCCCAGCGGCCATGGGATCCGTGTCGACACCAATATCGATGTCTCCGGGGCGTTTCCATTGGTCGTGGGCTCGAACTTCGACAATCTTCTTGCCAAAATTATCGTCACAGCCTCCACCTGGGAGGCCACCGTCCGAAAGGCCCAGCGAGTACTAGCCGACTCGAGGATTTCCGGTGTCAAAACGAACATCAATCTCCTGCGGGGCATTGTGGCGCATGCCGATTTCTTAGCGAGCCGTATCGACACGCAATGGCTTAGCCTCAGACTAGATGAAGCATACCGGTTAGGCGAAAGCATCTTCAAGACTCTGCCAAGCCAGAGTGCTCTCGGTGGCTCCTCTCAGCAGCGAATGGCACAAGGCGGACTGCCATCCTCAAGCATGCTGTTCCGCAAAGGGGACGCGTGGTCCATTACGCTGCAGCCACTCGAAAACGGGAACCCGCAACCATCAGCCAAAGTGGCGCATCACCTCAAGCTATCGCGGGTCCTGCGAAATGAATTCCCCACCTCCCTAGCCGCTGAGATAGAGTATACGACTCCGTGGTCGAAAACCGCAGTTCCGTACCGAATGCAATTGGATACGACGACGACGGCGGCATCGGCATTGGTGTCGTCGTCACACCGGCGGGGCGATCCGAATAATCCAAGCCATATTGTGCTGCCGCTATCGGGGAAGCTCATCGAGGTCCTAGTCACCGATGGGGATGTCGTGGCGGAGAATCAGGTCTTGGCTTTTGTGAAACAGATGAAGATGGAGCTAGAGGTACGGAGTCCCCGGGCTGGGACGGTGCGATGGGTGCACGAGATGGAAGAGGAGGATGAGGATGTTGCGGAGGGGATGTTGTTGGTGGAATTGGGTGAGACGGGGGAGAGGGAGCCGATTAGGGGGAAGCTGTAGAGTCGCCATGCAGCATTCGAGAAATATACGACTGACTATGGAGTATACGGCAATAGCTTAGAAAAAGCGGATCTTGAGAATAACCTTGGTAGAAGGAACCAATTTAGCACAGACAAAATATAACCAGCGAATGAGCGATCAAATCGCCATCAAGGTCCAGCATCATTGGTCTAGTGGTAGAATTCGTCGTTGCCATCGACGAGGCCCGTGTTCGATTCACGGATGATGCACATCTTTTTGATCTTTTGATTCTTGTTTTTGAATCCCCATTGTTTTGAACTGCTCCACTCACCATTTTACACTGTTGTGTATCGGAGGTTATCGCGGAGCTCCACTGATTGGCGCGGGCACGTGGTTGCTGTCCACACGACGTCACCGCTCTTCAGCTCTCACTTTCTCCAGTGACACCCCACCACAGGACGATGGAGGAACTAAATCTCTACATTCTCACATCCAACTGTGCGCGGAATCTCATCGATGTCAAGCTTGTGGCAGCCCACCTCTTCGATGTACTTCCTGCCTCTGCCCCAGCGCCAGAGCTGATCGTGCTCTCATTGCAAGAGCTAGCTCCGATTGCATACTCCTTTCTGGGGGGCTCATATCTCCTTCCCTACTTTAACGCTTTTGTCAATGCAATCAAGCTAGCGACCGCCAAGCGATGGAATGAATCTTATGTCAACCTGGTCAAGGACCACACCGGTATGACAGGGTTAATGGTCTTTGCGCGCGCGGACATTACGAATAGAATATCCTGGATCGACACCGCGCATGTCGGCTTCGGAGTGCAAGAGATGGGGAACAAGGGTGCTGTCGGAGCACGGCTGGGTTACGTGGTTGAGGGCCGGTCGTCTAAGACGGTGGATTTAACGTTCGTCGCGGCTCATCTGGCGCCGATGGAGAATGCGTTGGCGCAGAGAAATCTGGATTGGCAGAGTATAGTTGAGCGGCTGGTTTTCTCGCATGGAGAGACACCACCCAAGGTCTCTGACGAGAGCAGCGAGGGCACAGACGAAAACACCGCGCTTCTAAATGACCACACATCGTCGCATTACTCCGAAGGCAAGCGGCGCGATCTCTTCGCGCCCGACTCATATCTCTTCCTCGCCGGAGACCTCAACTACAGAACATCTGACATGAGCCCGCTCAAAGACGATGTCCTGCGCTTCCCAAAGCGCAACGTCGACCCCAGCAACCCCTCCCATTACTCTCACCTCCTCAAGCAAGACCAACTCATGCGCGAGATGCGCTCCGGCAAGGCCTTCCACGGCCTTTCCGAAGCCCCCATCGACTTCCCGCCAACATATAAGTACTCTAATGCAGCACGACACGCCGCCCGAGACGCCCTAGAGAACGGTGCGCCAGGCACAGACTGGAAATGGTCTGCGCACCGCTGGCCCAGCTGGTGCGACCGCATCCTGTACCTGGACCACCCATCAGCATCACGAGGCGAAGGCGACGGAGCTGCGCAAAGCACTGTCCAACCCCGCGTGTACAATGCTCTCCCGCTCTTCCCTCACTCCGACCACCGCCCCGTCGCGCTAGCCGTGGCCGTGCCTCTGAGACCCGCGTCGGCGCCCGCAGCCGCGGACGCGGAGCCCACAGCTGGCGATTCGATCGGCAGCACCATCACTAGGGTCATGGCTCCATTTGCGATCGATTCTAGCTGGCGGTCTCGGCGGGAGGCAGCGCGGCGGAAGGAGGTTGTTGTGGGTGTGCTGGCGTACCTGGGGCTGACTTGGGAGGGGAATGGGATGGTGTTTGCGGCGGTGGTCGGGCTTGTGGGAGCATGGGTGGTGCTGCGGTCGATGTGGGAAGTATGAGCAGAGACTGCGTTTGCAGATCTGAAGCTGCGAAGCTGTGAGGGTGGCCTTACTTGAATTGAGTAAGATGAGGATGAGAAGCAGGATGTAGCGGTGTTTCGGGACCTTCTTTCTTGGGAAATGACCATGCAATTAATGACATCGGGTTATCACCCTCGACTGTGTTTACGTTGTTTACCTTCACTAGGGCTGATCCAGGCTGTGTCTTTCTCCACTCCCTCTTGTCTTCACCTCTCCCCACTATCGCGTCCGAATCAAGCTCTTGCCGCCGTGACTGGATACCGACAGCAACCATCTTGCCCTCGGGCAGCCCCAAACAGAGCATGCGTCAGCCCTCCGCCTCTGGCCCCAATGCGGGGGACCTTGCCTTATGACGATGATGCCCCCGGCCCCTGTCAGTTAATCCAGGTCAAAAGATAGAAGCAGCGGCTGTTCCGTCCAGACCAAGCGGGAGCCCACCTCGAGTAGGGTTCGGCTCGAGCCTGTCGAATCAAAGAATCAAGCCCAACGCGCCTCGCAGTTTTAAGCGGAAGGAAGGAGGGGGGGAACCACAAAAACAAAAGGCCAAGGACGTCTGGCCCCGTCCAGCCAATTCCCAGTCAACTTCCAGCCGCATCAATCCGGTCACCTGAGCCGCTCCCAACCGGTCTGGCCGCAGAACCGTTGACGCTGTGGCTGATCTGGCGTTTTAGCAGCGGCAGGCTCGTCCCGGCCAGATGAGGTCACTGGCTGGGCTGCTTGCATTGCGCCCGGTCTCAGCCATGTCATGCCCGGTCATGTCATCGGCTTGTTGCTGCGTCGGCTCCTGCCGCTATAGAAAGGTTTGTGACTCCCCCAAATATCAGTCACACGGAATGGCAAGGATAGTGTCACGGAGTCTCATAGCCTCGTACTTCAGGGCCAGCGGGCTAACGGGGCTCAGTCTCGATTCCGAGGCTCTCGTGTTGGTTCCCGTGTTGCAGTGCTGGCATGGTTTTTCTAGTGCGCAGGTGCTGCGCCTTGGCGGAAATGCGACAGGGGGGAGGTTGGCCAATGGAATAGTATGGAGGTCGGTTGCCGTTTACCGACTGTAGTTAGTGATCGCTGGTGCCGGAGCCTGCCTTGGTCATCCATGGTCCGTCCACACGTCCACACATTCGTTCGCGGACCGCGACATCGAGCTGCAGCCATCCTTGAGACGCGACGAACGCCTTTCGTTCTTCGCATATTTGTCATAGTTGCGCATTTGCATTGACAGGGCTGTCGCCGTGGAGAAAGCCGTCCTTTGCAGGGCCGCCTGGTGCTTTGCTCTGCTTTGGCTACTAGAAGTACCAGGTGCCGTCGCATCCGCTTCGTAAGAATCAGCCCGGGCAGAGCCAGGATGCAGAGCCAGGATGAAGAGCAAGGGCAAACTGTGCAGCAGGCCACGTGAGTCAGTCAAATGACCCCGTTGAGTGGATGCTCCTCTCCTCCTGTCCTCCAGGTCCGCCGACCCCAAGCTGTGCGACGCGCGGTGCTGCCGAAACCGTAATTTGCGATTGGGCTGGACAGTCCAAGCGGGGTAGAGTGTAGAAGCCCCGAAAGTGCTAACCGTCCGATGGGACAGGACATGCTGATTCGTTCAATGGCAAGGTCGTACTCATGGCCGTTGAGGCGTCCGCCATCCTCAACCATCTTGGAGGTCAAGCTTTTAGATCGATTCGCTAGGGACAAGTCAATGGAGTCGCAGTATACCGTTGACCCGCCATCTCGGACAAAGCCGACAGTGGAGTGCACAACTTCTCTAATGGCCAAGCCTTTTTTTTCCGCCCTCCCAGCGATAATGTGTACATTCTTTGTCATTGAATTTTCTCATCCCGGAACAGCGAAAGGTCGTGCTCCACTCCACCAAACATCAAGAAATCGCCAGCTGCCCGGCTCATGGGAAACCGCGCCAATGAATGTTTCATATGAGACACGCCAAAGGGACAGGTCAGATTTTCCCTGCTGGACTAAGATTGGGTGCGCGCACCATCACAAGGCATGGGCCGATCAAAAGGTGTCCAGCGGATGCTTCGGGATTCGGGATTGGGAAAAGTTGGCAGGGCTGGGCCAACCCGACATCGCCATGTCCGGCTGCTACTGACATGAAACGGAAATGCGCCTGTCATCGGCGACTGGAGTAAATGAAACCAGCTTCCCAGTTCGGAGCCAGCGGGCCAGACAGTGCCCGAACGGGTAAATCCAGAAAATCATTGAGTGGGCCGTGGGTAGTGGAGAACTTCCAGAACACTGCCCGATGCATGCCTGGGCGAGATCGGGCCTCGAGAAGTCTGGACCTGGAACCTCGGATCCTGCCAAACGCCCCCGTTACGGAACATAAACGGCAACCGAAATTGCGGGAGGGATAATGAATATTATGCCAAGTACCGTCCAGGCTACCAGAAAGTATGTTAAACGGACTGGGCAGACATCAAGTTGAAACGGGAGCGGAATGACGAGAAAGGGGCGAGGGTGGTCCAGTAGATTAGGGGGTTAAAGGGGGCCCAAGGTAGAGAGGAAATGAGCGAAACGGAGTCGGAGGACGACGGAGTACATAGTTCACTAATCATCAATGCAAAGACGAGCCAGACGAGCAGACGAGCAGATGACCCGTCAAACTCCCAAACCACTCTCTAGTGTTTGAGTCGGGCTGCGATCATTGCCCAGGGCCCACTGCTACGGCACTATGAAAGTCAGGGTCGGGATAGCACACCTTAAATGCCCCAAGTGGGCATGTGCTTTTCTCTGTACGAAGTATATACTCCATATACTGCGCGGCTCGCTAACAAACAAGCCCACCGGCACTCAATCTGAGTCCCTAGCGACCAGCTAGGCGCCGATTCGGAAAATCCGCGAGCTTCCATCCCATCCACAACCCGCAAAACCCGTGTCAACTGCTCCACTCCGGCCCTGCAATCAAGATCAAGCAAGCCGAGACTGCGAGTCATCCTGTCACTCGCATCCTTCCACTACAATTACTACCTTACTACGCCTTCATTCAAGCCGCTCTCCTGCACTGGGCCGCCATGGGCCCGCCCTTTTCCCCTGCCGGGCAGGATCGTCCTGCCCTGACGACCAGCATCGAAGCGGATCAGAAACCCGCCTGGCCGGGTCACTGCGGGCAAAAGGAGAGGCGATCCACCGAGATGCTCATGCGTGAACGGAGCTGCCAGGTGCTCTATCGGGGAGGAGAGCTCGGTACGAGGGGACAGGATTGGCCACTGGACCAACCATGGACGATCTGCGAGGGTACGTCCTGGAAGGCGGGTCGGCACTTAACTCCCTTCTATTCCACACAAGAGAGGCCAACCGATGGGATGAAAGGACGTCCAAAACAAAGGGCCGGCACCGACCGCAACCGTAGTGAAGTCATTGCCCAAGGTCCCTAGGAATTAACTTACAAGGCTGTTAGGTACCGATTGACTCACAGGGCCGAGAATCTGATCTCATGCCCAGAGACCTGGCCACGGCCGGGGTCTCACCCCGTTTTGCTCTGCCAGATGAGGCCGACGAGGGTGGGTAGCAGAGAAATTAAATCAATAAGCTTGACAAAGAATGGGGAATTCGGGAAACAGAAAATTACGGTACCTTACCGGCTCTGCCTTGGGGGGAACCTCCACGGAGTACTCTCCCACTAACGCAGTCCGGCATGGTAGGGGAGCTAGTTCGCCCTGGGCCCCAGCTAATAATAAATGGAAAAATAATGGAAAAATTTTGGAACGAACAACCCCGGGCAGGGTGGACTGCCACAACAAACGGCGCCCCCGTAACAATGGAACCCTAAAAATTCTAGTCCTTTTTCCCTCCTTTTTGGGGGGTAAATATTTTCATTTCTTATATTACAGTATTACTGACGGGCCTACTGGGCTACTGAGTCACTGGATCACAGGGTGACTGGGTGACTGGATTACGGGATCACTTGGTTACTGGATTATTATGTCCTAAATAATAATTTTTTTTTTTGAGTACTTTTTTATGGGGCTGGATTTTTGGTTTGTTTTACCTGAGAATCATCTTTTCTTTTTGAGCCTCTAGATATAAACCCCCTGGGTCTCGTCCCTCTAGTCCTTTAGTCTCTACTCGTCTCGACTTCCTTCCCCCTCTTCTCCCTTCGTCGCACTTACCTTCGACATACTCAGCCCTTGCAGGACTAGATCAGCCTCGAGCCACCAAATTCTCCGCCGACAGCTTGCTAGTGCGCCTCCCTCCTACTTGCCGCACGCTGCCATCCTCCGACGTCATCGTCATTATTGGGGCCTTTGTGTTCCCATTAAGCTAGTCTAGTCGACGACTCGTTATCTCCGTGCGAAACCTTTTTAAAGTTCGAAACCGCCTAGCTCGAATTTTTCGATTTATCCTTTTTTTCCCCTTTCGGCCAGATCGAGTTTCTTGAATTTCTTTTTAAGAGATCTCAGAAGCCCCTCCAACTTCAGCTTCGCCTTTTCGCCTTTTTCGCCTTTCACCACCACGCTTGCGCTTCACTAGCTGAGACTCCAGCGCTCCCCCGCGAATTGTCGACCACGAATTCCTCGTCCTGTTATACTCCCGCGATCTCCTGCACCCCGCGCTTTCTGCATCCCCGCCAATTTTTCTACTTCCCGCCATGTACTCCTGCGCAAACTACCCCCGCGGCTGTCGAGGTCGCGTCAACCGCCAGGGCGCCAAGTGCTCCGACTGCGTCGTACGTTCCTCACCACTACCCGTTGGCAACAAAGACTCTGCGCGGGGCCTTTGTGTCAGGGCACCAAAGAAAAAAAAAATTTTATCAAAACCTGGAATGCTAACAAAGCCTGCAACAGACCCTGAACCTCCGTCGCCCAGCGTCTGCCTCCCCATTTGCACAGCCTCGTGACTACAAACGCGTGTTGCCCTCAGAGCGACTGAGCGACTCCGCCTTCAAAGCACCAGACCTTGAGCTGTAAGCAGACGCTCGAGCCTTGTTCCGGAACGGTCCGGGAAAAAGTATCCAGACCCTCGCGGGCTAGATACCATCTCGACAGGCTGGGCCTGTCGCCATGAATACAACTGGATATCCTGGGTCGGATGGATACCGGACCGATTCCCACGTTTTCCTCTCCGTCTCATATGCATCGCCGGGAGTTTGATTATTGATTACACCAACACAACGGGGGCTATCTGGTTCTCCTTTTCGTCTTCTTTTCGACTATTCCGCGCTCGGCCTTGCGCTGCAGTGGATGTCACGACCAGCTCAGCTCAGCTCCGCTTAGCTCAGCTCCCAGCTCGATCGCCCCATGTCCGACAACCACGCCTCTCTACGAAAGAGAGTCCATCCAGCCACTGCACGAGGGAACGAGCGCACTCTCAATTTCCACTCGCTTATCTCTTTTTATCATCCGTCTGGGTTCTTACGCAGAGCAGAGACGGTCTTTTGCATGGAGGATAGAAACAATTGCATGGATACTCATCCGAATACCAACCCGACCCCCAACTGAAGGGATCGGGCACTGAACTCATGGATCTGCCACTGGTGGGCAGTGGCGCAGATGGGACTCTGATATCAGTCGATCGGCGATCGACGCCTTCGTTATTCTTTTTTTCGCTTTCGCCGTGCTGCTGTCCTTGCACATACGTCTCTTATGTCGCTGGTTTGAGATGAGTTTTCTCTCGCGCGCCGGTTTTCCTGTTTCTTTTCTTCTTTTCTTTTTTTTGCTGCTTTCCATGTGTCGTCCCTTTTTGGACTGACTCCGCCATGCCATACCCCCCTGTTATATGCGTTCTAATGCTTTTTGACTGGACGGAACTGACCTGCCTATGATCGTGCTCATTCTTATTCTTTATTCTTTCTTCCCTGAATTAGTTAGCTGCCCTTAGTTTAGATACCTCACTTGCATTGATATCACGGCTTTATCATCACCCTACACAATGATCTTGGCCCTTTTTCTCTCTTCAGCGTCAGTATCACTCATAGACAAATCGACTTTCATAAATGTCCTGCCTCCGGAGAACCCCCGAGAACAAGACCCGTCCTCCTTCCCGCCCTCGGTGTGCCCACCCAGAGCCTCGTTTCACAGCCGCGTCGAGAACCGCCCATGACCAGGGCAGGCCGTTGCTATTGGTTTTGGTTTGGCCCCCCTCGGGATCGGACCAATTTTATCAGCCCCAGCCGCACGCACGGGATCGTCATACGTTAGGACCAGTGCCAGGTGCCTGGGTCACGCTGTGACGCCGCAGATCTCCGACCTACCAGCTAAAAATAAAGCCGACAGGTGCGTTGAAACGTGTTACACGCATATAGGAGCCGTGTTAGGAGCATCATCCCGCACGATGGTGCCATTTCGGTCGTCCTACAGACTGCGCCGGGCGGTGCCCCGGCCTAACCAACTAACGGCCCTGCGACCTCATCCTTGGGTCCGATCCTCGAGGCTCGGAGTGGATTGTGCTGGGTAAGATCCCGGGCCGGAAGGCTGATGTGCGATACACGTGGATGAATGTATGGAAGAGGATTTGGGTCTGGGGGCGGGGGGGGGGCTTGGAGGGATGCTGTGTTTGGAAATTCCGTGTTTACTTGGCGAGGCGGGCGGCCTCATCTTGTGCCGTGGATGGGATTTGGGAAAGATCTTTCCGAAGTTTCTGATACTGATACTAAAACTGGCATTATCTCGGATCCCAGGCTGCTTTTGTTGCGCTTTGTTGTCGACGGAGCTCGCATACTAGATGAGGCCCCTGGCCCTGCAAGCCCCGCCTATTCGGAACGCCGATCCGATAGTATCGTTGAAAGGCTGCATTAGTATTGGATGGGGCATTTGGGGGATTGCTGCACTCCATATACATCGTAGGGTTCACTGGATCTGAAGCTGGATCTGCATGCGAGTCAGGTAGATCGAGTTTTAGTTTCAGCCCTGAGGGTCCTCGAGAACGAAGGGGCTCTGGTTTGAATTACCAAGGTCCATACATCAAGTACGGTACCCTTCATCTCAAGAAGCGTGGTTGTAACCATTGGGCCCGCATGATCGCCTAGCCTGCCGTCAACAGAAGAAGCGGCATAGCTGCAAATAATGCATCGGATCAGAGAGCACTCCAATACACTTCAGCCTTCTTCTCTGTCGACTGCTCTGTACTCCATCGCGAGGTATCCACCTTCTGCTTCCCTCGGACCCCGTCAAACAAATCCTTAGCTTCCCACCACCCACCCTTTCCATCATAGCTCCCGCCGCCCCCAATCTCGATTTTGCTTACCGCGATGTTTCTCACAAAAAGCCTACGTAGACGAACCCTCCCCCCTTCTTCCTCCTTCCTCTTCCTCCTTCTTCCTTCCTCCTTAGCCCCTCGCTAACATCCTAGGAGGGGGGGGGCCAACGGCCAGCCCCTTTCAGGAGAACGGGGCCCGAGACCCGCGAATTCCCACCAGCACGATGCGTTCAAGCCGGATCGCATTTTGAAACACACAAGACAAGCCCGCGCGCTCCACTTGCTGGCTCGGGCATGGGCCCCTAGCTACTCTGTAGTCTCCGCGGACAGGGACACAGCACGATCGGATTACTAAGGCCAGAGGACGGGCTATAGAGTTTCCGCATTCGCGATGAGATTAGGATGGTCGCGATTATTGATTCGGAACCTAGGGTGGGAGGTTTGATAATGCTCCTTGCAGGTTCGGTCAGAGTTTATTCTCGCGTGCGCGCGCCAGAACATGCCGCAGGAACCCTCCGCGGCGTGTGATTGGAAATTGAGTTTCCCCGGGATTCCAGGGCTTTTCGAAGGAGAGTACATAGGGCTTCCTTTCTGGGCATATACTGCGAAATGAAACGCATGCCGATGGATGGATCCCGGGGGGAGGGCGGCAGACACACACAGAGTATACTCAGCCACAAGGCACTGCTCAAATGCATCTATGGTTTCCGTACTCCGTACTCGCAATTCGTACCAGAAGTACGAAGTACAGTACTGTATACTCCGTACAGTGTGTATAGTATACTCCGTAGTTGGGGAGCAAATAAGTACAAAGCCATTGCTGCCTGAACTAAACTGCTCGTGGGGGCACCAGCCCTGAGACACCGACACAAAGAGGATACGCGGATGCAACCCCCCACAGTTCAGTTCAAACATCGGCCTTACAGTAAGCATTTTGAACCACTGCGTACTACGTATGGTGGTTTTGGGTTCGAGGATTGTGATCCAGTGGCGTTTGAAGTAAAACACGGTGGGTCGAGGGCTGCTTCGGTGCAGCTTCGCTTGAGTTCTGGCATTCCACTATGTTTCTCCTTAGTAGTGATTGCTACCCGTTCACCCCCTTTTTTTTAGATTTTTCTGCTGGGCCGCTCAGCCACAGATCCGTTGGCCGTTGTTTCAGAGTGGGCTGTGGGGATCGTAGGCTCCACTTCTTTCTTCAAGGGACTCTGTGCGGCAGGGTTGGGGCTAGTTGCCGGCGGTGGCAGTGTGGGTTGGTTGGGATGTCGGTGTGGCTTGGGAGACGTTAGGGCAGCACGACTGCCCGCTCTAACGGTCGTAGTACGGAGACCGTAATTGGAGGTCTTGCTCTTAGGGTCAATTTTGTGACCGCTTGTATCTTATTTTACCGTGCTGGACTGAGCCATCCCTGTCCTCTCTATTCCCTGCTGCCTGTCCCATCCAAAGTCATCTGTTAGTGTAGAGTCGGGATATAACTCGTTGACTCTTCCCGGCCATGGAGGCCACAACTCTTCGACGGAGAGGTCCTAGTGGTAGACACGTAACTCGGCGTCGGTGTATCCCAGTGGTGCAGTATCTCGCCCAGGTTCGGGTACGAGGTGGAGCGGGTCGGGTCGGGCTGATGGCTGTTGGTTCGTCATCCCCATATCTCCGGTCCAGTCGGTGGCGGTAAGCGTATCGACGTATACCCTCCTGTCGTGTTGTCGTGCATCTGTTTCTCACAGGGCAATGACAGGCCCCTGCAATCTCGGGTTGGATGAGAATTGTTCGCTGTTGGGTTGGGTTGGGTTGGGTTGGGTTGGGTTGGGTTGGGTTATGATTCACGGTCGCCTGGACATGACATGGGTGGATCCGGGGCGTCGGAGGTTTTTGGTGGGGGCGCTGGTGATTCATGTATCTGAGTTGATAGATTGACTGAGTGGCTGGACTGGGTGACTAATTAATCGATTATTGGGAGGTCGGCGCATATACTGACTATAAGTGGTGGGTTACGAGGACGGAGGACGGAGTAAGAGGTTCACAGTCCGGATGGAGCACGCACTGTACGGAGTACTGGGTGGGTCCACGGCCCACTATGCTTCACATGTATTGCAATACCAATCGTTCGATGGAGCTCTTATATCGACGTATCGGTGATCAATGTTCAAACACGTTCAGCATCTTCCGACACACCCATTGAGCCGTTTTGGTGTGGAGAGTCCAATATCGCTCGTCCTCCTGCTCCTCAGCTGCCTCGCTTCCAGACGTACCCACTCGATGCAGGTTTCCAAGAGCCTCAAACACGACAATCTGGTCTCTCATGTGCCGATCCAGGCACGATCGCTTCCCAATGGTAGATCCGGACTCCTGGTCGGTCTGCGTCTGCAGACTTACCAGTTCTTCAATAAACCCCTGCACACACCCATCAATCATATCCGACACTTTTTCTAGATTTGCCGCCGAGCTTCCTTTCTCAGCAGGTGGGCCCTGTCCCTTTCTGTGCTTCTCGTGCTTTCCAAGCTTCCTCTTCGCGTGCTTATATCCCCTGTTATCGCCGAGGAGTGCATCATGACCAATCCGGAATCCTGTGGAGGTATGGGCCACAATCAGGATGTATAGCCGGCTGAAGTGAGAGGTTACCTCTGTCGGGAGCAATTTGACGGGAATCCGGGTCTCTCCATCGTGTGGCTCCTCAAAGATTGATGGGTCCAGGGCCTTAAGGGCTTTGCGTAGCCTGCGAAGAGTCTGCCGCTCAGTGTACCGGGCAACGGTCAGCGTTTCCCCATCTTCAACTGCTTGATGGAGTACATCGTTTGTCGCGAGAATAGTAACCGTAATGCGAGTGATTTTCCCGCGCTTGTGATCCATGATCCTGATCTGAGGAAAGCGAGAGGGGGCTGCAGCTCCTGTAGTGTGTTGATTCCCATCCCTTTCAGAAACGTCTAACGCGCCCATATTCTCGAGTTCGTCGTCGGGGGGCGGTAGAGGATGAATGAAGAAGCTAACTTCCCCCATTCCCACCACTCCAGTCGACCAGCCACGTTTGTGGAGGATCATCGAAAAAGGCCGAAGGCCCAATCGAGCAAAGTTGGGCGCCATGACCTGAAAAGCATAGTCATACGACGGGGAACTGGTGCCATTCGTGCCACCTGTGATGTTCACCTTGATGCACTCCGTACATGTGCGCGACCCAACATGCAAAAGATATGGGTAGAGCGCCTGGAAAATGAGAAAGACTGAGCCCGGTGTCTGCAAACGAATGTTGTACTCCGATTGCACCGTGAGGTTGGTCAACGACACCAGGGGTGCGTCTCCAGAAGTCTGGGTCGAGCCTGGCGATCTCAAGTCTCTCTCGACACCCGCTTGTGGAGGTATAAATGTCAGGCGCGTCGATCCAACTGTGCCGTCCGAGACTTCGCTGCCACTGATTTCAGCCAGCAGCTTGACAGCTGCTGCGTGCGATGCCATCAGGCCAGGCTTCTTTCCACGGTTACCGCGGACATGATCGATGGTCACTGGCCGGCCAGTCAAAGCTGATAATGCGAGTGCATTTCGGACCACCTGCCCGCCTCCTTCGAGTGTTCTTCCATCAAGATGGACGTGGTCACCTGAGGCTGTATTGTTGGGATCGTGGGAGGTCGCCATGAAGTGCCGAGCGCTCGCAGCGAATGTGAATGTCACATACGGGGCTTCCTGGGAAAGGAATGCTTGCTTTATGCACAATCTGGACCATCCGCAGATTCAGTTTGCGTGCAGTCTAGCGGTGAATGAGTCGCAGCTGAGTCAGGCCAAGGCTGAAAGATGACTCACAGCCCAGTTGTATTCTCCAGGCCGAACTAGTGGCGCCTCGATTGATCGGTCGGCTTAGTTTCGGGCTTCGGGACTCCCCGAACTGTTTGACGACTGATCTCGATCTACTTATCATATCGAGCCTCATCTGGCTCATGGACAACAATCACAATGTTCACGTGGTGCACACACAGTATACGGCGGCAACAACAAGGACGATGTTGGCTCGTGCCTGCTATAATGGACCGCAACGCACTTGCCACCCCAAGCGAGACCAAGCTATCAATAGTTCCTTTTCCCCAAATCCAGTCTCTTGATCACGTCTCCAGCTCAGTTCTCATCCGCGTACCACATACAGTACAGACTTTCACAATATGTTTTCCTCATTCAGTACCCGAGATCGACTTCGAAGATCCATGTCCACTCATTCCATGCGAAGAGCCCGTCGAGCTCGACAGCCAGAGCCGGTCACCTGGGAAGCTGCCAAAGTCCAGGCGACGACTGCTGCGTCGCACGCGATGCGCTCACGGGGATTTCCCACAGAAGAAAGGCCTTATGATCGATTGGGAGGGCCAGAGCATGTGGCAATTCCGAGACGACCAGGTTCCAGCCTGCAGTATACAGAGGACAGCTTTTCAGCTCATACGGGATCCATCGCACCCCCAGTGACACCTCGTCAGTCTATGGAGACAATAGGGGCAATTCAAGGCCATAGACCGGAAATTTCGGCCGCGCTACCACCCATCACTGAGCTTAGGGGTCTAGATGGACGCGATAACTCGGTGCCTTCATCATACCGCCGGCTGCGCAAAGCGAAGTCTATGTTTTCGACCAGAGCTCGCTCATCCCATATTGTATATGAAACCACATTGATGTCCCCACCGGATGGCTGTGGCTCCGACCGCAGCCCGGAGTTCGAATTGGCTCGGACGCTGCGGCCATCTGTCCCTTTCATTCGGGGCCATCGACAAGAAAATCGAGCGATTCGACATGCCAAAAGTCAAGATACCGCTATCCAGCTCGCTCGCAGTCAGTTCTTGGAAGAAACAGAAGGCTTTGGGACCCAGGTCAGACGCTCGTCGTTCTTTAACAGGCGCAAGAGAGAGCACAGGCCGTTTCGGAAGACATTCCGGGTTTCAAGTAATACAGGAATTGGCGCAAGCTTCCCGTCAGAACATGCTTATAGGAGGGGCTCGGGCAGCAGATCCCGAACCTTCTCTTCCTCCATCAAGAATGGCTTCAGGCGTGTCTTCGGATTTTCCAACCCTACCGGGCAGCAGCCCGAACCTTACTTCCAATCAGAAGCCTCCACTTCCATTACACCTACAGAACCTATGGTTGACGGTCATCTTGTGGAAAATGCCGTGGGTGGCAACGTGGGCATGAGACAGTGTCGGATGTCGAGTCCCTTCCCGGCCGACCAGCTCTCTCCCGGCCGCGACAGCCTGTGTACATCGAAATCTCGAGTCACTAGCTGGGCAGACTCAACCGTTGCAAATAGTGAGAAAACCCGGAAAATTGGGCATCACCAGTCATTGTCTTTGATTGAAGAGCATGGAGATCTGAACAAGCAACTCCCCCAAGTTCCCGTGGACGACCGCACCCACTCCAGACTACCCTTTTGTGATGAGACTATTGATAGCTTGCGCCAGGGTACTAGTGCTGGCAAATTCGACTCTTGGGCTGACAGCAGCGATTTATACTCGGCATTGGTGCATCAAATTCGACGACAGGCTGTATTCACCCCTGATGAAAATGCCATTCTCGGTACCGTCCCGGCACACTGCGTGATTCCAGAGCGCACATCCTCGGTATTTTCACATCGCAGCAGGCAAACTATACGGCACGTCCCAAGTGGAGAATCTTCTGTAGCTGGATCATTTGCAACTGCACGCGTGGGAGACTCGATGTCTCCACAGAGGCGCCATCCATACCCACTCAAGTATACTCCAAGCAAAATAGCTCAGTGCATATCTGGCCAGGAGAACCATCTGCCACTCGGCAATCTCTCGGACGGGAAGTCGCCACAGTCGCCCTATGTTATTGGTGAGGGATCGGACGAGGATACCGGGAGTGTAATCATTGCTCGCTTCGAGGCATTAAGAACTGGAGCCGTCTCTCCGAGTGTCTACTCACGAACAACTAGCGGCAATACCCCCAGGAAAGGCTCGAGTGGATGTGTTACCAGTGTTCCCGATGGGGAGACAGGAACCGCCACTATTTTTGCTTCTCAACGAGCAGCATACAGCTCGCCAACTCGAACTAAAGGCTCCATCCCATCAGGGCCCCAGGTACAACCTAGCGCGGACTGGCAGAAGTGGATGAACTCCCAAATTGAGATGATCGAAAAGACAAGTCCGATCAGAGAGCACTTCCGGGAGGGTGCACAATTTCTGGAAGATGATGATGATATCTTTATGGGGATGCTCCGGCGAGCACCTTTACCAAGCCCGGAGGCTGATGTTGGGCCTCTTGGTACTAGTGAGCAAGTATTCAATGGTCGCCCGGCACCAGAGGGACCCAAGCCCCTGACACAAAACAATTTCTCCCGTCCATTTAGCCGATCCTCGAGTGTACGAACTATCTTGTCGTCTCAAAGAGCACAGCGTGATGTATCTGCAAGAAGTCAGCCACAGCTTCCCAGTGCTGAGGGCGGCTCTGGGCCAGCTTTGGACAGTCCACCGGGACCTGCCTGGGTTCCCAGTGGCCAGATTCCGTCGATGATGCGCACGAGGTCTTCAAACATGCTCCCTGCCCTCGAGTCCCCCACTCCTCGACGATTTGGTCCCGAGTCACAGAAACGAACATGGGCCAGGTACTCTGCTCGGCTGCCAAATGCCAACGGAAAAAACAATCGGTTTCGATCGATGCGAACATACCGCACTTCACATGGAACGAACAACGAAAACACACGGCAGCAAGAGGAGCATGATGAGATGATGGTTGAGTACCACAACCTGCAAGACATTCATTCTACGATCTCTAGCAAGCGCATGGTGGAAATGTTCTTGGACAGTCGACGCCGCCAGATGGGAAGAGATGAATCTGGTAGCAATGTCGCCGATGAAGCCTTTGTTTGATTCCACCAATTAATTGGTTGGCCTCTTTGTCCCCTTCCATTTGGACGCAGATTGGTGGGATGGATTGTTAACGTTCCCCGACGGTCAAATATATTCTTTCCCCGGTCGCTCATTTCCACCATGCCGACAATATATATCCACTCCATTGCCAATCCAGAAGGTATTAATTAACACATTACCATGCAATTAAAAATACCTCCTCATTTTTGTGGTCCACAAAATAGAAAAAGAAAGTGTTTGATCTGATCAGAGAGGTACAAATGCAAAAAAGAAACTCTCCCTCGGGGAATCGAACCCCGGTCTCCCGCGCTTATCGGTGTTAATGACAAGCGGAAATCATGACCACTAGACCAAGGAAGATAAGATGACCGAGTTACTGCTCGACCACTTGGTGCTGATTGATGTACGAGGGGCCAATTCTAACTTCATCAAGGATGCTATAATTCATACTAGTTCCATTTCCATCCAGGGGAGACGACGACATACTACCAGCGGCATGCTGGATAAGCAGCCAATGGCCTTTGTTCTATGAAACAAACCAAGAAAACAGATCAACTAAGAAATCTCCCCTCGCAGGTGCTGCCTGTATTTTGATTTTCACTCCATTCCCAACCATGGACGAGTTATGTACATGGAGAGTGAGCTTCGAATTGTGGCCATTGTGCCTTCCGGTAGAGAATATGGGCAAGGCAAAAAGGAAGGGGGTTAAGTGCCGGCGGACTCGCGCTTGGCAGTCTAACATCAACTAGTTAGCTGAGTGAATGCCTACGGCAGACCGACACCTGACGCTGGTAGGCGCAACCCACACAACTACTATACACGCCGAACGGATTCATTATCCAATAGTTCTCTTGTGCCAGGTCAAAAGCATGCATTCGCACGTAGAGACGTGATTCCTACCAACCTTATCACGGTAAATATCTCATATCACCATTTACCTAGAGCCTGCCATGTTTGAGAGGCCAAACCAACAGTCATTCCATCATATCCATCAAAAAGATTCACTACAAATCAATCTTTTCGACTCTAGACCACAGCTGCTTGCCTCAAAAGTCAGATTTACCTTTGCGACAACAAACTCACAAATCACAAGAAACCACTCAACCTCTACTCACAATGTCTGGCATCGATCCAAAAGCTCGAAAGGCAGTCAACAACGCGCTCATTAGCTCTGGAAGCGCTGCCGTCGGACAGTTGGTTGGCACCGCCAAAGCCTCTTCTGGGAAGCATCACGAGAACAAAGAGGCGCGAGAGAGACGCAATGCTGAAGAGAAGGTCGAGGCTGAAGAGAAGGCTGCTAAGGAGAAGGCAAACGCCGCTGTTCGTCCTCTCCTCCCCCAATTCCCAGCACTCGGAGATAGGACACTGCTTATGTGCTAACGGTTATTTATAATAGAAAGGCGGTACATCTGGTTAGATTTCCCGGGGCTTGCGTGCAATTCAGAGGCTGATTTCTTCGCCTCCTGAGTGGTCTGTAACCAGAAGGCTAGACCGCTCTCTCTACTGCTGTGCCGAGAACTTTTTTTCCCCACCAGTCGTTGTTTTTATTGCTCCAGAATGTTTCCTTGCACCTGGGGAAGTCTGCTCCGTTGACCTTTTCAGGAGGCTGCTCTTATCGATTGTTTCTCTAGCGGAAGCGATAGCACATTCTACATCTCACATAGTCTGTTTAAGAATAGCCGTAGGTGGGAATCATTCGTTTAATATATTCTTCCATCTTCGTTGTCGTAGACACCTAACTAAACATCAAGTTGGTAGTGGGATCCTGACCAATCATCGACCTAGGGAAATTTGGGCGAGTGTGGCTGTCTTCAAAAGCCTTGACAAACTGATATCCGAATAATCGTTCCCTTTTACTAAATGGGTGCACGATTGTGATGTTATGACGCCTCAGACACTCGAACCTCGTGCCTCACCAACCATATAATCGGTGGCATCCCCCTCGTCCACCTCGCAGGTCTCTTGAATAGCTCACTCCCAAAAGTCGTTCCCCGCCAAACCATACCCCCCTCGGTGCTCCTAATCCATTGGGGGCTTGTCTAAAGTTATGGAGACCAACGCGCTTATTGATGTCGTCCACGTGGTGCAAGACCAGCTTTGGCTTGACAAGGTGAACGAGACCCTCGGGTTGGGTCGTCTCTGTCAGTGGGTATCGACCTTCCACCCCCGCAAGCTTCCCTGCCAGTTTGATGGTAACACCTTTTACCATGGCGCATTTAATGCAGGCCTGAAAATGGTCTTCAGCGACAGAACTACCTGGATGGTTCGTTTCCCTCGCATGGGCATCGTTTGCCCCCTCTACGCCGACGAGAAGGTTGCCATGGAGGTAACGGCACTAAATCTCATCAGCGACAGGACCACCATTCCCGTCCCGAGAGTCCAGGCGTGGGGTCCAGCTGCCAGCAACCCACTTGGCCTAGGCCCGTTCATCATGATGGACTTCATCAATGGTGTGAGCCTTCTCGACATTCTCCAAGACCCTAACGCCGAACACAGCAGAGTCATGAGAGAAGACATCAGCGAGAGTGATATTGAAGTCATCTACAGGCAGATGACAAATTTTCTACTTCAACTTTTCAAGCTCGATTTCGACCGCATTGGGAGCCTGCCGTCGCCTCATCCTGAAGCTCAAAGCCCTACACCGCCACGGCCCCTAACGTTTAAGGCCCATTGCATCCTACGAAATGGAGGAGTGGACACTTTCGGTAGGCATAGTTGCCTTCTCTTCCCTTCTCATCCTTACAGTCCTAGTCGACCGAATTAACTAAGCTAATGATGTCTAGGTGACCGAGCCCAAGGGTTCGCAACAACGACCGAGTATTTTCAACACCTCGTCGGGCAAGACTGGGAGCAGCTTATTCGTCAGCCAAACTCGACTGCTGGACTATATGATGCTCAAAACAAATATGTGGCGTTCAAGGTTCTAAAGAGCCTGGTACATGACTTTGTCCACGCGAAGTATGACCGTTGCAAATTTAAGCTGATTTGCGACGATCTCGGCCTGGGGAATCTGATTGTCCGCGGCAAAGAAGACCTCACTGTCATTGGAGTAGTAGACCTTGAGTGGTCATATGTCGGCCCCGCCCAGCGCTTCGGCTCGGCACCGTGGTGGCTTCTCCGAGACAGGCCTGTTAACTGCGAGTGGGACTACAAGGGCGACGAGCCGCCCAAGATTGCAGCCCGGTATCTCCATTATCTTAGTATTTTCTTACGTATCTTAGAGGAGGAAGAGGCGAAAATGCCAGGGCACGAAGGGAGAGAACTTTCCAGTCTTGTTAAATGGTCGCATACCTCTGGGGCTATGTGGCTGCATATGCTCCTCTCATCTGGCTTTATCGACCATCACATCTATCCCTTCACGCAGCTGCGCCTGTATTTGGGGGCGTCCGAGTGGGCGAGGCGTGAGAAGGAATTTGACAACCCAAAAGAGCTAGAAGCATTTGCGGCGCGCAAGGTGAACGAGTTAGATGAGTATCTTGAAGCCTTGGAGAAGATGGAGGAGAAGAAAGAACTCGTGGACTGTGGAGATCTGACAAATGAAGAGTTCATTGCCCAAGCTCTAATAGAGCTAGGCTGTGTCCCCTGATCCTCGTCGTTCTTTCAAGGAGTGGATTGCATAGCTCGGCTTGCGAATTGAATGAGGAAGAACCCATCACCTCTCAGGCTGCATGTTCCGAGTCTGATATTGCCTGTAGCCGTTGATCTACATGGAAAACTTCTTAAGTATTTCTATCCATTCTCAATCCTTGGCTACTTCATAAGATGTACTGAGAGGATTCCATTCTGATCTAATATTTGAAAGATGAAATGCAATATGTGCAGTGTATGTACCTTGTTGAGAGACGTCTCAGGCCAAAATTCTGCCCCACAATGGCACTAAAAGCTGCTTTAGTGAATTAAGAGGAAAACCGTTGGGTGCCCCACGATGAGCTCTACGGAAGTAATAGATTTGCTAAATGTCTGTAGATCGCATGATAGGCTTAACACTCTGGGCAACTACAGTCCCTACTCGGATTTAACTGATTCCCGCCCCCGGCCCACACCTAAATACATAATATTCTGCCAGTAAATTTAGACTGATAAATGCTTTAGTACGTAGTATACCATCCCTCTGCTTCAATTATAAGTCTACACACGCCTAGGCATAGGTACTCTCTGAGAGCCTTTATTATTTAAATATCTCCAAAGTGTATTTGACGAATCCGTTCCATCGCCAGCTCTTCGGGCATTGGTTGTAGGAACTTGTCTATCTCATTGACCTAAAAAGAGTTTTGCGGGTTGACTTGGTGAGCAGAAGTGTATTCCCAATATGATGGATACCAACCAGCAGTTTCCCAGTCAATAATACCAACGATATCATCTCCACGCACAAGAATGTTGAGGCTGCTAAGGTCGCCGTGAGTAAAAACCAAAGGCCAAGACTTGCTTTGTTGTTTGATAAATTTCTGAATTTCGGGGTCAAGCCTTGAATCCAATTCCATGCCCATGCGTAGATGCCGATGGAAGTCCTTGATGGTATCAAAGGGACTGAAGCGCAACGAAATGCCCGGAACACGACAGTCAAAAAGCGATCCGCCATCAACAGAAGCAACCCTAGTACCTTCCGGGGGCTGAAGGTCCCGCATCTCGCGAACCTTACCTGCTAACTGCGAAAGAAGTTTCGCCTTTGAATCCTTACTTTGGTTCAACCATCTACTACCGATTATCTCTCCCTTGATCCTTTCCATCATGATGTAGGTCCACCCAGAATGAGTAAATGCACATAAAACTTTTGGTACCGAGATAGATGTGTGTTGCCTTATGAACCGCATTGTTGATGCTTCAGATAAATGAACGCGGCGTCCGTACTTGACGCATAGTCCGTCTGTCAACATGAGGACGTTCCCTTCTCGAGGTCGAACACGCTTAAAGAGTTGGATTGCTAGAAGGGTTGAACACCGAGACAAAACGTTGTTATTGGCTGATTTCGATGTGCTCAATGAAGGAGTGGATGGCGAGGAGGGAGTCCCTTTTTGACTTGACGACATTATGATCATGTTCGACGCAAGGAAATGTTGAAGTGACTATATCCGGTCAAATTCTTGTTCTTGGTCTGCAAAACAGACTTCGTATTGGATAGTAAGGAATCTAGTAAACCATTGCTGACTGAAAGCGGACAGTATCGGAACAGAAAGTCTTCGATGGGAAGTGATAGTGGGTGGTGAAGGAGAAGTTCACGATTCCTGGTTCCGAAGGTGTAAACGTCCACACTGTTAACACGCTGTCACATCGCTGATGTCTTGGCACTCTTGAAGTGCCCATCATTTTCTCGCTCGCCTTATCTCCGTTGTAACTGAGCAGCTGGAATTTTCTCCGACGGATAATATTATGAGAACAGAAATATTAACTACTATACTCCTTAAAATTCGCATACTGCTAAATTCACGCTATGAAAATATTCCCCCGTTCGAGTTTTTGTCATACTCAGCTCTATCAGGCGGAGCCCGATATGCCGACAGAATCTCTCGGGCAGCCGGGATAGCCAACGCGCAACGCACTATTCCCTAGGCAATGATGGTGATCCTAGCCACCACAAACTAGCCACTGCTCAGAACCAACTAGCGACCAGGTCCCGGCAAATACAGTACGAAGGCATGGCGCGCTTTCGTGAGGAAAACCCAAAGTCATGGTTCGAAGCCGAAGATCTTGTCTTTTTTTTTTTTTTTTTTTTTTGGAAAAGGATGAAAGTACGGCAACTGGGTTTCGGAAACAAGCTGTGTCGGCTGTTCCAAGTTGCTGTCAATCGATGCTCGTTTTGTATTTAGCGTGGGTACCTGCGGGGTAGTCAGCCTTGCGAGGCAGAACGGGGCTGAGTACGGAGATGAAAGTTTTGTATCATCACCTACTTGCCCTCGAAGAATCCCAAATCTGTCTGTGAGACACACCGCACCAAATTATATTTATTACCGGACCGCATAAGTGCCAAGGCCGCTTCTTCTACGTATTGAACGACTGACTTGAAGGTAATGAGTGACCGATGCCGCATTTCCTTCCAAAACTGTCGCATAGTATGAAGCAAGTGTGCCTGACGATTCTTTAGAATAGGCACCACAAACAAGCGCTTCCGATGGCCGAAACCCAGCAAGGGGTTCATCCCCACGTTCCCATCTGGCGCACTATTCTCGGCGACCAGAAAAGCTGGGTCTTGTTCGAACACGGCACCTGCGTGATCTTCCCGGAGCCAGGGACCGACCTGGCCGCGCAAGCCAGCGAATTCCTATCCACCTGGGGCCCTGTGGCTGTCGGCACCTCCGCGGCCGATTTCAATGTCATCGAGCTAGACAACCCTCTGACGGGCTGGGTGGTTACTGGACACTCTCCTGATGTGTTGAACTATGTATCTCCTCAAGATGTCACAGAGTCAGAGCCGCCTGATTTCCTGGTCGGGTTGTATGGCAGAGGGAATCGTGACCAAGATGCTCATTCGTTGAAGGTTATTCATATAGAGGACAACCGTCAAACTGTTTCCTGAACTATATTATAACACATCCTTTCCTAAGAATAGTGCCTTTTTCATTTGAGAACGAACGTGTGACGTGTATTACTATATATTCCATGAGATTTCGAGACAACTTTTACTCTGTGCCTTTCTATTACGGTATCTACTTGCAGGGTAGAGGGCCTGTCGATCAGGTAAGGAGGAACCAGTATAGTCAATTTTGGAACAAAGACTGATTCTGAAGGAACCAGGAAGAGATACCTAGGGATAAACCGGTAAGCGTCGTTTAAAGTACTATAAACGACACCCGTATCTTTCACCTTATTCTAGGGCCACGTATTTCGAAGACCGTCACTGCAACTACTGTACATATGTTCAAGACCTGACTAGCTTTTCATTTCTAACGTCGGTTGACTTATGGGAAATGGCTTGGTATTATTGACCGCCTCCAACTTTCTGTCACCCCGTTCCTCTGAAACCAGGCGGAATCCTGATTGAAGATTCAACTACAAGACACTTACATATTGGCTGATCATGGCACCGGGTAGGTCTCACATCCATTGACTGGCAGATGAAGAGCCTGATTAATCACAGACTGTTGCAGCACCTTGGGATAGCCGACCTATCGTCATTTCTGGACCTTCGGGCGTCGGTAAAGGAACACTGGTTCAAAAGCTTTTTGACGAGCATCCCAATACTTTCGCATTCACCGTGTCCCACACAACCCACGCACCACGAGTCGGTGAAGTCGAAGGCAGAAATTACTTTTTCGTCGACCCATTAACGTTCGACGACCTCGTCTCTCAAGGAGCATTCGTTGAACATGCGACATTCAGTGGAAGCCGGTATGGTACGAGCAAAAAAACAATCTCTGACCAGGCAGCCAAAGGACGGGTTGTTGTGTTAGATATTGAAATGCACGGCGTCAAACAAATGAAGGCAAACCCCAGCATTGATGCCCGCTATATCTTCATCAAATCACCAAGCTTTGAGGCTCTCGAAGCACGCCTTCGAGGTCGTGGCACTGAGAAGGATGCCGACATTCACAAGAGACTAGCCCAGGCTAAGGCTGAAGCTGATTATGCGACAACATCCGGTGTTCACGACAAGATCATAGTCAATGATGATCTTCAAAAGGCATTTGAAGAGTTGGAGGAGTTCGTATTTTGCTGGAATAAGCTTGCTTAACGTGTAAGGGCGGAACATGTTGCTTGTCTATTAGCTTCATCGGCTTGCTGTCAGAAATACCGGATAATTGAAGCATAGAGATATCCAATTCGAATTCCCCCGTCAGTGAAAGACTGAAACTGGATTTGCTGCTCTCAGGAGGTCCGTATAAAAGATAACCCTGTTGGTAGGAAATTCCATGGTCGGCGTACCGCTTTCGCGTATTTTCATCCAGAAAGTCATGCACACCTGTTCAAGGGCCATCCTGTACTTTTCTGGTGCCTTGGCTGGTGATGCTAGTAATCTATCTTTAGGTTAGGATGGAAGGGAAGGACTGAACCCTTTAGGGCTGGATAGTTTAGGTTCTGATTAGATATACATTCTCCAACCATTTCAACCAGAGAAAAGCAAAATTAAGCAAAGCACATCATTAACTGTCGTTAACCTAAATTAAGCTAGAAGAAGGATTTCTCCCTTGGATATCACAAATTACCATCTGCCTAAATACCATCCACCATCTAGGGACTTCCTCCCATATACATCAATGAAGCCCACTGGCCCATAAGATCCTAATCGCTACTAGCCAATTCCCTAACTTGATTATTCCACATAGTTCGCCGGGAACGCGCCCTGCATGCCCCGCAACTCCCCTTCCCACCAGTCATCCGTGCTATTCGTCTTCTGCACCACGCGGATGCGATCGCCCTCCCGGAAAACAAGGTCCCCAGCGCCTTGTCCGTCAAAGTCGTACAGGGCCGTGACAAAGTTTGCAGCGGGCCGCGGCGGCGGCGGAGGCTTCTTCTTTTTTGCCGCGGCGAAGGCAAGGGCATCGGGCCCGGACAAGCTGGATGTCGTGTTCGCGGAGGCCTGGCGGTGGAGTTGGAAGTGGTCGATCTTCGGACCTGCGGGCGAGAATGAGACACCGCTGGGTGGGGCCGCAGGCTGGATGTATGGACTCGGTATTGCGGCCACTGGGGGAGGTGGCATGTACGAGTCACCTCCTGATGGTAGCGGCGGGGTGCTTGATGAGCTACCGACAGAAATGGGCGGTGTCATCGTCGATGAGGACGGCGATGGTGAGCGGAATTCTGATGCCCAGGGCTTGGGCGCAAGCATTGGGGGTGGCACGGCGTTTTTGTTGCCGGTGCTGCCACTGCGGATAGACGAAATAGACGAGATAGTGCTGCTGGCGCGCCCACCGATGGAAGGGCGCTTATTCTGGGTCTCGTGGGCCTGGGATAGGCGGAGGGCTTTGCCATGGGCGAGGCAGCCCAGGCTCTCGACGTCGGCTTGGGCGGTCCCATGGGCAACTTCCCACTCTTGGACTACTTGGTCCATCGGAGGGGGTGGATTGGGGAACCTTTCGTCGTCACAGTAGGCGGAGAGCACGGTGTAGTAGTGCGCTAACATGCTGTTCTGGATCTCAACTTGCGCTCTGAGAATGTATGGGGCCAGAGAGAAGAGGAGCGAGATCAGAGTGGGCAGACGCTGGAGCAGGTCTTGATCTGCTGCTTGGTAGACCTGGCAGTAAGATTAGTGATTGTTTTGAAATGAGTTCAAGGGTCCATTGATGCCCACGTACTTCTTTTGCCATAGATAGATCTGCCTCTGCCTTGGCGAGGTTGGCATTTTCGCGGTCGGAGCGTTTTGGTTTGTGGATAAGGCCGTCGACTTTGCCTTGAAAGCGCTCGAAATCCGACTGGCGGACAAGGGTATGGTTAGCCAGGGAGCCTGTGCGGGATAGATACACTCCCATACCTTTTTATCATTGCGCTTCTTGATGGCCTTTTTCATCGGAGCCAAGTAGGTCTTCGCCTGCTGCACCGGCTGGGACATGCGCTGCTCGACGAGATTGAGCTCCTGCACCAGCTCGCCGCGGAGCTCATCAAATTCGCGTCGCAGGTTGCTGGTTCTCGAGAGGAGCGCGGGGTCGGTCTCCACAGGGGTATGGAGGGCCTCGGTCTCGGAGGAACCGACGATGGGCGCATAGAGACCGTCGAACTCGTCGGCCATGCGACTCTGAAAGGTCGCAATGGACACCCACGCATCGCGCCAGGCCTTGGTAGACTCAATGATCTGGAGGAGACAGAAAAGATTAGCTTTGGGGAACGCGCGTCGCTAGAAACCCAGAAATTCACGAAACGATGCTGCCTACCTTGGTGAAGAGGGAGTCGGCGTCTTCGAAATCCTTCAAGAGGACGGTCACTTGGCTGTTGTCGGCGGATTTGACCGCAGTCATTCGGCCGAATCGTCTCTGCATGCTCTGCATTTTGAAATTATCGGCCCCAGGAGATGGCTCTGACACAGTAAGGCGAGAACGAAGCTCCTAGGCGCTTGGGAATGTAGCACGGAAGAGCTCGAAGAGCCAACCAGGCAATAGTCAGACACAAGTTTCTCAGGCCACCGAAAGGAGCGGGCCAATCCAACAATCTGCAACACGAGGAGGAAAAAGAGAAAGAGACGAAGAGTTCCTGACTGACAGGACCACTTCCCCCGCCAGACGGCCCCAACTTGTTTCAGCCTCCTGCGCGGCTCTCGCGAGTTTTGGGGCCACGGGCCCCCCCCTCTTCTCTGAGCGTCCTGCCCCAACCCCTCACACTATTTTTGGGCCCGCTGTCGATCGATACTCTCATTGCTTTCAACTTTATTCCGTACGTGCTGATCCACTGCCACCTTGGCGAGACAAAACGAAGTACGGGCCCTGGCTGCAAGTGACATGCATCCGAGGGCGATGCAGTGTGGGGGCTGGGAGCTACGCTACTTGGATGGTGGGAATTGGCGTATGAGTCAACGGGTTGTGACGAGGATTCAACCCACTCTCTGATAGCGGACAATGACCGAAGAAACGCCATTAAGATGAAGACAAAAAAGGCGCTGATGTTGTGGTTGTGGTATACATCGCCTGGATCATGTGTCCGCGGAGGCCTAAGGCCATGTTCTTATCGTCGCGACTTCGCCTTTCGGCACCCACTTCTGCTCCACTCGGCCCTCTTGTACCTGAGTAAACTCTCTCCACTGCACCGCCCTCCACCTGGACTCCATGTCCTCGCCACACTCCTTCCCCATGTGTGAACCCATGCTCGGCCTTCCTCCCCTGTCACAATGACCGCCCCGGCATCGTCCGCGCCGCGAGGCACAGCCCTGACCTCGTCTGCATCCGCGTCCCAGGTCACCGCGTCTGTGATCAAGTTCCGCTGTCTCTACACACACGATCTGCGCCGGAAGTCCAAACGCTGGCAGGATGGCTATCTTCGATATCACGCGTTTAACAAACGCGTCATGGTCTACGATGAACCCGGGAACTACATTGGCGATCACCACTGGCGGTCCAACGACGAGTTGCAGGATGGCGACGAGCTGGAACTGGACAAGGGCGCGTTGATCCAGGTCGGCGAGCGGATGGGAACGACTCTGACAGATCTCTCAAATCTGTTCGAGAAGCGGAAATCTAGCCAGGGTTCCCCGCAGGCGAATGATCCCGCGTCCCAGACACCGCGTCCCTCAGCGCAAATTCGATCTTCGGGCTCGTCACAGCCGTTTCGATCGCTGAGTGACCTGTTGGGGATCAAGAAAACACCGATTGGGCATTTGGTCTCACCGTATGAAGAACGTCACCGGCCGCGGCCGTCGTCGAATATCCCCGAATCGCCGGAACGAACACTGAAACGGCAAAAAGTGTCTTCGATCGAGAAAACGCCTGTGAAGAAGCAGGACGCTCAGGCGGAGGTCGTTGATTTGACCGAGTCAGTAGACGATCCCTTGGTAGCGAAAGCATCGACAGCTATTTCCGGACGGGAAGCACCCCGGCCCCCGAAAGACTCGGGACAGAACAAATCGGCTCCGCCAGTGAAGAACCCGCGAAGGGTGCCAGAACTGGCCAATTCAGCGAGTCCCAACCAACCGACATTCGTAAAACCTGCCTTGCCACCCTTTTCGGACTCATCGAGAAGTCGCCCCTCACAGCCCATGCCGTCTGCACCACACACGGGCGCGCAAAGAGAAAACCCTGAAGCCCGTAGGCCTACGAGTAAAGCTGCCACGTCCAAGTCACGGCCGACACCGGAGAGCTCATCAGAAGCCCCAATCAAAACGCTGCGGATGGCTATTGAAAAGCCACGCCGGAAGTTGATGTACAGCGCCCTTCTACCCGGTGACATATCTCCCAAAACAGCCCTAGGGCCGTCATCATCGTCCCCTGCGAGCCGAAGTCAGCCAATATCAAATTCCGAGGAGCCTCAGTCAGTAGGTACTCGGCCGATGCTCGAGACCAGCGTGCTAATTTTCTTACAGAATAGTCAAAACTCCGCTTCAAGAAATTGAGCCCACAAATGCTGAATTTATGCCTTCAGACTCGACCCAATTCATCCTGGAAGAGATGATAGGCGGTCCAAGCCTGGAGCCGGGCCCAGGTCGCAGAATACCCAACCCAGTACGCGCCCACCAACCTCTGTCCTTGCCGCGAAAATTGCCAGCAAGGAGAGCCCCCGATGCCCCCCTCCGCAAATCTGTATCAGATCCGACTGCTTTGACGGCTCTCCAGTCAAGGCCGACAGTTACTCGGAGCGCATTAAGGGCAGTTCCCGAGCAACCCGAGCAAATCGAGGAAGGCCCCTGGACGTCTGAGGCACTGGACTTGTTTGACTTTTGGCCCCCCGGTCGGCCGAAACCCGGTTCAGTGGTGTAAGGCGGGATGAGGCTCCCCTGCATGTTGATTTATGTCATTATTATACCCCTTGATTAAAGGAGAGAACGCTCCCCGATGTATATTGTCATGTCACGACTTGAATCATGCACAGCAACGAAGATACCCTTTTAACAATGATGAATCACGAACCCTGACCCAATATACATACTTCAACCCCGTAGATGCAGTATTTAACTTTGCAAGTTCTAATCCCAGCCACCTAGCCACCCCTCTTGACCAGCACACCCGAAATATACGGCAACGGCGACCACCCGAAAGCCCGCTCCAGCTGCACACTCTCCCACCCGCCATCCCCATCTGCAGCCCGCCTCAACGCCCCCTCCGTATCCCGATCCATACAACAATCCCCAATAAAGAAGCTCCACCCGAGCAGCTGATAAATCGCCTGCGCAACCCGCGCCCCAAACGAGCCCTTCGCCGTCCGCCACGGATTCACCACATGCTCAGTAACAAGCAACCGGCCGCCAGGCTTGAGCAGCGAGTAAAGCTCACGGGTTGTCCGCTCCATCTCAGGGACAGAGCAGAGCACGCGCACGCAGAGAATCGTGTCAAAGACACCGCCACCGTTCGCATTATGCGCGTCAGCGACGCCTGTGCCAGTCGCTTCCAGAGCGGGGATGAGCTCCGACGATGCGGCGCCGCAGTGTAGGACGTGGTATTTTGAGCCAAGGCCTTCGGCCAGGGCCTTTGCGCGTAGTTCTTTGTGCAGGCCGATGCATGGCTCTGCGCCGTAGATTGCTGTTATGGCTGGGGAGCGGAGTAGGGGCATTTGAGTGCCTGTGCCGGGGCCGATGTCCAGCACGATACCAGAGGCGGTTTTGAGGAGGGGCGGAATTAGAGCTGAGGAGCCGGTGAGTTCTGCTTCTTCCGGCTCATTGCTAGCACTTGTGGCGGTTGAATTTTCTTCTTCTCGGTTTGCTGGGAGCGGGTTAGAAGGGGTTTCTTGTTGATTGGATGGTACTTTCTCAAGAGATTGCTTCGGGCGATAGAGTTTGGTTTGTTGATTCCTCTGTGGTGATACCGTGGGTAGGACTTACTGGAAAAAGCAATCCAGAACCGACCAAAGGCTTCATCTCGAAGTCTGGAAGTCTGCGTGATTGGCGCGAGAACCTGACCACTTTTGACGGCTTCGGTGCAGACTTGGAAATAATCTGTGTTTTATGTCAGCTACAATCGCCTGGAAAGAGAAAATATAACGCGAGACATGTATGCTAGAGGAACAGAGAAGTAGGAGACGTCGGCCAGTATCAAAACATCTTCACGCGGGGTATGCTGACATCCTCGTGCTGCAAATGTATGAAAGTACAATAAAATGTGAAAAGAATTTACATGCCATGCCCAGTCAGAAAGTGACCGAGCAATGAAGCCCCAGGGATCCTGAAAGCAGCGCTGTAATATTCCCCGATCTTTCAGAACTCAAGGCGTATCACTTACATGACATTGCCATAGCCATCAACTGCGCCGGCTCGAGCAGATTGAGGAACCACTCGCCAAATGGTGGGGGAGCATCGGACGACATATCGTGGCTGTGGATATTGTGGCAACGCCGTAGCGTTGAAGTTATCGCTGAAGCGTCGAAGTAGAAAAGAGAAGATCAAGAAGCAGAACCATTGGCGGGCGGAAGTTAGGGCGCGGCTGGCGCTGAGGGGTGGGTCACATGACGGCAGGGAATCATTCTCCGCTGTACAGAAAGAGAACCCGATCAAGTAGCTAACTATCTGCAAGGGCGTCGGTGGTGGTCAAGCCAAGTAAGTAGGGATGATGCAGCCAAGAAGTGGTACATGTGCAACTAGATATACTGAATACGTGCCCAACAGCATATACTACAACTGAATCTGCAAAGGAGCAATATCTATTCTGGCGAGGGAGCTCGCTACTACAAAATGACCCAATGAAGAACAACGCAAAATAGATTTTAGTATGGCTTAGGTTCTGGTGCAGCATTTGCGCAACAATGAAGCGACTCAATGGTCGATCACAGAAAGAGTGGAATAGTCAATCAGACAGATGATGGAATGAAGTCGATGATGGGAACAAATATTATCAACAGAAAACGAAGGAAATAAGATATAGAGGAGAGTGAATAGCCGGTTTAGACTGGATGGAGCGTGGTTGAGAAGGAAAGAAAATAGAAGAGATTGACAGCACTGAGAATTGACAAAGGAAGCACGGTGATAGGAGAATGTTGGAGTTTGGGGTTTGTTGACGAGAGTTGGAATGGACAGGAAAGGAAAGAGAGTAGTCGAGTGTGTAGTACGTATGGGGCTGTTAGAGTAGAGTGGAGGCGGAGGTGAGAGAGATTTGGCTGGGAGATTCCCCAAGCCAGCTTTCCCAAGGCATCCAAAGTGGTGTGTCAAGAAGAGAAAGCCGGGTTCACTGCGACTCTCTATTAGGGCGCATGGGGCCAATGCAGACCCAGTGACAGATATGAAGATGCTTGTCAGACAAGGTAGAAGAAAAAGAAACTCGTGGCAATTATACGAGCTGACACAAGCCGTCTGCGTTTGAGGGCCTGCCTGCAAACTCGATCGAACCGATTCCAATGCAACATGCAACGCTTTTAGTGGTGGGAATGGCTGCGGTCGACTCTCGGGCTGTATCGACTGTTGCGCGAGAGCGAGCCCACATCATGTTTGCCATCGCAGCAGGCGCGGACGTTCTCGAGCCGATCTTCGTCCTCGGCTTCTTGTGCAAGGTTCTCCACGCTGGTCTGGTCGCGGATGCTCTCGCTGTGCACACTGGCTGCCTGTCCGTGGCGTCCCTTCAGACTGGCGATTGACCCGCGAATGGAGCTGTTGAGGATTGTGCTGAAGCGGGACGAGGACCGCTGGGGAGGGTCTTCAGGAACCTGCAACGAGGAATTGGGACCCGGGGAGCTCAGCGCGGGGGATGCGCGCCCAGTGGTTCCTCCAGTCGAGCGCATGGACATAGCTGAGGCTGCACGCTGCTGCTTGGGCGGCTGGCGAAGGGTGCGGCTGTTGTACGATGATAATGACATCCGGGCCGCCTGGCGAGAGGCAGATCGGAAGCCAGGGTTGAACTCATCGATATCATCCAGAGTCACGCTGTTTTCATGATCTTCGCAGTTGTCGTTAGTCTCTCGAAGCAGCAGATACGACAGAGCATTGAACCAAGTTTCGTGTCGTTGGCTAGTTGTGGCAGTGAAGCGGACCCGACGGCCAGGGCTAACGACTTCTAAGCTCCGGCAGTGAAGACCCGGAGGATACGGGTTGTCGTCTGCAACTACACGCACGGCTTCAATAGGCACACTCTTAGTCCGAAGCTGAGACTTGCCCGCAGTCTGCGGGTCCTGTTCACTCCAGTATAATGTCCGCGTATAAGGGTGGACCCAGAAATAGCGTCGGTGCCGTGTGGACGACATTTCTGACGAACCAGTCTTACGGGTGTACTTCCAGAGGAACTCGCCAATCATGGTCTGAGTAATTGCCTGGATCATGCGCGGGTCTGTACCAGGCCCGTAGCCTTGAGGCATAGGCCCGGAATAGGGGTTCATGTTAAATCGCTCCTCTAATTCAGAGGCGAACGACGACACTGATGACCGCCTTGACATCTGGCTTTGACTTCCTCTCCTTACGCCGGCATGGGTGGAGACAGTTCGTGCTGACCCGGCCCCTGTGCTCTGGTCGTTTGGTGTGCGCGGGGCAGCCTGGACGTTCATACGATAGGCCGAGGCCGGCGCCAGAGGAGGTCCCATCACACCGGGTGACGGGGTAGGGGGCATATCAACTGACCGCTTCTCGGCAGCCGCGATGGCTTCACGGTGGCCAGCTGGCAACGGGGGGTAAATACTGAGAGTAGAAGTCTGGCTGGTGGCAGTATCAGGACGTATTTGGCTCGATGCTCCTGATTTAGCAGACGATTGTGCTTGAAGGCGAGGCCTGAGCTTGGGGGTGGCGAAGGCAGACGCACCAGCGACTCCTGCCGCAGCGCCAGCAGCAGCCATCTCCATTGTTTGTTTGCTGTCTGATGAAGAAATGGAACGAGATTCCCGGTCCATGAGGATCTGATCGATTTGCTTTGAAGAGAGAATGGTTTGGGAGCCTTGATCGGAGCTGACAAAGCTGGGCTGCTGTCTGCCTGAGTCCAGAGGTAATGCGTTGCCAGAAAAGTCACTTAGAGCCAAACCAGTGCTCGTTCTCCTCTCGCTAGTAGTGGTACTAGAACGGCCGTGAGTTGGGTCACTAGACTCATCCTGCTTACCGTCATGAATGACCACTGCCGCCGCTGTAGCTTTCGATACCTCTATCGGATCCGTCTGGATAGCGAAGTCACTCATGAAAGGAATAACACGCGCCACAGATCCAACCGGCGGCGTTTCCACAGATTGCAGGGTAGAGATGGTGGGGGTAGGGAGAGGAAGAACTTCAACCCGTCTAGGGTTGGCTGGTTCTGTGAACGCTGGATCTAACAACGAGATAGACAGCTCTGGAAGAACCAGCTCTGGCACAGGCGCGGGAATCATGATTGGCTCTGGCGCTGGTGCAGGTTCCGCCTTCACCGGCTCTGTGAATGCTGGATTCAGCATAGTGATCGAAAGGTCTGGAAGGACCGGCTCTGGCACAGGTGCAGGAATCATGATTGGCTCTGGCGCAGGCGCAGGTTCCGCCTTCACCGGCTCTGTGAATGCTGGATCTAACAACGAGATGGACAGCTCTGGAAGAACCAGCTCTGGCACAGGCGCAGGAATCATGATTGGCTCTGGCGCTGGTGCAGGTTCCGCCTTCACCGGCTCTGTGAATGCTGGATTCAGCATAGTGATCGAAAGGTCTGGAAGGACCGGCTCTGGCACAGGTGCAGGAATCATGATTGGCTCTGGCGCAGGCGCAGGTTCCGCCTTCACCGGCTCTGTGAATGCTGGATCTAACAACGAGATGGACAGCTCTGGAAGAACCAGCTCTGGCACGGGCGCAGGAATCATGATTGGCTCTGGCGCTGGTGCAGGTTCCGCCCTCACCGGCTCTGTGAATGCTGGGTTCAGCATAGTGATCGACAGGTCTGGAAGGACCGGTTCTGGCGCAGGCGCAGGTTCCGCCTTCACCGGCTCTGTGGATGCTGGGTTCAGCATAGTGATCGACAGGTCTGGAAGGACCGGTTCTGGCGCAGGCGCAGGTTCCGCCTTCACCGGCTCTGTGAATGCTGGGTTCAGCATAGTGATCGATAGGTCTGGAAGGACCGGCTCTGGCACAGGCGCAGGGAGCATAATCGGCTCCGGCGCCGGAGCAGGCTTGGCCTGCACTGGCTCAGTGTGCTGTGAAAAGATAGTCGATACAGCTAATTCGGGAATGACAACCTCCTCAAAAGCAGCGATAGGTTCAGGGAGCTGGGCCAGAATAGGCTCAGTGGAATAGGTGTAAAGAGAAGACAAGGACAACTCGGGAGGCTCCCGCACAGACTCTACAGGAGCCAAGGCTTCCGGCTCGGGAATAACCGCCTTGACAGGCTCTGTTGATTCTGAGGTAATTGAGGAGAAGCTCATCACAGGGATCTCGGGAGCAGGGAGCTCGTGCTTCACGGGATCGGTAACACCACCAGGAAGGTATGCAATAGCCGGCTCTGGCCACTTAGGCACAGTGGGAAGGGTTTCTTGAGAAGAGACGGCCGCAATACCCATCTGGGCTGGCTCAGCTTGCGTACCAGCCTCAACGAGCCGGGTTTCTATTGCACGCTCGTCCCATGCCATCTTCGGGGGCGTGGGAACATTGGCCAAATGGTCACCGTCCCCAGCCACGGGCTTGAGTGGTGTCCACTGGGTTCCCGAGCTGACCCACTTGGGTGTCTCCTCGGACTCCGTGGCGATTTCACGGCCCACGCCTCTTTGAGGAGTAGTGGGGGTATCGGAGACAGCGGATACAGCTGCTCCAGTGGCAGCAGCAACCGGAGTACTAGAGTCCCAAGGATCAGTCATCACACCAGAATCAACCATGACCGGCTTGGGCAGCGAGTCAAGCATAACCTCAGAGGGTCTGCGAGAGCCTAATGAAGGACCCATGCGAGGCGTTGAGGCCTGGGATGAAGTAGTAACACCTTCGTCCTCTTCGTCACCACCCTCCAGTTCAGCAAGCTCAGCAAAGAGGCTCTGACCCTCCTGAGCCACAGGCTGCTCCTCGAAGCTTGGCGCGGGGGACTCGCGTGCACTAGATGGACGGCTGCTAGATGCCATCGGAGCCTCTCCAGACGGGCGAATCCGCCTGAGAACGCTCCGCTTCGATCTAACGCGACGACCAGAGATATGGCTTTGGCTGGGTGAGGGGAATCCTCCATCTGTGTCATCTTCGTCGGAAGTGGCGGAAGCTGTGCTGTGGTACGAGGTACGATCGCGGGCCTTGGCCATCATGATTGACGAAACGCGGTTGCGGGGAGTTGTCTGGAAATTGGTTTCGGTCTCCGTGAGATCAGCAGAATCGTCACTGCTGTCATCAGCCATGCTTTCGACACCGGTCTGGAAGGCTTCGCTTTCAGTTGCGGCCGCCCGCTCGTTTGCGGTCTCGAATCCATCTTCGGTTTCAGTAGCACTCTGGTAGCTGTCACTAGGCTCATCAGGAGGAATGGCACCAGAACGGCTCCTAGCGGAGCTGGCCATTATGGATCGAGTTGGGCTGCCCTGGCCAGCGTTGTCTTCCCAATCAGTATCATGAATCTCCAGCTCGACCATGGATTTTTCCTTGCGGCCAGCACCCAGAAGATCTGGACGAGCAGGCTTGCGGAATGAGTTCTCCTTGGTCTTCAAGCGCTTGGTGGACCCGTTGGGTGGGATGGTCTCACGGCGACGTTGCTCGAGCTCGTCCCGGGTGTCTTGCAGCATGCGCTTAAGCTCGATCTTTTCCGTCTTCTCTCGGTGAATCGTACTCTTGAGGTTCTGGATCATACGATGGGCATGGCCGAGTGAGCTCTTCAGAGTCTCGGACTCCAGGTGGTTATGCCGAGGAGTGAACTTGTTGGGAGACGGTGGGGGAGAATTGTCGGGAGTGGTCTGCTCCGGCTCTTCGCCATCATTGTCGTCTGGCAGGTCTCGGGCCGCTTGCGATTCAAACTGACGAATTCGCATGGCAACCGCCTTCGCTAACTCTTGGTTCTGGCCGGTCAACTCCTCGAGCTTTTTCTGAAGAGCAAGTTTTTCTGCATCACCAGCCGTCAAGTTTCGGCGCAAAAGGTGAATTTCAGAGTCATTCGCCTTCTGCGCGATTGTCTGGTCCTCCAACAGCTTCGCATTGGCTTGCCTCAGTTCCTCCAGTTCCCTTTCCACGGCATTTTTCTCCGAATTCGAGGTGCTCAGGCTGCTGTTGAGTCTGCTCTCACGCTCCGTCGCATCTTTAACAGCTGCCATGAGCTCATGAATTTGCGTCTCTAAAGCCCAGTTCTCATCTTTGTACCGCTGCTCGCTGTCATCTAGGGTACGAATCCGCTGAGAATAACCTTCCGCTTCGATCTCTAACCGGGATTTCTCCAGGTTGACGGACTTCAGAGTCTCCTCTCGCTCCGCAAGAAGCGCCTGCAATTGACGGACTTGGGCAAGAAGAGAGGTCGAAATCTCAGTGGCGAATTCAATATCGTGCACACGGCTGGATGGTTGATTACGCTGCTTGCGGGACGGGACGCTGACTTTGCTGGGAGAGTTGGTCGCTTGGCTAGCGAAAAGAGCCGGGCTGAGGGGAGACTAGATTGGGCAGTTAGATTGGCAGCACAGCGGGGCCACAGGGGCGTGCAATCATTCGTAGTACCTTTTGATCGAACCCTGGAGTGCCCAGCTGGGGATCCTCCGAGCCTCCTGCCAACCGCTTCGGAGCCAAAAAGGCGCGCGCAGATTCCCGACCAATCTCGGTATACTCTCGCTCCAAGTCGGCCAGTCGTTGACGCAGCTCCGGTCCCATTTCACCTTCATCCTGCTGTAGCTCCACCTCCTTCAACTGCTCCGTGAGTTCGCGCTGTTGGTCAATGAGTGCCGTTCCCAACTTGGAGGCTTCCTCCAGTCGGCGCTCGGTCTCCGCCAGATGGGCCTCGAGGGCCCGTTTGGCCTGTGCGGGCGAAGAAGCATTTAGACTGAAGAGTTGTGTATCGAAAGAGGAATACCGGTGCGATTCACGGGTGGCGGCGGGCTGCCCCGAGTTCCCCGAGTTCCCAGACTGCGAGACGAACGGATCCTCCATCATGGCGGCGAATGAGCTACTCGCGCCGGCGTTAGGCAATGTCATGCTCCGACGGTGCGGTGCCTCAGTCGGCTTCTGAATCCCCTTCTATGCGAGGAAACAGCGGCCGATGAGACGTGGAGAGACTCGCGCGTATTTTTCTTCCTGGTATTGACCCGTGTCCAGTTCACGCGAGCATCGTTCGAATCACCGCGCTTGGAAGAATGGATCGCGCAAGGTCCCCTCCGTTACCTGAGTGGACGATTGAGCCGACCAGCGACCACGAATCGTTGGTATTGCCACGTGCGAAAATGGAAAGCGATACGAAGGGGTTGGCGAGAAGTCAAAGGGCGTCGCGAGGAGCGAAGGGCAAAATAGAGAGGAGTCGTCACAACAAAAGCCTCGACCACTCGAGAACGGGCGAATCAGGGAGATCCCGAGCCGGCGAGAACCTTGGCCGGGCACACGCGTGTAGGTGAGCGTGTGATGCAGCCAACCATCAGACGGCGATCGGCACCGAATATCAACCTGACGGTAGTCCCGACTCGATGGGAACTTCGTAAATCAACAAAAGAAAAGAAGAAAAAGAACTTGACAGAAGAAAAATTAAGAAAACAAACGCGACTAGAGAGGGTAGAGAACGTGGGTGGTGATGTGAAGGGAGTGGGCGACTCGGGCGGGGAGAAAAGGGAAGAGAGTCGAGAGTTGAGCGGGAGCGGTTGCTATTCTTGCCCACTGCCAATTGGCACCGGCGTTTGAGATTACCGTGGGGAGATCAGGGAGAGAGGGGGGGAGGGGGAGGGGGAATAGTACGATCATGGATTTCCTAATAGAGTATACATGGAAGTAGGGTGTGATTATTGATTGGCATCTGCACGTCTAAGACTCTGGTTTCCCTACTCCGGACACTTCCTAGGTGAACGGTAGAGAACGGCCCTGGCGCATGCGATTCGATAGTCTGCGCTTGTTGTTGTTTTCTTTTCCCAACGCGTCGGGCACTGGGTTTGCAGTGTTTGCAGTGTTTGCAGTGTTTGCAGTGTTTGCAGCGCTGGTGCTTAGTCAGTCCGCGGAATTCGAGCAGCTTCTGGTAAGATGACTGACCGGAACGAAGGCAAATAGCTCCCAATCCACCTTCCACCTCTCACATCTCTCGAGTCGTGCTGCCCACCTCTCCAGGCTCATATAATGACAGAGGAGTCTGAAGTTGCACAGCCCGCCCCCCAGTTCGGCTTCAAGAAACGCTCCAAAGGCAAAGCCAACTTTCGCAAGAAGCCCGCTACGCCACCGCCGGCCTCCGACTCAGGGTCTGATTTCACCTCATCCGATGACGAGGAGGGCCGACGCATCAAGAGGCGGCGCAAGAATGTTGCCGTGACAGCCTCATCGGCTACAAATGCAACTAGGAGAGACCCCGCCGCCGATGAAGCAACGAGCACTGGTCCTGCACCTCTATCGACGAGCAACGATGCCACGAAATCATCCAACTGGTACGATGAGGATCTGAGCGCAAAGAACCTGCTCGGCTCGACCCGCACACAGTCGTCCTCGATGTCCGCACCAGATGGCACATACCGGGGAGCGGCCAACTATCAGTCCTTTATCCAGAAGAATCCGGATGCGCCGACGAAGCAGTTCGGTCCCATCAAAGCGCCTACAAATGTCCGGACGGTGACCGTGATGGACTTTGCCCCCGATGTCTGCAAGGACTGGAAACAGACGGGGTGGTGTGGTATGTCAATCCTCCAACATTGCTGTTCACAACGTATATGCTAACCTACCTTTCTTTCTAGGATTTGGTATGTACCTACGAAATACTGGTTCAAAAAGGGAACATATAGGCTAACAAGATGATAACAGGCGACTCGTGCAAATTCTTACACGCCCGTGAAGACTATAAACAAGGCTGGGAACTGGATCGCGACTGGGAAATCGGGACGAATGGCAAGAAATTAAGCGGACGCGTGGTGTCGCAGAGGAAGGGCGCCGGCAAGACCGCCGAGGACGATGAAGACGATGACGATGACGAGCTGCTGGACAGCATCCCCTTTGCCTGCATCATCTGCCGGAAACCGTATCAGAACCCCGTCATAACCAAGTGTGGACACTACTTCTGTGAGTCTTGTGCTTTGCAACGATATCGGAAAAATCCAGCCTGCGCGGCGTGCGGAGCGGGGACGGGTGGTGTGTTTAACACCGCGAAGAAGCTTAACGCCCTGCTGGAGAAGAAGCGGGAGAAGGCACAGAAGGAGCGCGAGAAGGCTGTCCAGGACGGTGAAGAAGTCAGTGAGGAAGAGGAGAATGCCTTGGAAGGAAGTGATTAATCTCAGGACCTGATTCGAGGCTTAGTTACAGCTGGACTGCACCATCAGGCCTCGGAGTCATGATAACAGCTCAATAGGAAGAAGAGAATCCTCAAAAGCACATGTCCCCACATCCATGATATCTGCCAAACAACATATACCTATTCCTACCTTGCCATCGTTGATCTGAAAGTAATGGACGTATTTGACCGAGGATGGATGATGGAGTTAATATATTTTTCATCCGGTTTACGCCCTATCCAACAGTCATCTTGTATGACCCATATTTCAAATTTCTTAAATAGAAAATCGGGAGACCAGAAACTGAAAGTCTCTCCCCGCCCTTGTCTCGGAACACGCCCGAAGATCTACTCAGCGCACTCGAAGAGCAACGGTGGTTGTGGTGGGAGTCACATCTATGGTTGCGGGTGATCAAGCCGGGCCCTCCTCTCCGCCTCCACTTCCACCTCCACCTCCATTCTTCGCCAGCCCCCACTCAAACCTTCCTGGAACAAAGCCCGCCTGACCAAGGAGATCAAACCCCGGGCAATCTTATCTCTCGAGTGCTCGACAGACACCATGCGAGCCATTTTCGCATCAGCCAAGAACGACACGCGGCCCGTGCGATTCAATGTGGCTCGGCTATCATCCGCCAATGACATTGTTTATCCCGCCCTTGTGCCTCGACGAAGAGTACTATCTTCGCTCCAGTGGTTCAATGCGACCACAAAAGCGGTGCAGTTATTGGTTCAGGCTATCCGTACTCATTATGGACTCCACGTTCCTATCTCAGCGGAAAAAGGGACCAGCGCAATGGTTTCAGATCGGCAAAAGCCACCGGACCCGTCTGAAATGGCGTGGAGATGATTGTTCCACAACCGCGCCCGCGTGGTGAACGGTTCGGCGCGACGAGCAAGTTACCCCTCCCGTGGCTGTTTTCTGTCCCTCGCTCACCCTTGGCGCCTCGCAAGTCTAGACAAGCGGCGGCGCACCATTTTGCTATGCTGGTCGGGATCAGTAGTGGGGTCATCGCCACACCGCATTTCGTCCTCAGAATTCAGGTTTACAAAACTCTGAATGGAAGGTATTTAGCCTACTGTGCACTATGGACTAGGTTCGACGACATGAGACCTTGGTCGCTGACTTCTTAGATTAGGTCCTGTCTGTCTATGCGGGCGACCCTCGTTAAATAGGCAAACGCTGCCGACGGCAGAATTAGCTTTAGGGGTAATCAAGCGGGCCCCACGTGGATACGAGACTAGCCGATAGCGCGGTGGGGAAAGTACGTGCCTTGCCCGGTGTGTGCTGCGCAGGCTGCACCATTTCTCGGCGGTCTTTCTCTTCGCTTCTCCAGACATTCCCTGCGCCCCACGTGCGAGCCACGGTATCCTTCGTACGCGCATCGCCACGCTGCTCCATTCGGACTGATGGCATCTAACCTGGGGCCCGCCTCCAGGGCAGTGATCCTTGCGCAGTCCCCAGGTTGGCCTAGCGCCTGTTGCCTTTCGCTCCAAAAAATATACTTCGGCCAATATGGCAGGGGCCGCGAGAGGCGCTACGCTGACCCGGGCCAAGCTTTTGCAGCCAAGGGTCAGAGCCACCTCGCCTTGCCCCAGCTTCGACAAGCTCCCGTCTAATCCCCTGGACCCGCCTCCTCAGCGGCCAATGATGTGAGCGTAGAATGGCATCCCTTAGTTACGCGGCTTAGACTGCCCTATGATGCCAATGGCGAAAAAGGAGTGGGAAGGTCGGGCCTCTCTTGTCTTGGGCGGTCTCTTTCTCTTTTCACACTACTCCGTAGAGACTAGTCCTAGATCGTATCGGATGATATCTATTCCAGTGCTGTGCTTCCTTTAAACTCCTTTTCCTGTCCCTCGTTTCCTCTCCCGATCCCCACTGTCAGTTCTTGTGGTCCCGCGTGGCTACTGCGGCGACGAGTGCGCCATTGAATTACTCTATTCCTCCCCTTTACCCTTTCTCTTCCTCCCCTTTCTCTCTCCCTCTCACGACGGGCTGCGCCTTCATCATCTTCTATCCTTGTTGCTTGTCTTCATCGTTCTTATTCAACTCGACCATCGATGGCTCAGTGGTTCCTCCCGCGGTGAATTTGGTACGCACGGCGCTCCGCTCAAGGGCCTTCCTTCCCTGGCACATCTCTGAACATTTTTGGTGTCCACCATGAAAGGTGGTCTGCGTTTCGCACTCTGCGCTTCGCTACTCCTATTTTTCTCCTTGTACCTGCTGGAGGCACATCTCAAAGATCTTTATGATCAGTATCGCGCCGGCACATATTTGGTTGATTGGCTGGACCGAAATGGAGCCGTTCGAAGCCCGGCATTCAACGATGTACCAGGCGACAAGGTGGTCGTAATGGCCAAATTGCAAGAGGAGCCTACCGACTGGGTACAGGAGGAACTTCCAGAGTGCGTATATGATTTGCTCTTTGATAAAATCAAGCTTGGTTCAATATTGATCAAACCTCTCCCGAACAGCTGGCAGCGCGCCATCTACATAGTCAACCCGTCTGAAGATGCGCGATCCGATTCGAATGTGCTCACAACACCTCTTAACAAAGGCCACGAGTCTATGGCTTACTTGACCTACGTGATCGACCACTACGACGCCCTTCCCTCCACAATTGTCTTCCTCCACGCACATCGTGCAGGGTTCCTGATGGCATGGCACGTCGATGCGCCGCTCCACGACAACGTCAACGCAATGCGCATGCTCCGAACCGACTTCGTTCAACAAAACGGCTACGTCAATCTCCGCTGTAACTGGAACCCAGGCTGCAAGGAAGGCCACCGCTTCAATCAACATGTCACCGAGCAGGTCTGGTGGGATATTTTCGAAGGCACGAGCACTCCGCCGTTGAACCACTCCTCGCCCTACGAACAGGAATACTCGGAGTACAAATACATGCGCAAGCCAGATCAGATTGGTGCGGCGTGCTGCGCGCAATTTGCGGTCTCGCGAAGCCAGGTGCATAAGCGGCCGCGCGACGACTACGTTAAGTTCCGACAATGGATCATTGAAACCGATTTGAATGATTCTACTTCAGGACGAGTGATGGAGTTTTTATGGCATGTTATTTTCGACATGGACGCGGTTTATTGTCCCGATGAGGAGCTCTGCTACTGCCAAGTGTATGGGAAATGCTAAGCCCTGGCGGTGCTCGACAGTGTTCCGAGCCAATCTCGCTAACTCATACTACACTGCTGATTCCAATTCCCTGCCGGTGACCTGCGTCCTCAGTCCCCGCCACTGTTCATATTTGCCAAAGTTTTTCGATACCCATTGCCCCGAGCTGAGCTCTGTTTTGTCATTTGCCCCATGCGTTGCCTTGAGCCGCATAGAGCCTGGCGTTTGCAATGGTTTACCTGGATAATCAGTTATAATGCGGGTTGGTGCTAAAGAGAGCGATCTCCAAACTTTTGTATACGGGCGTTGCTGCTCACCGACCTTGTCAATACTCAATAGAAGTTATTTCAATTGCATTCTCTTATCTGAAGAAAGCCATCCTTTTTTCCTTGGATTCATCCATTAGTTTCTATCTAGGTATCCGCCAACACATTCATCGTTTGGTCATTGTTTTCATGCCCTCAACACTTTTTTGATATACCAGTTATGACTTGACCATCGATCATTTGTACGTGAATTAGGCAGCTAAAGTACGCCGAAACGTAAACGGACTGAACTGAAACATAACGCAGGCCCTGGGCATGCAGTCGTAACTCATTATGCAGATAGTTTACAAGCTAGAGAACTTAAAGGATGGCCGCTCAGAGCCTCATTTCTGCTCAAAAAATTGCTCGACTCGGTCCACGAGATCGGCTTTCTTCCCAGCCGCGGACCGGCCTTGGGCAACCAGGAAATCTTTCAGCACAGCCACCGTGAGCTTCGACAGCATCCCCTTCTCGTAGCAACGTTTTACTTCGCTCTCGGCACCACCAGTACTGTCTTCAATTTTCACCCGCTTTGCTGGGGGATCACCGGCGCTGTCTGCGCCGTCTTTTGGACCCCGCTTGACCAATGTTGATTTTGTAGCGGCGGTGCCGCCAAACATCTTGCTGAAAGTGGCATCAAGTTCGTCGGACCAGGCAAGAACATAGTCACCCGCACGCTGGTAATCAATTAGGATCACATCTTGAGACTCTTCTGCACCTTCCCACTCAAGCTTACCTTGTCGATCTGCCGGTATTTCGGTTTCGTCTTGTCTTCTGGCTCTCCTGGGTGATCCTCGTCTAGCGCCAGGGCTTGTAATATGCGGTAATGCCATTGAAGGGCTGCAGGTCTGTTAGCACTTGAGAGGCTATAAGAGCACAGCACAGAACAACTCACCTGGGTTTGGATATTTGTGGGGCTCGTACACAGCCTTTGGAAGCTGCAGTTGTCCAATGACTTGGCGCATTGCATCGGTCAGAGAGTCCGGTGACACGTTCATGCTGGACTCGGGATTCTGTCGCACATCGTCTGCGAAGGGAAGAGGAATAATCCACATCCCAGGCGGAACTTTCTGCACGTCATTCTCGTCAATTCTCTCATCCCCAGCAACCATAGCCCCCAGCACCGGTGCTGCATTCTTGCGAGGAATGAACCAAACCAGGGCTATCTTTTTGTCCTTCAGGAGTTTTTGATACAATGCCGAAAACACACGCGTGGAGCCGACGTAGTCTTCCTCAGAAGGATATATGAAGGAGGGATGCTTAACATTTGCCCAGATTGGCAGGGCAGACAGGGGCTTGAAGCCGATGATGCGGATCACGGGGTCCCCAAAGTTCCTCAATGCCTGCAATTCTTCGAGAGTAAAGGAAACTTGCTCTCCTCCAAACTTGTAAGCTTTTCTTATCTCTGACTTTTCCACTGTCCGTGCTGTATCATCGGCCATCTGGGTAGTTACGCCTTTGGCTATTTGAGGTGTCTCTCCCCCAAGCCAGACATAGCAACTCCGCGCCGGCTCCTGTCGCTTCAGCAAAAGGTATCCATTGACAGAAATTTTGAAGTTGGGTCCAATTTCCAAAGGAACGTTTGAGAAAAGTGACCGTCGCGGCACGGATCTGGAATTGATGCTTGACAAGAGAGAGTTCAGCAACGAGATACCGTCTCCTTTAGCCGTCGAAGTGTTCGTGTCTGGCTGGAGATAGGCAGGGGCTTCACCGTCACTGGGGGAAGTTTTGTAGATGATATCCTGGATAACAATTAGCCTAATTTTTCGGTCATTGGCACTGGGCGTTGGATTCGCGACGTACGTCGTAAAATTTAGAGGTATCGAATTCATGGTCAGGCCGAGAGATAGGGAAGAGTTCGATATTCACACCCAGGTCGTATAGATCCCGTGCACGAACTGTGGCCGCAGACCTCTGCGACTTGCTGTCTCCATGCGGATTGTCATCATCGGTCACAATGAACAGGCGTCTCGAGAGAAAGTTCGGGGCTTTCGAGGTGAAGATTTGGTTGGCGCAGAACAGAACGTTCGCCATCGAAACACGCTCCTTCGACGGTTTCAAGATCTTCCGAGCCTCCTCTTCATCTTCTGCTAGAGCTCGTAGCTCCTTGACCTCTTGGGCCGATGGAATATCGAGGTCGGTAAAGAGATAACAATGCGGGTATGAGAGGTCACCTCCGTGCTCCCCATCTTCATCGTAGAACTTGGACGATTCGGTGCCGTAGAGTAAGACGCCAATCATGTCATGGGGGTTGGATATGATGCGCTGCTGCATCAAATGGTACGCGCATTTAAGAGCCGCCGATGTAGGTGATTCTTCACCGGATTTCTTGGAACCTTCGGATAGACGGGGTTCCAGCATCGAGCTGCTGACATCAATCGCAAAGAGGATAGCATCCTTGACGGCCCGAAAGCTCTGTATCGAATTGGATTAGTACCCGGATCTTTATCCCCGATAATCGTACAACTAGTTCCATGGCTATTCACCGTCTCGTCAACCTCTTCCTCCTCAATATTCTCCTCATCTCGCGTGTAACTGTCGTCAGCCATGTTTTCTCTCTCCTTCAGATTGTCTGGATGAGCGTAAAAGAGTGAAACCCAGGGCCAGCCTTTGCGTAATTGAGAGCTGCTGCCTGAGACGCGATTTACGCGGGGGAACGCGAAGGTCATGTGACGCAGCTGCCTGGAGCTGCTGACTCCCACGAGGCCGTGATTGGCTGATTGGCCACAGTCCGCGATGCTCCCAAGAGTGGCTTCCGGCTTGTGACGGCTCGCGGCTTGTGATGTTGCTTCCGGCATTCCGCACTTGTTCCTGTTCATACAACCCCCTATCATTCATTGATTTTTTGTTTGGGAATTGACCGTGTTCAGTCGCGCTGAGAGTATTCAGTGTCAATCCTAGGCTTCTCATCTCAACCATGGCATTCCCCAGTCCCTTCGCCATCTCCCGGCGGTTATGGACCAGTGCTGCCAGTTCCGCCACCTCCGCCCTACGGCCAATGCCTCGCGGCTGTCTGGCGTATAGCGGCAACCAGAGATGCACCATGGCGACGACGGTGGCACCGCCAGTCACGCAGGATGCGACGGGTGCGAAGGGCCCGACTGCGATGGTTTTCCTGAATATGGGTGGCCCATCGACAACGGACGAGGTGGAGGATTTCCTCGGCAGGTTATTTGTACGTTCAATTGCAATCGCTTGCGTAACTTGGGTTTCTTTCAAACCTTGTGCTCTGACTGACACCTTTGCCACTACTACAGGCTGATGGCGACCTCATTCCCCTTGGAAGATTCCAATCATACCTCGGGCCTCTCATCGCGCGTCGACGAACCTCGAAGATTCAACAGCAGTATTCAGATATCGGTGGTGGCTCACCAATCCGGAAATGGTCCGAGTACCAATGTAAAGAGATGTGCAAACTGTTGGACAAGATGTCTCCAGAGACCGCGCCGCACAAGCCCTACGTCGCTTTCCGCTATGCCGCTCCCTTGACCGAGACCATGTATAGTCAGATGTTGGCCGATGGTTTTGGAAACGGCAAAGGAGGCCGTGCGGTTGCCTTTACTCAATACCCTCAGTACTCTTGCTCCACAACTGGAAGCTCGCTGAATGAGCTGTGGAAGTGGCGCAATCGTCTAGAAGGAAAGCGTGCTAATGGTGAAGTCGATCCTGCTGGTGCTGTCCAGTGGAGTGTCATTGACCGGTGGCCCACCCACTCTGGCCTGGTCGAAGCGTTTGCGCAGAACATCGAGGCTCAGTTGAAGACCTACCCGGAGGAGAAGCGGAACGAGGTTGTGTTGCTGTTCTCTGCCCACAGCTTGCCCATGGACGTAGTCAACCGAGGTAAATCTCTAATTCCCGCGGGTCCGAAGTATCCCAATCCTAATTACTGTGTCTTCCCAGGTGACCCCTACCCGGCCGAAGTTGCTGCGACTGTCCACGCTGTGATGCAACGCCTGAAGTTCAGCAACCCCTACCGCCTCTGCTGGCAATCTCAGGTTGGCCCGAAGGCATGGCTCGGAGCCCAGACCCAGGATACCGTGATGGAATATGTCAAGCGCGGCCAGTCTGATCTGATCCTTGTGCCTATCGCGTTCACCAGCGATCACATCGAGACGCTGTATGAGTTGGATTTGGAGGTTATGCACGAAGCTAATAGCCCGGGCGTTAAGCGGGCAGAGAGCCTGAACGGTAACCCGGTCTTCATCCAGGCCCTGGCCGACATTGCTCACGAACATCTGCAGAAGGGCGAGTCATGCTCTCTGCAGATGACTCTGCGCTGCCAAGGTTGCAAGAGTGACCGATGCCTGGAGCAGAAGAAATTCTTTGCGGGCAAGCACGCTTCGCTGGTGATGTAAAAGTTGATCACGGTCTACGTTCAATCCTAATTTAAACACAAACTTCGGGCTATGTACACATCATATGGCGGGGGCGGTTCTGGGAGTTGTCAGGTTACACAGCGGGATTGTATAGTCCATTATCTTTCTCTTTTGAAAATGTTGAATCTTGTAAAGAATTTTTGACTGCATCATTATTCCGTTGCATAGAAGGTCAGGGATCGGAGATCTCGGAATTAAGCGCCTATCAGTGCGTAGGTGGAGTTGGTAAGCTCCGGTCCCGAAAGCCTGCTTTGCTTGATAAGAGCATTTCCCCCTTTCCCCGCCAATCCCTGGGCCCCCATCCTGCTGTGGACTGGTAATCCTGCCCAAACGATTGCGGGCCCCCTCTTATTTCAACCATGCGCCGGTAGACTCCTGCGATCACGCGAGGTGTCACATCACCACCATGGAGAACGAAGAACTCTTCGCGGGCGAATCTGCCCTCGATGCACAGCAGCAGGGCGGCCGCACTGCAACTGCATCCAAACATACCCCTTTGCTGGTCCTCACGGAACCTCTGCTGGCTGGCGATGACATCGATGATGACGAATGGCCGCGGCGGCACGAGGTGCGAATCCACGACATAGACGACCGGCCGCAATGGAGACGGCCACATGTGAGTGAGCTCGGCTGTGGATTATGCTTACCTATTCTTACCTGATCGCGATGATGGTAGATCTGGTGGCTGCTGCCATTCGGGCTTATCTTCACATTGGGCTTCGGTGGTCTCGCTGTGCCCAGGATCAACTTGATCATGTCCCTCGTCTGTCGTGATTACTTCGCCGAGAAGACCTCTCGAGACCCCACCTTCACCTACCTCCCCGTTATCTTCGGAGAGGATAACTCCCAATGTCGACTTCCCGAGATCCAGTCCCTAGTCGCGAAATTCCAGCTATATCTCAATCTTGTCACCGGAATTGTATCAGCTTTGGTTAGCCCCCGCCTCGGCCATCTATCCGATCGCTATGGCAGAACTACAATGATCGCGCTGTGCGCGATGGGTGCTGTCCTGAATGAAGCCATTACAGTAATTGTCGCCTCCTGGCCCGAACAGATGTCGGCTAATTTACTCTTGGTTGGGGCGCTCATGGACGGATTGGGAGGCTCCTTCACCACCGCACAAGCTTTGATTCATTCCTACGCCTCAGACTGCACGCCGCCTGATCGAAGGAGCGTGGCCTTTGGGCTATTCCACGGCGCCATATTCCTTGGAATCGTTCTTGGACCAACTGGTGCTGCATATTTGATCAGCAAGACTGGAAATGTACTCATTGTCTTCTACATTGGCCTTGCGTTCCACATCTTCTATTGCGTTGGGGTCTATTTTATTGTTCCCGAATCTGTTTCCAAGGAACGGCAGCTAGAGGCCCGTGAGAGGCATCGCGCGAAGGAGTCCGACCCCGGAGATGGCAGCTGGTATTCATTGAAGGCCGTCAACCCCTTGAATCTCATCACACCTCTCAAGATTCTCCTGCCCCCTGTTGGGCGGCCAAGTACTTTGTTCCCGAACCGTCGCGGCGCCAGCCCAGCACTGCGCCGAAATATCATCCTGTTGGCTGTGATGGATACTGCCGTTTTCGGTGTTGCAATGGGCACCATCCAGGTCATCATCATCTATGCGGAGTACATGTTCAATTGGGGAAATGTGGAGTCCAGCCTCTTTGTTTCCATCATCAATGTGGTCCGTGTGGTGAATCTTTTCGTGGTCCTTCCCATTATCGCTTGGCTCTTCCGAACCCCATCTGAAGATGACGGTCTTATCCGCGGATCAGACATGCTGGACATTGTTATTATTCGCTTGTCGGTTGTTTTCGACATCCTGGGATACGTTGGCTACGCGTTGTCGAAGCATCCCTCCGTCATGATTCTCTCCGGTGCTGTTGCGTCGCTTGGAGGAATGGGATCACCCATTTTGCAATCATCCCTTACAAAACATGTGCCCCACGAGCACGTTGGGCAGTTGCTTGGTGCAACAGGTCTCTTGCATGCTCTTGCCAGAGTGGTCGCGCCCACTGTCTTCAATTTGATCTACAGTGAGACAGTTGCAACATACCCGCAGGCTGTTTTTGTGGCTCTTGCGGCTGTGTTTGCAGCTGTGTTCTTTTTGACCTTGCTAGTTCGACCCCATGGTATGCCTTTCCAGTTGACCTCGTTCTTGGGCTAGTCACTAATTGTTCCACAGTCGCTCTTGAAACCAAGCCGGTATCGGACGCAACAGGCGAGGCCAATGAAGAGGGACAGAGTGAAGAAGATCGGTTGCTCGTGCAATAAATCTATCACAATGGAACCAATAGATTCATAAACATTTTAAATAAAGAGCAATAACAATTCCATGCGCATCGAAGGGACACGGGTGGCCCCATACTGGAATCATAATAAAGGGTGATCAGCTGATCCGGCCGGAGCTAATCCGGCGGGCGGGAGAGGCCTAGCGCGCAGTGTGGTGAATTTCCGAAAAAGTAGTATTCTCCGAGTTTCCCCTGCACCCTCAAGTTCCAATTACCTTCTGCTCCGATCCCCGCATTCCTATGCCAATGGATGAGCAGGGTAACTAGTCAATCCGTTAAAATATCGCCTTTTTACTCTTTTACTTTCAGGTCGCTGATGGACGACTGGTGATCCCAGCGCGTGATCAGCGGCCACGCTCTCACCATGTTCACCAATGCCGCGAACACGACACCGGCCGTGCCCTCTCGCAATGCCCTGCGGGTTCTCCGTCAATTGGCTTTCGCCGGGTCTACAGTGGGCGGTTTCTGCGCTGTTGCAGTGATCACTTATGATGTCCATCGCCGGGTTCGTGTTGCCGAGCAGATCGTCGAGAATAAACGTACCCTTCACACCTCTGCGCCGAACTATGATGCGACTGCCTCCGCCCAACGCCTCGCAGTCATGATGGAGGCCGCTGAAGCCGGTGAATTCATGGGCCTGGCGTCTTTGAAAGACAAAAGGTCATCACGGGTTGACGGTGAAAAGGAAGCTCTCGACGAGAAGACCAATGTTAAAGATTCATCTCGGCATCGAACTGGCTCTACTCCAAAGTGGTCACAGCTTGGCCCGAACCGGATACCCGTGAAAAATGTCCCCGACAGCGCCGCCGACATGCGTGCTCGAGCCGAAAACCGACTGGCCCTGGCCCGAGAGGCCCGAGAGGCCGACAAAGCACGCGCAGAAGGTGAACTTCCGCTCGAAGACCGAATCCGTGACTTGATTCAAGACAACCGGGAGATTGAAGCTGCACAGGTTTTCATGGATAATGTTCAAGTGTCGGAGGGCGCCAAGATTTCCTCGGAAAGGAGAGAGCTCATGCGCCGCCTGTTCGCTGTGAACTGCATGAAGGGAAACATATTCATTGCACGGTCTTTGTTCCAGTATATGGAGAAAGTAACATATCTTGATTCAGAAGTTTGGTCGACCATGATGCACCTTTTAGCCAAGGAAGGACACGTCGAATCTGTGGGAGCTCTCTTCGAAAAACACCATACGAGACTGACAGTTCCGGCTCATATGCTGGAAGTTGTCATACGGAGTCTTATTGAATCACGGAGGTTGACTCTGGCCAAATTTCTCTTCTATGCACGCATCAAGCACGATGAGAATGGCGGTTTGTGCGGTGCATACCTCGATGGAATATGGAGGAAAACTCGGAAAACCCAGCTGCTGAGGACAGAATTTAGTAAGATTTTGCAGGCTCTCACCGATCTGAAGCGAGGTCCAACCGAGAAAGTCTTCAACCCCATGGTCAAGGCCTACATCGAAGCTGGGAGCTTTGAAGAAGCCGAAGCCTTGGTTGCAGCAATGTCCTCTGAGTTTAATGTCAACCCTGGATGCCGAACTTTGGGGCTACTGGCGTATGGTAAAGCCCTGATGTGCGACTGGGAGGGTGTCATGAGCGGGCTGCGCGAAATGCACAAGCTAGGGTTCACCAAGGACAAGAAGAGTTTCGCGCAGGTTTTCGATCGTATTTTTCTGGAATACTATCCCGCACATGCCGGCTCCCAAATATTTGACTTTCTCATGACTTGCATCAGTGAGTTCAAAATTCGGCCCGACAAAATTCTTCACCGACATATACTCGAGGCGCTGGTTGAGAGATGCGATTCTAGCTGCGTTAGCAAGCTTAGCACCATGGCCGAGGAGCGTGAATGGAACACGGGCCTCGAGCAGTATCAATTCATCAGAATTCTGGAAGCACGTCGCGTGTCAATGCAGGACTCGCCAGTGGGCCTCTGGCGCATGCTGCAGGCCGCAAAGCAACAATATGGAACTGTCGCTAGCAACCGGCGTGTCATGGGATCTGGCGCTGACAATTATTCTTTGCGAGACAATGTCTTGCAGCCGATCCACCTTGATGCCGGTGAAACCTTTCCCGAAACCATGAAGAACCTTGTGGTGAAGAAGTCCATGAACACTCACATGTCACTGTCAAAGCGACAAGAGCACTATATCCACGCGGGAAATTTCCGCAAGGCAATATCGTGCTTCCATCAGGCGAACAAATCTGGATACTCGATCAAGCCGATCCACATCCAACTGGCTGTCATTGCCATGGTCCTTGAAGATGGCATCTCTGGCCTGGAAACAACCCAGAAGTTCATCAAGACTGAATGGACGTACTGGTCCAGGATCCCAAGGACTCAATTCAGCCCGCGTTTCCCTCGCTTTGTCCCCATCTTCTTCCAGCAAATTTTACAGGTTGAACGCGGCCTCACCCGTCAGCCAACTTTGATCAGGATGGCTTTGTTCGAATTCTACAAACTCTGTGATGATACGCCCAAACTCAATGTTAAGCACCACGCATCCGTGGCAATGTCCCGACGCCTGATCATGAAAGGGCACCCCAACACCGCAATTAAGGTTCTCACAGCGATCTACCTGTCGAAATGGCGGAAATCCCACGGCTTCGACCAAGTGCAACTCAAAATCCTTATGCGTGCTTTCGCGACACTTCGTCACGTCAGGGGCATGTGGTGGTGCATGATGACAGTCCTCTCTCGAAATGAGCCCATACTATACGATTTTGTTGTCGAGGCAAAGCGCCTGATGCCTATGGTGGAGGCATACCATCAGCAAGACTCGAGGCCACAGAAAGAACATAACATCAAGTCCTTGATGATGGTCATGAGCGCGCTGGACGAGAAGGCCGCCGGCCGGCTATTCTGGAAGGACCTCCATGCATGTCCTGAAAAGAAAGTTCAAAACCGGGCGAAGGTTGCCTTGCAGACGCAGGAAGAACATGGTTGGCTGTCGTCTATGAGCATCGAAGCTATGGTCGAGGTCTTCGATGAGGAGATGGAGATGGATTTCTTGCAGAAGCGCAAACAGTTCGATCTTGACACACTCCAGGGATTTTGGGATGAGAATCGGATGGTCACTGAACGTCTCCCACAGCCTGAAGATGCTGCATACCCGGAGACAATGAAATGTCCTGACCCTCTTAGAGGTGTATAAACACCTCTCTGTATATACATTCTGTACAACATATTTAAGACATTCAAATTGATTGGATAATTTCAAACCTCTATAGAAAGTAGTCTACAGGACAATATTTTCGCATGGTTATTATGTACGCTTGATGTATACTTCCTGTACAGCACTCGGACTTTCTAAACTTTCTTTAGGCAAGAGGTAAAAGCTATGTTCAAAGATTTCCGAAAAAGAAGTCCTGACATAGGTTAGACTGTGGCCTCCGGTTTTGTAAGGTGGTAAAAGTGCGTATTGACTAGTTAACGAGTAGTGGTAGATCGCTAATAACTCAAAGCCCATCCCAGGGCTAGGCTTGCTCCAACTCTGTGAGTGATCGAAGCGATCACGGTATTCGCGTGTTGACGAAACTCAAATGATACCTATATGCTCAAGGTAACTTATTCATGATTCCTTACTTAGATCTCACTCACAGAATGCATATTTATCCAAAACCACTTCTACGCCGCGGCTTTCGCCTGGGTTGAGGAAGATCTTTGGAAAGCCTAACAGCACGCCGTCAACGTAGATTTGGGCTACTTCCAGGCCCGTAAGAAGCGAGGCCTTATCCTACAGGGAAAGACTCTGGATTGACATTTCGGAAGCCATGATTTTGTACAGCTGTACATATCTTTTGGCCACGATGATGGTGTTTCTATACTGACGTTATCCACATCCACATCGGGAACTGTCCACTCTCGGGTTTTCCGAGATGTCCACTGTCCACTGTCCACTTTCCTCACGTGCGGCCCCTAATTATGTGTCCCCGGATTTCCCCAGATTCTGTTGTTGAACCGCAGATACATAAAAGGGGACTTCCTGCCCAACACTTGAAGGACAAGACCTATCAATCGGTTATAAGTTGATAATCATGCCCGAAGAATTCGTCAAGTCATCATCCTCCCACCACGAGTGGGAACAACCCGCCTTTCTGAAGCTCGATCAGAATTTAAGCTTGCGTGAGACTATCCAGCGGCATGGAAGGGCCCTATTACTATGTTAGCCGTCACATAAAATGAACTTTATTACTATTGTCATTTCTAACATTCAGCTTAGGTACCATACCATTTACGGCGGCCGTGCTGTTCGGATACGACACAATCGTCAACGGGGCCTCAATCTCAATGCCTGCTTTCCTTCTATACTTTGGGGACAAGGATTCCACCGGACTATATCTACCATCACTCTGGACCTCGCTTTGGACATCTATGTCGGCACTAGCCCAGGCCCTCACAGCTACTGGCACCGGTTATCTAGCCGATCGCATCGGGCGCAAGTGGTCTGGCTGCATAGCGGGGGTGATCTCTTTGGCAGGTGCATCTGTGCTGTATATTGCTCAGACCCGGAGTGCTCTTCTGGGAGGAAAGATTGTAATGGGTCTGGGAATTGGCATGGCTATGGCCGCCGGCACAACATATGCATCAGAGATTGTTTCTCCTCACCTAGTTCCCCAGGTCCAACAAGCCTTGGTCATCTTCATTCTCATAATGCAAGCATTGGCCATGGGGGTTATTCGCATATTTGTGCCCGATATGTCTGAACACGCATTTCGCACGGTATTTGCAATTCAGTGGGGTGTGGGTGGACTTGTTGCTATTGCCTTTGCCTTGGCTCCGGAGTAAGTCCTCTTTATGTCGAATGACTTTCGATCTACTAACAGGTTGTACCAGGTCTCCAGTATACTCTATCATAAACAACAAGCGGGAAAACGCAAAGAAACTATTCGAATGGCTCTACAGTGATAGCGCTGATGGAGAGGAGCGTTACCAGTACCTGGTTAAGACCATCGAAGAGGAAGGCTCTCAACGTGATGCCAATAAAGCTGGATATATGGAGTGTTTCCAAGGGACCAACCTGAAGAGGACGCTAACAATTATGTTCCTCTTCGGTATTGTGAACCTTGGTGGTGCTCCTTTCCTCTCTCAGTCGATCTATTTCTTGGTATCTGTCGGCTTGCCCGCCATTCACGTTTTCGATATTTCTGTTGGAGGATTTGGCTTGGCAATTATCATCATTATTGCCAGTGGTATTCTTTTGAAAGGGTTCAGGCGCAGTAACATCCTATTCTGGGGTACCGCTGTCAATCTACTATTCAACCTTGTGATCGGGGCTCTATATTACGGGCATGGAAACGGACCTAAGTGGGCTATCGCGATTCTCATGTAAGAGAACAATAAAAAAGCCAACCCCATGGAAGAAGAGTATCCTGCTAATAGACTTTTAGGAACATATTGATTTCCTTACAAGCAGCCTTCATGCAGGCGACAGGATGGTCAATTGCAGCAGAGATTTCCAGCTATCGACTACGTGCCAAGTCAATGTCCTTAGGAATGATGTCGCAAACATTCACCACCTGGATCATTACATTCGTTGTTCCCTATATGTACAATGTTGACTCCGGTAACCTAGGCGCTCGAACTGGATTTTTGTTTGCCGGCAGCTCTGTGTTGCTTATTTGGGGAGTCTACGCTCTCGTTCCTGATACAACTGGTTTGTCAACTGAAGAACTTGATAACTTTTACGAGACAAAAGTACCAGTGCGTCAATTCGCAGGCCATAAAGAGGCGTTGGCGTTGCACCCTTGAATATCTAGTGGAGAGAAACAATTCAAGACAGGTCATGTTGGGAATGAATCAATCAAAGTAATAATGTTAACTCAATTCATCTCAACTACTTGCTCGTCCATTGAGCATACAAACATCACCAAATAATTGTGGACTGACACTGGATTCAATAAACCATCCATTCCTTTCCACGATGGCATAAGAGTAGTGCTATATTGAGCGAAGCGCTCCAGGGAGCCATTTGTCCGAGCACATCTGCAACAGCGTGTAAAATGAAGTTTGTCCTGCACCCGAGATCATCCGTAGATGATGCCTGATTTATTTGCCATGATAAAATTTCTTTCACAGTGGTAAGAAATCTATCAGTGGCTGGCAAGTTTGAGATTTGCTCCAGCAAAAACATCGCTTGATCCCGATCTGACGAGCGGATACTGGCCCATATATAAGCACCGCTGAGAAAACAAGCAATGATACTCGGAGGTTCCATGACGTTTCCCATTGGGCTATTCTTAGGGGCCAACAACATCGAATGTATATCACTCATCGTTGAAAGGCATTGTTTTAACACGGATGCTACTGTGTTCGATTGCGCTGTGAGGGCCCGATGTGTAATTTCCATCGCAGGAATAATCTTACTGGGCCCTGACTTCCCTAATGCATTTTGAAGATCCAAAATAGGAACATGAAGCATCAAGCGGCTGAGTTGAAGATGGATTGCAGAAATCGTCTGGAAATGTTTCGATGTCGGGCCCACCGTTATATTCGCGGCAGGGGGTGTTCCATAAGCTTGCTCCCACACTGCCAACATGCCTGTGACGTGTTAATAAAGTTGGACTCAGCGGTCCGAACGTTGCATGAAGATTGTTGGCATACTTTCTATATGGGCCTTCCGTTTTGCGAGGGAGTGTAAGACTTCTTGTACAGGGCTCGAGAGACATGAGCCTGAGCATCTCGTGGTCAATAGAACATAGTAATCTGCAACTGTTGGGCTCACCATGGCCGCGTAATGAGATTTTTTTGAGCACTGAGTGCTTGCTAAATCTTCTTCTGGCGGCTGCCAGGTGTCCGAGTCCAGGGCCATATCAGAAACCATGGTTGTCTGCTGGGAAAGCTCGAAAACCTGCACCTGGATTGTGATGAGAACAAGATAACGAGTCCAGGCGTTGAGACTGATAGGATCGCAAATTGATGTTGATGAGGGAGTGGTAAGGGAGTTTGTATTTGAGGCAGGTCCTAGGTTAAGGTACCCAAGGAATGGGCTGACGGCCGCGGCAAAAGTTCTCCCCGGAGGTATAGAAGCAGAACCAAGAAGGCCTTTCCAGTGATGAGCAGTCGTGGCTTGCCAAAACTCTTCGTCGCATGGACATTCAATGCTCATGAACTCCGCCACACTTAACGAGGCTGGAAGGTAGAGCAAACACGGAAAAACACAATCGAGGCTGTATATGACCCATGAAAGTCTCTTCCGAGTTTCCAGTTGTATCCATCTTTGCCATTCGACATCCAAGCTATCAACCCGAGCCCCAGACTCTCTCTGATTCATGCCAAACCCCACCTGCTGCATGTGGCGAAAGTAAGTGATCACAGTTCCTCTCAAGCTTTCAGATAGTTCAAAGAGTCTCTTGTTACCACACCAAATACCCGAATAGCATATGAGAGCCAAAGCGTATAGAATCAAAGGATCTCTCATTAGTTTATTATCCATTTCGATGGCCAATTGCGTACTCAGCCTTGCCACGTCAATCAAGACAATCGAAAAGCGGCATGAATGACGTTCCAGACTATAGGTTGCGCCTATTGCAATCATGACAGCCAACAGAGCATCTGGCAATTCATCAGATGACTGCAGTGATGAATTATGGATCACTGCCATTTGATGCTCGAAACGTGTGAAGAAAAGTCGAATAAACACATTTGCTATCCCTAAACCCGGTAAAGGCAGGGAATGAAAATCAAAGCCTTTGCGGGCTGGTCGTTGGATGAATGATTTCAAAACTTTGTATCGCTCAGCAGAGATGTCAAATTTGGTTTCATGACTTTGCCGTAACGGATGCCTTTTATCCATTTCAATAGGCTTAGATGTTGTGATAGCCAGAGAGCCTGGATCCCAGCTGTATGGCCATCGGTCTTCCTTGGATGCTTCATTTGGAGGTGATCGTGGTTGACTTGCTACTTGAATAGCTTCATTAAAAATAGGGTTTCCTAGCTTGTTGTCTTGTGTAATTGTTGTCTCCGTTGGCAGATTGTTGAAGGGTGGCATTGATATTGGCTCTATGAGCGCGGAGACAAGGTCGTCGTCAAACCACATATTTTCCGGATTGCCCGAGCTATGCATCCAGTTTGCCAGCTGGTCTGGGACTATATTACCCCCCACTGGAGATCTGAATGGGATATCGCCTGGGGTCAAGCCATACGATGTGCGGCCGAGACTCTCTTCTGCAGTTACCCCGCTGGCGGTGCTGCTGGCGGTGCTGCTGGTGGTGTAGGTGCCAGGTATCGGCATGAAGATCCCCTCGGTTTGCCGATTCGAAGTTTGCGCGCCTTCAAGCTCACTTAGGGCTGCCCTAGTTCTATTCCGTGGATTCATCTTTTCCAGGCCTTCTGAAGTCATCGCTGGCACACGCGGAGACGAGGCTGTTTGAGGAGAGTGCCTGGCCTTATGGATCTCCTCATGGCGCTGACGAACATCACTTCTTGTGAATTCCTTTCCGCACACGGGGCAACTGTGCAGTTTTGCGGGTTTATCTAGAAGCAGAGAAGAAGTTTAGCACGAGAACACCAGCCAAACGACTGGGACAGACTAACGAATTCGAGCATGACGTGCCAAGTTTTCCCGACGGGAAAACTGTTTTGGACAGACTGCACATCGAAATCGAGTGGCGGGGTCTAGCGTTGGATTGGTGAGAGGCATGAGTGAGGTTCATTAAGGTGGAAACTGGACAATGTTGGGCAGAAGTGGACACAGCTGAGTCACTTTTGAATCCGGGGGCAAACCATCTTGGTTATTGAGGAATGATCCGTTCACTTAAACCCCGCTTGCGAAAATGGTGATTTTGACCATCCAACTCTTGTCTTAGCCAATTCATTGCCGATACCCCACGGGGTCTTGTGGGGTTCGGGTTAAGATGGCCCCGTGGGGATCGGGCTAAGATGAACCGACCGGGTTATCCGAGCGACAAGGTTGAAAACAGCACGACTGTACTCCCTTCATTTTGCAGAGACGCCTTATCTAATAACGCAGAAAATATAGAGCCAAGTAGGAGCCCTGTATACCACGAATTTGCATCTCTAGAGGCTTGGAGAGACAATTCAGACTAGCCCTTCGTCTATTGATACACAGCAAACCAAACCTTCTAAATAGTCAATTAACTCACAGCAAATTGCAAATATGGACTGTTCGTAGACTAGGCTTAAATCTGATAGTTGATAGGAAACTATTTATCCATAAGGTGTGCCCGTTCAGGGGTTCCTCCAGAGTCACTTTGATTGAAGCTTTGATATCCTGCTCTGTTTTCGATGGTATCCAACCCAAATCTTGCCGGCTTCTTCAGCTCCCATCTTGATGTCTTGCAGCAGGTTTGAAGCATCTCTCTGGAGCTTTATAGCAGTTTCAGTGATTTGAGCACTGTCAGCCAAGCGTTCAATGTGGGACTGATCGCAACGTATTTGTCGGTGATAGTGTGTATGCTGGAAAAATACCAGACGCACCAGAGCCCGAGGATGAAGCCGAGCCCAACACGCTCTGGCCAAGCGCAAGAATGCTAAACAACAAGAAATCGTCCGGCAACTATTTCAATACTTAATACAAAAAAAGCAAAGGAGCCCAATCGTACAGCAAGAAGTAAAATGATAAAAGAATCTTATTCAAAGTGAATATTCCTAGATGAGTTGAGCTTTAAATATTCCTGATACTGAAGCTACGGATATAGAGTAGAGATGACCAAAATATTGGTCATTCGCAAGATGAAGATCAAGGGTTCCTTGTAATTCGCTGTAATCTCTCCCACGTGAGGAGATCAATTGACTTGAAATTAAATCAATTACTAAGTTGGTTTATATTTAATTTTTTTTTGTTTTTGGGAGAGTGGATGGCTATTCTCAACTTGTCGGATCAAGTAGCTCTTCGGTAATCTCAGAAAGCCATCACATTTGATGTAAATGATCAGGCAGTTTGAATGCCTGCTGTTCATTTAAGGCATAGGCCTGAGTCGAAGATGAAACTATAAAGGTGGCCGGGATAATGCGGATAGCACCCGAAGAGTTACGATCGGGCAGGTCTACAAAGGTCCGCCTCACGGGCCGCCCGCAAAATATGACACTCTATCCCCGCCCCATTTATATCAAAGATCGAATTGCTAGAAGCAAATTGTGTACGGAAATACTCATAGGTTATAGAGGGTTGATAGTGGTCTGCTAGAAGTGACGGGCATACAAATAATTATGTCATGTCACCATCTCAAAGTTTACAATGAGGTTGTTAGCGATGGGTAGATATGCCATTTTGGGGTAAAGATACGCCGGCCTATCGAAAGCCGCCCGTCCACCCCACTAGCATTTTAACCCTATTTCTGTGATTTCCCATTTTCAAACGTTCATCTATCTTGAGAATCTCCTAAGTAGCGCAAGTACTTTCCCAAGTGACTTTATCCACAAACCAAGGCCTTCAAGCTCAATGACAGACGCGTGGGTTGTAGTTGGTGCCTCAAGAGGCATTGGCCTCGAATTCGTTCGACAACTTCTGAAGGACGGCCAGCATGTCATTGCAGGAGTTCGTGATATTGTTGCAGCCGGCCAGCTTTCTGACCTGATTGCTCATCACCCAACACCAAACCGCTGCCTGATCCATGAGTGCGATATCACAAACGAAGGGAGCATTCAAGTGAGTTTACGCTTTAAATCCAATTCTATGCTGCGAAAGATGCTAAGGGTGATAGGGCTTTGTTGACCGGGTTGAAGACGCGGTTCAACGTGGGCTAAGGGTCAGAAATATTATTCTCAATGCTGGCATCCTTAAATATCCCAACCGTGCAACCGGAATGTTTGTTGCTTGCTGATGAGCTAAATTTGGATTGACAACACTGAATTATTTCATAGCTCATTTTCCGACTTTGCCCTTCACTTACACACCAACACTATCGGGCCTATCATCTGTGCACAGAAGCTCGTAAACCTCGACTCTGAATCACCCCCTTCCAAGGTTGTGTTTATTTCATCAGACTCGGGGTCAGCTACTATGTTCCGAGGTCACGAGGACGGCTTTGGGGCCTACGGCGCAAGCAAGGCTGCACTTAACCAAATGCTTAGACATATGGCGGCAGAACTAGGTCGGAAGGGTGGAAAATGGGGTAATATATGCATCCTAGCCATGCATCCAGGTGAAGTTCAAACGTACATAACCAAAGACGAGCCATCGAGGGGTCAGCCATGCGTGTATTGACGATTCTGCAGCGACATGGCCAATATCGACGTCGATTGGGAAGTGGAAGGTTCCATCCAGCCCGCTGAAAGCGTCACAGGAATGCTCAAGGTCATTGGGGAGAAGAATGAGAGTGGCAGTTTCTGGTGCTGGGATGGCAGAGTAAGCGTGTCATCTATTTCCTTTCACTTTGAGCAATTCGGATCATATCTAACATCTGACAGCGGCACCCTTGGTAGTGAAAGAATAGGAATATATGGCGCTTTATTATACATTCGACAGGGTGTACTGTAGGAATACTCTAGGAACTATGTAGACGCGTGACACCGACCTACTCCATTGGGACACGCCTCAACGTTGAAAGGCGGAGAGCGGCTTGGCTTTCACATGTCACGCCACACCCCTTAATCCATCGATCAGCCCATACTTTTTCCACCTCTCGCTTCTCGCCGTTCCACTCCGATTCTCTGCTTATAGGTTTATAAGCCTTAGGCATGCCCCTGCGGCCACGGCCGCCTTGCTAGTCACCGATCGTTTTCCTTTTCTTCTCGGCCTCCCACCATGACCTCCATACTCAACGGCCAAGCGCCTAAATCTCAGCAGGCAGCTCGACGCCGCATCCAATACCATGAGGCCGACGTCGTGATCGTCGGCGCTGGGATTCTCGGCAGCGCGTTGGCTGTCACGCTGGGACGGCAGGGACGCAGTGTCATTCTGCTCGAGGCCTCGATGAAGGAGCCGGATCGCATTGTTGGCGAGCTACTCCAGCCCGGAGGGGTGAAGGCGCTGGAACAATTGGGCCTGCGGGACTGTCTGGATGATATCGACGCAATTGACGTTGACAGCTACTATATCACCTACTTTGGTGAACCGGTCAAGCTGATGTACCCCAAGGAGACTCCCTCCTCGCCCCGACCTGTGGGAAAATCCTTCCACCATGGCCGGTTCGTTATGAAGCTACGCCAGGCCGCATTGGCCTGCCCCAATGTGACGGTGATTGAGGCAAAGGTGACAGGCCTAGTGACCTCGTCGCAAGTACAGGGCCAAGTGCTTGGCGTCGAGTGCGTGACGCAGGATCTGAAAGACTGCTACTTCGGCCAGCTCACCGTCGTCGCCGACGGCTACGCCTCGAAGTTCCGCAAGGCACATCACCCGCATACACCCAAGGTCCGCTCTAAGTTCTGGGGCCTCGAGCTGATCGACGCGAAACTCCCCTCCCCAAATTCTGGCCACGTCCTCCTCAGCGACAAACCTCCGGTCCTCATTTACCAAATCGGTACCCACGAGACCCGGATTCTCGTTGACGTCCCAGATAACCTCCCCTCGGCCTCAGTGAAGAATGGTGGTGTCAAGAACCACCTGCGGAACGTCATCCTTCCCTCCCTCCCTGAAGGAGTGCGGCCGTCGTTCGAGGCTGCGCTGGATAAGGGCCAGCTACGGTCGATGCCGAACTCCTTCCTGCCAGCATCCACAAACAGGACCCCCGGCCTGATGATTTTAGGTGACGCACTGAACATGCGGCACCCATTGACTGGTGGTGGAATGACCGTGGCTCTGAACGACGTCTGCTGCATCCGCGAGTTGCTGAGCCCAGAGGCCGTGCCGAACCTGGGAGATACCGCGCTCGTTCTCCAGCAGCTCTCGCGCTTCCACTGGATACGCAAGAACTCCTCCTCTGTCATCAATATTCTTGCACAGGCTCTTTACCAGCTATTCGCCGCTAATGGTACGTCTCTCTGAAGTCGCCCTGCAATTGCCCCATTAACTTTCAAACAGATACCCATCTTCTCGCTCTCCAACGTGGCTGCTTCCGCTACTTCCAGATCGGCCCCGTGGACGGGCCTGTCGGACTCCTCGCAGGCTTGATCAAGCAACCCCTCATTCTCTTCTCCCACTTCTTCACCGTCGCTTTCCTCTCCATCTGGGTTCTTTTCCGGGAAACCCCGTGGACACAATTAATCCTGTTCCCATACCGGTCCTTCATGGTTTTCTGGACAGCATGTATTGTGATCTTCCCGTTCATCTTCGCCGAAATCTGGAGCTGAGGTCCCTGGTACATCTCTGCCCTCCAAATCCCCCCTCCAAATCTTTCCAGGGAACCCCTTTATACGAAACGAAAATTCTGGACCTAGTTTCGTTGTCTCATACCCCCTTATGAATTGCATTTTTTTCTCGGCGGGTTTCACTGTTTTTATATCGCATTCCCCCCCCCCTCTTCAGTACCCTTTTATGTGATTTAATCTTGCCTCCGCCTTGTCTCTTGCAAGAGAAAAGCGATCAAGATGATTCCTCGATAGATTTTCTTTCCGAGCTACAAGTTACATGTGCTCATGGGTCAGTCCTTGGGATTAACTCTGTCAAAATAAATGTACAATATCAAAGTCACTATCCATCATTATCTCACACTACCATACCGTCATTCTGAGGACAGGTAATACGATACTACTGCATTCCAAACAAAAGTAAAGTGTGCGTTAGAGGTACGTTGTCCAAGTAAATTTTCTATATAAAATTTCTGGAAGTGGCTGCATTCCACTTTCACTAAAAGATATATCACTGCGTGATGGGCATATGGGATTTCAACTAGTTAGGCTGCATCAGGTTAATAGAGTATCATCATACTGTGCTATTTCACCTTAGCAGGCACAACCTAAACCTGATAGGTCTGGCCCATAAATCCTAGATCCTCATAATCTGCGCAAAACATGCTCACGCGACTCGGTCTAAAAGCGCAAAAAGATCGACATACCCTAAAATGATTTACATTGCCAAGGCTGTGGCACACATGACGGCAAAGGTGATATCGATGGCGCAATGGGCAAAATGCAAGGAATAAACACAGGTATATATGCCGCGATTACGCATTCGGTTGCGATATATCTCCCTCTTCCCCCTTCATTTGTTGGGGGAACGCCGAGACACTTGTCCAAAATTTGACTAATCACCGATGTAAGAAGACCCAATCGAGGAAAGAGCTTGGGCAATTTTAAAGCTACCTACCAAAAGTTGCCATTCTTCGTGAATTACCTGTTCGAGACCAGGATAAACCGAGAACCGGCTAACAAGGACTCGGTAATCCCCTCTACACAGGCAATTGAAAATAGGGCCATTTTGAAATTTTTCTCATTGACAACCCAGGCTGGTATTCGCTTTTTATACAGAACCGAAAAAGGGAAGATGACGGGGAACACCCATAATAATCTCTCCGCTCACTCCCACCCACAATCAATCACCACAAACAACAGGAGAAGAAACGGAGAAAGAAAACAAGCCGGGTGCCTAGCATTTATCCAGAACAAAGCACAGCCCATCCATTCAACAAAGAACTCCAAAGAATTTGCGGGAAGCCCGGGGGAAATGTTTCGTGCAGTCAGTCAGTCCAGTCCAGTCGTGTTGCGTTCCGAAAATGAAACAGAATGAAGAAAAGGCGATAAAGAAACACAAGCCAGAACCAGCCAAACTTGGAATGAGAATTCTCAAGAAACACAGGCAATCAATGGAAAGATAAGGCAAGGCAGGCAATGATGGATAATGAATAGTGCGATTGATCGATGATTGAATGATGAATGATGGATTGATAAGATGCTGCGCAGATGCCCCGACCGCCCGGTTCCCCTTTGACACCGGGAAAGAAAATTGGAAAGACAATTGGAAATTGGGTTAGAAAAAAAGGAGACGAAAAATTCAAGATGGCCGTTGAGTCTTGGGACAGTCGTGGATGGAGTCGACATTTGCTCGACAGGTTTGAAGATGAAAACTGGGAGCAAAATATTCAATGATTTCTTTTTTTCTTTTTTTGCTCGTTTCGTATACTTGGGACACCCGTTCTTGAAGCATTTTATTTTGACGTCGACGTGCTCGTGAATGACGAAATCAGGTCAGAACAATAAAGGTCTTGTTAGTTTTTATTTCTTCTCTTTCAGCCGCCTTTCCGCAAGGACTCGTCTGCAGGCAGGGGCTCGGGTCCACCGTTGATGCCGTTGCGCGACTCAGCAGAAGATTTAGCATTCCGGCGGTGCTTCTTCTTTCCAGTGGTCTGCCATCCGCTATGATTGGTATCAGTGGTGCCATTCAAGGGGCCGCCCGATTTCCGGGGAGGATGATCGCCGATTCTGTCTTTGCTATCACCGTGGGGATGGGATGAATTATGCGTCGCATCTTGCCGGCTCTTCGGCTTAGGCTTATGCCCGTGGCCATTGCTATGACCGTGGTTGACACCATTGACCTTCTCCGACAAATCAACCCCATTCGGCCGCCCGCGCTTCGAATTTGAAGTATGTTGACGAGCCTCGTTAGTCTGATGCGCCCCGGGAGAAGCCTTACCCCCCGGTGGCGCTGAGTTCTTCAATTGCCCTGCGTCTTTGCCTGACCCCTGCTGAGCCGAGCCGTTCTTATGTCGATCCGAGTTCGACTTCAACAAGGATTGCGACTGGGTCAGCTTCTCAGCATTTGACAAATGGTAGTTTTGCAGACGGCTGGCAAGGAGTTCCAGCTGTCCATTCGTCTTTTCTGGAACCGCTTCGCCACTGTTGGCGTTGCTCGTCTTGTGCGCTTCGAACGGCGGTCGCGTGAAGACAGGTTGCTGCTCTAATTCGAACGGACCGGGTTCCTGGAAATCCTGGGACAGAGAATCAGAGAAGCTGGCAGGCGTGTTGATGTTGTGGTCATCCGAGGTCGACGTGTAATGCGTGACAGCAGTATACGGATCGATAAGATCCGTCGTATACGACTGGCGATGCTCACTCGGCGGTACCGAACCATCCACGATCAAAGGACCCCGATCCATAGCCGGCGGTGGCCGCGAAGCCGGGCGCTGCGGTCCCGACACCGAAGCCCTAGACGCAGGGGTGGGCGTTTGTTCAGACCGCGAATTCAACCCTTCCGGCGAGAGCTGGCCGGGCCGATAGTCCTGCTGCACAGGGAGAAAAGATGCATAGCCATTTGGCAGTGCAAGACCCATGGGCGTGGAAGACGTTGGGGACAGCATTGAGGTCTGCTGATAGACTTGCAGCTGCTGCGGGGTTATATAGTAGCCCATTATATCCTGGGCCCCGGTGGATTCGTCCACGGAATCGGAGCGAGAGCCATTGCTGGGGAGGCTGTTGGATGGCATTACATGCTCATCTCCGCTGCCCTCGCCGCCTTCTGATGGCTCAGGAGCCAGTCGCTGTTTAGAGCTCAACGAGGTGTCCAAAGGTTGCGGGATCGTATAAAGAGGTGTGAAAGTCGGAAAGGAGGGCGAATTTTGAGGTCGTGCTGGCTGAGAATGCGCCCGAAGGTTGGCCTTCGGTGAGTCGTTCACAACTGAAGGGCGTCGGGGATTACGGCGGAGATCAGGGAGAGCGGTAGCAGCGGAGGGGGATGGAGGATTTGTGGTGCTACCTTGTGTGCCGGCAGCACTCACGGAAGCATAGGTAGGGCTCGGGTAGAAGGTTTGCTGCCGCCCTGGAGTGAGAGGTGGCTGGTTCACGGTGCTTGATCGTGACCTCGGATTCTCGTCACCTGAGTATTCTTGTTGCTGCGGCATAGGAAACTGGATGAAAGGCTGGCGAAGGAACACTGGCGGCGGTCGCCCTGTGATCAATGCTTGGTTGTGTAGCTGCATGCGCAGCTCTTGCTCCTGTGCCTGGAGAAGCTGAATTTGCTGATAGAGCTGATCATGCAACAGAAATTGAGCCTGTTGCTGAGCCTGCAAGGACAACTCCGGAGTGCTCGCGGCATTGGGTTGCCGGAACGAGCCCTTGTTGCCTGTGTTGGATGTTCGACGGCCACCAGCAAAGCCTCCCCTGGAAAACTGATTGGCATACCGTCCACCACGGCCGCCCCGGCCCCCTCTCGTCGGGAGAGAAGGGGTGATGATCGGCCTTGGTTGCGGTGGTGGTCGTTCCCACGTCCGCTCCTCCTCTGGCGGATACTCAAATTGAGCGCAACAGCCCGCCAAATCACCATCTGAGGCGAACTTAAATGCTCTCCGCAACTCCATGTGCAAACCCCGGAATGACGTGTCGTCAGCCGTGTTGCCCAAATTCCTGGACGTGTTGAACGGCTCCTCCACGCACAGTCGATTATTCACAGACAAATGCCAGCCCTTGCCCTCCTTGGAGACCAACTTCCCCTCGCGCACTGAAATGACGTTTTTCTCATAATTGATTTCGTGACCATAATACCGAAAGAATTCGAATAACAGCTGCCCAACCGTCTGCTTATTCTTCCGACCAAACTCAGCCAAAGAGTCGAGATCATCATCGAACGAATACACTAATCCGTCTGGTGTGGCTCTCTTCTTATGGGGACGAGCCTGGAGACTCGGCAAAACTGGCGGACTCCGTGTTTGCAAAAAGTTGATGATCAGACAGATCCAAGTGTAGGAACTAAGTGTCCCCCCTAGTGCCGCATCGTTGAGAATCCGTCGTTTCGTCCAGTGCTTAACCGTCATGGCCAAAGGTCGCACGCGTTCATCGACTTCGACATATGTCCGAATCATGCGAGTGTTTTCCAATGCGAGGGTGTTATTGACGTTCATGTCGCACGCCAGTTTCAGTTCCGGATCCCAAATTTTCACAATCGGGACTTTGGCATGGGAGACACAGACAACTCGTTCCATTCCATCTATTTTTTTCACGTTCAAAAGGTCAGCCAAAATTGAAGGTCTCTCCAAGCTCATGATCCTCGTTCTTCCTTACGCTTTGCCAAAACTTCTGCCAGCAGGCACACATGTTCCAGATCCTTGAAACTCGTCGTGATGCAGATGTCCACTGGTTGCGAGTCAGCCCTGGGTGTCCTTTGTTTCCTGTGGGTTTCCCCTTCAATGTCGTTTGTTCACGTACCGTCCGAGTCACTGGAGCAGAGCTTATTCCCCGACGAACCAAAGACATTCGCCTTGATTTCGTGCCCAGGCCATTGCTCATTAAACAGCTTCTCCAATTTCCGAACCAATTGCCGTCGTCGATCATCACTCTCAGCGGAGGGTAATAGCCGATCGTAGAGCTCCATAATGTCCGCCGTCAACTTGCGCTCCTCCTCCGGGTCGAGTTTCTCTTTCAATTCATCTTTTTCCTCCGGGAGTATATCCGCCCCAAGACTATATGGTATTCGTCTTCGAAAATATGCCATGGCTGTTTCATATTTACACCCCCCGAGCGGTTTCCGAGCTGAAGGAGGCAGGTGCGTGGACTCGGAGTGTGTGGAACGAGGCGACGTGCTTCCCCGGACGGGGGAGGGCGACCGGGAGTGGAAAGAGAGGTTGCGCGCATGCTGGTAGGGTGTCGATGGGAGGGAGTTCGACTGCTGCGAAGTCAGTGGAGGCCGAGGGGGGATCTCGGACGCGTCGGGCTGCGGTATCCATGCCATCGTGCGGGAAGGCTGCTCCGACGCTATGGGTGAAAGGTCACCACGGTGGTGGGAACACTTCGCATTCCCATCGATGTTTGGGACCATATAGCAATTTCCAACACCAGGGCTCGTGTGATCGGACTCGGCGACTTCGGCGGAGAGGAATCGATTTCCACACGACTCAAGACAGCCCCTCCGGGTTCCACTTCCAACCGTAATCAAGACCAAAGAAAAACCTCAAACCACGCCAAACGGGCAACTCGGGGCGTTCTGGGGGGAGACTAGCTCGGCGCAGCAGACGATCGTGGGAACCTCGTGGGCTGTGTGGGTGCAGAGCGCGGGCGAGAGGCCGTGGAGGAGGAATCAATCACCCTCACACAGGAGCGCAAAATTGGGGGGTCGGCCGAACCGGAGAGGAATGCCTTCCGAGGACGCGGAATAAACGAAAGTAGAAGAAACGAAAGAAGAAAGGAAAAAAAGATTGCCTCAACCAGGAGCTTTGAAGAAAGAAATACAGGGCGTGGTTTGGAGGACCGAGATCTCGCGGGGAGGCGAAGAGGTGCAGTGGGCAGCACGAGCACCGAACCGGGCCAGCGCTCTGTGGAAAGCCGTTCCAAAAAGGGGAGAACGTGGAGGCGAGCACTGTCGACGAGAAATCCTGGAGGAACCAACCGGGGTTCCGATTGAAGGAAGGAAAGGGAGGAGTGGAGAGGGGAGGAAGGTGGGAGGAAGTTCGAGGGTCGAGGGTCGAGGGTGTGGTCTGGAAGGTTTGAGGTTTGGAGTTTGGAGTTTGGCGGACTGGGTGAAGGCGACTGTTCATGCCGGCGTGGTCAGCCCCTGTCGAGCGGTAAAATCACTGCCGTCCGCTGCCTGGGAGCACTCACCCTCTTGCTATCGCGTTCACCACCACCCACTTGGATTTGAAGAGCCGGGTATAGGACAAATAAAATAAGAGAGAGAGAGTCGTTGTGAAGAACGAGCCAAATTGCCATTCAGCTAGAGGTAATCACTCAGCTCGACCCGGTACGAAAGGGCGCCTAAATCGGCCACTCTGCCAGTCGCTGACCGTTCTACCTGCGACCCGAATAATACCGCGACAAACTCTGGAACTATGAGACATACCTCCTATTACTCCTATTATTCTATTCTTCGCAGATTATTGGGGTTCTCCCATTGTCCTATCCGGCCGTATTCCACTCTTTTCCCCCCTTCTCCTCAACGGAGACCTGACTATTTGACGGATCGCCCCCCTAATGGCTGATTGATCCAACATCATTTTCTCCTGAAAAAGGAATTCCCACATGGCTTCGCCTCCCCTTCTTTGTTGCTCCCGCCCGTACCTATCACACTCCTTGATTTTGCTGTTTCCCTCTCCTCTCTGCCCCCCTTTCAGGAACCATCGGAAGGTGGACGGTGCAGTGCCACGGAGCTATGCATGCAGGTACCACTTGTCGAGGGTGGCTAGTCACCCTATCTCCCCGGAGATATTCTGACTGTACCTCATTCATGGAGTACGGTCGAATCGACTGGCGAAGTGAAGTCAGTAAACTATTTGCCTATCGTAGGTAGAGATCGATTGCGTGAACAATTGCTTGATATCAACTTCCCCCCTTTTGGATCGCCGTTCGCCGTTCTGCGTACCCCCCGCGATCCTGCGCGTTCGCCCGCACGTGCTGAACGCGATAACCTAATTCACTTATCGGCCCAAGGGGGCCGATTCGAGTCTCGTCTGAGTGGTATATACTGATCCCGTGCGTTTCCCGTCACCAGTGTTTTCTCTGTTAGCGATTTATACCCATGGGCATTATTGTTATCGTTGCGGCTTTCCCCTCACTCCCTCCCTATCGCCTCCTTTGTTGGACGCAGGGCCGGACCCCGATGATTGGAGACCCATATATCAATCCGCCCCCGAGCCCTAGGGTCTGAACGCGTCCGGAGTACGCGATGAAAGAACACTGCGAGCCACCCACTCAAAGTCAAATTCTGAGGGCGTGGCCCATTGACACCACTTGATGGCACTCTTTGTCGGCCTCAACAGCGATGGTTGGCCGAAGAGTATACGCAGGCTGATTCTTTTTGCCTGTCCAGCATTTCGGAGGATTCCATGGGTGCTGATTCTCAGGGCATCAGCTTGTGACAGTGAAGTTAAGGGAGCATCTCTCTCAAACGAATAATTTGTATGCGACCTGTCTTTCGCGAACTATAGCGAAGCGATACTTGGGCCTAAGCGGCACCAGGGCGCCGGGGGTGCAACCGGGCGAGCGATCTAGCGCTTCCCCTTCAAACTAGCCGGTGGTAGTATGACGCGCGGAATGTCGGATCTAAACTCCCCTTCCCTTTCCTCGAGGTAACGCGGGACATGCTAGACTTGCTTTCGTGGTGATACACGCCGGAGGGTTTGAAGCGGCCGCCAAGGAAAGAGGATGGATGGGCGTTGCGCCGATGATGGGAGTGATTAGAGTTTCTGGGGAAAGCTGGGCCCGAGTCCCATGGGCGCGAGTCTTGCAGAAGCAGTCAATTGCCTGGGAGTACGGGAGCGGGCGAACGCCTCTGATTGTCGAAACCTTCGAAAGCAAATGTTTAGTCTTGAGTCTATTATCCTGGGGTCTGTGGTGCACTGGCTGCTCCTGTGCTGGCGTGTATAGGACAGTTCTCATCCCACCTTGATTCACTCCGAGTGCAGCCCCACTCGCACTATACCCTGTGAATACACTATATCGATCTGAGGTGCACTGAACGTACGGAGCAGGTACATCCAGTGCGCGCGTCGTCATCAAACGTTCTGTTTGGCTGCAAATGTTGTCCTGCGGGATGGCCAGGAATCAACGCGGAGACTGGGCATGCCCAAAAACCTCAATCGTGGACAATATACGGAGTAGGAGTACGGAGACAGAAGAACATCTGCATCCCCTCTGAATCCAATCCAATCCAATCCGGCCGAAGGAGGGCGGACCTTGCGGAACAATATCAAATGCTGGCCGGCCCGGCTCCACTTGAGGACCTGAATTGACCGAGCGATGAGTTGGTCATAGCACGGGCCAAGGTGGATGGGGATGGAAGGAACTAGGCGGAAGAGAACGAGCAGCCAACGGCCGCGGGGTGTTGCCTTGCTGCTCCGAAGCCTGTTTGGAACGACGGGCGCATTCTAGTGAGGTACACTCCCGCGGTACTCCAAAGTACCCCTGTGTTTTTGCAGCCCCTCATGAGGAGGGGTAACGAAAATTTTTTGCCTTTCTCGTTCTTCAAGAAGGATCGAAGCCGGATGCAAGTAACCGAGCCATCGCCCCCCCCCAGTATCCTAGGACTTGTGCGTGGCCTTGGCGCCTCCGAGGGCCTGGCAACGAGCTGCAGTCGAGGAGAGGATGTCCCTACTGGCTGTACGCGTTCGCGGGCACTTTCACGGGACGATGGATGCTGGGCAGGCTGCATGCGAGTGCAGACTGTACATTGTACACTCCAGTCAATCATACCACCGGCCCGCAGGACGATAAGCAGCAGAGTGCACTGGCGGCGCCGATCGGAGGGGCAAGGGCGGATTCAAGACATACTTCTCTGTCAGCAGGCGAACGGGGCCGTCTAGATCCATTGTCGATGCGACTGGCGCCGATGCGTGAGATGCGGCTTGGGCGGCTCTGTCGCAAGAGAACTCCTTCGGTAGTCTGTACCTCGTCGGAATGCAAGTGCCGGTCTGTAGTTACATAGTGCCCTGTCTGGGCCGGACAACCATGGGGGGAACCCAGCTCGCCATGGTGTTCCGTGAGTAGTGGTCCAGGCTCATGCCTAGGGCCTACACACAATGTCACTGTTCGTATCCAACGTCACGGGGGGTTAGGGGCCTTCGAAAAGCCCACAGCCCTTCGCGCAGCCGGGGCTACTCATTTGCACGAGCACGAGAAATGACGGCGACGAGGGCCGACGAGGCTAACCAGGACGGGGCCAACTGGGACTGTACCGTAGGCATGATTTCAATGGGCCCCAGGCGAATCAGACGGCCGCTGGGGGTCGGACACAAGGAGCATGCTAGTCGACGCTTAGGCACACGCCCCGTGCCCATCTCCAATCTCCGGTGACCGGCCCCGGTCGAGAACGAATGAGGGCTAGTGGGCGGCCGGGAATTGCCGCGGGAAGCAGGTGGTGTGTGGACAGGGGGGTACGTGGGAGTACCTGGGGGACTTTGTGGAGGAGATATCATGGAGGTCTGATCGAACAAGATGGCCAGGCATCAGCGAGTGCGTGGGAGAGGAATGAGGTATGGCCGAGTACGCCCACGTCCTGGAGACCAGCTGGTAGTCCGACTCGACCTGGTGACCACAGAATGTGCAGATTTCGGTCACCAACAAATAATGAGGATTTTTCATAAAGACGATGGTTCGTGTGAGTCTTTGCTGATTACTCTGACAACCTTTACGGGGTACAACCACTGTCGTTCGTCCTTCCTACATCGGATTACTCGTTATTCGTTAGTAAACTACGTAGTTAATCCGCCCAAATACACTAGACCCTCCTCTTTCCTCTTTTCTTCTTCCCCTCCTCTTCTCCCCCGTCAAAGCAAGTCTGCCTCGTTAACTCGTGGTAGTTCTCCCACCCCTTGAGAGGCTTCCTCCTGTAAGTGAATCTTCTGTTTTCTGCTGTCTGATGCCATGGCAATGGTCCGTGAAACACCTCCGGGTCCTCGTGGGCCCAAAATCCAACCAACCCAAACCAACCCAAAAAAAAACCGCCCCGAACCGCCGAAAAACGAGCAGTGCGGCACACCACGCCCGAGGACCCACGGCCATTTTCCCTCATTTCCAGCCCAAATTACTCCAACCTCCAGCCCTCCCACCCTCCAGATCCCGTCCCTCCTTTGGTCCTGTCGAATCGACTCCTTTGCATCTTGGGCTTTTTTTGGTCTTTTTTTTTTTCTGAGGGGCCCCAAATCTCACATTTTTTCGATCTTGAACAGATCGCCTCGGATTCTCGGACGGATCATCTCCTTCGCCGCCTTCCCACCCCCTGAACGCCGTGCGGCCTCCGCGACGACCTTCCTCCTTCCTCCGCTCTCTCTCTCTCTCTCACACGACCATGTCTTCGTCGTACTATGAGCCGCAGGGCTGGCAAGCTCCCGCTGCGCGCCAGGTCTCGTGGGAGCAGCCGGTGCCGCCCTCCCGGTCAGGTATGCACTCATCGCCAACTCGGCCCGCACCGCGAGAAGGGACAAGAAAATACTGACCGACCCGGTTCTATAGGTTCGAGCTCTGTTTCCCAGCGCGAGGATAGCCCGGCTTTCTCTTCCCAGTTTGACGGTATGCTGAACCACTACTTCTCTCCCTCGTCCCTGCGACTCCTTCGTTCCTCAGCCGGAAAAAATTGGAAAGATTGTGTTGGGGCACATGACCATCGGATGACTGCCGAGGATGAGCGTGGCGCGTTTTGCGACGAGATGACAACGCTGAGATCAATTGATGATGCGCATTCACAAGAACCTGCACTGGGACCAATTTGCTGATCATGTCCTTTTCCCCTCTAGAGGTCGATCGTGCGATCGACAATCTCGTCAAGAGCGGCAAGCTGTGGAATGCTCCTCGCCGGGACTCGATGCCCATGATGATGGGCCGTCCCTATCCTGAGTACGGTAGGTGGCCGGCTGCCCCCAACCGTCGAAGGTATTAAAAAAAAAAAATCCTGTGCTCATTCGCCCGTGAACAGACCCGCGCATGGGTGGTGCCCCCCGCGACACCATTCAATCAGCGAGTTCGACAACTCACGAGTGCACCCCTCGGGCAATGCACAGGGCTTCTATGCCTCGCAGCGCTACCAGGGCCGCCCGAATGAAGTAGAGCAGATGATGCAGGCGAAGCGTCGGATGGCGGCACAGCGAGAACGGGAGCTCCGCAACTATCACCAGGAGCAGCAGTACAACCGAAGTACGTGGTAGCGTGTGATTCTTTTCCCTCTTTTTTCTCCTTCCACTTGACGCTCTATATTCCCCCGTCATTTTCCCCCCTTACCCATCTTCTCCTTTCTCTTCTGCATCTATGTATCGGTCGGCCCTGTATAATATTACTTTTTTTTTTGGTTTTGCCTCTGCTACAAACGTTGTGAAATGCGGCTTTCTTTTAATACGTTCTTTTTCTTTCTCCAAAGGCCTCCTCGCCGAGATGTCTGCAACCAAATCCGATCGCTCCAGCAGCCCCGCGGCAACGAGTGAAGAGAGCCGCCGCGACCTCCTGGCTCGCCAGCACCGCGCCCTGTACGGCAACGAGAGTCCTGCCTTCTTTCCCCCCGGCCCACTGTCTGACGACAACTCCAGGGCCGACAGTCAAGCCGCTGGCACCCCCTCGTCGGCCGTCCGTGGACCATCTCCTCGTGGGGTTGACCCATTCGGCCTGACCCCGGCCGGGGGTGCTGCCCCTGCGGATGGAGCGCCCGGTCTCCAGTCGCCGCCCCGCGCCAACAGCACCTCCTCGCCCAGCTCCGCCATTAACGCCGGCTTCCCTGAGCAGCCCGGCACGTCGACCTCCTCGCCCGGCGCCGACTCGCACTCTTCTCGCCAGGGGGCCCCCAAGTCGACCGCTGGCCCCATTGGATCCGTCGGCCCCATCGGTTCTCGCCCCCTTCCCGGCCAAACCGCTGCTCCGGCCTCGAACCCGACCCTTAACAAGCAGCGCTCGACCACTCCTCTGCCCTCGCCACTGGGCTTCGGCTTCATCCCTGGGGAGGCTGCCGCCGTCGCTGGCAACGAGCGGTCCGCGTCCGCGTCCACATCCAACCCGGCCGTGACCGCTACCACCAGCGCCCCGAGCGCCAAGGACTCGTCCACTGGTGGTGTTGGTCTAGGTTGGAGCAACGGCAGCGGCGTCTGGGGCTCGAAGGGCGGGCTGGGCGTACAGGCCTCCGTTTGGGGCTAAACCGACACGGCGAATGACCTTGTCTGCTCCTGCTTTGAAGCTTTGACTTGGCGTGTTATGATGGCATGCATTTGCGACTTGGGGTTGCTGTTTCTTGCTCTCTGTCTGTTCGTCTGTCCTCCATATTTTCATTTTGGTATTATCCTGCGGCGTTGTGCGAGAAAAACGGCTTAACATTGCGTGGGTGAAATACGGGCTTTTTTCCGAGCACTCGGTACATATACGGCAGCCATTCGGTACGGGACGGTTTGGATTAGGTTTCGGTGGCGCACGTCCTGACTTGACCTGACTTGACTTGACTGGTCTCTGCGTTTCGGTTCCATGCGTGACCTGGACCTCGGGCTGACGCTCTGCTTCTTTTATGATTTGATTGGTTTACATTTTTCGCGTGTTCGGTTGGGTCCGAAGTGGGTCGGTGCTGGGCTGTTACTGTTCCTGCTCCTTCGTGCGTGTCGGTCTGATGCGGGTTGGTGTTCCTGTTCCCTTGTTCCTGGAGTCGGTTCGGTTCGGTTCTTTCTGTGGCCCCTTGGTGTCTTGTGCTGGGATCGGGATGCTAAAAATGAACAACAAAATGGCCGGTGTGATTCCGCTGGTTTTGTGGTCTCTGGTTTCTGGTGATTCTCTTGTTCTGGTTTCTTTTTTTTTACCTTGGTGATTTACTTCCCATTTGGTGCCTGTGTTGAAATGGTCGGATCATGGCGCTTTCCTGAATCTCTCGTCTCATTTCTCGGTGTTCTTTTTCAATGCGGTTCTCGATGCGAATGGACTGGATATGGATTTTTTCTAATTCACGGGTTTCTTTTTCAATTTCTGGGCTGGTAGGGGTTTCGTATGTCCGGGTTCTGCTTCTCTTGATGCCGATGCCGATGCCGATGCCCATGTTCGATATCGTTTCATATTATCGCCACTTCATGGATTTCCTTTTTTTGGATGAAAATAAACCCTATGTCACCTCAATCTTCTCTTTTCGTGTGACTGGTCTGTTGTTTGTTTCCTATCGCGGAGGGACTGGGACCAGCGAGGCTCGAAGCGGGTTCTTTCGTTAAGTGTTTGGCGGCATCGGTGATAGCGAAGTGATGCGGATAATACGGGTGACGGAACTATCTTCGTTTCTCTTGGGCCATGCTCAGATTTCGGTTATGGCGGGTTCTCTTCGTCCCCTCCGCTCACCCTGAGATTCTATCTCTCGGTCTACGTTCGTTGCGCCATCGGTGTCTTTTCCATTGCCCCGTGGTCTCTGTCTTGCGTCTGTCCGGCTTTCAGCGGAAAGACCCTTCGTCTCTCGTCGGCGTGGTGAATGTGCTCCGTTACTGGGCTTGACCCTACTAGTGAAACCTCCGCATCGGGACATGTTCATACCAAGTAGGCGCTTTCAGGCGTGAAACTTGGCAAGTGCACTGAGTGTCCAGTGACAGATTCGTTACTGCTGAAGGTGGAAGCGCTGCCATGAGGATGAGCCGGATTCATTCGAGATAGTACGAAGCTACGAGGTAGGGAATATAATCAAGTCACTTGCAGATCAATTCGTTCTCGTGATTGTTCGTATACATCGGATCAATCGTTGAAACAATTAAGCAATTAAGCATTAAACATGCGCCGCGCAGCAGAGCAATCAACCTCCGATCCCATGGGACCAGGGCCTAACCTGTACGTAGTCCATCTAAGGTCTTGAACCGAGATGTATCTCTGCCAAGATGGACGAGAGCAACACTCAGACCGAGCTGGTATTCTCCGCGGGCCGGCGCTCGGGGTCGTGGTCCTGGGGGTCCGCACCGGCCGGGACGGCATGCTCGATGCGGCGCTTCGCGGTGAACAGACCCGCCACACCTGCCTCCTGGTTCTGACCCAGCCAGGGCTTCCGCGCCTCGGCCAGCGCCTTGCGGCCCAGGTAGTAGATCAGCTGGCCGACGACGATCATGACAAAGGCGATGGGGTACATCCAGTGGATATGGTAGTGGAAGACCTTGATGCCGATGCACACGCCCCAGAAGTTCATGGTGAGCATGGAGATATTGAAGAAGGCGGCGGAGGACAGGCGGAACAGCAGTGGTGCCAGGCAGTAGAACAGCGTCAGGCACAGCGTGAAGCCGGTCAGGTAGCCGCCGACCTTGCCGTCCCAGTTGGAGTTGTTGTAGTTGCTGCGCTCGAAGATGGCGCTCTGCACGCCATCGATGATGCACGCGTAGAACGACAGCTGGCCCAGCACCTCGTACACGGGCTTCTTGCTGACGAGGTACTCCTCGGCCGTGTTGGTCAGGCCGTAGAAGCTAGCGCCGAGCAGAGCGAACAGGTCACCCTTCAGCTGGTGGCCGCTGGACACGTCGCCGCCGTTGACGCCGGTAATGTGGTCCGAGGCGATCAGGACGCCCATGCCGCCGATGCAGATGATGATGCCCAGGATCTGGGTGATGTGGTAGCGGACCTTGAGGAACACGAAGGAGAGGAGGACGACGACGACAATGGCCCAGAAGTTGATGAGCTGGGCGCTTAGCATGGTGGTGTACTGGTAGGCCAGCACGACGAAGTAGTTGCCCTGGACGTCGCAGAAGGCGAGGATGATATACTTCCAGCCGTCCGTGTAGATCACGCGGAGCCAGCCCTTGAATCCGTAGCGGTATATGGTGTAAGGAGTGAAGATCATCGTCAGCACCACGTAGTTGAGCAGTGTCTGGAACGTGGGAATTGCCCATTCCTGCTCGCCGAGGAGCGTGGTGAACGTGCCCGTGGCGGTGTTGGCGATGGCGAGGAGTTGTCTGGTTGTATTTCTCATTAGCACTGGCCATGATTTTCCCCCGGCCGGGTTGCATCGACGACTGGGTCTCACTCACCCGAGAATCAAGGTGATGTAGAACTCCTTGGTCTTGAAATACGCCAAGTATCCCTTCTTCTCCTCATCGACCTTGTCCGCCGGCGCGGCGGTCTCCCCCGCGGCGGGGTTCATCACCGCGACCGAGTCAGCCTTGGACTGCGACGACGCCTGGTTGATCGTGTCGGCCGTCTGGACGGTGACTTGGTCCTTGGAGTCAGTCATGGTCGGGCGGGAGCAATATGCAATACGAGGAGAGAGAATGAAGTGCGGGGGTTGCAGGACTATTAAGACGATGCGCGCCGATCACCGGTTGCGGTCAGGTATCGCAAAGGGGAGCTTTATAGTTCACGAGCGCAAAACTCCCAGAAGTCGCTCGCTTCAAGCAGCACCAACAATAGACGAGAAGGATGAAAGGGAAAAGAGACAGAAGAGAGCACCGGCAGGAATGCAGAGAGAAAAAAAAAAATACGAGCTGGCGCCGGCCTCGAACCTTTCCTGATCGAGCCATCGTCGATAAGTATCTGCCACCACGGGCCAGCAAGAGACAGCGGCCAATCAGAAGTAGCTAATGGGTGGCGAGAGGGCCAAGTGAAGTGGAGTTGCCATATGGTCTGTGCTGGGGCGGAATGGTCCGACTTGGCTGCTGAGGTTCACTTGGTGGGCTGTGGGCTGTGGGCAGTGGGCAGTCGGCAGTGGTTGGTGTTTTGTGTGTCGCGGCTCGCTGCAGGGGCCGGTGGTACTACGGGACTGTCCCCGGGACGCAGAAGAGGAATGGAAGCTTTGCCGTGGAAGGTTAATTGCCCGACCCCTGGCTGTCATGATTTATTAGTGACAGACTATTCCGGGTACTAACTATGTGACTAAAGTATGTCCCCTAGCGGTCGTCGATCGTGGAAGGTTCTTCGAAGCTGTCACTCTTCGGGCCCCATGTCAGGGTGCGAAGACGAGGTATATAGTGCCTTTGATTTCAGGAAGTATGCCATTCAACCTCGTGCAGGGCCAAGGGCCACTGGGGTGCTTTCGGGGAGAGCATTGTTGGTGCCAGTAGCCCGGGGAGATGTGGGATGGGAGGAGATATCGTGATGCGATGGTTAGCTTGTCTGGCCTGCCAGAGGACGCTGGGACGCTGGGACGCTGGGACGCTGGGACGTAGAACACGACCGTCTCCTCGTCGCGGCCTGCTCGGCCACTTTCTTCGGGCAGCACCGCGGACTCTCCTGCCCTGGCGGCTCGTGACCACCGCATCCCGGGAATTCGGGAATCCTCTCTAGTGTTCCGTCATTCCAGCTCTGTGATCTTCTATCGCTGATCGTCCTTCTATCTTCCAAGGACCCGAACCACCCGAACTGCTGGCCGAGGCCCCCGTCCGGTGGGCCCCCCTGCCAGATCCTCCCATTCCTGCCTTTCCCTTCGATCGTCATCCCCTCCGCAGACTCTTTCATCATCTCCACCTTTCCCCTTCGCAACCACAACCTACCTTCCACCACCCATCGCCACCGACCCTTTTTCCCCCTCCCCCCGCCCCCCCCCCTCCCCGACGGGCCCATCCTTCCTTCCCATCTCCATCGGCACACTCCCCGGGCCTCACTCTGGAGACGCTGGAGTGACGTGCCCCCTTTCCCTGCCCGATCATGGCGCTGGACCTACAGCCGCCCGACGGTCGCAAACGGGTCAAGGTCTACGAGCTGAGGGATAATGACTGGTTCGATCGTGGCACCGGCTTCTGCACCGGCCAGATCCTTGGGGTAAGCTTTACATGGCCCTTCACTCCCATCCTCGTTCGCGACGGGCGCATTCGTGACTCGTTGTGCCCGCTGGTCGATCGCGCAGCTCGTTTCCACCCGCGCATGAGTCGAACAGCCGCAACTCGCGACCCGCGAAACCCCCCCCCCTCTCGAATCTCCGCCGCGATTCGCTGACCTCATTTCTGCGCCTAAACAGGAGGAACCGCGAATATATGTCGAATCGGAGGACCAACCAAATCGTGTCCTGCTAGAGACCAAGATCACCAAGGACGATGGCTATCAAAAACAGCAAGGTTTCTGTCCCGCTGTACCCGCCGGTATCACCGACGAGGGGAATATGCTTTGGCTAACTGTATCACGCGATCAGAGACCTTGATCGTCTGGACCGAATCCAACGGCACGGATATGGCGCTGAGTTTTCAAGAAGCCGAGGGCTGCGCAGTGATCTGGTGAGTGGGAGGAGACGCGCCGAAAATCCCCGTCTGCGTCCGCGTGGGAGCTCAGGGAGGCTGACTGCGAGGCGACTTCCAAATGGCAGGGACTTTGTCAATACCGTGCAGCAACATCTGCTCAGCTTAGCCGCCGCCGACGATGCGCTCTCCGATGACCTCGAAAGCTACCAATCCATCGTGTTACCCGCCCCGGAATTGGGAAACCTCCCCGAAATCGAGCAGATTGTCCGCGCCGCCAGCATGACGCAGGCCGGTCGCGACGCACTGTCGAAATTCATCATTCGCGACGAGTATATTGGCAAACTGGTGCCTCTGGTGACGATGGCAGAAGATCTGGAGAGCTTGGTGGACTTGCACCGCCTCTGCAACATTATGAAATCCCTGATCCTGCTCAATGATAATACCATCATTGAGACCGTAGTTGCCGATCAGATAATCTTGGGGGTGGTCGGGGCTCTGGAATGTACGGCCCCATTGTTTTTCTCTTTTTCGCTTGGTCTCTGGGGTGTGATGGCGAGCCATGGCTAATTGGATGTTTGGGACAGATGACCCTGAATTCCCAACACACAAGGCGAATCACCGGCAATATCTCGCCGACCAGTCGCGCTACAAAGAAGTCGTGCCGATCAAGGATCCGCTGATTCGCAGGAAGATCCGGAGTACCTGGCGATTGCAGTATTTGAAGGACGTGGTCCTGGCCCGAATTCTCGACGATCCGACCTTCTCCGTGCTCAACTCCCTGATTTTCTTCAATCAGATGGAAATCGTGAACCACATCCAATCGAATGCTCCCTTCCTTCGAGAGCTCTTTTCGGTCTTCGACCCGAGAAACCCCGATACCAAGCGCAAGGATGATGCTGTGCAATTCCTACACCAATGCGCCGCGATCGCAAAGAACTTGCAAGCTCCGTCGCGGGCCCAGCTATTTGCCAACTTCATCAGCCACGGCTTGTTTCAGGTAATCGCCTTTGCTGTGAAGCACCCGAACCCGGCTATGCGCACGACAGGCATTGATATCCTGGTCGCATTGCTTGATCATGATCCAGTGATGATGCGTGGATATATGCTCAAGGCCGTCAATGAGAAGAAGACGCCGCTCACCGACACCCTAATTGACCTGCTCCACGCAGAGACCGATCTAGGTGTCAAAAACCAACTGGCTGATGCAATTAAGATTCTGCTCGACCCTCAGATACCCCTGCAGGACCCGCTTGCCCGGGCTGGCCCCGATTATTTCAAAGTCCGATCCTCCAACCTCCTCTCTGATGCATTTGTCCAGCAACATTTCGATGAATCTTCCAAGCGGCTGTTTCAGCCGCTCAAGCAGCTTGCTAATCGCCCTTCCCGTAAGTTTCATGTGACCCCAAGAAGTGGAAAGGACTCGTGGACGGACTGACCCTTTCTAGTTAATGACTTGACATTCCAAGAAGTCACGCTCTACTCGCATCTTGTTGATATCCTCACCTTTTTCGTCCGTCAGCACCTCTTTCGCACGCGCAATGCGATTCACAGCGAATCTCTCGCCCCCCGTGTGGCCCAGATCCTCACTGCTCCTCAAAAACACCTGAAGCTGGGTGAGTGCTGTCCAATATTATGTTCCCGAGACTCAACTTCGGCTCATCCGTTCCTTCTGTTTAGTTGCCCTCAAGTTCTTCCGCACATTGATCAGCCTCCAAGACACCTTCTACCAAGCCCTCATGACACACAACAACACCTTCGGCCTGATTTTGGATATCGTCCACGAAACCATGCCGCGCGACAACCTCCTCAATTCTGCTTGCCTCGAGCTTTTTGAGTTTATCAAACGGGAAAACATCAAGCCTTTCATTTTGCATGTGGTGGAGAAGTACCGCGAGAAGCTGGAGAATATCACCTACGTCGACACGTTCCAGAACCTGATTCTTCGCTTCGACCAGATGCAGGGCTACGGTGCAGAGGCTGATTCGGCACTGTTCAGTCAGGATGAGGGTACGCCGCGACGGATGCCTCTGAATGGCCAGCGCTGGCAGGGTGTGAAGGAAATGGACGCTGCCGAAGAGGAATACTTCAACACGTCCGATGACGAGGACGAGGTAACTACTCCCGCACTTCTGAGACCCAGCGGCGTTGCTGATGTTAATGATAGTGGACCCAGGATAACCGAGCCACCCTTGCTGTTGGTGCGCCTAATGGATCGGCTTCTCCGATGGTCAAGCCGCTGGTGGATTACCCCGACGACGATGATGAGGATGCTATGGATACCAAATCCGAAGAGGTTCCAGCTCCGTCCGCAGAAGCTCAGCCGTTGACCGTTGGAGATATTCAGGTTGAGCCTTCTCCAGAGCCGACGTCTGCCCCCACATCGCCTACGGCTCAGATACCCCCGGTGCCTGAACGACTTACGGAGAAGCGCCGACGCGAGGAGGAAGACGAGGACGAATTGGTGAAACTTGCTGCAGGCCCTAAGCGCAGAAGCTCGACCAGTAGCAACTCCAGCGCGGGCATGATGAACCGGAAGAAGAATCTTTCTATTGGGTCACTCGGTTCCGTTGAGAAGGGTGGCACGCAAGGCGTGTTGGGCACTGTTACTGGTGCTGCGGCACCAAAGCGAATCGCCATCAACATTGGCCCCGTCGGGAAGGCTGCTGTCTCAGACACGGAGACCTGCGCGGAAACTGTCTCCAGCGAAAGCAACGAGAAAGAGAATCGAGACGACAGTCAAGGTGATGAGGGTGGGTGATTATCCCCCCTTTTCCTACCCCACCTGTGCAGTCGGAAGATGCGATGCGATGTGATGCGATGTGATGCGATGATGTTGATTCCCCGGGTCCAGCAGCCCCGTTTTGCCCACCTTCCCCTCCCCCTCCCGCATTTCTTTTGACGAGCTAGATACCAGATCCAGCGCGGGATATTTACGTCCCTGTGTTCTTTCTTGAACCTTCAACCCCGTTCCGTTGCTGCTGCGATGCTATACTGTGCTGCTCTTTGGCGATACTCTTTTCTCTCATATTGCACCACCCCCATCCACCTCCGCCTCCGCCTCCACCTCTTTCCTTCCATCTCCCTCTCCCTACATTTGAAACTCTAGCGGTGCTTCGTGGTGGCTCTCATATCGGTGGTGTTTATTATTATTATTTTTTTGGACGGTGCGATCATGGGATGATTGCTTGATGTACATTGTGTTTCGCTCTGCCGGCGTCTTTTGGGCAAATGGATGCATTGGATCCGGCCGAGGCCGCGGTGCCAATTTATTTTCTTGTTACTTGTCACTTCCCCCCCACAACTTTTACCTTTTCGCCTTGTGATCTTCTCTTTGACGTTGCTTAGCTTTCTACTGAGGTTTAGAATCAGGGGTTTTTGGTTAGGTGGGAGATAATGGAATGGGATGGACGGAATGGAACGAAGCTATGGCGTGTTTTGGGTGGGGACTGGAGTCGAGGATCGATGCAATATATTTGCGTGTTTCATGGTGCTTGATTGTTGTGTTGTAGGCTCGTAGTTATTCCTAGTTCGATCTGCAATGCTCTAGCTGGTGGCGTCGTGGTTAATGAACTGATCGTAGAGCTCCGCTTGCCTCGGAGCTTGGCGCTTGGAGCTTGGAGCTTGGAGCTTGTCGGGTTCGGAGCTCGGCTCACATGGCATCGGGACCCACCTGCAGCTGCTCGGCTCCGCAACTTCACTTCTATCTCGCATCCAGCGGCCCGCGAGTTGTGGGTACTTCGTCTGCCACAGGCCCAGATAGATATTGCATAGGGGCATCACCCACGGGTATGTGAGCGCTGAAACAATTCACATATTTCACAGACTTCCTACCCCAACACACCCCAACCGAGCCATATATGCATGCCGCCCGAGCCCCGCGGCAACACCATTAGACAAATCCCAATCACGCTGTCCATTACAGAATGGACCCTCAAATCACACCAGACACGTTCTGCTCATATACACCGTCCCCGGCAGAAGCAGATACAACCGTGTTCTTCATCTCGGGAAATCCAGGGCTGATCAGCTACTACCACCCATTCCTGTCTCTGCTAGGGCAGTACTTGGCAGATGATCAAGACCCCCTCAGCAAAGGCGCATCTGTAGAGAAGACGCCCTCCCATTTCCAAATCTATGGATGCAGTCTCGGCGGATTCGAAGTTCCTTGCGATAAGACGTCACCCTCCGGGACAAACGGCGGCAACGGGCCCCCCGATGCCGCTCAAAGCGGGAGGTCTAAACTGTATAGTTTGGAAGACCAAATTTGTTTTGTCCACGACAAACTCAATACTCTTATGACTGAGAATGCTGCTTCTGCGAAAACTCCATCAGCGTCCTCGCGCAGGCAAAAGGTCATCCTCATGGGCCACTCTGTCGGAGCATATATCGCCATGGAAGTACTAAGGCGGCACCGCGAAGCAAGCCCCAGCCCTGAACCCCACAGACAATATACCACGGACTTCGATATCATCGGCGGCGTGATGCTATTTCCGACAGTGAAGGATATCGCGCATTCACCTGCGGGTCAGAAATTGACCGTACGTCTCATCCCTCCCTTTTACACTGCCAACAGGCCGATATTGATATTGGCAATTTCCGCTATGCAGACCCTTTTATCATTCTTTCCTCATTTTGCTCTCGTTGTGGGCTTCCTCGCCCACCTCCTCACCACTCTCCTCCCATCCGCAGCCCTAAAATGGCTAATCAAACTCGTAATGAACGACCCGCCTACGCATGCTCGCGACACTACATTCTCCTTCTTGAACAGCCCTGGCGGCGTGCGTCAAGCCCTGTACGTCACCCCACTCCCGTCTGCTTTCCTTTCATTAGTTATATGCCCTCGTCTAATGAGAAAAACTAGACACATGGCAGCAGATGAAATGCGCACGATAACATCTGACAAGTGGACCGATGATGTCTGGGGTGTTGCCCGCGCACGCGAGCCACTCACTAAGCTCTTCTTTTACTTCGGGCGCAATGACCATTGGGTGGCGGAGAGGACGAGAGACGAACTTATTGCGCTGAGGGGTGGTACGGATGGGGAATCAGGGCCGAAGATGTTTGTTTGTGAGGAAGGGCTGCCGCATGCGTTCTGCTTGAGTGAGTCTGAGAATTGGGAGTCTATCTGGGCGATTGGTGCTGATTCTCACGTAGGGCATAATGATGTTATGGCCCGCAAAGTGGCGGGTATGATCCAAGATATTGGAGGCAATTGAAAGAGCCTCCTTATCTAAAGGGGGCATTGAGAAAATGTCGGCATACGCATATTTTCGAGCAGCTACCTATTTAGCTGCGGTGTGCGGTTTGGGAACGTAGAACAGTAGAATTGGAGATAGGAATAGAGCTGGAAATCAATAATTTCTGTTCTATCTGCTCGCACTGGGTATCTCAAGCGACACTGCACCCCCGTCCTCCCTCCCACACCCCCAGACAGAACGCAAGCAAAGCAACGGATGTTCCATAGAAAACAAAAGACCAAGTCATGCGCCATGCCATACCGGATTAAGCTCTCAAAGCCCACAGGCCGGAATTGAAATCATAATCAATGTCAATGCCAATGTCAATGTCAATGCCAATGTCAATGTCAATGCCAATGTCAATGTCAATGCCAATGCCAAATGCCTTCTTTTATCCCTGTCCACCGCCCTGATATGCAAATCCCGCTTTGCGGAAGAGGTCGCCAAGGACATCTGCTTGCGGCTGGGGTGGAGGCGGTGGTTGCTGCTGTTGTTGGGGCATCATGCCCGGATATGCCTGCGGTTGCTGATAGTGCTGCTGAGGGTACTGCTGCGGCGGGGGTTGTGGGAATTGCTGTGGTGCAATTTGCTGATAGTGCTGCTGCTGAGCTTGCGGTTGCTCAACGGGGCTTATGTGATGCGCGCGCACGCTCCACCCATCATCCTGGGCACGCTGTTGGCCAAACAGATCCTTCAACGATATTTGGCGTCCCATAGGCACACTCGCCTGGACCTCCTCCAAGGGGGCGGCATGCGTTACCGCCGCGGCCGCGGCCTCATGTAACCCATTCTGGCGCATAGCCTCCAGCCGCTCACGCATAATCTTCAGACTCTGTCCGGCGTGGGTAGCGCACTCCCTGATCATCTCCGCATTGATGGTTCGGGCCTGAGCAGTCGAGTTCGGCGACGGCTCCGAGTAAATCCAGATGCCGTAGATGCGCAGCCCAGGCGTGCTGGTACCATTTGCCTGCCTGCCCTGCGGTTTCGAGGGGTCCTTGAGGCCGTTCGCGCCGCTCTCGTCCTCGGCGCCCTCGTCCGCCTTTAGAATCACGTATTCCTCCGTCAGCTCCACGTTATCCCCATCGGTCAGCTGCAGATCGAAGTTGTTGAGCCCGCGCCGGTTCAGCACGAATGCAGTGTATCGCTCCTCGCCGAGACTGCCCTGCGTCAGTTGGCAGACGAACAGTGTTCCTTCGACGCCGTTCTTTTCCCACTGTCGCGTTGTCGGGCTGAAGATGTATACGACGACGTACTGGGCAAGGGAGAGGATCGAGGTGATGTCGGGGTTGTGGCGACGTAGGACGGAGAGGTTTATCTCCTCGTTGGTGCGGGACGGTGGTCCTGGTTGTTGTTGCTGCTGCATGTCGGAGAAGTAGGCGGCGTCAGATTCATAATCGGTGAGGTGGTTTTGCGTGAGGTTGTGGTTGTGGTTATGATTGTTGTTATTGTGGTTGTGGTTATTGTTTCGCCGGGGTTTTCGGGAGCTCATGGTAGGTGTGATGGAGGGAGGGAGGTGGGTGAAGCGGTGGTGGTGGTGGATTTTCTTTGGAATGGCAGGTGAGGAAGATGGTGAGCGCTGGGCCGATTGCGGGAGGCCGGGCATATCGTCATCACTTGAGCTCTCTCCGCCTCCCCTCGCCCTCGACGCTCTTCGGCTCCTGCACAACCTTCGGCTGCAGACAACCGTCGCTACCTGAATGATCGCAGTCCACTGATCCACCTTATTCGGCGAATGTTCCGCTCGTATAATATCAAGCCATTCAATTCTCCTTGGCCTACATGATGGCGCTGGTCGCGCACCGAACCCTGCCGTACTGAAGCTCCGTCATGAGATGAATGGTTCCTTGAACAGCTTCGACGATCGATCTCTTTCACCCGATCTTCTCTCACAACTCTGGCTGTTCTGTTTCTCCAACGAACGTATAGCCTAGCGCTTCACTACCATCCGGAATTGAGAAGCGCATACGATCTACCCACTTTCGCCTTTCTCCATAACCTGAGCATATAGACACTGTCGCACCAATATCCAAACATCCTCAAATTATGCGAATCCTCCTAGCCACTCGCTGATTCCGAAAAGAAACGACATATCATCTCATCAGAAATGTCATCACACGAAGAGCGGACGGACTCACCTGCCGGGTCTGACCCGCGAGAACATGTGTCTGAAGACGTCGAGAACCTTGGTGATCCAGGGTTCGACTTGAGAGACTTAACGCGTGCTTTGAACGCAAGGAAGGCAGAGTATACCGATCGGCGAACGGTTCAAGTGAAGATCGGTACATGGAATGTGGCTGCTATCTCTGGCATAGAGAAAGACGTCGGGAAGTGGTTCGTGCAAGGGCAGGGAACAAGCGAGAAGTTGTCCGGCTTGAAGGGCTCGCAGTCTGACCGGAAAGAGAGATCTCCATCCCCAAGTGGTGAGGATGGTCAGAAAGGAGAGGGTGACGCAGCTGTACCATTCCAATGCAGCCCGGAAAAGGTTGATCTCTATGTTCTAGGCTTGCAGGAGATTGTTGATGTTTCTTCTCCCACCGAGGCCCTGCGACCGTATACGGATCCTGGACCGGCGAACAGATGGAAAGAGGTTGTCCATCAAGCCCTGCCTGCGGGATACCAGCTGGTCTCTGAAGTCCAGCTCATGGGTCTCTTACTTATCATTTATGCATCCCCTGCAATTCGCGACAGCGTCTCCGCTATCAGCAGCACATATGTCGGGACGGGGCTGATGGGGTACATGGGTAACAAGGGAGCTGTTGCGACTCGTCTGGTCTTGGGTGAGACCACACGTCTTGTTTTCGTGAATTGCCACCTAGCTGCCGGGTCAGATAAAGGAAGCCTAGAACGGCGCAATTGGGATGCATCCCAGATCTGCCAACGAGCCAAGTTCGAACCAGTGGACTCTGAGAGTGGAGCGCATGGAGATCAAGGTGGTGAGAGCATTGACGATGAGGACTTTACTTTCTGGTTCGGTGACTTGAATTATCGGCTCGATGATATTCCTGGAGATGATGTGCGTCAAGTCCTTGCGCGACACACGGAAAATGCGTACGATACTGCGCTCCAGGCGAAGCAATCCAAGTCGAACAGCAATAGGAATTCCGGCGCCTCTGATCCGTCTGAGCGATCCTCGCCATCCCCTTCGTTCTCAGAAGAACAAGAAGTACCAGAACCGGTAACGGATGGGGAGATCGACCCTCACAACGATCCTGCCTCTTTACAGACGACCATCTCTTCTCTTATATCCCACGACCAACTACGGATCCAGCAAAGGAAGGGAATAGCATTCCACAAAGGATGGCAAGAGGGCCCAATCTCTTTTTTGCCAACGTACAAGTACGACGTTGGGAGCGTGGCAATGTTTGATTCTAGCGAAAAGCAACGTGGTCCCAGCTGGTGTGACCGGATTATTTTTCGCACTCGGCGGGATATGCTCAAGCATGAGCGTCTGGAAAGAGAAGCCGAGGAAGCACGGAAACGAGACAAGGAGATGCAGGCCCGTGGGATGGACCAAGTTGTTGCTGATCACAATGTGCTATTTGATTACGATCCCGAGATCGATGGCCGAGATGACTCTGCAGATGGGGAGGGGTCCGCCTCGGATGCGGATCGAGCGAACGAATCATCTTCTGCATCCGAAGATACGACACCAGAGTTAATCCGTCAACATCATTACATCTCTCACCAGGGTATCCTTTCCTCGGACCATAAGCCTCTGGACGCTATCTTTACGTTGACTTTCGATGCTGTCAACCCCAGTCTCAAGGCAAAGGTGCACCAAGAGGTAGTCCGTAAGTTGGACAAGGCTGAGAATGAGGCCCGGCCTAATCTCACGGTCGTTGTCGATGCCCATCCCGATGAAAAACGCACGCAAAAAGACCCCAACACTGTCGACTTTGGGGAGATTAAATATGATGTTCCGGTTCATCGGACCTTGACCATCGCCAACACGGGTGGTGCCTCGGCCACTTTCTCGTTTGCTGAGCGACCTAGCCTTGGCGATGATAATAAAGATATACCTTCCTGGCTGGACATTCATGTTGAGCATTCTTCGGAGCACGAGCCAACTCCGGCACAGTCAAGCACTCCTGGCATCAGTCACACTTTGCTCCCAGGCGAGGTGGCTAATGTCGACATTAAAGCCCACATTCGGTCCATCAAGCACGTTCGATTGCTAAATTTGAAAAAAGTCAAGCCCGAGGAGATCTTGGTCCTCCACGTCGACGGCGGCCGTGACCACTTCATCTCTGTCTGCGGAAAGTGGCTACCAACCTGCTTCGGCTGCAGCGTGGATGAACTGACCCGTATGCCAGAGGAAGGAGCCCGCAGCCTCCGCAGTGACTCAATAACACAACCAGAAAAAAGTGGCACTGAAGTGCGACTGTCGGCTCCTCGAGAGCTATTCCGGCTGACCGAAGCCATCTCCGATCTGACGGAACGCGCCGTGGCAGAATGGAGCATGACCAAAGGCGAGTCCGGGGAAGAAGCGCCGTGGACCAAAGAGCCCTCTGGCAATGCGTGGCCATTCCAACCGGACACATGGACTCTCACGGACCAACATGAACGCGCGACTCTAGAAGCTTCTGTCCGTGAATCCCTTGATACCAACGGCTCTCTGTCCGAAATCTTTGCGCCCGAGACTCCATCTCTCCACCGACTGGAGATCCTCTCTGAAATTCTCCTTACTTTCCTCAACTCCCTCAGCGACGGCATCATCACCGCACCCGTCTGGCAAGAAATGGAGCAACAGATGATCACCCGCGAGAAATCCAAAGCACCGCCTCTCTCCTGGGAGGAAACTCAAGCATGGGTGCTCGAGAACCTCGCCTACTCGCCCCCACATAGTGTTTCCTTCACCTTCGTCACCTTCATGCTGGCCCGTATCGCCAATGAAGTGGCACCGGTCCCACCCGCCGCGCAATCCATCTCTGCTTCGTCATCTTCCAAAAAGCAGAAAGAGTCCCCCGACAAATCCTCTGATTCTAACAAACACCAAGACCAGAGTCCGTCCTCGGACTCCCAGTTCCCAACACCACCCACGCCGGCCTCGGCCGCAGCATTCATTTCCGGGGGAAGTTTCCGTCGCAAGCCGCGTTCACAAGATGCAGACCCAGCGTCAACCAATTTGTCCAACGCGGTAGCGCGCCGACAGGCTGTCGAAGCGGCCTTGGCCTCTATTTTCGCCCGAGTCCTGATTTCGCCCGCAGTTCCTACGCCGGCGAAGGATAAGGATCGGCGCGCATCCGACGAGCGCAAGAAGAGTATCATCGAGCCTTTCTTAAAGATGATTGGTGTGGATGAGGGAGGGCCATCCGGAGGACGTTGATACTTCACTTGGACTTTCCCTTTTAATCATCTTCAATTTGTATATTGATTCTACTGTTATTTAGAGAGAAGGGGCCAGGAGTTGCGGTGTGGGTGGTGAGGTGGTGAGGTGGCTGGATTGTTTCAACATTCTTTACTCGGCCGAGATAAATTGGTCTGTAGAATTGCTTTTTAGTTTGCGATGTCTTCCATTGGAGTGAAGGTTGAATGGTAAGATATTATATACATGACGATATATCCTGCTTCCATTCAAGCCACGCCAGTCCCCCGCTGTTGCCCCATTACCTCGACCCTAACCCAACAAATTAAACACCAGTGCCTAGTAGCTACTAAAGTAGTCACGAAAAGAAGTCAAGCAAATACCAAAAACAGTGGAAACTCCCGAAAAGAATGATCACATCAAGATACCCTTGTTCGACGTGAGCATAGAAGCAACGGAGCCAACCTAGCGCGCTGCACTCCATACAGACTCAAAAGACTGCTGCTGCTGATATCCTCCTAGGGGCGAAATGGCCGGTGATTTCGCTGGCAGTTTCGTCGTTGTAGATGGTGGCCCGATTTTTGACCCAGCCGCACCCCTTGATTTATCCTTAGCACCCTTCGGTCGTGGCTGTGGGCTGGGACGTCGACGGCCGAACATCTGTTGCGCAGCGAGTATGCAGTGACTTGCGACGCGACCCGGAAGATTGAGGACGGACAGGGCGAGCTGCGCGGGAACGACGATACATCCGCAGGCCCAGTCTATGAGAATGAAGGCGTAACTCTGACGACGGTTTAGAGTAGACCGCTGCGCGGCCGCAGCGAGGGCAATTGCGTCGCGGGCTTGAGCTTCGACTTGTTGGAAGCGGGTGTCTGTTTGCATTGTTGTAAGTGCCGTGCGCTTCTCGTATCGGCGGACTGCGCGGTTGAGTGCTTCGATGTCCGGGCTGAGGACTCGGCGGGATTCAACAACAGCCTGTGAAATCAGGTCTAGGGCATCGTCTGCATCCTCAGATGGGGAAGATTGACCGTTTTTGGAGGTCGACGAAGCGAGACGGGCGGCAGCGGCTTCGGCGACGTGCGCCTCTAGTTCGTCTAGGCGCCTGCTGAGATCCTGGACCTTTTCCGGACTGATTTCCTCGTCGGAAGTTGAGGAGGCTACGATGCGTTGGAGGTAGAGGGTGCGTGCTTGCCCGAGCTTGAGGAGGTGGGCGAAAGGGCGCACCTCGGATGCGAGGAGGAAGATGGTGAGGTTGTAGTTTGAAACTAGACCCTCTGAGGGCCGGGATAAGCTGGATCGGATGGAGTGCAGGAGCCATGTCCCGATCACCGGGAAGATGAAGCATGAAGCGAGTGCGACGAGCTCGTGTATTTGGAGCTCTCTGATGGCTTTGGCTTCGGCGGCTTCCCGCAGGTGCTTTTGGTGTTGTTGGCTGGCACCGTGCGAGTCTACAGCCTCTTCATCCTCGTTGGCCTCGGCGAGCTCTTCCGCAACAGGATTGAAACCATCGTGCTCTCGCTGGATAGCTTGTGCTGAGCGATACCAGTCCCTGGACATACTTCATCAGCCTTTCTACGGGTCTTACACATCAAGACGAGTCTTTGGACGTACCATGGTAATCGGACCGACCAATTGAGGAAAATCGCAGCCAGTACCAACAAAGTCACATCCGTCATAAACAAGCTACCATCACGAAAGAAAATTCCCGCGATCGCAGGTAGGAGAGCCAGTACCAGTGGCGCGGACTGCCAATGCGACTCCTCCGTGGCGATGGAGTCATCTCTATCCTTGCCAACCCGGGGGAGGAACAAGTCATCGGTAGACGATCGAATAGAATGGCGCGCCTCCGAGATCGAATCTGACAGAGTTGAGTTGCGGCGTTGCGGCCAGTGCGTCGAGGACCCTTCTACAAAGGTCGCAGCGCGAGTGGGGAGGGCCCGGCGCCGGAACGAACTGGATGGGGCTGGCGCATTGCGGGGAGGAAGTGCGGAGGGCGGAGATGACGAGGATGGATCGGCCATCGTCAAGGCAACGCGGGTGAAATTGGCATTCAGAGAAGACTGGGGTCCCTGGGATGGCTGGAATCGGCAATCCACAGTTCACGGTCGGCAGATGAAGGAGCAGTAAAGCAATAGTTCCCCAGGAAGCGTGGAGGAGTTCGTGGCGCGAGGTGGGCAGCTGCTGGGGGACTGTTGCTGATCCGGCCGAGGTTGGTCGCCCAGCAGGTCACCTGGTTGGTCACTGACCTGGCCGCTTGGTCGTCACTGGCTCCACTCTTGGGTACTACCTCACCATGACTCTCTTCTCTGTATCAACCTCGGACTCTCGGACTCAAGTCAAGATTCGGGTCTGGACCACCGCATGGCCCAGTTCTGGCGTTCTAACGAACCCGCCCAGTTTGCAACGGTAGAACCAGGCAGAGCCATGATTGATTGACCCGCTGATTTGGCGGTCGATCCATGGCCCGCCGGCGGCTTTGCGGGTCCGTCAATAAGGCCCGGCTCTATTGAACCCCGAAAAGGGTTCACGCTTCGTCTGACTGCGGCCGACTTGGCTTTCCTCACCACCAACGTTCTTTATTTCCCAGCTACGAGCAGCCAATTGAGCTAGTCAGCCATGCCTACTTCAATGGCCATGTGCCGCTGCTGTCGCATCTGGCAGACTGCTGCTGTTCGTGGCACTGCCGCCGAAGTCACAAAGCTACACTTCGTCTGCGCGGCGGCATCGCATGCCTTCATTTTTTGTGTGAAGATGTTTTGATCCAGGCTGCCACCCGGCCCTATTCATCTGCGTCAGGTTCCACGCTGTCTCTCGGAGCTCGTGTCTGACGAAGGTTGCTTGCCCGGTTTACCTTTCCCCTAGGACAGCGCATTCACCTCATATACGGCACTTGAGTGACATAAGATGGGGTTCATCCTTCAGCTATCTATTGCCTAATTTTCCCTGGAATCTCTGCTTTCAAATAACGGAGATTCGCTCCCTTGAACATCGTGGGAATCTTGCAATCTTTGACTGGAGTTCCCATATCAAATACAATTCTTAGCTGCAAACCCGTACCGCCATGGGGGACATCGACAAGCGCTATCCAGTGGTTGTTGCCATCCAGGTTCTGTCGCTGTGTGCGATAGTCGTCTGCATCGTGCCACTCATCCTGCATGCGAAGAACCGCAACCTTCCCGCCACGAGTCTCATCTGCTGGACTATTGTCCTGAATCTGCTCAACATCATCAACGCCTTCATATGGCCTACAGACAATGTCGACTTGTGGTGGGATGGAACTGGCTTCTGCGATATTGAAGTAAAGATTATGGTCAGCAGTTATGTTGCTTTTCCAGGTGCCCTAGTAGGCATCTTTCGTGGCCTGGCGATTGTGCTTGATACGACAAGTGCTACCCTGGTCCCGAGTAAGGCCCAGCGTTGGCGCAACCGGTCTATTGAGCTGCTGTTCTGCGTTGTTGTTCCTGTCATTGCTATGATCACACATATTGTGTGGCAGAAGAGCCGCTATTTACTCTTTGCGATTTCTGGTTGTGTTAACAATTTCGACGAGAGCTGGGTTAGCTTCGTACTGGCATACATGTGGCCGCCAATTATCTGCTTGATTGCAGCATACTATTGCTGTAAGTGTCCCCTTTTCTTCATCATTGCTTTAGGATCAGAACTCACACTCTACTCTACTGCAGGCCTGGTACTCATTCGCATGCGCAAGTACCGTAGCGACTTCAGTCTCATCCTACGCTCGGCCAACAGCAGAATGAGCAAGTCCGGCTTCCTGCGCCTGTTCTTCCTCGCATCCACCATGCTTATCGCTATTTTGCCCAGTGAGGGCTTTGTCGTCTACTACGACCTGACTCTCTCTCTCCCCTGGCACCGGTACTCATGGAGTCAGATCCATGGACCGGAGTGGTACGAGATTCTTAAGTATCCGACTCAGGGGCAGGTCTTCTTCGACCGCTGGACACCAATTGCATCGGGATTCATGCTGTTTATCTTCTTTGGCTTTGGCCGCGATGCTACGCGTCTGTACCGCATGTTCTTCTGGCGCCTTGGCTTGGGACACTGTTTCCCGAGCCTGGCTCGTCCGACGGATTCTCAGACTACTACTTCGCACACTAGCGGATCCAGTTCGGCCGCTCTTGTAGCATTAACTATGAGCCGGGCGAAGCTTCTGTTTAGCTGGCGCAAGGGCTTTTCTCCACGGTATGCCTTTTCATGGAACTCTCTGAAGCACCCACGACTAACTCGCACACAGTGGCCGACAAAACAGCAGTTCCTCCTCCCCTCTTGACTCTTACAGTGCACTCGAAAAGGGCACCACTCGCTCACCCTCCCAGCAGAAGTGTGACCTGAACAGGCGTCAGCGGCAGTGGTTCCGCCACCCCTGGCTTCGCTTCAACAGCCATTCCTCGCTGCATAGCCGCGACGAAGGTACCCTGCTGGGTGACCTGTCTGTCCCCTCCCAGACTGTCTGCACTAATGCCTGGGCTGAGACAAGCCAACGCTCTGCTAGCAGTGAGATTGTGGCTCCGGCCTCCTTGCAGAGCAAAGGGGTTATTCAGGTCAAGCACGTTATTAGCCAGCAGAGTGAGATGGGGAGTTAGCTGACCTGTTCCGTATCGGTGGTCTCAGCCCGCGGGTTGCTTTAATATTTCATGCTTCATAGTGTACTTTTACCAGCATCTACTTGTCTCATTTCGTACTGTGTCTTTGAGTAGCGCAGCTCATAAAAGTCCACATGCGCTCAAAGCTCTCTGCGCCTGTTTCGATGAACCGCATAGTAGCAATCTCTCTAAACGGCGTGCTCTCCGTTTACCGGGCTAATGGCATCCATTATATTCCACATAGGAAAGGGGTGTATTCAGGGTATACTAGTACAATAAAATCACAAAGCGAAACAGACAAGAGCTCCAACCTTGTCCAGGAACGGTCCGAACCGGGCACGCGCAACTACGCTCGGCCCAGTCAGATTAAACCACCGACAGACACCCCACCATTTAGATCCATCCGCTCTCCCAAAAGAATGCCAGAATCTATAGAGGCCGCGTTGAGGTATGCCGATATTATGTGAGCTAGAGCTCAATAGACGGGAGCCGTCTACTGCTCTTCGGTGGGCGGAGGGCGGCTGAGAACCTCGAGGGAGCCTGTTAAGACATGGAAGTTAGAGATAAAAATTCAATTGTGGAATATATCGCAGATTGCGTCGGGGAGGTCAGGGCTGGATAGGCATACGCTGGACAATGTTCAGGGCGGAGTGCTTCTTGCCGTCGGCATCCTCGTACGTGCGCATGCTAGCGTCACCCTCAAGGTAAACAAGGGTGCTATAAATCACCAAAAGAGTCAGCTATCCATATCATAATATGAGGATTCCGCGGCTCTTTGAAATATAAGAGAGGGTTGAATCCGAAATCCAATACATACCCTTTGGGCAAGCTCATAATGAAATCCCTCTGCGCACCCTCGGGCAGGAAGCTTGCTACACGGAACCAGCTGGTCTGGCGGTTGTCCTTGGAGCCGTACGAGGTACCGACCGCATACCTGAGGACGTCCTGGCCGGACGCGGTAGCCTGCAGCTCTGGCTCGGCGGCCAGGCGGCCAGTGATGATCATGCGGGCGACGGAGCGCGAGGCGGAGGAGCTGAAGCCGCGCGATGCTTGGGCGGCGGTGCGGGCGAGGCCCAGGGAGGGGCGGAGAGAAGTGAAGGCGGACATGGTGATGTTGTGGGATGGATTGCGGGGTGTTGCAAGGTGAGACGGTTTAAGGCTTCAGGGGATTAGCGGTCGCGGTTTGATGGACGTCGACGCGGTCGCGCGCGAGGAGGTCATGTGATCGAGTCCGCATTGGGGTTTATTGTTCCGTTTTGGATGTTGTTGTATGACTGTATCGAGTAATCGATTCGTATCTACAAGTAAATTGTCGAAAAATAATTTACTATTGCTGATAGATTAGTTCTACGGCCGAGAAGCACATACATCCAACTTTTGTAAGCGAAGTACTATTTATTCGAACCTCTCAAGGGTACAAGGGTACACCGAGCCATTGTGCTTCCTTTCCTCACTAAAGTTTCAGAATTGCAGAACCTTCTACTCGGAAGAACCAGGAGAACCTGAATTCGCGACCAGTCGCGATTGAACGTGACAGGTGTCCTGCAGCAGACTCAACGCGTGTACCTGGTCTGCAATATAGAAGAGGAGCAGAAATCGACGGTTTCAACTAGGAGTTGGGTATAGAGTTATGGATGGATGTCGGCATGACTTTGATTCGCAAAGTGCGGCGCAGTGGGCTCCAGGTTTTTCTGCCAGAATGATAAGACCTTCAAGGGAGATCAGACACAGGTTTTGACTTACCGAGACGGGATTTTTTTCTCGTTGATAAGGTGTTAAGCGGCCTCTCCCCAGGGGAGAGGCACGTCCGTATACACAAACTCATGATACTCCCTGACTTGACAGAGGGCGGAGAGGATGTGGCCTTCAAAAACAGCCTGCTCGTCGAACTGATTCGCAGAAGTCACGGTCATGTATGAATTGTCTGACATGGTGAGAGGGAGGGGATAAAATGGAAGGGCCTTATTGAGGTGCGCAAATCTGGCTCATAATTGTCAAGACAACAGAGGGCCAAATCCTAGGCAAAATAACTACTAGCCTGAAAAACTCACTATGAGCAACACTCTTAGTCTATACCATCATTTTTACTCTGACACCCAGTGCATAGTCAGTCATACGAGCAGTGACGATGTAATTTACGTTATAGTTGACCACAGCTCTTTGATGGTGGCATCAGTCCGTGCCTGAGGTTCTTCGGCTGGAGAGAGTCGACCGCTTAGAGAAGATCTAGATAGTCACAGGATCAATCCCAGCCGGAGCTGAGATTGAGCACGGCTTTCCATCAGAATAGGAAGTGGCCTAGATCGAATGATACGCGCACCAAGACCGCGACGTGGCCAGGATACACTTCATCAACCACACTCATGGATTCAGTAAATCCTGAGGTGGGTGGGGGGGGGCGTGTGTCAGAGCAGTAAATGACGGTATAGACTAAGAAATTTGCCTATGGTGCATTTTTTGAACTAGTAGTTATGTTGCCTAGGATTTGGCCCTCTTTTGTCTTGACACGGGACTTGAAAGACCACTACATCAATGTTGTTATGCCCAGGACCAATACACCTCGTAGCGCGACACTGATAGCTAAAGGGCCCCCATAGCTTACAGTAACTACCTATGTAGACGCGCGATGGTGGCCTCGCAGCGGCTGCACCACGAGTGGGCGGAAGTGGCCAGGTACATAGATGCCCTTGAAGAAAGCCTAAAGAGCAACATTGCTTCTCTGCTTAACCCGTGGATAGCCGCCAGTGTGGGGGCCGGAAGAAAGTCCGGGGTAGAACCGCCAAGAGAGCTCCAACATCAGTCCACCACGCAGGAGCAGTGCGACCTAATTCCGGCTCAGCTGCTGCAAGCGAGCTCGGAACAGGTTTTGGTTCGATCATTCGGTCGCTGCTTATTAATGGACAAAGAGGCTGCAAAGCTTGCCGGCGCTACTGCGGACTCGTGTGTCCGGGCGATAAGCTGGGCCCGCGTGCCGACGAGTCCTGCCCACTATCCTGGAAATCCCCCAGTGGACCATGCTTTTCCATACGGGGATTGGAAACCCCACAGGTCCAAAGGTTGCAGGCCTCCTGCTCAGTTCGTATGAAAGAGTCACTGAGTAATAGAGGAGCCCCAAACCCAAACAGGAGCCCGACTCGTCTCAGGATGGGTCAAAGCAACACGGACCCGATCCATCGGAAGTTGCCGAATTACCGTGTGAGGACACCCCGTCCAGCCATCGCCCGCAGAGGCGCATCATGCAGCTCGGGGGGTTTGCCGCGTGGTGGCCACTTTTGTACGCCCGTTCCGACCAGCCTGCACAATGGGCGCGAGGTTCCCCGTTGAGTCAACACCAGCCAAGGTCGACCTGGCGACTACCCAGTCCGATCCGTGGCGCATCCCCCGCTACTTCGTCAGTGCCTAGAAGTATGCTAGCGAGCTGCCCACTAAGGGCTTCGGATCCCCGTCGAGGCCTAGGACAAATGGAAAACGTGGGCGATGGAAATTGATCTCGGATTTAGGGGTTACGCTAGCGGGCTCGGCTTGATGTTGATTTTTTTTTTCTTTTCTCTCCAGTCTTTTTCTTTCATCATATCTGGATGTCGTTCAGTTTCCGCAGACTCTCCCACCCACCTCGTTACCACGTCTATAGAAAAAGGCGTAGTGTCGTGGTGACCAACAGTGCTGGGGGTTGCATCTGCTGAGGGGGACTCAGACTCGCCAAAATCAGTTGAATCCATTTTATGTGGCAATCCGAGCTTCCAAATTTGCTGTAATAAATATCGGCAGCATGGATGTCAAGTCGCCAGCTGGCGATCGAGCTAGCATCAACTCGGACATCGATTCTCTTCACTCAAGCAACTATGACCACCGGCGTGAAGAATATCACATTACAAACCCACAAGGCATGACAATGAGTCATACCGGCGTCGACGTCGAAAAGGCCGAGTACGAATTCTCGGAGTTGAATAGACAATTTTCCAGCATTTCGCATCAAGCTCGCCGACTATCCAAGCAGGCATCCCAGACCTCCAAACCCACGGCCATCACCGACGATGTGGAAAAGGCTGGAAGCTCTGCCGACTCGGATGAACCATGGGACCTGGAGACAACCCTGAGGGGCAACCGAGCCGCGGAAGAAGAAGCGGGTATCAGAGACAAGCATATCGGTAATGTCGACTGGCTGTGTTCAACAGGAAAGCCAACGTTATCCAAATACTAACAAGATGGATAGGTGTCCTATGGAACAACCTCTCCGTCCGAGGTATCGGCGGGGTGAAGACCTTCATCAAGACCTTCCCCGATGCCATTATCGACTTTTTTAACCTTCCGGAAACTCTAATGCACATGCTAGGATATGGCAACAAAGGCAAGGAGTACCACATCCTGGAGGGGTTCCGGGGTATCACGAAACCTGGAGAGATGGTCTTGGTGCTGGGAAGACCAGGCTCCGGATGTACGACATTCCTCAAAGTGATTGCCAACCAGCGTTTTGGATATACCGGTGTCGACGGGGAGGTCTTATATGGACCTTTTGAATCCGACACATTTTCAAAGAGATTCCGCGGCGAGGCTGTGTACAATCTAGAAGACGATATTCACCAGCCCACCTTGACCGTTAAGCAGACCCTTGGCTTTGCACTCGACACGAAGACCCCAGGCAAGCGACCACTCGGCGTGTCCAAGCCCGAGTTTAAGGAGAAGGTCACCAACATGCTGCTGCGGATGTTCAACATTGAGCATACCGCCAGCACTGTGATTGGAAACCAGTTCATTCGCGGTGTCAGCGGCGGCGAGAGACGGCGTGTCAGTATCGCGGAGATGATGATTACCTCTGCGACCGTTTTGGCTTGGGACAACAGCACTCGCGGTCTTGATGCGTCGACTGCGCTGGATTTTGCCAAGTCTCTCCGTATCCTAACCAACCTCTACAAGACGACGACGTTCGTGTCGCTTTATCAGGCATCTGAAAATATCTACAGGCAGTTCGACAAGGTCCTTGTCATTGACAGCGGCAAACAAGTTTTCTTTGGTCCCACTGGCGAAGCGCGAAAATACTTCGAGAATCTTGGGTTTAAAGCGAAGCCTCGCCAAACTACACCAGACTATCTGACCGGATGCACCGATCCATTTGAAAGGGAATTCCAGTATAATAGAAGTGCTGAAGATGTTCCATCCACCCCACAGACGCTCAGGGAAGCCTTTGATAAGTCCAAGTACAGTAACCAGCTCGATGAGGAAATGCAGGCCTACCGCACGCAAATTGAACAGGACAAGCAGACATATGATGACTTTGAAATCGCCAACCAAGAGGCAAAACGCAAGTTTACCTCCAAGTCGTCCGTCTACTCGATTCCGTTCTATCTGCAAATCTGGGCTCTGATGCAAAGACAATTCTTGATTAAGTGGCAAGACAAGTTCGCACTCACGGTGTCCTGGTAGGTGCAAGCCCCATTGAAGGTCGGAACAACAGAATTTAACATTCCGATAACTAATCCAGGATTACCTCTACCGGAATCGCAATCATCCTCGGTACCGTTTGGCTCAGCCAACCTAAAACCAGTGCCGGTGCTTTTACTCGCGGTGGTCTTCTGTTTATCAGTTTACTGTTCAATGGCTTCCAAGCATTCTCTGAGCTCGCGGGTACTATGATGGGTCGATCGATTGTCAACAAACACCGATCTTTCACGTTTTACAGACCAAGTGCACTCTTCATCGCTCAAATTATCGTGGACACAACCTTCGCAATAGCACGAATCTTGATATTTGCCATTATCGTCTACTTCATGTGTGGTCTCGTTCTCGATGCAGGTGCATTTTTCACGTTTGTCTTAATCATTCTGACCGGCTATGTTTGCATGACCGTGGTCTTCAGAACGATCGGGTGCATCTGCCCTGACTTTGACTACGCGATGAAGTTTGCTGCCGTCATCATCACACTGTTTGTATTGACCTCCGGTTACCTTATTCAATGGTCCGGCGCACAGGTCTGGCTGAGATGGATCTACTATGTCAATCCATTTGGCCTTGGGTTTTCATCGCTGATGGTCAATGAGTTCAGCCGCCTGACCATGACATGTACCAAAGACTCATTGGTACCGAGTGGTCCTGGCTACGACGACATCGCCTATCAAGCATGCACTCTTGCAGGTGGCCAACCCGGATCGGCAATTATTCCGGGCTCCAGTTATATATCGGCTACCTTCAGCTACTTCCACGGCGACCTTTGGCGCAATTTTGGTATCATGATGGCCCTGATCGTGGCATTCCTGGCCTCGAATCTCTACCTTGGGGAGACGGTTCAATTCGGCGCCGGTGGGAAGACGATCACCTTTTTCCAAAAAGAAAACAGTGAGCGCAAGGAACTCAATAAGGCTTTGGAAACAAAGAAGGCCAATCGGCAGTTGAAGGCAGTGAATACCGAGGCCAGCCTGAAAACTAGCTCGACCTCGGTTTTTACCTGGGAGGACGTGTGCTATGAAGTCCCAGTACCCTCGGGAACACGACAGCTACTGAATTCAGTGTATGGCTACGTTGCACCCGGAAAACTCACAGCGTTGATGGGCGCCTCTGGCGCTGGTAAAACCACTCTGCTGGATGTCCTCGCCGCAAGAAAAAACATTGGCGTGGTTTCGGGCGATATTCTGGTTGACGGGCAGGCCCCTGGCACGGCCTTCCAGCGAGGCACCTCCTATGCCGAGCAGTTGGACACTCATGAGGCAATGGCGACCGTCAGAGAGGCCTTGCGCTTTTCTGCCGATCTGCGGCAATCCTTTGAGACACCACAGTCGGAGAAGTATGAATACGTCGAAGAGATCATCAGTTTGCTCGAGCTAGAAAACTTGGCCGATGCCATTATTGGAACCCCTGAAACTGGTCTTTCGGTTGAGGAAAGAAAGCGGGTTACTATTGGCGTTGAATTGGCAGCTAAGCCTGAACTTCTGCTGTTCCTGGATGAGCCTACATCCGGGCTGGATAGTCAATCTGCGTTCAACATTGTCCGATTTTTGAAGAAACTTGCAGCCGCTGGTCAAGCAATTCTTTGCACAATCCACCAGCCCAACTCTGCTCTATTTGAAAACTTCGATCGACTTTTGCTTCTCCAGAGAGGTGGCGAGTGCGTCTACTTCGGAGACATTGGCCCTGACTCTCACGTCCTGCTGGAATATTTCCGTCGCAACGGTGCAGATTGCCCCTCTGACGCAAACCCTGCTGAATGGATGCTCGATGCTATTGGCGCAGGTCAAACACGACGCATCGGTGACCGTGATTGGGGTGAGGTGTGGCGCACTTCACCAGAACTCGAGGCCCTCAAAAAAGACATTGTTCAAATCAAGGCAGACAGAGCCCAGACCGTCCTCCAAACTAGGGATCAGGGTCACATTTCTACTGAGAAGGAGTATGCTTCTCCTCTTTGGCATCAGGTCAAGGTAGTTGGTCGACGGACTCATCTGTCCTTCTGGCGGTCACGTAACTACGGCTTCACTCGACTTTTCACTCACGTTGTTATCGCGATTGTCACTGGTCTGGCCTTTCTGCAACTCGATGACTCTCGGACGTCACTTCAGTATCGAATCTTCGTCATTTTCAACGTCACCGTGCTTCCTGCGATCATTCTCCAGCAGGTGCAGCCGAAATACGACCTGTCCAGACTTATCTTCTATCGAGAGTCAGCGTCGAAGACTTACACCCAGTTCGCTTTCGCATTTTCCATGGTCCTTGCCGAGCTCCCATATAGCATCCTGTGCGCTGTCTGCTTTTTCGTGCCACTATACTACATCCCGGGTTTCCAGTCAGCCAGTAGCCGCGCTGGGTATCAGTTCCTTATGGTCCTCATCACCGAGGTCTTTGCCGTTACATTGGGCCAGATGATCTCAGCACTCACGCCAAACAGCTTCATTGCGTCGCAGCTCAATCCGCCGATCGTGATTATCTTCTCGCTCTTCTGCGGCGTGGCCATTCCCAAGCCACAGATGCCCAGATTTTGGCGTGCTTGGCTCTATCAGCTCGATCCATTCACTCGCCTGATTGGTGGCATGGTTGTCACGGAGCTCCACGGTCGCCCTGTTACATGCACGGCTATGGAGCTCAATAGCTTCCAGGCCCCAGCTAACGAAACATGCGGCGAGTACATGCAGCCATTCTTTGAGCGTGGAGGCAATGGATACCTCCTGGAGAATGCGACACAGACCTGTAAGTACTGTGCGTACAAGATTGGAGATCAGTTCTATTCGGCATTCAGTATGGACTTCGACAACCGATGGCGCGACCTGGGCATTTTCATTGCGTATGTTGGGTCCAACCTGATTATTCTATTCTTGGCGGTAAGTGCATTCTATTTTATGATGAAGCGCGATGTAGCTATACTAACTCGTTGAAACAGTCTCGGTTCTTGAACTTCAACCGAAGATAGATGCAGGAAAGAAGGGGGAGGTTCAGATCGGGTATTGGTTTCCGATTACCACATAGCACTGGCAATCGGTAGTTCAAGAGGAAAGTGGGGTGGAATCCGAAAGGAATAGAGTTGATACCTTTGTTGAATAACTAGGACTAAAAGCCCATGTCGATACTGTTTGTCTTCTATCCTCTTCCGGGCCCCTTCAGCCGTTTTGCAAAATATTGTCGGCCGAGATTCCCTTGGCGTGTCTAGTTCTTGTGTCTGGCAAGAGGCGTGGGAAACCGAGAGATCTGAGCCAGTGGGACTGACCCGCCGTGCTCCATGGTGACCCCGGATTCCCCACGAACCCCCACGCCGCTTGACCATAGATGGCAGGACAAAATACATCTGCCCGGGCACGATCGACACTCAACCACTCTTTCGAGGAGCTTACCCCCTATCACCGACCACTGACATCAGCCATGAGGCGAATTGTGCGCCCAAAGCCCGCCCAGAACCGGCCATCCTGCGGCGAGCCTGCCGGTGATCGGACTTCCACCGGCACTTAGGATTATTTCCAGCAGACCCCGAGGTGAATGTGGTCGTCATGACTGGATCTCTGGTGGCAGAAGTCTCCTAATTGTGCGCAGACTCGGGCAAGGACTGCCCGAATCAGGGCAGCCAAGACCGAATCCACCCCCAGACCTTCCAGAAATACGACGCATCCAAACTCGCGTGGGGATGATACTGGGTCTTCCCCGCAGTTCCACGGTCTGCTTCCACTTTCGTAAATCGAGGTAAGCATCCACATTCGCGGAGCAAAGAACCTCCGCTGCTTGGTACAACAAAGGGAAAGATATCTCGGCAAGCACAGCCGCTGCAGAATAGGACATCAAAACCCCCACTCGCCCTTCGTCGGAGAGCTTATAGTTCTGAACTTTGTGCACCGGCGTTTTCGCTCAGCGATCTATTTATTTCACGAGCCTGTGCTGTTTCGTCTTCCACCCGCTCTCTGTGAGCTCCCCTTCATTTCACCTTTTCTTCCTCCCTCGGGTAATCACTACCACCCTGTGTTGGCGTTCCAGGCACGCCAAACCAAAATGGCCGCCAACGTCACGCCAGCACCGTCATCTGGCCCCAAGGCCGAAATCGCGGATGTCCCTCATATCTCCCACACCGAAAGCAACCAAGCACATTCCAAATGGAAGTCCGCCAAAGCGGCCGACGGCGATACCGCCATGGCCCTCTTCGACGACCCCGACGAGCTCCACGAGGAAATCGATCCCGTCGCGGCAAGGAAATTATTGTGGAAAATTGATTTCATGATTCTTCCTTACCTGGCCGTCTGCTATGCCTTCTTCTACATTGATAAGACGACATTAAGTTATGCGGCTATCTTTGGGATCCGTGATGACCTCAACTTGCATGGGACGCAATACAGCTGGCTGAGTAGTGTCTTTTACTTCGGCTTTTTGGTGTGGGCATTTCCGACCAATTTTCTCATGCAGCGACTTCCAATTGGTATATTCATATTCACGGTTCCCTAGGGCACATATTTGAACGGCTGTCTAATTCTGAGTGTTTAGGCAAATATCTGGGTGCTAACATCTTCATGTGGTACGTAAACGAACTATGCACCAATACTGAGGATCGCTGCTAACCGGTATCGGTGAAAAGGGGGGTCTTCCTCATGATCCAAGCTGCATGCAACAGCTTCAAGACACTCGCTGTCCTCCGAGCCCTTGGCGGAGCCGCCGAAGCATGCTCAGATCCGGCTTTCATGCTCATCACCAGCATGTGGTATACGAGGCGCGAGCAACCAGTTCGTATTGGCTTGTGGTATACCGCCAATGGCCTTGGAATTGCTTTAGGTGGCCTGCTAGGATACGGTATTGGCCACGTTCGAGGTGCCTTGCCCTCGTGGAAATACGAATTTATTGTGATGTGCGACACTTGTTCTTTCCTGTCCGAATATTGATGCTGATCCAATCTCCAGTGGGGCCCTTTGCTCTGCATGGGGAATTATTATGTTCATCTTCCTCCCCGATTCGCCCGTCAACGCCCCTGGCCTGACCAAGAGGGAGCGGCGAATGGCGGTTGATCGTATCAGGGAGAATCAGACCGGCGTTGAGAACAAGCATCTCAAGCCTTACCAGATTCTGGAAGCATTCATGGATTATAAACTATACATGTTCTTCATTTTGGGTCTTGTCTGTATGTCATGACCTGCACAGACCATCCGTTCCTGTATTGTCCGCTAAATGGAGGAACAGGCAACGTACCGAACGGTGGTATCTCCAACTTTGGTACCATCATTATCCAGGGGTTTGGATTCTCTACGCTGGTGACAACTCTAATGCAGGTACGGATGATGTTACACCCGACTCGCCCGATTTTCTTTCGTCTTCAAAACTGATATGTTGACTTTTTATAGATTCCATACGGCGTCCTCATTGCCCTCTCAATTCTGGCCTGTGTGTACCTCAATGACCGCTTCGAGAATCGACGATGCGTGTTTGTTTTGATTTTCTTAATTCCGAATCTCGTGGGTGCTTTTGGCCTTCGATTTGTACCCGTCGATCAACGTGTCGGTCGGTTGATTTGTTACTACTTAACTGGCCCCTACAATGCTGCCTTTGTCCTTATTCTCAGTATGCAGATTGCAAATACGGCCGGTATGCTTTCCACCTCAACCTCATGGAATTGACCGAACTATGCTGATATCTGATTTAGGGCATACCAAAAAGGTAGTCACCAATGCAGTTCTCTTCCTTGGTTACTGTACGGGCAATATTGCAGGGCCATTCTTCTATAAAAGCGATCAATCGTAAGATATGGAATCCGGACGAAATCGTTTCGACCAAAGATTACTAACAACGCCCCTAGGCCGACATATCACCTTGGAATTTGGAGCATGATCGTGTCACACCTAATCGAAGCCGTTTTGATCACTACTCTAGGTCTTCTCCTGCGATGGGAAAATAAGAAGCGTGATCTCATTCAGTCTCAGATGGAAGGCGGTCTTGAGGGTCGAGATCTGGACTCGACTGCGTTCTTAGATTTGACTGACCGTGAGAACCTGAAGTATGTGCACCTTTGTTTCTTGTTCATGATCTGATGAGCTAATATTGTCCACTCAAGCTTCCGGTACATCTATTGAGTTCTACTCTACGTTGCTGGGGAAAACTATGTCTGTTAGTTTGGGGAGGGGGGTTTCATGAGGTACTTTTACGATATGTATAGCAAACATGAAATGAAGTCTGTTCATGAACGCCTGTAACAAAGCCTTCGTCGCAAGGTAGAGCTTGATGAATTCTCCTGCTCAACATGATGCTGCCCTACAATAGTCAAGAAAACCAGTTCAATTTCCTTTACAAATCAGAGATCTTCCGGCAGGATGTGCTGCAGAAAGCATCTGACATGGGATGCCTAGGCAGGGTACCTAAGTGGCCACGGTCTCTACAAGACGGAATAGTCCGCTGGGCACAGAATCAAGAAAGATGATTACGGTTTCTGGTACAGGATGGATCGAGATCAGTTTCACTACGTTGCTCTCACAGCATCTTCCTCGAACCCTAGTCCGAAACGAAGTAATATATTTATAGCTTAGCTCGTTTTCAGGTATTGAATCGTACAAGCCCCGCGTGTAGGTCTGACGTGGCAAAATTCCACAAGGTTGAATGAATACGCTCAGCTCATAACCTGGGGCAGTTTTTGATGAAATTCTCCCCCTCCTTTCACTTGGAGTTACTAGTTTCCCTCTGTGCAAGCGATCTTTTCCGTGCCTCTGAGACACTGTTCTTTAATTTGGATCGAACTAGAGCCCTGCGATCAACCGAAACCGACTGCGGCTGATTAATGTCCATCTTGGCTTTCGGTAACCCAAAAGCCTAGTCCAGACCTCTCGCAATGGCTGCGCAGATGGATACCGAGCCCAGAGCTCACAAGGAATACACTGTGGGATGGGTATGTGCTCTGCCAAAAGAGCAGACCGCGGCGACGGCCATGCTGGATCGAAGACATGTTGGCCTCTCGAAGCCACCGAATGACCCCAATACTTACACCCTTGGATGTGTTGGCAACCACAATGTTGTGATAGCTTGCCTCCCCAAAGGCCAGATTGGCAACAACTCGGCAGCGAACGTTGCTGCATGGATGATATCGACCTTTCCGTCGATCAGATTCGGCCTGATGGTGGGTATCGGCGGCGGCGTTCCACCCAAAGTGAGACTCGGCGATGTGGTGGTCAGCACGCCCATGGGCCAGTTTCCTGGTCTGGTCCAGTGGGACTTTGGCAAGGCAAAAGAAGGCGGTAGCTTCGAACGGACCGGGTCACTGAACAATCCTCCCACGTCCCTTCTCACAGCTCTAACAGCATTGGAGACGGAGCACGACTTGGTTGGCTCTAAGATACCGGAGTACCTAGAGGGATTGAGGAAGAAGTGGCCTAGACTTGTCCCGAAGTACCTACCGTTTGATTTACAGGATATATTATTCAAAGCAGATTATGAACACGCAAGCAGGCGCGCTCTGGATCCTGATGATACCTCCGATGTTGACAATATAGATGATGACGACGAGGAGAGCTGCCGATTCTGCGATAAAACACAGATTGTGAGGAGGAAGACTAGAGACATGGCTGTGCACTTCGGTCTGATTGCATCAGGGAACCAGGTTATTAAGGACGCTGCTTTCTGAAACAAACTTAATAAAGACCTCGGTGGTCATGTCCTATGCATCGAAATGGAAGCGGCGGGACTGATAAATAACTTTCCGTGCATCGTCATCCGAGGAATCTGTGACTATGCGGACTCACACAAGAACAAGGATTGGCAGGAATACGCTGCAGCTATCGCTGCAGCATTTGCGAAGGAATTTCTAGAATTCTTGCAACCAACTGATGTTGAGGGAGAACGGCCAGTAAAAGAAATACTTGGGCGAGGTTAGTCAGCCTTAAGACCTTTAGTGAAGCCTTGATAGACTGCTAACTAATGAACAATATTTAGTTCTTGACACCGTATCCCAAACTAGGGCAAACGTTAAAAAGATGAGTAGCTACTTGGAGAAGGAGGAAGACCTCAAGATGCTGAACTCGATTACACCGATAAACTACAGCCCTCAACAAAGCGATTTCCTGGGACGGCGACAACACGGAACTGGCCAGTGGCTTCTAGACTCCACACAGTTTAACAAATGGAAGGCGACTAAGAACCAGACAATGTTCTGTCCCGGTATGCCCGGAGCTGGAAAAACCATCATCAGCTCGATTGTGGTCGACCATCTCGACCAGGAGTTTCAGGCAAACTCAACAGTTGGACTCGCTTATATCTACTACAACTTCAAGCGGCAGGATGATCAGATGATCAATAACTTACTGGCAAGTTTACTAAAACAGCTAGCTAAGCGGTGTGTGGCTCTACCAGATAGTATCAAAGAGCTCTACTGGTACCATAAAGCCAAACAGACACGACCATCAGCCGACGAAATTTCCAAATGTCTCCACATCGTGGCGGCTACATTCTCAAAACTCTTCATCATCGTTGATGCACTTGACGAATGCCAGGCATCTAGCCGGCTGCCTTTCATATCTGAGCTTTTCAACCTTCAGACACGGCACAGTGCGAATATCTTTGCGACATCGCGATTCATTCCAGAAATTATAGATCAATTCAAAGACAGCATATCATTAGAGATCCGTGCCACCGACGAAGACGTGCGGATATACCTAGAAAGTCATATGGGACAGCTCCGACCTTATGTTCTGGAAAATTGCCAACTGCAGGAGGAGATCAAAACTTCTATCTCAGATGCAGTCGATGGAATGTTTCTGCTGGCGCAAATTTATCTTAGTTTCCTCGATGACAAATTGACCATAAATGATATTCGGGGGTCATTGAAAAGCTTCCGCAAGCAAGATCGAGGATCGAGTGAAGACCACAAGACCGAGATGTTAAGCCATGCCTATGATCAAGTCATGGAGAGAATCGATCAACAACGGCCGGGTTTGAAACAACTGGCATTGAAGGTTTTGTCATGGATCACCTGTGCGAAGCGGCCGCTCAGCATAACAGAACTTCAGTATGCCCTGGCAATAAAGGAGGGAAAGTTTCAGCTTGACGAAGGAAACCTGCCACATATCAGAGATATGGTATCGGTCTGTTTGGGATTGATCACTATCGATGATGAAAGTAGCATCATACGTTTGGTGCACTACACCACACAGGAGTACTTTGCACGGACTCGGGAAGACTGGGTTTCCAATGCCCACACCGAAATTGCAAAGTCTTGCGTCACCTGCTTGTCATTTGACGTTTTCGAAGCCGGGTATTGCTCAACGATTTACGATTTGGATGAGAGATTATCCTCCACTGTTCTTTATGGGTATGCCGTGGAAAATTGGGGATACCATGCCAGATGCTCTCTAATTGAGGACGACAAATTGATATTGGATCTTCTTCAGAACACCTCCAAAGTATCTGCCTGTAGCCAAGCTATGGTATATATCCGAGATTGGGATTATTTCGAACCTGAAAGGTTCGAAACGAAGATGACAGGTTTACACCTTGCAGCATACTTTGGACTTAGGACATCCACATCAAATATGCTGGAGCAAAATGCAGATGCTGAGGCTTCGGATGTGAATAGTCAAACTCCACTCTCATGGGCGGCCGATCACGGGCATTATACAGTGGTGAAGCTACTACTTGAGAGGAATGCCGTCGTCGAGACTTCGGATATAAACGGTCAGACTCCACTCTCATTGGCAGCCGAGAATGGGCACGATATAGTGGTGAAGCTACTACTTGAGAGGAATGCGATCGTCGACTCTCAAGATGAATTTGGCCGAACTCCTCTCTCGCGGGCGGCCAAGAATGGGCACGATACAGTGGTGAAGCTACTACTTGAGAGGAATGCCGTTGTCGATTCTCAAGATGAAGATAGCCGAACTCCTCTCTCGCGGGCGGCCAAGAATGGGCACGATATGGTGGTAAAGCTTTTACTTGAGAGGAATGCTGTTGATTTTCAAGATAAAGACGGCCGAACACCTCTCTCGCGGGCGGCCGAGAATGGGCACGATATTGTAGTAAAGCTACTACTTGAGAGGAATATCGTTGTCGATTCGCAAGATAAAGACGGCCGAACTCCGCTCTCATGGGCGGCCGAGCATGGGCATGATATAGTGGTAAAGCTACTACTTGAGAGGAATGCTATCGTCGATTCTCAAGATGAATTTGGCCGAACTCCTCTCTCGCGGGCGGCTAAGAATGGGCACGATATAGTAGTGAAGCTACTACTTGAGAGGAATGCTATCGTCGATTCTCGAGATGAATTTGGCCGAACTCCGCTATCACGGGCGGTTAAGAATGGGCGCGATATAGTGGTGAAGCTACTACTTGAGAGGAATGCCGTTGTCGATTCTCAAGATGAAGAGGGCCAAACTCCGCTTTCACAGGCGGCCGAGAATGGGTACGATATAGTAGTGAAGCTATTGCTTAAGAGAAATGCCGTCGTCAATTCTCAAGATAAACTCGGCCGGACTCCGCTCTCGCGGGCGACTAAGAATGGGCATAATATAGTCGTCGTGCTACTGCTTGCTCAGAATACCGACATCGAGTCTCGTGATACTAAAAACGGACAGGCTCCGCTTTTATGGGCGGCTGAGAATGGACACGGTGCAGTGGTAAAGCTATTGCTTGAGAAGAAAACCGAGATCGAATCTTCGGATAGTGAATAAACCCAGACTCTGCTCTGAGATAGATATCTATAGCAGCAACAAGATCACTGCAGGTATTTCGATGCCCACTGAGAACCCCCCGTGTTGGACTAATAAATCACCTACTTGGATATGATAGTACATATGTTGAGATCTTTTATACGGCAGCTCAAAGGAAGAGGAGATTGCACTTGGCAAAGCTTAATGCCTGAGGATTCCACTTTTATGCCTCCAGTATCTATAATTGTTTATGTCATAAGAAGCCTGTTTAGGTTCATCTCAAACTTACACCTAGTGGACTTATGAACCGGCATTTTCACCACAATCCCAACACTGATGTTACGGAAGGTATGTTTCCTACAATAGCTGCTGAAACCTTTCAATTCAAGCGTTTTCGGACCTCTGATCCAGTGGAAATCACTCAAATTGCCCATATTCCTCACTATTTTATTCTGGTCAGTTGAGTGCGAGTCTGCAAGAGCGACAGAGAATAAGGCGTCTATAATCGTAAGCGCAAGCCCAGATGTAAAGACTTTCTGCGATTTTACCAAATCCTGCATTACCATTATTGATAAATCTATAATAGTATCTACAGCTAGATAGGTGGATGGATGGATAACATCATTTACCCCTGTAGCCTCCTATTTGAGGTCCGCAGCTTTGAGATGGCCCCCAAGGTCTCAGGAACTATGTCTGAAAGAGGGCTCGAGAAAGAGTTTCTGTGAGGAAATGGTGAAACTGATTCCGATCCATCCTGTAGCTTTTGGCACAGTCGTTATGGACTATAGAAACATATTTATCGTAGTTCTTTGGGCTAGGGAAGAGACGAAAAAGTGCCCGACGGAGCACTGCGAGGAAACCCGCCCGCTATGTATTTAGAATAATGTACAAAAATATGCAATAAATTAGAGTAGAGCTGGGGTTTCTCCCTAGCTAATGTGGCGGTTGTTGTCGACAAAATCAACTAGGATCAGAGTTGGAAACGCGCAGCCTGAAGATGGGCGTTAATGGGGCTGCATGAAAGTATGATGGGCACCGCTCTAATTTTATCCATTCTGAGTTCACTTTGTGAAAGGTCTTTGGTCTGCATTTGAAATGCGGATGAATCTCGTCACGCAACTCCATTTGACCGGCTTTGCTGTTTATGGTTTATATACACATGGACATGGTTATCGTTGTTGTTTAAGAATAAATCTAATAGCTATTTATAACTGTTAGAGATCTAGACGAAGAATATTAATAGTCTCTACCTAGTTGCTAGCTACTCTATATTTCTAACTATATAATTAATAAAAAGTTTATTCTTTTTTGATTTTTTTACTATAATAAAACCCTAAACCCACGTGGACAAGGCCGCGAAATGAACAAGACAGGTTGCTAAGCTGCCGCTCAGCTTGTTGAAGCCATCACATTTCTCGGTTTTGTTTCAACAGCTGTTCACCCAGAATATAGATGAAGGTGATTTAACAAGGAAGAAGAGTAGAGTAATGGATGATCCAATGTTGATGGCCACGTAGTAAGCATTTAAAGATGAGAATAAAGGAGGGCTTTTCAACAGTGCGCCCTCACCTCTGAATTAGATGTTGTCATAGTTCGCTAGTCGAGTCCGAACTCCGTGTGGTCACGCTTCCAAGTTCCGTCTACTGCCGCTCTAACCCCGCTTAATCATTTCTTTGTTCAGAAGGTTTCTATGTGGGGCATTTTCCCATTGAAGCTTTCTGAGAGAGGATCGCGAAGCATGTTATCCACAAGGGGTTCGACCTGGGGGAAGATCGACTTTGCCCATGGCAAACAAGATGTTTACAACCCTTCCACACGTCGGAAACTATCTCAGGATCTAGGCTAACTAACTATCTGAGCACACTCAGGGGTGCTTATGCCTGAGGCATTTTCTATTTTCTAGCAAACAAATGTCCAATCGCCCACGTCTCATCACCCCGCACTAAACGCGGACATGTCCCTTTACCTTCCCCATCAAGAAAGATCAAAGCCTAGTCTTTCAGATCGGAAGCTGTTGCCGGCCCTCCCGGTTAAAACCCTGATTTATTGAGATCCGTGGTACGGATGGCTTCTCCTGAGAAAGTCCTGGTTGAAGCACCCACTCCAAGCGGAGTGCCGGACCGGAGCGACCAAAGCAACAATCTTATCGAGAGGCACTCTGTCTTCACAGTTAGAGAGAAATGGTGTATTGTTGCCATGGTGTCTTATGCGGCATGGTTCTCGACCTTGAGTAGCTTTATCTACTACCCGGCTATTCCCACATTGTCCAAGTCGCTTGATGTCTCAGTAAGCAAAATTAATCTCACTGTGACAACATACATGGCCATCGCCAGTATTGCTCCGGCCCTGGTGGGCGATACGGCCGACATTCTAGGGAGAAGGCCTGTGTACATACTTGTACTGAGTGTATACTTTATCGCCAACCTTGCTATTGCTTTGACGACATCCTATTCGGCTCTACTTGGACTTCGAGTGCTCCAGGCACTGGCAATTTCAGGTGAGATAACCAGCCCCACTCCAAATTTAGTGTTAATGCTCCTAGGTACATTTTCAATTGCATACGGTGTTGTCACAGACGTTACATCGCCTGCTGAAAGGGGGTCATTTGCTGCCTTGGTCTCCTTCGCGTATGTTCCATTTCTTTTGTTTATTCAGAGATCGGACCGGTCGCTGATAGTTCTCAGCATCACAATCGCCCCCAGTCTGGGTCCCATACTGGGGGGTGCTCTGACCTTTGCTGCTGGGTGGCCTTGGATCTTTTGGTTTTTATGCATTGTGTCTGGGATTTGCATAGCAACAATGGTGTTATTCCTGCCAGAAACTTCACGTCATATTGTAGGAAATGGATCTATCGCGCCGCCAAGATATCTTCAATTGCCAATTCCGAATATTATGCGCCATTGCAGAAACAGTGACGTCGGCTCTACAGGTGTCAGGTGGAGAATGCCAAATCCATTCAAATCGATAATAATTCTCTGCCGCAGAGACAACGCAGTCATTATTGTCGCTTGTGGCCTTCTGTACGTTATTTACACCTGCATTAATGCTTCGTTATCTACCCTGTTTGTAAGCATATACAACCTCAATCAGTGGGAGGCTGGCCTCATATATATCCCTTTTGGACTTGGGGGAGTCATGTCAGCTTTTATTTCTGGACGAAAACTGGATCAAGCTTGGCTGAATGCCAGGATCAAGCGAGGCCTTCCTATAGACAAAGCTATAGGAGACGATCTGGACAATTTCCCAGTCGAAAAGGCTCGCTTGTGCGTGATATGGGTTCCGATGCTGATGACTACCGGGTTGGTGGTAGCATTCGGTTGGGTCTTACACTATCATCAGGTATGTCGTCATAACCTCTTTATGGATTGTTATATGGAGCATTGATAACATTAAAGCATATTGCCATCCCGCTTGTTATTCAATTTTTTGCAGGGCTTTGCATGCAGCTTGACTTCAGTGTGAGTGCCCTCTATCTCGAAGAATTTACAACTAGTTAGATGGAATTAGATGACTAAGTTTAACCAACAAGGTCTACAATACCCTACTGGCAGATAAAAATCATCGGGCGCCGGCAGCTGCTCAAGCGTCTAGTAATATACTGCGCTGTACGCTGGCAGCAATTACGGTATCCTTCCTTCAAAACATAATAGATGCACTCGGAATTGGCTGGACATTTACTTTGATGGGTGGGCTGTGTCTACTGGCAACAGGACTCTTTGCCATTGACTATTGCAAGGGGACTTCGTGGAGACAGTCGTATGTTGCGCATTAACGTACAAGCTACACCTCAGTGAGAGACAGGAAAAATGGACGTCTGGAAGAGTGACTCTATGCACTTATAGCTACTTGTCTATGTAGTTACTCTGTGTAAGAGACAATACAGGCCGTACCAACAGGAATACTCCGGGAAAAGTGCTAGTATAGACTAGTGTGCCTAGGCAATTTGCTTCTCCAAAATCCCAATAACATGCTTCCCCACGCAAAATGACACTAGGCCAATCCTACGGATTTGACAACTGCAACTTCCCCATTCCTCGGGCAAAGAAATGACCTCTCTTTAGTCCAAACACGGCATAAAGCCAAATAATCCCGGCTTATCCAGTCCCCTGGCAACGAAAAAATCTCTTCAACGCCATGCTGTGAACGGACGGACGTATCATCAAAATTGCCATTCTCACTAAGAGAGGTTCCAACCGAAGAAGTTGAAGCGAGAGTCTGGCGGCAATGAGAAGGAAGAGGCGAAAGCCCCTCTTGGCTAGACGGAATTTTGCATGAAGTAATGGAAAAGCTCTTGGACAAGAAAATGAGGCGATCCTGACCAAGAAGACAAAGAGATAAAGAAATCAGAGAGGCCAAGGGCTTTGGAAAAAAGGTTGGAATAATATTGCTCGCATCCCTGAGCTGGGAATTTTCCTGAGAAGACAACGGCCCCGAGAGGCATGCTGTAGGGAAGCATAGGATTAATTTCTCTTTGAGGCCTTTTCCAACCGATATTTGAGACAAGATGCGGTTTTTGTCTTGAGTGAAAAGAACGCGATCAGTAACCATCATATCTTGGCCAGAATCAAGTTCAGATGAAATAGGCATATTATCCGGGAATTGCAACCGGAATATGTTGATTTCAGTCAACGTCCAGTCGCACTTTGTGATTGAGCGGGGCCCGAATCCAAGAATGATGGATTGATCGTGCGGATGGAAAACCCATTTGCATACATCGAAACTCAAGTCCAGAGAGTGCTTCACAGATCCTGAAGGAATCGCTAGAAGGAATACAGTGGTCGATGTCGAAAGGAGAACATGGCTGGAATCTGGATGGAATAGAAGTTGCGTGATGGGGCCTGTTGTGCTGCTCTTCATCGATACTTTTGTCATTGTTTCAACGGTCAACCGGTTGGACTCAGTATCCGTAGTGGACATTGAAGCAATGAAGATATTCTTGCTTGAATCTGAAAAACAGATGAATTGGCCATTGTGACTCCAGATCATCTGTTCGATACTGAGGAAGCCTTTGGAATCATGGATATCCGAAACCTTGCCGTGCTGGATATCGAACAATTTCACGACTCCGTGCTCTGTTCCACAGCAACAAAATCGACCAAGAGGGGACGCGGCCAACACGGTGATGGGATCGACCCGTTTCGAAGAGACAGTACAGAGAGTATTGCTTTGCCCAAGGCTATCCGTTTCGTTGTCGCTATCAGGTCCCTTCTCCAAACGCTCTGCATATCGCATCAAAGCATTCGGTTCCCAAGCATTGCCGTAAGGCCCACGAAAGTCGTAGAATCGGTGAAGACTGGAACTGAATTCTAGACCAAGGATGGGATCTTGAGAAGCTAGCTGATAGAGAAGACGAAAATCCGAGGTGGCATACACCTTGATGGTTCCTTGTACGTCGCCTGTAGCGAAAAGGCTTCCGTCTTTGCTAATGGCCAACTTGGAAGCGCCAGTTCCAACTTCCTCAGGATTTCCTTCGTAGGGATTCCATTTGAAAGCCACGCCTTCGATGTAAAGCCCCAAAATCTCAGGAGAGTGCGGATGCCACACTGCTTCAATAACCTCGCCTCTGGCCACTTCTTCGCGTGCTCGCCAGCAGTGGTTGATATGGACAGGTCCATCCACCTCCCATGCCGACAGAGGATGTCCCCGATAGGCCACCGCAATCAAACTTTCCTCCTCATTCAGTGCCATGTAGCTCGATGAGTTCAGGAAGTGTCCTTCAATTTCGGGCTCTTCAAGCTCTGCCACAAGCCGCCAAGTGGGGGGTGGGTCGTTTATGTTAAATGATCTGACCTGGCGGTCATCTGTTGCTACCAGGAGTGACTGATCATTGTTTGTGAAGAGAATAGCAAGTGGCTGAGGTCGGGACTTGGGATTTTGGACCGAAGCCTTGCACCTTCCGGTTGAAGATTCCCAGACATTGGTTGTTTTGAAGCCGTATGTCACAACCATTGTCCCCGTGCGATTAAATGCCATCCGATACACCCTCTCTCCATGCCTGATTGGACTATTTGTTGTCTCTTCAAATTCTGATGAATCATAGACTAAAACATTTCCAGAAGATAGCAAGACACCGATATAAGTGCCGGCAGCAGAGATTGAGGCCGCAAATGTGCCGAATGAAAGCCGCGCAACCGAGTCATCCCAGTCCAGCATTGAAATTCCCTGAACTGCAAGGCTCTTGCCTTCCGATTTCCCAAATTGTTGATAGATAGCAGAATTCTGGGGACAGAAAGGAGGGATGGCTTTGTAAATTGCTTCGGGGTTTCGTCGCAGAATGGTGCCGAATCTCCCAACAATCTTCATGAAATCAGTGGCCCACGTCTCTAATAACTGCTGCTCCATAATATAATCAATACCACTTGGGGCTGAGTCAAGTGCATTATTCCTTGAGAGGGAACAATTGGAGAGGTGTTTTGAGGCGCGAATAAGGATCCGCAGCTGCTTGGTCATGACAAGAGCATGCATCCAGGTGAGGACCCAATGGCTTGTCAAAAATCTCTTCAGAACTTTGAATGTGGACTCCCTCATGGGGGATATTGGTGTAAGATGAGAGGGCCACCACATAGCGCTGTAGTCGAGGAACTCGGGCTTATCATTCCGGCTGACCTTGGCCCGAAGCCCCGTGGCCATAAGGCAACGCATGCAACCCAGGAACAGTTTTTCGTGAGCTACCGCCTGATTTATTGAGAATGGACGATCCTGCTCGCTGAGCAGATACTCGCGCGCAGAGTGGTGAATCATGGTCACATTGCCGCTGTTGTCAACAACAACAAATCCGCCACACAAATCCGTAACTGATTGCTGAAAGTCGAGCATGCCTAAACGGTCATCACCCAGTGCCTGGGACAGCTCTGCAACTGTCAACGTACGGAATGAACATGCGACACATTGGAGGATTGTCGATGCCAAGGCACGTGCTGAAGGGGAGGGATTCTCTGCAATGGATAAGGCCATTCTGTCGTACAATGCCTCCATGCCAGATGGTAGCTCTTGTAAAACGCGCTCAACTTCTCCAAGCGTATGACACGCATTCAACTTCTCCACCACCAGTCGTACCCACTTTCCTGTTAGCATCAGTTGTGAGAGTACAAAGAGTGAACGGCACTTACGAGAAAGTTATTCTGTGACCCTTCGACTATGCGCTGCACAATATTGTCCTTGAAATCAGTGCTTCCAGACATACTGAGCTCTTGTTGCATATGAGCATATAGATCTTCCATGTGCCCCTCGACACTGATATTGCCTTGTCGCACGGATCGTGGGACCTTTCTGAGCCCCAGAGCAATTTCCGAGGTTGCGCGACTGAAAAGAAGAATTCGGATCGGCACATTTGACAGTCCAATTTCTGAGAAAAGTTTGATGGTGGCTCGAGCATCACTAGCCTCATCCAGACCATCTATGATCCAATAGAGAGGGATATTTTGCTCCATCTTGAAAAGTATGGATTTGAAAATCCGTTCCCAAATGTTTTTTGGGTCTGCTGTCTCAAGATCGACTCCTTCATCGGCAAGCTCGCCCAGTTTGAATCGAAAATTAGGCATGTGCTGAGCGATTTGATACGCAATCGAGCGAAGCAAAAGACTCAGGCTTCGTTTCTTGCGATCCGAGAACCGTATGAAGAAATACTGGCAGTTGATGTCCTGCTCAGCCAGTTGGTTTATGACAAAGGAAGATAAAACAGACTTCCCAGTTGCTGCGCCTCCATTCACCCAAAGTAGATATGGCGCTGGCTTTTGGGAATCGAACCATTCAGAATAGGCTTCTTCTTGGACAAACCAGGAATTGGTTCCCTCTGTCCATTGATCCTGAAAAAATATGTAGTCCACGTCCGGGAATTCCGGGATGGCCAAGACAGTTTTCAAGTCGGTAGACCCTTTCTGATTGGAGACCAGATCGTGATTTGCACGGTTTGTTGAAATTATTCTGCTCACTATTGATTTGAGAACATTTCTCACAGTTATGTAGTTGGGATCCTTTGGACTATCGTACTTGCAAACCCCATGGTGGTCCGCGTTCAAAGCTTTAGAGGTTTCTCCTGGGTACCCAAGCACGGATGAGTCTTTTTCCAGTATCATCTTTGTCTTTCAGCATGGCTTCATCATTCCAGTTGGGGAATCTATCAAACTTACCACTCGTGCGCCTTTGATTCCGATCGAAGTGGGCTGCGTCTCGTAAAAAGAGACAATATCAAGCCTTGGTGCAACGTGCCGGAATTGCTCGTTGAGTTTTTGTAATGTGAGTGAGTCTTTTGAGAGCTCCGATATGTAAAGCTTTGATGTGCTGATATGGGTCGATTGCAACAACTGATTCAGGATATCTGCTAGGTTGGTTCCCCTGTGCGGGGTGGCCAGAAAGAGAATCGCAGAGATGGCCTTGACAATATTCTCATATTCCGGATCATTTTGGCCCTGCATATATGCCTGCTATCAGTCAGTGGGGCCATTGTGAGTCTGGGTTTATTGCAACTCACCTCCTTGATGATAAGCCCACCCATGCTATGGACGACAAAAAGCAGCGGAACCTTCATGTGCTGTTAGTTACGAACTGCTCTTAGGTGATGCGATTTCACACTCACAGCGCCAATGTTGAGATCTTTCTTTTCCTCATCCTTGGCATACTTGAGATCAAAAAGCAGCTCTTTGGCAAAGTCTAGGACAACAGTGCTGGCATTTCCTGTTTTCCGAAAGTTTGCGTTATACCCGAAGCTAAGAATCCTGGCCAGACAGAGGTCAGGTTCTAAGGGAAGAAACGTCAAAGGCCAGAACAGCTCTGCATTTCTAGACTTTGACCAAGTCCATCGACTGCTTCCACCAAGGCCGTGAACGAAAACTATATCAGCCTTGTGTCCATTTTCGGGTGTGTAAACCACATTCAGACCCAAGGGGCCCGAATCAGGTTCACCCTTCTTTTGAACAGGTAGACTGTCCTCAGCCACGATCGAGCCCTTGTCGTCTATCTGATCGCGGAGTGAGGGATGGGCTGACGTCAAGTTATGATTGCGATCTGGCTGCGTGACTTCATCATTGCTCTTCTTCCGCAGACTAAAACGTTTCGAGAACTATAGAATGTCAGGGGCGGTTGAACATGGTGACTGGCCACTCACCATGACTTCGAGGTATGTAAAACGAGCCTAGAATCTTGATTTGGAGGTGGGAGAGACTCGTAAAAGTGAGGCTCCTGAGAGAGCAATGACAGCATTGGCTCTTCGTAGCCGATTGTTGTGCTGGGTCAAATAAATTTTGTGCAGGGGCTTTGGTTTTGGTATATTATCGCCGAGAATGTATCATTGCTTGAAATCCCCTTTTTTTTGACGGGTCCGCTTGAGAAGTAGTAGGATTTCATAAAAAGGCCATGTTCTTGAGTCCCAACAGCAAATTATTTCAGGCTCGCAACGATGAGACACGTAACCAATTAGCCCATGCAAAGTCCGACCACCGGGGAGCGGCAGAGATGGGCTAGTTGACAACCGCCAGGATTCTAATTGCATATATTTGCATATCTATTTAACAGGCATGTGTACAAACCATGGCGATAGATTTTGCCTCCATGCTGACATCCATAGTTTCTTATCTCGATTGAATTTTCGCGACTTGCATGAAGCTTGTAAAAATCACGTTTGAAGTACGCATCGAGCGGCCCATGCGCCCGCAGAAACGAGGCTCTCCAAGTCATACCGCCGACTTGAAAATCCGATGTCAAGCATTTAGATGTCAAGCAACTACGCTCCACGTACCGAAATAGTGAACCGGCAACGGCAAATACCTGTCACAGTCTCACCCACACCGCTTCCAGCAATCGTGTGTCTTGTGCACTCCGCTCCTAGATGACGGGTGGAGCTGGCCGGGGCATGTCCAGTAACAAGAGGCGTAGAAACGCCCACAGCTGCGCTTCCACGCTTAAGAGCCAATTATTGCCCTTACATAGTGGAACAGTGGGTAGCTGCATCAGCCTCGAACATAATTCACTTGGCAACGTTCAGTTCTTTGTAAAATGGAGGAAAGGGTGCCTAATCCTCCTCAATCTTCTCGTAAGCGCTCGAGTGGAAAATCCATTCCCCTATTCCCTGTCCTTAAAACGATGGCAGATACATCAGGAGAATGGGTGTCGGGAGTTGAAGGGAACTTTAAGCTTCACACGGCCGTTGTTCAAGGTAAGAACCGGAAACTCCATCATTGATTGCCCACGAATAATACTCGTTTGTGCAGCTATGCCCAGTGATACGAGAGCAGTCTCTGCGGATTCTTGGGGTGCCTCTGCCTGGACAAAGACGGCCAAAGTCTCGGTTACGTTATCGGATGGAACTCCAAAAAACTATTTTCTCAAGGTCGGATTGCGCTCTCTCAAAAGCGAGCTGCAGAGACTGATCAACTTTTGGGATTGTTTAGTGTGCTACGGGACGAGAAGCACGCCCGTTGACAGAAGGCGAATATCATTCAGCAACCGCCATACATTCAGTAGTCCCCGGATTTGTTCCAAAGCCATGTGGATGGGGCCAGTACCAGGATGATAAGTCACAGGTATATTTCTTTCTTGGAGATTACCATAACATGGATGTCCGAATGGCGCCAGAGCCAGAAGGCTTTGCGGCTAAAGTTGCCGAGCTTCATACCAAGGGCAAGTCTCCTACGGGTATGTTTGGCTTCTTTGTTCCCACCGTGTGTGGAATTTTTGAGCGAACCGTCAAGTGGGAAACGAGCTGGGCCAAGTGCTTTGCCAATCAGCTTCAGGATGTCATCAAGTATGATAATGAGACGAACGGGATATGGCCCGAGTTTGACGCCGCCTGTAAGCGAGTCATCAATGCTGTTATTCCGCGGCTCCTGGGAGCTCTACAATCTGACGGTCGGTCTATCGAGCCTGTCTTGATCCACGGCGACTTGTGGGAGCAGAATGTTGGGCTCGATATGGAGACCATCGCCTTCGATCCCGGATGCACCTATGCCCACAATGAAATGGAATTTGGAACGTGGAGGTGCTCCTGGGCGCACCAGTTCAAAGCCCCAATCTACATGCGATTCTATCATCGACATATTCAACCGTCAGACCCAGTGACCGAATGGGATGATCGGAATAGACTTTACAGTCTCCATCCGTACCTCAATGATTCTGCTGGACATCCGGGAAGTATGTCAAGATCGATGTGAGTATTCAGATTTCGAGCTCGTCAAAACTTAAGCAACAACTTTTGTTGACCCAATTTAATTCAGAGCATACAATGATATGCTGTACTTATGTGAGAAGTATGCACCTCTGGAAAGCCTTGAAAGATACAATCCCGAAAAGGACATTAGCGTTACAGGGGCATACATCCAACACGAAACACATCTCATGCTTACTGAAAGTCTTAGCCAGAAAGTGACAGTTGCTTGAATCACGTTTCTGCGAGTTGCCAAGGAATGGTAGAGAGCATATACGTACGTACTACATTCAATGCAGGTCTGGATATTTCCACCAAAAGTAGATGAGTGGGGAAGCAACTCGTCAAAACACTGTGCACAATCGAGGCGCTACTGTAAGCTACCAGTCTAAATTTAATTTGAAGAGTCCTGTTGAGGATATTACCGAAATATACTAACCGGGCGCCTACCAGAACATAGCAGATAGTAAATACAAAGGAAAATGGCGTTTTGCTAAACAAATGTAGCCGTAAATCAGCCCGATACTATACCATACGCCTACTATAACCAAATCCCAATATCTTTTTCCCTAAGTTCGTCCTTATCGCACCCCTTGTATAGCTATCTTCCATCTCTGGTCGTGTATGTTTAACTATTTGCTTCTTTCCATTAGTGTTTCCTCGCCACGCAAGCTAGTTTATTTGGCTACTTCCATAGCGTAGTGTATTTAGTTATAGTCGTCCTAGCTTGTCTTAGGTTAACCTAGGGCTTGGTGGGTATATTATGTGTTGTCTTCGCTACTTGTTCTCCTACTAGACTCGCTATCTTTGGTGGTTGTTTCGTCGCCCTCTAGTTATAGGTTAGTATTAGGCTCTGGCTCAATCTCTATTTAGTAGAACTGGCCTCGGAGATCTATATATAATATAAATTTAGCTGTATAGTGGGTAGGCCTTAGTAAGGACTACGACTAGACTATGTAGTCTTTAGTCTTTTTCGAAGTAGTTAGGACCACGCCACGATCCCCTATAGTCCTTTATAGTCCATAATTACACTAATATCTTCCTTTCTTAGCTATATCAATAAATGATTCAAAGAAAGTACCAATAGACTCTATAGAAATCATATATATATTACATGGTTTTCTGTATTTATCTTATAGGACCGCAAGAGTAGACCGGACTGTAGTGGTGCGGTCCTTGCCGAGGTCAAGCAAGGGGGCTAATTACATGCGTACTTTGCTAGTGCTTACTTCTGCGCGGCTGGTAGAGGAGCAAGGATTATGCCAGGAAAAGAGGACCAAGTTAGTGACCAGATGCGAGCAAATAGAATGGACCGGGGCAGCCTGCCGAGGGTTTATGGAGCTCCCCATGGGATTGCAATCCGGATGCAGACAGTCTGGGTGCTGTTCTACCGAGGATTGTGATAGAGGTATGCCGCGATAGTGACTCCTTAGCTAAGCCTTCGCTCGACAATGCAGAATCCACTGCGGCCCTGAGAGGTCGCTCAAGGTAATGTGACTTGCCTTGGAAGTGGGTGCTTGCCCGCATCTCCTGCAACCGGCTCAGTGGGGCCCCGAGCGAAGCCCATGCTGCCTTTTAGTATTTGTTGAATGGGCGCATTATCTGCGATGTCCGTGTCAATGCCCGGATGTGGGATGCATCCTACCCTCCATGCATGCAACCCTGGCTCGGGCAGAGCTGAGCATTGATCCGCGAAACACACTACCACGCGGGGCGGCAAGCTTCCGAGACCCCGAAACTATATAGCCTGTATAGCATGCATTCGCGAGGGCTCGCTAAAACCGCAGATCGAAAAGAGACGTCCCAGTCCGACGCTGAGCAGTGGGCCTCTTGCTCCACCCTTCCAGCAGCGATCAGCAGCGACAACATCCGTGATTCTTTATTGCCAAATCAAGCAATTGGGGGAGGTTGTCGCACGGTCGAGAGTTTCATAGGCATGCCAGCACGCCGTGGCTGGTGAACGGGCCCCGCTAGCTATTTAATCACGCCATCCGCCTCCAGAATGTAGCCATCTTACAGCTCGCTCATTGCGCGGTACCAAGTTAAGCTTGTTCGCTTCGAAAGTTCGACCGCTCATTATCTTCGGCTTACTTGGCTTGGGATCAGCCATGGCGGTAACCGACGCTCTTCAGGCTAAGAGCGCCCCCGCGGCCCCAAAGCGGCTTTTGCTCGTCAGCGTGCCTCGCACGGCGTCCAATTTGCTGTTGAAGATCTTGAATGTCCATGAACAGCCCAAGCTGTCCACCAACCAAAAAGGGGGTTATTTCTTCTACCCGGCCTTCCTGTCTGCCACACAGGGCGGTACCCTAGCCAAGAAGCCATCCGAGTGGACCAAAGAAGACAGACAGAAGTTCAAGGGTGATTTCCAGCGATGCCTGGACGAGTTGGAGGATCATTCTGCGCGGGCGCAGAAAGACAACAAAGCCATGTTCGTCAAGGAGCATGCGTTTTGGTTCGTCAATCCCGCCTCGTGCCACAGGATGCGAACGGGTGATGTGGTCGACTCATTCACCGATCTGCGCGTGAGGATCCCCGAGTCGTATGGCCCGACACAGAGTTACACTCACTCGAATGAAACCGTTTTGTCGGACGAGTACCTTCGCAGTTGGCAGTTCGCTTTCATCATCCGCCACCCCGCGTTGGCATGGCCTTCAATGTACCGCTCGCTGCAGAAGCTTGCAGCGGAGGGATTCATGGACGAGGATGGGGTCAAGGGCAGTTCAATGTCGAACATGAGCCTGCGCTGGACTCGCCTGCTGTATGACTGGTGCATAACGCAGCCCGATGTGCCGACTCCGCCTCCGGTGGTGGATGCCCACGATCTCATCCGCAATCCGGAGATTGTCCGGAAGTTTTGTGATCAAACAGGGCTGGATAAGGAATATCTGCAGTTCGAATGGGGGGGGAAGGATGACCACAAGAAGTCCGACATATGGGCGGACGAGGCCGGTGACGAGCAGCGGGAAAGACATTGGCGAGCTGCCTGCATAATGATGTCCACGCTAGAAACTTCGAAGGGAATTGTCAAGGACAAGGCCCCTGAGAGCCTCGATATCGCTGTGGAGACCGCGAAGTGGAAGGTTGAGTTCGGCGAGGAGATCGCCGGGCTCATTGAGCAGGCCGTCTGGGACTCGATGCCAGACTACGAGTACCTGAAGGCCCGGCGCCTCACAGTGTAGCGAAGCCACCACGCAATGGTTATGGTCAACATCTGCTCCGATGATCTTGGGAAAGGGTATATCAAGTATTCATTTAGCATCGGTGCATAAGGTAGTTGGGATATACGCATCGGGTGGTACAAACAGGGTTCAATGGGGTATGTCAGCAAGAATATAGAAACACAGTCTCCGGTCAACATATGCGGTTCTTGTATTGCCACCTTATTAATCCAAATAATATCATCTACGCATCGAAAGGTTCTCCCGGGCATAGAAATGGTAGACCCGTCGAGCTTGGAAGCTTACTAGGAAGGGCCTGATAACCTCAGAGTACCCGGAGGCAGAGCAAGATAGATATGCCGCATCTGCCGACTATCGGTTGAGTGTCTTTCAATGTGTATTCAGAAAGAATGATGCATTTCGGAAAAGAATTGGATATGAACAGGTAATAATACATCCTAAATATGCTAAATTGATCGCCCCGGACACTCGTACAATCACCGCTTGCCACCACCCATGAACGCCCGCTTCTGGCGAACATAAGCATTGACAACGTTCTCCACACTGCGACGGTCGTGCTTGCGAGACCTGCCCAGACAAATTGAGTCAGTAAAAAGATTAAATTTCTAGTGTTCTCGGGGATATGTGGGGAATCGACGAACCGCATGTAGTACAATCTCGCGCGACGTATCTTGCGCTGTGCCCGCTGGACAATCTCCACGCTCTGAACATTGGGGTTGAACACCTTGACCGACATCTCGACGGCCACACGGGTAAGCTCATTGCGGAGCAGGAATGAAGTGTCGATGCCGCGCAGCTTGATGCTCAGGACAACGCCGTTGAAGGGGTCGCCGTTCTTGAATGTCACACGGATGATATCACCCGGCTTGATGCTGCGAGGGTTCCGACGGTAGTCGAATAGGGCCTTGCGCTCGCCCTTGGGGTCGAGGGTTTCCAATTGCAACTCGGTGACCTTTCCGATGGGGTCTTTGCATGCTTTGCGGGCGGAAGGGGGAGGCGTGTAGACTTTGATGGGCTTGGGGGCTGCAATGGGGATCGCTGTCAGTACCATGGCAAGCAGGTCAGTTCAGAAGACCTAGAAGCGCGTACCATTCTCAGGGAGCATGCGGGTGGGTAGTTGTGATAGGAATTGCTCGGGGAGGTTTTGCGGGAGAGGGACGCGCTGGGGGCGCTGGGAATAGGCGGTTGAAATAAATCGACGAGCCAGCTGTGGCTGTATAGCCTCCTGGGTCTTGATCAAAGACCTCAGGCAGCCCAGCTGCCGCATTGTTGGTAACGCCGCCATGGTTTTGATGGGTGAGGACAAGGCGAGAAAGTCGGAGTCGAGTTTTGGCTGGAGCGAATCGGCAGAATTTCCGCCAAGCCCCGATTTTGTTCGGCGACGTTCTTCTCCGCCTTGACTTTCTCGCGTTCTGCCTTTGCTCCGTGAAAAGCGTCCCTGGTGCATTGGGTCGCTCTTATTTTCTCAGGCGTTTTCAAGTGCATAACCTGCCATTCTCAAGTATGGCGCAATTCACTATGGGGAGTTTCATCCGCTGGTCGAGCAGCATGCGCCAGTCGGTGACCTCCCAAACTCGTAGTTATGCATCAAAATCAGGTAAAATACCCATACTCTCCTTCAATTACGTGTGAGGGAAGTGGCTAATGAATCCCTCTGTCAAAAGCAATTCCGACCTTCGCCCCAACATCCTCTCCCGAACTGGATCAGCTCCTCAATCGATTCCGTCAAGACCGTTTCATTCCATCTGGTCTGCCCAACCAGCAACGCCGAAACACGTTCAAGGAGAAGCACAAGCAGCGACTAGAGGAGGAGCCGATCACCGTGGCAATCAGTGAGACGGAAGATTTCACACTGCGACCTATGACGATCAACGAACTGCCGACGAAAAGCGACGCCTACGAGGTCCTGCGGCTGATTGCGGTTAACAATGAATGGAAAGCCCTCGTCCCCTTCCTGAGTGGCCTCTACATGTCCAACTTGAGGCTTAGCAACAACCGGCTGGAACAGCTCGTTCGCAAGGCTAGCGACGCAGGCAAACTTCCGATCATCATGGAATGTATTCGCCAAAGTCATCGCACTGGCTTCTATCTCCGCGACCTGGGAGTGGTGAAGCGCCTATTTTTCGATATCCATGTCCTCGCGCAAAATGGGGACTTCAAGGGGGTCGCGGTGACGAAGGCACTCAATATGGCGAAGCAGGCGGTTGATTTGATGAACCAGTACGCTGCGACGCACTCGTCCAGTGTAAAGGCCGACATTCCGCAGAACCAGCCTTTTGTTATCGGTACCCTGCTTGAGCTCAGTGCTGCTCGAGCCATCAGTGACTTTGGCGGAAAGGACCAAGCGAACGAAGTCCTGAGCTATGCGCGCAAATTGGTCGCAGCCTGGCCAATCTTCCAGGAGCAATCCAAGAAGGCCGTTGCAGATGATTTTCCATCGGCTCGGGCTCGGGCCCAGGAGACTCTTGCAGTCTACAATGGTTTACGACTCAGCCTTTCGATTCATGGACTGGCCCTGGACAAAGAGCTCCATGCCTCTGTGACGCAATGCCTGGCCGAGGCGAAGAGTGAGCTGGAGAAGGTATCGGGCGCACTGGAGCGATCTCCCATTGAGGAATTAGTGCTCTCCATTCTCAAAGGATAATCGCCCATGAGGAGAATTGTTCAGCTTGTCAAAAGGTGGGAGTGCATACTTGCATGTGTATATTACTTTTATGTCGAGATTCTTGGAGCCAACATTGTATTTCAACTAAATAAACCTTTGGATTATCTGTCATAAGTGACCCCGCTAGCTGCCAAATGAATTTTCATATCGTAAAAGAAGGCTCGCTGGCCAATGACTTTGAATTTTGTTTTTTATCTCCAGAGGAGCCGAAAAAGGAACGGGAACGTTCGGAAGCACGAACTGTTCAGTACTATCCACAGACAATGGCCCTAAGAGCTCAATTCAAGGGTGTGGTCGGCGCTAATACGTGCCCGTGCGGAAAGGGTAGTCTTGCCATCAACAACAGCGGGTCCAGTCACCATGATCTATAGAAATTACACGTTAGCTATTTGATACCGCTAACACCAATCATGAGAATTATGGACTTACCTGACCCTCCGGCAGGCTGTCGCCGGCTACCTGGCTCTCGGAGACGCCAGTCAAGGTGACCTCGGTGCTGCTGAGAGGACCTCCAAAATGGCTAGGGCCACCAAGGCACCTGTAGTCGAAGACATTGGTTTGGGCAATAGCCCCAGCAATGCCCGGACCAGTCAGCGCATACAGAATGCGAGCCCCCGTGTAAATTCGGAGGTCCGTAAGCTGCTCCGAGCTCAGGCGGACGGAGGCATCAGCATCGACACGGTGTGAGATACACAACAGACGCAACTTTTGCAGCGAAAGCTCCGCAGTTGGTCCAATCTGAGCAAGCTGTCTGAAGAAGCCCTTTGGTGGCATATTTCCTGCATTCAGTGTCCGAGATTGCACCCACCGGCCAAAAGAAGAGACCAGTCCGGTGTGCGGCTTCATGACACCCTCGTGGTATTCGGACATAGTGCGCGACGATGCAACAATCACCGTTGGAGATACGCCATTAGTAGCCAAGGCAAAGTCGACATTCTCGCCAGCAACCGAGTTCAGGGCAATAGAGGCATTCGAGAACAGGGCATTCAAAATTTGGCAGAGCGGATAGGAGCGGGAGAGCGAATCGATAGAGAAGACAAGATCAGACGGGCTGAAACGTTGGTTTCGCGGCAGCGTTGAGCCCAGGGCGCCGATGGCAGCCACAAGATTCTAGATTAAGTGTCAGATGAGTTGATACAGGCTGAACCGTGCGTTTTTCAATGCCACAACTGCCAACGCTATGGCAAACGAGCGCGCCTCCTCTAAAACATGATGACTGAAAGAGTAGCTGCTGGAAGTCGATAGAACGGCACGTATGTGACCATAAATTTGGCAACTTTGGCAAAGAAAAATACACGGGATCGCTCAAGTAATGACAATCTCTTACCTCTTGCTTGAAATCGATAAATTCGCCAGACGGAGATTCCGAGGGCCAAACTGTACTGACTTCGGGGGCAGGGGTAGTAGGGTCGTATTTGGGAACGTTAAAGCCGGCCAGGTCCTTGCCTTCCTGGACTAATTCGTGCCAGACGGCAACCTCAAGCCCGCCCTTCACATCCTCAGGGACCTCATGCCAATCCATGTGCCGGTTACCATCCTTAGCCACCCATATAACGAGTGACAGCTGCTTGTTACCTTTAGTGACAAAGGAAAGATCAAGTGAGCCGGCCTCGGCAATAAGCGCGTCAGCTTTAGCGTTCTGAAGGTGGCCTGACAGTGTCTCCGCAGGAAGGTTATGGGGAACCAGGACAACCTTGAATCCGTAAAATGAGCCAGCTATAGTCCCTAGGTATTAGTATATGGTGCAAGGGTATTGAAGTTTGGAGGCCATACCGAATATAGCAGCCAGCAACTCAATAGAGTCGGTCAGGCAGACGGCGACGGTCTTCACCTCGGACTTCTGAATGTGACCGCCGATCACATTAATCTCCTGTGTGACCTGATCCAACGAGTGTTCAATGGATTTTTTGCCAAGGACAGTGTATATTTTGCCCTGCTTTCCAGTGCTAATACCATTCTCATTGAGAGCTCCACGAACAGCACTCTTCCAGACATCACGAAGGTCACCACGCCGACCGGCGGTCCACTTGGGTGCGCCGACGTCCTTCACATTTAATCCTTGTCGAAGGGGGAGTCCATAGGGGGTCTCGAGGCTGCGGTAGGTTGCCGACTCGCCGGATTGACGGATGGGAGATGCTGTAGATTGGCGAGCGAGAAGGAACGGGTGGACATCGGGATCCTTGTTCGAAACCACGGCATAAAAAGCAAATGCGACGAGAATGCCAGCAAACAAAGTCGTGTAGATATTCCAGTCAGCTAATGCATCCGTGAGCGCTGCATCCAGCCTCGCCAGAATTGGACTCTGGTCGGCCATTTGGGCTGCTGATGACAGCTCGGCCGTCGGATCGCGGAAGTGTCAAGAGTCGAGGCCTGCAAATCACAGCGTCACAAAGCTGCTCGCTTGGAAGCTGCAAATGTAAGATGTCCCAGCTTGCAAGAATGCAAACAGTCCAATATCGATATATCGCCAGCGGCTGTCAGAATGTCAACAACCAGTCCTGAATCATACGATGACGTTTGAGGGGTTCCGCGGGACGCGCATGAGGCGGCGATCGGGTCAACTATAAAACCGGCGTTTAATCTTGACGCGCGCTGCGGCGCCTGTCTCTTCGCTGATCCCAGCCCTTCGCGACCATCAAAACATCTCCTGAGCAATGATCTTCTGAGCGACGACACTCCTCAAGGCAATGTCAGTGCGGGTGTGAAGCTTTACGACCGCTACATTCCCTTCAAATCCAGGTAAGCGCCCATTATTTTCGTCCAGAAGGTAAAGTTTCTGCCCCCGTGTCCTGGCCTAAGACAGCCATGTATTAATCCTCAGCTACAGCCACTCGCTTTTTGTTTGCTGTACTTTGTGACCCCACCTACTACCCCTGCATCACCGTCTCTTGCGATTCATGGCTGCGCAATCTCTTCCTTCTACTCCCAGAGTTGCGCCTATCGCAGCGCCCGCTGCAACTCCCGCCTCGGAGGGGTCAGGTACCCCAGGCAAATGGCGCCATCCTCAACTCGGTGAGATTGTGCGCCGCCAGAACGCCGCAACCTTCGGTGATAAGAACCTACGGAGTGTGATCTGGAATGGGGTCACATTGGTGTTGACATGGGTCTTTGGGGGCACATTGAAGTCCTAGTAGGTTTCTTTCGGTTCTCACCAATGTTTGCGCTTGAATAACTCAATTCTAACTGGTTTCTCAATAGTGCTCGTCGTGCCTTCGAAAATCACACTATCTATCACCACCTCCCTTTTTTCTTCCTTCAGGTGTTCCTGCTGTTCAATATTCTCCTGGCGCTGTATCCCCTCTTCAAGCCGAAGGATGACCTCTCTGACATCCCGCTCACCCCGACCCAACGTGCACTTCTGGGCCTGGACCCTACTGCGACGCCTCCTATAACCCCCGGAACCACCTACGTTACTCCACCACGCTACCGCCTGTCCACCTCGCGCCAAGCAAGCCCTGTCAGTGCGAGCCGCCAGACCATCTCACCGTTGTCCTCGACCCCTGCCTATACAGACCGCCGTGTCTCTTCCGGAACTCCCTTTTCGCCTGCGTCCAGCCCATTGTTTCACAAGGCAGTGGCCAATGGCGGCAGGGAATCTAGTCGGAGACAAAGCTTTGGGTCGTCATCGCCTCTTGCTCGAAGCAACTCGCTCGGAGAGTCCACCATGTCCAGCCTCGGACCTAGTACCCCTTCTCCGCTTAATGGCAAGCGACGGAGCCTGGGACTGAGCAACAAGTGGCTATACGAGAGAAGCCGGAGGCTTTCTGCGAGCAATGGTGCTCTTTGATCTGATTTGTATCATCGGTTGCGCGTTTCGGAGTTTGTATTTTAAATCATGGTTCTGAGCGGATCTCTAACATTGAATAAGAATATTGAATTAATCACAGCCTATTTCCCTTTAATTACCCCGAAGTAGGCGACGATTCCCTGGTGTACAAATAGGAGTAACATGTCTCCGCCTATCCCCCATAGGACAATTGTAAGCCAGATTGGGGCTGGAAGTGAGTGCAAAAAAACCTGAAGAGTCGGTAGTGAATGTAGCTACCAATTCGCACACAATAAAATTGGTTATTTTGTCAGAGAGCTGACCGAAAAGCCCGTGAAGATCGCGGCGGTCCAAGTCGCGGGACACTTGTTTAGGCGGGTCCGCAGGTCATCACCCGGGATTAGGCCAAGACTCCGCAACAGGAACCACCGCAACACCAACAGCACACGGCAACAACTGACAACGCGAACACTCGGCAACCTTGGGCCCTGCAACTGATCTGCTACATGAAGCCCTCGCTGTGAGCGACTGGACTCTTCAGCAATGGGGGCGTCGGAGTCAAAGCTCGTCTTCAAGCAGGGCATCTTCCGTCTCTCCGAAGAGAAGGAGATCCCCGCGGACGACCCGTACTGGACACGAGTAAGTCGTTCCGGGGGGTGCAACCTTAGCTATTGAACCTGCAGGATCATGAACACTGACGACCTGCAAGTTCTGGGAACTTCCCGAGTCTACAGAAGACATCTTCAGCCTGTTCACGCCGGCCGACATCCGCCGAACGCGCGATCATGCCTTATGCAACTTCGAAACCCTGCTGTTATCAGTCTCATCTCGACTGATAGTCCTCAAGAACCACCCCTCCTTTCCGGACCCAGATCTTGCGCCTGAGCGTGATGTGCTCAACTGTATTCGGATCCTCACTCGCCTCCTCCCCTTTGTCTACGAGGCTGAGTACTTGGAGAAGTGGGAAGAGCAGTTCTTCTGGTCGCGTCGCAAGAAGAAGACTAGGCAGGCACAAATTGCAGGAGAAGTTCTCTTTGACGAAGCACAGTCGGACCAGCAGGAGCAGTTTCCCCCCACGATGAGGAATATGAGGATGTGAAGCCTCTAGCAGAAGAGCTGATCGATACGCTGCTGGACCTGCTCTTCTTCGCGGACTTCGGCATCCCGGAGCTTCCGACAGCGAAGAGCAAAATCTCGTACTCGATCTGGCAGAGTGGTGTCGGCTGTAACACGGCGATGGGTTCCAATAAGAGCTTGGAGAACAATCGGTGCGAGGTTCTCCGCTTACTGCTGACGATGACGGGGAAGGCGATGTACATGCCGTCAAGTAAGTTTGTTCACCTAACGCTATTGAAGTACTACTAGCTCACCGTGCTAGGCACATTGCCCGTGCAAGGTGTCAAGGCAATTACCTATATCACTACTCGCCAAGACAAGCAATCCGTTTTGACGCTTCTATGCTCTCTTCTTAATACGGTATGCTCCTATCAAATTAGAAGGTCTGACGGATACTGACTTGGGATTAGGCCATGAAATATAACCCCGCCGCATGGCGAGTTCCCTATGACCATGTAGTGTGGAAAGATCCCAAGCAAATCCTGGTGATTTATTGCTTGCAATTCCTCCTTGTCCTTCTTCTATACCCCATCCCGGAAGATGGTCGCGGAGTTCCCCCAAAGAACTATTACCGTCATTACTTTGGGAGGTTGCATAGACCTCAAGATTTCCAATTCCTTGTGGATGGTATGACCAGGATCCTGAACCAGCCTGTATGTGACGTCTACTGAGATACGTTTTTTGCCTCATCCTAACTATGACACAGATGCAAGCCACGAGCTCCTATCTTCCCGGTAGTCAGAGATCGGTGAAGTGGGCTCCGGAGATCTTGATTCTCTTCTGGGAGACACTGCAATGCAACAAACGATTCCGGTCATTCATCATCGATTCCAATCGATCCCACGACTTTTTGATCCTGTGCGTCTTCTATGCTATGGAATATAGGACGGATGCATCCAAACAAGGAGTGGTGCGACTCTGTATCTTCATTCTTCAGACGATGAGCGCAGAGCCGAACTTTGGGAAGAGCCTGAATATGAAGTTTGAGGCACAGGAAACCTTGCCGCAATCTATCCGGCTCCTCAAGTTCCGCGGCAGTTATGCTGACTATCTTATCATGGTATGGGTTCGACCTTATCAATACATGGTCTACAAACTAACATGGACAGTCAATCCAAACCCTTATGACTACCAGCAAAGGAAAACTCGACACGGTTTATCCCGCGCTACTTATAATCCTCACTAATGTTGCCCCTCACATCAAGCATATCTCACCGAGCACCTGTTCCAAGGTCATGCAACTCTTTTCGTCAATGTCTGCGCCAAGTTTCCTGCTGGCCAACGAGACTAATCACACTCTTCTTGCGTCGCTACTTGACTTCATCAACGCGATTCTTGAGCATGGCTTCACCGGTATGTTCTCAGAAAAAGATCTCCAACACTTTCTTAACAGTCGTGCTCATCAATGCAGAAAACCCGTACTTGGTGTACTCGATTCTGAAGTATAAGGAGCGCTTTGAAGCCGTCCGAGCATTCACCCTCGAAAGTGGACAGCAAGAAATCGAGCGTCAGAGAGAAAAGCGGAAGGTCGGGGATGCCCCTGGGGACTTGACTGCCAGCCCAACGCTTTCTCACTCCGAAGAAGACCTCCACCTTCCCTCTGGCGCTCGATCGCCTCTGACACGGATTCCTGAAGAGAACAGCGCGTTCGCCATCGGCGATGACGATTCTGACGATGAGGGGGAAGAAGGACAGCGCACGCCGTCGCAATCCTCCCCATCTGCTCAAACGTCGCGTCGACCCTCCTTTGCCTCGACTGCGGACGAGACCAGCTCTCAGATCCGCGGCATCTCTGAAAAGGCACGCGGCAAACTACCAGCTGGACGACCGTCTTTCTCGCGGCAGAACAGCATGACCAGCCAGACCAGCATGTCTGCTTTGTTCTCTGCAACCTCTGCTGGTTTCACGCCCACTGTAGCCTGGGTAGGTGCTTATGAATTTTTGGAACTGGTATAATCGCTGACAATAAGTTTCAGCTTGAATCATGGCTGCCGGAGCTTCCTCTACACACCATCATAACCCTCATCTCCGCCATTGCACCTCACATCCCCGACGCTGCCCTTCAAGCCACCTCAAGCCCGGAAGCTCGTACTTTAATTCACAATCTGCCATCCTTTGCTGAGGAGCCCCAAGTCAAAAGTATACTCTCAGAACCAAACGCCGTGCGTGCCCAATCCTTCGAATGGTCGGCACTTTCCATGGGCTGGTATGAGTCCCTCCTCTGGGGCTTCATTTTCTCTAGCGAGATGGTAGTTGGTTCTGCTGCGGGCGCCACCCCAGGCACTGTTGGCGTCTGGAATGGTACCGCGATCCGGCTATTCAAGGTACAAGAAGCAGCCGCTCAGGGTCCAACCTTGCTTGCCCCGAAGGGTGCGGTTGATGCTGTTGGCAGCAATCTAGTCCAGCGCATTGGGAATCTCAGCCTCCGAGGCCGCAGTTCGATGTCACAGGAATCATCGAGCGGTGCTTCCCCGAGTGTAAGGGAAGTTTAGGAGAACGCGATAGGCAGGGATCAACGACGTACATAGAACCACTTGCACGACATGAATTCTTTCTGAATGACCCCCATTACATTTTGCCTGTCGCTTTGTATCGATACCTTGGAGGCGTTGAAGGCGTTAGTAATTCGAGTACTCTCGTTGAATCTGTTATCTCGCTTTAAGTGAATATTTGTAAGATACATTTTGCCGCATGTCTCAAGGCCGAATAATGCTGCTGCTGTACACCCATCGGTTGCGCCGGGGCCCACCCCGAAAATCTGCGCCTTTAACGAACACGTGCACTTGGCGCGTCCCGCCTCGTTAATTCGCGACATCAGCATTCTATTCTCTCCTACCGCAAATTCCGGAAGGCTGAAGTACAAACTTAGGCTGGTTCTTGTTATTCCATATCGATTATTTCACCCTCTTTGGCGTTATGATCTCTCAGCTTGTACTGCTGACAGCCGTGGTCGCGGCCCTGCCGGGCCCCAAACCCGTCATTGGCGGGATCACCTCCAGCCTACAAAGCATCTTGAAGAACACGCATAATAGCAAGGACTATGGGTATCCGACAGATATTACGAGGGACCTGCTTCCAGTAAGTTAATTCCGTAACTCTGTTCGATATCTTTCTTGATTACTGCCTTCCACTGTCGGCGTTGTGCGCTTGAACTCTAACGTCATTGCTAGATTCCGGTGCACTCTCACAAGTAGGCACAGCCTTCAATTAGGCAATTGATGATTTCATTTTTGTCATGCCTCTTTACTGATTCTACGCACAGTGACTACTGGCGAGAGCGGCCTTTCTACACCGGTATGGGTCTCGAATTGCTCGCCACGCAGGGGCGGGCCTCCCATTAACACCATGACTCCTAGGATTGTCGAAAGGCTGCAGTTCCACTGAAGCCGATGTCTGGCTATATAACGGAACCCTCTATGTTTGTCTATTCTAAAACCTGCCATCCGAGTCTTCCGAGCTATCGCTAATAACCCCAGGTTGGGCACGATCAATCCGCTTTAACGCCTGAGCGAACTCTCCAGTCTCTCTATATTAACCCGATTCTGGATATCCTGGAACGCCAAAACCCGACAAGCGCCTTCATTACATCGCCGACCAAAAAGTGAGACTAATGTTTTCCTGAATAGTCGTCGCATTGGAACTGACTCAACTGTACTCAGCGGAGTTTGGGATACGGCGCCAGAGCAGACACTCTACTTCTTTATCGACGTCAAGACGTCAGGGCGAGAGACTTTCCAAGCTGTTATCGAGGCTTTGGAACCCCTGCGTGAGAAGGGATATCTCTCAACAGTCAGGGACGGGAAGAATCTAACCAATGGACCGATCACTATCATTGGCACTGGCGACACTCCGCTGGACATGGTTGCCCCAGTCCTCGACAGAGACTACTTCTTTGACGCTCCTCTGGCCAACCTCAATGACCCCATATATGCGGCTATTGACGGCCTGGTCTCTCCTGTCGCGTCAACGGATTTCGAGCAGGCAGTTGGCAAGCTCACTGTGGATACAGACCCGATTCTCAACGATGATCAGCTCAGAGCTCTTCGGGATCAAATTGCCACTGCAAAGAAACGGGGTATTGGTGCGAGATATTGGAACACACCTTACTGGCCGGTTCGCCAGCGGAATCTGGTCTGGAGGACTCTTCTGCGGGAAGGAGTGTTTCTTCTGAATGCCGATGATCTCGATGCTGTGATTGCGGAATTCTAGACGCGCTGGCAATCCAATTGCGATGTTTTATTCTCTAGTCGTATGTATTATTAGACCGTATTTGAACGAAATGAGTCAAATCTCATTTGAACTCCCTGAAACTCCCGTAAAACTAAATCTTGTAGAATCCACTCCCATGACGCTATGCTATCTCCTTGCCGCCTCTAAGTTAAAATTATTGCTCTCTCTCTCTCTCTATGAGCCGCAGATTTGTATCGAGATATCATCGAGCTTGCTCATCCAGATCGCAGGCAGGTGCGGCACTTGTGGCTCGACTGCTTGGCCTCAACGTAGAGGATGGACCGGTTGGAGCAGCGCTCATCCTCACGGTCGATGTGGCGGGCACACTTGATGAACTCGCCGCCAAGGGTATGGCCGCAGCTGTAGCGAACCTGCATTTGGGTGCATTTGTTTGGCAGGTTATTTTCTAGATTGTGAAGGCTTGCACCTTAGTATCTTGTTCTTAGATATACAGGCGGGATGGTCCTTGTGTGTTCATGCTACATACCGTCGAATCTGATCTGCTTGTCATCCCACTTGTCGTACTTGCCATAGTATTTCTCATACTTGGCATACTTGTCATCCATTTGGAAGAGTACCAAGTCGTTTGGTTTCTTGCAGCTTCGTGGAAACGTTGACTCTTGTGAGGTTACTCATCAGTATTCGGCTCGTTGCATCCATCTTTTACCGAGACAAGCTTCGCGTACTCAGTTTGGCAGGAAATCCAGACGAGTACTGTGCTCTCGGGACGGCCGAGTACAATGACCGGGAATGGGAAGTGAGAGCTGGTGAAGGTTGTGGACAAGGAGGTTGTATATCCATTACGCGACTTCCCAGCGTAGAGGCGAGGAAGTGCATTCACAAACGCATAGATAGACCGATGGGAGCCAAATCTATCGCTCACAGTAGCTTGATAGCTGTTTTTGGCGAGATCATTTCTATAATCTTGAACTGTTTGCGATCTGTACCAATATCTCATTTTCATTCTGAGTAGAGCGGATAGTTTTCGATAACTGTATGGGCTGCGTCTAGTCGCTGAACAATCACACGTTGACGCATCATGCATCTTGAACCATTGGCCTATTACAGCCAGGTCCAACTGCTCCGGCGTCAGCACTCATTCTTTACCCAACATGTTGGACACCAAGGATAGCGCCAGCCTCGCCTGCTCTTGTTATGGTACATGGCACGTGACCGGCGACGACAGGGCAAAATCGCAGCGCCGTCGAGCTCCGCATCTTTGTCAATCCAACCTCGTCCAGAGCCAGATCTCATTGGGCACAGGCGCACAATGGCACCAGATGGCGATCTGGGAGATCTCTTGGCCAAATTGCTCCCCACCGGCGCCGAGCTGACTGTCCGCCATGTCTCCTCGACACCAGCCCCTTCGGATGCTCTCTTTGCGGCTGCGCCCGGCCAGGATCCTGAGCCCACCTTTTGCGAAAATCATTTCCTGTCAGTCTCAATTGACTCTTCAAAGCATGGTGGGGCGGAGATCATTGTATTTGGAATGGAGGTGCTGGTCTACAACACGGCCCACCTAACCACGATCTTTGTTTCAAAGGCCGACTCCACTGGATTTCTACACCTCTTGAAACTGCAACAAAAGGTTTCGGTTTTGAGACTCATCTCAAGCACCTTTCTATCATATCTGGCGCGTTCTCACCAACGTCCAGGTGTTCGCCTGGTAGTGTCTTTGTTTGCCCGTGCCCAGGACCAATACCTCTTTCCCGGAAGTATTGAAAACGCCGAGAAGCACGTCTTAGACGACCGAGGGCTAATCAAGTGGTGGTGCCGCGCTTTGGATCCTATTCTCCGTGAGCATGAGCCCGAGTCGGTCTCCAAAGACTCAAAATCCCATGACCAGACCGTCGAGGCCGCTAAGGCTTCCGCTACTGCGTACCTGATTGTACCCGGATGTGACCGTTTCGAGACACGCAGTTTTTTCCCCGCGTCTGCCAAATGTGATCCTCAAGACCGGCCACGATGGCTTGCCAGCTATCCGCTCCATCAGATGTGTCATAACCCGTCGGCGCCACCGCGCTGTCTTGTGCCACGGCTTCCAGATGATCCTAAGACGCGATTCCTGATTGACCTGGACGATGAGCTTCCTGGGCCGGTGGAGGGTGAGAATGCGCCTCCTAGTACCGGTCACTGGAAGAGTGTCAAATCTCTAGATCAGTTCTGGGAGATGATGTCTTTTCGTCAGGAGTGCTCTGCTGGTCGGCTGGTTGGCTTCCTGTGGCTTGTTATTAATCCACCGGGTCTGATGAACTCAACAACCATGGCCAGTCAGACGCAAAGTATTGCCGGTACAGACGAGGCCTCTGATGGCGGGAAGACCTCCAAAGCCTCACCTGTCGAGATCCAACCGCAGAAGGACGCTAGCGAGTCGAAAACAGACGAGACCTCGACACAACCACCTCCTGGGGCTCCAGTCACAGAAACATCTGCTGGACCTAAAATCGACCCGCCAGTAGCCTTTGATCATCCACCAATTGCGTCCTCTGCGGAGCTTCAATCCACGGATACAACTCCATTTTATTGGCCAGAGGTCGGGCGTGGAAATGTCGTGCTAGACCAAGCAGACTACAAGAAGGCGATGGATGTAGTGTTGGACAATTTCTATGACGAAAATGATATCGTGGCTAGCACCAGGGCCTACATCGATCAAGTTGCCTCCCTCGCGGACCAATTGACCTGGGGCAAGCGGGTAGTAGGCACCCACAGGCCACAGGATACGACCGAACAACCTATCGAGACAAACAACCTTCTCGACAGCGGGTTGATTCGCAAACGAAAGAAGCCGGATGGGGAGGAAGAGAAGAAGGGTTCCAATGAGGCAAGCATAGCACAGCCAAGCGCATCGAGCAATTCCCAATCAGCGCCGTCCCAGCCGACTGCTGTCAACGTACTGAGTGCAGGTCTGGTTCGGAAAAAAAAGAAGGCATGAGGCATAGGTTTGTTTTATTTGTTTATTTTCGCTTGTTGGTCTCGGAGTTTAGGGGGCTGGGGTGGGGGAGTCAATCCAGCATTAATATCAAAATAGGTTGAGTGGTTCTTGGGAATAAACATCATCTTGGAGTAACTGAAGTCGGATGCTTGCCTTGAGAAGATGAACCAGACGAGAGAGCTGGGCGGAGCTGAGCAACACTCTGTCAGTGCCAGGTGCACGATGCGTAAGTATACTATGGTCATCCATATTTTTCTTAGCAGTTGTGTAAACGAATGTAGAGTCTCAGCCACGGGGTACATCTTTTTTTCATGAATTCGACCCCCGGATCACCACTTGGATGCCACCCGTCGTAGCCCAGGCAGAACGTGGCACACATACTATCGCCGCGGCACATAAAAAATTCAATTAGATAGACAGTGGTCTAAAAAGAAGGAGGATAAGTCAAGTCCCCAGCTATGCACATAAACAAGGCAGCAATCATCCAAAGCAAGGGGAAGGTGGACCCCTCGAGGCGGTGCGGCAAGCCGCCAGAATCCTCCGGGCTCCGGTTTGGCGCCCTCGACGAACTCCACCCCTCCACCATCATCTCCACCACGCTCTTCCTCCCACTTCAGAGCGGGTTTTCTCAGTCCTAGAATGTCCTCCTCGCCCGTCGGCACCCTCTCGCCCTCCCTCCGAGTCTCATGCTAGAGCCGACCTCGTATCTCCTCGAGTTGCCCATCGCCGATGGCGCAATGCCCGTGTCCGTCGCGGCGGGATGGGTCGGTTTGATCTGGTATCTTACCGTGCTGACCGTATGTGCCTTGGGGTATTCTCAGATGTAAGGCGCTCTCTACCTATCTTGATGTGTCCCTGCTTTGGTTCTGTGCTTGCCCGGCGGTGGCGAGCACGCGGGGGACTCACTAGCGTTCAATAATTTGTGGCTGTGGCTAACAAGTGGATTTCTTGACCTCCAGTTGGAGATACTTTTCGCGACAACCCCGACGCTCCAGCTGGGCTGAGAACCCCGACGCTCCTCACGTCACCGCGATTCGGCCTGTAAAGGGCCTCGAGCCGCATCTGTATGACTGCCTAGCGGCCACCTTTCGCCAGGACTACCCGCGTGACAAACTCACCGTGTGTCTCTGCGTGGCTACGCGCGATGACCCGGCCTATCCAACCCTCTGCAAACTACTCGCCGACTTTCCGGATGTCGATGCGCGTGTCTATGTGGAAGAGGAGGATCCGTTGCTGCAGGGTAGTGGGCCTGACCCCTACGAGCTTGGACCGAACCCCAAGATCCGGAACATGAGCCGTGCGTACCGTGAGGCTAAGGGGGATATCATTTGGATCATCGACTGCAATGTCTGGGTTGGAAAGGGTGTCTGCGGCCGCATGGTGGACACACTATGCGGAACAGGAGCCACCCCGGGCAAGAGGTTCAAGTTCGTGCACCACCTGCCCATGGCGGTGGACGTTACGGGGGAGAGCAATCTGTGTAGAGAGCGACAAACCCTTCTCGATGCCCGCCCAGATGCTGTGGTCCCGAGGGTCGCTGATCTCTCCCTGACATTCAGCCGACCGGAAGACGGATTGGCAAGCACCATTGAAACGGGCGGCGGTCGTCTGGAAGAGCTGTTCCTCTCCTCGTCGCACGCCAAAATGTATACGGCTATCAACACCGTTCTCATTGCCCCATGCATTGTCGGCAAGTCGAACATGTTCCGTCGCTCGCACCTGGACTACCTAACAGCCCCGTCACTGAAAAACCCGCACCGCCGCCTTCCCGGAGTCGACTTCTTTTCAGACAATATCTGCGAAGACCACTTGATTGGCGACCTGCTTTGGCGCAAGAAAGTACGGGAAGAAAAAGAACTTGGTGAACGGTGGGGCAAACATGCTATGGTGTTCGGCGACTTGGCGATTCAGCCCGTGGCCAACATGAGCGTACGAGGATATGTTGCGCGCCGAGTCCGGTGGCTGCGTGTCCGCAAATTCACCGTCCTCCTGGCGACCCTCGTTGAACCAGGCACCGAGTCCTTCGTCTGCTCAATCTATGGCGCCTGGGGCGTCACAAGCGCGCTGGCACCTTACCTCGAGCAGAAGGGATTTGCTTTTGCCTCCAACCTCGCGACCTGGCCCTCTTTCCTTGCTTGTGTTGTGCTCAGCATCGCGTTCTGGATTCTAGTGGACTGGACTCTGTATATCAAGCTGCATTCTGCAAAGGCCATAGAACTAGATGAGGACACGCCTGTCTTCGCACGGCCCAACCGTCGCTCTTCTCAAACCACACGTCGCCCTTTCCTACAATGGTTCTCTGCATGGCTCGGCCGCGAACTTCTCGCCCTTCCCATTTGGATCATCGCCGTCTATGGCGGTGTCACTGTGGTCTGGCGGGACCGACGGTTCAAGGTTGGATTCGACGCCAAGGTCCGGGAAATTGACTCAGATAACGCGCCGCCATCGGAGGGCTCATACTCGACCGGGTCTGTTGTAGATTGGTTTCCCGTTTCGCCACAGAGCAACGGTGTGACGGGGAAAGTTCGCCGTGACTGATGTATTGGTAGTCACACTTTGTATAAAATATCCATGAGCATGCTGTATATTCCACTGGAAGCGTTATAGATTTCCTGTCATCTCAATGCATTTCGGATCTCGCTCGGGCTTACACTACAATCGCCTTCAATGGCCTCGAGCCCATCGGATTAAATTGCCGTACTCACTCCTTAAACGGGAAAAAACAATAACAAAAACAAAAGCCTTGTATCTATCTAACCAAACTTTTAATGCTGTTCATATTCATAATTCGACATCACAAACCATCACCCCATCATGCCGATCTCTCACCCTCAGTAGCACTGCTCTCCAGCCCGGCCGCCTTCTCCGAACTCAGCAACCACTCAACAACCTGTCTGCCAGCAGACATCTCCCCAGCATCGGCCTGCTGCTGGCCCTCACTCTGCTCCTCGCCAATAGTCATCTCAATCTCCTGCGGCTCATTCTCATTCTCATTCTCATCAACCTCCTCAGCAGCAGCGGACCAAGCGGCGCGCTCCGCCAAGAACACTGCGTCGTGGCCCGCGTCGTTCTTGATAGCGACATCCGCGCCAGCCTCAACAAGTCCCTTCACACATTCCAGGTGCGTGTTCAGGGCGGCCCAGTGCAGCGGCGTGTTGCCGGAGTGATTGCGGTGGTTGATGAATGCCGTGCGCTGAGCGGCATCCAGCGAGGACAGCTTTTGGAGGAGTGTGTTGAGGATTTCTGGCTTTGTCAGTATATATTGCCGAACAAGAACACGAGGAACTGGGAATTCGGTTCCTACCGTGATTTCCATTCGCAGCAGGGAAGTGCAGCACACAACACCCTGTCCCGCCTTCGCTCTCATCTTCCATGTCAATCGCAGATGCCACAATCTGGGACTCGGGGCAGTTGTACTGCGAAGCCAGGGTGGCGATGTCCGCATTCAGGGCTTCGAGGTCACCAGCACGGGCATCGTAGATGAGGTCGTCAATGGCCTCGAAAGAAAGTGCAACCGGCACTGTCGGCTGGGGCTTTGGTGTCGAGGCAGACATTATGTGCGAGTTGAAGTCTGAGACTCTAAGGAGCTTATCCAGAACTGTATTGCAGTCCCTACTTTCAGAATTGCTTCTCTGCTGGCTTTGATACTGCCTGAGCGGGGTTTTTTTGCAGCTAGCAGAAAATTTGATATGTGCTGGTAGAGTTGTTAGCGGATGTATCCTTGAAAGTGCTGAGCTGCAGAAGAACAAGACAAATATAGACCAACAAGCTGGATAGTCTTATTGAGAACTATCGAAGCCCCTTTTTGCAACAGGACCGAAACATCCCCATGATTTGCATGCGCGTTGATAAGCGTATTGATCAGTGATGCGATTTTCAGCCCACTAAAGTAACACTAGGTCCCGGATATGGTGCATTCACACAGACGCAAATACAATTTCGATTTAAAGAAAACAATATGTCTTACCTCTGCGTTAGTTTTCAAGCGCTTGAATTCCGCCGACAGCAAAAGTTGCTGTCCCGAAAGAAACTTTGATATAACGGGTCACATGACTTGATGGTGGGGTTCCATGAAATCAAATAGCTTCTCTAGGAGAATACATCGGAGTTGAGAATGAGAAAACATAATGCACAAGCTCAAATAAATTGTTTGCTCTCGTATGTAATAGTACAATGCAGTCCGGAAACACGTATGAACGTCCAGCGAGGCAAAGCCGCCCGCCTCTATGCACAGGAAACAACGGCCCAGCAAAAGAACAACCCCATGAACGCCCCGAATTCCCACGCTCGGTGTGGGTGGTATCTCAAAGTCCCAATATGCAAATGGCAACCCTAGTATGCGATAACACGGGGGGAGAGTGGCCAGCAGTCAGACCACATCAGCTCACTTTCCTCCCACGCGCAGCTCCAATCCTATTAATCTCGCAACCACGCCCTCCGCTTCTCTTCTTTCTTTTCTCGGCGCTTCTCTTTGAACATCTTCAGCTCCTTCTTGCTCAGTTTCTTCGCGCTCCGCTCAGCCCGAAGGCTCCGGCCATCATGGCTGTTGGCTGCGGCGTCCACATCAAAGAAAGCGTTCATCTGTCGCCGCGACTTGTTCTCATCATTGTGGTTCTCTGCATTGATCGAATCCGCCTGCCAGCGGCCGGTAAACCGATTGAATGTACCAGTGGCGCCGTACGCGGCGATCGGGTCAAGCGCGGGTCCGCTGCTCCCTTCCGATGGTTCTTCATGCTGTTGCGCGTAGGGAGCGGTCGGGTCGTAATCCCCATGAATCGCAGGGTTGTAGCCTCCAAGTACCGGTTCTTTTTTCTTTGGGAGCGCTTCGGTGGTGGTGTGGCTGGTACTCTCTGTGCCGGGGGCTGTTGCATTGGGTACGCGAGGGTTCTCCCATTGCGAGATACTGGTGAACCGATTGTAAAAATAGTACGCTTGAGCGTTGGCATCCCACACGGGCTCCCACCCATCGTCCTCGGCGGCGCCTGGCGGAGCTTCGTTGGGGAGTGGTGGAGGGACCTCGTCGGGCAATGGTGGTGCGGAGCCGTTTGCCTTCTCGTCGGCTGCTCTGCTTTCTCGCTGGGTCTCTTTTTCCTCTTCCCGGTCCGTTGGACCTGTATCTTCATTCTCGCTGTCTTCCGTCTCTTTCCTGATCTCGGACTTCTCCTCCGTGTCGACCTGAGGTGTTCCTGGCGTAGACGGAGAACCTGGACGGTTCTCCGGGGTAGTCGCTGAGGCGTGAAGCTCGTCACTCATTCTGTCGATTAGCACAGCTTCCCCTCTGGCAGATCGAGGGTTGATGGGGGTACGCTAAGGCATCGGCGCATGAGACTCTGGGGAGGATCGGGGAAACTCGATGAAGCACGACAGATTGCTTCACCGCCTATACCTAAACTGGATTAGCGTGGATCGTGGAACCTACGTACTTGTATGTACCGTAGTAGATTCCGGCAACAAATCCATTAAAATACGACCTGTCTCAGTAACTCGGCAATTCTCTGGCTTGATATCCAAATTGGCAGAATCACCAGCATGATTGGCTTAACGAGTCACATTTTGGTCACGGCAGCAAGCAAGTCGCTGCAAAAGCACCATGAGCTTGGGACATTTGCAGCTGCTAATACATTCATTCATAAAGAAACTTGTATTTGTTTGCTTCCATTCCATTCGAGTCAATTTAGTCTTTGGAACAGTGTGATTATATCATATGTAAGAGTTGAATAGATCGGGTTGAGTACTCCCTCTGTTAGTGTTTGTGCTTTTCCTGTTCCCCGATTTTGCAGGGGAGAGGGGCAAACCCTATACTGGGATGATGCAGCTATATGTATATCTAACTGCTTTGCCCGAGTACTGCAAACCCAACGGAACAGACGGCGCCCAAGATTGCATTTTGGTTAACTTTTGTTAAGATTATTCGACCTCGTGTTTTTGTTGATGATGGGGTTTGTCTGCTGGTGTTGATCTCTCCCCGGCCCCCACCTAGCAACCTACCTAGATTGCACGTGAGAAGAGCCTCATCACAAGCATTATTTTAGCGACACAAATCCCCAGTTTCATTTCTAACCTATTCTTGACCTCAAGTTTCCGTACAATTTACCTACTCTTGTACCTGAGATTGTAAGTATTCTTGAGCGAAGGCGATTTATCACAGCCTGCTTCGGGCTGGATTTGTTTACCTTGCTATTACCTATCTTGTTCTTGCTTACCCCATAGGAAGAGCTGACTGGCCGAATCTCAAGATCAGACACAAGACCCCATATGGCCGATATTGCCCCATCCGTCGCTGCAGAAGAGTATCGCGAGTCCCTCGCCGCGGTCGATCGGAAAGCCGAGGCCCTCGCAAATCAAATCAAGAAGAGCAAGCACTTCATCGTTTTCACAGGTGCTGGAGTACGACCCCCAAATCGGAGAGTGGACAACCGAGAGACAAAAGACTCTGGAACGCGACATTGAGTGCATAGTTTGAGATCCTTAAGAATGTGCTAAGGTGATTGAGTTGAATAGAGCTACAGAGTGAGTATTGGATAATCTGTGCAATTTAAAGACTTTTGCAAGAGCAGGAACTGGGCAGGGATGACTAGATGAAGTGACTACAGATTACTTGGCTAGTTAGCTAAGGGGAGGGTCTTCAGGGCATCGGCGTCGATGTTTAGCCAGCAGAAAGCAGGCCAAACCCCGCAATCTGGGGTAGGCTCACTACCAGGTGACACATACAGTCGATCTCTGAGTGTAACCCACGGCATCTCTCTGATGACCAGTGTCACACGACGCGATCGGACGTTTCTCCTGGGAAACACATGGCCACCAAGCAGTGCTGTCATATCCCAGTCTTGTTCGTGGACCAAGGGCACGAAGCAATGAAGGGAGGGTCGGGAAAGCCTCCCTATGGCCGAAGGTCAGTGGTCAGCCCGTGCAATCCCTTGCGGGTAATCCTCCCCAAGTCACGCACGTCGTGTTTTGGAGGGTGAAAGGCCCTGTAGCATGGCAAGCACCCATCTATCATGACCGCTGATTTTGGGACAGTCCGGCTTCCTGCCTTAGCACTCGAGGTGACGCAGACTTTTGGCCAAGATCACCTCCGAGACCGAGTGAGTGATGGCTGGGCTAGGAACAAAGGCCCCGAGAGACCCTGAGACCCGAGACAGTAGATTCAGGGCGAAGCGCCTGTAAGCATTGTTTAGGGCTGGCCTGCAGTGGACGGCTGACAACGGCCGCTATCTGCAATCTCAAGATATATGGCTGTCATTCGATGTCGACGTACTTCTTTTTGATCGTCCCACGGGCACAATTGCCAAAACTAGAGAAGGAAAAATGTAGATCAACGCCCAGAGTTGACAATCGGAGCATCAGGTGGCCCCCGGACGAGCCTGGCACGGTTAACGGGGCCGCTGTACAGCATGGGCCCAAGGAATGTCCGGGCAGGTCCTCCAGCCGCGTGAAGTCCACCATATGGGGCTGGGTAGATGCATACCAGGAGGTCCCAAGGGGAGCGTGCTTGGCCTACAGAGCCCTACGAGTGGAGTGAGCTGCCCCTTTTGGTTTCCATGCAGCTTGCAGTCCGGGCAGAGGGAGAATTGACTCGTCCAACCAAACGGTTCCGTAGGAAAATAGTTGATTGAGGAAGACTCACAGACCGTCACCTGAAGCGTATAAAGAACTGACCATTTATTACCCCACACGGTTCTGCAGCATCACGCCTCACTCTATTAAAGCCTTTCCTTCGAAGTCCCGTCTTCTGTTCTCTCTCTCTCTCGCAATCATCTCCGAGTCTTCTCGTCCACATCCAACCTCTCAGATATAATGCGGTTCGCCCTCGCCGCTATTCTCGGCCTCGCTGCCAGCGTCGCTGCTCTGGGCCCCCATCGCCGGTGGTGTTGGCGACGCCAACGGTGTCGGCAACAAGGGCAACGCTCAAATCCGCTTCCCTGTCCCTAGAAGCATGACCGTCAAGCAGGCTCAGGCCAAGTGCGGTAACCATGCTCAGCTGTCCTGTTGCAACGACGTAACCTGGGCCGGTGACAGCACCGATCTCAACTCCGGTCCTTTCAGCGGCACCCTCAGCAACCTGGTCGGTACTGGCTCCGGTGCTAAGGGCCTTGGTGTCTTCGAGAAGTGCTCCAAGCTGGATGTCCAGGTCCCCATCCTGCTTAACGTCCCCGTCCAGGATCTGGTCAATCACAAGTGCAAGCAGAACATTGCCTGCTGCCAGAACTCTGGCTCCAGCGCCGTAAGTTTCTACATTCTCATTCCATCTTTTGATCCTCATCTGACATCGTCACAGAAGGGCGACTTCGTCGGCGTTGGCCTGCCCTGCGTTGCCCTCGGATCCGTCATCTAAGTGCTCTGCTTTGTTACTGGCAAAGGACGGACTGTTAATCCATTCTTGGGGGTGGAAGGCAGGTGTACTCGGCCTTTGTTCCAGTAGTTATGGATCTGCTGTTCCTCATTTGCCCCGTGTATCAATGATGGTGTCGTGTGGCACCCAGAGGGAGAATATTGTATATAACTTTACATATGTATATTTAAACTATATAACCGTTGATGGTTTGTCAGGGTTGCTTCTGCTCCTTGCTTTGTTGATTCGAATCGTGGCCTCGCTGCTGTCTGGCCTGGAACTCTTTCACAGTTATGCTCATTGAGTAGATCTTGCTCTGGTTTCCCCTCTATTTGTGAGCATGTAGATGGTCACTTAATGTAACTCCCTATCCTTTTGGCCTGCTTTCCGCAATCGTCTTGTCCACGCTTAAGGTTGTCCCGAAATATCTTTTTTCATCTGAACTGCTCCTCTGTGTTTGGTTTTCCATCTATCGATGATGATGCTCTTTCTTAGTACGGGTATCGGTAAACTTATTTCATGCTGGAATGATTCAGCTCGCGCGTCCAGTTAATTGCCTAACATTTATTTTCTCTTCTTTTTCTCTATTACCAGAAAAACGCAGGACTACCTATTTGTCGCAATGGAAACCTAGCAACTTCCTGTATACAGATTCTCATACGTATGTGCCCATCGATCACCACAGCCGTCTCATTCCCTCTCCGGTCCAGAAGCCACTTTTCCTCTTCTGAAATCGCCGCAGCGCATTCACTTCCAGCCATTTCTCCTCATCCGTCTCATCTAAAAAGTCTTCCTCTGCAACGCTCGAAGCATCAATCCACTTTGGGGAGTTCGGATTGCGCAATGTCTTGAGTGATGTCGGGGTCCGCGGAACCTTCATCAAGCGTCCCTTCAGTAACCCGGTCATCGACCGTCGGATCTTTGATCCTGTTCCACTCCCCGGTTCTTCTGTATTCATATGCTTCCTGTTCCTTCCACGGCCACTCTTCCGGGGCTTCTTGAACATGTCCGACTTCCCTCCCCCACGCTTCTGTGTGGGACTCTTCTCTTCTGGGTCAATTGCGTCGGCCAACGTCTTTGTCGGTGTATCGAACGGCGACTGAACGGTGTCCAGCTTCAGAACCGGGTATTCAGGCATCGACAAGGCCCGGATCGCTCGACTGGTCGCCGGATCTAACGTATCGACTTCGTCGAACAGGGTATGAATGTTCCAGTCCATGGGAGCGAATTGCTTCCGATGGGCGGGTGACTCTGTCGGCACCACAGGTTCTTGAGATGTATGCTGGACCATGGTAGACGAAGAGGCAATACTTTCCGCGGGGGCAGGGGAGGTGGGATGGGAAGTAGTTTCGATCAAGTCGTTCGCATCATCGTCGAGACGTTGTGGTTTCGCATTCGATAGTCTGTAGGAGAGTCTGTTCTCTCTCATACAGCGAGCCATAGACGTAATAAAGCCCATGATGGAGGATAGGTGTGGGAGGGCTTTGGATGGGTCGTGGTGGGATGCGGCGGGGGAGTGTAGAGTTGATAAACTGATGCTGGGGCTCATCTGGGGCAAGGGGGGCCCCGGCTGGAATTGCTGCAGCGTAAGCTCTTACAGGAGCATATGAGCTTGAATATTTGTACAAAGTACAGCTGCAATCTAGCTAGCAGTCGGTTGGAGATAAGCTACTGGCTGCTGTGGAACCGACGATCACCTAGCTCGAGGAAGCTCGGGATCTTGAAGAGCTGAATATGGCTTGGAGATATCGTCACAGCCAATACTATTTGAATACTATTTGACATCCAACCCTGCATCTCTGATCGGACCGGAGAGGAGCTCGGACATCAACATGGGAGGTCCAGGAGTACGTACGCTCAGCCGAAATCAACTGCGTACACGCTGGAACAAAACACCGCCAAATGACCTCATGCAATCCAGCCGCAGCTACGACGAACGCAGCGGAGATCCCAGCTTTGACTTTCCCACCGTGAAGCTGTGAGGCAGATCAACACCAGCCCAGTTGCTGGTGCGGCCTGGTGCATTCTCCGGATGATGCCCCAAGGGCGGATGCAAGGACGCCCCACACCCCTTGACGCTTCACGGCAGACACAAGTTACTCGCCCCTTCACTACTAGCTCTCGATTTGCTGCTCTCGATTTGCTGACGTCGGGGCATGCGCAAGACCCAGTTTTTCACAGAACATAATTGCAAAGGTTGGAAATAATGGTGTGGAGAGTGGAATGTCTTGGTAAACCTAACCACGACGGCGCTGATCTCCTCACCGCGCCAAACTCAAAGCGCGAGAATGCTGCTGCATTTGAGAATGCCGCGCATTGACCACCCAGCCACGGTACTTCTCATTCAACTGGAGTCACTCCCTTGGGAGAAGCGGTGTCTTTGTCGCTCAGGGAAACAGACACCCACGGCTGAACGTCTGACGGTGTTCTAGGCCACAATAGATTATTCTAAATGGCAACAGGACGATGCCATGCACGATGGATACTACAGGAAGGTGATGGATCGAAGAGGTTTCATATAGCGGTGAATTCCCTCCACCACACTCTATTGCATCTTACAAGAAAAAAGAAGCTAAAGGTGCCCATCATTCCCAATCACAGCTTACTGGCGGGGGCGTCGCTGTACAGACTCCGGGTCCGGTTCATGGCCTCCAAGGCCTCCTTCTCGATACGCTGCAGCAGCGCATCGCAGGTCGGGATGTCGTGGATCAGGCCGATAACCTGACCGGCGGTCCAGACCTAGAGAAAGTGTGAGCAGATGCGGCTTCTTAGATAGGTAGAAGCCATGACTTACACCGTAGTCGGGGTCACCGTTCAGGAAAACCTGACGACCACGCTTGCCGCTCACATAGGGACCGATCTCCGCGAAGTCACCAGTCGTGCTTTCCTTCTCAATCTTCAGAGCCTCCTGGGTAACCTTGTTGCCGAACAAGCGGGTAGTGTTCTTCCACCGGCGGAGCACAAGAGCGGTATCAGTCTCCTGCGCCTTAACGATAGCTTCCTTAATGTTCTGGTGAATCGGAGCCTCGACAGTGCTCATGAATCGGGTACCCATGTTGATACCCTCGGCGCCAAGAGCTAGCGCAGCAGCAAGACCCTGGCCGTCGGCGAAACCGCCGGAAGCAATAAAAGGCACGCCCAGATCTTGACGAGCACGGCTCAGGAGAATGAAGTTGGTGATGTCGTTCTCACCGACGTGGCCGGCGCACTCGAATCCATCGATGGACAGGAAGTCCACACCCAGCTTCACGGCGGACTTGGCGTGGCGGATGGTGGTGCATTTGTGGAGGATGATGATGCCCGCCTTCTTCAGCTGCTTGATCACAGGGCCCGGATTATTTCCGGCGGTCTCAACAATCTTGATTCCCTCGTCGATGATAATCTGGGCGTAGGCCCCGTAGTCCGGGGGAACCAGAGCGGGGAGGAGGGTCAGATTGACGCCGAAGGGGTACTTGGTCATTTCGCGGCATCGTCGGATTTCCTTGCGCAGGTCTTCGGGGGTGGGTTGGGTGAGGGCCGTAAGCTGGATTCAGAAGTTAGGATTTCATAGCGTTCACGTATAGTGTTGGCCCAGCTGCAACGTACGATACCCAGACCACCGGCGTTACTGACGGCCGAGGCCAGCTCGGCGTATCCCACCCACTGCATGCCACCCTGCACCACGGGCACTGTTATCTTGTCAGAAAGCCATAGAGCAAACATATCAGGGACCGAGTGCATACCGCGAATACCCAGCTTGCGGGTCAGTGCGGTGTTGAAAGGCATCTTGGAGTATGACGAGTCGTTGGTATCTAATCGGCGTTTGGCGAAGTCTACAGCTGGACTGCTGATGCAGGGAGTCTTTCACAAATAAACAGAATATGGAAATGGCGGGTATATAGAAACACAAGACGGCAACAGAGACCAAAGAAGCGAGCAGTCTGAACAAAGATGATTAAAAAGCACCGAGTGACCCCAGAAGCCGCGGGCCCTTGCTGTGGGGAAGGGCAGAGCTGCCGAGGTTCAGTCGGGTGGCCGGACGATTAAACGGATTAGTCGACGGGCGAATTAGCTCGATGCGCCGAAGTTATGCACGCCGCGGATGAAGAAAGACAATCCCCAGACCCCGTACACAACAGTCCGGGGGAGCTGATGATTATATCCGCGCATAGCGGGGGATGTTCTCCTCTCCTTCACGAGGATGAAGCAGCATGTGACAGGTCCCGTGACCCAGCGATTCAGGCACGGATTTGCCAGCACTCGGCAAACACGATTGACTTGGTCGCGATGCTGTGCGCTCGTGTTGATCCCGTCAAGTACTCTGTACCTGGGCCAAGGCATATCGATGAATATCCCCTTTCCATCCATCACAAGTGAAACCCCGAGACGGCCGATGGGCAGCGGCCTCAAGATCAAAGCTTGGGACACGGAAAGCGTCATCTACGAATTGACTCTACCCCTGTCCAGGTAATAATCTTCTTTGATCAAGCGGGTAGCCTTGCGCACACAGGATGCCTCGAATCCAATCTACGTAATCTTTTAACGATATGTAACCCTGATATGAAACCCCTCGGACTCATGGGAAGAGCCAAATGGGCGATTAACGACGGGACAACTCCTTCTGCGAGTCTCGAAGGTCCCTCAACAGTCGCGACAGAATGCCGAAACCAGAGGGCGCTAAACACGTCAACTTCATTCCGACACGGGCCGGTACATTGACGTGAGCGGAGACTCGTGAAGAAGAAACTAAGAAAAAGGAGCGGGAAACAAAGCTTTAGCTTGTGGGCACAAGCGAGAATATCATGTGATCTAGGTCCATTATATCATCACGTGACTATCCAGCTCCCATGGGAAGAAGGATCTTCCGGGTGTAATTGCAGACGCCGCCATTGGCTCCCGGTCGGCAATCCCGTGACGGCTCCAAACCCGAGGTTGTCCGTTCCGATTGCTCGCGACGGGATTCTTCTCTTCTCATCGTGTGAGAACTCGACAACGACGACCATCATGTTCTCTCAGAAGGTTGCCCAGCAGTCGCTGCGACGGCGTATGTATCTTGCTCTTCGTCGCACCCTCAACTGCCAAAGCCGCTGACAATCCGTCCCGATGCACAGTTGCCGTCCAGCAGCCGCTCACCATGCAGTGGTCGATGATGCGCGCCTCCCCGGCCGCCGTTGCCCTTGGTCAGAGCATGCAGAAGAGGTCAGTTCATCTAGGTCCGAAAGGGAAAGCCATAATCTCTTTCGGTCGCAGCCATTGGCACCCCCGCGAAATCATACGTCATCCGCAATTGTCTAAATCAATGAAGACTAACCTTCCCCCATATCCAGGCCCGTCACCTCCTCCCCCAACACTGAGGACCCAGCCCAGATCCTGGTCAAGCAGCGCCTGAACCGCCCCGTCTCTCCCCACCTGACCATCTACCGCCCCCAGATCGGCTGGATCGGCTCCTCCCTGCACCGTATCACCGGTGTCGCCCTCTCCGGCACTCTCTACCTGTGGGCCACCGCTTACCTCGCCTCGCCCGCCCTCGGCTGGCACCTCGAGTCGGCCTCCATGGTTGCCGCCATGGGTGCTCTGCCCGTCGCCGCTAAGGTCCTCATCAAGGCTACCATGGCCCTCCCCTTCACATACCACAGCATGAACGGCCTCCGTCACCTGATGTGGGATCTGGGCCGTGGTCTGTCCAATCCCACCATCATCAAGTCTGGCTGGACTGTTGTGGGTCTGAGCGTGACCAGCGCCCTGGCTCTTGCTTTCCTTTGATTTCACCCGCATACCTCTTAAAGTTATCTCTCCTTGTGTTATTAAAGTGATTTGGACTAGCAATCTATACATGAAATCCGGTCCCGTGGCGCGAGCTCAAAAGGCGCAGATTTCTTTGTCTACCTACCTTTTACTTTGTTTTTCGTGATATCTATCAAGGCGGGCTAGGCTTTTTGGGTATGTTGCCCAGTCGATGCTCGTCATGAACCAAAATGCACATTTGAAAACGGTTTCTTGATATACTAGTACTCCGTGATGTCATTGGGCTTTCTTTCTAGGCTGCCCTAGCACAGCCCTAGACAGAATTCGAGAACACCATGATCCGAACCTGGATTCTTCCCTTCCAGCCCATTCGCAAGTATCAATTTCCCATGCTTTCCCATCCTGTGAAAAACAAAAAGAAGTCTGCACTAGGCCCGTCGCAACAAGACAAGGGTATCAAAGTATGGCAGGAAAAGCCGTCACTGGAGAGCATTGTCGTGTTGTGCAAGTAATCGAATACTCCCATCAGAATATGGTCTGTAATGTGAATGGTAAATATATTGCTCGAACGCGGATATATAAGGTTGTGGATCGGCACTGTTCTGGCTTCCACGGGAGGCATACCTATTTAGCCCTCTTCCCCCAACGCCAATCAAAAGCAAACAGAACGAAGAGCACCTAAACAGGGCTTGGCGGGGGGTTAGGGGGAAATGGTCGCGGCGAGGGAGGATCTTGGACTGAGTGATCGCTGGCAGGCACCCCTCCAACGAGAGGATAGGGCATCTGAGTGGAGCAGGAGTGGATAGCCTGAGAGTCAGAGACCGAAGTAGCGTAGCAAGCCATGGTAGATATTTTGAAACAACGGATGAAGAGACTGAAATTGATTCAGCTCGTTGAATAGATGGGGAATATGCAGGACTATCAACTGTGAAACTCAAAACTCAAAACACAAACGGGAGAATCTTCACGACATTGATGGAGAAATAAACAAAGAATGCATAGCAGAACCTCCAGTCCGGCTGATGCCCACCATTTAATAGTCCACAGGAATCCTACAGAGCAATCGGGGCCTTCAGAGATGCCACTCCACACATCAAGTCGTACACCGCCATCCTGTCAGCACTCCAATCAAGGAAGGTAGGTCAGAAGCTGTCTGGAAAACGACATGATACTTCTGCTGCATCTCTTACAGGTCTTGGGCGGGCGTGGCTTCCCAGCCGCCAAAAGTTGGGACTTTCTCCTCCGTGAAAGGCCTGCAAGGGCCCGACGGGAAAAAGGATTTGATGTATAAACCGTTGAATGGAGCAGTCACACCCGCTACGCTTGACCGCCCACTACTATTTATTATTGTGCTTTACTGAAATGTTCTAGATCTAACGTGTATCTAGCCTGTCACACGTTTAGGGAAAAAATAATTTACTGTAGCAAGTATCCCTCAACCAGCTAATAGAGAGAATCATGGAACGAAATTTTCTTGCGGTCGAACCCCTTCTAAAGACCATGTCCCCCGAACCTAGACGTCTTTCCGTGAGGCTGCAGATTCCAGTGGAGTGACACCAGCGGTCTGAGCAGTCAGTTGCCGGCTTCTTGCAGTGACAATCTTGGTCACGGTGGAAAACTCGGTAGTTTCATTTGTTTTGCCCCCCGGCGACGACCCAGAGCACGGTCCGCGGCAGTTAGTCGCCGCTCGGTCTTCAGAGTCGAGAGTCGGACGGCATCTAGCGGAGCAGTCGTGTTGTGTGGCTGAGAACGGTGATTTCCCTAGAATCCGACTCGGAGATAGAGATTTTACGAGGGTGTGGGTTTAGATTTCTTTAGGTATATGCTTGGCCGCGAATCAATGGGAGTATTTTTTTCACGAGTACTCGAGCTTTTCATCACTGTTTAACTGAACAGCATTTCCGGACAATGGAATAAAAGAGTTCTCTATCCCAATGCAAGTACAGTCGGAGTCTGCAGGTGGTTGAGTGATGCCTTAGGAAGCAGCATGAGAAGTATACAATGCCAACGCAAACAAAGCAGGTATTAGCACACGTGGGTCCTATGCTTCCCGCCGTGCCACAAATGCAAATCCTCCTACCCTAACTGGGGGTGCTGTAGGAGAAATACAGAAGAGCTTTGCAGGTATGACAGCACACAACAGGGCCGTTTTCTGCAACGGGAGACAAAGGGCCACAGAGCCAACCACGGCGTCTGAAACGGCTCCAAGGCTGCCAATATCCGGGACCCGCGACATCAAGCAGTCTCAAAATCGGCCGTGCTCCGCATGAGCCGATTTGTTCCTCCCCACCTCGCAGCTTGGCTGAAGGTCTCCGGCAAAAGTATCAGCAGAGGCTAGCTGGACAGACACAGCTCTTCCCGTCCGTAGAAGGCTGCCGAATGTTCCCCTAAACTCTGCTCTGCCCTTCGGGTCGTCTAGAGCCCTACTGCTTTGAGGCCATATGCTCTTTTCCCAGGGCGGCTAGGGACCTGAGTACCGCGCCTAGACATGGTTGCACCAACCTCAAGGTTGCTCGTCCTGCTTGCTACCCAGCCACATAGCTAGACAGGTTATCTCAGAATTTTCTCTAGCCTTTGGCATAACGGATTGAAGAAAGATAGACTGCCTGATCAGGCTTCCTGTCAAGCAGTATTATCCAGAGTAGTACGTTGCTGGAGAGAGGACGGGTAAGGTGCCGCGACTGCTACCTTGAATCTAGAAGCCGCTAGATATTGCATGTCATTTCCATGGGAGCATGCAGCGCTAGATTCAACACTCGACAGCATCAAGTTTCTGATAAAAGAAATCACATAGGACTGCTGCAGCCAGTGTAGGAATAACAACCCCCTCCTCTCCCTATGCGCGGGTTTAATAACAAATTAGCGGCCTGGGCCTCTATTATTAGAACAGCGGTATGAGGAGCCAGACAGTTCTGGTGTACCAAGCTCCCACAGTTACTTGGCCACCAGAGTCACTTCTGCAGGTCATGGCAGATAAAGTGCTGAAGCAATCATAGATGCATCCGGAGCATGATAGAGCCGGAGCTTCCTCATGTTGGGCTCTGCAGCTAATATCAATCTGCTTGCTAGATCCGGGTACGCTATCACCGCCAGAGAGGTGCATTAGCTTTTCAGATTCGATACGATCCCAGCCTCGCATTGGTAGCTGTAAATTCAAGGCATTTGCTTGCAGCAGCGGTGAAGACGCCCCTGGATGCATTTGTCCTCAGTTTGCAGGATGACCTGCGGGGCAGTCAGGATGCATAATTCTATGGTCGGAAGGACCACGCCCTCGGAATAATTTCAGCTCTACCAGAAATCCCAGGGATGCTGATTGCTTGAAATCAAGATTGGTCGAAGCCCCAAAATAAAGCTTGGAGACCCCAAGTGGCAGTATCACACCGCCGAGGCCGAATTCTTTCCACACCTCCGAGTCGGCCTTCGACTTCCGCAGAACAACCCGACCCCCATGGCTTCGAATCTGTCCACTCGAGCGGCCAGGGCCGCCTGCTCCGCTTCAAAGGCGGTGCCTTGCACCCAGGCGATGCTCATCCCCCGCCGCACCTTCGCTACGGGCCCAGAATCCTCGACCGGCGAGGCAGAGCAGCCCCGATGGTCCTACACGCCGCCACGCGCAAAGGCGCCTTTCAGCCTGCGGTTGCACTCGAAGCGCCCTTTCTTCCACGTTAACTCGGACCCGGCGCTGCTTGATCAGTTCTATATCCGAATGCTGGGCAATGGTGGCGACAAGATCCTCTCGGATGAGCTGAAGTGGTTGGCCGTGACGCATAAGAGTTTTGATCAAGGACGCCGCGGCTTCAACGACCGATTGGCCTTTCTCGGTATGGCAGAACGATGATTGCGAAGGTGTTATGTTGCTAATGATGTATAGGCAAGCGCATTGTGCAATTGCAGGCTTCGCTCGCTCTTGTGCAGAACCCCGAGACTGCCAATACGGCCGTAAAGAAGGATGATTACGGCCGCACACCTTTCACCCACCCGGCCCTGGATGGCCTGAAGAACCTCTCCCCCGAGACCAAGAATTTCCTGACCGACCGGTCTAAGCTTGCCGAGCTGGCGCAAAAATACGACATGCAGAAGATTCTCCGGTGGACTCCGCGCAAGGTTCGACAGGAAACCTTTAATCCGCATCCTTCGAGTGTAGAACTAACTTTGTCTCTTCTAGCCCGATGACCTCAAATCTTCTGGCCTTGAACTCATCCTGGCACACACCATGTACGCTGTTGTCGGAGCGGTCTCGTTGGAGAAGGGTGGACACATTGCCAACAAGGTGGCCCAGGAGCGGATACTCGAGCCGCTGGGCCTCAAGACGGTCTCGTAAGGGGACGGACCTGCCGGGGTTGGGGAATCGCACTTGGACCACAAACCCTCCGCAGCATTTTCATGGCGTTTCTTGATATCTTCTGCTTGGGAAAGGTGATTGGAGGCTGCACTGGACCGGGCACGCCTTGTTCTACACGGCCGGTTGTACATGTACTATTAACTACGAGGACACTTTTTCTCACTTCTATTCTGTTCATTGGCAATATTGCAAAATACCACACTTGATCATTTCAATTGGGTTTCCATTGACGTAAGTCACAGTAGTATTAATCATAATAAATAAACCATCAGGGAGTTGAATGTACGGTTCCTCTGACGCCGCCCGCGTAACAGTGAGTAGAATACACGGCCAGCTCTTATGGAGCCCTCTTTACGTTAGTCTCCGCATCTCTGTATCGCAAGTATTCAGCAATTTAAAACTGATAGCCGATCCGACAGAATGCCGGGAGCTGCAGAAAATCACAAGGACTTTGTACTGGCTTGCACTGTCTATTGAGAGCGTTGAAGAAGAAAGAAAAAGGAAGGGAAAAGAACGCGGCGAAGAGATTTTTATGTGGTGAGGCCACTGGCGCTAGTCCACTTTGGGGTGCGGTGCGGCTCCACCAAAACCGCGGGCGATGCCGGTCGAATGTTTCGACCGTCTGGACGTGCTGGCTCCTATCTTACATCCAGCTTGCTTTCCCTTTGCTTATTTCTCAGTCGACGTCCACATTGATCATGTCGCAGTAGGGCGCAGCGTGCGGCTTTGTTTCTCCTGCCTCTGACCTTGAAACCTGATAATCGCCTGGATACCTAACACCCAATATCTCCATCTCCCCATTGACACGTCATGGCGTCGGCCCTCTTCTTCCTGGACCTAAAGGGCAAGGTGCGTGGTTCATGCAGGGACCTAAGCTAGCATTGCCATAGACTTGGTCGCTGCTGCTCAATTCATGTGGGGATGCCGCTAACATCTCCTCCAGACCCTCCTGGCCCGTAACTATCGCGGGGACATCCCCATGTCCGCGGTCGACAAGTTCCCCATCCTCCTCAGTGAAGCCGAAGAAGAGTCATCGGCTGTACCTCCATGCTTCTCTCATGAGGGTGTTAACGTACGTTCTGCTGCCCGCTCTGCCTGCCCGCGTGCTCCTTCCATCCCACCCTCCTCATGGTCTCCTTTTTGTTTGTGTGCGCAGCCCACATGGAACTGACTCGAACCGGCCTTCCGATAAATAGTACCTTTATATCCGTCACAGCAACCTCTATATCCTCGCCCTGACCAAGAGCAACACAAATGCCACCGAGATCCTCCTCTTCCTCCACAAGCTTGTGGAGGTCTTCACCGAATACTTTAAGGTCCTGGAAGAAGAGAGTATTCGGGATAACTTTGTCATCATTTACGAATTGCTTGACGAGATGATGGACTTTGGATACCCGCAGACAACAGAGAGCAAGATCCTGCAAGAGTAAGTCTAACTGAGAGCTCGTGTCAAGTGGCACGTGGGGTGGCGGGCACCGTTGGCTGACGTGTGCGAACTTCCCCAACACAGATACATCACCCAAGAATCACACAAGCTCGAGATACAAGCACGGCCACCCATTGCCGTCACCAATGCCGTGTCCTGGCGAAGTGAGGGTATTCGCTACCGCAAGAACGAGGTCTTCCTGGACGTGGTCGAGTCTCTGAACCTGCTGGTCTCGGCCAATGGAAACGTCCTACGGTCTGAGATCCTGGGCGCCGTCAAAATGAAATGTTATCTGAGTGGTATGCCTGAGTTGCGGTTAGGTCTCAACGACAAGGCTATGTTCGAGACGACGGGCCGTGCCACGCGGGGCAAGGCCGTTGAGATGGAGGACGTCAAATTCCACCAATGTGTGCGATTGTCGCGGTTCGAGAACGACCGGACAATCAGTTTCATTCCACCCGACGGTGAATTTGAACTTATGAGCTACCGATTGAACACTCAGGTCAAGCCACTGATCTGGGTTGAGTGTTTGGTGGAGTCGCACTCGGGATCGCGCATCGAGTACATGCTCAAGGTACGATTGGATCCAGACTTTGCTTTTAGCAAATACCCTACTAAATCATACTAATTCAATTTCTCCGTCTAGGCCAAAGCCCAATTCAAACGCCGCAGTACCGCGAACAACGTCGAAATCCTCGTTCCCGTCCCAGAAGACGCAGATTCCCCTCGCTTCCGTACCAACATCGGAACCGTTCACTATGCCCCTGAGAAGTCAGCAATTATCTGGAAGATCAAGCAGTTCGGTGGCGGCAAGGAGTTCCTCATGCGGGCGGAGCTGGGTCTTCCGTCTGTAAAGGGCGACGATGAGCACGGCGGCGGTATGACAGGCGGCTTTGGTGGAAGCATGGGCGGCGCCGGCGCGATGGGCAAGGCGAAGCGGCCTATCAACGTCAAGTTCGAGATTCCTTACTTCACCACCTCCGGTATCCAGGTGCGGTACCTGAAGATCACCGAGCCGAAGGTATGACTTTCCGCAACCTGCACTATCACTCTGGAATGAATATGGCTGATCAATATCCTAATAGCTGCAATACCCCTCCCTCCCCTGGGTCCGCTACATCACACAATCAGGCGACATCGCCGTCCGCATGCCGGACGTCCAATAAGGCATGATGTTTATGCGACTTCTGCATGAATTATTTGTACAGCCCTTTCTTGCTTCCCTCTTCACCCTTTTCTCCCCCTTCTTACATCAAGGCTATATTTTGTGCTCCGTTGAGGCCGGCCGGTCCGATAGATAATTCAATCCCGACGTTCTTATTTCTCCTTTCTTTGTACCGTATTGGTGCGAATAGAATATAGCTCAATTCTGGTAGGGTCGCATTAGCGTTATTTGCAAACTTCGTTTGGTTCAGCTAGGTTCGTGCTCGGTGTAGAGTTCATCGCAATGGATGGTTGCTCTCTAGTGCTGGGGCGGTTTGAAGGGCAGATGAGCCACACCTTTTGCTATCGCAGGCAGTTGTGTTGCATCCGCTTGATAGACTTAACTTCGATGAACGTAACTTGTGATTGACTAATACGCGCTATTGACCTTGGACTAAGCTAGCGCATAAAACGGATAGCTCCAAAGGGGCCAAACCATGCTTCAGCCATACCATGCTTCAGCCAACCAGTGCCCTTCGCGATCTCCCAGCAGAGTCACAAATGAGTCACCCCTTGTCTATTGTGAAGTAGTTGCACTATCCGTCTTATCCTTTTCCGTACACTAGGGACAATTAATGCTCCGTTTCGGTCTAATAGGTGGTTGCACCTGTCTAATGCTGTACAGTAGAGTATATAATGTCACAAAATATTTCACCGGTCCAGGTAAATCATTCATTAACCGCGCCACTTGATTTGTACATTATGTCAAAACTAATCACAGTCTTTGGAGCCACTGGCAATCAAGGTGGCTCCGTTATTCGCACCATCATTGCTGATTTGGAATTGTCTAAAGATTTTCGAATTAGAGCGGTGACGCGAGATGTGAGCAAGCCGAAGATAAAAGCCTTGAGAGATCAAGGAGTGGATGTTATCCAAGAAGTCTGCTGCATAGTCCAGATAAGGCTATTTTATAGGACGAATCTCTCATAGCAATGATGTAGGGAGATATGTCATCTGTTGCGGACGTCATAAAGGCAGTTGACGGAGCTCATACTGTCTATGTAGTGACAAACTTTTGGAAATCAATGTCTGCAAAGCCGGAAATCTTGCAAGGAAAGAATGTCACCGACACTTGCAGGAAGGCTGGTGTCAAGGACCTGATCTTCTCGTCCCTGATCAATGCCTCGAAGGCCACCAGCGGACGGCTTGTCAACATCACTCATTTCGATGGCAAAGCAGAGGTAGAGGAGTACATTCGTGAAAGTGGTATACCGGCTAGCTTTGTCATGCCTGTAATATAGATGACTGAATTATTCTCATTGATTCGGAAGCAAGAAGATGGCTCGTTTGCTTTGACGATCCCCATTTCGCCCAAGGCTGTTGCACCATTCATTGATATCAGCAGTGATACAGGTGATAATACCCAATTTTCACAGCTTTCTTTCTGCATTACTGACTAGTCCAGGAAATTTTGTCCGGGCTGCTCTCCAGCACCTGCCTACGGAAGGTCCAAATGTCATTCACGCGGCTGGTAACTACTACAGCTTCGAACAAATTGCCTTTGATTTTGAATCTGTGACGGGAAAGCCGCTCAAGGTGGACACTGTTCTTGGAGATGTCTTAAAATCTTTTCTCTCTCCTTTTCTCCCACCGGATATGGTTGAAGAAGTCTATGAGAACCTGGTTTTGCTTGAGGAGCCTGGCTATTACGCCGGCGCCGATCTGACCGACAGTCTGAAGTTGTTATACGAGAAGCCTGTGACTGTAAAGGAGTTCATTGCACAAAATCAAGTACATTGGTATTAACAGGATTCCTCAATAAACAACATGTACACATTGGCCTGGTAAAGATGTCGATTTTTGTTTTAGGTATAGATACTTTTCGTGTAGGTTTCATACCCTCACAACTCCACATTCTGTTTATGTTTCATACTTGCTTTGAATGGGCTGAGCCACTAGAGACAGGTCTTTAGTCTTTACTACCTTGAATAGGTAAACGTAGTTCTTAGCGGAGCGAATCGCTTACAATAAGAATGTGGAGAATTACAACCAGCAATACCCAAAATTAACAGACTCGCTCAAGCGAAAGCTTATCCTGCACCTCCCATCCTCGAACAAGGTTAGAATCCATAGCATCCCGATGTTGCAGATAGTCTACTTGCTCACTTCGGTAAAGTGAAGTTACTCTATGTGTACGTATCTACAGGTCAAGAGGTGTGCAGCCGATGTCAACGACACCCTAGAGTACAGTTATTAGTAACAATGCTATTTTTAGAGAGTTTATTAGGCTGGTTACATTCTGCTCACTCTCGCCACAGCAAACAGCCTGCTGGGAGCACTGGCTTTTAATTGAATCGTCGGTATCATCAACGGGAACAGTGACTTCGTTGCACTGGCCGAGGAGATTCTGAAGGTCGACGTCGGAACCGAGTCCGGGGTCGGTCAACTGCTTCGCGGTCTCGGGGTCGCAGCAGAGGATGTTACCGTCGCCACAGGTGTCGCCCTGGCCCTTTGTGGAAACGGCAACGGCGACAGCGACGAAAGCGAGGATGATGGCCTTAATGAACATTTGGAAGGGCTGACAATGCGTTTGAAGGTGGAGAGAATGATAACGTTGGAAATGTGCTTGAGGATTTTGCACGAGGGACTGTAGTCGTTGATGATGATGGTTATGAGATGCTTCCAATTTACATGAGGAACGAGGGTATGTTATGTTTATATTCGTACCTAATAGCAAGGGGTAAGAGCTTTCACATTCCAAGTCTCATGGAATAGGCACAAGATCGACAGCTGATGTGAATCAGGGGCATTCCTACAGTGTATACTGTAGTCTATCTGTATTAAAGTATGGTGCAATGATTTCTCTGTCTGAGAACACGTTTCTAGCTGTCTGCTTTGGCTCGAGAAGTACTGGCTTTGTTCATCCCACCGTACAATATGAGATTACATTGTTTACACCGACTTATCGAAGATACATGGACACAGTTAAGGCCGGCGGGAAAATATCCTAAATAGAACTAATGCGACTGAGGTGGGCCTTGGGAAAGAAAGAGAGGTGGATTGGAGGTAAAAATAATTTTGAATATGACTGTACCACGATGTATCTCGATGAACTACAAGGTTTTCACCTGGGGTTACCGAGAAACAGCCAGCAATAAGATGTTGCAAAACGCAATAAGCAGGCTATCTCATCTATAGAGAAATCCAGGAATCGACGATAGAATTCATGCATTGTTCGTACCGCAACGCCGTATGGTAGGTATCAGCGCCCGTGAAAGTAAACCCTGACTTTTCTGCCAACAAAAGTAGTGAAAAAAGTCCCCAAAATTATGCCGGCTATACATGGCACAATATAACGCTCAAATCCAACTAATTCGATCAAGCAACGGATTTCTCATGCTTGAATGGCCACTCCATTCATCGTGGCATCCTCAGGGCCGTCCGGCGGTGGTAACGGGAACCCATCTGACCGGCCGGAGGCGGCTGCTTTTGAAAAGCCCTCGCGGGCGAGCATGGTGTTCAGGACGGCGCAGTTATACGCAGCCTCGCCTGGTGGAACGACGAGGAAGATGTACGTGTTATCGGTGAAGCGGCCAAGAAAGATGTTGAACTGGGGAGTTTTGGTGTGCATGACGACGAAGCCGGCGGAGGCAGGTGTTGTGAGGGTATTCCGGGCGGCGCAGTGCTTGAACGCTTTCATGATATTTGAGAGGCGCTCGTGGCGGTCATAGATAGGGTTGAGGTCGCCGACTTCCGAGGAGACGGATGTGACCGTTAGGAAGGTCGAGCGCTCGAAGAGGATCACTTCCTCGGCGTCGATCTTCTTTGCAAATGCGCTGAGGAACCGCTCGATAACGGTCAGGTTCGGAATGAGCTTGTGGACGATGCCCGCCCAGGCTTTGTATAGCGATTGATCCCAGATGCTACTGCCGAAGGTGTCGACGCGAAATTGTTCGGAGCGGGAGCGGATCAACGCTGAGCGTTCTTCGTAGATGCGTTGTCGGTGCTCGGCTTGGATCAGGTCCATTTTGTGCACGAGGCAGAAGACGTAGGCGTTAGGGCTAAATTCGCGGAGAGCTTCTATGATCGCACTGTAGGTGTCTAGGTCGCGGTCGACCTCGCGCGATTCAATGTCGAAGACGTAGATTAGGACCGCGACGTCGGAGAAGATGTTGCCGCGCTGGGAGGCGAGATAGGTTTCCATGAAGGCATCTTGTCTGGAAATAGGCAGGAAATTACACACGGTTAGCCGAGAAGTCGTTTTACATAACACCAAGTATGCGACACGGGCTACTCACCCTCCGCAGTCCCACAGGTTCAGAGTCAGGTTGCCCATAAACTTGACATGACTATGCTCGACATCAATCGTGGCACCGAGCCGGCGCACATCTTTGGCAACGTAGTTGCTAAAGATAATTGAGCGCATGGACGACTTGCCCGAGCCGCTCTTGCCCATGAGAAGGACCTTTCTCTTCTTCTTGCGAGCGTCCATGTTGGCGATCTGCTGGTACGGTGCTGAGCTCGGATGGTTGCCCCGCAAGAGCGGGGGCGAGGTCGGGTGCTTATGGGAGGCGACCAAGAGGCCGGGAGGGTGGATAAGGCTCAACGGAGATCTAGGGTGACCTGTGTGCTATTTTCAAGAAGTATCGGGCATGACTGGGTCTTATCCAAGAAATTGGGGGCGACTGATGAGGGAGGAGGAAATGTACCTCCAGCCTTCGAATGCGGAGTGAACGGATCAACCTCCGCCCGGTGAATATCACATGACCTGTTTTGACTGCGCCCGCAGGTACCTGCGTGGAGGCTAACAACCTTGAAAATACAGATCTGTTCAGTACATTAAACACTCTCCTCCCTCATCAAAGGCCGCGGGGCAAAATGAGCTTACTAGGTATGCAGCAAGAGTAGTGTTTAGAAGGACTCCTCTGTCTGAGCCAAGGGCTGCGTTGGAAGGCATCTGCAGTTGCTCTAGAATTATATGAGACTGAATGCGCAAATATGAAATGCTTCGCAAGCTACATGGAGGATCGCTAATATAATCATCGTATGATGGCACCAGCGAAATTGGCAAGTTTGTCACATAGCCGAGCCGGCGAGATGACGACATTGGCAAGGATGATGGGGAGGGTTGGTTGGAGGATAGCCTTCCCAGAGCAATCAACCATGCTTAACCCGATTGTCTCGAGTAAAATGCGGCTATGTAGAAAAATAGAAAGGAGGAATAGCTGTTGAAAAAGGAGCCAGAATAATCTATTCCCAAAGGAAATTCAAAAGGTGGTATCCGAAAAAGAGACGCAACCGCGTGCTGGTAACCAGCAACACCATGCATGCAAACGGCTTCATTCTGAAGAAAGAAAAAAGGAGAAGAATCCCGAAACCGCCGAGAAAATAACACAAGCAACGAGGAGGCCAGCCATGAGAGAAGAGTAATTTAGTAAAAGGTCATCGCGCAAGAAAGGCAAAAAGGTCGTCAACAATTCATAAGGTTAGGTAGAGACGAAGCACCAATCCCGAATAAAAATGAGAAGCATATCGTAGGATTGATGCCCGCCAGGTATCCAATCGTCTATTAGCTCGTGCGTATAGGGCATTAGAAGACCGTGCCGTCGGAACGAATCATAATGGGCGGCTCTTTGGTGTTTGGCCTGGAAACCTCGGCGATTTCACGGCCACCCTGTCCTCATCAGTTAGATGTGTCGTCATAGGAAGATATATATATGGGAGGGGTGAGAGAGTAAGACGAACCTTCCATGTTCCAGCCTCTAGCATCTGGGCCAGCGTCAGCTGTTCGTCCGAGCCGGCGAGTCCGAGTTGGATGTTCACCTCATCGAGTAAATCATCCAAGAAACCGACAGTCACCGCCCTCCACTCCACAATGACATCGTCATCTGTCGAGAACAAAGGAACGACCTCCATATTAGGCTGTCCCTTAATCTGCGCATTCTCCCTGAACGACTGGAGGCCACGCTCCATGTCATCATCTTTGAGGCTCAAAAGACCCATGTCGACAAGGAGACCGCCATTGCGATACTCGGGGAGACCCGTTAAGAGGTCGCTGCCGGCGAAGTGAATAGCCATCAGTCTCGACATGGGTACCATGATCGAGTAGCAAAGCCACTGGGTGAGTTTGTGGAAGGGCATAATACTCTCCCACGCCTGGGCGGGTGGGGATCGCGGGAGGTCTGAGCACCACCAGGCGTCGCCGATGGCCACGCCGTCGATTTGAGTCCGCGAGGACGGCCAGATAGAAGAGAAGCCGTCCATCAGGACGGACCAGAGAGTCGTGATTGGGATAATGGGTACGGAAGAGGCGAGTGTCGACGGGTGACAGAGCAGGTAATCTGTTCCGCATGAGCATTAGCGTGTGGATTGAGTCAACCCCATCATATCATCCCTACCTAGCATATTTCCCGGTCGTGCATCCACGCCGAAAAAGTCCTGGTGGTTGAGCGCTTCCGATAAGCGCACTAATAACCCCGTGCGCCCCTCAATCCCAGCGAGCGGGTTCTGGTCCGAATGTTGCATCCCCTTCGCCAACTTTTCGACCGTGACCTTCTTCAAGCCCGCCCCATCCACCTGGCAGGGTTCCGTAGGGTCGCTGCTGAAAAGGCCGGACTTGAACATCTCCAGGCTGGCGACGGCCAGGCCCTCGCTGCGCGAGTACACCTTGCCAGACTCCTTGGACTTGTACGACCATCTGGTGCCGGCGGCAGCGTCGAGCAGCACGGAGACTACAAACAAGTCGATTAGGCGGCGGGTGCGTTCTTGCGAGTCAATGCTACTGGGCCAAGACTGAAGGAGCTGGTTAATCCGTGGTCGGCCGCCGACGTCGAAGTGTTGCCAGCGGCCATGTGGGGGGATGTCTTGATAGTCGGGGGCATAGTCTCGCTGTACCGGGTCAGTGCATGCGCGAAAGAATAGAGTGACGTCCTTGGGGTTGTTTATTTTGGAGACGATGACGGTGGCTGGTTATTTTACCTTGATAATGGAGACGACATACTGAGCCGTAGCCTGGAACTTGCTCATATCGACGTCGAAGTGGTTCAGCTGGTTGCGCTTGGCCGTGTCGAGGACGATATTGGCGCGTTCGCGCACGGCGTGGATGCTGCGGAGATAGGCGGCTGGGTCCAACGCCGGGTCGGGCGGTTTCGCAATGGGCACTTCGGGGATGGAGGCCGGCAGGCCGCTGCCCTTGTATCCAGGCGATCGCAGCGAGGTGTTGGATGTGCGGGCGCTGTTGACAGAGACAAAGGACTCCCGCTCATCCCTGTCGCTCTGCACGGAGTTTTTGGAGTTGCGCTTGAAGAGGCCCATGGCCGCGGGTATGCTGTTTGTCTTGGGTCCGTCCGTTGGCCCTCGTAGTTCGCTGTCCTTAATTTAATCGATTTGCCTGTCCGAGCTGCTGGATTCCCCGCCCTGGGATTTCAAAGTGAAGACACGGTAATAAGGAGACGAGGGGAAGTGATCGAGTCGAGTCGCATGCGGTCTCGGGTTGGCGGGGGGTTGTCCTGGGGTTATTGAGTGGCGTTGTTTTGGGGTTGCTCAATGGGTCTGTATTCAACCCCCAAGGGAACGTCTCCAGGGTGTATTGGGAATGATATAATAAAATAATAACAATAATAAACCCAGGACCATAAAACAATAGTAGCGTTTTTTTTTTTTTCCAAAACTCCGAAATGATTCGGAGGGGCGGTCGGTGGCCGGACTCTTGACAATCTCCACGGTTTAGGGATCCATCCTCTAGCTCGTTAGCCCGTCCAGCCTTCAAGTGGGGGACGAGGATGGCCGAGAATTAATACTTTTAGTATAACAAAGGCGGAGCCGTTGAGCTATGGCAAATAGCGGCTTGTGAATGATTTGCCCAAAGTCAGCGCATTGACCAGTAAAAGCGATAGACTCAAGTAGAAGTAGAAATCAAAGTAGCAAGAGAAGACAAAAAGGGAGGTTGATACCCCTGAGACAAAAGAAGAAAAAGGTTAGCGGATGCGAGCCACCGCGATGCGACGGGGGTGGGGGAAGAACCGAGGAGAAATGAGGAGAGAGCAGAAGAGTAAAGTATCAGGTACAAGCCACTGAGAGCTTCCTGGGAGGATGCGACGGACGGGACTCGACAAAGGAGGTACCGGGTACAGCGTCCGACTGCTGGACGGACCGACTAACTTGGTAGCCGCTTCTTAGCTGCTCCTCAATGGCCGAGTTACGGTTTACACAACCCTGAAAGACGCGGAGGCACTAGGGGTCCGATTTTCCTGTCCGGAATTCTCTCTCGCGGCAATCGCTCGAGGGTTACAGGGTTTGCTCCTACCGAAGAAGGGAGTACGGGCCGCAGAGGTATACCGAATAGGTCTCCGCAAGAGTCATGGACGAACACGAAGATCGTCGGGAATGAGGTCAGAACCAGGTTCTCCGTCTAGGCCCCCGTCCAGGTTAGAAGGGTACGTGTATAGATCGCTAGCGCGGGTATTGATCAGGCCTTCCCGGAACGGGACCCGCCCTCCATAGTCTGGACCAAGAGCTCATTTTGGAGCTAGTTAGGTGCCGTGAGAAGATTCGACGATGGACGATGCACGATGCACGTCGTGCACGGACGGAATCACGGCGGCAATGCAGTGGACCACACCCAGGATGGGTGGGCAACCCGTCGGTCAGCCCACTAGAGCTGCTGTTTTCACTCGCCACGGCGTCAAGGGATTGTCCCTGACCCCTCTGTCCGTCCTAGGCTGTATGGAGGACTTCCCTCGGAGCCGAAGAAGTGCGGAGTGCTGGTCTTTGTTATGATTCCGGTTCATGTTCGTGGCGCGGCCCTTAAACCCGGATCTAGATCGCCGCGGTGCCCCGCGGTGAACCAGGGTAAGCAGGAGGTCAGGCTTCTGGTTATGGCTCACCGCGAGCGGGGGTTGGAGGCACGAAGGCTTTACTTGGGCAAGTGGAATAGTTTTAACTCGTGGGATTTTAACATGTCCCTGCACGCGACGAAGGATTCGTCGTCCGGCCACCTACGTGACCTCTCTTAACCAGAAGCGACCGAATGCACACCCCGCCTCTTACCCAACAGGGTAACTACTACGTGCAGTATAGTGTAGTATAGTACGCAAGACAGGGATCTAAAACTCACTCTTGTTTTCTTCCCCTGCTCTAGAATGTCGTTGCAAGCAGGTTAATGGTCCGATCTGGAGTGCAGTGTGCACCGTGCAGACCCTGTCGCGGGCGGAGGTATTCCCGAGTCAGCACTAGCATCGGTGGCTCGGCTGCAAGGGACGCCAATTCGCACGTCCGAACATTCAGCCAAGCGCAAACTGCTGTGGTATTGTACCAAAGAGTCAATACTTGTTCACAATCCATTTTGACACTACTTGGAGGTGCACCCGCACATAATGTCGAGCTATACCAGGGCTATCGCATTCGCGTCACTCGCTGTAGACCCGAGGGTCTACCTTCCCAGTCTCGCCTCCGCCAGACAATTACAGACTAGTTAGATTAACCCGGTCTAGATCGTGCGCCCGGCTCCAGGCGAGGCCCGTTAGCATAGTGGACAGTGCGGGAAATTCGCCGACGGATTGCGCTGTCTCTGCTGACGATCAACGCCTTCATCACACGGTCAGAGACCCAGTAGAATAGACAGCGGGAGGGGGGGAATAAAAATTAAAAATTAAAAATTAAATAAAAAAAATAAAAAATAAAAAATAAAAAATAAAAACACCAAGATAGCATACGCCGACTCCGAGAGGGTCTGTCTAATCTCCGTCGTGGCGGACACAACCCACATCGCACTCCCCGAGGACCATTCGCACCTCAGCGACTGGGCGAGGGCTCCAACCAAGGCGGGAAGCACGGGCCTGGCCACACTGTTGGGTGGTTTCAAGTTTCACGTTTAACCCCCCGTTAACGTTCGAGAATGCTGAACCTGTCATTTCCACTTAGAGGTCCCAATGTGGTGGCTAGTGTGTTTATAAGGTGCTTGGCTCCGAGTCCTTTATCGGCAAATAACAGACCCCGAGAGCACACATCATCGCGTAAAAGAGGGTTCGGCCCCTGTTCTGCCAGGGGCACACATGTTGGCGCACTGCGAAAAGGTCCACCAGGTGCAATCCGCTTTCCCATTCGTTTCCGCGCGACTCCTCTACCCGACTGTTCCGCTATCGTTTCCCACAAAGCGGAGAACTGAGTTTTTTCGTCCTCCCACCCAGAGCCGGGAACGCTCCATGCTGTGTTGGCAGCATATCCAGTAAGGAAAGTAGTAGTATGGTAGACGGAGCACGCCGTGTGAGATCAGAAACTGTTCGTGGCCGTACTTTTGCAAACCACAGACCCATCAGCTAACGTCTGCACCTGCTGTCTTCGCTGCCGCGCTAAATTGGAAGCATCTAGAGCACGGTCATGATAAACAAGCCAGCGTACCATAGCAACAACATACAAAATGATAGGGATCAACTGTGTCAGTGGCTACCCTGGCAATCCAGTGTGCCCCCCATTATGCCGGGCCGCTCGCACGGTTCGTCGGACCCAGACATCGCGACGGGGAGAACCGCCACGCCAACTCCACCCTTTCCATGGAAAGCATCCATGCTATTTGTGTTCGGCCCTCGTATTATCGATTAACTCCTGACAGCGTCAACCTTTTCCTCTCGTGGCAGCGACTCGGATTGCAGCTGTGCGAGCATCCGGCTTCCGGGGCGTCTTCTCGCTAACTCTATTCTAGGAAATTATGCGAGCGGCACGTTGGTTGCGCTAAATGGCGTTTTGACGACTGCTTAGTGGTAAGGTTATTTGGGGAAAGCGTGTAGATAGCTATTTACACTGATTGCCTGTGCTCACGAACCATGGGTGTAGATGAGAAAGGTTGGCGCTACCCTATATACTGGCGTTGTGAGGCGTGTTCAGTCGCGCACTAGGCCGGAGGGAGAATCTCAAGTAGACGACTACTGCGATCAGATCGCGAAGTGTGGCGCGGGTTGCGATATCTCGCTATGATTTTCTTCTTTTGTTCGACACCGGGTGAGTGGCGGGGAATGTAAATCCATAGATAGTTCAATGGGCTGAAAACGCGATCCTGATAAGTTAACTTTATTTTTTAGGCCCGTAACGTGCAGTGCACCACAACCTCTCTCGGAAGGGGTACGAAACAAGAATTTCCCTTGAAAAAGCTAAAATCAAATACTATGGTCGTGAAAGTGCTCGTGTGCCATTTTTTTCATGTGTCATAAATCCCGGGCTACAGAAAATGGAGATTTGTGCATCGCCTCTCTACCACGGGTAGCTTTTATCCGCACATTTGCAATCTATTTTGCCTCGGATTTTCTATTGTTTCCTTCAAAATACCTAGATTAATTTAAATTCAATCACTTTCTGTTCACCAAAGTCTTGCGAAGGTACTTCGATCTCTTCGGCCGATTATTCGGTAGACCGCGGTATATTACGAAATGTGATATCCAATGATGACCAACGAGTACATCTAAAGTAGAATCGAGACAGATAGCGTTGCTATGCTACTCTATCCGAGAGTGAATAATATAAAATAGCTTTCAAAACGGGCGTAGATTTGGATTCGAAGACAATGAAAGGATCCTCGGCGTATATTATTGTCGCAGATTCTGTTTGCATTTCTCTCCTTGGTAAGATTTACCTTGCCGATTGTTCGGCAGGACAGAGCGGAGATCCCCGGGCCAGAAGACGTGAGCGAGGGAAAAAACTGATTGAGCATGAAAGAGCCTTGGTCGGGATAGATATAAAAGTGCTGATATATATACTCCATATTCAGTGCCTAAGTAGCTACAAGATGAGAGATATATTGTGATAGAATAGCTAGTAATCTGGCAGGATTTCAACACAACAGAAATCCATCGAAATTTCTACCGATAGTGAATTAAAGACATGCCGTAAGCTATACTATATCTAATTCTCAAGACATCAAGTACTCGATTTCATTCGCTATGTTCGGTAGCCGGGATGGTGGGGTGGTGTGGGGGAACCTCCTGCTCCGTCTCTTTGTAAATGTCTTTTCGAATGTCTTTGACCCATCTTACTTGATGCCTTCCAGATAAACTTAGCGACCACTTGAGTGTAGTACCTAAAGCTCCTACAGAGAGATTTTCGAAGATTTCCTCACCTTTGAAGGTGCCACTGTATATATTCGATACCGTGCATTTTGTGAGGTGTAATAATAATACATCAAGAGGAATTGCCTTCTGTATTATTAATTCGAGCCGCCTAATATACAACTGGGCTTGTGGTTTAGTGGTATAATACTCCCTTAGCATGGGAGTGGTCCGGGGTTCGATTCCCCGCGAGTCCAGATCTTTTTGCCCGTCTAAATTCTTCCCTGGTCCGTAAAATTGGAAATGAAATTGGGGAGGGGATCGCTAAGTGCGATGATTGAAAGTGGATCAGGCCAGAATTAGTCATCAACTTTCGCAAATAGGCTCACTAGAAAATGTGGCCCGCCCCACTTATTCATACCCCCTTACCTCTGCATACCTTCTGCCTTCCTATATCTACCAGTTCTCCGACTGTAGATATCTGGCCCGCCCCTCTGCATCTATACACTGCTTACCAATCAATTTTGTCTGTCTCCAACCAACAGACGTCTGCCAGACGTCTACATGATGTCTTCCGAGCCAGCAACACCTACCTTCTCAAGGCATGTCGCGCCTACGAGCGCTATCGCCAGGACATGCCGAACAGAACAGTGACGATGCCCACCTACGAGACAGTGAGATTCCTTCCTCTAATCCTTTACTTTACCGCCTTCAGGAGGTCTGCTAACCGTCTGCTGGAAATCTAGGACGATGTTGGTGAGATCATTATCTACCCCGGCGAGGTCTTCTGTAGACAGCAAGATTGCACCAAATCTATGGTATGGTGTCTTATCTCTCTCACCTTACTGATATCAAGGCATTTGCTAGACGTCTGCTAAACTTTCACTCCCTTAGGTTCCGCTCAGCAGGTCTACCGCTCTCCGAACCCACCTCAGAGACTCCCATGGATTGCAAGTGGCCAAGCTAAAACATGGCAGTCTTAAGCCGGTCGATAAGCACAAAGCAATCGATTTTTTTAATGGCCTCTATCACAATCCCTCTACCTCTCTCTCTACCTCTGTCTCTACCTCTGTCCCTACCTCTGTCTCTACCTCGGGTTCTGGTGATACCGAGCCTGCGGTGCCTATGCACAGAGGACGCGTGGGTAGACCCCCTAAGCCTACGGTGCCTATGCAGAAAGGACGCGCGGGTAGACCCCCTAAGCCTAAGCCTACGGTGTCTATGCATAAAGGACGTGTCGGTCGTCCCCTTAAGTGTTCTCCAGAACTCTGACAGATATCTAAGAAACAAAAATGAATATTTTACCTCTGCTCCCTCTTCTTCTTCTCTTGCCATCTGCACAAACTTGTCATACTGGATGCTTAACTCAGTCTGTGCCATTTTTTTTTCTTTATAGAGGAACATGGGTATTGTCCAAAGAGATGCATTATGGCTTCAAAAATAAGTGATTGCACAAAACTATGGCGCAAAACAGACAAAGTAAATATTAGTTCCCTCAATCTCAGCGCTGAGTATAGATGTATCCGTCTCTGCTTGGAATGAAGCCTTCAACTCCAAGGCCGAACCCCTCCCATCCATCAAATTCGTCAACAAATTTGGCCGCTGCCTTGAGATAGAAATTGTCCTTGGTTCCATATGTCTTCTCAAATACTTTGGGTCCTCGAACAGCCTTGAAAAAATGCGCATCTTTGTACCACGTGTGTGTCAAGGCCTGGCTTACCACAAAATCCCAGTCACGACCGTCGAGCGACACGGAGTCAATCGAGTCGATAATATGAACATCGAACGTGGGCTTCAGCTGACAAATGTAAATCATAATCACAAACAAGGCATATTGCCTCAGAATGCAAGCATGTCTCTCCTTAGGGAGGAAATGCCAGAGAACGCGGACGGCATGAGCGACTGTCATAGTGTGCATCAGGAAGAAGTCGTATTTCAGCTCGCGGCTGCCTGTCCCAAAAGCCAGTAACATGGACACATCACAGCAATGTTCTAGTTGTTGGAGTGGGTCTGTTGCCTCCCACGCATTCCAATGTTCTAGAAGAACATCAAACCGTTTCTCTAGCAAGACGCCCATGTTTGTAATACCTGGATCGGTAAACAAACCATCCAATCGCTCATCATCATGGACCTTTTTGATCACGTCGGCCAGACTGGTCGTTTTAAATGTCGAGTTATCCGGGGGATAGTGGTCGAGAAGACCATGAAGCCCAAAGTACTCAGTACATCCTAGTGAAAGTGCCTCCGAGGCAACCGTTGAAGACTGGAGCTCCCAAGCATACGCAAGATGAATAAAAGGGTGACCGACTAAGTCACGGTCAGCAACTGATTGCAAAATCCAGGTCAATCCTCTGAGGATGGAAAACATACGACCACCCACAAAGCCATTGATGAGCGGCTCCTCATCTGTAAAAAGATACTTTTCAAGGACAGGTTTCCAATCGTTGTTGTGAGATCTTATCTCCTCGTCGAAAAATTTGACATACTCAACAGTATGCCTGTGGAACCTGTCAGCATGCATGTAGTTGGGTAGGAAGTGAAATACTCGGCACGCACGATTTTCGGTTCAAGAAGTCCCTCCATTTTGGCGGCGTAATGGAATCGCCCGGCATTTCTACATCGTCAGAATGGACCAAGCCCTTGATCTCGTGCTCGTATAGTTCGTCGAGTTGGTCAATGTTCGCCCCTAGGGCGTAAGCCGAGCCTAAAACCTATGTGCGCTGTTGTTAGATCTTTGCATGGCACATGTGAAGGGATCTGGCAGCTACTTACATGAGGCAAGTGATTGTGAAATATGAGTTTTGGATTGCGAAGAGGAGCAGTGGTAGCATGGCCTTCCTCGAGAAGTTCCTCCAACTTGTTTCCCTCTTCCGGGCTAACGCTGCCGTCTAGGATTGGCACAGGGTCCAATTCTTGAAGACAGGCTGCCGGACTAGGAAGACGAACGGAAGATTCACCTGTCATTGCTTGATTATTTTTTGAACTTATGACAACTCCTCGGTATGATAAAGGAATAAATTATGGAGAGAGGAACCTTCTTCTTACTGCGATTTAAATCATGAATAGCCCCTCGTTCATTCTTTGAGAGTGACGCAGTGTTTCACAAATACCGATAATCTGACCCCGGCTTCTGCATGACACGGCTGCACAGCATACCAAAGGATTCTTTGTGTCGGAAGTTCCTCAATCAGCACGAGGATGCCGGCATGACCAGTTTGTGGATCGAGAGGTTTAGCGCCGGCTTTTGGAGGTGCTGTCTGTCCGGCCACCGACGCATTGAAGGTTTGGTCTTCTTTGTACGGAATAAAAATAACGCCCGGTGATGGCTTTATGAATCGTTCAGAGTAATTATCCAGCTAAATGGTGAATTTACCTTAAAACCATCGTACACTCGCCGTTGACTGGGGTCTAGTCATGATAAATCAGTCAACGGGCGCGGTCCTTGCCGGTCCGACTAGGACTGGGCCTGCACCATTCCGAGCCATAGACCCACCTCTCAAAGTAGGGCGCCTAGAGGTGATCTGTGGCATTCTTTTCTTTCATGAAGACTCGATTGAGATTTACGATGGCTCAGAATGGCGCTAAACCATCTGGGTGTACACGATTGTTCTGCCTATGCTCTGTAGGTCATATGGCTGCAATCAACTACTACAGGAGCTCCCCCAAAGCTCACGAGTATAGCCTTGACCGCTAAGATCTGTTCCTCGAGCAGTTCGATGGAACGACCCATCGCCAGCGGCAGTTTCCACCTGTCAGCGCCTATAGAAATCTTACCTTTTCCTTTCTCAACTTCATAGGCGCGTGTCAACGATCTAGTCCATGGTTCAATATATCCAGACCGACCAACATGGGGCAGCCGAAAGGTTGGAAAAGCGAAAAGGTTTAGGGATGAAGGTACAAAACCCTGAAGAAAGGCCAGACAGTGTCATATCTTGCGGAACGGGGGCAGAAAGGCACGTAGGATGCATGAAGGCGCCCGGTGTGATATTGATTGAGGACTTCTATACAACGTGGGGCTTCCCGAATCATCTAAATTTGTGCATCACCGAACGGAGTCGACTTTAATGTCGGCGATACTACGACAAAAATCCTACATTATGTATCTAGCCTTCTTATTCTCAGGCCGACAGCTCTCACAAAAGATTACATCAGCTTATTTATCGCACGTAAGCGGGAAATACCCTAGGATTCTATACACTTGGGGTTTTCGCGTTGACCAATTGAAGTCCTTCTGGGCTGGGCCCCCGCACTCTTGGCCTGAACGCATACTTAAGTGCCGTGGCGTCAGCGAAGAATTTTGGTTTTCGGTCTACCTACATCAAATTGATTATTCTTTCTCATTACAAGATGGCTTCCATGGATAAAAATCCCCCGTCGCAGTATTTCACCTCACTCTCCCGCAACTATTCCCGCCAAACAGGCAATTCGACCCGTGCTATATTTGCCTCGTCTCTAGGGCTCATCGTACCGTCTATCACCTCGTCTTCAGTCGTCCATGACAACGCTGGCGGTGTTGGCACTGCCACTTCGGTCATCCTTGACAGTCTCGACCAGAATGAGCTTCCCGAAGTGTTGATCACCGACAATAACCCGGGCATGGTTGCCGCCGCGACTGATACATTCAAAGACATGAATACCAGGATCACAGCCACTGTGATGGACTCTCACGACCTCACCAGCATCCCAGATGCAAAGTTTACCCACTCCATTCTCAATTTCTCGGTGTTTCTCTTCCCAGATGCCCTTAAAGCACTTCGCGAGATCCATCGCACCCTTCAACCCGACGGGGTTGCCGCCCTGCTCACGTGGAAGCGATTCGGATTCGCGTCTGTTATACATGTCGCGCAGAGTCTCGTCCGCCCTGATCTACCTCCTATGCCTCTCCCCGGTTCGCATTTCTATAATGAAGGTGTTCTGGCCAAACTTGTTATTGAGGCCGGGTTTAACAAAGCAAGGGTGGAAGTGGTGCAGAAGGATACCGTACGGACGGGTGAGGACCTCGAAGGAATGAAGGAGTTTATGTTGGCCGATCTCTCGAATATGGCAACAAAAGATTGGACCCCCGAGGAAAAGAAAAGATGGCCTGCAGCTATCGAAGAGGCCATCGAGAGAGAGGTTCAGCAATATGGCGGCATTTGGTTTGAGGCTTGGATTGTAATTGCACAGAAGTAAACTTAGGTTCTATGAGTAAAACTTGGTCACGCTAACAGTTGGTGTTGGGTCTACGGCGTGATCCTTGCGACGACATTTTTTACCATGATATGCCGGGGGATTGCTTTATTCTGCACACTATGCCTGGGTTGAAAGCTGGATGCTCCGGTCAATCGGTATTCTTCTGGTTCGGTGTCTTCGGACAATTTTGCTGTTTCTGATCAAATTGGCCGGGCTGTTCTATATCGGTGATCTTGTTACTAGAAGTCGCCTTGATAGTCATTATCGGGAAGGAGAGTAACCCTCTCTGCACCCTAGCAAGCCAAGAGGAGAGACAGAGACGAAGGCCTGTAAGCAATCAACGAGGAAGGTCACGGGATCTTTCATCACTTCCTCGTTAATTATAAGAAGAATTATGGCCTTTACATAAAAATTCCCTAGCTTGCCTTGATGTATTCTTTGTAGAATACCTCTGGTATGCTATGGCGCGACGATCTTAAGCTCAACATTCGGCGTGTCTTTTATCATTGATAATGCCACCGATCTCAGCCCCAAGATCAAAACAGCTACTTAGTAGTAAGGATGACGGTGGACAATTGCCAGCAAGCTTGCAGCATGCCTGAATCCAGGAGCACGCATCCACATCCTATCATCACACAAGTTGACCAATCATACCATCTCGGTAGCTAGGAAGTCCCCTTACGGGCTTCTCGCAAACAACCAAAACAAGCAAACATGTTGGGCAAATAGAAATATTCCATTAAGCTATGGATTTTATTATCCAGGGTTCGTGGTTTGTGGCTACCTACATGGATAATTAGTTTAGTTACCGGCAGGCTTGAATGCCCCCGGTTTAAGAAGGGCAATCTTCCTGGTCCCTTCATGGTGACGAATAAATTCTGTACGAATTGAGCGTTCTTGGAAGATTGTCCTGAATCCACAGTCAGAAATGATTTGGAAAACGCCTGTTCCACTTAAATTTAGTGAAAGGCGACCATGGCTTTTATCCATGAGATCTTCTCAGGCCTTCATTGTTGTGACAGTTTCGATATCAATGTTTACAGTGAGTAGTGAATTACCTCGCAGTCGACACCGAGTACTCAAGCGAATTTCATGACAGGATTTATTTCTATACGCAATGGTACGAAAGCCATCTTGAAATAGCTTGTTTCCTTCTGATAGGGTCCAGATTGTTCCCGTCATGCCAACAACCCTAGTGTCGCGAGCGGGTGTCCAGTTCAAAGACCGTATGTCGGGACTCGATCCCTCTGTCCAGAAATGACTGACTTGACCTGACCTCATTTTCTGATGCTTTAGTGGAGTACTGGAACAGTGCTCTCCTGATATCCATGGCCGCCTCCGCTCTCGTGTGTAGTCCAGTTTTTGGCTACTTGGTCGACCTCTCTGGGACTCGTCAAGGGCCGTACCTCTTTGGCCTCATACTTCTCTCCGCATCCATGGCTATATTTACAGTAGCGCATTCCGTGTTGTGGTACACAATCGCAAGGGCCCTTCAAGGTGCAGCGACTGCAATGGTTACAGTGACCGGCCTTGCAATCGTGACTGACTCGGTGGACAAACGCAACCTTGGACAGATGATTGGGTACATTGGCACCGCGATGACACTGGGCTTTGTATCTGGACCACTTTTGGGTGGGATTGTTTTTAAGACCGGAGGATTCTATGCTGTCTTTGGTATGGCGTTTGGGATTCTGACCCTCGACTTCTTTCTGCGACTGGCTGTTGTGGAAAAACAAGTTGCGGCTCGATGGTTGAATGAGACGGAACGTCCCTTGATGGCTGGCAGTCCTGTCGGTGGACAGGCACACTACGAGACGGAGCTCAGCAGAAACGCAACTGTCAAGCATCCCACATCGAAAGGGACATTTGCACTCTTCAAGCTGCTAGGACAACCCCGTATTCTCATAAGTCTGTGGGCGGTGATTGTCAGCAACATCATAGTATCTGCCTTTGATGCGGTGAGACATTGCGTTTCAACTCGGAGGTCCCCTTTTCTAATGGCGTTCAGACCCTTACCATTTTTGTTCAAAAGCTATTCCACTGGGAAGTCCTTGGAGCCGGCTTGATATTCCTTCCAGGGGCCTCGGCAGCTGTTTTACAGCCCTTCTTTGGTACGTCGATCTGGTGCGAGGTCGAATGGCGGAACTGACATCAGCCCCGTTGAGGATACCTCTCCGATCGCCTTGGCTCGAGAATTATTGCATTCACCAGCTTCGCCCTGTTATCCCCGACTCTCATCTGTCTCCGTTTTGTCAACCAAGATACCACCCTCCACATAGCAATCCTCTGCCTCATCCTGGCCAGCGTAGGGATGTGTGTGGACCTGAGCGAGCCGGCTATCATGGTTGAGATCCAGCGTGCTTTGGATGATATGGAGGCCAACGAACCCGGCGTGTTTGGAGATAAAGGCGCAATTGCCCAGGCCTTCAGTCTTCAGAGTATGGCGCACTTTGGCGGACTTGCTATAGGGCCGATGGTGGGTGGATTTGTCTCATTCCACTTTGGTTGGAATGTTATGACTCTTGTCTTGGGTCTTCTTGCGCTGGTTACGGCCGTACCTATGCTTTGGCTCAGTAGCGTGGTGGAGGAGGGGCGTAACCGAGATGCAGAGAGACAGCCCTTACTGACAACTTGATTCTGGGTCGGTCTAGTCATCTGTCAAGGCCAGACTATGTGGAAATTTGTTCCCGGGCTTCTTGTGTGACAAGAGCATGTATGCCAAGGTCACTTTTCTGATGGCATACTGCACAGCGCCGCTCATCAAGTATAGCCTCGAACTGTTAATGCACGGTTTAGACACACTCTACAATATTTACATGAGGAAAACTCAACTTCACTTTTGAGTGGACGAGATCGATGAAATCACCTGCGCCCAATCTGTCAGCCATAATAGGAATTCTGACTGGTTGTAATTTAGGCTACTTGTTCACAGATATTTCCATTCATATCCCAAAGCGAACCAAGTTTCATAAAATTGCGAATCGAACCGACGGGCAGCGGTCATCAATTGGAGCACAGATGCTACAGCTGAGGTGACAGCCAGCCACCACTTCGGCAAGGCTGCGCCGCTCTCATCACGCTGCATGCTCAAGATTGGCGGTTGAAGTCCTGATTTTAGACCCCCTTCCCGCACTTTCATAATTGGGGTGACTAGCCATACGCATTTCGCCTATCCTAGAGAAATAGGACCTAAAGTACTAGCCTCGTCGGTCCTGGCAATAGGCTATGTCGACGCCTCACGTTCAGCTCGAGCCCCACATAGTTCAGGCCGGTTCGCGCCATGTCATACACTTTATTTGGGGAGCATCAACCATGGGAGCGCCAATTGTGAAAGTCGGGGTATATCACGGTGAATTCATCTAGCCTAAATGAACAGAAATGGAAAGTTCAAAAGACCAAGCACCGCGCGATCGAGCTCAATTGCAAAATAGCCAGAATACACAGAGGAGATATAAAGGCGAGCCAAGAAAGATACCGCAGGACGACATCAAAGTTAACTCCCCAATCAGACAGTTGACAAGAAAGAAAGAGTGGATAGAAACAGACCGGGATATCAATCATGAAGAAAAATCAACGCAATGAAGTAGATAGGAACGCACATATAAGATGAAAAATATAAATGAAAGACCGAAAGGCATTTCAACTTGTTGGCATCTCAGATCAAGATTATGCCTTCTCCGTTCCAGTCATCTGCACATCCTCCTGGGGCGCAGACTCCGTGACAATTGGCTCTTTGATATCCATGCCATACGATGGGGCGTCCGGCAGGGCGGCAGGGTGGTCTTCTTTCTCTGCATCCGGCGCGGCTTTGTTTCCGGGGCGCTTGCGCCCTAGACGTTCACACCAGTGCTCAGCACTGACGAGGGTGTCATTGACGACACCGCTGACCTGACCCAAAATGTCCAAGCCTTCGTTGGCAAGGACCAAGATTCGGTGGGCGCCGACTGTCGCATCTGAGGAGGCGGCTGGCGAGTCGGGGGGCGGTTGGGATGTGCTTGCCATCTGGAATCGGTGGGGGAGAGAAGTAAGATGCCGTCGAACCAGGTGTCGAGCGTTCTCTGGGAGGGCACCTCCGGCGTACTTGGAAACGACGTCCACAACTTGCTTCAACGTTGAGAGGACGTCTGCCTTGACGGCTTGGATGCGCTGGGTCAGGAGGGATGCGCTCTCCGCGCGCTCGCCGCTCTCTAGATCGGTTTGTGACTGTCGCCTGTGGTTCTCCCATTCCGTCATGACAGTCTGGAGGGCTACAATGGCTCTGCCCAGACGTCCATTCGCCCAGCGCAACCATGTCAAACAATATTGCAAACTGCGCAGCGACTCTTCACTCATTGCCACGCCCAGTCCAGATGTGGAGATAACCAGTCGGCTCTGCCAGGTAGGCGAGGTCTGTCGGCCGGGCTTTTCCTCATAGCCGGGAGACCGCATCTCGTCGTACGGCGGGAGTGTCTCCGCCATCGACAGATCAGACGGACTACGAGTCCGCGCCGGGGCCATGGAATCCTCCGATGTCTTCTCAGCGTCCACGGCCTGCGGTGTAGCCTCACCATTCACCTTGCGACGCTTACTGGCGTGGTTCGAGTCGGCCCCAGATTCTCGCCGTTGCAGCGCCCAGCGCAAACCACTCTCCACGCCAGTCTTGCGGCCAACAGTTCCCACGGTATTAGCGACCGGTGAGCCAATGTTGCGCTCGATAAACTCGGCTCCGGACTTGAAGCGCGCCGAGTACGATTTGGACGTAGTATATGCCGAGACGGACCCGTTGATGGCGGAAGAGATGAGCGGGTGGGAAGAAGTGAGGAGCGACAACAGCGGCTCTGGCTGCGACGGCTCTGGCGATGTTGCCGGGAGCGTTTGTCGCGATGTTCGAGGGGATTGACCGAAATCTGATGGATGAAGAATCATTAGCCCAGTCCTCCTTTCTGGCGCCGAGGCTGTTCCGCGCCAGCAGCATCGACGGCATCTGTTTTTAGTCGTGATCGCAGAAGCTCGACATACCGGAGCGAAGGCCTTCGAGGGCTTGTGCCGCCTCGAGGTCGTCCATGGAAAGTACACTAGCGGCTCGACGGGAACGATCCTCAGCGTTGGTGGTATCAAGGTCCATCACGGTGGGATGGGCATTATGTAGGGCTTGCGGGTACGGTGCAGGCGGAGGAGCAGCCGTTGCAGCGGGTGCCGGACAAGATGAGCTGGCGGGAGAGTTCGCAGAAGGTGCAGTGGCGATGGGGCCAGAAGGTTTGTCGGGGGCCTCCATGGCGGGTCCTTCGTCGCCTGTCGCCTGTCGCCCGTTGAGTCGAAAGGGAAGGTGCGATGATGCGCTTTCACGTGAAGAGCGCCCGTTTCATCTGGCTTAAGTAAGCGGGTGGCACCTTCACATGCTGTCCCAACAGAAACTGACTTTGCCCAAGCCGACAACTTGAAGCTTTCGGGTTGCGCTGTTGTTCGGCTTCGCTGGTTGGACGATGCTTACGGAGTGTCCGTGTACCCAGCATCGCGTGAATAGATCCGCCGATTCCTACTTGTCCGAGGGTGGCGGTCGCCGCACTGCATACTATACATGAACACCCCTCTTTTGTCTTATGCATCTCCCCTCCTGATACCCCGGTCCCTAGCCGTGTTTCATTTTATCCAACACGAACTATAGCCTACCCCAGCATAGTTTTCCCCGTGGAGAACAAATGCATCTGCACCCCAAGGGGCGATGCCTGTTGATCCCTCGGAGGACTGCCCCGTTGCGTCACATGCCCGCCGTGGGAGAGATGGATAGATACGGAGTAGTCGAAGCCATCTCCATTTGCCGGAATATCTTCCCGAGAATTATCTATCGACATATCTATCAGACGCTAGAGTGCAATAGTACAGTCTATCATGAACAGAGGATGCCCAGCCTCGGGCGAGAGCGAAGAACGGAGTGCGAGTTCGTAAGCCCGGCATTTGCATAATGCCAGCCCTCTGTTTCGCCGGGGCCGAGCGCGCCACCGCTATGGATTGGGGGGAGCAATCAACTGCCCACCGACGCGAGATACGTCCCGGCATGTGAAGTGGGGGCCCCTTTTAGCAGTGCCCTTTTGGGGCCTAGTTGCAGGGTCTGCTCCACGGCTAATCTTTCATTCAGACTGGGCTGGTTCGAAACATGGAGTTAGCGCATTTAGCCAGTTCCTTCTGCTACCACCAAGCTTCTGCCACGATTGGTGGAATAGATACGATCGCATGCTCTTCCAACATTGTGACTAGGGCGCAGTTCGGTTCAAGGCACATACCTTCCTCGCCACAAAGAACCGAAATCCTGCACCGATCAGTGGCTAGACGGAGAGGCTCATGCTAAACGTTTTAAAATAGGGAGGTGGTAACTATTTTTGGGTGCTGGGTATCTAATTGGGTATGCTGATATGTCTAAATGCTCGACAGCGTGTCTCCCAAAGATCACTTCCCATTAGAACCGGGAAAGAAAATCCAAAGCAGAAGAACGCATGGGTAATAATACGCTGGCTAAGAATCTGGACAGCTTCACTCCACAGACATTCCATCGTGCCATTCGTCGTAGTACTTAGCGTCCTGCCTCCACATAAGTGCTTCGAGAATTGCGTCTTCACCTTCAAACTCGTCCGCCTCGGTCTCGGCATGGTTGACGGATATGTCACCAGCGGTGAGGCGGGATGCCAGCTTCTGGTTGACTCGCAAGCAAGCCACAATCTCATTTGTGATGGTGCGTGATGGCAGTGTAGAAGCCTTCAATTCGCACAGTGTGTCGCCAAACGCGTGAAAAGGGAAGAAAGAATTTCGGTACTGGCGGTACGCACATGAAGCAAGCAGACACCGCCATGCAGAACGGCTGTTGCGCCATGTGTGGACAAGAGGGTGAGACCCGGACTCTGGCGGAGATAGAGCCCTAGCGCCTTCGGCGACCCGGCGAATGCGCACTGAGTATGGGATCCCGTCGTTTTTCATGGTTGACCAAGTACGGTGTAACTTCTGGATGGCGCGGGTGACATCGTGCAGAACGATATCGAGATTTCCACCCGCCTTCTTGTCAACCTTGGCAGCTTCCCCGGCCTCGTTCCAAGGACGAATGAGATCCTCGTCTATGCCGTCCTCGGATATGGTTTCAGGAAATCTTGTCTCGAGTTCGGTTAGAATATTGTGTCGTTCGGTGTCGAGAATCTTGAACTTGAGGTAATCGATCATGTTCTCCAATTTGGGTTTGCGGTCGGGCTCCCGGTATGCGGGAGGAGCTTGTCCATGTGGACTGAGCTTTTTGCGATACGCCTGCCAGGCTTGCTCCGACATGTGCACACCACCTTTGCGCCCGTCAACGAGATGGCTCAGCAGACAGGCCAGCTCTGTTGCTTTTGGACCATCGAGGGATTCGTGGTAGGCAATTCTCTCATGTTCCAATGTGCATCGTCCAAGATTCGATGCGGTAAGATTGAACTCGAAGGCACCTCGCAAAAATTCCTCGGTAGAGTGCACGGTGGACATGGGTATTGCATGTTTAGTTAGACCAAAGTGATCATATGGGAGCGCTTCTGTTGGCGGGGTGGAATTGTGGAAGCTCTGAACGATATTTGGATCCCAGCAGACCCAGGGCATGTCCCCATCGTAGTCACCGCCGGAGAGCATATCGGCCAGCGGGTGGTCGCCTTTCGTCGGGAAAACGATGACATCTTTGAAGTGGCGGAGCTCGGTTTTCCAAACCGCCCGACGGCGTTGGATATCGGAAGGGACGTGAGCGGGGAGTCTGCCAACTAGAACATCCATGTCGTCGAGCAGGTTATCTTCAAACTGCCCATCGGGGTCCTTCCAGTTCTTAGAGAATCCGAAGTGGATTTCATCCGGTTCGAGAACTTCATATGGGTCCGCGATACAGAAGGCATACGTCGAGAGCGGCACCTGGATGCGAAGCTCCTCGACGTGGCGGTCAAGCAAGGATCTCAAGAAATAACGGAGCCGTTTGCGAAGAGGGTAGAATGTTTGTGGAGCAAAGCCTGCCTCGGACAGGCGAATGATAAATTCCGCATCGTTAGCCACCCACTCATCTAGCTGCCGGGCTTTGTTGGTAATGTCTCCGCCAGAGGGCCTGAGCTCTTGGAGCAAAGCACGGCAAGCAACGTTGCTGTTGCGGTCCAGCACATCCGCAAGGGCTTCGAACGGGGCACGAATGCTCTTCCGAGTGAGCTCAGCGATATAATCCCGAGCATTTCCTCCATGTGCCAGGATAGCCAAGAGCTGGATGTTCAAAGTGACCGGTTTCAATTGCTTGGACCATTTGACGACCTCGAAGGTCAATTGCTCTGCATCAAACGGCTCGCTCCAATCCTGGGGGTGCGGATGAATCTTCAATTGCGTATCGGATATCTGGATCCAGATATTGTTTCCATCGCCTTCATTGAAGCTGTGAATGGAAGATCTATGCCGATCAACCATCCAAAGTCCTTTGGCCCCCGCAATACGGCCTTGGAAAGTGCTGGGGGTGGCGCCGGTGATCCCAAGCTGATCAGAGATGGCATTTGCCAAGCCTCGGGACATCAGCGCGCAGCCATCGTTCATTTGAATTTTCCGCGAAGGGTCATCTCTCAGGCGGAGAATCTGAGAAGGTCGAAGAGCGACAGAAGCAGTCGTCTTGGACAAACCCAGAGAGATCCGCTGGAATAGCTTACAATTGCTCTGGTTTGCATTTTCTGCAGACGGCATGTGCCACTCAAGCAGATCTTCCACGGTCATTGGAGTATGTGAATCACTCTTTTGGTGCGGAGGCGCAATGGGGGACATTTCCAGGGGTTTCTGATCAAAATCGACACCGTCCACGGCGAAGAAGTCGATGCGAAAGCGACGATCTCTTCTTTCTTTTCCCTTGGACTTTACCTCCTCCACGAAGAACGGTCGCCAGACCCGTCCCAAACATCGGTGGTTATGACGCGTCAACCAGAAAGCAATACTTTCGCGAAGCACCGTTGGATGATCGAGGAATTGGAGATACTTGGGCGGCCGAGCGGGCGCCGGGATAGTAAGAGACAAGAACCTATCCGATCCGAATCTTCGATGGAAACGGCATGTCTTGTCTACCTGGAGAGGACCGAAGTTCAATTTCAGAATTCCAGGCTCGGATTCGCTGCACCATGCAAGATCACCGTTCATTATAACCACCTCGGAAGGCCTTTCTGTTTTAAAGTCGCCCACGGCAGCATTCCAAGCATTAGCTGGAGAACGTTGTGGAACAGGGCGCTCGCAGCGCTGGGTATGGTCATTGGTGACCCATTGCCAGAATGAGTCCTGCGTCGCAAAGGGCACTTTTTTCCCGGTGAACAGTGTCTTGAGAGGAACATTCCACGCCCGTCCAATCCGTTCCAGCTCGTAGCGGAAGCGCAATGGGATGTTCTCACTAAGTGTCTGCTCAAACGAGAACGGACCATATCGAAGGAGATTGTCGACAATCCATTCCCGAGTCGCCTTCTCTTCGTTGGGGGGTTTCCCATTCGTCATAGCATGATCTTCCATGCTCCCGTCCATGTCCTGCTCCATCCAGCCCACGACGGAGTCTGTATAGGTCGACTGTGTCGCAAGCGGCTCAGTCACATCTGTCGTGGTGGTGTCAAAAGAACGATCCATGCGAGACGAAAAGATCGACGACACGGACGTCGTCGTCATGAAGCTAGTGTTATGTCCATCCATGGTGGTTGGCACTGCATCAGAACCCTTGAGAGGGTCATCGCGAGGGGTAGACTGGTGAGCAGTCAACCTCTCGAGAAAGCTCGATGGTGGTTTCAATGTGTCCCATCTACTGTTCGGGGCCACACCCTCAGCCAAGTGCAGGCCATTCCTTTCATCCTGGTGAGCGGAGACTTGCAGCTTTGTCAAGTCGAGCCCGGGCGATGGGGCGGGCCGGTTGGCTTTAGTGGGCGAGTTGGGCGCGGTGTAGAATTCACCATCCTCCCCCTCAGACAATCTTCGCTTCCTCGGCGAAACCGACTGGGCGGATTGATCAGCAAAACTCTGCGATATCCGTCCGTTCACTCTCCCCCCATCCACCCCCGAGATCTCGCGCTCCACTAGGCTCAGCAGGTATTCCAGTCGCCGGTTCCGCTCCGCGTCACTCAAAATGACCGGCTCTTTGCTGTGTCTTCCGTGGTTGCGCCTCCAGTCGACCTGTGCTCCCTGCGGCAGGGTATGCCCATCGACCCATTCGGCGAACCCATGGATCAAGCGATCGAGGCCGACTCTGCGCCGGTAGTACAGCTTCTTGATACCCTTATAAGCGCGCCAGCGCGGAGAATTGTGGATTTGCAACGCTGAAGGTGAGGAATTCGTCGGGGTGGGAATTTCAAGGCCGAATTGGCGATTCAAGTTGTCGATGAAAGAGCCGACATTCTCGCGGGGGCGCTGAGGGGTGGCTGGAAACATGTCGGTCGGCGAAGAGGATGCCGGCGGGGATCTGTAGAGCCCATTCAGATTCGGGCGAACCGATCTCCAACACGAGAAGAAAAATGGGAATATGGACTCGAGAGTCCCCAGGTCAACCTGCTCTTAGGTCGGCGCGCGTTCTTATCAGCCTCGACGTGGGCCCAAACAAGACCCGCGCGAGTTTACGCGCCCACACATGGGGCCATTCGAATCCGGTAAAGCAAAACGAGTAGTCCGGTGACAAAAAGCAAACATAAAAGCCACCTCCCACTCTCATTTCCCCATGGATAGAGGCAGGGGTGGACAAAGAAATGACGTTGATTGAACGGCCGCGCTGACCTTTTGGGTCAGGGTTGCTTCAGCGCCCGCGGACCCACTCTACAAGTTGATCACCAATTGAGGCGCCCAGCAGAGGGGCATAAAAATGATCAAACTAAAGTCTGGGAAATGGAAGGGGGAGGTTTGCTAACGCCGGAGTTTAGACTGAGACCAGCAGTGCGTTGGAAAGGTGGGGAAAGGTAGCAACGCTCATGCCATTGGAGGAATCCTAGCCGTGCAAAGAGGTATATACAATAGCACCGCAGTCTCGAGGGGCTTCACTTCCCCCTACCAGTCTCGACGTATGCCTTCCATATCGCGCATCCGGACAGGCATAGGCGTCACCAATGTGGTCTGGACGGTCCATTCTGTTCCTGCACGTCTTACAACTCAACCGCTGGTCGTCTTCCACCTTGCTGATCAGACCAAAAATCGGCATCCTCCGGCCTGATGCGCTTGCTCTTCAGGATGATCTTGTACCCAACATACAGGATGATGTAGATGGGAACCCCGACATACGAGGCGGCGAACTTCTTGAAGTCGAACCCCATCAGTTGGTTGTTGTTGATAGGGAGTGAATTGAAAATCATGGTCGATGAAATAAAGAGACACAGCGCCAGCCCGAGCCAGGTTCCGGGAAGACCAAAGCGGGCCTTGAAAACGAGCATATCGTCGGATATACCTTGGGCATTGCGCGCTCGCACAAAACAGATGTGGGTGATGAGAATAGATATCCAGGTGAGGAGACCAAGCATGGTGACGATGTCCAACAGATACCCAAAAACCATGCCAGAGTCTTGCGAGACATTAAGGTAGGCCAGGCTAGACACGCATGCGGATATGGCCAGCGCGTAGAGAGGAACCCCTTTGCTGTTCACCCGGGACAGAAAGGCAGGGGCTCGCCGCTTGATGGAAAGATCGGACAATGCTTTGGTGGCCAGATACAGGTCGTAGTTTGCAATCGAAACAATGAATACCAATATATATGCATTCAACATGTCGGGCACCACAGTGAGACCCGCCGAGACGAGTGCTGCCACAAACGGAGAGGCGGCAGGATGCTTCCCCGAGCCTTGATAAAAGGCCAGTTTGGACGAGTTGTGCGGAACCATCATCCCGATGAGGGTGATACCGAGAATATGGAAGACCAGGATTCGGTAAAAGGTATGCTTGATGGCACGATTCATGGCCTTTGGGACATTCGGCGACCGAGCCAAGAAGCCAGATCTTTCGCTGCCAATGTACGCGAAGGTCGCGGAGGAAAACGCTGCGCACGTGTGGAAAAAATTCTCCAGCGTATTGTGCGTCCAATGGACAAAGGCACCGGGATGTTTCCAGTATCGGAATCCTCGTACCCGGTGATCGGGACCCCCGCCGAGTGCAAGAACAAGCGACAAGACCATGAGGGCGCTCATCACAATGAGTTTGAAAGACGACACAAAGAACTCGACGTGACTGGGGAGGTTGTGGTGAATATAGTTGAGAGCCACGATGATCAAGAGGAATACCGTAATCCAGACTCCTGGATTGACCGTCTCCGCATCCAACCACAAGGTGATCACGAGGGCAGCGGCTGTTAATTGATTTGGTGTGACGATAGCATATTTGAGCCAGTATCTAGTAGCAAGTTTGTAAGTCCAAGCACCGCAGCGGCACTTTCGGAAGGAGAGGGCACTCACATCCAACCCAGACTAAAACCCAGCGCGGGATCACAGAAGCGAAAAGCCTGATCGGCCACGGTGCATGGCTTTGGCAGCCATGCAGCAACCTCTCCCAGTGCACAAAGAACAAGGAACACCGCGAATCCGACGAGAGTATAGGAAATCATGATGGCTGCGGGCTTCAACTCTGTCAGGTCCATGAGTCCATTCTCAGGTAGATGGTTGACTCACGCCGCTCCTATGTCAAGAGTCAATATACAAGCAAAATGTAGCGGCATGGGTGAGGGGGACATACATAGCCAAAGCTCTCCCACTACCGACCATCAATCCTGTACCGATCGCCGACCCGATGGCTGTGAATCCAGATTAGCGGGTTTATTATGTGCAACGGGCAACATTGCAGCCGAACTGATGATTCCAGCTTGTCGCGGCGTCAACGCCCCAAAAATATCCGTGAACTCTGTTGTAATGCCCTCAGGCTTCTTCGGAGGGTTCTTGGGCGGGTTCATCGACTCCTGGTTTGCAGTCTGCGCTTGGCTGCTATTAGAAGACCGAGTGGGTCGCAGGGAATGCGGAGAGCCTTCCATTAAACAGGGAATGCAACACGGGAGGATCTGATCGGCGAAATTCTGGAGTCTGAGATGAAAACTAAGTCAAGCATTCATCCCATGAACCGTCCTCAACCTGTGCAAGCAAACAGGCGCGCCGCGGCAAAAGTTTGTGAGTTGAGTTGGAAAGAGCGAGTACGTGGAAGGCGCCAGCCCGCAGGCACAAATTTGGAAGTTGGAATTTGGGATTTGGGATAGCCATGAATCGGTATTTCTTTATATGCAACGACGATCCCCTCCGTAGAGGCAGATCAAAACTCAAGCGTGTATGAAACAGTGCAAACCAAAATAGAATAGCATCTCCGATTGAAAGTCAGCAACTTATCATTGCCACGAGCAGCACCTCATCATCCCCAAATGGCACATCACCCCGTGGCTAACGTCTATGATTTGAATTCACCGTCGATTCCGTAGAAGCGATATGATTGCCAACGCCCAAAGTCGTCTCAAGTCGAGGAAAAGTCAATAACGCCCAAAAATGAAACCAGCAAGGAGCCAGCCCCCCTATGTATACCCGTCTCGGGGCATGTAAGTAGGGTTGAGTGGTAGAGAAGTGTTTAGATCATAAAAAAAAAGAAAACAAGTCTTCTTGTAAAAAGGAGTCCCGAACAGGAGAACCGCCGTGAGAAACGGTTGATGGGCGTCGCCTGGACACCGGTCGTCGGAGACTAGAACATACGTGAAGAGGTTGTGTCATCAGTTCATCGCGACATGAGCGAGTCGCTTGACTCTGTGCGAGGGAAGATACGGGTATACAGCGAGTCGCTGGACTCGGTGCGTGGGAAATGGCGCTGGTGCTTGCGCGAGATGATTCGGTCCTGGTAGATACCCTTGGCGGTGCCGCGCACCACTGACTCAAGGTACTCGCGGAAGTCGGTCGGCTTGAACTCCGGGTACAGCTCGGTGGTCAGATGGTAGCCGAGATATTTGGCGTACTCGGGGTTGTTGTCGCCGCGGATGCCCCAGGAGTATTGATATTCGGCGAGATACCGAGGCATGAACTTGATCGGGTCGAACGGATAAGTTTCACTGGCCTGTCGGGCTGCCAGGACGCGGCTGCAGATAGTCTCTTCGGGGACCTATGCTCCGGAGGAAAGTAAGAGTTGATTAGTCTACATATACGCTACCGTGGCCGGAGGCAATTTGGTGTGCTGGGTGGTGGGCAAACATACATAGTTGCGATCGACCTTCTCTTCGCTGATATCCTCGATCAGGTCATAGATCTTGTTTTGTGTCGTGACCAGGTTGTAGGCGAGGATCTTCTTGTTCAAGGTGCGCGGGTCCTTGATGATCAAGGCCATGTAGCGACCGATATCCCGCAAGTCGGTGAGCGCAGTGGGCGTGTTCCCATCACCGATGATCTCGTCGTTGCCGGAGGTCATGGCATAGTCGACGCGGCCGGAAAGAAGGCGGGGGTAGCAGAGCTGGTACCACCAGCCGACATCGACGATGGTGTAGGGGAGCCACAGTTGGCGGATCTGGTTGTAGACAATCTCTTTCTGGACCGAGACAAGAAGCATGATCAGCTAGGGACTAGAAGGGCACATTGCACCACCCGAGAGTGCTTCCATACCTCGTCGCGCAGCCACATCACACCACCGGGAGGTGCCACGGTGATGAAACCGCAGGGGATGAATCGCTTGATGCCGACCTTCTTTGCGGCCTTGGCGAGAGGAATCTGGTCCTGCTGCTCGGAGGGACCGACACAGCTAATGACGACATCAATATCGGCGAGCGCTTCGATGAGCTGCTCCTCTGACGACCTTAGGTCGCATTTCCGGATCTGGATTCCTCGTTCCTGGAGCTTCACAATGGCGGGTTTGTGCACGGAGGCGGGGCGAACGAGGGCGTGGACTTCCTGTAGAACCGAACGAAATGCATCGTTAGTTATCGCCGAGGTTGCGAAGGGAAAAATTATTGATTGCGTACAAAGCTGCCGTCTTCGACGAGACCGTTCGCAATGGACCCTCCGGTTTCACCCGCTGCGCCGACCAACAGAACCTGAGTCTTCTCCATGTTGGGTGGGCGTTTGTCAGGCGAGCAGTGATCAAGAGTAGTGTATTCAGTGTGTAGACGGTCGGTGAACGGTGGTGGTGGGAGGTGCAAAGTGGGAGTTTGATCGAGGGAAGTGGGGGGTCGAGTCAAGAGGATTGAAAAGGCGGAACGGGGGAGGCGGAGGAACAGGAATCAGGCGCTGGCGACGTTATAAATCCCCAGCGTGTCCACCCAAGGATGGTTGCTACCCACTTGTTTCCCATCCGGCGCGACGGTGGGTCGTAGAGTGGATGTTCGTTCCCCTCGTTTTGAGGGGAGATTCTTCGCGGTTCGGTCGGGCTGCGAGGACGTCATGGCCTGTCTCCTGTCTACTGACGATCTATATGGCCTTGCCTGTCTATCTTAAATACCCCATGGTCGTGGTGGTGCCCTCGGCTTTTCTTTCTGCGGCTGTTTCAGCCCTTTCGGCAGGTCGGTCAAGTCAAATTTTGCGACTTTCGCGGGCCGGTGGCTCGGGACCAGAACCCTAACCAGAGTCGGGGTCGCCCTTACGTCATATCATACGGTTCCCGAGTGGGCTGAACTAATGATGATGCGGGTTGCAGTCCATGGGCCTGGGGAACAGGGGAATATTGTCTCTCCCTGGGGAGCCTCGAGAGTCATCATGATAGCCCTCGTCACAGGGGCTGACCCTCGAGACTGGAGAGTCGGACACATGACCTTGTTTTAGCTTGGGCCGTGAGTGTCGCTGCAACCATAGTCGCTCCTGAACGGGGCTCGGGACTCGACTGAATCCTGCGCGGTGAGTGGCAGGCTCAGGCACAGGCACAGGCAGACTCTCCATCGACCAGTATTCTCGACCAACTTCCCACGTCAGCGATCTTCAGATCTGCGTAGCGGCCTTGGAAAAGACGATGAGTTTTGTCCGGTGGCGCCTCATGGACTGTGACGAAATGCGACCAAGCCGATTAGTCACGGGGAGCCCCTGGGCGCTAATTGGTGGCCCGCTGCTAAAAAAAACGGAGATGCCCGTCCACGGTCGACTGACCTCCGGTTGTGTGTGCCTACCCATGGGAATCATGGATCCAAGGGGCGGAGAGTTAACCGGCCGGCCTTGACTGGATCAGCTATCCGAGGGCTTCGAGCAAATCGTCGAAGCCCCAATATGAGCACAGGCGGGATCAGGAAGGCGAGGGAAGGAGGGGCCAGCCACAACCGCCGCGGGCGCGGGAGATCGGTGCCAGGCGTTGGAATGGTCACACTCTGGGCGCTCAATGACCTTCATGGCCTCATGGTGGAAGTTCCCGTTGCAAACTGCTGCATCTGCGGGAGACTACCCCATTGACCGTCCCGGATCTTCACAGTGTGCTTCCCCCAGAATTTGAGGGGTGGGTGGGGCTTTTTCTGGTCATTTGGAGGCGAAAGCTGGAATCGTCTCTCAATCAGGTAAGCCGCCATGGCGATCTTGGGGAATCCACTCATGAATCGCTTCGCAGAATGCAGAGCAGAGCCCTGAACGTAAGACCTGCGAGGGTTCAGGCTGGGGTAGTGGCTGCCATTCGTTCTCTTCAGGTCATGCCGAGCAATCGTCCGATACTTGACGGTGAAATGGCGTTCCCCGTTTGTAGAGGTGCTGCAGACTGAATTGAAGAATCACACGTAAGACCGAGCCTCGAACAAGGCCTGGATTAATTGAACAAAGGCCCACCATGAGAGTCCCACTCCGGGCTCATATCCGGAAAGTCTTGTGGAAGAACGGGGAAATCTTTCGCAGGCGAAATAACGGTGGTAGTGTTGGAGGTTGGAGGTTGGACGGTGGACGTTGCGATGGACTCGGGCAGATGCGAGGTTGTGGCAATAGTCACTCTACACCACACCTCGCCAATATACATGGGATCAACAGGACCAAATGTTGTGTTCAATTTCTCCAGATTGATTCCAATTTTTGATGCATCGCGAAAATTAAATGCACAGGGGCTAAATGGCCAACAAATGATATCACCAATGAATCTTGTTGTTGATATTCACAGTAGTCGCTCCTCCAATTAACCGAGCACCAACACCCGGTTGATACTCCTCCCCTGCTCGAGACACTTTCCCCGGCCGGTCTGAAATTCCCACAGGTTGTTGAAAGCTGTGGGAAATAAAGGCGAGTATGCCAAGTGTTTCAACGTTCGCAAAAGTCCGAGTAACAGCGCTGTTCAAAGTCAGCGACCAACTAGTCCGGGGCAGGCCCGACAGGAAAAGAGAAACTCACTTCCCGACACTCTCGACCAAAGTGACGTTCATAACATCGCTGCGTGAGTCAATTAGACTTCCTTCTGACTAACCGGGGAGCTCTCTTTCTTACGCTCATGCACCTATCATATCCATGCCTGCAACGGGCCTCATCTGGCAAGAGAGGCCCATGGATATCGTCAACTGGGGATGCGATAACCAGGGTGGTAAAGATGAGCGCAATTACTGCCAAAAGACGCATCCTGACGTGACTTGTGGTAACTGAAATGGTGATATGGGAAACACTCGATGGTTATAATTAGAACCGAACTGAATGACTTTGTGCGGCATTTTATAGCCGGCGAGTGCTTCTCTTTGAGCGTGTTCGCTATGCGATATGTTATGGAAGTACCGCGAGGTTGTATTCAGCATGTTTGAGTCAACACGGGAAGAAATGTACCACTGGGGGGTAAAGGATAATTCAAGGTTCCACAGCAACGACAGGGAGCTGCATATCCACCTATCCTAAGTGGAAACGCATCTGTTTCACGAACAGATCCATTCCCTTGGACATCTACACAGTAACCCGATTATCCCGATTAGCCCGATTCCTGCAGCACAAGCGAGCTTTCAGACGGAGATGATGATGATGATGATGATGTAGCCTACCATCCCGTTGTGCAAGTAGAAGAAACTATGAATCCCCCCTCACCAACCCATCTGAAGGGTATTGTATTAACAGATTGTCGACTATTTAATTCTCTACCTACGTAATGTAAATCCGGGGAGAGATGCTGATGAGTATGAGTAGAAAAAATACATCCTAAATCCTTTGCATACTCTATCTCAAGTCTGTCTTCACATTTAGACCGCCCTGTCTGACTGCATATTCCATGACAGAAAGTACCTACCCTGGTACCCTCCGAGCTGTCTCAGGGTCTTGGTTGAGGAACAATTTGAATAATCCTAAAATCAAGCGGGAACCCCACAGATACCTTGATCGGGACAATGGCTGGTATTACAGTCGGGGAAATTGATCTTGATAGGCCCTAGGTATAGCTTTGACCTGGAGTGAAGATTCCGGGGTACGTCTTGTACAACCTTACAAGAACACAAGCAATTTAACGGAGCAAATTGCATGTATAAATGCCCCTCGCTATTTCATGCCGAACCGCTTCGGTATGCATGTCAGACTTAAAAATCCCTTCCCTGTGAAAAGTCTAGAGCAAATTCAAGTGCCATCTCACCAACCAGGGTGACCTAGGCATGTGAACAAACAGGGAAGAATGGCCTCGATCGCTTCTCGGGCCTTGTGCAACAACACAACAATCAAATAGGATATCCTTACGAAAAATGGCCCCAAACACCAAAACCCCGCCCAATAAATGTTTCTCTCACAATCCGGAATTCTGCAACATCCTCCTCGGTCGGAGCGCCGGCTCTGAATGCCTGATCCTCTTAAGCTCTCGTACATCCTTTAGCTCACCCCTGCAGTAGAGGCGTACTGTGATCGTTGCACCCTTCTTGAGCAATAACATCTCCCGCTGTTTGCGCCGCTCTTCCATGATAATAGCCCACCGGGCCCTGACTTCCTCCACACGTTTCCGTCGCGTCAGCCATGCGCGCTTCCACATGAGGGTCTGGTGCATCATTTCCAGGTTTTTGTCTCTCGGCCATGCTGTATGCTTGCAACCGCGGGGCCAGACATGATCTAGGTTGACCGGTCTGATGTTGTCCAAGTCGTCCATTTTCCATTGCCAGTGCCGTAGCTGCTGCATATCGTCCGCGTTACGACAGAACGTCAGTACACCTCGGTGCGAGAGGTAATGCTGGCGGATGTGAAAGTCTACTTGGTAGTGGGCAGATAAGACGGCGACTTCCGGGTCCATCGATTTGGTCTTGTTTAGTATGTGGTTGAGTGTTTGTTCGACGAGCTCGTAGTAACGTTCACGCTGAGAAACAGAGATAAATGTCCAGAAAGATGGGTCTTCGGGTGTAGACTGCGTCTCAAGAGGCGAAATGTTGTCATCTCTGGTGTTGTTGTTCCTGAAGTACGGTGGGTAGTGGGAAGTGATGTATACGCCTTTCTGGATATCGACTGTCATGCTAGCTGGTGTGACATTGATTCGACACTTTGTGCAATGTAGGGCTTCCTCGAGGCCTTGTAGCTATTGATGCGCACGGATTAGCAGAGACCTTGTAATCCGGTCTCGGGGTTGGGGGGGGTGGCATACCAGCTCCATATCTGGCGCGTCACTATTATCTTGGCCCTTCGCGTTATTCATGGTAGCTTGCGCTTATTTAGTCCAATTGTGCCCGAGAGCAGTCTCCAATAGGTTGGTTCTGTAATGAATCGATGGGTTTGCACGCTGGGAAAGATGCGATTTCCAGCATTCTTCTTATATAACTTCAAGTCAGCTTGTCGGAGTGGATAGTTGAGCCACGGAAACAATAAAATTAATTTGGGACTATCGTATGAAAGAAGTCATTGACTTGAGATTAGACTTCTGCTGGGCGTTGGGTGAATCGCGCTCGAGACTCTTCGCCAAACAAAGATTCTTTGAAATCCGGTACCGGATATAGATGATTCAAAGTACCAAAAAGATGCAGCCAACAATGATCTCGCGCAGTGTGAAACAGAAATCGGCTCCTATCCAGGGAGCCGTCCTGCCCCGCGGTTATAAGGAAATTCAAAGTCGCAACCCATCTCCGGCTGGCCGCGATCAAATGACATCTGATCTGAGCGCGCGCGCGGTCATCTGTTGATAAACGCGGTGAAGAGTGCGGGGGCGTGACTGGGTCACTGGGTTTCATTCGATGTCGTGGGGCCGCTCGCCGCGATCGGGTTAATCAGATTGTTCCCCGCACGCGCGTTCAGCCGATAGATTCCGACGATAACTAGAGATGAGACCATGGCGTAAGCTGAAGCAGTCAGAGCTCCTGGAACCAATAATAAATTTAAATCTAATTACCGACGAGCTCTGGTAAACAAATCTGCTTAGGAGCTGAACACTGTATGGGCCACCCAAATTGGCCGGTTGTGCGGAGAAACTTCGTCGTTTCAAGGAGGAATCATACTCTGACAAGTAAGCTGACTGTAATCTCAGGAAATAAATAGGTCATGAAGTAAATCAGATGCTTGCATATGGGATTAGCCCATTCTGAGCACGGTTTTTCATAACCAAATTCTGCTTATCCTCTTCTTGGCAAAGTGCATCCCTAAGCAAAACAATGTAGAGTGGTATTAGTTTGGAGCCCTACCGATAGCATATCCTCGAGTATTTGCTAGCTTCCTAGTCCAGAGCTCTTTACTGTGAATATACACCAGGAGGAAGAGGATGCTTCTCTCCTTCTTTGTCTGTCATTTCTCTGACTTGAACAAAGACATCTGTGCCTCAAGGACATGCTTCAATACGCTAGACAACATCTTAGATTGTATGTTGAATATACGGAAGTGTGTTGGGCTCAGAGCATGGACCATTGAATCATGTCCGCTATGAGGACATTATAGTGTGTTCGATACATTCTTGAACCCTCCCCATAGATTCTATGATGGGACTATTAGTGTTCTGCCGGCAAATCGGCCTTACGTCTGACAGATCCGAGAGGGAATAATCGATCAATCAATCAATCAATCAGTCATTCGATCCCTCTTCTGAGCTCCCAAAGTGCGGCACTGAATACTACCGTGAGCAAGGTACCTGCATGCTACTCTTGGATCTACGCCACAAGGCCTAGTAAAAAGTCACTGAGACCAAATTGACGTGCGGTGGAACCTGGAGGATTGCAGGCACCAAGATCCCATTCCTCCTTCAACTGATTCAACCACGTCGCGAAATCCATCTCCTCGCCGTGGACCAACATCATGCCACCGCGGACCTCTTTCAACTGCGGGGTAATAGAGATGAAGTATTCAACGTGCTGGGAATGACATCTCTTCTTGGGCATCTCTCCCTCCACCAGTTTTTTAACACATTCTGGGCACAACTCCTTTTCCAAACAGATGGGGCAAATGGAAAAACCATCTCGTTTGGGAATTTTGCGCCGGCATGGGCCGCGGCATACATACCAAGGCTCGCTATTGTCCTGTTCCGACCTGTGGGCAATTGCAACAACATTTTTGAAGTCTCCCGTCCTCATCAGAGTATATTGCAGGTCGGACAGGTCCTCATTCCTAGGATTGTCATCGCTTATGGCTTGAATGCTTCGTTGTAGGGAGGGTTGGAAGAGAGCCCGCGCCCGCTCGTCTTGCCCTCGAAGGCGACAGTAGATGCCCAAGTAAACGGCCGGCACGAAGGCGCAGCTTCCTAACAGACAGGTCTGACTTTCCTGAGTGAGCTTCTCAAGTTTGGACACTGATACTTCCGCTTCTGGCATGCCAATTCCAGCCTCGATTGCGTTACAAAGAAACGCCCGAGCCAAGTTTGAGGAGGCAAGCTGTCTGATTGTCCCGATCAATGTCCCCTCGGAGGAAGAAGAGTATGTATTCATGATCTTCTCCCAGCACCCGATTGCCTTCTGATGGTCAAACAAAAACTCATCATAGATCCGAGCGATGGACATATCCACCTCTGCGGCAATCAACGTCCTCGATGCCGCTCGAGCCGCCGTGGCCGCCGTTTGTAAGCTTTTCAACACGAAATCCAGGTCATTGGTAGCCGACGCGGCATCGACAGCAAGCCTTGACTTGCTGTCCACATCAAATACGTTGACCAGTAAGAATCGGGTCAATTCTGAATAATCTTCCTCGGGAACCGGAGTGTTGGCTAACTTCTTTAGCAAATCCATCGATGCTTCGTAGGCGTGGTTGTCATTATGGTATTCCAGAAGGGCATGGATACAGGTCCAGCAAGAGGGTGCATATTGATATGCCTCTTGAACGGCCTCGAATCGCTTCTCCCGATTTCCCTGTTCTTGATAGATCTGACCCATACGCTCCAGACACTCATGAAGATGTTCTTTCAGTGGTCGGTCCTCTGGTCGCTCCGCAATTACGGTCAACAAACTTAGTCGAGTCCGTTTCCAGAGCTCAATGGATTCCTGCCAATCGTCTTGCTCCTGATATGTCTGTGCTAGTTCACGCAGGGTCCGCCAATTATGCGGGTCAAGTTCCATCGCCTTTTCGAAATACTGTAGAGCTTCCTCGTGGCAGCAGGATTCGCGCAGAGCGATCGCACATTGTTTAAACCACTGGCCACTTTTTTCAAAGCCCCCAAACTCAGCGGCCTTGACCACGTCTTCCGCCGTTAGGCTCCTGTCGTGATCGTGGATCTCCTCACCCTTAACTAGCATCTGGTAGCGCCAGACTATAGAAACCATGGGAATAGGTCTAGGCAGGTCTTCCCACAGCCACCTCTTGATGCAGAACACTACCATTGGCTGGAATAGATTGAATGGCTCCTCATCCGTGGTAGAGACGAACTCCTTCTCTTCCAAAGATAAAAGCTCGCGGACGTCTTGCTCTTGCCACCACTGTTGGACAGCTCTGATGGTAGCCGTAGAAAGAGCCCAGTCACTTTCCCCGAGCCATTTCGACATTGATTCTTCCGATCGAAAGGCCGTCAATAGCATCTTCGCAATTTCTCGTCTATCCTCTGAGGAACTGTTGGACGGGGAAGTGGTGAGCAGGTGATCGCCCCAATGCCGCGCAGCATATTGGAGCATGTGCCCCGAGTCGTTGGCCTTCATTGCAAAGTCCGGATCGGTGATTAGCCTTAAGTAAATCCTCAGGATATGAGCTTTCGCTTCATGGTGATTCACCCCGACGCCAATGTGGGCCTCTGTAGTGGAAACCTTGCCCTCCGAATCATCGCGGAGGAAGTCGCCAATGGAAGCATGGCAGAAGTTGACGGTGGTTGTATCCTTTTTTGAGCTGAAGGCCATGAGATAGTCCTCCTCGGTAGTTTCATAATCACATTGTTCCTCCTCGTCGGCGCTCCAGTTGAATGCATCTAGATCGGCTGATCCATTCTCTAGATCGGCTGTCGTAAGGCCATCCTCTCGGCCTAAAGAGAAGAATGACGCCCATTGGCGCCGTAGAGCTCCTTCAAGATCAATCATGCCATCTCCCTCCGGTGATTTCAGTCTGAGGATCGCCTCTATCTCGCCTAGTCTCCACGGTTGGCTCGCGCAGGTGACCCAGAGCAATGTTTCATTGAGATACTCGAGTTCCTCTTCGTTAGATCTTTCAGCGAAAGTGGCCAAGACATGTCGCAACATCTCCTTAAGCCCCCGGGGAGCTCTCTCCAGTGCTTTCCGCATGCTGGTCTCATTCCGCTTCTTAGCTAACTCTTGCAGCATAAGATTCACCCAAAGGAACATGCCTTCCGCCCGGACCGAGAGTTTATCCACGATCTCATCCCGTAGCTTTGCCGACACTCTTCGCAGAATCAGGGACTTTTTGATGCTGACGTGGATATACTGAGTGATATCACTGGAATTCTTCTGTTTGGTGACGTGAAGGGTTGGCAGATTAACCTCCAGGCCTTCGAGCAGTTGATCGTGGATATAAGGTCGGCCAACAATTGCTAGCCGTAAAGACGACTGGTTGCCGTACAAGTCCTTTGCGAGATCGACAAAGATCCTCCAGTCCTCATCTAGAGCTTCGTCCACTGCATCTAGCAGGATATACGCGACGCTCTCGATATTGGGTTTCTTGAGAAAGTATCCAACGAAAAGGAGACGCCACGCGCTTTCCAGAGTGCTAATCTGTTCATATTCCTTGATAGACCCGAGATACTTTCTGTACCCTGGGTCGTTCTTGCTGATTTGGAAGGCCAGGTCGCGCAACGCCTGATGAAAGGACCTTGTTTGGGGCTTGTCATCCCTAAAAAAGAAATAGCCGATCGAAACCAGCGGGTTGTGTGGAAGGGCCGGAAGAAATCTATTAAGAAGGAAATTGATCACGTTCGCGGCCAAAAATGACTTCCCCGAACCAGGATTCCCAGACACAAAAATAACAGGCGTTTTCTCATTGATCCAAGATTGAAAAACATCCTCGCTGTGGATCCAGTCTCCTGTGCCCGGTACACGGGCTTTGTGAATTCTTTCGAACCACTCCTGCGCTGAATCAACCTTGGATGGTCTAAGGACTTGATTGATGAGTCCTTGCAAGGCTTCTCCATTTTCCCTGGTATCCTGGTTTTCTTCATTCCCGGAAAAGATCAGCTTTTCTAGCATCCCCTGCACCTCATGTACCTGTGCGCTCATCTGATTAACCGTCATCCCGGTCTCCTGAACAGTCACGTTGGTAGCGTTGACGGCCACAGATATACCATCAACTACACGGCCGGCTCTCTTCGACTCTGTCAAAGTCTCAGCTGCAACTAGGTTCGCTTCGACCTGGGTGAGCTTGTCAAGTCTGCTCATCGTGGCTTGAATGGAGTCGTCGTTACCAAGTAGAACATTTCGGGTGTACTTGAACAGGCGGCCTCGTCGGACGATCTTAGATGACAAGGCAAAAATTTCAATAAGAGCAACGATGATATCGCTAAGCTTGTCGCTTAGAGCCTCGGAGATGGCTTCTTGTGTGTATGTTTTTAGTCGGATGGTGAAATCCTAGTTTCGTTCAGAGCTCCATCCTTCCCCTTGTCTTCATCTGAACGCAGCTAGATCATACCTGCAGCATCTGCATCAAGTCTTGAATCGCATCGTATGAGGCAGATACCCCCTTGGCGGCACCCACCAAATGCATGACGGCCCCAAAGACGAGACTACTTGGGGGGAATACCATCGATGCGCCTCCAGCCGCGAGGTTGCCGAACAATTGCACGGGGATCAGTGCCGCTTCTAGAACATCGAAGATGTTGCCTCGTATTTCGCGGAACTCGCGGAAGGCGCTATTCCTCTCGTCAATCTCTTTCGTGAGATCGCTGACGCTGCGGATCTTTGTGAGAAAATCAACCTCGAGAGTCTCCCCCGTGATTTCATGGTATTTGCGGATTGCCTTCTCACAAATGGCGGAGGACTGATCCATGGAAGCGACCATTCTTGAGCCGTTGAAAATGCCGATGCAATTTTCATACCCTTGGAGATCGGGTGGAGGTGGACGGAACTAGGTAAGATGGTCCCGTTAATCTTTACTCAGACAATTCGTGTCAAAGGAAGAAAAGTATTGCGATTGGAAGGTTACCCCATTTTCACGAACCCCGCACACCGTATTCAGTTTCAACTGACTCACAGGAATCATTTCTCAACCCCGTATTCGAACCACGCTAATATATTTCCGGCTTAGCTAAATTTCAAATCTGAATCGTATTGAAGTATCATATCACATGGAATTTGGCTTCACAAATCACTTGAAATACATCGGCCAAAAATACTAAGAACATGTGGCCCTCCATAGCTAGCTCGATTCGTCCAGATCATTATAGGGTTCGGGCATCTTTCAAACAGCTTGACCGTATTACGCACTACAGATGGAAAGTAATCTTTAGGTGAACTTCAATTAGACATTTACACAAATTTATCTTCTCTGTTCTTCTCAGAAAGCCCACATAGACGTGAGGAACTCTTATAGCTTCAACTGATAGATTCTAGCCAATTTGTCCCAATCCAGAATATCCGAACACGGTGGAACTCTACATATCTTATGCTATAAAGGGCTAAGCGGCTTCAGCCCTACTTTGATAGACATGGCCATATGGAATGCCTAGAAAACCTAAAGATTGATTCAGATGGATAGCGTCAGGTTGACTACCTTATTTGTCTAACAAGACCATCTTTCCTTCATGCTAGTACGTTCTCAAAGACAAAGAACGTGACTCTCCACCAAGTCTTTAAGGTCTACAATTAGCTATTCGAATAAGTTGACTGAAGAAAAAGAGGTTATGTTTAAGTGACGAAGTGCCCAATATGCGAAAGCAACAAGGGACACAGATACAACACGATGATCTAGATGGCCTCCAATACCCGCCGGGAAAAACGTAACGAAAGCAGATTTAAGATAAGAGATCTTGCCAATGATTTAGAAGTGATATCTGGCCTCGAATACCATATTCGATCACAGGGGCTCGTGGCTGAGCGGTAGTCGGTCGAACAGTATGGTTCGCGTGGCTCGTGGAGGTATATGGAGGTTGCATGTCGAGCGGTGGGTCATCGGTAAGAATATATATTGTGTTCAGGTCAGGGCTTTGGCGACCTCCATTCAAGTCAACGGTAACGGAAGCGGTGACTGGAAGAGCATCGTCTATAAAATGGTCACGGTTGTCTTCAGCGGCTTGCCACTCGTTTTCGTAGTTGTTCTCTTGCAACTTGACACTGTAGCCCACTCATTCGTGGTGATCCGTGTCGCTCAAGCATATAATTTGCCGCTATAGATCCGAAGGTAAGGAATCATCGGACCAGTGATCCACAGTAGAATCATCTGTTGCAACGTCTCCGTATAAAGGATTACGTCGCATGAGAAAGCGAAGAGCAGCAAGCACCTTATATTTACGATCACTCAGAAATGGCTGCAGATCAGAGTCGGGGGCGGGGGTTGTCGGTTTCCTAGCTAGGTTTCTTTGACGAGTACAGTGAACTGGAAAACAGGGCTCGGCAATATTTGAAGGAGAGGTTTCGGGTCCTAGGGTATGATGATAAAATGGCCCCGTAGTGCACGGTAGTTTGCTGGCGACGTTTGGCCCACTTCACACAGAACTCACTTCCTCAATGTGTAGGGGCTGCATAAGCGGTGTAGTGGTAAGCCATGATTCTTGTTCGCAATCGTCTCAGTCAAGACCCACTAGGCCGGCCAGGCCACTCACTTCCTACCAGCCCATCAACAACGAGTGGCATGTTGGCATCCCAGTCGATACACCAAGCTCGTCATGGAAGGAAAGCAGAAAGATTCCCTCGCCTTTCCTATCATATGCCTACTCTTCTCCTTCACGTTTACAGCCTACCTCCGCCGTGCTTGGGTCCTGCAGCAGCTCCGACCATACAAGCATCTCATCCGCCGTACCGTGCGCCAGTGGCAGTATAGGATCCGAAAATGGAGCCGCTGGCTGCGTCACATCACTGACAGTCGCCGCGATGGAAACGTGGACAGAACGTATGACACGCATGAGCCTTCTGACACCGCCAGTGGACACCAGACAGACCTATTCGACTTGGGCTCCCCGACATACTCCGCCGATGGATCTTCGTTGGATGGCTCAGATATTACCAGCTCAGACTCTGATTCAGAGCTAAATGTGACGATGTACATCCCAGACTCATCCCAGGACAGTACCTCAAACGCAAGCAGCAGCAGGGAACACTCATCCTTTACCCAATCCCAACCCATCTCCCGACCGACCTGGACAATCGACTCCCTCGGCCGCACGATACTCAACCGCGCCCCAGAACCCCTCCCCCGTGCGCAGTGGGAAATTAAGCTCGAGGAGCACATCCACAACGGCCGCGGGCCCGGCGCCTGGCTCGACAGGATAATAGACTGGATGGCCCGCCGTGTCGCCGCAGACTTCGAAGCTGAGGTGCGCGCTGAATTTGAACAATCGGGTATCGGCCGCCGACCGCCCAATCCCATCTAGGGTGGACACAGACGTGCAGATGCACGAGCGGGAGAACCACGCAGCTTGACGTATGCGGGTAGTCAGTGCGTCGGCGCAGGGTTGGACTGAGCGGGTTGCTTATCGTGGATATCCCGCAGGTCGGGCGCCACGCAAGAATTGTGGCCGGGGTATGCGTCTGGTTGGTGGGGCACCGGGCGCTCTTAGCTCGGCATCTTCGCACAAGCTAATTATGCATCTGGGCTGGGGCCTGACAAGGCACTGAGGTACTTGCAGGGGTGGAACGGCTTCGGTTTATGGAGAGTGGAATGATTTATGAGGTCCGGCGCTCAATGAGGGGGCCTGGGTCAGGTCGATTCAATTCAATACTTCCGCTCCGCAGATTCATTCGTATCGTCTCAATCCTCTATCTCGTGTATAATCGATCATTACCACGTAACACAAAAAGCCACTTTCTAAGTATAAGAACCTCCTTTTAAAAATCGTCAGATCAGCTCATCGCTGCATCATTTATGGGGCACAGTAGCCGCCGTCGACGATAATGTCGGCGCCGGTGGTGTAGGTGGACGCATCCGAGGCCAGGTAGAGATAAGCACCCTTCAGTTCGTGGGCCTCGCCCTCACGACCCATGGGGATCTTATCGCGCCAGATGTTTTTGGTCTCCTCGGGTACGAAGCTGGAGATCTCGGTGGCGATGTAGCCGGGGGAGACGGTGTTGGCTCGGGCAAAGCGGACCCATTCGACGGAGAGGGACTTGCCTGTATTATTATTAGGAGGAGAGTACATCGGGAAAGGTTTGGTTTGAGAGAAAACGTACAAAGGTGGATGACACCCGACTTAGCGGCGTTGTAGGCCGCTTGCATCTGGGGGAAGTTGACGATATGACCGCTCATGGAGGCTGTGGCAACGAAGCTACCGTACGTGAAGTTAGTGAGCTTGTTGCCGTTGATATCGGTGCCCTCCTCCTTCTGTCGGCGCCAGTGAGAAGCTGCAGCTCTTGCGCAAAAGAAGGTCCCATCAAGGTCGATGCGGACCACATCATTGTAGTGCTCGATAGGTCCGTCGACCATGGGGCCCTGAGTCCATGGAATACCCGCGTTGGCAATGAAGACGTCCAGGCGCCCGTTGAATTCCTTCACGGCGAGATCGGTAGCCTCCTGAACAGCCTTGGGGTCGGTGACCTGAACCTGGTAAGCCTTGGCTGTGGCAAGGAAATAGCTTGTTAACTTCCTCAACGCATCAATTCAACCCGCAGATCTAGGAGAAACATAGTTTCTTACCCTGGACACCGTACTTCTGGGCGATCTCGGCGGCACGCTCCGCAGCCTTAGCATTGGTATTGTACCACATGGCAACGTTGGCACCAGCTTCAGCCAGACCGTGCGCGACGGCGAGTCCAATGCCAGCACCCGCACCGGTTACAATGGCAGTCTTTCCCTTTAGGGAGAACATGCTCATCAAGCTGGGGTGCTCGGGGGCAACGGTGTTGTTGTGGACGAATAATCCATTCTGAACCGGGTTGGCAGCCATCGTGAATAGAAAAGAGGCAGTAGATTAGAAGTACGAGATAGGAAGCGAGACAAGAAGCAGCATGGGAAGGGAGATCACATTAAATAGAGCTCCGGTGGGGCAACAATTTTGAGGGGAAAAACAAACCCACTCGCTGCGATAAGACGGTGAGGGATGTGTTGGCGGGGGAAGCAGAGATCAAGACGCGCAAGTGGGGATGGTACTGTACAGTTGCTCCCAAGGAACTGTACAGTTACTGGAGCATGGCCCACCATCGGCGGCGCCTCGTTCCTGTGGGTATGACGCTATGCGTCCCAGAATAGGGCGAGGAGCGGGTCATCGTTGCGAGAGGTGAAATGTGCACCCATCATTTCGACGGACATTGTATCATGGAGCAGAATGGACCCTGGAAGCTCGGTTGTTTGTTTTGGACACATTGCATTGGCCCCTGAGAAAGGTGTTCTTTGGTTTCAATTTGCGACGTCTGTCACAATCCACTTCCTCGGCCGCAAGACGGACCTACTTTTCAGGATAGTTCTGCCGGAAGTAAAGGGCGGCGAGGGCTACGCCGCACACCTACTGGCGCCGGTCAGATGATCCGATGAGGTAATTATATTGCCTGATGTCGCAGGCAATCTTTACCCTTTGGAGGCCCCCGCGCGGGAGGTCTGGAGCCCTAGTTCGCTTGTTCCTGAAACTAGAAAAACAGTGCCAGCTGCTCCAAAGCTATTCAATCAATCAGGGTATGGCTCAGCCACTGTCTGCCGAAGATGCGATGTGCCCCAAAGAAGGTGGTGAGGAGTGGGCAGTCGTCTGGAGGGAAACTCCCGGCCGAAAATGCTCTATCTCCGACGTCTTCGGCCCCACCGCGATGCTGGTCCGATGGGCCGACCGAGCATTTTCCTTATCCTTTTCAATTAATTCAATTGAGCTTTTGGTGCCTTTGAATCCCTGATCAGTCTATGTTCCTCTTTTGGGACTTCATTCGTCGCGATGGTGTGGCGCCAGAGTCATCTCATGGCTGACTTACCTGCGCAGCATCTATAGATCTACTTTCGTCATCGCCTGGTCTCTAACATTCAGCAACAAACGTTCAAAACTAGTCTCTTCCTTTTGAAGCCAGCTGTTTGTATCTCGTGGAAAGGATGAAGAATAGCTGGCCATTCTTGGGGGTCATTTTCGTGTGTTGATCATTACTATGTAGCATCATAATCCATACAGGGACCCGGATTCTATCTCCATTCCAGCCAATCTCAAGGATTTCACATGAACGTTTTGATTGACCACTCAGACCACTCAATCTACCTGGCGTAGACAGAGCGTCATGACAGGCGATGGCAGGGGTGGGGGTACAGTGTGGCCGCCAACATTCTTCGCGGCGTCTTGGTGATGCGTTCACATTCCAGGGCACTGGTCAACGTTCCCATAACAAACCAGCAACCCCAAGCAGGAATGTTCGCGCTGCTGCACCTGATTGCGTTTCTCGCCTCCACCTCTCGCCTCCTCGAGGCTTTGTTGTGATTCAGGTGGCTGACCATACTGTGGACCATATTGAATCGAAAGGATCTAAACTAAACAACTGGAACATCGCGACTCGAGACCTCCAACGGATGAGCGACTGAACACTGCCCTTTTCGCGGATCACGCGCGCTCCGATTCAAAGTCAACTTGGCAGGCTAACTCGTCAACCAGACCATGCTGAGCCTGAGCATCGTGGTCGCCATCGCCGCCTCTGGCGCGGCGTTTTTCATAGTCTGCGGAGTCGTTGCAGTCGTTGTCTGGGTTCGATTCCGCAAGGAGCGCCATGCGTTGAGAGTCCTAAGGCTGACCCCAGGGGAGAATACCCGCAAGATACAAACCTTCGCTGGGGATACGTTGACGGAGCTATCTCATCAGGAAGGGAGTGTTCTTCGGGCTCACGGCCAGCTACCGTATGGCAAGCCGACAGAATGGGGCAAGCTGGAATCACGAGAGACTCTTCTACGGCCAAAGAACGGATCCGAGACATCGTGGCCCCTCATGGAAAGAGCACGATCACTGCGCAATTCTATCCGCAGAGCCCGGTCAAAACGGTTCTCCAGAACCGGGCATAAACGTGTGGACTCCATGGCCACCGTCAGCGAGATGGTACCAAGCCCGCCCGGGAGCTCAAGAGAGAATATCCCTCTCTCGGCTGTCGAAGGAGTCCTGGAGCTGCCGGCGGAGCGAACACCACAACAGACCCCAGAAATTCCCAGAGAAGAAGAAGGATTCCACCTTGGCATGCGCCCTATGTCGCCTGCATCAGCCTGGCCGCCCACAACTCAACGAGCGCAATCGACCCTGTTTCCGGTGCTACCAGGCAACAATTCACAGGACATGTTTGACCCACCTTCAATGATCTTTGACGAGTCTCCTACACGGCTTCGTGGTGGAAGTATCGTCAGTCAGACCGCAGGCCATGTCCCTGATCAGTCAATCCCCCCTCCACCTCCCCCCGCCGCTTTTCCACAGGAACGTTTCAGCTACCTGCGGAACGACTCGGTCATGCGTCTGTCGTCAATGAGCCTCGACACAACCAACAGCTCAATTCTGGATGATGGCAGGAATGGCCCTCGATCCGCCGACACCGACCTCACGTCGCCTATCTTCCCATCTGGCGGCACGTTCGTGCCATACAGCGCCAATGACGTTGGAGTCAAAAACGGACGCCGAAGCTTCATTGCTGCCAATACCTCGTTGCCGCCTAATTTCCCCATACGTTCGTCGTCAAACGCTGATAACCATAGGCGGATGGCGGAAGAAGCCGTATCACCCCGGCGCAGCATGACAACAACTTCTCGGAACCCAAGTAATGCAAGCAGCCGTTCTAACGGTGTGCCTCGTCGCAGTGAATCTATGTCGTCGAACCCTCCGCAAAGACATTCGTCCCTTCGCAATAGCACACCTGGGCCACCGGCTGGTTATCAGAAGGCCAATTCTTCCGCCTGGCGGTCACCCCACTCGAATGCGGCTTATGTGCTGCATTTCAGTCAGTACCAACAACAACCGCCGGGCTACGAGAATGAGCAGTTTGACAATGATCCATTTTATGGAGGCTCTCCAGCCTCAAATGGTACCCTTTTCTCCACTGGTTCTCCCGGCCAACCGCTCGCTTATATGCCTCAAAGTCCCATGCAGCGCTCCAGTCTGTCTATCAAAGGACCTCTTCCATCAGCACTCAAAGGATCTAATTCTCAGCGCAAGAGTAAGGGTCACAGACGCCAGAACTGCGTTCGTATATCGATCCATCCGCCCATGACATTCGGAGGCTCTGTCTTCTCCCCAACAGTCGAAGAAGAACCCGAAGACTTGGATGCCATGGAAGAGGTGGACCTGCGTGAGAGCACCATCAACGGGACACCTAAAGCGCAGCCATCCCCGCCTGTGAACACGTCCTCCCCGCTGCCCCGCTCAAAGCGTGGAAGCGGCAGTCGCCGCACCAAGCCTGTCATTTCAGCACCAAGCTCTCTCGGCCCTTTGGCTGAAGAGCCGCAGCCTCGCACGCATACCCGAACTCCTTCTAAGAAGCGGAAGAAGGCGCCCACCGACAACGCAGACGATACACCCATCTTCGCCAGAGACCATTCTTTGCCTGGTATTTTCACGGCCCTCCCCCCTAGTGGCGACGTAAGTCTCTCGCATACGCCTTCCCCGGAGCGGGAGCCGCCAGTATGGGCGGTGCCTGGAGCTCCATCGCCCTTGGCCTACGAGAATTCGCCTGCTAGTGGCACTGGCAGCCCTCGACGGACAGCTGTAAAGGGACCGCGCACTCAGCCGGGCAAGCCTGCCCGGAGCAACTCGACGCGTGCTCCACCACCAAGGCCCATCGGCCCCTTGATGGGACCAACTTCATCTCCTGGTCTACCCTTCATCACTGGCACCCAGGGTAGCGATTGGCGGAGGTCGACAGACACATTGCACAGGACACAAACGGATGCAAGTAACCACTCCTACCGGCGGTACCGCGAGTCCCAAGGCTCCTTGGCGAGTGCTCTTGACTCATCCATGTGCCCAACCTCCCCAGTATATGGTACCAATGCCTCGACCGTACGAGACAAGGTCACTATCTGGGAAGACGCCAACCGCAGCGGATCGCCGCCCAAGCCCCCGGCTCCCCAATTCGCAGGCAACTACGCCTTCCCTCCAGATACCAACGCCTCGCCAGTGCACATGAAAAACACCATTCCACGTTCTATCTCTAAGAGTGGGAGATCGCCAGCCCGCATGGCCAGCTATCGCGCCCCGCCAACGCCGACATCTGCTCGTCGTGGCATGACAACGCCCACTGGGAAGGGACTTGGAATCGGGATTGGATGTGCGACGCCGGTCAGTCTGTACGATGGTGACGGGTTTTTTAGAGAGTAATGTTCTGCTATATTCTGGTCTGTTTTGCCCTCCTTGCTCGGCGGTTGTCTGTTGATTTTGGCGGCAGTGTTTCGTTCGGTTGTTACCCTTGAACCGTGATTTTTTGTGATTTCAGAAAAGCATTATACCTTGATTATTTTCTTCTTTGCCTGGCGCAGGTTGTTATCTGCTATTCCCTTTCCCCGTCCATCTCCTCCCCCCGGCCTCCCTTTGATGTGTCACGTTCTACTGTGATATCCACCGTCTAGGTAGTCGTAATTAGAAATGAACTCTGCAACTTTTTCTTCTCTACCGTCCGTCTCCATTTCCATTCAAGGGCTTATCATTTTAATCAGTCAGTCCTTCGCCACTTGGTCTCCTCACTCTCGCCCTCTGTTCCTTCTTGCCCCTCGCCAGCCCCATTCTCATCCTCTCGCGCCCGGATGGTCCCAGCACCAGGACCAAGTCCAGGGAACGAAGGCGGTTCACCCTCCGCAATCCAATTCCCCTCCTCATCAAAATACTCATGCATATTATCCGCCGTGATCCACCCAGAGCTTCCCTCAACAGGCGGCGGCAGATTCCCGTCCGAGGAACCCACCGCCTCCTGCCCAAGCTGGAACAGCGCATACCCATGATCCTCAGCAGACATGAACTTCGACCCCTCTTCATCGTCATCCTCGTCACCCGGCTCCACGGGGTCCGGGTGCAGGTTTGAGCAAGCGGACACAGCATTGTACAGCATCTGCGTTGGCGTCTCCGCCGGCTCGTCACTCAGATCTTGCGCTGCCCCCGCTTCCGCCGTAATCTCGGCGGCGCCGGTGCCGGACTCTCTTGGTGGCACGACTGTCATTGTGATGCATTGCTCCTCGTCGTCCTCGGAGGAGGGAGCAGTGGGTACTGCGATCTGCATGTATAGGCCTTGAACTTCAGTATCGGCAGCGCTGGGGACGTGCAGGCGCTGGATGGCGTGAAGGGAGATAGAAGGGTACGGAATTGAGACGCCTGTCGAGGCAGAGGGGGAATACAGGACGAATTTCCTGGCCGGAGTGGTGGATGCGTTAGCTTGCTTGACGCTAGATATTTGCAGGCGAGGAAAGGCGACCGTACGAGCTGCAGGCAGCCCGGCTTGAATCGAAAATGGGGGACACGACTCACTCAGATGTCACCCACGTATCCACGCCCTCGATGGCAACCTCGTGGCCCTCGTCGTCCTGCGCTTCCTGTGCCGCATCGCCAGCGCTGGTTCCGTTCGCAGACGCACTCTCTCCGCGCAGCGCATTCAGCGCCGGTGTGGCAAGCAGATCGCGTTCAAGAATGACCACCTTGCATCGCTGGCTGTGGTAGTGAAGCACTGGCGGCCCGGAGTGGAACGAGCTAGGTGTGCGCGACTGGTGCTCGGCGATGGTGACGAAGCTCGATGCTTCCGGGGACGTGTGGAAAACCTCCATCTTGATGATTTGGAGGCGATTACTTTTTTCGGATGGCGTGGGGGAAGTGATTGGGTATTTATCAAGGTTGGAGGTGTGGTGCTAGGTTGCGAAAAGCTGGCGGGAGCTCCGGGCGGAGAAACGCGTTTCTTCCGCGGTTCGTCCTATTCATCCCAAGTAATTAAATAGGGTGATTAACTCTTACCCACTCTATGGTGGAACTCCTGCTACTTCTACCAGTTAGTGAGCTCAGACCCTTGCTTACCCAGATATACATTGAGAAACAAAATTTAGCGTGCTGACTCCTCCTTGAAGTATTTTCATCCTTTTCAATCGGTTCTGTTACTATGTTCGAGGTCGCCTGCATATATCGACAGCGGGAAACTGACATTTCGTACAAAAAGAGTAGTGGAACCTATGGCGTTGAACTAATTAGAGAAAGTTGGCCAATATTCCATCAGTTAAGAAATTCTACACAGAAGTGTGTTCTCTTCTTAGAAACCAAGTAATTTCCTATATGCTATAGGCGTCGCCAAGCTTCCTGTGTCGTTTTATTGCTGGCAGCGGACGCCATCGGTGGCTGGAATGTAGGAGTCGCGCATGCTTCCTTGGAAGCTCCAGCCCAGCAGCGCCTTCAACAACATGACACAAGCCAGAGAAAAATTGAGGCCTGCCACAACATTTGACTCAAATACTGCACCGGCCATGAAGGCAAACGCCATGTTTGCAACGAAATGTCCCCTACATTCGCGAGCATAATTCACCTCGTCCACAGAACATTGGCTGGCTCCCATGATCTGCCTCGTTGACTCGAGGTGATGCTATTCTGCCTCAGGAAGCTATGAGGTGGCCATGCTAGGCATGAGATGTCCTGCATGGGCAAGGAAAAGGCCGGTGGGATACTGAAAGGGCGAGTGGATGCTATATTCCAGAGCCAGATCCTCGCGAAAGCTAGAGACATTCGAAAGAACTCGAGACAGGCTCCTCTAGGTTCATTTCAGACCAAGCCCGCCAAATGCTCGGTCCAGCTCCTTTCCCTCATCGCGAGGTACCATTGCTGGCAGGGTGGACGATCCCTGATCGGCGGAAGTACTGTCAAGCAGACTTTCGCTCACGTCGCCCTTGGAGCCAGGAGACCCTGCAGCCCTGCTCGGCTGCAGCAACTTCTCTTCCCGGTCTAACCAGCCAGGCGCAACACGACGCCTTTCTGCAAGCTCACGCTGTCGAATGGATTCTTCCCAGGCCTTGATGGCACCCTCGGCATCAGCTCGGGCTTTCTTCAGGTGTTGTTCGAGAGACTTGCATGCAGCGAGGATCTCATCTGGATGAGCCGCATGCTCGCCACTGGAGGAGACGACATAGCGGGGTCTGGAATCAGGGTTGGTCGGATTGTCAAGGACCGAGGGCGGAAGGGTCGAAGAGACTGATTTGTAAGTGTAGGGCAAAGTAACCGACGTAGGGAGGCTGATGAACGGTGATACGGTCAGAGGGACCTGGGATAGCAGGAGGTGAGGGCCTGTAGAGGGTGGTGAGCGAGCGACCATAGAAGAAGCAGCCAGCGTCAAGCAGCAGAGAGCCAGAAGGCCACATACGGTACGAGTCGTACATGATGGGAAGGTTGTGCAGTGATTGTGCAAGGGTGGTGTTCTGGCGGAGGCGGGCAGGAAGTGGCTGTTGACAATGCGGAGAGGGTGGATAAGATTCACCGCCCCACGTTTCGCCGATGATCTCCTTCCGTCGTCCCAATCTGGAATGGAGATAAAATAAGTTGAGGATATCATACCTATTGGATACCACATATACACCGGATATTGTCCGGCAACGCTTGGCGCTCCCTTTCCGTTCTAGTGCTCACCCTCTCGCCGCTTTTGCTCACTGAGTAGAATTGAGCAGGCCCCTGATTAACCTGAGCTGGTCAGTGATAATTATGTAATCAGACTGATTCACTCACTGAGCATCCTGATTTACTCACTAAGCCTAACCGGAGTGTCCTGATCTGATCATTAAGCCTAACCTAAGCATCCCGATTTACTTACTAAGCCCTCCCGGAGAGGGGTAACGTAATTCCCTGCCGTTCGGAACACGCAGCTACAGTGGTGTTACTTTAGTTTGAAACCCTCCGTTTTGACCGCCTTAGCCTACCGCCCACTACATTCGGCTAACCGCCCCTGACTACGCGCTGCGATACGCTTAGTATAACGCATCTCCCCCCCCCCCCCCCCCCCCCCCCTATTATTTTATGCAATTTGAAGCTATTCAGACACTAAAAATGCCTCCTCTTCGCACAGGGCAGCAATACGATGCGCCTACTAGGCACCCAAATATTGCTACACGACGATCTGGCTACCAACTTGCCCCCTACGAACGTATTAAGATTATTGAGCTTAAATCGATTGGCTGGACCTACAAAAAGATCAACGAGCGTTATCCTCATATTCTAATCAACACGATGAAGACAACGGTGGCTAGATCTAGCCTACGAGGGCCTACCCAAGAGACACTCCCTCGATCTGGCCAACCAAAGAAGCTTAACGAAGAGGATAAAACTAAGCTTCTTAACGCTATCGATGAGAACCCACGAGTCAAATACGACGACCTCCTTGCAACAGTCGATAATAAGGTTAAACGAATATCGATTTGGAGACTCCTTCGTGAGGAGAATCGACGAAAATGGCTTGTGCTTCAGCGACCGGAGCTTACCGAAACCTACGCCCAATTACGTCTCGAATGGGCCGAACGAGTACGTAGCTATACCGAAGATTAATGGAGAAAGATCTTTTGGACCGATGAATCGACGATTGAGAGAGGTAAAGGGGCTCGTCGCGAGTACACCTTTACCCGACTATGCGACTAAATCGCCGTACGAGATGTCGACCTAATATCCGTACATAAGGGTATTAAACAGATGTTTTGGGCTGCTTTCTCAGGATCTAGTCGGCGTTCAGGGCTTATACCACTCTTTAGAGACCCAGATTTACCTCGGGGAGGTATTAATCGATAGGTTATCCTCGAATTATACCAACGTATGCTTCTAACATTAATAAATGGTATCGAGGGTGCTATTTTTCAACAAGATAACGCCCCTATTCACACTGCACGCGTTGTAAGAGACTGGCTTGAAGAACAAGCGTTTAAAGTGATAGCCTGGCCACCATATTCGCCAGATCTTAACCCAATTGAGAATCTTTGGGCGCTTCTTAAGGCTAAAATCTATGATATGTATCCAGAGATCAAATATATGCCTGATAACGAAGAAACCTTGGCGTTTTTAATCGCTGCTGCGCAAGAGGCTTGGTCAGAGATAGATCTTTCTATACTAGATAATTTAGCTATAACGATGCCTAACCGGGTGAAGCAGGTAGTTGATAACGGTGGATGGTATACTAGTTATTAACTAGTAAATATTGAATGCGAGGTTTTAGTGCGGCAGAAAGGGTGGCAGAAAATTATATAATCAAATGGGAGGGTTTCAAACTAAAGTAACACCACTGTAGACTGCGCCAAAAACCGCAATTGGGGGCAAACCTTGCCCCCAAAACCAAACCGCAATGGTTGCGGTTTTTAAAACCAAAAACCAAACCAAACCATAAACCATTGCGGTTTAGTTTTTAGGGGCAAGGTTTACCCCCAATTACGGTTTTTGGCGCAGTCTAAGTGTTCCCTTTGCGCGTTATTTCCAATCTCCTATATGATTCTCATTCCTTCCAACACCTAAGGGAAAAGCCTTCTTCATTGTCAGGTGTGCCTTATTCCGAGCCCATATATAGGTATATAGGTATATATCTATATATTCCCAGTCTAGAACCTATTGTGATCGTTGCAAATATTGCTGGTTGGTGGATGACCGAGACATTGCTTTGTCATCGGTGCCACCGGAAGTATTGCTTTCGCCCTCATACAGGTCCTGGAGTTAACCATAGCCTTTCGCTAAGGCTCTTGAGAACCCTTACCCCTCTTACTATTATAACCCCTTTACCCCCTGACTTTGACTGAAACTAACCCCCTATATTCAATGATGTTGCGTCGATGCTTTGGTATTGATCTGTCTCTACAGAGTTGATAAGAATTGGGCAGAGCTATTTCTGGGCAACGAACAACCTAGCCTAGTTTGTTCGGGGGGCAACATAATGTGTGATTGGTCCTCTCTACGTTTCTAACTCCACGCCCAGTACAGAACTGGAAATCAAAACTTACATCGGTTCTTTGATGAAACCACAGTCTACAAGTCCTAGGTGCTTGTGCGTGTCTGACTTGCACGTAGAAGTGCTAACAGGATGTCGGCACTTACAGGCAGGAGTGCGAGCCGGCATGGCCTGGAGTTCAAGTGCAAAACCGTTCCGACAATAATAAGCCGATGAGTTTCCAACTAATGAAGGCCTCTAGAATAAGTGGGGGTCTCGCGTGTCATGGACCATAGATAGACGCGTGGGACGTAGGCCCAATGCCTAAACCTTAAACAAGCCTCGTGCAGTTCGGTTTTTGATTGAGATCTCCGCGGGGACGAGGTGAAAAGGTGTCGCTGCGCGCCAGGCGACAGCGGGGCCAAAGGGCTAGATCGAAAGTTGCAAGACAGTGAGACTCGATGAAGGCAGCTCACTAGCGCGCAAAGCCGCTAATAAACCTGTTGGTTCTAGGGGATGACACTCAGAGGTTAAGAGATATGTAAGGAGCTAAGTTCTATTGGAGGCGAAGGGAGCTATTTAGACTGGATACACAAGCATGGTCACATAACCATGTTGAGCCTAAATCTTTCTAACACTAACCAAATCGGGGACATTCGCAGATTGTCCTGTATCAACTTCCCTCGTGAGGCATAGTAAACAATAAGCTTAGGTACACTGTTTAAGGGTTAGCTGCGGAATCTTATTGACCTAGCTCCGATCATCTTACGCAATAAATAGACTAAAGGTATTCCACGCATTAGTTAACTCTGACTTGATAGTCAATAATCAAGGCAAGTTGTTCTCTTACCCCTTGATCTAAACATGGCGACCAACCAGCTTGATCAGCAAAGGCACAGTTCCCTCTCCAAATAGGAAAATCCTCAGGATTGGAATTTTCGTTTAGGGTACCTGGTTCGGTACACTTGAGTAGAGTAACAAATCCTTAGTTAGCTATCAAATAGCAATAGCAATTAGTCAGACGAGCTTGACAACATACGCAATAGTAGTACATGCCCGGTGCCTTGCATGCTGGGTTGAGTTGAGAGTTCGGGCTTGATGGCGCACTCCAGCCGTAATTACACCAATCCCCGGCAAGGGCCATAGGGAAAATCGACAATAACGCGAGCGCGTACTTCATGATGACAAGGAATAAAAAAGGAAGAAACCCCTTTGTCCTACTTGAGAACTTTTCTCGGGAAGAGGCCTGCATATAAATACTTACTAAAATATTAGGAACTGCACGTGACATAAAGGGGTTGAAAAGGAAGTAACTAGTTAGTTACCCGATGCCTGAGGACCCTGAACCATGGATTGGAGGCCTACTATGGATCTTAAGCTTCAGCTAAAGATCAATAATCCGCCTACGCCGAGCTGGGAAGGAGCCTTTGCGACTCAAGTGCCTCTGAATGGATGAACGGAGCTTTCGGGGCGTTCCACGTATCGTGCCCGCGAGGATTGATCCCTTCCGAGTTTGGTACCGTGCATTATGCTTGTTTTGCATCGAGAATTAGATGTAGCCCTCGGGGGGCACAATTAGCGTTGTTATTAGCGCATACAATTAGCGGATTCTAACGGGTCGAAGGATTCGCGTATAGAAAGTTTAATAACATTCGGGTCCAGCATAACCACAATCAAGGCACTAGCGTTTATCTGAAACTCTAGAGACGATATTAGGGGAGGAATGGACTAGGGCAGCAAGTACGGCGAAAACAGTTGCACAGGAAATCTTGATTGAGACCATTTTGATGTGGTATTGTCAAGGAAAAATGAGTTCACCAGAAGAAATCTGAAAAGACGCTCACAGCTAGTGTCTGATCGCAGAATTGTATACTAAAAGAGTGATGTATAAAGGGCAAGAAATGTTAGGTCTATTAATAACGAGAAGGTCTTTATACCCGTCACTAGCACTAACTTAGCGGTCAGAGGCAGGTCTACCGATGACAAAATGAACTTTTCCGTCCGCTTCCGACGTTTAACAACCTAAGCTATCTTCATCTTTTGAAAAGCTTGTTACTAACGTGGTTCCCGCTTACGTCGCTCACCCGCTTACACCGCTCACCCCAAAACACATAGTAAATGCGGAAAATGACTATTCTGTATCTCAACAACTAGGCTATATATCAATTTGAATCTTGGTTTACATACTCTTATAAGCATTAAAAATAACATATTTAACTCTAAGACTATTTAGAATAAGATTTTACTATGTTACTATAAAATATAATATAATTTAGATATTTCCGCCCTAAATATACTTCTCTATTATTACTTATATTATTATCCTTAGAATCTACCTACACACTAGGAGCCCTACTTTGAATATTAGGTACCTCTAAGTATTTCCTCTATAGGAGATATGGTTGTTGAGATATAGAATTGTAATTTTCCGCATTTACTATGTGTTTTGGGGTGAGCGGCGTAAGCTGGTGAGCGACGTAAGCGGGAACTACGTTCCCTTGAGCGGTGGGGATGTGCTTGTATAATCGGGACAGATCGATTTCTCAGTTCGGGACGACCAGGAAGATAATGAGTCCGAAAGCTTATCCGAGCGATTAGCCCCAAGTGAGACATGGTTTCACCTTACCGGCATCCTATTGGGGAACCATCAAAAACCATTTTTACATAAAATTACATAAAATTGTATAATAACTAGTTAAAAACTAGGTTAACCAGCTTAGCAATCAGAATATAGCTAATAAATATCGATAGAATATTATACACGTAATATTTTAGCCCCGCTTTAAAAACTATTAGGGCCCCAAGAACCATCGTGGTTTCTAACCTAGAAACCAAAAACCATTGCGGTTTCTAGAATTGGCCCCCAAACCCCCCTGATTGCGGTTTGGTTTTTTACGGTTTTGTGGTTTTGCGGTTTTTGGCGCAGTCTAATGCGGTCCTAGCGGCAATTGACGATGAGATAAGAACCTTCTCCTACCTCCGTAAGCGCTCTTGTCGATCGCTTCCCAAATCTACCTAGCGCGTACCCTAGGCATCAATTACGAGTATCAAGGTTCATAACATAATCTCCGTTCTCTCAAAGCACCAGACCCAGTAGGCTGTGAGATAGAACCACAAGACCTGCGGGCGGTTTGAGGAGTTGTCGGGCATCAATCCATGCCGTATCAGTGCCACCATCCTAGGGTAGGGCGCGTGATGAAGATCGATAGGCCAAACACTAACTTAACTAACATTAGTTAGTTACCCAGTCTCTGTTAGTCACCCCACCCCCTTCGGGGGTTGGGTCTTCCACCCCATAAATAAATTTTAACCTATACGTAAATTTTCCCACATACACTACAATATCTGACCTCCCTAGCCCGGACAGGAAAGCCCCACCCGGCGGACAAAATCCTGTGTATATAGGCGCATCTGAAGGGATCCGATATGAAGGTAGGATTTCTGCATTAACAAATACAATCACTTTGCGGTCATAGCTCCTTCAGCCGATGGTGACTGAAAAGGCACTTCAAGGACTGAAGAGGTGGAGACTACGAAATGGGCCTAAGTAAGTAGTAACAACTCTGCCCAACTCTCCAAGCCTACTCAGGCGGTCCCAGTTCCGCATCTTTACCCGTGACCTGGTGCGGAAATACCTCAATCACCTGAAAAGCTCCTAGCTCATCATCGTTATGATGAATGGAACCGACCGATAAAATCACACATCAGAGTAGACTATAAAGTTGTAGTTTGGCTTTCATCAAGGCCAGGATATTATCCTCGGACAATAGATTCCGTACAATTTGCAGAGGCAGCTGCTTTGGTAGGCCAAGGACGAACAATTTGGGTAAGGGCTGTTCGTGACTTGGATAGACAGTACATTGTGGAGTTGTGAACTTGTGACACAGGAACAAGGTATGGACCTGCATGTTCGGCTTCCCCTCGAGGATGTTCAGCTCCACTAGGGGTGTTTCTGCGATTGCTCGTGATTCTGGTTTTCTTCTCCTGACCACCGGGGAAAGAGTTGGAAGCCAAATCCAAATCGTGGTATAGTCCTTCTTACTCTTGAGGACTGGGTGGCCTCTCATAGGGCTTGGCTGGTGTGCGCCGGTTCTGTGTATCCCGATACCAGGTGACTAGTACGACTTCAACTATTATCCTGAACTATGAGCAGTTTGAATCCTGACAGTACAACCTCATGAGGAAATGGTTCGCCGAACGAGACTGTTTGCGCTTTGGTACCACACCCTTGGAGTGTAGAGGCTGAATGTCAAAGTTGAAGCTTCTGACAACCCCTGCCGCCCAAGATCAGGCCATTCGAGGCCGGCAAAGCTCTAATTAAAGGAGGGTTACTCTCATGCCTATGAAACTTGGACCTCTCTTCTTCTTCCAGGCCCGAGAGTAACATCGGATTCTGGGTTTCCATGGGCAGCGAAAGTTGGCCCCGCTTCCCATCCAAGCCATGAGCTGTTGGCTCGCACAGAGAAACGATTTTAGGTATTTGCATGCCTTTAAATCCCGTGGCGGATGGTGGGTAGCATTTGTTCCTCCGCTAGCGAAGAGCAGACAGAGTCGTTCTAGCCGATTTACTTCCTATCGTGCTCGTATCAAGCTAACGAGACTATAAATATGCGCCTTCGTCCCCGACCAAGATTCTTCGTGCAAGTGACAGAGCTCCATTGGAAGTAGAGAAAGAAACCTTACCACAAGGGTTATATTTAAGTTTTTCTCTGAGTGATTTTTGACGCCTAATCGAAATGGTCGGGAAGCTCGCTTTGACTATCGGCCTCCTCCTTGCCGGAGCTCAGGCTCAACAAGCCACCAATTGCACATACCAGTCACTGAAGTGTGGTTCAGTGCTTCTTGCACCTCCCTTTAGTACGTTTCTCGGGTGACCATTACGTTTCCGACTTTCAAACCTGTATGCCCGGTTCTAATGGTGGTTGCTGATTTTTGCCTTGACCAGACTACACCACTCTTCAACTCACGACTGCTGTCAACGACACTTCCTCTATTCCGCTCGTCTCCACCACTGACCTCTCTCAGACCCTCTTTCACTGCACAGATATTCTGGGAACTATTACCGGGAATGCCTATTGCTTCGCTGGTTGTGACACCAAGCCTGGTGTTCGAAATGACCAATGTATCTTGTAAGGTTCAGCTCTTGGGACCATCCATATGTTTGACCAAAAACTCTCATGGTCTATTGATTGAGCCTGATGCGAGAAAATTCTGATGTGGATCTTCATGTTGTATCTTTTTTTCGGTTTGTGTGTGGCTCACGCAATTAACACCCTTCTCGGTCCTAGATAGCAAATAGTGTGTGGCTATGGGTTGATCAGCGCATAGGGTCGGAGGGCATTCATTCTCTGCTAGAACCATGCATTTGCTCTGTGTTACTCTTCTTCATTCGTGCAGATAATGCAAATGGACTGTTCGGGTAATGTACATCTTTTATGCCTTGCCTTAAAATCAGAGCGATTTTTACTATAGGTCAAGTCTCCTTGTGTGTTTTGTTCATATCGGAGTATAATTTCATAGCTCACTTTGATAGACTTTCTCTCCTGTGCAAGCTCAGAATGCATGTTTTATCAAGGTAATTGACGCCAGAATAACTGCTCAGTCAATATGTAAAGATAGTCTCCATGTCAAAGGAAACAGCGCTTCCATGCACGGAATATCTATAGAAAGCGGATGGCAGGTACAGTCCAAGGAGATACAAGCAGAACTCAATCCGGTCCGAATACACAAGCACCTCTCTCTGGAACGGAAGTTATCTAGTAATCTACCTCCACTTATTGTCCCACCCGGCCTGCTCTACAGCGAATGCAATTGCTAACTCGCTGAACCTCGCCATGTGCTGTAGCATTGTCTTAGCAGATATTCCATAGAAAGGAAGCGGAAACTCACGTCAACAGAAAAATGACCTGTTTCATCGTCGATCCACATGGTGTCGTTAACCCCGTGGACGTACGGATCGTATTCACCAAATCCACCAATTACGCTTCTGGCCGTGGGGTTTCCCTCGGAAGCAAAAGCAGACGGATAATTGAGTTGTGTGTAGGACATGTAGTCCGAACCGGCACCCCTGCTTAATTAGATGAAACTTCCCCAATGGCGAGAGAAGACCAAACTTACGAGGGAAGATTGTAGAGCTTGGTAGGGATGGAGATGTATTTCTTGCTCAAGTTGACTGTCCAGTTCGTGAGGATTTCATCGGCTTCCGTAGAGATAAAACCGATAATCTCCGTGCTATTCTTGGCAATGAATGCCGTCATGTCCTTCACGAATCATCAGGTCGTCAGATGTAAGCTCCAGTTGCAATGGAATGCGGATAACTCACAAATTCCATCATTGCACCAATGCGCGCTCCCTGTTCTTTCTTGTACCGAGCAATAGCTTGGCTACCTAGCAAGCCACCTTCCTCAGCAGCATACCAGTGAAATTCGACCGGGCCATTCTGGGGCGTGAATCCGGCTTCCGCTAGAACGCGAAAAGCCTCGAGAATACTGACGGTGCCCGAGCAGTCATCGTCCGCGCCCGGAGCTGGCAGGAGTGGAAAGAGATAGTTTGCTGAATCTTGGTGTGCGCCGAGGATGGTCAAAGGGTGCGAGAAGTTGCGAACTTTTGGCTCGAAGCGAGCGATGATGGAGGATTGGCGGAAAGGGTGAGTGAAGTATTCTAGCGAAATGTGGGTGTGGAGCGGGGCTTTGGCAATAATCTGATCCATGACCGGTCAGTTTCCTGTATGGACCGACTAGTGAAACTGAGATTGCATACCTGGGAAAGATGTTCATGAAGCCATACAGAGCTCAATTCTCCATGGATATCGTCATAGTAGCGGTTGTAATAGCTAGTCATATGCTTGAGCACATCCGACATTCTTCCTGTATCGATGAAGGGGAAGAGAGGCCGGATCAGACTTTCATGAGCCAGCTCGGGGGTATCTAGTCAACCTTGTTAACTGTCGTTTATGGATACTCGCAGGAAGAAAGCTCACTTGGCTTCCCGGCCGCTGCACTGTACACCTGCTCCCCATAGAACTCTTCATGGTCGGTGATATCCATGAATTTTGTCCCTTTTCTGCGCAGTCGCATCTTATCTCCCTCAGTCATCCACTCTGGCTTGGCTGCGCCCATAATCCGCAAGAGACGCGGCTCAGCCAGTGCCGCTTCGGTCTCCGCTCGGGCATCTTCACCCTGGAGCGAGACAAACGCGGTGACTGGGTCTGGATGTTTATCTAATGCGGCCAAGATACTCTCATCGACACGGTGATCGCCGTGCGAGGCCGACACACTCGAGATCTCGGTGATCGGAGCTAGGACGAGTTGCGCGTCGCGCACCGCCGCTGTGAGGTTGGCGGCGGCTAAGAGATATGCGATGATGGACTTCTGCATTATGCACGAGAATATTTTCAACAGCAGAAGAGTGAGAATAATTGAGAGGGGACCTCAACGCGCTGCAAGGAGCAAGCTCGACAGCGCGGATGAAGCTAAGCGAGGGAGATAGCTAACTGTTAAATAAATGGCCAAGGTGGGTCAGTTGGAGCTTATGTTGCTCTGAAAGTGGGGACAAAACACCACTAGACCAACAATGCACCATGGGCGATTACTTCTCCGTCGTCTAGTTATATGATCATTGCCTAGGCTGACACATAGCGTTATCACCTTGGGGTGGGGCGGGGCCCATTTCCACAGATCGGACAGTGCAGGTCGGGCGGTATTTGTCGGAGCAAGCCAGAAGTGTACAGTATTGACTAGGGGGAGATTTCGAACAGGGGAATTTTGTCAGGTTGAGTCAACCGGGGGAATAAATATTTTACCCCGACCCGCCGCAAATCTTGAACCGGTTCTCTTATCACACCCATTAACAGTGCTGCTTCCATCTCTTTCCTTTTCGCCTAATCGCCAAAGTACAGAGTAGGGAAAGAAACAGCCGGGCCCATTCCAGTGAGATTCTCTCCAAAACACCAAGTCTTACACCATCGGAAGCAAAAGGGCCCACCAACACCACTAGTAACGGTTGTTGTCGTCGTAGTAGTAGACGTGATGGTCACGGTCCCGGTAGGTGGAGGACATGTGCCGTTGCCTGCTTGTTGACACTGGTCATTGACAGTCAGGACCTGTGCGGGGAGACACCCGTCGATGCAGAACGAGTTTCCAGTAAGGTTTCCATAGATATCTAGACAACGGTATATGACCTGGGGAAGCTGGTTTGCTGTGAGAGGTGGAATCGACGGAGTTTCGTTTACCGCGGCGGTCAACTCGCTGATATTATATCCTGGGGACGTCAGCTAAGGTCAAGCTAGTGTACAATTGGGTATTCAAGTACATGCCATAGGTTGAAATCAATGTGAATCCGCATTTTTCTGATAGGTATATGCATGGTTTGGAAAATGCTGCGGTCCTCAGAAAAAGCATTGCAGGTGCAATAGATATCGCAACAAGCCAGCGCAGTTGGTGCATAATGAACTCTTATTGGGCGGTTCCTACAGAAGCACGCCCATGTTAATGGGAAATTGAATGGCGGGTGGCTTTTCTCCAGAAGCCGGATTCTTTGATTCTCGGTATATAGTGTGACCAACGTCGCTCCTCGGTCCGATTCTGTGCGCTCATCGAGATATAAACTTTGTGCGCTGTTTCTCTGTAGAGATGGTCTCCCTGCGTCCTACATTAAGGATGCAACCTTCGCGACATGACTTAGCCAAGATATTCTCAGTGCAACCCCCAGATCTCCGTCCCTATTAGGGCTTTTAGTCACCGCACTGTCTATGGAAGTGGTTCGACACGCATTGAAACTGAACGGAGCTATCTGTTTTGCCCCAATTCCGCTCAATATAGGATTCGCCTTCACTTCCACCCAATCCATCTGGACTTCCGAGGGCTCCCACTTCGGTCACTTGGATGCCAGTTATTTGTCCCCCGGCGATCTGCTAGGCCGCTTTTTGGCTGTTCCATTAGTCACCAGTGAAATATGCCCATAGCCGGTTTCTACTGAGGCCCATAGACATGGGATCAACCTAGAGAATTGGTTCAAAGGACCCAACAGCTTCGGCCTGCTATGTGCATTTTAAAGCCTCATTTCCCTGCTTTCACGGATGGACAGGCTATCGGCTTTCCTTGGCCACTTTCCCCCTTGCTAGGTAGCCTATCTCGGTCCGAAATTGCATTCAGCCCAATCAAAATTACTATATGGGCAGCATGGCGGGCATCCATCAGCTGAGAAGATCAGCCAGCACACCATCGGCCTGGTAGTTCACCGCTGGAGAGTTCCGACAAGCGTCGATCATCGAATCTACATGACTCGCTTCTAGCACCGATTGGGCCTAGCTCGCAGACAGCCATGCGAGGTGGAGTGAATTCCATTGAATTGCAGGCGTTACCGATGGGTTTGCACGGCTTAGGCAGGTTTGTTAGGCATCGGGCCTACGACAGGAACCCTGGTTGGGTGTTTTGGAGAGATTGGCGGAGGGCGATTGCGTGGTTCGTTTCTGGGGAAGCTTTTCAGGGATTGATGCCTGAGGCAGGATCTCTATATTTGCGCGATGGCCGACCAGCTTGTTCCCTCAGGGTGAGACTGAGGCCCGGTGGTACAACAAATCTACAGATCTGACGGCATAGAAAGCGCAGCTGCCAGATGGCTGGCCTTGTAAGGCCCAGGGTTTGGCCACCCGAGGTTGGGGTCCATCGATCGTATCGCGGCCCACCAGCCAACTGAGTGACTTAGTGGGTGTTGCTAACCACCCGAGCGGCTGAGCCCAGTCCGCCGAACTAATTTGTTTCTCTTTTTCCCATTCTTAACTTCGCCATCACACGCAACTCTTCCCCCCCAAACGCCGTCTCTTCATCTGTGGCTTTGGACCGACTCGCCTCCTCCATTCATTCCCCGGGGGTCTTCCATTGATCCCATCTCTTTCGCCCTCGCTGGGACGTCTATCCCGCCCGGTGTTGAAACCCACCCCGCCACACCTCCGCGCGGTTCTATCCCACCCCCTCCACCCCTTACTCCGATCCCGAAGCTTTCCACCCCCTGAACTCAATCAGTCGCCCAAGATGGATCGGGCTCTCGCACTCGCGGTGACCGACAAGAAGCCGGTCCCCGAGATCGATTTCACATTGCATACGATGGAGGATGGCATGCAGGTGTCGACGATGGAGCGGGTGGTGAAAGGTAAAGGCTTCACGTCTCGGTCGCGCTTGCCGCCTTGTAACCTGATCGCTAACACGGATTCGAGAGATCAGAGGTCCAAGCGCCTGCCTTGAGTACCCCCCCGACGATATGTTTTGGTCCCCCGACGACCCGTCCAAGCCAAATCTCCAGTACCTCAAGCAGCACTTCTATCGCGAAGGCCGTCTCACTGAGGATCAGGCACTATGGATTATCCACGCCGGGACAGAGGTTTTGCGATCGGAGCCTAATCTCTTAGAGATGGATGCCCCCATTACCGTCTGCGGTGATGTTCACGGCCAGTACTACGATTTGATGAAGCTGTTCGAGGTGGGCGGTGACCCGTCAGAGACGCGCTATCTGTTTCTGGGTGATTACGTTGATCGGGGTTACTTCAGTATTGAGGTATGTCACCCACCCCCCCTCTGGGGCTTCGCATCCGGAGACTATGTGATACGCAGGAGCTAATCACAGTTGATGGCAGTGCGTTCTGTATCTCTGGGCTCTGAAGATCTGGTATCCGGACTCGCTTTGGCTGCTGCGGGGTAACCACGAATGTCGCCACTTGACGGACTACTTCACATTCAAGTTGGAGTGTAAACACAAGTATAGCGAGCGGATCTATGAGGCGTGCATCGAATCCTTCTGTTCTCTGCCGCTGGCGGCGGTCATGAACAAGCAATTCCTCTGCATCCACGGTGGTCTCAGCCCGGAGCTGCACACCCTCGAGGATATCAAGGCGGTATGTTGATGGTGGAGCGACCGATATAGTGTTATAATATGGGTTGCAGCTAACGTGCGTGGCTGGCAGATCGATCGTTTCCGCGAACCCCCAACCCACGGCTTGATGTGTGACATTCTCTGGGCCGATCCTCTGGAGGAATTTGGTCAAGAAAAGACGGGCGATTTCTTCATTCACAATAGCGTTCGTGGTTGCTCTTACTTCTTCTCCTATCCTGCCGCGTGCGCGTTCCTGGAGAAGAACAACCTCCTTTCGATTATTCGAGCCCATGAGGCCCAGGACGCCGGTTACCGTATGTATAGGAAGACACGGACAACCGGCTTTCCGAGTGTGATGACGATTTTCAGCGCTCCCAACTACCTCGATGTGTACAACAACAAGGCTGCCGTCCTCAAGTACGAGAACAACGTCATGAACATCCGTCAATTCAACTGCACCCCGCATCCCTACTGGCTGCCGAACTTCATGGATGTCTTCACCTGGTCTCTGCCCTTTGTTGGTGAGAAGATCACGGATATGCTTATCGCCATTCTCAACACCTGCTCGAAGGAAGAACTGGAAGACGACGAAACCCCCTCGACCACCTCACCGGTTGGCCCATCGTCTCCTCCTTTGCCCATGGACACCGAGTCCACCGAGTTCAAGCGACGTGCCATCAAGAACAAGATTCTTGCTATCGGCCGTCTCTCGCGTGTTTTCCAGGTCCTTCGTGAGCAGTCCGAGAGTGTCAGTGAACTGAAGACGGCGGCTGGCGGCCGTCTCCCCGCGGGTACTCTCATGCTGGGTGCCGAAGGTATCAAGCAGGCTATCCACAACTTCGAGGATGCGCGCAAGGTCGATTTGCAGAACGAGCGCCTGCCTCCTAGCCAGGAGGAGGTCTACCAGAAGAGCGAGGCAGAACATAAAGCTGCTATGCAGCGTGCGCAGCATGAGGCTGACAATGACGCCGGGCTTGCGACCATTGCCAGGCGTATCTCCATGTGAGACATCCTCCATCACACCGCGCGCCATGGATACATAAAACTAACCGAGCTTACTTAGGTCCGCCGGCACGGGGCGCAGTCGCCGTCAGCGTGATTCGCGAGACTCCAAGGAGGCCTAAAATGGCCGTGGGTTTGGTTTGAGCCGATATAACGAAACGATCTATGCATTTCTCCCCTTTCCCCTGCCCCTCCCAGCGCACACGGCCACCCCCTTTCCTCTGCCATGACATGATCGAGACGATACCCTATCTATCTGCTTGATCCTACCGCTTCGCCAGGTTATTTGATATGTGTGAATCTGCTATAATAACGGCGCAATTAGCACCGCTCTTTTGCAATCTGTGTGATTACCTGCCCTGGTTTCGGGGGCCGAGTAGACTTCCAATTTGTAGCCCAGGCGCAATGCTGGGTTGGGTTTCAAGGCGCGAAATAGAATATCATGTAATGATGGCCCAATTTAGCCCAATTCGTTCTCATCGAACTATTCCAGATGCTTCGTGTAATTTGTGTTTTGTGTTTGTTATCGACGCAGCGTATGGTAGCGTCTGATAGCCTGATGAGTGGCAGAGAAGATGATATTCTCTATCTGAGTAGAAAGCTACCAGTGTAACTGTAGATCCGCGAGAGTAAACAGACTGTGGTGGCGGGTGGAGCAGCGCCAAGCCCGATCGGCCGCCCTTCCTTGCCGACCTCGTCCTCTTCATCCACAGGCCCAGCTCAGTCTCACTGCGGACGCGCCCACTCCCCTCACACCGCGCCTCAATGCCCGCAAAACTGCGCAATGCGCTCTCCCGGAGCCTGTTGCGCCCGTCGAGCAGCGCAGGCGTCTTCTACTGCCCATCTTGCGCAACCTGGCGCCGAGCGCTCTCAGCGCGTGCTAGCGGTATTGACCATAACGAGACTGCGCGCCGGAACAGCCGCCTCCTAGATACTGCGCCAACTAGGGCTATCCGCCCATTTACCACTTCGCCGGCAATTTCAGCGGGCAAAACGGTTCCCCCGCGATTCAAAGAGCTGTATGATGCCTTGAATGGAATCAAGGATGCAGCTATCGAGCAGGTCAGCGTTAGTCGTTTGTCGCTTGCGCTGCGTGGGTTAGAGTCGGAGGAGCCTCTAATCCGGGTTGCTGGTGAGTGTCAATGAATTTCATTTGCTGCTTAATTTCTCCCTTGAATCAACCCGCTGACTATCGCATGTGTGGGTTAGTGCTCGGGTTAGACAACACAGAGGCGGCACGCAAGTTAGTTCGGTTGCTTCTCGCTGACCCCCTTGGGCCGCGTGAGAACTGGGAGGATATTTTGGAGAGTTCCGATTCTGGTCCCTCACAGGGACTGTTGATTCGGTATGCCCAAGCGTCTTTTTGGGATTTATGCAGTAGCTAATGATCCGTTCTATGCTATAGGTACGGCGAGGTGTCCGAATCTGTTCCAAACGACCTCCTACCTACCATCTCCATTCGTTCGCCCATCCTACAAAAGGGCAACCTCGAAATCCTGATCAGCTCTATTGGCTCCGAGCCGGATACATCTGGTGCCGCGCTCTCCGCCGAGTCATTCCTCGTGCCCAATGTCACCATCCAAACATCACACTCCGGGCGGCAGAATGTTGTTCGATACCCCGTCCATCGGAGCATCCTGTGCGGCGTTGGAGTGGACGGCCTGCTTGCTTTCAGTACCTTGATTGGTCGGTCAAATCTTCAAAACGAGGTGGCATCCGTCCGTGGTGCCATTGAGCTTTCTGTGACGGATCAGAATCGCAAAAGCGATCGCCTGTCCTTTGTTGATATTGAGCGCGCGACGACGGCCTTGAACATGATTCGGGAGTCTGTACAAAACGCCTCTGCATACGAGCGTGGATGGAACGGTAGCGGTGTGCAGCCTGTAATCGATTGGCTTGCTTCGACTTCCCAAGCAGTGAAGGAAGACGCTTTGAACCCGGTTCTAGCTCCGCTCATTGAATCACTGCTGGATGCAGCTGATAAAGGCGTTGTTATTCGGGACGCCAAGGCCATCCAGGACCAAACAGCTGGCGTAACCCCTCAGGAAGTCCGCAACCAGCTCGAAAGCGGAGTCAGCACATGGGCCGAGCAAGCACACTCAGAGCTCCGCAGCTCTTTAGAAGCAGGCTTCGCTAGTCCACGGTGGCGTGGGCTGGCATGGTGGAAGTTGTTCTGGCGCGTCGACGACGTGAGCATGATCACGTCCGAGATTCTGGAGAAACAGTTCCTCCGCCACGCAGAGCGGCAAGTCATCTGGATTTCCGGCAAGTACCAGCAAGCTGGCTTGCTGGAAGAGGCTACTTCTTTTCCCGCACCGGAGTCCTCCTCGGACATGACCCCTGCCAATTCGACTCCGCCCCCTTGGCCAACCCAGATCCCCGACACGCGCACCAAACTGCTCACAACAACCGTTCCCTCACTCCAAGCCCTCGCCCAGAGCCTTGTGCTCTTCAGCGTTTCCACCACCACCCTGGCCTCCGCTCTCTCCGCTCTCACATATGTCTCCATGCCGTCCGCCTCGGTCTATGAATCATGTACCCTAGCTGCTATCGGCCTCATCTACTCGCTGCGCCGCCAGCAGAAGAAATGGGACGTCGCACGCGAGTTCTGGGAGGAAGAGGTCCGCGATGAGGGCCGCATCTCGCTGCTTGAAACGGAGGCGCTCCTGCGTAAGATTGTGCGCGAGGGTGGTAAGGATGTCGAACAGCTATCTGACCACCGGACGCGTGAAATGATTACCCGCGCCCGGAGCGCCCTGGCGAATGTACGGGCTTGATTAACTTCTCGTGGGGTCCTCGTCTGGTCTCGAACTATGTATATTTATCTGTGATTTTAGAATAGATGTCGCTTGAGATGTACAATCTACTCTGCTATGTGACATGACTCAGATTGTAGTTGCCCGTGGGATTCTATGATTGTCGACACAAATGCTAACTAGGTAGGTGGAACTGCCGCAATGGAGAACAAGCTTTGTTATCTCACACCATCGCTGTTTCACTTTTGCCGGAAGGTGCCCGTGCCTGATGCGTGATGTTCTGAAGCATGAGCGGCCCCCGCAAGGCATGAAGACGATATACCCAGCGATCGAGTCAGCATTTTGCCGCATGATAAACCAATGGCCCTCTGGTGTCCTTGGAGGCAGGCTTACTAGATGTACCTGTTGGATGGGGATGCCTACCTATATCTGCCTCCGGGAAGTGGATGTATATCCTTAACCGAGATTGTACTTTGTAGTAGCGAGGATATTTCGACCAGCCAAACCGAGGCATTTCCAAAAAAAAAAAAAAAGATCACCAATTTCCGAAATACGACGATTGGTTTTTGGCACTATCGTAAGTGATAGACCGTTTCATTCTCCTTTCTTGAGACGCTCAAACAAAACCCCCGTTAATCTATTGGCGGTTTCATGATGCGCCCGGCCACCCAATCCGCGCGTGCAGCGTGGGGGCGTCCGAGACGGTGGAGGTACGACTAGCAGATTAGCCCTGCAATAGGCCGTTCGTTTCAACGATCTCACCAGCCAGCACAAACGGTGCAACTATCACTCTTCCTTGAAGTCAACGCACTGGCCCCGGTCCTGTAGTCCCGTTAGGAAGCCCACTCTGAGTGCCCGCTTTCCCCCTGGTGTCCACGCTTCAGTGCGAGGACTTCCACTTCCCCTGGGGAGCTCTTCTGCCTTACTATTTGCACGTTTCGTCCCGCTGGCCGCACCGCGAGATCCCGCCGGATCGTCACCAGGGTGGGCTGCTCATTTCCATCTACGGAAACACTGCTCAGATGAATCCAATCGTTATCGGCATGGGCCCGGTCCGCAGCCAATACTCTGCTAGAGCGGGCGTGGAGGGGCGTAGGGGCGTAATATCTGATTACCAAGGGATTGGCCAAGTCATTTTAATCATTCTATCCTCCAAGGAGCTGTGCAATGAAGGACGGGACTGGGTTGGCGTCGTTTCGTGGTGTCTTGGGGGCTCGCTTGAATCCTAGAGTACTTGAATCCCTTATTTTGCCTGCCCTTGGTTTGGTTTTTTTTCTGGCTTTGCTGTTGACCTTTTGGTGCCGTCACATTCCCTTCTTTAGCCCTATCCCAGGATATACTGTCGTTCGTTTCATGCCCCCCAAGGGTTTTTGGTCTCTCCTTTCTTCTTCGAAGTCTATCCTATTTCGCTCCTTCAAGGCTGAGCCTGGCGCTTATTTCTTTGAAAACGGAGGTATGCTTCTTCTGGAACTATATGGAGTGGGAATATCATCTTATCTGAGCCACCTCCTGCATAGATCCGACAAGGGCTACTGTCTGCCACCCATCGGGCTCGGTGCTTATTTGTTTGCGTCATAGAGAACGCATTGGAGGATTAAACGGTAAGTCGCATGCCGCAATGACTTTATTTCGCAATTCCCCCATCCCCTCCCTGGTTCGTCCTGTGTTAGGACTATCAGTCCCGATGCAAGGGGATCATTCCATCCCCCCAAGGGAGTCCGGTTCGATCTCCCCTCTAATAATATCCTTGAGCCTTTGAGATGACGATTGGCCGCCCGGAATCCCCTCTTGCGACATTGTCGGCCTGTCCGCAGATCCTGCTTCCTTCAAAACCCACGCGTGGCGCCACCAGTTCGACGGATATTCTGCATAGCACTAACCACCTCGCTGTAGAGACGACACCCATTTCGCTTCCTTTCTCGATCGCGCTCGCCGCGCCAGCGCGTCTGACCGGTTGATTCGGTCCTCCTGGCGAGTTTCGGGCAGTCCTTTGTTATTGCAAGTCGTCATTCGTTCGATCGAATTCCCTGGCCTCGGACATAGCTCGATTACTATCGCCGCAATGCGCGACTTTCGCTTGACAGCGGCCTTGGCCGCTTACTCCACTCTGTTTCCAGCCTTTACTACTGCATTCTGGCGTCTCCCCTGCCGTGGGCGAACTGGTGTCGCCCGGTTGGACCCTATTGTCGACCCCGGAGAGATCTCTAGCCATGTGCATTCGATCCATGGGGGAGGAAGTAAAGCTTATCGGACTCCATCTTGCTCAAGCTGGTCGCTGACTCCTATATGCAGACTTCGGCATGAGCTCGGACATGCAGACTCTGCGCGAGTCTAGCTGCACGTCCTGCGCAGTGACGCAGGACTTGTCTGCGTATTGGACGCCTGCGCTATATTTCATGCACACTAATGGCAGTGCCGAATTAGTCGAAGAGGTCGGAGGCATGCTTGCGTATGTCCCCTGGAGCCTATTTGTGGTCATGATATCGCGCTTACATTGGTTCAACCTTCAGCTACTATCTCTTGTATGGGGAGGATATTACCGCATTCCCTAGTGGCTTCCGGATGCTGGCTGGAAACCCTCTCCAGCGGAATTTCACCTGGCCAGTCCCCGATCCTCCCAAGTCCTCCTGGTCTGGTGTTCAGGTCTCCCAGGAGGCCCTGCGCCAGAAGGCCCTGGGCTTCAACTGCCTCAACTACGCCGGGGCCGCAGAAGCCTCCCTATATCGCCACTTCATGCCTAACAAGACCTTCCTCGATGAGAACTGCCCGGATGGCCTCCGTCTGGAGCTGATGTTCCCTTCATGCTGGAATGGTAAAGATGTCGACTCAGAGGACCACAAGTCCCACGTCGCATACCCCGACCTGGTCATGACGGGGACTTGCCCTGAGGGATATGAGACTCAACTGGTCTCCCTTTTCTACGAGACTATTTGGAATACCTATGCCTTCAAGGATGTGGATGGTTACTTCACGTTGGCCAATGGAGATCCCACTGGATATGGGTACCATGGCGATTTCATGTACGGCTGGGAGGATGGCGTGCTGCAAGCGGCCGTTGACACTTGCACCAGTGCTTCAGGCGAGGTCGGCGACTGTGAGGTCTTCGACATTCAAAGCGAGACTGAGCAGCGCCAGTGTTGGTTTGACTTGCCGTCGGAGCTTCAGAACGAGGATGTCCAGATGCATGCTGATGGTCTGCCTGGTGATATGCTGATTGAGTGGGGACCGGCATATGCTACCATGGACAAGGGCTCTGCAACCACCTCTTCTTCGTCTTCAGCCTTCCTCAGCCTTCCAACTACCTCTATCAGCTTTTCGGTCAACGCTGGAAAACTGCTTGGCCAGGCTGACGCCCTTAACACCGCTGAAGCGGCCACTACCACATCGACCTCCACACCAACCCCTACTCCCACCACGTCTCTTCAAACCGACCACTTTACGGAGGAAATCGTCTATGTGAAACAGGATGTCATCGTCATGCTTGGTGAAGGTGGAGTCCCATACACTACTAGCACCGGCACTCGACGCACGGTGTCCACAACAACGACCACCGCCACGCAGACTTCCACTGTCGTGTCCTACGTTGAGAAGAGGGACAGTGTCCCGGTGGAACTTGAAAAGCGGGACCCCGTGGCTGAGCATGCAATCAGACATGCTCATAACCACCATCGTCACATGCACAAGAGGCATGGACACTAACGGCATGTATACCTGGCTGTGACGGCGATAGTCTATGTGCGCTTGCAGGTTCATCAACCGGGGATGATGGACTATGGCTCGGTCCCTTCTTTTTTCGTGTACATGATTTTCTCCTGAATATATTGGATGTTCACCCGTTCGGGGGTGGTGAATTTATGGCGACGATATTATCATTCTTGTCAAGAATTCGAATCTGTCCTGGGCATCAGCATTGATGGGGTTCCGACCGTCTGACTCTGTCCGTGTAAATAAGCTATATGTCATACTCGGCTGTACACAAGTATTCTCCGAGGAAATAGAGTGACGTGGGAGTGATCAGTGGGTTCGTTGGACGGCAGGATGCTGTCTCAAACAATTTTTTTGATACCTGGGGCCGGGATTGCAGCTTGGCCGACTGAGACAATATCGGTTCCATGCCGACCATCTCAGACGCTGACTTCGGTCTCAAGGATAAACAGCGTGAATAGGGCTTTCGTATCCACCGCTGTGTGACCGTAGAGCGGGACAAATGAAACATGGAGAAGACTATCATGTCGTGCGATAGTCTCAATAGTCAAACTTATGGCAGGGGACATCACTTGCCCTCTCTCCAGCAATTTGGAATGAAAATATTATGATATTAATTGGTATCTGTTTATTAATAGGTGCTATGTCCGGTCACTCCTTCCATCCCGATGTGGTAGAGCAACTGGTCAGAGGAGACGTACAAGGAACGTGCTCAGAGCTTTCCCACCGCCTTCTCTGGCGTTTGGTGGAGGCTGCTCGCGGACTGGCATGGCTGGCTGTGCAATTGGTCTCAACCAATGCCGTAATTCCTGGACCTCTCATCCATCCAACTGTCACATCGTACGCAGGGGGATCGTGGAACGAGCCGAGCACTGCTCCCCCTGCTCCCCTTGCAGAAACCGCTATTTTCTATTGAACCTAGTTTGGAAGCTTCTCATCAAGTACACGTCTAGTTCCCGCTCTCGAGTATATTCAAATGTGTATAGCGAACGGTCATGGTAGGGTCCAGATTTCCCCCATCTAGCCTCCCCTGGAGGGGTTGCAAGCTGGCATTGTAACCAGGTGGTGTGGGCTGGTTCCCCTTAGATCTGTATGTCTGGGAGCCAGAGCTACCGTTCCCACGAATATTCTACACGGGGCGTAGTGCTTGACCGTTTACTATGAATCCTATGGCCTGTGGCGAGGGCATATAAGAGCCGATGAGCTCCGTTGAAGTGGCAGGATAGTCCAGCAGCCGCTGCAGTGCATCTAGTTTGGATCTGGACTTGCACGTCTCTGTTCCCACCATGGACAATCTTTCTCCAATGATGATCATCCTGCTTGCTTTCTCTCTCGCCACGGCTTCCCCCCACGAGACCGCGGTCGACAGGCCAGCGCCGCTCACCACGGTTGTCACGGCCGAATCACCACGCATCACTGAGGAAGGAACCCTTCGCTGCTCTGGCGGGGCGACGGTCTTGCATACGACCGACTGCACAATGGGGACATCGGTCTCCTTTTGCTATAAGCCTCCACCTCCGCTCCACTGTGACGAGGGATACTTCCCTTCCGTCTGGCATCCCGATCATTGTATGGAGGAATCCACGTGCTTTCCCACCGATGCAGAATGGATCACAAGAGGATGTTCCAATGGCGCATATCCATATTCGACCAAGACTGTCTATGATGGCACGCTGGCAGGGGGGCATCACACCGTGATAAGCTGTAAGCCAATGGTCGATTGACTTCAGACCTGGGTATTCACTTTGTGTTAGCCATCTCGTGCGCCTGTCCACCCGATCAATGGTACAGTATTTCGATGCGCGAGGGAGCTTCTCGCTTCGAGACATACTGCATGCCCTCCCGCTCCTGTCCACCGGGGATGACCACATCGATCAGTACCAATGACTACTGTGCCACGGCATCAGCAGCGATTTGTTCCCATGTTCCTGCTCAGGCAGACCATTGTGAATGTGAGGGTAAATATTCCACTCCAGTGTACGCGGAGGGGCCAAGTGCCACGGCGACTGGATGCGGATAAATAGTCGCGAGCGTGGACAAAGTGGCGAGTGGGTACCTTTTGATTGATTGCCACCCTTCCTCCTGGCTGCTATTGGGTTTTGGGTTTTGGGTTTTGGCGGGGAGATGGTCGTCGTTGGGGACGTCCCGATTGATCACAGCGTAAACATTAGCCCCGTAATTTTTAATGAGATACTGGATCTATGAAGATGAAATTGACGCCCGTACAAAGTTCCTTGCAAAGGAGTCATGGCATAGCTCCCATCTGGCAGATGATGCCCCTAGCTCCAACGAGATCGGTCAATTTACCAAAATGAATGCAATGTATAGAACATCGCTCATGATAATGAGTGGGCCTGTCCCAGTGACGCTTGATAAGGTGCGGTGCTTCGGGACTGTGGATCTATGTCTATCTGTCTATCACCGTCTATCGTCTTAGTCAACAGGTTCCATCCGCTTCGATGTCACGTCCCAATTAGCCGAAAACCCCCACGCCCCGTAATTAAGCATTTGTCGTCCCAATGGGGAATTGGACCTTCCCGAATGGAACTGTAGGCGTGTCGACCTCGGTCTGTGCCAATGTCCCAGGACCCCACATCGGCTCGGGGGCAGCAGTTCCAGCTCCACCTAATTCTTTGATTTCCCCCTCACATTGCACCATTCCCTGCAGGACCAACTCTGTTGCTTCTCTCTACCCTCCCCTCTGCTCTCCTTTTCTCTCCCATTCAATTCCAGCCAATCCTGCAAAAATGTCCGAGGCTCTTCCTGAAATGCAGTACCGCCATCTTGGCCGCACGGGTCTGAAGGTGTCCGTCATCTCGCTGGGGAGCTGGCTCACCTACGGCGGTCATGTCGGAAATGGTACGTACCATTGGTTCCCCCCAATACGGACAAAAGTAGTGCTAATCCCTCATTAGAAACTGCTTTCGACTGTGTGAAGGCTGCATATGATGCTGGCGTGAACTTTTTCGACACGGCTGAGGTGTACTCCGACGGGCAATCGGAGATTGTGCTCGGCGAGGCCATCAAAAAGTTTGGTTGGAAGCAGAATGACTTGGTGATTTCCACCAAGGTGAGCAGAAACCCTCCGGGTGGACTACGACTATCATGGCATGTGCCTGTAATTGACGCCTTGGATTAGATCTACTGGGGCAAAGCCAACAGCGCCAACCCAGGCAGGCCTCTCAATAACAACGGCCTCTCAAGAAAGCACGTCATTGAGGGCATGAACCTGTCCCTCCAGCGCCTGGATCTGCCCTATGTGGACATTGTCTACGCGCACCGCCCAGATCGGGATACCCCGATGGAGGAGATCGTGCGCGGCTTCAACTATCTGATCAACACGGGCAAGGCGTTCTACTGGGGTACATCGGAGTGGTCCGCCAGCGAAATCGCGGATGCCTGGCGTATCGCGGATCGACTGGGTCTCGTCGGCCCAGTCGTAGAACAGCCACAGTATAATCTACTCGTGCGCGAGCGCGTGGAGAAGGAATATCGCTGGCTGTATGAGGCGCATGGGCTGGGTCTGACGGTGTGGTCTCCTCTCAAGGGTGGGGTCTTGACGGGAAAGTACAATGATACTGCTGCCCCGCCGGCGGGATCGCGCCTGGCCGAGTCTGAGGATGGGTATGTGAAGGGTCTGCGCAAGACGGTGGGTGACGATACCTGGACACAACAGTTGAAGCAGGTTGCTGCGTTGAAGCCCATTGCCGAGGAGCTCGGCGTCACCACGGCGCAGCTGTCCTTGGCGTGGATTTTGAAGAACCCCCATATCTCGTCCATGATCACGGGCGCATCACGGCCCGAGCAGGTGCGCGAGAACGTGCGCGCGCTGGCCGTGGTAGACAAGTTGACCGATGCAATTATCGAAAAGATTGAGGCTGCCATCGGCAATCAGCCTGTTGAGGAGGTGAGGAGATTCTAGTTTGGTATTCCGGGCTGAGTTTGGTATACACTAGAATGAACACTCATTTCAAGCTCACACATCATCATTCACATACTGATCCAAGACCTCCGCGTAGAATTTGTGACCCACATCCTGGTGACTCCGAATCTTCGTTCGTAACTGTGACTCTCCCCAGGTATCATACTTTCCGCGTAAAAATGCCGAATCGATATGTGCCCCCGCATCCAGCGCCGGGGAGGTGCTCTCGGCAATAAAATACTCCTGGAGGGTCTCCCATGCCTCCTCTTTGGTGAGATTTCTGCGGACCCCTTGAAAAAAAGGTACACTATATCTCTCCAGAGGTCCAGAGAGAACGCGATGAGTGGTTGCTTTGCAAACCCCATGGGTGACAACTTCAAAGGCCTGCCCAATATTCACCACGAATGTGTTTTGCAGGACCGGAACATGGATCCATTCGCCGTTCTTATTGAGTGCTTGCAGACCCTTGACGTGGGGTGGAGACGCTTGCAAGAGGAACGTCCACCAGCCCGAGGAATCCTTGTGGGGGCCCACTCCCTGTCCAACGGGGTCGATGGATTCCGACGCCGGATAATGCACCAGTTTCAGGCGATGCTGGTCGGAAAGAAACGAAAACAGCTTGTCGGTGGGAATCTCGAGGGCTTCGGCAACGAGCTGGAGGAATCGTTCGCCGAGTTGAGTCATCTCCTCGATGTATCTTCCCACCACCGAGCGAATCACCGAACGAATCACCGGATCGTGAGATGGCCACTGCAGGCATCTGTTACGGGTATTCGATAAGTTGCTCACATATCCTGCTCACCTGATTAGGTCCTTTCAACCGTTCATACAAAGGCTTGTCCGCATCCCAGGTATTGGGCAACTCGGTTGCAAATTCAAACTGTTCTCGCTTATCCTCCACTCCTGCAGTGGTCTCCGAACCCACTTGGCTGTAGCCCAGGAAATGAGGAGAGTTGTGCAAGTTCACTTCATCCTTGCTCCTTGGATCGAGCTCGAAGAGCTGAGGGAGGAGCTGTTTGAGGTCCGAGATAGCCTCTTGTGATACGTCATGATTGGACACATACAGAAACCCGACACGAGTCAGAGCATGGTGAAGCTGCTGTAGAAGGATGGGCCGCGTGGCAGGGGACTTGGCGAGAGCCAGGTCGATAACCGGAATAGACTGAAAATCGGATGCCATTATTCTCGCCACAATGAATGGAAGGTTCGGTCTCTATCTGTTCCTCCTATTCCTCCTTGTGCAGGATGGCGTTACCCGCCCGGCCCCACGTCTGCGGGGTAAAAAGGCTCGTAACTATAGGTGGTACTCCGTACAGAAATCATTTAATAGTATATCGAAAAAGTAAATTGCAATAGGCTACACTCATTCAGACAGACACAACTCAAAAGCAGAGGTCGGACCCATGCGCATCTCGCTGTAGGCGGTTTTCTTGTCGCTTGAATCGCTTGAGTGCATCAAGAAATGCGTGCTTAGATGCATTTTCCACCATCAATAACCATCTCCGTGCCATTAATGAACCGACCCTCTTCGCTGCCGAGGTAGACGCACATGTTGGCAATGTCGTCCACCTCGGTCAGACGACCCAGCGGCACGTTTCCAATGAACTTCTCACGATTCTCGGGGGTATCTTCCATGCCGGTGAACAGGGAAAAGAGACCAGTTCCTGACAGCAGAGGGGCAACGCTGTTGACACGGATGTTGTGAGGACCATATTCGGCGGCGAGGCCCTTGGTCGCCTGAAAAGAGTAGGTCAATAAATATTCCCAAAGATATGGAGGAGCGAAAATACATTGGTGACCGCGCCCTTGGATGCATTATACCATACAAGACCCGGTCGGGGACGACTTGCACCAGTAGACGAGATGTTGATCATGGAGCCGCCTTGGCCCTGCTGGATGAACCTGGGCATCACGACTTGGGCAGCCAAAAAGATGCTTTTAACGTTGACGTTGAAGACACGCTCCCACTCCTCTTCAGTCACCTCGGCGGTAGGCTGCCACGAGGTTAGTGCCTCCTTGTTTTCGGATCACTGAAGTCGTCGAAGAGGATCAGACAAACCTTGTTCCGATAGGTAGTGCCAGCATTGTTAACCAGAATATCTAATCTTCCATACTCGGAGAAAGCCAAATCGACAATGGCTGTCCAATCTGATTTTTGGGTAACATCCATGCGCTGGAATTTCAGGTTATCAGGGTTCTGCACAGCGACCTGCTCGCCACCTTGCACATTGATGTCTGCGACAAGCACCTTGGCGCCTTCTTCACCGAATCGACGGGCGATGGCAGCGCCAAAGCCAGAGCCTCCTCCTGCAATTCAGACGATATGCGGTAAGTCCAGGAGCACTGGAAAGATCAATTACTTGGAAGATGTCTCACCGGTGACAATGGCAACCTTTCCTTGCAGTCTCTGGCCTTGGGACGACATGTTCGCAAATGAGGATATGAACCTGTTGGGGAAAAACTGAAGTTGAACTAGGAGAAAGCTAAAGCTAAAAAGAAAATGGGTGAAGAAGAGGGGCAGCTGCACGATCGGCATGAATTCCGTGGTTTTCCCCTTCCCCGCAGCGCCGAGCCCGAGAGGCGGTTACGGCTGCATGCTGCACAGGGTACCCGGGATTCTCAGCGAGTTGGAAGTAAATTTGGACCACGCAAAAGAGCGTATGGTGTCTCTAATGCTGGAGGATGTACCGCGGCTATCTTGAATGTAGCTAAGCTATGTTTGAATAAATAATGGCGTACGGAAAGGTCGCGCTGACTCATGCAACATCCCCTATTTTCTACAGTACAATACCCACTCGGTTGATCCATTGGTCTTCGCCCTACTAGGCGTAACCCTTCTTTCTGCGTTCGACATATTGTACTCCGCGTCGTAACAATGTATGCGCTAGGGCGGTAGTTAGGTGACTTTGAGAGCATCAACATTCGTAGCTTATGTCGTCTCAATAAATTTATCGGCGTTTGCTATTCCAAACAAACAACTTTCCCGAGTCCCAATAATCATACTACACTTGGCGCCACATGACTGCGCTACACAATTCCATCTCCACCGGTCATAAAAAGACTGCTTGCGCCCGACTACTTCATTGTCCCTCTTCACCGACCAAAAGACACAGCGGTGTCACTGATTCATTATTTCTCACCTCCGCCTGTTTTTTGTGTCCAATAAGCCCCGAACGCTCACCCAACATCTGCATTTGACTTGCCGGTATGCGAGGATGGGTGATGCTGCGCGCCCAAGTGACGATGAATTCACCAAAGTCCTCCAGGAGAGCCTCGTGACGTGGTCCTCCTATCTGAGTGCTGGGAGCGAAGATCACCTATTCCCCCTCCAAGCCATAGACTTGAAATCCCTCGTCTATCAGACCCCGCCTTTCCTTGGTGATGACCTTGCTTCCTCCGACGAGAAGATCTTATTCGCCTGTGAGGAGATGCAATCGACCCAGGGCAGTCTTTTAATAAACGGCCGGTCAACGTGGAGAACTTCGAAAGGGACTTGTGACCTGCAGCCGCGGATTCTGCCGAAGCAACTTCTTCTAGCAGTTGGTCGTCGATCAAGGGTGAGGTTCTCAGAAGACTCTCCCCTCTCAGACTGGCCCGGTGTTCAAGGACTCTCGGGTTATGACAAGGGAAATTATCTATCTGTCCTTTACTTCGCATGGGCCTATATCCTATCTGCTCGATGGGTTGAGTTACTTCATCGATCTGCGGACCACGAATGCCATATGGGCTACACTGTGCAGGGAGTGGGGAGTTCACCTCCACCGGATAAGCACTCCAAGGTTCTGATTGACCTTGGCGAGGATGATTGTGAGGAAGAAGTTCTCTGGTGGCGCGCCATTTTGTGTTCTGGAAATGGCTGGGATGCTACCACTAAGTACAATGGCCATATCTATTTGTCGCCATGGTCGGTGTCGATAAAGGAAGCCGGATTAACCCTGGCCACAAAGGCCGCTATGGGTGCTAAGTCAGAGCCACCATCATCGGCGACCGCTCTCAAATACCTCACTCGTTTCTGTGTGCACCATCGCTTTTACGCTCAGTGCTCGCTGGCCCTTGCTGGAGTACTCTATATCCCTTTTCTGAAGGGGAGAATAGTTTCCCTCCCGTTTCCCAAACCGGTTCCTCGGCTGGAACTAAAGGAGCATGTTGATGACTCGATTACAGATTTTCTCAACGGTCACAGCCAGTTACTTCCCAAGTATATGACCTTAAGTTCCAATCCGTGGGGTTTACGCTCTCTTCTGAACAGCACCTTCTTCAATCCAGATATTGAGTGTAACTTGGTCAGTGCCTGGTTGAACCCGGCTTTTGCGGTTCTTGATTCAATCCCCCCAAGGAAAACCTCATTAGTCGCATTACTTACAAATCGACAGCCTCGACTTGGGATTCTCTGGCTTGGTGCAGTTTTCACAGATTTGACAAAATCTATCTTGCGCGATCTACGATCAGGAATGGTGGCTCTAGATCTTCTAGCCTCTGCCTGGACTGGAACAACACAGACGTTCTTGACCTCTCAAATGGGGGACAATAATGGTGAATCAATACGCCGCGATGACGAATGCCGGCTGTTATTCATTACAGCTTGTGAAGGTCATGACAGACCTCCAATCTGGCCTTGGAAACCCTTCGGGGTCACACAAATTTGCGACACAGAGCTGTCGGTTCGACAGCATGCGCAATGTGCTCTTCATTGCCTAGAATACCAATCTTGGGAGTGGATGCTAACAAACGACCGTTTAATTCGAATTTTCAGAGAGGAAAGTAGTCAGCTTCCTGATAAAACATCATACTCCGCCCCTGAGAGCATATCGGCTAAGCTCAGCGATCATAACTATGATTTCCTCTCGCAAACCTTTTCCGAAATAGCCACACGTGGGATATTCGGATGGTTAAGGTCGACAGGGTACCCTCGCAGCGAAAGACCCATATACCAGCATTCTTGGTTTGATTTAGGTACTGACGAACAAGAGCCTAATAATGCAGAATCAGACGTGGAAATACACTGGGGTCCAAAGAAGAGGCACGTCGAGAGCTGGCTTGACGGTATCGAATAGCGCTCTTGAGTCTGGTCAGGCCGTGAGGTCAATGTATTCAAGAAAACCCTCCGGGCCGCCGGCTGGGTGGTCGTGACATTTGAAACAGATAGCATATACTCTTAAATTGCTGTGATTGCCAGTTTAACAGATTATCTATCTCCTACAATATTTTGCGTCCTTGCATTTATAACTGTTATGCTTGTTGTCCCAATACCCACACCTCGGGTTTGAGCAAGTACCAGCTTGGCCGGAACTCGCGGTCATATCTTCACTTGTGAACGGCAGTGCGGGTAGCGGCATCCCGAATAGACTCATTTAGCTCTATACAGATCTCCCAGCGTCTGAAAAGTCACAGTTTAGTTCCATATATTGAATCTAGGGCTTTTGGTAGAAACTTACAGCAGCTTGCTTTGGCTCAATAAAAAGTGCTCTAGCCTCTGCAATCAGACTTTTCTCTTCACCGTCACCGGGAAGAGTCTCAATCCGACTATATCCCCAAGCTTTTCGACCTTCTAATTTTGTCGTTTCGGCAGACAAGACAATGTACGAATTTGCTTTCAAGAGTTGGTGGTGGTCGATGTTCAGGTTGGCAGTGACCCCCACTTTGTTGGGTAGCGCTGCAAAGCAGCACCTCGCCAGCCCCTCATCAAAAAGGGCAGCAAGAAGACCATTATGAACAGTGCCCGGATAGCCACATATATCATCACCAAGGTGCATGATCATCACCATGCTCTTTCCATTTTCCTTGCTGAATACATATGGCGCCACGGAGATCTTTCGCGGACCTGCCAGGGCTCCTGTCATAAAATTGTGGGCGCGAAAGCTCTCGGCGACCTTCAAGTGCGGTCGCGATTCGGTATAGCCTGGAGTACTTCGCAAATGAATCGCGACTGGATGTTCATGTATCAATTTATCAATTGGATTTGCCAATGCGGCTGCCTCTTCAAAGGCTTCGGAGGCAATCGACCCCATTCTGACGTTTGTCTTGGGGAGAGGGTAACCAAGTATTATGTTTAAAGCAGCAAAATGCGCCTGGACTATCTAATGTCCTTATAGTTAGTAGCGCTGGATAACTTGGGTAAATATAAATTACTCATTTATAAGCCTGCAGCTGAGGTTCCGGGTTGTTTACCTCGGGAATCGATCAAGCTTCCGTAACTCCGAAATCAGAAGATAGAAGATTGCCGGATTAGAAGTCGATAAAATTCATTTTTGATTCCAGTCATAGATGCCAGAAGTATCTTATATAGAACATGACGACCTGTAATATGAAGGATTACTTTGTTTATCCTGTATTGGAGAGGCAGCCTCCCCATGAAAAGGGCCGTTTACCGCTTAAACAACAATTTGCATAGATCGTGCACCATCTGAAAGTTGACCCTTCTAATCTCGGACACTATGCTGCTACTGAAGCTCCTCTTTCGGTGACATCTGCACTAGCTCTTCGACCTCCTTAATCGGCCGTAGATCCCATTGCCCAGGATCACCCATCCCGGCCATATGCATGGACATGTAAGCTCCGGCACCCCGGGAAACTTTGCTGAACACGGGGGCCAAACAACCTTGTTTTGTCGCCCTCACATTTGAACGCACGTTTGATCTTTGCCAGCGTGACCATGGGGTCTAGCATGCCGCTCAAACGATGCATTGCAGAGATGGTCAATTCATGATCGGAAGGAAGATATGCGCAGATCTCAGAAAACCTTAATTCCTCCGTTAATTAAGCCTGCATGAATTGGAGACTAGCTTGCATCTGAAGCCATCTTCCCAAATCCCAACCCTGGTCAAGGTCAAACATGGGGTGATGCAAATTGGCCGATCACATTCCTTGTCCTTACAGCCATCATCGCCCCATGTCAGACGGGGTGCGCGCCAATGCAGATCGCCGTTTACGGCCTGTTAGCCGTCAACCAGCGAGATTCGGAAGTATACCGCCTGAAGCGCGGGCTTAAAAAAGAGTTTCCAGCCCGCGATAGCGGGAAGATAGGAGAAATGAGGAGGAAAAAGGACAAAGGCTATTCTGCATAACAGAGACTCCTTATGAAGTACCGTGGGGTCTATGCAGAGTATAGTGCGTAGTGTATCGTGGGCCCCAACGGGCATGTTATCGCAAGTACTCGCCTCTGTCGGCTACATTTCAGCCCCCTAAACACGACCCTGCAACTGCCCTCCACCAGCTCGCACTAACCCTTGGCACGAAATTCTCAGCCTCGTCGCTTTTTCATTCTTTTGCATAGTCTCCTCATCGCTACTCCTCGTTTATATTACTCTCAACCCGCCCACCATGCATTGATCTCTGCTCGTCTTCATGTCTCAAGCCCACGCCTCGCTTCCCTCCCCCCCATGGAGATTCGCACGGGCGCTCCATTGACGGCCGAAACGTCGCCCGACTCGCAGCCCCCTTCGCAGCCTCCGACACAAACGCGGCCGCCCGTGTCCGCGCCCGCACCCGCCCCGCCCCGAAAGCGCGTCCGCCGCTGGCACCATCGCGGTTTCACCGGCTGCTCGACTTGTCGCAGACGTCATGTCCGGTGCGACGAAGCCTCGCCGACCTGCAAGAACTGTACCCGACTGGGGCTCGAGTGCGATGGCACCCAGGGTCGGATGACCTTCAAAGTCTACGGGCCGTCCCAGACGCGGGAGGCGGGCACGGCCTCCAGGACGCCGAAGAAGGGGACGAGCAGCCCGGAGTCGTCGGGCGAGTCTTGCTTCACAAGCACTTTCTCTATAAAGGAGGAAAGCGAGCAAGAGGATATCTGCGAAGCGCTTGTGGTGTCGCCCACCACGCATCCCCAATCGTCGGGCCACCTTCATTTTCGCTTCCAGGAGCCAATCTTCCCAGTGGACCTCAGGTCTGCCTCGATACAATGCACTGACGAGCGTTACTTCTCCCATTTTGTCAACCAGGTTTCCACCCTCCTCATCATCTACGACACGTCCATCAACACCAACCCATACCGCAGTTATTTCCCGGGGTTTGCCCAGTCGTCTCCGTCGATGATAGGCGCGATGCAGGCGCTGGGAGCATTGCATTTAGCGAATACTTCGGTCGGCGCAGAGCGGAATCGGCATTTCCAACAGGCAATGGGGCAATATGGGCAGGTGGTGAAGATGTTCCGGGATCGGTATGCGCATCCCAATCTACAGCTTGGGATAAGGGACTTTGCGACGTGTTTGTTGCTATGTCTATTTGAGGTGCGTGTTCGTTGGGAGGCGCGTATGTGGATTTTCGATTGACCTGACTATCTGTAGATGATGGACTCGCAACACCAAAACTGGGACGTCCACCTCAAAGGCGCGCGCGAAATCTATAACCTCCTTTTCTACCCGCATGCCGGCAGTGCGGTGCGCGAAGCACAGCGGGTCGCGGAGACAAACCACCCCCTTCGATTGTTCCTCGTCTCGTTACTCTCATATCTCGACGTGGCTGGTGCATGTGCGAGATCAGGCGGCACAGTGGTGACTGGAAGCTATTGGAAGACTTTGGGAGGCGGATGGGAGTATAACCTCGGTACGCCGAGCTTGTCTACCTCACCTCTTCCAGATGACCCACGCTTGGGGGAGTTACGGCAGGCCTGGTCAAGCATGATGGAGGTCCAGGCCGCGATCAGCACTTTTGCCCTGGACAAGGAGTGGATGTCGCCGGACCACCAGGATATGGTGTACAAGAAGATCTTCCATCAACTGGTGGCCTGGCGTGCCAGCACGCCGATCAGTTTGCAGATGCTTGGCGATATGGATCTGGATGATGAGACTTTGCGACGATTCCCGTATCCCGACATGCTGGAGTATGTTGGTTGCGTCGAGGCGTACGAGAAGGCGACCTTCGTGCACCTACATCAAGTAGCTGGAGCTGGTCGACCCAACTGGATTTCAGATCGGGCGTACCTGGACATGCTCATCACTCGCATCCTTACTTTGATCCGCAAACTGTCCAAGGACGTGGGTCAGCTAGCTGTCTTGTGGCCCCTCTTCATCGCTGGTCAGGAGACCCGGGACCAAGAGGAGCAGCGCTATGTTCAGCAAACAATGCACGAGCTCAAACGATTTGGCTTCAGAAATGTCGATAAAGCCCTAGAGCTCCTCGAAGGAGTCTGGTTCAAACGACGCGCCTTTCCTGAGGGTTGGACTGAGACGCTAGATGAGATCCAATCCAACATCCTCTTGCCTTGACAGGATCGCCCGAGATCATCCTGTCTCGACACCTCCATCTTGCAACGTGAACGGTCACGCCATTGAGCATCATGCTCCATCATGTCCACTCGACGACTTTCTGACACGACATATGCGATCGTGCTTATCCCTATACCCTCATCTGCCAATCTGCTGCGCCTGCAGCACATTTAGACGTCTTGCATCTTTCACGACAGAACACTCACAGAGTTATGACCTCGGGCTATACGCCCAAATATCATTCGGAGCCGGCTTACGTATACACACGTACATTAGTTTCTACAAATAATTTTGTCCTCTCCGATGGACCTATTTCGATAGTTAATGAGCTCATGCTGCACGTGCCCATGTTGATCCTGGCGGTTTGTCTGGCTTCTTTTTAAAGGCTACTCGTCAACCGACTGATCGGAGTATATCATTGTTTCTATTCTCGTGTTCTAGCAGAATGACCGACTAACCACAGGGCCCAAAGGGAGATTCATCCTGCACTTTGCCCGCCTTGCCGTCTGCAAGTCTCCCAATCTGCGGAGCCAAGTGGAGCCCGCCGTGCTCGGCCGGGCTGACCCCATCAAGACCCGTAAATCACAAACTTTGCTGCGATGGGCATTGCCAACACCCTTGCCTGGTAATGGGTTGCGCACTCCGGCTGCCACTTCAACGCGTGCCCGCCAGCATCACCATCTACAGCTTCGGAACGTGGGACTAGCTTGTTTGGTGCGGCGAACCACAGACTGCCTGTTCGATCCTCCATTCATGTGTTGCGTTGCTCCAACGAACTAGCTAGCTAGTGGGGAAAACTTGCTCCCGCGGGTCTCGTTCCACGGACCAGACAGCTCCGAGTCTTCAACTGGTGGCCGTCAGAAACCGGAATGCCGATGCTTCAAGTACTGGATCCTTTTGATCGACACCGTTAATTTGTGCGCACGGGCCCAGCTTTGCAATCTCTCCTTGCCTTTTTTTACTTCCGAGTTCCATCGCAAAGCGACCCAAAGCGACCCGCGGTCACTTTGTTCCGAACCAGCTCTCGAATGCTCGAAGCACGACAACCAGAGCTCGCGTGCTCCCTGCCGGTATATAAGTTTTTGAGCAATATACTCTTCCAGCCAAGTGATCAGGGACCCATCCCCGATCAACCGGGTTAACGTGCGCCTTGCCTAGGCAGTCTACCGCGTGCACCGCAGAATAGCGCCTCCCTAATCTTTCCGCGCGGTGGGGCCCGTTCCTGTTGTCTGACCGGGGTCGCAAACCAGCGTATCCAGAATCTGGGCCAAAAAGTTAATTAAGCAATTTTTTTCTTCTGCGATGTGTTTTTGATTTCGTCGCGCGAGGTTCGTTTAGCGACTTGTCCTATAACTAGGCGGGTGAGGGCTATTTTTCTTGCGAGTCCAAGTCTCCGGTCTCCATTTTCCTTTCCCAGCCGCCCCCGATTTACAAAGCCAACTGCAGCCATGGCGCAGGAACAGGGTGATCTCGTCGGTCGCGACGAGCTGGTTGCCGATGGAGAGGGCGACCGCAGCTCAATCGAGGCGACGGATGATGCAGCTCTGCTGGTAAGGGATCGCAAATCGACGCATTTCATGTTTCCCGTTTCTCAAGACACTTTTTTTGCTGACGCCTTGCGATGACTAGCGAACGATGGGCTATAAGCCGGTAGGTCATAGCTTCCTTATCTGATCCAGAGGTTCAGCAACTCATATGGTCCCGGGAATAGGTGCTTCATCGGACGTATACATTCTTCGAGAACTTTGCGACGACTTTCGGTACGTGCTGTATCTCAATCTATCTGCTCATGAGGGACCGTGACTGATGATATCATTCTAGCGGCGCTCTACTTCGTTGGTGGAGTGCGTGTCACGTTCAGCACTGGTATTGCCGCAGGTGGAAACTTGGCCTACTGGACTAGCTACCTGGTCACGATGGTCTTTACGTTCATCACTGCTGCTGTCATTGCTGAAGTGTGCTCAGCGTCTCCGTCTGCTGGCTCAATCTATCTCTGGGCTGCTGAGGCTGGTGGTCCCCGTTTTGGACGACTGATGGGTTTCGTTGTGGCTTGGTGGAGCACTACCGCTTGGACAACTTTCTGCGCAAGTATGATTTTGAAGCCCCGCTTGCCCATGAGATGGTGGAATAGGTGTTAATTTGAGTGCCAGGCAACACCCAGGCGGCCGTCAACTACATGCTCGCTGTATGTCCCAGGTGCATTCTTACTCGAGTGCATGTTTCTAACACTATTCATAGGAGCTCACTGTATTCAATGTCGACTTCCCGAAGGACGCTAGCAGTGTGAAGTTTCGTGCCGTCCAGTGGATCTGCACCGAGGTTCTACTTGCCCTGGCAGCTCTGTTGAACTTCTTGCCTCGTATGTTCCGAAACGTCTAGAACGTTACCTTCCTTATCACTAACCCACCGGCCGTAGCTCGTTACTTCAAATACGTCTTCTGGATCTCGGCCGGGTTCGTCATGCTTGACTTCTTCTTGAACCTCATCTGGCTCCCTATCGGTACTGCCAAGACATGGGGTTTCCGCTCTACCCATGAAGCCTTTATGACGACCTACAACGGTACCGGCGCGCCCGCTGGCTGGAATTGGTGCCTTTCTTACTTGGCTACTGCCGGTATTCTGATCGGATTCGATGCATCCGGTCATGTTGCGGAAGAGACCAAGAACGCTTCTATCACTGCTGCGCGCGGTATTTTCTGGAGTACCGTCGCGAGTGGGATTGGTGGTCTAGCTACCATTATTCTCTTCCTGTTTTGCGCTGTAAGTGCTCTTTGCCAGTGGGATGACTTTTGTTTTATCCTACTAACGTTGATCTTAGCCGACTGCCGACCAGCTTTTTGAGTTTGGATCCCCTCAACCATTCGTACCCCTCTATGCGGTTGTCCTTGGTAAAGGCGGCCACATCTTCATGAACATTATCTGTATTGTTGCACTGTGGCTGGTAAGGATTTTCCGCTCGTTCCTCTTTCAACCTTTTCTAAATCTCCCCAGAACACCGCCATCGCCATCATCGCCGCCTCTCGCCTCGTCTTCGCCGTCGCCCGAGACGGCGTTCTCCCATTCTCTGGCTGGGTCTCCAAGGTGCACGGTGGCCAACCCCGGAATGCAGTCATCGTCGTGTGGGGTGTCGCAGCTCTGGTCACATGCACTATCCTGCCATCTAATGTGGCTTTCACGTCCCTCGTCTCGGCAGCCGGCGTTCCTAGCGCTGCCGCCTATGGCCTTATCTGCCTTGGTCGCCTTTTCTGCACGCCGAAGCGCTTCCCGAAGCCGCAGTGGAGCCTCGGACGCTGGAGCAAGCCGTTCCAGTTCATTGGCGTACTCTGGAATGGTTGGGTCGTGGCAGTCCTTTTCTCGCCGTACGTGTGGCCTGTGACTGGACAGACTTTGAATTGTGAGTCTCTTTTTTCTCCGGTTGAGAGTAGCTGCTAATCTTATTTCTAGATGCGCCCATCATTATGGCCGGGGTTACCATCTTCGCCCTGGTCTCATACTTCGTCATGCCGGAGAGCGCCTGGCTTCCACGGAACCGTATCGCCCACTTTCTTGACAGCAAGGGCGCCTCTAACGTCTCTGAAACGGTGGAGGAGGTTGGCCCTTCCGCTCAAGATGACATGGTCCAGAGACAATGATGACTTGTGAGAAATGTGTTACAAAGCGTATCGTACGCGTGCAGTGGCTTGACCTGGCTGCAGTTCGCCCCAAAACAGGGAAGGAACACACAAAACAACATTCAGAATGGGAAGATACCGTCACGGTATCTGCCATTCATGTTGAACCCATCATCCTGCCCAGGTGGTGATACCCTCTTGTTAAATAGCGACTCCAACTTCAATGGGGTCTTACCTTGAGCAATAACAGAGTTAGCGCTTCTTGAGCATATCCCTATCGGACTTGCTCTGACCAATTCCCATCCTGCACCGGTTCGTGAAACCACGAGACTTCTTTACTGGACCAACTCCAATGGTCGTCCTATAATCGAAAGAAAGCCACCGCTGGGGTGGTGCCCCGGGGCCACAGTCCAGCGAAGATAGGCGCCGAGGATGCTTCGACAACGCAATTAAGCAGCATCAGGGACAGAATCAAGATCTTTCAGGTGACTGGAATTGTATGTAGTTCATCAGCTGGACGTACATTGAGGATTGATGTCTTCTTAACTCGTCGCAAACATCTAATCATAGATCCAGTCGGGCTTGTCATCGGCACTATATGGCCGGGAATCAGTCATCTTCTGAACGGATAAGTCGCGCATTCATCCCCTGGATTACGCAATGTGGATCGGTTTCATCCCAATAGATTGTTTGCCGCTTCGTTGCTCTCTAGCGGCACCCCAAGAAAGCCCCCAAGTCTCCAGTGGCCATAGAATACCAATAGCATGTATTCGAAGCGCGCACTGATCGCTCGGCATTATGGCCCCGCACTTCTGCCGGGAGACTTCACCACTGGCGACGGTCGAAGAACTTCGTAATTCCTCCGATCCACGGAGAATCAGCCCACGCGACCCGTTGATCGAGCTGCATACGCATCGCCTGCGGGATGCGGGATGCGGGGAAGGCCCAGGAATGGGCACGAACCCCCGGTTACCGGCGGATAGACAGTCAACTGGGGGGGAGCACATCAGGTACCGAGACTGGTCTCCAGGATGTCAAGGTATGCTGCTGGAATATCCTAATACCATTCTGCACGCCAAAATTCTGGCTCCAATCTGCGACTGATGACTTTTGGATCTCGAAGCGTCACGGTGGAGCACGGCCGATCCGGCTTCTCCACGTCTCCGCCCCCGCAGGAGATTAGGATGTGGCGCCGCAGTACAGAACCGGGGTATGGGGGTATTGACGGCGCACTCGTCAAGGAAGGTGCGATTGGATTATTGAAAGCCGAGAACAGGCCCAAGGAACCCCCAAGACCCCCAAGACGCGTACCGTGTCATCGCAGCGGGCCAGTGTGCCCGTAACCCGAGGGCTGGCTTTGTCCCTCCACATCCCTCCCGGCGACTCTCCTTCCTCCGCTCCTCCTCGACCTTTCGCTCTTCTGCCCTCCCTTCTCTCCCTTCCTCCCCTTGGAACGTGCTCGCTCCTCCAATGCGCGCCTCTCTCGTCTGATCGCTCCCTGGAGACTACCCGCCATGAGCGTCCCACTGCCTCTGCGGTCGGCGCTGGGGCCGTGTCTTGCGGTCCCCACGCGGCGCGGAGGGAAATCGTTTGTGTCAGTGACACACTCAGGTACGCTTCGCCTGGTGATGGGCGCAACACGCTCGATCTCCACGTCTTCTGCTAACGTGTCTCTCCTCAAATAGCCTCCCGAATTCGCCGGTTTGTTTTTCTGGCCTCGTCGCAGAAGAGACACTTGCTCCCTCTACCTCGGTGGCCTCTCGTCTCCAAGAGACCCGTGACAACCACTCCTCCGGCCTCGGAGCCTGCCTCGGCCACTCCCTACTCCGCGTTAACCGTGGGAGTGCCCCGCGAGACGGCCCAGAATGAGCGCCGCGTCGCCATCACGCCGCAGAATGTAGCTCTGCTCCTGAAGAAGGGCTTCTCGCGGGTGCTGATTGAGCGTGGTGCCGGTGAGGGCGCCCAGATGCTCGACCATGTCTACGAAAAAGCCGGTGCGACGCTCGTCGACCGGGACGCGGTCTACGCCGAGAGTGACATTGTCCTCAAAGTCCGTGGCCCGCAGGTCGACGGGCCCTTCAATGAGGTTCAGGCTCTACGCAAAGGCTCAATGGTGATTTCCTTTTTGTACCCGGCCCAGAACAAATACACAGTGGACGCACTGGCTGCGCGGGGTGTGACCTCGTTTGCCATGGACCGCATTCCGCGAATTTCTCGGGCCCAGGTCTTCGACGCCCTGAGTTCCATGGCCAATATTGCTGGATACAAAGCCGTTCTGGAAGCATCGAACCATTTTGGTCGCTTCCTGACTGGCCAAGTGACTGCTGCGGGAAAAATCCCCCCAGTAAAGTTCTCGTGATTGGAGCGGGCGTGGCCGGTTTGAGCGCCATTGCCTCGGCCCGTCGGATGGGTGCCATCGTCCGTGGCTTCGATACTCGTCCCGCTGTCCGGGAACAGGTTCAATCGCTCGGTGCTGAGTTCGTTGAGGTTGACTTTCAGGAAGATGGCGCCGGGCAGGGTGGCTATGCCAAAGAAATGTCCAAGGAGTTCATCGAGGCCGAGATGAAGTTATTTATGGAGCAGGCTCGCGAAGTCGATATTATCATTACCACTGCACTGATTCCCGGAAGGCCGGCGCCGAAGCTGCTTACCAAGGAAATGGTAGCTGCGATGAAGCCTGGCTCCGTTATTGTAGATCTTGCAGCGGAGGCTGGCGGTAACTGCGAGGCTACTGTTCCGGGGGAGCTGGCCAGCTACAAGGATGTCACCATCATTGGCTACACAGATCTCCCGTCTCGGCTGCCAGCTCAGTCCTCGACCTTGTACTCGAACAACATCACCAAGTTGCTGTTGTCCATGGCCCCCCAGGACAAGTCTTTTGGTATTGACTTCAACGACGAGGTGGTCCGCGGGTCTATAGTGACTCTCGACGGGGAAGTAGTTCCTCCAGCTGCGCCGCCGACTCCGCCTCCAACTCCAAAGCCAGAAGCGCAAGCTGTGGCTGCGAAGAAAGAGGAAAAAGTTGCTCTTACCCCCTGGCAAAAAGCTACCCGGGATGTCACCTTGGTCACCGGAGCCATGGGCACCACGCTCGCTCTGGGCAAGGCCACCGGTCCTATCTTCATGAGCAACATGATGACCTTTGGTCTTGCTGGTCTGGTCGGATACCGCGCTGTCTGGGGAGTTGCTCCCGCACTGCACTCGCCGCTCATGAGTGTTACCAACGCCATCTCGGGTATGGTCGGTATCGGCGGTCTGTTCATCATGGGTGGAGGCTATACCCCGACCACTCTCCCGGAGTATCTCGGTGCTGCGTCCGTTCTTCTAGCCTTTGTCAATGTGTCTGGAGGTTTCGTGGTGACGAAGCGAATGCTCGATATGTTCAAGCGGCCGACTGATCCTGCCGAGTATCCATGGCTGTATGCTATTCCGGGAGTCTTGTTCGGCGGTGGTTTCCTTGCTGCTGCCAGCACAGGCATGTCCGGTCTGGTCCAGGCCGGATATCTCGTTAGTACAATCTTGTGTATGAGCTCTATCTCGGGATTGGCCTCGCAACAGACTGCTCGGCGTGGGAACATCTTCGGTATCTTGGGAGTGGTTTCTGGGATTCTCGCCTCGCTGGCTGCGGTGGGCTTTGACACTGAAACCCTCACGCAATTTGCTGTCGTTGCGGGAACTGGTGCTGTCGTGGGAGGTTTGATCGGTCGTCGGATTACACCGACTGGTCTTCCTCAGACCGTTGCGGCACTGCACTCGGTCGTTGGTCTCGCCGCTGTCCTGACTAGCATTGGCAGCGTGATGGTTGACATCGCTGATATTTCGACTCTCCACATGGTGACTGCATATATGGGCGTTCTGATCGGCGGTGTCACCTTTACCGGCTCCATCGTCGCTTTCATGAAGCTCGCGGGCCGTATGTCTTCAAAGCCAATGATTCTTCCCGGACGGCACGTAATCAACTCGACGCTACTTGGCAGCAATCTAGCAACCATGGGAGCTTTTGTCACCATGGCACCTGGAAATCCGGCGATGGCAGCGACCTGCCTGGGTGCAAGCACCCTTCTTAGCTTTATGAAGGGATACACCACAACGGCAGGCATCGGCGGCGCCGATATGCCTGTCGTCATCACTGTGCTGAACGCCTACTCGGGCTTCGCACTCGTGGCCGAAGGGCTGATGCTGAACAACCCGCTTCTTACCAGCGTCGGATCCCTCATCGGAGTCAGCGGTTCCATCCTATCATATATCATGTGCGTGGCCATGAACCGGTCTCTCGCCAATGTTCTTTTCGGCGGCCTTTCCACGCCGGCCCAAAGCCAGAAAAAGATCGAGGGCGAGGTCACTCAGACCAACATCGACGATACCGTAGAAGCCCTTTCCAATGCCGAAAGCGTCATCATCATCGTTGGCTACGGCATGGCGGTCGCGAAGGCGCAGTATGCCCTCGCTGAAATCGTCGCTTCCCTCCGTGCTCGCGGTGTCAAAGTCCGCTTCGCAATCCACCCCGTCGCCGGCCGCATGCCGGGCCAGTGCAATGTTCTCCTGGCCGAAGCCTCCGTACCGTATGACAGTAAGTCTTCCGGCCACACCCCCCACATTCTCTCCTAAACCCAAATCCCCCTCCTCGAAATGCTAACACTGGCACGCGGGAAGTTGTTCTGGAAATGGACGAGATCAACGATGACTTCGCCGACACGGACGTCACCCTCGTCATCGGCGCTAACGACACCGTTAACCCCATCGCGATGGAGCCAGACTCCGCCATCTCCGGCATGCCCGTCCTGCACGCATGGAAGAGTAAGGAAGTGATTGTCATGAAGCGGGGCATGTCAAGTGGATACGGTAGGTGCCCCTTCATTTGACACTTTAATTAATTGCTTAATCAGTCTTTGTATGCCGCGGGTAAAGATGACTAACATTTTGGCAGCGGACGTGCCAAACCCGATGTTCTACATGCCCGGCACCCGGATGTTGTTTGGTGACGCCAAGACTTCTTGCGATGGTATGTGGATTGTCGTCCGCGGACGATGATACGTCTCCCAGTTCTTGGCATTTTGGCTAATTTTTTATGTCTCGCAGCCATCAAAGCAGCGCTGGAGGCGCGGAAGTAGGGCGCCGATCAGGCTGGGATACGCTGGTCAACCTTGTTTCTGCTCTTCCTTCCCTTTCCGTCTGTCTTCTTTCCCCAGTATTGATTGTTCACTCTCGTCTTCTATCTCCTTTGCTGTGCCATGCGATAGTCATCAGTATTCTTGCTTGCAATACCGCAATATACCATGCTCTGATTGCGGCAGCTTCCTCCGTCTCTAAGATACGAGCCGGGGAGAGCTCAATTTAGATACATCGATTGTGATTTGGATCCGAAATACAACGCATTTCTCGTAAACTTGTATTTAAGGGCCCGTATGCTCGCTATTCGAGACATCGAATTCAGATGTAGCCGGGGCAGAATTAATACCACACATGCCTCAATATTCCCACGGTGACGATGTATGCCTCTGATTACATTTGAGGTATAAGGTCCTGCCAATAGAGAAAATCGAAAGTCCCGCCACACACAGCATCATCTCATCATGTCCAACACAATCCAAGCTATCGAACAGCTATCGAACAACCATTTCAAGTAATTGGCCAACCCAGAAAATCTCGCTCAATCACGAACCAAGCTTGCCCCTGGCTTCAACAAGAATTTCATCCCATGCATAATCTCGCAAGCAGACGATATGAAAAGAAGCAATGTAAAAATAGAAGAGACCGATCCAGAGATCAGCTCCGCGCCGAGGATCACCCCCCAACAAGGGGCCCCGTAGCGGAGGTTCAACCAGAGATAGAAATAGACTTTATCCATGCCCGGAAGCGCAGTGACCTCCGGCCCAGTTCCCAATATCGAGTCGAGCCATGACACATAATCCCCGTGTTCGAGAAAAGGAGTCGACCAGAGAGGGAAGGGAAGTTGTGGAGAGAACGCCAGCGCCAGGCCAGGTCAACTTTGGAGCGGAACAAAAGCCAAACTAAAAAACATTCAGATAACCACCCAAGTCAACCAGCCGCCGAACAAGATAGCGATTCGAAAGGGAGCAAGGAACAAAATAATAACTCCGTTGAAAAAAGAAAAAATCCGCCCAGAGGACACATTATCGAAATTAGATGTACGTTGAAGCAAAGAAAATGGTAATAAAAGTTAGAACTTCGTAAAAGTCTTCTTCCCTAGCTTCAGGCCCATGAACTTGCGTCCGCCCGGTGCAGCGCTATTATGCCGCGCATGTCGACGCTGACTTGGTTTCCGGACAACGTGGGAATCATAGTTCATCGCAATCAGCGGCATCGGGCTGCTCAGAGCCGCGTCGGGAGCCACAAAGCCCGCGCTGTTGCTGCTAATGGTATCCATTTCTGAGCGCAGGCTGCTCGTGGAGTGAATGCTGGACGACGCGCCGTGCTTGCGGGTCATGCGGCGCATCATGGGGGAGCGTTGGGCGAGGGTATGCGATACGCTGCTTTTGGAGCCGCCGTGGCCGCGTGTCGGAGGCTGGGGCTGGGGCTGGGGCTGGTAGGAGGTTGGCGGCGAGGAAGCGCAGGATACTGGGCTGCAGGTGCGTGAGAGGAAGGACCCGCCATCGCTGTAGTGATCTGGGATGTAGCCTAGGTCTGACGGGAAGGGGGACGCGGGGCGCGAGGTGTAGGAGGGCATGCTGCTGTTGCTGCTGCTGCGAATTGAAGGAGGCCGCCGGTCTGCTTCTGTGGGGTGTCGTGGGCGTGATGTGGTCATGCTTGGTAAGGTCTTCTCGGAACCGGAGGTGCGAGGCCGTGGGCGGTACACGGACTGTGGTCGCATCCGTGGTGAGGGGGGAAGGTATGGGACCACTGGGATCTCGGAGACGCGGTTGATGGTTGCACTTTGAAGAGCACCGGGCGTACTGTCTTTTATAGAGGGCATGGCAAATGTCGTACTCGTAGATGCATCATCTGAGGTGGACTCGGCACTCTCATTGTCTCTAGGGGCTGAAGACTGGATCTCAGTCAGCCGTGGGACTTGGAGTCCGTTTTCGAATCTTCCGCCGAATATGCGGGACTCGCGGTCTCTGGGGTTTCCCCGTGTGCGAGACCGGCTAGGCCGCGATCGGGCGTTCTTCGACTGTGAAGCTAGGGAATTGATGAAGACCAGAGTCGGCCGGGTTGGCGGCTCCATCAGGGTGACCTTTTTGCAACCTGGATCTCGGCATTCTCCACCGAGAATGTAGACGATAGTGAGGATGAGCGAGACCTGGCGTTGTTGATCAGAGGGGTATTAGGCGACACGTAGATAGTAGGCTGCAGAAAGAGACTCGATGCGAGCGGAGCAGGGCTGTCCGGCGAAGGCAGCTCGAGCACCATCCCGTCTTCAGGGTCGAAGACGTATGCATCTTCCACGAAGCTTACATCGCTGCTCCGCTTGACGGTATCCATGGAGAGAGGTCGTTGCCGCTTGGCTCCTCGATACGGCGCCAACAGCTGCTCCTCCCGGTCCGAATCTGGATCCACATGCGAGTTCTCGTCAGCACTCAGATCAGAGTCGAAGGTCCCGGCTCGTCGAGAGCCTGCCAATGAAGGAACAAAATCGTGGCCGCCGGCATCAGACTCGGAGACATCCTCCTCATCGGACTCATAACGCTTCTGGAGGCTTTGCCGGCTCAGGCGGTGCAAAGACAGCGCGGTCGTGGGCTCGTACATGTTTGCCCGAAATCACCAAAAGAATCCAGGGTCAATCACAGCACAGTTCATCCAAGTGTTACACTATTCCAGACAGGGCAGTCGTCGTAGAAGCAAAGAATATATCAGATCAGGGTTAAGAGGAGAGGCCAGCCTGCAACGAACAGGAAACAAGGAAGTAGCAAAAATGTGACAGGATATTCCCTTTAAGAACAACCGTAAGCCCAAAAAACACCTTGAAGGAGACGCGGCAGTCCTTGGGCGAAGTCAAGTATGCCCAGGAGTAGAGAACTGTAAAGGAGAACCAGTTCCTGCTCCTTTGACAGGCCAAGGGTAAGGTCTTTAAGTGGACCCGTCCAGAAGGGTTGACTAGACACCAGAATGAAAAACAGGGGAGCCACCCTCGGTTCCTGTCAAGGTCTCCAGGAACAGGAAAGAAAGTATGAGGAACTGTAGAAAGGTCCCACCCTATGGAGAATCCACCCGGCGCGGGAAAGAGGAGAGGGGAAGGGCTTTTTTAGACCCATCAAGAAGGGGACGATGCAGTCCCTGTCCACGTGTGCCAAATATGGGCTGGGGTCCTAACTAGTCGTTGGTATCTGGCCTTTTGCATTCTGGGCGTTTTCTGTGCAGGTGTCCTTCTTTTTGGGTCCCTCTTTATCCCTGATTTTTCCGGCGTTAGTTTTTCTTCTTTTCTTGCGTTGCTGGCTCGCACATGCAGGACCGACGCCTGCGCAGCCCTGGATTGGCCAGAGGCGACCGATTAGTGGAAGCACCCTAGGCTGGGAAGCAGTGTGATTGGGACGCGAGTCACCCTTGCATTCGGGGCTAGCAGGGACGACGAGGGGTTCGATGGGGATGCAGGCACCTCGACAAGCCCGGATAGGCCGTTTCACCATTCGGCGACGCGCACCTTCGACATACTGTGGCGGGCGCGCGAGGCTGGCAGAGAAACCTAATCAGTGGATGTTGTAACGCCGGGAAAAATCTGATAGATCAACGTGAGCTGTCGTTGGCCATGGGCCCATGCGCCTAACGCTGGGGCTGCAGCAAGTCAGGATGGGCATTGGCCCTAGTGCCTATACGCCGCAGGGACCGGCGGCGGCAGCTAAATTGGATTGCTCCATGCACGGTCCAAGGGGAACCAAATTATCCCAGAGGGAGAGAAGGAATCCGGAGGCTCCGAGTATTTCGTGCCGGTGGAGGAGGAGCCAAAATGGCAGATCGAATCAGTCAGCTGGGGATGGGCCGCTCTGTACGGGCGATTCGCAGGTCGCCAGAATACTCCGTTCGGAGGCTTCGGGAGGGCCGTTATACGCGCTGGCTGAAAGACGGGATTGCACCACCCGGCCAACGATCGAAGTTCATTGCGAAGCGCCCACAGTGGAGCAAAGCGAAGGTCCACTTGCGAGCACTAGGGCTGTTCGGTCCTTTCCGGAATCGTCTCGAGGCATGCCAAGTTAGCCGCCGCTCCAGAGGGGTGGGGCGCGAGGTATAACTCAAACACGCTACCACGAACGCTTGGGGTCTTGTCTGACCTCGAAACCGTCGTGGCGATCGGTCATGGTGGAGCTCGGAATCTTGGCACCGAGAGCTGCTCCGCACCACCTGCGGTCCCTGCGAAGTGGAAGTCGCTGGTGTTGCTGGGGATGCCAGGGGCTGGGGTTTGGTTCTTACAGGATGATGCACCGGCCCCCTCCCCCTTGGTTCTTGCAGCTCAAAGAGCGGACTGGAAGGAATCGGGAAGGGCTAGAGGTAACGCGCAATGCGACAGGGACCTCGGAAAGGGAGGGAGGGGAAGAGGGCATGGGATGCATCAGGGTTACAGTGGCATGAGAGAGGGGGACAACCTTGAAGTGTGTACAGTGGCCTCCTATCATCTGATCTGAGAATCTCAGGATTGGATTGGGGCCAGTCGACATTTCCGATAGACATTTCCACACCAGGGCGCTCTCGGACTATTCCTCCTTCTATCCTTCCATCCTTGTCTCCTACTGAAGGGGAGAAGGAACATACCAGCTGGATGATGCTCCTTCACTTTCCAGTGCGATGGACTGCACATAGTTGCAACAGTGCACCTTCAGAGGCACGTTTCAAGCAGAGCCCTGCCCCATAGCCAGCGCCCCTTTCTGTACAGAGCAGAAGAAGTACTAAGGAAGTACGGGGCAAAGAGAATGTATCCCCCTGCCCCTGACCCCGACCACCTCCTCAATGAAGCAGCAATGGCCTCCTCCTGCTCCTTGCGCGCGATGATCACCGCGAATCGGCGAATTCTTCCTCCGTCTCCATTGAATCTTCCGTCTCCACTTGGTTCGAGCTCCGGCCTCTCGGCGCTGTTTTTGTTATTTATAGCTAACTACGAAAATCTCGCCCACGCCGATGACATCTATCACCTGCAGCCAAGCCAATACAATAGATAATGCCGTCGCACCAGCACCATTGCCAAACCATCCCCAGGCCATTCCCCCGTCGCAGAAGCGACTTCAGGCAAGGACCTCCGGTGCTAATGCCAATCTGAAAGGTTGGGAGCAAGCTAATGCAGGTTTAGAACCATCAGCATAGGAACTGCTCATCCGTGGCATCATGCAGGACCGAACTCGAAACCAGCCTCCAGGAACTAGACGCCAAAGCTCCTGTTTCTGAGTCTGACAGCAGCGTGGCTCCCCGCTTGAGTTTCATGGCTGGCCTTGGCTTACATGGAGAGAACACCAGAACCGCCGGCACCACCCGCAGTCCATTTGAACCGGTTGGATCCGGCCGTAGTGACTAGCCAGTCTCGGTATATGAGTCCGCTCCGGTTCAAATAACAGGATTGAAGGAGGGCACTACACCTCCAGGATTTCACCGACGGGCTTTGAAATCCGGCTAGTCCTTCTAACAACACGCATTGAGCATCCGGTTCGCGCCAGGCGCCAGGCTTGCGAATTCACCACTTAGCAATTCATCCGGGTCGACCTGCCTGATACTGCTGTGATCCTGGTCTGAGCTTCTCCCGGGGCTGGGTGTTATCTCTGCTGTCCCGTTCTTTGGGGCCCTGCATGTGATTATTGGGCCTCCAGGTCTGGCGAAAGCGTGGCTGGTACGACACGCAAGGCGCTTGTCCAACCTCCCTCTGAGCCATGGGCAATAGCTAGTCAGGCACTAACCTCACACGACAGCTCCGTGCCTAGGAGTCTATTGACTGCGCGCGATGGGTTATTGAATATCTCCCGGCCACCCATGACGCAACGCAATTGCTCGTCGGGGAGAAAGGGATCGATCGTCCTGTCAATGCACGCTGCAATCCAGTCTCCTGCACAAACCATAGCTCTCGAGCTCCCAGTGGCAAGAAACGCAGTTATTGTCCACCCCGGGCGCCGGGTGATGATCAGCCTCCGAGCCAGCCATCAGCCATCAGCCATCTTGGGAACGGAGGCGGCTGCAGGGAGCTCACTCCTCAATGCGGTCTGTTCGGCGAGCAAACCCGTTTGTTAATCGCCCTGCTCGGCTCCAGCGCACACCAGGGCGCGGATAATGACGATCGACCCTCAATGATATGCCATCTCGCGACCTGTCACTTTCGTGGCGTGGTTTGGGCCCCGTTGCACAAGCCATCTGCACGGATCGACACCCACGTCAGTACCTGCATGGCGATACGGTCCACTGGTGTGATGCTGCACATTGAGCCCGAAAGGAACATCTGGTTGTCCCCTCAACGTCGGGGTGTTGGTTGTGGTGCTGTTGGACGAAGATCTCTCCGAGAAGCTGCCCGCCGAATGCCCCAGAGAGGGTCCTGCGTTGACGGATCTCGTGTCCAGCGCGACGTGTCTACTATTGTCCGGTGCAGGATCTCCTGGCAGTTGCTGCAGGAAACTACCGAGGCCGCATGCAAGTCGACATACGAAAGTAGTCTCTCGCAACAACGCTGACCGGAGGCATGCAACGCGTTCGTCGTTATTGCGTGTTGCTCTGACGAACTCGGCTGTTGCCTGCTCTTGCAGGACAGCACACCATACGGCACTCAATGAAGAACGCTACAGAGAAGGTGGGCTTGATCAAACTAGTCTCGCAAGATTGATTACATTTGACATGATATGTGAACTTGACATCTATAATATAAGTACGTAACTAACCGATAAAAAAGGATGCAATTGAAAAAAGGGCCTGCCGCCAGCAGACAGCGGGGTGATAACGACAAACATGAACAGAAGAAGAATAGAGGACATTATAGAATACAACCGACAGCCCCCTCCCCGATGAAAAGATAAGAAAAGGGGGGGGAGAAATGCCTTTCGTCCGCTGCTGGCGTCGCCATTTCGGCATCACCGTTTTTCCTCACAAACCGGCCCCTACCACATCGATCATCAGGCCCTACTGTTAGACCTGGCCTCATGAAAAGGTCATTCATTAAAACAAGTATAAAGTGAATCACCAGCAAGCAGCCAATCCACTTCCGGACTTCTGCTCTTGCTCTTCCCACGGTCGAGTTGCAAATATGCTCGGCGAACTTTCGAAGATTCGTCATCAGAAAGATAATTTTTGTTTTCTTCTCCTTCTTGTGACACCACATTCAGGAGATCAGGATAAAATTCTTTCCTCATGCTTCGCTATTCCACAAGCACAGGGTCTCAAGAGGCACGTCGGATGCCCCTTCCAGCTAGAGCCATTTAAGCCTTGCGGGAGCGAGTGACAGGGCCGTTGGAGCGGCCAGTCGAGACAGCGGAGCCATTGGAGCCCTTGGCGCTGCCGTTGGACTGGGCGCCAGCAGGGGAAGGGACCTCGAAGTTCTTCATGTCGATAAGGGACGTCTTGCCAGTGTTGCGACGAGGACGGCCGACCTTGACGGCCTTGTTGTAGGTGGCGATGTAGAAGGAGATGAAGAGCAGAAGGTATGAGGTGATGATTCCGATACCAGCGAAAGCAGCGAACTCCTCACCGGCGCACTGGCCCATGTTGGGAACCCAGGGGAAGTAGGTGGAGGTGAAGTAGGTGTAGGAGGCGAAGTAGATGAAGCCTGCAGGATGCACTGATGAGTATCTTGTTTCGCACGGGCACTGTAGCGGAGAACTTACCGAGGTCAATGACGAACTGCACAATCTGCAGCATAGTGATATACTTCTTCCACCAGATCCGGATACCGCGGGCACTCTGGAAGTAGTACCAGTACATCACCACGTGGACCAACAGGTTGATGGTGATGGGCACCCATTGCACGGCAGTCAGACCAATCAGCTGGGTGTAGCACAGCAAGGCAGTGGCACCATGGTGGTAGGTGTGGAGGAAGGTCAAAGGCTTCTTCTTGAGGACGAGGAAGACAGTGTCCAGGAGCTCGACGTATTTGTTAATGTAGTTGAGCTAGGTCGAAGGACAGGTTAGTCGCGCCAATTGTTAATCAGTTGTGTCGATTGCTCCAAAACTTACGTAGTAGAGGATGATGAGGGGCTGAGTCCATCCACCGCGGTGGTCGCAAATGGTGTGGAAGACACCGTGGCGGACAAGGGTGGGCAGGAGCTGCTCTACAAACAGGGCCAGCAGGATGGCGCTGATGGCGGTCAGGAGGAAATTGTGGATCATGAACAAAGTGTTCAACTTGAGTGCGGAGAAGTTCTTCATGACCTCACGACCACCGAAGATGATGATGTAGTAGGTGACCAGCATGGTCGCGGTCTCCTTGAAGGTGGACAGAGGGGTCACACCCTCGACGAACTGGAATTCGCTGGCGGGGTATCCCATGACCTGCTCGTACGCCTTGTCGAAGATAGGCCACAGATGGACGCCAAAGGGCCGATCCAGGGTTGGGAGGGGCACATTCTGAAGAAAGTCGGCCATGGTGTCCGGGGAGTTGTCCAACAAGACGAGGTGCGTCAATCGAAGTCGCGAAACGAAGAAAAAACCCCGGGGGCAAGCAACGGCAGCGGTGATCTCAGGCCAAAGGTCGCAGTCCACGAACAGGCACAGAGCCAAGAAAAAGAGAAGGACTTGGAAGGAATTGAAAGGACCGACGTTGGAGGAGGAGGAAAAGGGAGGAAGAACACCGTTACTTTTTGCGTCCGGCGCGTCCGCTGATCACCCGATCCGGCCTAGCGCAGGTGTAAAAGGGGGAAAAACCACCAGCCGGGGTTTCCGAGTGTTTGTCCGTGAGATTGGATGATAACACTGATATTCTGTATAGGCGATAATGCTTCAATGGATGTATCCTTGTGGTAATGCTTTTGGGTTTTGTGTGACTAGTTAATCCTGCTTCATTGCTTCATAGGGTCTCACTGAGGTTGGTGTTGGGAGGCCGTTTTCGGGGTACCCGCCACACTTTTCACATGCGCACGGTCAAAGTCAGCCCAAATGGCTAGGGCCAACTAGAAGTAAACACAACACGGCTGCCGCAGCCCTAAGCCTAGGCACGATAGTAGTGCTCGCAATACGTTTCAGATTGCCAGGTAAGCATCGGCCTTGCGAAACCCAGCATCTTCGTAGTGTCGAGTTAGAAATCCCCCGGTCCCCTCCTCCCCTGGGGTGATTGGGTTGCAGTGGATGCCACGCGGCTGGGAACCTGTGCGATCCACACTATTGTGATGATTCGAGTAGTCGAGGCTGGGCTCCCATCCTAGCCAGGCTGTACGCTAGGGCTGGACTATGGGAATGCATAGTCAATAGTATTGCGATAATCTCCACTGTAATTGAAGACCGGCTTCCCTGGTTAGTAGGGTGCAAATAACGTGGAAAGCCGCTGGTAGTTAGTCACCCCTGAGCTACTCACCCGTATACACAAACAAACAAACGGGCTAGCGTCGGTAGTATGGACATTTATTCTGGAACTCAGAACCCTTAACTATGCCACACTAGAGCCTACTGTTAAAGAAATCAACAGATGATAAGCTTCTCGAAGTATGGAGTGTATTTAGTCCTTGCTATCTCGGTGCCGGTAGATCCGGGGCGTGGCCTAGTACCAATAAGGGCCCTTGAACATACGGTGGATAGTGAAGGCGACAGTGGATAGATTGAGAGAAAATAGTAATAAAGTAGGTATGGAGTTCAAAATCAGCTCTCTTTGGCTCTAAACAAGCATACGCTCCATATACGACTCAATTAATAACCATATGAAATCTGAATTACTTCATGTTCCGTCTCACTGACCTTCTTGCTCCGCAAAATCTGGATAACAAGGGGACAAGAAAAATAGCGAAAATCCTTTTTCGTTTCTCAGGCATGCCTGTATTATTCACATTTCTTTGCTCATTCATCGGCATACGCCCTGGAGAGAAGATAACAGGGACTTGGAGTTTGTACATGTCCGCTACTACTCACGAAGGGTAGCCGAACGACACATTCGTCCACTTTCCGAGACGGTCCACTCATCAGAGCCAACGGCAGTCAACCCATAGAAGAGATCGAAAGGATCGTACTTGGCCTTGATTGTGCGCAGAATCTCGTAGTTCTTGCCATAGAAAGCAGTCTTGAAGTCAAGCTGGCGGAAATCGGCCTAAGGATAAATGGGTCAGCATCTATCAGAGTACGTTAATAAATTCGTAGATGTGAATACCTCGTTGAGATAAGCGCCAGATTCAGGGGCTAATTTTCTCAGGCTAGGAACCAACACATTGGTCATCAATTCCCGCTTCGCACGCATTTTCTTTGGCTCGTCAAACTCCCAGTCGGTAGATATAATCGCGTGGGCAATCGCATTGCGCCAGGCAGGGTTCACAGCGTTATAAACATCGCCAGTGACTTCCTTTGACACCTTAACAGCTACAGTGGTGAATGTAGCACCGTAGGAAAGAGCAGTCCGAACAGAATTTGTCAGTTGATGGTTGATGCTAGCTTTCTCGACGGTCGACCGGGGAAGAAGCCAGCTACCATACTGGGAGACTCCAACCTCAACAAGTGGCATCTGAGCATTGTATTGGTCCATATAAGATTCAAAATCTTCCGCCTGATAAGTATACTGGATGCCCAGCTTGTCCAGACCATCAAGAACTGGCTGGATAAGGCTCTTAAGCTTCTTCAGAGGGACACCGGGTCCAGTCATAGGGGAAATAGAGAAGGAGCTGTTAGTAATGAAGTTCAGACTCATAACACCCTCGTCCACGATATAAGGCAACTGAGCGTTGTAGAGCTCCACGGCTTTGAAAAAGTCATCATCAGAAACACCTGTGGTTGTGAAGGTAAGGTTCAAACCAGATACCTGGCTATCGGGGTGAGCCTTGGAGGTCATAGACCAAACCACACCGTAGGTACCACCACCACCACCAGTCAGTGCCCAGTATAGATCAGTATTCTGCTTACGGTTCGCGACGAGAAATCTGCCGGTACCATCAATAACCTCCCACTCGAGGACCTGATCCGCACCCAAGCCATACTTCGAAGATAGGGAAGAATGACCACCTCCTTGACTATATCCCCCTGCAAGACCGACAGTAGGGCACTCTCCCCCCACCATTCGAAGCCCCTGCGTGTGTGCTGCATTATAGGCTTCCATTCCCTGGACACCAGAGCCGAGCTTTGCGGCTTTTCCGGTATAGAATTCGTCGTTCCAGTCCTTAATCTCGATATCCTTGAGATGGTGTGTCCAGACTGAAAGAGCACCTGCACCCGTTGATTTACCGTTATAGCTAAGATACATTAGTTGAAATCGGATCGAGGATATTTTGGAGCTAAAGGCGATAGTACTCATGGCCGGTGTTACGGATAATGAAACGGATATTGTGGGTAGTCGCAAACCTCAATGTCTTGGCCACGTGAGCGGGCGTAGAGACATTGACTGCATATCGGACGAAGTTGCCAAGGGTGCATGGCTTGGAAACGGGATGGTATGGATCGCATGTTCCATTTGTGAAGAATGGAGCCATGAAAGAAGAGGAGGATTGGTAACTGGTACTTGTTAAAATTCCACTTCATCGAGCACAAACTCAATGCAACAACTTACTGCTCCTCTGGCAATAGCCAGCCATCCTTCAAAACCTCACATTTCTTTTCATTGTATTCGGGAGTGTGGCAGGGAGTTGCGAGAGGCACCGTGGCCACAAGACGTCCATCAACAGACTGGTTGAAAGCATTCCAAGTCGAAAGCGAGGGCCAGCAGTCATCCCCAGGGAAACATCGGCAAGATGAATTTCTGGACGCCTCGATTGAAGGGACAATGGCAGCAAGACCAAGGAGAACTCCCAACTTCAGGGTGATTAAAGACAGCATTGAGAGTTGCAGTCTTGTCTAGAAATTCTTTGCCAGGCGTTGAGGTCAAATGTCCACTGCCGAAGAACCGCCGCTTTTTCGGTATTTATGGCTCGGTCTTTGATCATTCCGAGCTGACACTCGTGCTCTGTGCAGCTACTTTCGCTAATGCACGAGGCGCACTGGCGTGAATTTTGTACTGTCCCGGCTTTCTCTATTGAGATGATGATCGTCTGGTGTGAAACCTTCCGCCCCACGCAGGACGTGTCCTCGGCCGTTCACGGCATTAAACTAATGCGGAGTACACCGCGACTCTTCGCCCACTGATTGCCAGGTATCATGAGAACAGCAATAGTCTAATTGCCTTTCAAAATTCTAGGTAAAAATCAAGCCTGAAGAGCGTCTTTCCCGAAAATGATACCCCCAGGCGTGCTGCACCGGTCAAGCGATTAACATAATTTTCAATTGAGCTGGCCACACCAAAACACCATAAGAAGTGCCAAATTTACCCCTCAATGTTTCAACAGTTAGGTATGACTTGGATTAACACTAGAGTTTACAACTAATCTATTGAAAGTATAAGAAAGACCATACATCCCTTTGACGCCATTGTCAACGCTATGTTATCTAGTTACCATTAATCACACTTCATTCTAGACTATGAGATTAGAAATCTATATTCTTCAGTTATTTATCTAAGCTATGATCCCAGAATCCTCTGATACATTAGAAACCCATTTGAAATACTATACTTCTATAGTATTTTTGTACAACTTAGTTTTTGAGAAGCAAACTTGTAATTTTATCGCAAAATAATATGTTGTTTGGGGGTGGCCAGCTCCCTTCCGTGGCAAGCTCGCTTGTCATTTTCATTCCAAATATAAACTTGTTCAGCGGCGGTAACCTTACTGTTCAACATCATGGAGACCACTTTTTAAGAGATGTTGCCGACAGCTCGGAAGCGATTATTTCCGTCCACTCGCGTCAAAATTAAAGGCAAATGAGTCACACTGGGTCGGTTCTTGGATTATTCGGACGGATCTGCTCTTGTTTTTCTTCCTGTTCTCCTCGTGTTGGGCGGACAAATGCCGCGAGTCCAAAAAAGTTCGGACTTCTCATTATGTTGACACTTGGTTGCGCGAGTGACTCATTACCCTACTTGCTGCTCACAGTTCTCGGACGGACCTACAGTGTCTAAATCATCCGTTGCAGTACATTCATTACAAGCATTTTGCGACTCACAACCTTAATTCCATCCCTTAACACAATTGATGTTACACACGCAATTGCGCCGCCACAACAATGGACGTAAGATTCTCTCCTTCCTGCTATAACGGCCACAAAGCTCATGAACCTGTATTTATGTTGAAGCGAACCTTATCATTGTTTTCTGTCTGCCATTCCTCCCCACAGTTTATACGACGCTATTCACCCGCTTGGATTGGCGAAGCGAATCGCACCGGCTGACTCTACTTCAGGGACTATAGTTCAAGTACCACCTCACACAGCCGTCGCAAGCAGGGCCCCCGTCGTCTACAGAATGGCATTGCACTTGCTGAGAATGCTAAAAACACCCACAGTCAATCTCATACTATCAAAGAGGTGGCGTGTGACAGAAGAACGACTGGACGCGGAGTGTCACCAGTGTTAGGCCATCTCATCGAGTTGAGCATCGTTTCAGGGGTAGAGAAATTTGGACCGAAACTATTGTTGATCAGCGATCAGGATATGAAAGCCTTTATCGACGAAATAACCGAACTATCTTCTCAAACCCTGTCCAATTTGCATTCAACCACCAGTCTACAGGATCATACCAGAAATATCTACAGTTATGGCAGAAGACAAAAGAGAAATACAATGCCAAAACCATCAGCTAACAATTATAATGTACAGGCCTTTTTTACCTTCTGGCTGTCTCTCATCTTCCATCTTTTAACATCCTTATTCTTTTGACACGATAATTGAGACAATTCAAAAAAGGATTTGCCTGTGCCAGGTAGCGTGTTGCAATCTATCGAGGCTCTCGTATCTATGACCAAGTTAACAGATCGAATTGATTACGTAATAACCGCTGTTAATCTCTCCGAGACGTGCTCAGATCTACTTAAAGAGCAAAAAGCGGCGAGCGTGTGAGCGCAAGTTCGGAGAGGAAAGGCAGAACATGGCGGCGGTCATCCGGTACCTACGGAGTATGTACTGTAGGTCAGTTTTGCATGCGAAACTATGCAGGTCACTGTGACAACTTACAACCCTCGTAAGTAGAAAATCCAATCAGATCAATTGAGTGCTATTGCAACTTTAGAAATAATTATTCGCATCAGGTTATTATACCAGCCAGTCAAGTTTGATTCTGCCAAAATCAAAGAATTATTGCGGCGACTTCTTTGCATGAATACATATATATCAGCCTTAACCTCATGGATGCCCAATTTCATGCTCACAGGCCTGGAATAACTAACCATACCTACTTGATACACCTGCTGCCAAGAGTCCAATTTGTGAGACTCAGAATATCTGGGTATTGGATATCCCAGTGCTGCCGACTGGCAGGATGATAGTCCATTGTTAATTCCAATCAATTGTATACGTCCTCTCTCGGTGATGACACCCACTCTCGGGATGACGGCCACATCCTCAGCCAATCAGCGAGCAGATAAACCAAGCCGCCCCGAATACATCGGGTGACTAAGGGTTTTGGCCTTAGGCCGTGACACCACACCACCCGCAAAATCCAGCCGGCTAACACGACACTTCCCTTCTCCCTGCCCTGTCTCCATCCACTCTCTCCTCACCACACGCCCTCCATTGACCCGGCTCAGCACTCCGCTCCGACATGTCGCCTCTGTCTATCTTCCGCATCGCGACGCGCGCCGTCCGCCCTGCCAGCTTCGTCCGAGCTCCGATCGTCCGCTCCCGTGTGCAGACCCCGGTGACTCTCGCTGCTGCCCGCGCCGCCAACTTCGGCACCACCTCTAAGCTCCTCTCCGGCCACGAGGATGAGACATACGAGGAGTTCTCTGCTAGGTACGATTGAGGTTGCGACCCATTGGCTCCGGAAGTGGGAGGAAGAGGTGGAGGGCTCGGGCCTCTGCGCTGGTCCGCGCTGGCAGGCGTTGGCCGGGTCCTCCATTGATGCTTTCGGAGGTCATTTTGGTACTGGCTGTGCTGACTGTGTGTCTCAATTGCAGATTTGAGAAGGAGTTTGACGGTGTGCAGGATGTTTTCGAGCTCCAGGTAAGATCCACTTGCATTGGGCATCTCCCGGGAATTGACGGGCCCCCTCATGCGATATGACCGGTTGGTCAATCTTAATATCGGCATCATTTTCATGTCCACGGTAACACCGCTGACTATCCCCTTCCCATCCAGCGCAACCTGAACAACTGCTTCGCCTACGATCTCGTCCCCTCCGTCGAGGTCCTCACCGCGGCCCTGAAGGCTGCCCGCCGTGTCAACGATTTCCCCACGGCCGTCCGTGTTTTCGAGGGTATGCGCAATCATCATATCACCACACTACAAAATACCATTGAGCTCAGCACTAACACATCACGTACAGGCATCAAGGCCAAGGTTGAGAGCCAGGACCAGTACAAACAATACCTCGAGCAGCTTGAGGGTCTGCGCCAGGAGCTGGGTGTCGCTCTCCGGGAAGAGCTGTACCCCCAGGAGGAGTAAATTAGCGTCCCTTATGTTGTTTCCACCCTTCCACCTCACATCAATTTTCTCTCTCCTCCAGTTGTTTACCCACCACCCCCCATGTCAGACACCGTGGGTCGATCGCGCAGTTACTGTTGGCCAGTGTGCTCAGATCGGGTAGAAGAGAAAGCTGTATACATATTTAGAGATCTCCTGTGTTGTTAGTGCTACCATTGTTTGGAAAAGGTTCTGCTGTGCCTTGGTTGGTGCTTAATCTATCTTCCATCTCTTGTTCAGCGGTTGCACATCAGTATCCACCCCACCGTGTTGGACATGCGATTGCTCTGCCTGAGTTTTTATTTAGCCAAGATAAAAGACGCATAAGCATGTATCCTTAATATCGGGGTCATTCTGTATGTCCTGTTTCTAAGCAAATATCATACAAGGTGACCTGCCACGACCTAGCGACACACGTAGGAATATCATCGACGAGATCAGAAGAAAATAAACGACCCAAGAAATTGGCAATGTGCGATCAAGTATAAGTACAGAGAAGACTAGACCTGCCGAGGCTCGCTATATCGAACACCAGCCCCACGGTCAGGAACGTATTTTATGGAAATAGCCAAAAAAAGACGAGAGAGTAAACCAGCGAAGAAAGAAGAGAAGAAGACCACAGAATATCATCAATAGGTATGAGTCCGCTCAAACGCCAGGTACCAAACCACACCGAGGTGTCGGGAATATACTCATCGGGTATGCAGGAAGATGGGGATGCAAAGGTATCGAGGTTTCGTGAAATGACAGCAACTGGACGTGGATGCGCTGCCACATTCTTATCACTCAGTGCGTGCCGACATACTTGAAGTACGTCGGGCGGCAGTCTTCCTTGGCAAGGATATCCGCGCCGGCGTAGAATTGGCCGGGAGTGCAGCCGGAACACTTGGGCGAGTTGGGGCAGTTGTAGTAGGGGATATGGTTGTATCCAATGTCGCGGAACCTAGGCAAGGATTGTGAGCGGGGATGGCTTATTTTGGGATAAGAGAGAAACTTACCAGTGCACATTAGCGGCGTTCGCGAACAGACCCACGCCGAGCGAGTGGACCGGCGCATCGCCCCAGCGCTCGTAGAAGAAGCCACCAGCTCGATCCAGGTGTTGGAAGTAGGCCTCGTACATGTCACCACGGAAGAAGTCCAGGTCACCGATCTCGAAGTTGGACCAGAAGTGGCAGGTGGAGTATCCATTGGCACCCTGGGTGTGCTCGGGGCGCGCTTGATCATCCACAATCCACTCCCACATGTTGTTGTCGCTCAAGTACGAGGGGTTCGCTGCCAGGAATTTGCGCGTCTCAGGCCAGAGGGTCTTGATGGTCTGTGGTGCGTCATAGAGGTTGATGGTGAAACCGTAGGTCTTGTTGTTGTCCTCCATGTAGCGGAAGACATCGTAGTCAACGTTGCAGAAGAATTGGACCTTAGGCTCGATACGCCAGTAGTAACGGTACTTCTCGAGGGCCGGGTGCTTGTAGAACATGCCACTGTTCCAGCGGCACATCTGGTGGTAGGAGATTTTGGAAGCGTACTGGATGTTCTCCTCCTCTAGGAGCTGGGCGGATTCGCGGAAGAGATCCATGCTGATCCAGCTGGGGACGTCCCAGTGTTCCTTGGGCACCAACTCTGCAACGCGCTGCTGTTAGCGATAGGAGTTCCTTCCCCTGAGTCGAGCATCACTCAAAGAAGATCAATCGATCAATTGATCAGGAAAGCCATACCATATTGAATCTTGGACTTGGTGACAGCCTGCGTCTTCTGCTTGAATTCCTCGGAGAAAGGCTTATCATTGAAGAAGATGTAGGGGTAGTTGAACTTGTTGTTCCATGTGCGCTCGAGATCCCGCATTGTGTTGATCAGCTCATACATTTCCTCATTTCGGACGAGCGAGATGAGGGCGGCATTGGTGCGGGCCGAGTTCTCGCTGTCGGGGGAGTAATCGTGATCATCCGCTCGCCATAGATTACCTGCTGGTTCACCCGTGGCTGTTGTGCGCAGTCAGTACCTATTTTGGGGGCGGATCGCGAAGAATCGCGGAAGTGGCAACGCACGATCTAGTAGGGGATCCCGGGTCATGCCGTGGGCCAGCTTAGAGGAGGGTTTATCGGAGCCCTGGTGCAACTGGAAGATCAGGAAAAGAGTGAGCAGGATGCATGCTGCACCCAGCATGCGAATTGGACGTGCGATCGCCATGGTGAATGCGAGTGAAGGAGTGAAAGGGGTCAAGTGTTCAGAAGGGCTAGAAGCGCCCTCCGTTCAGCCCGCCGCCTTTGCCCGTTACGGATTAGCGCCATTGCGCGTCCAGTTGGCTTCCGCGCGGCGTCTCCATCTTGATGTATTCGACACCCCCACAGATATATTGCGCTGGGGCATTGGCAAACACTATGGTGCTGGCAGCCTTGGGCTCGGCCATCGACGAGCTAATAACCACGGTTGCCAAGCTCACACCAGAGCAGAAGGTAATACCAGGTTTCTTTCCGTTGTGTTGTTTCGTTGGAATTCCAAAACTGATCCCGCCATGTAGCAGTCCCCACGCGTCCAGAGCCTCAAGCGCCGCGTAGAAGCAGCGTTACGACCGGGCACACATGGTCGGATCAACCAATTTGCAGTGGCCCGCCAGCTAGAAGGTCTGCAGGAGAAATTCCAAGTCCTTGACCGAGAAGAGCTGGCGGTTGCTCTCCGCAGTCGCCTCGCGGAGCTAGAGGGCTACCCAAATGCATGGCATCCCGAGATTCTGAGCTTGCTGGTGCAACTCTCGGATCGCCCAGCTCAGCTGTCGAAGATTGATCGACTGGAGACGCCAGTCAATTCGAACCTGGCCGGAGACGAGTCGCTGTCATGTGCCGAGCTCGATCTTCATGGGGCCGCCTTCAGCGATCAAGACATTTGGGACCCGGTCGACTTTGGTCCCGGATCCTCGGACGATGATATCTCTTCTGTCACCAGCGGTGTTTCTATCCCTCGAGTTAAGCCTCAGACACCATCTACCCCGGAACAGGAATACGTTATTCCCGATGACGTATTCGTGTCAGGCGAAGAGGAAAAGCTCATCGCCTCCCTGGAGAAGGCTCAATTCTGGAAACCTGAGAATCATCCTCATATCCCTCGAGGGAAAGAGGAAGCCTCTTGTGTCATCAGCGAATTGCAATTGACCAGAGAGACAATCTTCATGCTCCAAGGCCTACCCACATCGATCTTCTGGCGTCTCGATAACTGCATCGAAATTGACCGCCGCTATACGCTTGCGCATGCATCCCATACAGCTCTCTCATCACTGTTGAAATATTTCACTGAGGTTGGCACGAATATTGACACCCTGCGACGATTCAGCGGATCCCCGCAAAGCATTCCCTATATGCAGACATTCTGCCGAGGCATCGAAGAGCGTCTTCGCGAGTTCGATGGGTTTCTCTCGCAAATACAGTGCAACTATCTTTCTGCTGGCTCGATCATCAGTTTACTCCAGTTAATGGACGACGTTCGTCAGCGTTCTCATCATTTAGTGCTACTATCTGACCTAATTTACAAATTGGAGCCCCACTCGACTGATCAACCAATGCGCTGCCTCAACTTATTATACAACTCGGTATGTATGATGGAAGCTCTTGGCGATGAAAGTGCATCGAGAGCGCTCGGAAAGCTGTTCTGCACATGCTTCAAAACCTATACCCGATCGATCCAGCTCTGGATGGAAACCGGGCAAGTCGATCCTTTTGACACTGCATTTTTCGTGAAGCTGAACAGCGAAAATGGTGATCTGCGAAGACTCTGGCATGACTGGTACGTGCTTGACGAAGGAATCCAGCGTCAGAACATCCCACAATTTCTGGAGCCTGGCGTCCACAAGGTCTTCACCATTGGCAAGAGTATGGTCTTCTTGTGCAATCTGAATGCACTTCCAGACCGCCCTGAGACTTTCACAAGGGTTGACGCGATATTTGACGATGTCTATTCCGAATCAACATTTACCTCATCCCTTCCATTCTCTGCATTGGTGGAGTCTGCTTTCGACCGCTTGGTAGATGTCAACCACTCGGCCATCGCTGGGCTGCTACGAACCGAACTCGATGAGCAGTGTGGCCTCTGGAGATATCTTACTGTCCTACAACACGTTTATCTCGGTCAAGATCTGAGTATCCTTGGCATAATCGACGCTAAGATTTTTGAGTTGATGGACCGTGGCCGGTCTTGGGATGACAAATTCCTGCTTACCGAATTGACAAGGTCAGCATTCAGCGCAATGCCCACCATGGATTTGTCGAGACTGGTCGTGCGATCGGATGGGTCCTCTTCCAGTGATCCCCAGAATCTCACCCGAACGGTCACAGTTCTTGGGACTATCTCTATTGACTACGTCCTTCCATGGCCCATCGCGAATATTATCACGCAAGACGCCATTCACTCCTACCGACGCGTTTCGACATTTCTTATGCAGATTCGTCGCGCAAAGTATGCCATTGTCAGACAACACATGCGAGATGGATACAGCGCAGTAGCAGACGACCGAGACAGGACACTTGTTCATGGTCTCCACCACAGTCTCCTCTGGTTCCTCGATACTATCTATGCACACCTCACCTACCTAGTCATATCCACCGCAAACCAGTCTCTACACCAGGCGCTCTCCAGTGCTGACGATGTGGATGCGATAATTGCCGCACACCAGTCGTATATGTCCTCCCTGGAGGACCAGTGTTTCCTATCCGAAAATCTCTCCCCAATTCACGACGCTATTATCAACCTTTTGGATCTTTGCATCCACTTCGCAGATCTGCAGACGGTACATGCGGCGGAGGAAGGAGTGTTTGAGCAAGGCGATGCCAGCATATTGAACACTCTACGGCGAAAGAAAAATGGTGGAGATAACTCCGACTCGGATTCGGACGATAATGATGATTTCGAACATGAACAAACGTTGACTATCTCATTCCGCGACTCGCCCTATGACCGCCAGATGCAAAATGTCAAGCATCAGTTTGATCATTTGATGAGTTTTGTCGCGGATGGACTGAAGGGTGTTGCTCGCGCGGATGGTCTGCCCAGCTGGAACATCTTGGCAGACCGTTTGGAATGGAGGAAGGGCTGGTAGAAAGTTTGATTGAAAGGAGAGCTCTACATTCTATGCTTGGACGGGATGACACTTGGCTGGGCAATTTTGCACTTGATGATATCTGATACTTTTACAATATATCATCTTATCTTGAATTGAATCCAAAAAAAAAAAAAATATTAGAATCCATACATAAATCTGAATATTGTTTTGATTTTGTTATATCTAATAAGTATCTCATATAAAAGCATTGACAGTGGCTTCTAGGCCACGACATTCTTTTTTTGTCGTAATTGCTTTTCAACATAGTAGTTTCGAACCCTTCCACTCCATAGAACGAACCAAAAAATATGAAATATAGACAAGGAAAACGCGGCAAAATCTCTTCCAAAAAAAGATCGGATTACTTAGAACCCTTAACCGACCCAGCGTCTAGCGCTGAAGAAGATGCGGCCCCAAGGACCGATGTCACCCCACTCCTCGGCGTTTGGAGGCAGGTAGCTGGCGATACCGTTCATGACGGTACGCTCAGGGTGAGGCATGATGGCCAAGACACGGCCGTCGGGGCTGCGCACACCGGCGATACCCTCCGGGCTGCCGTTAGGGTTGAACGGGTATCGCATCGTCGGCTTCAGGGTGGCGTTGTCGACATAGCGGACCGGGGCGAGTCCCTCGCGGACGAAGTCGGTAGCGGTCTGGCCGGGGGTACTAGCAAACGAGGCGCGACCCTCGCCGTGGGCGACAGCAATGGGGAAGGAGGAGCCATCCATACCGTGGAAGAAGACGCTGGGGCGTGAGGGGTCGGGGTCTGAGATACGGACCATGGCGACACGACCTTCGTACTGCTCGCTGGTGTTGCGCTCGAAGCTGGGCCAATTGCGGGCACCGGGGATGAGCTCCTTGACACGCGACAGGAACTGGCAGCCGTTGCAGACACCCAGGGCGAAGGTGTCAGGACGCTCAAAGAAGCCCTGGAATTCCTTGCGAGTGTTGTCGTGCAGTAGGACGGACTTGGCCCAGCCCTGACCGGCACCCAAGACGTCACCGTAGGAGAAGCCACCGCACGCGGCGAGACCGGCGAAGCTGGCGAGTGAGACACGACCGGAGATGATGTCAGTCATGTGGACGTCGACCGCGGAGAAGCCGGCGGTGTTGAAGGCAAAGGCCATCTCGGCTTGACTGTTGACACCTTGCTCGCGCAGAATGGCGACGCGAGGCTTGTTGGAGAAGGGGGAGTATTGGGAGAGGCTGGTCATGATGGGCAGGCCGCGATCCTTTGGATCGAAGGTAGGGTTCCACGACAGACCAGGATTGGCATTGTCGAGGATGTTCTCAAATTCTTGCTCAGCGCATTCGGCGTTGTCGCGGATCTTCTGCATGTGGTAGGAGGTCTTAGACCAGATCTGCTGGAGGTTTGAACGAGTCTCGCGGTAGACTAGCGAGGCCTTGTGGTAGATAGTAAGGTTCTGCTTCTGCTTCTCAGAGACACGACCAATCTTGTGAATTAGGCCTGGAGGAGGACCGCAAGTGGCAAAGCAGGAGCGGAAATGGATCTCGTGCTCTTTGCGGACCTGGAAGACGGCACCCAGCTCCTCGTTGAAGAGTGACTCAACAACGTCCTGAGTATGGAAGGAGGAACAGATATTGTCGATCATGATCTCCACGCCACAGCGACCAGCAAACATCATCTCGGCGAGGGTAGTAAGGAGACCACCGTCCGAGCGGTCGTGATAGGCAAGGACGATACCGGCCTCCTGCAGTTGCTGGGTTGCATCGAAGAAGTCACGGAAGATGTCGACATCGCGGATATCAGGGCATTCGGTGCCGACCTCGTTGAAGACCTGAGCCAGAGCCGAACCCCCGAGGGTCTTGCGGCCGAAGGACAGATCAACAAACATGAGAACGGTCTCGCCGACATCCTCGAAACTGCGCAGAGCGGGAGTCCAGGTCTTGCGGTAGTCACCGACCGGGGCAAAGGAAGAGATGACAAGCGACATGGGAGCAGTGACCTCCTTGGCCTCGTTAGTGGCCTCATCCTTCCACTTCATCTTCATGGACATGGAGTCCTTGCCGACAGGGATACTGATACCAAGCTTGGGGCACAAGTCAAGACCAATGGCCTCAACGGCCTCGTAGATTGCAGCACCCTCGCCGGGGTGACTACTGGCGGACATCCAGTTGGCAGACAGCTTGACATGGCTAAGGCGGTCTACCAAGTCAGACGCAGCAATGTTCATGAGAGACTCGGCAACGGCCATTCGAGCCGAAGCACCCGGGGAAATTAAAGCCAGAAGAGGCTTCTCTCCCATAGCCATAGCTTCACCAGTTTTGACACCCTGAAGCAGAGAGGTGGCAGTGACCGAGACGTCAGAGACAGGGGTCTGCCACTTGCCAACCATCTGGTCACGGGCAGTAAGACCACCAACAGTACGGTCACCGATGGTGATCAAAAAGGACTTCGAGCCGACAGCAGGAAGAGACAGGACTCGGTTGATGGCCTCGCCGACCAGCTCCACCTTCGATGAGAGCGAAGGCAGATACTTGGCGAGGCTGGAATCGACAGCCGGCAGAGTCAGCTTGCGCGAGTCGACAGTCCGGGTCATACGTGGCGGCTTGCCGAACAGGACAGAGAGGGGAAGGTCAATGGGTGAAGGGTATTCCTTGGACTCCCGGTCAAGAAGAATAAGCCTCTTCTCTTCCTCGGAGGTGCCGCCTCCCCGGCCGACAACCGAGAAACCGCAACGCTCACGCTGAGCAATAGCGGTGAACTTGTTGATGCCGTCCTCACCAACAGCCAGGACGTATCGCTCCTGAGCTTCACAGCACCAGATCTGCATGGGACTCATGCTGCGGTCGGCGCTATCGACCTCGCGGAGCTCGAACTTGGCTCCCAAGCCAGAATCGTGGATCAGCTCAGGGAGGGCGTTGGAGAGACCACCGGCACCAACGTCGTGAATGAACTTGATGGGGTTGTTATCTCCCATAGCAACACAGGCGTTGATAACCTCCTGGGCTCTGCGCTGAACTTCAGCATTGCCTCTTTGGACACTGGCGAAGTCAAGATCAGCAGATCCTTCACCAGAGGTTATACTAGAGGCAGCACCACCACCAAGACCAATAAGCATGGCCGGGCCACCCAGCACAACGAGGTAAGAGCCAGGTTTAACCACATCAGGGTTCTTCAGAGCGTGCTGGGGACGGACAGTGCCAACTCCTCCAGCAATCATGATAGGCTTGTGATATCCACGGAACTCCTTCTGGCCATTGCCGACGTCAATCTCAGTGAGAAGTGTGCGGAAATAACCACCGGTGCAAGGACGGCCAAATTCGTTGTTGTAGGCAGCACTGCCGATAGGAGCTTCAAGCATAATATCCAAGCTGCTCGCAATGTGGTTCGGCCTGCCCACCTCAAGCTCCCAGGGTTGGCGCAACCCAGGGATCAGGAGATCAGAAACACAGAAGCCAGAGAGACCGGCCTTGGGGCGAGAACCGCGACCGACCGCACCCTCGTCACGGATCTCACCACCGGCTCCAGTGGCGGCACCCGGATAGGGAGAGACTGCAGTGGGGTGGTTGTGAGTCTCGACTTTGGCCAGGAAATGAACGACTTCCTTAGTGTGCATCCACTCCCCAGTGGTAGGGTCGGGGGCCCAGAATGCAGCGGGACCACCCTCCAGAACAGCAGCATTGTCACTATACGCACTGACAGTGTACTCCGGGTTCTTCTTGTGTGTATTGCGGATCATGGCAAATAGACTGTTGGGCATGGGCTTGCCATCGATAACCCACGAGGCATTGAACTGCTTGTGCCGGCAGTGCTCTGAGTTCACCTGGGCGAACATGAAGAGCTCGACATCGGTAGGGTCACGAGCAATGGCACCATTCGGACCATAAGCCTCAGCCAAGTAGTCAATCTCTGATTCATCCAATGCAAGACCCAATTCCTTGTTTGCCTCCTGGAGAACTTGCTTGGGAGACTTATCGCCACCCTGCAGGGAGATTGTCTTGAGGGGCCGAGGTGCATGCTCAGAGAACATCAGCTTCAGATCAGGCTCGTCGTTGCTGATAATCTGAGTCATCCGATCGTGAAGGATATCCATGTATCCGGCCTTGTAGTCCTCACCAGCCTTGCGGAGGCACGAGATCCTCATACCCCGCTCAATACGCTTCACAGATTGACGGAGGCCGCAGACGTGCGAGATGCCGGTAGCTTGAGAGCTCCATGGTGAAATAGTTCCGGTTCGGGGGAAGATATGGAAGGTATCGAATTGGCCGTCGTCGGAGGTGAAGGAAGGAGGGACGTCGGTGATGTCGCCGTACCGCAGCAGTTGCTCGAGAACCGCACGCTGAGACTCATCCAATGGATGGGAGGTATGCACATAGTGAATCCATTGGGCGCGGACATCTTCAATTCCCAAGCTCGCCGCAATAGCATGTCCCCGCGAGCGAGAGAACGCCACCGAGCCTGGGATGGCGAGAAAAGTATCGGTGGAAGTCATCGTGAAAATCGGATTCTCCCGATGAGTTGAATCGAAGTCAGTAAGTACCAAGCCTCCCTCGGGATAAAGGAGGTGGAAGGGCTCAGATGCCTCTCAAGTTTGACTTGAGCAAAGGATTCCCCGCGATGACTCCCTTAACTTTTTCGAAAAAATGAGTGGCCCCGCCCTAAGCCGATTGCGGCGAGCTTATCGGCGAGTCACGTGATGATTACGCTCTGGATCTACACAACTGCCAAAGTTATACCATTCGCCACTGAATTGGAATGAAGCGAGTGGAATGTAAAGACTAGTTTTGCATGCGATAACACAGGCAGCACTATTGAACTTTGTTGCGTTCTTGGGCGGCGGGGTGGTCGGGTAGAGATCAGCGCGCTATGCCGAACGGGGAGCGTCAGCCTCCCAAGGCTCTAGATTATTGCTTCTTTTGTTACGTTCTACATCTTTAACTAGCCAATTCCTCCTCCATAATTTATAGTCAAATTCTCTCCCTATCCACTGGTTACTGATTGTTTGATAAGGTTATTTTTCAAATACGGCGCGCTCCCAATTGCAGGAATACGATCTGCCTCTATGTTGGCTTGGGCGGCTCGAAGGAAGTATCATGGAGCAATCAATATTTTCGTGAAATCGGCACAGCCGCCTCTGAATAAAATGGCCATGGAAATAGCGCACATTGATGATTTTCTAGGTAAGTCAATTCTTTCCTATAGTGTCTTTGTAGGGTTTGAACGTTTGGTCAGGGAAAAGTCCATAGAAAGTAGGCCTTGCTTTCCTGCGTTATTTATGATGCATGATCAATGCATACCTATGTAGTTATAAGCTCGATCATTATCTATCCTAAATCATGACCGGATGAGTTCTGGTCGTGCTGCCCGCGAGACACGGCAATCGCGTCGACACACCTACCGAACAGAGTAAGGGGTTTTTACCCGCGGTGGGGCTTCTCTTCACACCAAGGGAAACCAGATTCGATTCAGTTGAGATCGTATACTAGTGGGCAACTGAATCGCGAAATGGGGCGTGCCTACGAACATGTGGACTCTCACAAAAATTTCAGCTAGTATTATTCCCATACCTTGTCCCGTTCGACAAACCGCACGGAGAGGAGTTTTCCAGCATCATAGGAGCGAGCTGACATTATGTGGCTCAGATTGAATCAATGACTTAGGCTGGCCGTATTCTTCCGTCCAACTATTGATTGTCCCCTGGACGATCGCGGTATTCCGACGCCTATCATGATGATCATCCAGACCCAATGGCCCATTTAGCGCGAATCTAAACACGATCCATAATCCCGGCCGCACGAATCATTTCGCTGCATATGATAATTTCCCCCCTGAATTCAATTTTAAGGATTCGATCAAAATTGTTGGGGCCGTGGTGCCAGAGTTAAAAGGAAACCCAGAAGCCGTCTAAGATGACCCAAATCAGGGGCCTGTCATGCATTTGTCACAAGGTTGGCGCCTAGCCAGTGTCATTCCGTTGGCATTTGCAGTCTCGGCAGATTCGACGACCGGCTTTAGTGCTGAGAATATTATTACTCGCGATGTCTGTATTCTTGGCGGCGGCGCTACGGGTACCTACGCAGCTGTGCAGTTGAGAGAACAGGGGCACAGTGTGGCTCTTATTGAAAAAAAGGACCGCTTGGGAGGTCATGCTGAGACACTGTACTTGGATAATGGCGAGTACGTTAACTATGGTGTGGAAGGATACTTCAACAACGATATCACAAAGAACTTTTTCGATCAACTCGACGTCAATTACGAAGCCCTTCTGCCGGGATCTATCCTGATTGAGAATGTCAATTTCAACACAGGCAAGCGAGTGCTGCCCGGCAATGGAATCTTAGGTACCGTCGCAGGTGCCGCTTTGTATCGTGCTGCGATCGAGCAATTCGACTACCTTGCCTCTGGCGCATACTATCTTCCCGACGAAGTACCCGAAGTCCTCCTCCGCCCCTTCCGCGAGTTTGTCGATACGCACGCCTTGCAGGGTGCGATGGACGTGATATTTATGTTTGCTGAGAATGTGGGCGATATACTAAATGCTCCACTGTTATATGTGATCCAAAATTTTGGTATCACGCACATCGATGCACTTCTTGAGGGTGGATACATACGACCGAAAAACGGCACGAACGAGCTCTTCAGCAAAGCAGCAAAGTATATCGACGAACAAAACATTTTCTATGGGACCACCGTTTCTCAGGTGAAGCGCAACTCTTCCGGCGTGGAGATGGTCGTTCAGATTGCCGATGGAACTCGCAAACTCATCAAGGCCAAGAAGCTGCTCGTCACCTTCCCTCCTACCCTTTCTGCTTTGAGTGGCTTCGACCTTCGCACCGAAGAATCCTCGCTCTTTTCCAAGTGGAACCACAAAAACTACTATGCCGCTGCCATTACGAACACTGGCCTTCCTGATGGCGTCAACATCGCCAACACCAACCCAGAGAACCAGCCCGGCAGTCTCCCCTTGCCCCCCTTCCAATGGCAGTTGGAGTACTCCGGTGTGCCGGGTTATTTCATGACTAAGATTGTGGCTGAGGGCAACTTCACCGCGGAAGATGCAAAGGCTCTCATTGTATCCGATCTTAAGCGCATGAATCAGACGGGCACATTCTCCACGAAGGAGCCGGAAATCGCAGCCTTTGCTTCTCATTCTCCGGAAACCCTCATTGTGTCCACAGGTGACATCAAGGATGGGTTTTATAGGAAACTGTATGCGCTACAGGGGCAGCAGAGCACATATTATACTGGGTACACTTTCTGCACCGATTACTCAACCCCACTGTGGAACTATACCGGCAGCGTGCTGGATATGATGGACTTGTAAATAACCCAAGACAGAGGACTCAAAGATATCTAATGATAATATTCCACTTGATTCACCGCTTCTAAATGGAACTTGACTCATCCATGAGACCATTTGGTGGGGGGTTTATAGCTCTGATATCATTTTAGATCTTCAACGTTCTGGCCACGGGTTTTGGTGATCCACATCAAGTTTCAGAAGTGTGTGTGTACTCCGTCTTTACTCCGACATTCTTGGGAATCGTGCAGTATAGAACTCCAGAGAATTTTTTCATCGCATGTTCGAGCTTGGCAAGTGAGTTTTTGAATTCCCGATCGGGTAAGTCAAAGCCTCAATTATCCCGAAATGGAAACAAGCTCCGAAATAGAAACAAGCTCCGAACTGGAATAGAATCACAACTTCGGATGAGGCTGAAAAGAAAGTTTCCTCGTCAGAGTATAGGCCCAAATATTTGTTATATATTGAGTCGGAACCATCACGCGGGCTTGCCACCATCCTTAAGACCTGAGGGACATTCAGCGCTATGAGGCGCTGACAAATTGAAGGTATACAATAACTTAGTTATACAATATGTAGAGCACAAGGTCATGGGCCCGTGCGGATCAAATGAGATCATTGCTTGTATTTCCCTATCAACTGGATGTATTCTTTCCCCAATGAGTGTAGTTTGACCCGCACAGCAGAGTGCCAAGCTGGAACTCGGAACGTTGCTTTAGAGTACGATTAAATTGCCTGACCACACCAGAATTAAGCCCAACCTAATCTTGTAGGTGTTTAGTGAAGTATATATTCCTGTGAAGCTGGAAGAGATCCTTGTACGGAGTAGAGATGTGGCTATGTCGTAGATCCGAACACCCCGAAACGACACACATACGGTACCTCATTGGTCTGAATACGTTCACGGCCCAAGACTTGAAGACTAAGTAATGTGGATTTCGTGCACCTCGAACTCACTAACATGGAGAATTCCCGTAAATCAAGCCTGGATGAATCTAGGTCCCGGTAAAACCCCCCCTTCTTTCGTAGCATATTTCCCTATATGGCTAGTTCATAACTCCCTTTTGGGTAATTGTGCACCAAGTGGGGCAAAGTCGCCGATATCATAGCTGCGTGGACTATACCTCCGTTCACGGTGTTGCCCCCGGAAGCTGTGGCCTGTCCTACATGCCGCATATCCTTCCCGAAACGAAGCATAGGTTCATAAGCTGGGGCCGAGTCCATGGAAATGTGATATAAGAACGTGTCATACCTCCCACTGGCGTGCATTCAGTCAAGTGTTATCCTACCTCCTGCAGTCTATTCTGTCTGGTCACACCGACACAGTGCCCCCTTTCATTGGCAGGATTAATATACCACATAGCATGGAGACCCCTTCTTCAGAACACACCCATACCAATGTTACCAGCCGGACAGCGTCGATAGGGTCCGGCCCTGGGGAGACCGGTTACCTTGACCTCCCCATCCGTGAGTTGAATGATGGTGCCGATCTTCGCGAGTATACCACCGAGACACAGAGGGGCGAAATTATCAAGCCATACAAATCAAATGTCACTGGTCAGATGGAGGACTGGAAGCTGGTTACCTTCACTATCGACGACCCCGAGAACCCAAAGAACTGGTCCAAGGCGTACAAATGGTACTGTACGATGGTCGTCGCCTTCACCTGCTTCGTTGTCGCATTTGCCAGTAGCGTTATCACAGCAGACCTGGAAGGGCCCATGAAAAGCTTTGGTGTCGCCCGTGAAGTCAGCCTTCTAGTTGTGACCGTTTTTGTCATTGGATTTGGTGTTGGTAAGTCATTATCAGATTCAATGTCACCATTGTTACGTTACTAATGATGGATGGCCCTAGGACCTATGGTCTTTGCTCCGTTATCCGAAATGGTTGGACGGCGTCCCGTATACGCAGCTACACTACTTGTTGCCGTTATATTTATCATACCCTGTGCCGTCTCCAAGAACATTGGAACTCTGATCGTCTGCCGCTTGATCGATGGCATTGCATTTAGTGCACCGATGACCCTGGTCGGAGGTACTCTGGCAGATCTGTGGAGGAGCGAAGAACGTGGTGTCCCGATGGCCGCTTTCAGTGCCGCTCCTTTCATTGGCCCTGCTATTGGCCCTCTCGCCGGTGGCTTCCTTGGAGACAACTGCGGCTGGCGATGGCTCTATTGGCTGCAGCTGATCCTTGCCTTCGTTGCCTGGGTTCTGCTTACCTTTACCGTCCCTGAGACCTATGCACCAATATTGCTGAAGAGGCGGGCTGCTAAGCTTCGCAAGAAGGAGAATGACCCCAAATACACCACCGATACCGAGCTTGATCCTCGCCCTCTGGGCCAGAAGCTGCGCATCTTCCTCTTCCGGCCCTTCCAGCTTCTGTTTCTTGAACCGATTGTCTTCTTCATTTCCATCTACATGTCAGTCCTGTACGGCTTGCTTTACATGTTCTTTGTTGCATATCCCATCGTTTACCAGGGTGGCAAGGGCTGGAGCGCCTCGATGACTGGTCTTATGTTCATTCCTCTCGCTATCGGCGTGCTCATGAGCGCTAGCTGTGCTCCCATCGTCAACAAAAACTACCTCAAAATCTCCGCGCAATGCGGTGGAAAGCCCCCGGCTGAGAAGCGTCTGATCCCCATGATGTATTCTTGCTGGCTCGTTCCCATCGGTCTTTTTATTTTCGCTTGGACCTCGTACCCTACCATTCACTGGTTCGGACCTGCAATTGGCGGATGGCCCGTTGGATTTGGATTTATCTTCCTGTACAACTCGGCTAACAACTATCTGGGTAAGCTGTTGGATCCATAATACTCAATGAACGATCACTAACTATAAATGAAGTCGATACTTATCAGCACCAAGCCGCTTCAGCCCTGGCAGCCAAGACCTTCCTCCGATCTATGTGGGGTGCATCTACCGTTCTATTCACTGAACAGATGTACGACCGTCTCGGTTTCCAGTGGGCTAGCTCTCTTCTTGCCTTCATTGCCTTGGCATGCTGCGCCATTCCTTACGTATTCTACTACAAGGGTGAGTCGATTCGTCGCTTCTCCAAGTATGCCTTCAGCGACGATGAAGAGCACGGTGTCAAAACTTGATTGAATGAACACTGTGAATACGAAGAACGATACGAGGGGGTTGATTGATGCTTCGAGACTTAATCATGCGCTTAAATTCCTCTACCTGGCAAAAAGTGCCTGTTTCTTTTTCCCTTTTGATATATCGACTAGATGTGGAAACGGGTACCTATTGTGTTGATGGTGCTTCATGGCATGGATACATATACAAACCTAATCATACATTCATATATTCATAAATTCGTATCAAGGTAGCTAATATATCAAGACAAAATAGGGCCAAATCCTAGGCAAAATAACCACTAGACCAAAAATGCACTAAAGGCAAAATTCTTAGTCTCTACCGTCATTTATTGCTCCCACATAATACTTAAAATGACTGGCCTTGTTCCATTAACCTCACGCCCTCATCGCTGCCGAAGAGCAACCTTCCGCATTCGGACACCCCACGTCACGTGCATCTGCAGATAAGGGACCACGGGCGATGATGCTTCTCGGCTTCCCAATCATCTCCAATTCGAACGCAATCGCCTGCCCTCATGCGATTTGAAATTGAGTGATGGATTGCCATATACTGTAGGACTAACTACATATGGGCTATTCTTACCCTCGTTCCTTCTCCTCCCGAGTCGAATCCACATTTTCGTCCCGACCAGTCGACGGTCGCATTCGGCACCTGCATCGACGGGCACACTATAGACTCGAAAAGGCTATATCAACCCTGGAAGGAAGAAACGGAGCACAATGACATCGCCATATCCCCCGTCGAACTCATTTTCACCGTCCGACATGGCCACAGCACCGAACAGATCCGTTTCCGACTTGCCGCAAGCCCAGGTGGACGCCATCATCCGCACAAAGCGCAAGGCGCGTGAGCCCAAAGCTTGCTACCCATGCCATGCGCGCAAGGTGAAATGTGATAGGAATCTTCCCTGCGATGGGTGTGTCAAGCGCGACCATGCGGAACTTTGCTCTTACGAACGTCCCTCTAAGAAACGGTCGCAAGCTTTTCCCGAGAGCTCTGTTGGTGGCGCTTCAGCAGGGTCCTCAGCAGAACAAAATGCTTCATATAGTTATGACGATAATACGACACACGTGAAACCGGAGGCTATTCAGCCTCATCCAAGTCGAGTCAACGGCGCTCATGCGCGAGGCCGTGTGTCTATTCCTCGGGAGGAATGGGAAAATGTGCGCAACCGACTGCGGGAAATGGAGTCCACCATCTCCTCACTGCGAGTCGGACTTGAACGCGCTGAGGAAGGGCCCGCTGGGGCAATGGACAGCGCGAGCGTGCAGAGCGGCGATGCGAGTTCCCGGTCTAAGGACGCCTCGCCTGAGCGCGAGGGCATCCATACATCAAACACCCTGGGCAGAGGCACCGTTCATCTGGGATCGCGCTCAGTCTTGGCTTATATATTAAACAACAAGTCTGGATCTGATCAGCTGCAAACTCTGCTGGAGGGTGGGATACTACCCAAGCTCGGGCTTGATAACGAGTCTGCGACTTACCCGTTTGTTGATTTGTGGTCGTCGGATATGTCGACCTTCGACATTAGCGCTGTTTGCAGCGCGCTTCCGACTGATCAACAGTGCAGAGAGTAAGTTGATACTGATTGAGCATCATTCATGGAGACGTATCTAATTCTTCGCCTTCGGTGCAGATTCTTCTATTATTATAAGGATATTGCCGGCGCAATCTATCCGGTTCTTGAAAATGTCCAAGAATTTGAGAGCACTCTTGAGCTTCTTATGCAAAACAGAGCGGCCTCTGGCGGTGTTTATCGAGAGGACGTCGATGATGCACAGACTCCTTTTGGTGTGAACATTGCATACCTAGGTCTCTTGTTTGCTGTCCTAGCATCTGGCTGCCAGTCGTCCGATCTTGGAAGCAAGGAGCGAGAGTTGACTTCGCAAGTCTATGGTATGATGGCCGAAGATCTGTTCTCAAGAGATAAAGTTTACTGATACCCCCCGCAGTCTGCTGCTCCTATCAATGCCTTCGCATGACCAATTTCTTATCTCAGCCAACTATTGAGGCAATCCAAACGCTTTTGGTCATTGGAAATGTTCTGTCTTATAACATGAACCCCGGCATTTCTTATGTTCTGCTGGGCATGACGCTTCGTATGGGCTTGGCTCTTGGATTGCATGTTGAGTCGAGTAGGTTCTCGTCACCTGAGCGGTACCGCCGGCGACACGTCTGGTATGATCCTGGCAGTTGGAACTCTGCACCATTGAGGTCTACTGGACACACCAAACTGACATCTACAGGTGGTCCATGGCATGGCAAGACAGTCATTTCTCTCTTTCTTATGACCGCCCTTCTACAACCGCAGTCAGCCAGCCAGATATTCCACATCCCGAGGGCTCAAAATCGGGCGATTTGTCCTACTTTGAGACCCTCTGTCGCGTGATTTCTCTGGCTTTGGAGGTTGTTCGTATTCGAATGCTGAGTCCCCATGCACAGATGAGCCTCGAGAGTATTCAGGGCTACAAGGAAAGAATCCAGAAGATCATGGTTGAAGCAAAGCCGCATCTGCGGGATGCGCAATGGTGCACGTCCTCACCAGAGCATCTGGAACGAGTTGTGCTCAAGTTGCACTCGTCCTATTTCTCCTCTGAGCTCTGCCGCCCGTCGCTCAAGCCGTCGGTCGATGCCAACGATGCGGATGCTGCGAGCATGCGGGGAGACTGTGTTTTCAATCTGATGGCAACCGTGGAAGCTTATATTGAAATGCACAATATCAGCTCCCATGCGGCCCGTTCTTGGATTGCGCTGCAGCGAGCAATCAGCTCTGCCTTCCTCCTTGCCGTTATTCAAGAAGCCAAATCAAATCCGACCGTTTGGAGCCTCCTACGCCAGCTAGAGGGTATCATAGCGCAGCGTGCCAGCAACGAGCGTGCGTACGATACTGGTGATGTCGCTGATGCTGGTAACAGCATGACCTCGCCACCACAGGGTGTGGCCACATACGACCCCATCACAGGTGCTACCCACCCACCGGGTTCTGTGCCACCCACCCTGGATCCCCTTTCACCTGCTGCGGTCAATCCGGATTCCCAAACGCAGTGGGCTAAGTCGTTGGCCAAAACACATCGCGCTTTGCAGAAGCTTCTTACGGCGTTCGGGAATCAGCACACTCGCAGTAGTACTGGACGCAGCCCTGCTTATATGCAATCAAACCTCAACGCGGCCTCTGGCCCCGCTTCCATGGGCAACTTTGTCCCTCCTGTACCGGCAGCCATGACCCCCAGCGTGAGCTCTCTTCCACCCCCTACTCCGGAAAGCTCAGGCAGTGGTGAATGGACAATTCCCAACATATTGGACCGCGCTTCAGAGTATATTCATCCCCCGCTCTGGAGCTAGATTGAGAATGATTTCGCACCCATAAATCTCATTATTCTTTTTGCTTCAGCGCGGTTCGGAGCATTCTTTGGCGTCTGGTCTCGTTATTCTTTTTAAAAAGTTCCGTGTGGCGTGGTTGGATTTGCATATCTTGGGATGGTCCTTTTGTTACTTATATTCTCCAACTTCACGATTAATAATTTCAAGTCTATTAATCTATTAATTTTGATCCCTCCTTGTGTAGACAGATAGCTCTCAAGTGTCTCATCCTACTTGGATATTTCCTGGATAGCCTGTCTTTACCTAGCAAACAAAGTCGCTTCAAGGTGTCTCTGTTCTAACTGACAAGATCACAAAGACTACCGACCTACAACTTCAAGGCAGACTGCAGCTCACCGACACATTCGCCAAATCCAACACCAGAGCCAACTCCCCCAACAATGCTGGTCATGCGAACCACATCCCCATCCAACAGGTAATGTCTCTTCGAACCATCGGCCAGAGTGATTGGCTCCTTGCCGGCCTTGGTGATTTCCAGCAGACAACCATAGCTCCCACTGGCCGGACCGCTGACCGTCCCGGTGCCTAGGATATCTCCAGTCTGAAGATCGGCACCGGTGCTAGCAAGGTGGGCGGCCATTTGTCGTCCACTCCAATGCAAATCTTGTGCCTTGGATTCGCTGACCGTCGTTACGTGCTTTCCAACGAGAACTTCTACTTTCATATCAATCGCATAGCTGGAGGTCGCCACATCTTCGAGATGGCTTGCCAATACCGCCTCGGGCTTGGGGCCAGGTACCCTGAACGGCTCCAGGGCATCCAATGTCACTACCCAGGGAGAAATACTTGTTCCAAAGGCCTTGCCATTCAGCGGACCTAGCGGAACCATCTCGCATCCTTGAATGTCGCGCGCTAATATACAATTAGTAAGCACCGAATTCATATAGTTAGTGAGCCCTTCCCTTTTGGGGGCCAAACACTCACCACTCCAGTCATTTAAAATTACAAGACCAAAAATATGATCGTCTGCTTCTTTTGCGTTCAACCTCTGGAGGCGCGAGACACCTTTGCCAATGATGACACCAATCTCCAACTCATAGTCCATGGCCTGAGATGGACCGTAAACAATGGGCTTCTTCTCTGCTGGCGCAGTGAGATCATAGAAATGACCCAGCGGCCGGTTTATTGGAGTTCCAGAGACATATATCGTGCTCGCTCGGCCATTGTACCCGATTGGAAAGTTGAAGAAAGCGGGAGGCGTGGATTCGTGATTCAAAATTGCTCGACCAGAGTTCCGAACGTGGTGCACGCTGCAGGAAAAGTCTTTTGTATATCCAGTACATCAGAGTTCCCTTGCTCGTCAAACTGGAGGAGTACACTTCCACATACCAGTGAAGCCACCCACTGAGACCGGCAGGTGAAGACTCACCACGCTGATGTCTTCGGTGAAACCCACCGGCAGGGATTTGGCCAGCACCTCTTGTAACACCGTCCGGACTGAGCGCTGGGTGATCTTGGGCAGTGCCGCATATTCATTGAGGCTCGGCTTGTCGAAGATGCCATCTGGCAGACCCGATATCTTCGCGAAGACCCCGGCCCGCTGCAATTCCACCAGAAATATGACGTTATTTTCCAGTCGAGTTACACATTGCGCGCTTGGATGCCTCTCCGACGAGGCCACTCCGAACGGGAGGTTCGCGATGGAGAAATGGGACTGGTACTCGGGGGAGGTCATCGGGAAGTCTATGACATTGGACAAGACCTATTCAGTTCGGGAAAAAGAATAAAATGTCTGAAATATTGCCTGAGTCATCATCCCAACCCTTGCGTTGGCTCCATACTTATTCTTCTCTCGTGTGTGCATCCCCCACCGTCGGACGAAGGCGCGGGGAGTCCCGATGGAGCCCACATCCCGACGACGTGACTTGCCGGGCCCTAACTCATGGCCTTGACTCGATGGCCGTTCGCGGGAATAACGGGAATAAGCCCCGGAAACTCACGGCTTATCTCGGTCGTTCTGAAATTGAGGATGTGACCGACGGTTTAGTTCATCATATTGTACCTTCGCTGGTATAATCCTGGCCGTGAGGTGAAGGACTACGATCAGCTTTCCAAACTCTGGGAACCCTTGCATCAACCTCGCCCAACCCACCCACACCGCTGCTTTCCCCAACCAGGCCACCATGGAGGCACGGAGGGGGATGAAGTTTCAGTTACAAGCGCAAATCGGCGTCATCGGAGGATGAAAGGTAGTACAGCGTCGGCCCATTATTCACTGGAATGAGCACTCCGTCGGATATCCGCCGTGGAGGTGAATTTTACCTCTAGAGTTCACGCCGCACATCTGGTAGAACCTTGCGAGCGCCTGGGGATTCCAACGCCCCATCTCATGTTCCTTCTTCGCCAGACTTCGACTCCCGTCCCTTGTGCTGATAAGTCTGAGCCTGCCACGGATCCAGGTGAATTAGCGTCCGCGTTTCTCGAGACCAGATCGCAATCTACCTATTCGGCCGGTGGAAAGATGTCTGCTACGCCACAGAACCAGTACTACAAGGTCGGGGTCCTGCTATTCCAGGGCGCAGATATCCTCGATTTCACAGGCCCGGTGGAAGTTCTGTCTCATGTTTCGCATAACTGCAACCCGGACGACCCTGATCGGATGTTCACGGTCGAAATCATCGCGCAAAGCCCCACGATTCGTGCTGCAAATACACTGACTTTGCAGGCGGACAGACTCTTGACGGATGCCCTGAATGCTATCTCCGAGTACGACATTCTAGTCGTGCCTGGGGGGCCGCCATCCATACTCCAGCCTATGGTTGAGGGTAATGGGCCAGAGATAGAGATCATCCGGAGATTTGCGCGCCTACCCCGGGCAAAACCGCAACAGCCGCGACTATTATTCTCTGTTTGCACCGGAGCCTTCTTGCTCGCGGCTTCGGGTGTTTTATCGGGCTTGACCGTCACCACTCATCACCGGGCCATCAATACACTTCGGGAGATATGTATTAAATTTGGTGACCAGAGTGAGCCGCCGACCAATGTGGTGCACAAGCGCTATATTGATGGAGGAAATATCAAAGGAGATGCCGTGCACGTCATCACGGCTGGAGGCGTCAGCTCAGGCCTCGACGCCAGCTTCTACGTTGTGCGCCAGCTAGCGACGCCGGAGATGGCCGCTTTTGTGTCTCGGCTGATGGAGTATGATTGGACTGACCTGGAGAAATGATCCTAGATCTTGACATGGCAAATTGACCAGTCCTGAGCATGGTACAACTATCGGACTTATGTTACAAGACATTCCATAACGGAGCTAGAATAAATTTGAAACCAGAGTGGACTACTGCGCCATGTGAGCAACATGCTTTTGTTAGGTAGCAAAATATCCATTCTATGAGATTCATCGTCCGTACGATTTCTTATCGTCCATGTGGCCCCATGGTGGCAGTCTCTTGTCGAGACTTGAGCCACACTAGCCCTAGAATTTACCCATTGTCATGGGGTTGGATGTCAAAAACACCTGCAGATGACGAGTATGCTACCGATCTAGCACATCAACTGTTCGGGGGTATTTGTCAAGCGACTTACAGTGACATCTGCTAAAGACCCCGAACAGGGTGTGATTTTGAGTTAAACTCTCCCCTCTTCTGCTACAAACCATAGCTCGCTAGGATGGGGGCCGATCTGGATACGAGCGGGACAGGGGAATTTCGAGCACTGATCTAAAGGAGTATATCCACAGCCTCTGCTAGTCGATGGTTGTACATAAATGCAAATCTCGTCATCGGCAGATTAGATCATTGGTTTGTCCCTTACGCTGGGGATATCCTTTATTCTCCGTTACCCGTCCATCTTATACGGGTTTCGCTGACACCTTTTAGACCGCATCATATCCATTCCAGGTTCAGGCTCATCATCTGCTCAGGCTCTTCTGATCTATTCAGGAGCACGTGGGAGTCTGACCATTCTTCCCGGTGAAAGTTTCTGTTTCATCCCCAGAGTATACCCTACTTTAGACCCTTTTTCATAAGCCACAGCCAGCGTGTTGTACAGACCCAATGAACTAGCGGTCAATGGATCTTCTAAGTTCAGCTTCATCCACAGATCTGAGTCCGCAATGAGAGATACAGTCATACTGCTGAATTTCCCTCCGTACTGCCATTAGGGTCGAAAATGATCTTACTGCGACTTTGGCGGGATATATAGCACCAAGCCATTCTGCAGGGACGCGAGATTGGCCCCCCTTGACTACCCGGACTTTTACAAACCAGACAGGGCAGCTTCAGTATTCTATACTCCAAAAATTCCATTTTCAATATTTTTCTATTAGTGGGTCTTCATCGAACGGACAAGATACACCGGTGCGACCCCGTTTGACTTCCACCGCCATCACCATGGTCGCCCTCGCACCTATTGCGGACACCGTCCCAGATGTATATTCGCAGAATTCCACCCATTCTGACATGACTCATTCCAACAATGCCAAGACCGCCAATCGCAGCCCGATCGATGTCTCCACCGAAGGCATGGCGTCGATTTCCGAATCTGAGAATGCCGATCCCAAATCGATTACCGCAAACGGCAATGGCTGTCCACAACACGCGCAAAAAGTTCTCAACCGCCAAGCTACGCTTACTTCTGTCCCTGTGATCTTAGCACGCGGTCAAAAAATGGCCGTCGAAATTTTGAAGGTAATCGAGACTTACGGCGTTGACTATGAGACGAATGGCGGTTCCTGGAAGGGGTTGGAATCGTTCGTTTCTACGGTCGTCGAGCAGGTCAGGCGGCAGGAACCAATTCGCATGATCTTGCCTGCTTTTCCATTCAAGTCGCCCAATGCGCGGGATAAAGTACTGGGCACGTTGCCGGATTTTGGTGAGGAGTTGGCGCTTTTCCACCTGAACGGGCTATGCGAGAACATCGCCCTGGTATATGAACCCGGCGCCGATGTATATATTAGTTCGGACGGACTGGTGTATAATGGTACGTCAAATCACATCTCGATTCGGCTCTCGACTGCTTGCTAATTTCTGCTATCAGATATTCTTGGGGTGCCGGATGAGACCGTCTGGGACTATGGCGAGACCCTGCGACAGATGGCGGTCGAGAAAGGCCTCCACCATGTGAAATTCATTCGTTTATTCGAGTTGTTGGAACATCCTTGGTTCCAAAGCCACAGCCCAGAGGCCGCCAAATCCTTCTATCTAGATCATGCTAGCTGTCTCCGTCGCGAACTAATGTTCGTCTTTGGCGACCCGACCTTTGACGCCGATGAGGCGATCAAGACGGACAACGACACCTGCCTGACGTATCGCGGATATATCAAGTTCCTGACCAAGGACCTTGCGCATCAACAACCTGCACAGGCTCTTTCGAAACGCGCAAGACAGACTCAGATCTCTCAGATCGCGCGCCAGATGATCATCCGCGGCAAGATGTTTGCGGCCGCCATTAAAGCCAATCGGGGCGACTATGTTCGATTGTCCATTCACGAGTCGGCCGGTGAGAAAAAGCTCTCAGTTTCCCTTATTCCTCAAGCTCGAGGGGCTCTGGGATTTACGCCCTGGCACGCCTCTGTGGCCATCGGCTTAGACGGCTCATATCGCACTGTCCATGCCGAGCAAGTCCGTGACACGCATGATCTGATCTATAAGAACGGGCAACCATACTTCTTCCGTGAAAAATCCCCCATCTTTAATTGGTCTGAAGACGGACTATCTGTGAAGTTTGAGCATTTATATCCTTGTGGAGTCATCATTCAGCCGGCCGATATCGACAATCTCAATCCGCGACCGGCAATCCGCGACATTCCTATGCACAAAGTCCGGAAGATTTCCAATATCATGTCACCTGTGGTTCTACGTGGGTTTGCAGAGACCCTCGACGAAGATTTATATATCAAGGCCGGCTCTGAACTGGGTAATATTCTCCCGTGGAGCTTCGGTATCATTCAGAAAGTGCGCGACGCTGGTCGCTTGGATAAGATGGGCAATAATGTGACTTCGAATGAGGCCATGCCCATGCATTTTGACGGCATGTTCAAGTTCGAAGAAGTCACTGACCTAGTGACTGGAGAAACGACGAAGGTGCAGCGACCACCAGGCTACCAGTTCTTTACCTGCCTAGCAACCGCCCCCAAGGGAAGCGGGTACACGTTGTTCGCCAGCTCGCGGCTGTTTTTCAGATATCTCCCGCATCCATGGACTGCAGAGCGGCTGCAGGACGTTACCTGGGCCATGGAGAATGACGGCTTCTGGGATGCGAAGCTGGAGAATCTCCCATTGATTGTGAAGCACCCCGTCTCCGGACTTCCTTGCCTGCGGTGGCATCAGCCGTGGGACTCCGCCCAGACCAAGTTCTCTACTTGTGCCGTAAACATTGAAAATGAGGATCAAAGCCTGGTCCAGGTTATAGATCGCGTCACATACGACCACAGAGTGTGCCTCCGCTTCGAATGGGAGAAAGGCGATCTTCTGATCAGCGATAACACTGCCATGCTGCACACCCGCACCGGATATATAAGCGACTGTGATCGAGAGCTGTGGCGCATTCATGTGGATTAGAGCGGCAGGGGATAGGATATGGGTGTACGAAAAGGTATTGATGGCCTATATGTTTCATTTCCTCTTTGAGTTAAAGTCGCTCCTTGTCTGCTCACAGAATGTACCCTGTGCCTAGGTAACCAAATTGTGACATTTCTTTCATTGGATAAGTCTCATACCTAGTTTTAGCTGGTATTAAATATCGGTTCCCTTCAGCTGGGGATGGTTGGGGTTTGTAACAATCACCATTTACACCGCTAGGAGGATACATTTCAGGAAGAAGAAAAAAGCACGCTTCTTGAAGATCAAAGAGGGCTTATATCGCAGAATTAAGTGCTATCGCAGTACTGTATATACCCTTGTGCTCTACTTGGTTCAAAGGGGGCCGAGGTTGAGCGCGTAAATGAGAAGATACTCTTGTCGCTTCGTTTTCCACGTAGTAAGGTTGTCAGATCGCATAACCCCGACAGCTTTTCTGAATGATATCTTTAGCCCTGTGAATAGCGGATTCTCGTGTGGCTTTATGTACTTGTTTGCCTGCCAATTGGTGTGATCTCTATTTTGTGATCATGCGGCTGCCAGATCTATGCCCTCGTTGCCCCTTTACATTTAATTATTGCGGTAGTTACATGACCACGGGGTCCTACGATTTCTCAGCAAGGAATCTTCGGAAATCTGAAGCCCCGTCTCTCAATAATACAATGGAGATGGAAAAACAAGTAAACTTTCTTACTTCATGCAACACGTCGAGAAGTCAACAACTGTTGCATTATCACTCAGATTAGGCTCTGCTTTCGATCGGACGCATATCATCCTATGCCAGCGCTGAGGGCTGGATAAAGATACGTTCTCTCTATCATAGTGTCAGCCAATTGGACAATGTGACGATAGAGGGTATCCGGTGCAATTCACCTTCATGAAGAGCGATCCGATGATCGCCATTGCGCCGGCCGTCACGACCAGGAAGTATGTCCGCGACATGGCGTCGACAATCGCGTGGAGCACCTGCGCACGGGTATGATCGGGAAGGTGCTGGAGGACGCCGCTGTTTGTGCCGGCGAGGGCACCCCGCAGTTCGACCCGGGTGAGGTGCGGTAGCAGCGTTTGCAGCTCGTCGATGGCCTTGTTTTGGAACACTGCGCCAGAGATCGCAAGCGCAAGCATGATACCCATATTCTGAGCCAAGGACATGTAGGATGTTGCGTCTGCTGCTCGTGCAGGAGAGACCTTGGCTTGGGCCACGGAAAATCCGGCCTGGATGAACATGCCCGCGCCAGTTCCGATGAGAGCCGAATAGCCGTAGATATGGGCATTCAAAGTGTTCTCATTGACTGTGCCTAATTTCCACGTCGGTCAGTTGATGCTAGCAGGTACACGAATAGTTGTCGTACTCATCAGGGCACCCCCGATGGTCGCCAGGAGACCGCCTGCCATATACCAGGGCACGTAGTAACCTAGCTTGGTCATCAGACCACCATTGAGGAAGCCAAAGGTCACCATCAGAATAATAAATGGCAGCAGTCTCACTGCGCTAGTCAAAGCCGAGTCACCGCGTACGAACTGGAAGTACAGCGGGATGTAGTATGTGGGCACCTAAATGGGTTATCAGTGACTTTTGCGACTCAATACAATTAACGGAGAAGATTACTCACGAAGACACAGGTGGATGCAGCGCACATCAGAGAAAACAAGATCCACATGAGAGGGTGACGAAGAAATTGAACCGGGAAGATGCGCTCTAAGTCTGTCGTGCCGATGGTGAATATCTGCTGCAAGATGAATAAAATCAGCAAGAGACCACCAACAACCCATAGGGCAATCTCCTTCGCTGCGCCCCAGCTGAACATGTTGCCGCCGAAGTTAATGGCCATGATCAAGGCTGTAAAGGCGCCAATATTGAGGACCATGCCAAGGTAGTCGATCTGCAGCAGCTTCTGCACTTTGGAGGTTTCCGGCTGAGGATCGCATCGTGGCAGGAGGAAGATGTAGACTGGTGCAAAGGCACCTCCGATGCAAAGATTGATGTAGAAGGCCCAGCGCCACGTGGTGTGGGCGTTTTGCGAGAAGGCACCGCCAACCCTAACCGATCGTTATCGGATCCGATCTTCCACCGTTGCGGATTTGGTTCGTACTTACACCGGCCCTAGCACAGTTCCCGACCCCCACGCTGCGGGAAATATTAGTACCAAGATCACACAGACGCATTTGCCGCATCGATCACATACTGATCCCTGTCAGGGCAATGTACTGGGGTCGTTGACGAACAGAGGTGGTGAGAGACAGCAGAGTCAAGCAGCCGAGGTACATGCCTGCGCCCTAAACAATCGCCTGTAAGCAAGCCTTGAGGATAGACGCCGCTCCAACTCACCCCCAAACCCGCAATCGCACGACCCGCAATAAACGCATTCATACTCGGGGCCGCACCGCAAAGCGCACTACCCGCCTCGAAAAGAACAACCGAGGACAGGTAGAGCCACTTGGCACTGAAGATGGCATACATCTTTCCCCTGTAATCAGCCTCAACCGGTCAGCAATGTGCTTCCAACCGCAAGGTTCTGTGTCGCCTTTGACGCGTACCAGGTAATTATAGTCGCTGAGCTGGAGAGCACAAAGGCCACCCCCAGCCAGCCCAGCTTGCCGACCTCCCCGAAGCGCTGCACGATGGGGGACTGAACGTCGGCGACAATGGTATTGTCGAGCGCAAAGAGGAAGGTGGAGGAAAGGATGGTAAGGACGATCAGGATCCACTGGAGCCGCACGGAGAGTGCAATTGCCGTCAGAGATCGCCCGTATAACGTATCGAGGCGGATACAACAGCATGGATACGCACCACTGCCTTGGACGCCTTAGACTGCACATCCTCGCGGACATGGTCGACATCTTCATCCACAAAGTCATTTGCACTGTCCTTGCTGTCATTGTCGACAACAGTGAGTTGCTGCATAGCGGGTATGGAGCAGTAGAAGCGGAGGAGACAGGAGCGAACGTTGTCGAAGTGGAGAGGAGAAAGCTGGCACACGCGAGCAAGTGCAGCGAAACGAGTGAAATATGTGAAACAAGCGAAACGAGCGAACGGGGATGGGCAAGAAGGGAAAGAGCGACACGGGCTCGTTAATATGCTGCTCAGCTCATCTTTGTGCAACACAATGGGCGATGCCGCACGGAACTACTGAGATGGTCTGCTAATTCAAATAGGAGGTTTCGGCCAACAACAAGCCGAGGCCGCAGAATAGTATCCCTCATGGCTCATGGCTCATATCCTGCTCATGCATAGGGTCAACCGCCTGGTGAGGGTATCACGAGGGCGCTCGCTGTTCCATTCATGGCGTTATAGCAAGCCGTGGAAGGGTTCAATCTGAGGAAGCCACTGGTCTCCTGGTCCAAGTAGACTTTAGGCGTTATCCTCCGGCTGCCTACTGAAGTCCTCTTGGGAGGGGGGGGGGAGAGGCAAGGCGCCAACGATGGGGTTGAAGCCGTCCGATTGGAAATCGCGAGAACGGCTCGGCAGATGTCGTATGCTTTTTTTAGGATCTCCTCTCAGCCGGCATAGGCATAGATCTGGAGTCAACGAGGTTGGGCATCAACCATCGAATCGAGTTATATCTTGCTAGCCAATAAAGAGCGATTCTTGGCACGGAAGCCTTCTGTAGTCATGCGCAGGATGGAAACCACAGATCGATGGGTAATTCCGCGCATACCAGTGGCTAGAGAGTGGTTCTACATATCTTTGAGTTTGTTGATGAGCTAGATATCGTTGCGGTAGAGAGAGATCGACCACGACTTCCTGTCGGGAATATGGAAAGAAGTGGAGGGGGAAAGCATAAATAGAGTTCAAGCCGGGGTTGCTTCTCCAAGGATGGCCTTTTTTTTTTGTCGGTCCCTTGCATCTTGCATCTGACAGACGCATTGGTCTGCAGCAGAAATCACCGATATGCAGGAACATCACGCGCCGGAGAAATTCCAAAATACCAAGACCTGATCGCCTCTATACGGAGCAGGCTGGTGCTAGCGTTACCGTCCGCTGAATAAACATGCCAGGGTTCAACGCTCAGCAGCAGATATCCCCCGAGAGCGGAGGCCGAGACAATTTCTACCAGATGCGCTCGGCAGATCTCGTGATGGCTCGTGGATATGCAGGCACAAACCCGTCTCCAGGTTCTAAGGCAGGGAAAAGGGCATGTACAAAGCAAGGTTGGGTCCTCGTAGCTATATTCTTGATAGAGGTAGGTCGGTGCCACCGGTTGGTGGGTAGGTATGTCTGTCCAGGTAATATAGACGCCCAAAATAATAAAAACAAGAAAAGAAATATCGACGCTGTCGTGGTATCACAAATCGCGCTGCAAAACGCCTCCGCTGATTACATCGCTGGAATCTCCTCGGACCGACTCGACCAACCCGCTTCCCGCACCGAGCCACCGAGAGCGAGGGCAAGAGAGCAAGTGAGCAAAGGGGGTGAGCGGTGGCCAGATGCCGGGGAATATTTGACAATGATGCAGTATGTAAGACCACAAAAACAATAATGATAAGAAAAGAGCAAACGTCAAAGTCAGGTCGTGGCGCTCTATAGTGTGGACGGGCAAGGGGGTTGGAGGGAAGGGGATATCAAATCATGAAAACCATCCGGAGATGGCTGCGTCGGCTGTGAACTCCAACATCTTCTCGCTCTCCAGCATGACGAACGACTCGTATCGCAGGCCGCGCTCCTTGCCCGTGCGGTCGGACCAGTGATTCACGCTGCTGTTCCAGACGTTACCGTAGCCATCAAACAGCGCGCGCCAGTAGCACGCCTCTGCGGCCGGGGTCAAGTACCGCTCGCGGAAGGTTTTGACGCTGTTGGTGGCGATGCGATGTGCGGCGTCAGTGTCCGCGACCAGGGGTTCGATCTTCTCGGCGAGATCGCTAAAGTCGCGTTCAACTTCGACATAATTTTGGTTCGGCCCATGAGCCACGAGGAGGTAGTGATGATGTTGGATGTATTGGAGTTTGTGGGCCACAATGACGGAGTGGCAGGCTTGGCGGTATTTGAGGGATGCGGAGTAGGACCGGCCTATGGGGGCGAAGGGATCGCGTGTTAACAATCCGTGGACCATGTGGCCGGGAGACAGCTGCCGCCAAGGACGGGGAAAGAACTCACCTTCGACGTGGGCAATGAACATGTACTGACAATGGTCCTCCATGCGGAGCACATTCGATCCCGTGTCCCAATTGACCTGCTTCACATCGCCCCAGGGTTTGTCGCGGGCGGCTTCAATCAATGCGCGGCGCAGCTTGGGGGCAAAACTGGGTTTGCCCCGCCAGACGAGCTGAGGCTTCTTCTCGTCCCAGGGGAGATCGGTCCGCTTGATGCGATCGACCACCTGGTCGAACGGACCAATATAGTTTTTGGGGGTTGTCCCAGGCCCAGAAGCTGAAATCGGGCATGAGCCAGACGCCTTCCTCCATCGGGGTCCGCGCAAAGACCCAGACGGGGTACTCGGGATTCGTGACATCCTCCACCTTATCCTCCACCGAAAAGACAAACTCAATATCGCGTCGCGACGCTCGATCCCGGTCGGCGGCCAGCGCACGGTGAATCGAGCTCAACACGCCCAAGATTTTGCGCCGGTGGTCCTCGCCTTTGGCTCGCGCGGTGACCACATGCAAATAGCCCTGTGAGATGAAGGCGCGCGCCATGCCCGGCTGGATGGTGATTGCGTCCAGGTCCTCAGTGACGAGGCCGCCACCGTGGGCGCGCCAGAAGCGCTCGCCACGCGTGACGTCTTCGAACAGGCCCTGGAAGGCGGCCTGGCATTGCATCTGGTCGAGAGCCTCATTGCGGGCGTCGCGGGCGTATTGAAACCCCCAGCCGGGGGAGGTGGACTGCTGCAGACTGGAGGAGTCGGCACAGGAGACACAGGTGGAGCATTGAAAGGTGGTGGAGGTTTGACAGGCGCAATGGCCGGCGGGGAGGAGCTGGGTGAGGATGGGGTGGATGTATTCGCGGTCCGAGTTCATGCCATACCAAAAGACGAGGATGACGAAACAGAAGACGCTGCCAATGACGCACAGGAGCGACAGGCCGCGGCGTCGCAGCCGCATCCAGGGGTATTTCGCGCCCATTACGGAGGAGAAGTCGCGGATAGCATTGCTAGACGCTGAAGGAGAGGACAAAGAGGGGGTGTAATGAGGAGGGGAGGGGATGAACAATGGAGGAGTAAGGAAGTGGGATGACGAAGCACTAGAGAAACAATAAGAGAAGACCTGCTGCGCCAACGAGTGAACGACTGGCAGACACGAGGCGCGATGAGGATGAGAAAGGGGCCAAGGCTGAAACTCCCCGTTTGGCAGAAGATTGACAAGCTCCCGTATGATCGGCTGGCAGCGACGCGGTCGATTGGCCTAATGAAGAGCCTCAGTGCGCATGCAGTGGGGCGGTTGTCGTCATTCTTCGTGGGGCGGGCGGGCGGTGCCTGCTTTGTTTTTGAGTGGGCGGTGTTTGGGGATGGGGGATGTGGGGGGGGCAAGAGCATCTGGAAGTAGACAATTGGGGCCTTTACCTGCCTGACTTCTTGACGGCGGTACAGAGTCTTCTTACGTCCTACTCCATAATCCATACTTCGGACGTTGTACTCCATACTGTGGGTCCCGGGCCCGGCCCACTTGATGGGCGCCCCTAAATTTGTTCCCTTCTTCTGGTCTCTGCCTAGCGCTACAAAGGCGACGGAATTCCGTCCCGAAGAGGACTCTAGAGGTCGTAGAAGAAAACCACAGGAGATCATCGGGAGGACTCGGGCGAGCATTCAGCCTTCAAGGCCCTGTCTCCGCGGATGGCCTGAATCCAAAACGTCATGGTGGTGATATTATTTTTCATCGATAATATACTCAGGGTCCAGTCTAGTCCTAGTTGGGTCTAGTCAGGACATGCCCAGGCGAGTCTCCGCCCCACCGCCCCACCGCCAACTCAAAAAGGCTTGGCAGATGGCTGCACGGTTCCACACTCCTCATCGGTTGGCCGACTGGTCAAGCGCCCATCACCGCCCCGCTTTTCCCCCCTCGACTAGCCAAGCCCGACACGAGGTCCTGTCGGACGACCAATTATCATGCCGGTTTCCAAGATTGAGAACTATGGGGTGCATACTACTAGACTATAAATGAGAGGATGGCGTTCTCCGTACAGAGAGCTCACTGAGTTGCCGACGCAGTCACGATCACTTACGGAGTCCTCGTTTTGCGGAGACTACCACTACGCGGTCCCGACCAGGGAAATGTCAGGAACCAAGTTAAATTGAGCCTCTCACTGGATGGGCGGGGATATGCACAACTACACGCTGACTGCGCGTTTTACATCTCGGATAGTGCTGCTGATGCGGACCCTCATCCATGCGTAGCTCTTGAAGAAGCCTCTCCCACTCTCCGGGCTTCAGTGGTTCAACTGGAGGTGTTGGATAATGCTTGAAGAACTACGCTAAAAGTGCATCCAAAAGGTACTTTGAATGGTGGGTAAGAAGGCATAAGACACGGAGCTGAACCATCAGACCCAGGACGTTTTCATGTGACCGGTTTCAAACTCTCGGAATGTCCATGTACTCCGCATATCCTTCCTTATTCCTTCCCTACCAGGCCGAGGAGGGTGAAACAGGTGGAATAGAAAATGATCTAAGCTGTATAGAATGCGAAAGAATACAATAATGCAACCCATACACCATGCATGCCTGGAATCAGAGCAAGCAAAACGCCCGCTGCAATGCATCCAAGATCGAAACCATAACGCCCCTCCAAAGGCATCTCAAAAACATCTTAATTTCTTCATTGGCCCGGTTGGCTTCGATGGGCCCTGTCCCGTCGCCTAGCAGCGGGCGCGCCGCCCTTGATGTCTGGACTGGCCGGCCGCGGCGTGCGACGCGTTCGGCCGCCAGGGCGAACACGACCCAAGGCGCGCCCCAGCAGGGTATCCGCTTTATCATCGAGGTCCATCTCAACTCGTTCCTCCAGGGTCTCCGTGTCCAGGGTCTCGGAGGTCGCGGCATGAGTCACTTCGTCCGTCCATTCCTCCGCATATCCCGCGTGTCGGATTCGGCGTCGGTTGCTCTCATCAGTCGCAGTCCGCTCGCGGCCGTTCATATCCCGGGCGCGATATGAGCCACGGCTGGTGGTGCCCTCGTCCATGGCTTGCCGATCGCGCTCGCGGCCCTCCACGGCCCAGACTTCCAGCGCTCGGTTCAGCAGGGTGCCAGCAACGCCAGCACCGCCGGCGGCATCCCCGCCGCCACTGGCTCCTAACACGCGAACCGCTTCGTGGAGAGACGTCACAGCGTCACTGGTGCGACCGAGTTCCAGGAGTAATAGTCCGCGCGAGGTATGCAGCGATCCCACAAGGCCCCGGTCCTCATAGCCCCCAACCCCGGATGCCGTCGCCACCGCAGCGGAACCCCCAGCACCGCCGCCCAGAAAGGGAGAGTACCCCAGACTGGTTCCTCCGGCTCCAACACGAAGGCAGTCGTCGAACTCCCGGAGAGCCTCAGGGAGACGACCGAGGCGACGAAGTGCATGGCCCATGTTCGCGCGAGTGGCAACCCAGGCACCGGGTTCGCAGTGGAGTGAGGCAGCTAGCGCCAGGGCTTGCCGGAACAGCTCGACTGCAGCACCGTGATTATTCTGATGATAGAAGACCACCCCGAGCTCGTTCAACACAAGAGGATCGCCGCCAAGAGACACGGCCGACAGGTTCGAAGAAAGGCTGGGGCCCGAACCAGGCGCAGCTCCGGTCGACATGGCATAAGCTGCACAGAGATATTCGTGCGCCAACGACATATTGTTCAAAGCCAGGTGTTGCATTCCAAGGAAGAGCTGTGGCAGGTGGCTGCCCTGGAAGAGTCTCGCAGCAGTGCTATAGGCGGCGATGGCCTGATCATGCTCGCCCTCAGCCGCAAAGGTATGAGCGAAACCGATCCAAGCCGGTGCAGAGTGAGGATCCAGTAAAGACGCTTTCGAAAAGAATCGACGCGCCTCAGCAATCTTCGACACGGATAGGTAGTAGACACCGATTGCGAGATATGTATAGGGTTCCTCGGGGGCGTGGTCAGCCAGCATGTGCGAAAGCAGAAACAGCGCATTGGTGGCACCGGTTTCGTAAAGGCACGCCAGATGAAGTGGGTAGACCGCGGGGGCGTGACCCAGATTGCTATGTGCAGGAATGCTGGGGCTGTTGGTGGATGTCAATTCGCTTGACTGGGAGGTGGAGAGGATAGAGGAGGTCAGTTCCAAGGCTTCGGCGAACCGACATTGTGTGTAAAGCGCCTCTGCGCGCGACAGCAAGATGTCAGGGTTCTCAGACAGGTTGTAATGTGTGGAAAGGGTTTCAGTTGCATCTGACAAAAGACTCGGGGCCGAGTACTTTGACAGACGGGTGGTGTAAAGCATCTTGGTGAAGTGGGCTGCCTCCTGAGTGATCGCGGGGTCAGGCGAGGAGACCGAGTCGAAATCCAGGGATTCGAGAAATTCTAGTTCCTCCGTGGGCGACATGAGTGAGTTTTTCATAAGCTGGTCAAAGGCCTCAAAGCACTGCACATCAATCCGTACAGCGTCCTTGTAGCAGTCCCGTGCTCGGTCGAACGCATTTTGTTTCGCAAAGCAGAGTCCTCTCAAATAGCACATGGCGGCCTCAAACCTCACATTATTGGCTTCGTCCCTTTCGCGATCCTCACCTCGCTCCCCACGCGTTGTTGTGCTCCTTCCATTCCGTAGTGTGACATGGCTCTGACCGTTGAGGTGCTGGATCTTCCGGCGACTGTTGTTACTCCGGATCAAATCGGTAGGGTTATGCTCTCCGAGAATTGAGAGGGCCTGTTCGAACTGGTTCTGTTTAATGTAGCAATGAGCTGCGAGGTAGCGACAGGCAGTGCTTCTCGAGACGAGGTCTTTGCGGGACAAAAGGGCGAGGGCGCGTGTAAAGTTGTTGTTGGAAAAATGGACTTGGGCCAGCCAAAAAGCATCCGAGTCACTGTCTGTTTCCCACTGATCAGCCGCTTGTTGCGAATAGGGAGCGCTGAGGGGCGTACTGGTGAGCGCAAGAACCTTGTCGCCAATGTAGATGGCGGAATCATGCTGGCCGCGATTTAACGCGTCCTGCCGCCAGGAGCGCAGGTACTTCTCCATCACCACAGATCGGACGCGTCTGGCCGGGGAGGAACGGAGTGGGAAAGTCGGCGGGCATGGGCTTCAGCAATTGCCCTCGGAGAATTTGATTATCGAGCGCCGCGGTCCTGGCTGCTCGCATGAGCGGGTCGCGGAAGCTCGACAAACAGTGGCCCGTGCGCGATGCCTGATACAGTTGGCGCGGCTGGATATGCAACTGAAGATTGGGCAAAGTGCGGGAAGAGGTCCTGAACGAGTGTGAGCAGAGGTGCAGACTGGGCAAGCGATATAGAAGCGCACGAGAATGACAGGATCTGATGCCGAGAATACGTCGCTGCTTCCCTTTGAACTTTGAATCGCGCGAACAATGCCCAAAACATACAAGTCACGTGCCTTTATTCAAGTCACGTGATTACATGGCCCATCAATCAGTCGCGAGTCCAACGCCACTCGTCCAATCCTCTCATTCTCCCAAACATCCCCAACATCTCATATCACCGTCAGGATGTCCGAGCGAAAGGTCTTGACCAAGTACTATCCTCCCGACTTTGACCCGTCGGCGATCGGGCGCACGCCCAAGCACCTTCGCCAGAAGGGTCCGAAGGTCATCACGGTCCGATTGATGGCACCGTTTCCCATGAAATGCACCAACTGCGGCGAGTACATCTACCGTGGGCGCAAGTTCAATGCTCGCAAGCAAACCCTCGAAGAGAAATACCTCAATATTCCGATCTACCGGTTCTTCATTCGATGCACGCGATGCAGCGGTGAGATCACATTCCGCACGGATCCTAAGAGTAGGTTGAAGCACCCAGTTTTCCCAGGCGCAAACATCCTAACCGTTGAATAGACATGGACTATGAGTGCGAGAAAGGAGCCAAGCGAAACTTCGAGCCATGGCGAGACTCCAAGTCCGGCAAGTACAACGAGACGGAAGAGGAAACGCTCGATCGACTAGAGCGCGAGGAAAATGAACATGAGGAACAGTTGGAGCGGGACAAGATGGAGGAGCTTGAGGAGAAGATGAAGGATTCGAAACGGGAGATGGCGATTGCAGATGCACTTGATGAGATCCGGACACGAAATGCGCGCATCGCACGTCACGAGGGGAAGGATGACGAGGCCGCGTTGGATAGCATCCACAACGAGGTGGATGAGGCAAAGCTGCAACAAGAGAAAGAGGACGAGGAAGCCGCTCGAAGAGCTTTCATGACAGCTTCTGGCGAGAGGGTGAAGCGTGTCGTGGAGGAGGAACCGACCCCGCCTGGGCCGTCGCAAACGAAGGCTGCACAGGTTCAAATGCCGCCGCCGTCGACATCGTTCGCCCGAGTCAAAAAGGCGAAGAAGCCTGGTGTCACCAGCTTGGGTATCAAGAAAAAGGCGTCCCTGGTTTGATGTGTATTTTCTTCCGACATTACTGGCGCTGGCGTCTGGGCATGAAATGATTACAGGACTATACCATGGTTTATTGAATTTATAACAACACATTGAAGAAGTTCTTAAAGTGAAGTAACGTATTGTATTAAGAGCTATTGTTCGTAGCTGGTAAAACATAGAACAGAAAAATCATACAGAAAGTAAGGTATCAAATATCATAATCCAGCAAAGTCAAGGAGAAGAAATCCTTCTCAACCCACCGAAGCGCCACGCTCAAGAAACATACACGCACACTCATGGAAGCAACCAGCTAGTCAAACCCCATCCAGCTATGCAATAAAAAAGCCACTTTCTCGACACTAGGGGAAACAGAAACAGGTCAAAGCAGAGGCGCTGCCGCTTAGAGGTACGGCATCCACAACGCATCGCACGAGGCCAAGTGCTGCGGATTCACGGCCCGCGAGACCAGATCAATCGTAGTCTGGTTGGCAGGCAGGTTGCCCTCGGGTGGGCTAGCAAGGCTGACAGCGCGGTTGACAATGATCTCGCTGTTGTTGTAAACCAACTCGCGCAGTTGCGGGACTCCCAGGTTGCCACGATGCTGAGCAGTAGCCCAGAACATCATTTCGTCGCGCACAAAAACGCTCAGCTGCTGCTCCAGCTCGTGCCGGGGCTCCGTCAGGCAGCGAGCGATCGCCATCATGGCACAGGCAAACAGACCCTCGGTTGCAATGGGACCCAGTAGGGTTTGGATATTGGGAGTGAACCGGAAAGGCACCTGCTCGGGGTTGTAGAAGATCGCCTTGGCCGGGTTGATAGTCGGGATCAACTCCGCACCCCAGATGTCGCCTGTCGAGCGCGACACCAGGATCTTGTTTGGGTACCGGTTGCCAATGTGCATCACATAGGTCATGAAGGCAACTGCCGCGTACTGATAGGCAAACTGGCGTCGGAACAGCCAGAAGTCTGCGAAATTGGGGTACGTCTGCTGGAAGTACTCCAACACCACTGTGCTAGGGACCCATTTGTCTTGAATTGCGGTCAAGATCTCGGTGCGAAGAACCTGCTGTTGATCGGCCGTACGCTTTGGAGTGTTAGCATTGGTTGTTAAGTGGGGGCAGGCAGTAGAACTCACGTTCTGCTTTGTCTCTGCCAGAGACCGCATACGGTCCATGGTAAAAAGAACCGGCTCATCCTTGTTCATGCCAACTCGTCGGCAGTAGTCTTCATATATACCCTGCATGGATATGTACGATGAGTCATCACGGACCAGACGAATGTGCGGTGCCAGCGGGACCATCAGAGGAAGATGGAAGTACAGATTGCGGCGCCGGCTCTCCTTGCGCTTGGCCAGTAGCCCGTTGAAGATTCGGAACAACTGAAGAATGCGCTCTTCGCGTCGGCAGTGGCGTGCTGCAGGATGTTGAACAGCGAAGGCATGGATGCTACCATCGTGGCCGCGGATCTTAAGCCGACGGTGACAGACACCAATACCCCGTACCAGATCCACATCGGGCAGGAAGCGATCGATGCGAACAAAGTCCTGGTTCTTGTCCTTATGAAGGAGGTATTGTCCGGGAACTTCAACTTCGTCAAATTTGAGGAAGCGGAACTCACTAAGATGCGGCGAGTAGCTCTCAAGGAATCCAGATTGAGGTCGGCGGTCGAGCTTCTCCTCGAACTTGTCACGCCAGCGACGAAGCTTCTGTATGTACTCGTGCATAGTCGGTTTCTTGACAACAAAGTCTGCCTCGAAGGATTTGCGAATATGCGCAGGAAGGATAGTCTCTGCGAACCGGGTGATATTGGCTTCGGTTGCAGTGGGAAGCTTGAAATCCTGTGCATAGGAGCCAGGCATTCGCCCCACGTACGCCAGTCCATCGTTCAGCAGAGCGACAATAAGACGGTAAGCATCCTCGTCGGGCGGGCACTTGAAGTTCTTGTGAATCTGGTCGACCATTGTTTCCATGGAGAGAGCAAGCAATGGGAACGCAGTTTTCAGGCCAGACATGATCTCGTCTGAGTACTCCCACGGCTTTCTGAGGGGCTCCTTTTCAATGGACTCTGTCGAAGAGGCGCCTTGGTTCTGCTGTGATGTTCCACTTTGACCTGGCACTTGGAGGTGACCTTGCTGTTGCTGTCCCTGGGCCTGGCCCGGATTGGGGCTTTGGCCCTGACCCTGACGCGGCGAAGCCTGCACCTGTTGGTTCGGTGGCTGGGCAGGAGACTGGCTCTGTGTTGGTTGAGCTGGAGATGGTGCTGTCGGCAAGTTCGCTACCTGCCCGGCGGGGGAGGCACTCGGGGCTGGAGCATTGCCTTGGGCCTTCTGCGCAGGAGAGGATGACGCTTCGCCACTTGTAGGTGGCTTGGTATGTGGTGAAGATCCCTGCTGGTGTTGAGCTTGTTGTCTGGCCTTGTTCAGTTTCTCCTGCTTTTGGTCATGCTGTTTCTTGATACTCAGCATGTCCTCCCGATTCGTGCGAAGGAGGAAGAAGAGAGCCTGGGGGTAAAGCTTGGCAATCTTTACCAGTACAGCCTTGCACAGACGCGCCTCGCGATGAGACAAGCTCGTGAGAAGCTGAGGGATAAAGGTAATCCAGTACCAGACAGGAGTGTCTCCCTTGAAATTTTCAAATGCGCTCGCAATCTGTCCTTCGTCGTTGTCCAAACTAAGAAGCCAGAGAATACGACTGAGCAACTTCCGCGACTTAGCGCTCTTGTAGAGACCTGCCGCCTCCAAGTAACAGCTAACAGCATTGCTAGCCAATTCATAGTCCGCTGGGTCAGACTTGAAGCGTTGGTCGCTGTACTGTCCCCATTCAGACCAGGCCTTTGCGAGTCGGAGATCGTAGTAGAGAGCAACTCCAAAAGCCTCGTTGGCCTCGTTGACATGGTCGAGCTTGGCAAGGAACATGCCCTTGAGAGTGTAGAACTCGGCCTTCTGCTGTGGTCCGAAGTAGTTGAGGTTGGTGTTGTTGATTACATCCAATCCACTGTTGAGTTCCTTAGGATTCTGGTAGTGGCACTTGGCCTGCTCCCGAAGCTTGAGGAACGCTTCTTGGATTTCGATGTTGGGCAGCGTGTAAATGCGGCTGAGCTGGTTGATGCAGACCTCAGGCATTTGGTGCTTTCGAGCCACGTGCGCGAAGCGGTTGATGATCCACGCCGTCTCGTGATATCCGCGGTAGGCGTAGGAGTTGCTGGCCACATTGTTGGTTTGTGGAGGAAGTAGACTGAGGTAGGTCTGATTGATAAGCTGGAAGATGTGCTGTCGCCAGGTGACAAGATCCTGCCAAGTGTTGATATCATCCCACAGGTTTGGTAACCGGTCCCGCCAGGTTCCAAGGAGAAGCTTCAACTCCGCCGACTTGGTGTCCAAGTTGCGCTCATTGGTCTGAGACAAGCTGGCGCAGATATGGCTGGCGTCATGCAGCTCAACCAACAGTTGGAAATGCTGCAGAATGGGAATATGGGCATTGGTGATGCGCTTCGGCAACTGCAGCCACTTGCGAATGGAGAGTTGGATAGACTCATCACAGACACTGTTGAAATCTTGCATATTCTCCTTCTTCATGTGATACTGGAGAAGGGCCATGAAAGCCTGGAAGAAGGTGCGTCGCGGAGTAGGAGCATCAGAAACAGATTTGATCAAGGACTCCAGTTGCTCTCGAGTACCTTCGCTCTGCCAGTTTTCAATGTTTCTCCACGCAGCCTCCAGTAAGAGATCATTCAAATTCTCGTGTTTGGCAAAATCACTCAAGATCTCCCACTGTTGAAGCTTCTGGGCGCAGATCAGCCAGTGATCTTCCCACACAAAGTATTCACCCTGCGAGAAAGGCATCGCTCCAGAGCGTGCCTTGATTTGCGCGTTTTCGTAGAGCTGCTGAGACTTATCCCACATTCCCTGTTGCTCGTAGGACAGCGCTGCATTGGTTTCAACAAACTTGCAACGGCGGCGCCATGTGCCATAAAAGAAATCGTCTTCTTGAAGGCCGGCGTAAACCTCAACTAGTGCATCCAGGTTGCTCTCACGGACGGTTGGGGTGTCGATAATCGGCTTGATGGCACTTTCCTCCAGGTATGTCGCGGCAGTGTACCAAGCGTCGTAGGTACGGCTGAGATACTTCATGACATGTGGAGGAACCTTGAAGCGCGGGCTGGCACGCACAACACCTTCAAGAAGAGCTTGTATAACGTTGGGCCGCTTGTCCAATTGGCGCTGGTGGTACTCGCGAGTGAGCAGAGTGACCATTCCCTTCTCAAGATCGATGCGATCATCCTTGGTCAAAGTAGACCAGAAGATAGGGAAGAGCGTGGTCCACAGCTTGTAGGCCACCTGTGGGTCAGTATGCTGGAGCTGAGATAGAGGCTCAATCAAATCGCGAACCCTGACGTCGCCGATGTCGGACATGAAACGCCTACGTTCAGCGACAAAAGTTTCTAGCTGGCTATCCACCATAATGTCGGGCTTTCTAGAATCCTTTTCGCCACCTGTAAAAAGGAACGAGAGAGGGTACAAGGTGAAATCATCTTGGTGGAGTCGAGCCGTGGTGTTCATATCAACACAACCAAGGACCAGGTGAGAGGCTTGGGTCAGCCAGAAAGAATCAGCAAGAGTATCCCAGTTCTGGCAAGTCAACACGTAGCTCAATCGGGAGCTTGCAAGGCGAGTCAAACTCTTATCGAAAATGGTCATAAACCGATTCCGCATCTCGACATCTTGAGCTCTAGTACCGATCAAAAAGGCATGCTCCAGTCTGACGGTCAACTCAGTACGGGTAATCTTGGAGTCCTCATAGATGCGAATGACGAGATCAAGGAATTTCTTCAGCATAGTCTGATCAGGCCGAGACTCGAAGAGCAACATCTTGTGCAAGACGGCTGTCTTCTCCTTCAGGGTGGGCCATGACTCGGTCGAGTGGAAAATCCAAGACTCAGCCATACCCAAAACCTTACTACACAACTTGATGTTCTGGGACCGCTCAACGATTGAAGCCAGTACGCTGAGGAATGGACGACGCTGATCACCAAGATGAGACATCCGAACGGAGATGAGCTCAATGGTCTTGAATATGAGATCAACACCCAACTCAAACTCCTGCTGATCAGGAACTCCTTCAGCAGGCTTCTGGCCCGTCTGAGGCTGTTGACCGTTCTGGTTGGTAGAGGCGGCAACGTGTTCTTTGGCAAGCTTCTGCGAGAAGGCCTTCATGACAGCAGGAATGTGCGTATCGATCTCGGCGGGTTTGAGCTTGGAGAGTGTCCAGAGCGTGTTCAAGCTGGCAGTGTAGTTGCTGGCTGAGAGAGTCTCAGTGGCAATCGCCGAGAGGAATGTAGCAAACTCCGACGGGGTGCTCTCAGTATCCATAGCATCTTCATCGTCAGGCTGATCGTCCGGAATGGCCTCGAGGACACGGCGAACGGGAGGCGGCAACTTAGGGGAAATATCCATATCATCCTCCAGACCATGCAAACAATCTTGAATCTCAGGGTTGTCAGACTTCAGAGGCTTTTCAAGGAGCTTCTGTATTGTTGGGAGACGAGCCGTAATCCACTCGTCAGGCTTGGCCGCAATAAGCACCCGCAAGACCTGCAAGGCGTTGACGATGGGAGTGATCTGCTTATCATCGGGCTTATCTGCCTTTTCTCCGGTTAGGATGGGCTCTGTCACCTTTTGATAGAGATCGATGTCCAGATCTCCCCAGTAGTCCTTCGAAAGCAGGTTCCGGAGAAGCTTGACAGCCTTGTTGATCATTTCACCGGTAGGAACAGCCGGCGGAGGTGGCTGCTTATTGGTGGTCATTTGGCGAATTTGAGCAGCGGGGACCAAAAAGCGCTCAGGAATGATGGTAATGAATGTGATGAGATACTTAATCAAAGTGCCACGGAGCTCAGGAGGTACTGTGTAGTCTGACCGTTCCCGGCTGGATGGGGGTCCAAGCGAAGGAGATGCGGAGGCTGTCTCCCGGGTTTCCTCCAGCTTGCGTTTCCTCGCATTCGGCGACTCAATAACTCCATTGGGCACGGTAGAGCTTGCTTCGGACAGCTTAACACGCTTCTCCTCCCAAAGCCAGATAAGGTCAATCAGGTTGAGAGCCAACTTCTTGCTGTCGTTTGAGGTGTTGGGCGGGCCAGCAATCTTCATAAGCGAGGGGACGATGAGAGGCACGAAATGTTCCCGAGACTCGTAGAAGAGACCTGGCTGTCGCACCAAAAACTGGAAGATGCTCATAACTTGTTGCAAATTGGCAGTCTCCTCGGCCAATATACGGCGAGGCCATTTTGCCCACAACGGATAACGCGCTTCAGGACCTTGGTTGCCGGAGGTCCGCGTGGGTAGAACAGGAGCCAAAACATCAAGGGCTTGAGTAACCAGAGCTCGCCCTTCATTTTGATGGGCTCTCAGCAAGGCAACATAGACCTGAATCACAATCTTGAAAGGTGTCTCATAGTGGGCGATGAAGTAGCTGATCAGTACGTAGGCGCCATATTTATTGATGATGTCCTCAAGGCGGATGTAGTTCCAGGCAAACTTGATGATGTCTTTCCGAGAGTCCTGCACAGTGTGGTGATGATACTTGATCAACAAGGCAGACAATTGCAGCAACTCCATGCGGGAATGATCGACTCCAGCTTGGCTCGACTCCTCGCTCAAATCAGCCAGTTGGGGCTTCCACAGGCGACTCTGGATGGATTCAGTCATGCTTTTATCCATCAGCTTAGGGGTATTTGCCGGGCTATTCCACGTGGTCTGAACGTCCATGGCAAATATCGGGTTTACCAGGTGGCGGAATGCATAAGTCTTGGTCTTCTGGGAGCAAGCTCGCTGACCGTAAAGGTCGAGGCAGCGCATGATGACAGATCGCCGGTAGTCAATCGATTCATTGGTGATGATATGGTTATAGACGAATTTGGGAAGAGCCAGCGTACGCTTGAACTCGTCGACAGATAATCCATCAATGACCTCGAACAGGAAATCCAGGTCGTGCGAAGCTTCCGCCAAGTAGACGGTAAAGATATCCATCAACTGGTCTTCAGCCTGCTCGACACGGAGACGCTCACCAGGAGGCAAGCTATCGCCTCGCAACTTCCGCTCCAGCTCTCGCCCAGAGGTCAGGAGCTTATTCCTCAGATCCGCGTGGGAAACCAGCCAACGCTTAGTGGAAGTGTATGAGCAAATGGAGTGTGCAACGTAAACACCATTGATTGCAGCAGTGTTCCTCTTCTCGTCCGTACCATCCTGCCCAAACGCGATTGAGGTGAAATTGTCGGTGTCAGCCACCACGGCATTGCGCAGAGCCTCACTCTCCGGGTCGGCTAAGATTTGTCCAAAGAAGCGGCCATAGCCCTCATCCTTAAAGCGAGCAAGGAAAAATGCCAAGCTCTCCTTCGGGTAGCGGTTGAGATACTTAACAAGAGGCTTGCGGAAGGGGCTGTGAGATGTTCTCCGCAGCTTCTTCTCGAGATCAAGAACCTTGTCGATAAGGTTCTCCATGAACGATGTGGCGGCTGGGGGAAGGAGATGGAAGATATTAAATATCGCGGCCACAATCTTCATGGAGGGATTCTGCTCGACAAGGCTAAATGATACTTTTTGCAATGTGGCATCATCTGCAATGATCTTCATATGGTCCAGAAGACGGGCACCAATCTCGACCTTGAAGTAATTGGTCAAGAGTGTTAAGAGGCGAGCCAGGCCATCCAAACCGGCAACACTTAGGCGCTTGGGATCCTGCAGGTTCATGAGAATCGGGCGTAGACCATTCTGGAGCAAGTCTTTCGGCAGCTTGTTGGTCTGGGTGAGAACATCCTTCAAACCAGCATTCGCAGCTTCGATGACCTCTGAGGCGCGCGAGTAGAGGGACTTGAAAAAGACGGAGATGATTCGGGCGCGACTAGTATTCTGCGGAGTGTTCGCAAAGTCAGGGAAATTCATAGCCATGGACAGGAGGCGTAAGCAAGCGACACGCAAATTCACGATCATGTCGGCATTCTTGAATTCATTCGGCTTGGAAGCAAGCGAGTCATCATCAGCGTCCGCAAGGGCGAGAGACTCCAGCATCAGTCGATTCAACGGCTCATTGAAGCTCACAATTTCATTGTGCAGGCTCAAGCAATAAGTGATGGCATCAATGAAGCCAATTTGCGTGGCGAAAGGCAAGGCACGCAGGGGCTTGTTGAAAATTGACTGGAGAAGGCGATCTCTAACAGGATGAATAAGCTCGTGCACTTCGCAGCCCAGTTCCACCTTCAAAGTGGCGAAGCAGAGCTTGGATGTCTCTCGAACATGCTTGTTCATATGGCCAAGCTCATAGACGAAAAGCCCGCAGAGGGAGAACAGACGGCTCTTCTCATTTTTGAGGTCCTCCTTGGGAATAAGCTTGCCACAGCGCTGAAGAATCAAAGTCATGGTCTCCTGAGACTGGACACGGGTGGAGGCAGGGAGGTCGGCGGGTGTGTCCTTGATGACATAAAGAAGAGCGCGAGAGAATTCAACATGTCGCTCATAGAGCCAAGAATCTCCGAGCTCCAGTTTGGTTGCCAGGAGCTTGATGCCCAAACTTCCACCAGCCTTTGTGAACCACTCTTCACTGTGGCAGCTATGACAGAACACCCTGCCTAAGTGCTGAAAGAATGGAAGCTTAGAAGCTTTCTCTGGAGCTCCAAACATGATACCAGCAGCTTCCTTCACGACAAGCATTGCCTGTTCCGCAGCCTCCCGAACATGGACGCTGTCAGACGAAAGGCACTCGACAATGGCCTCAGCCAGGACCCGAGAGTCTAGGTAAACTGGTCCCTCTCCGTTCGCCACATCGAAAGGCTTACGGTTGTGGCGGGCCTGGGCGAGAGCCCGGCCGACCTCGACGATGGCAAAATGTTTGCAAACATCGGCGACAAAGGCAGACGCAGCTGGCTCAAGTTCCGAGACGGTAGTAGCGAAAATACAGGCCTTGAGGAGCTTCTTCACCGTGGCTTCCTGCGCCACTTTTTTCGGGATAGATGCTGATCTCTCGGATTTCTCGAGAATGTCAACCATAGCACCAGCCTTGCCCTCAAATAGATCATTGGCGTGAAGACGAATCAGAGGAGCCAAGTCATCAGGAAGATTCTCGAATCCAATCTGAAGCTTGAGGTGCGAGCTCACCATACGGTAAGCCTGCTGCTTGTAGTAGATCTCCGAGGCCTTGGGTGTTGCTGGCTTGGATGCCTCCATGAGTTTGCCAATAGCCAGGTCGATACCAGTGTCCACAGGAAAAGGCCGCTTTTCGCTCGGACCAATAAGTCGAATGTCGAAACTTGGGTTGTCATCGGAGTACTGTTGGAACGACAACTCCGGTGGGTGGTTCAAGAACTTGCGGTTACGACCACCTAGCTTTCCGAGGATGCGCATAGTGGTGTGAGCATGAAAGTGGTTGTATGGGTGGGGTCGGAGGTGGTCCCAAAGCGCAGTCATCAGTTCGTCCATGATGGGAGACATGATTGGATCGAGGTAGTCGGCTGTCAAGTTGTCCACGCAAAGCTCGAGTGTGCGAAGACCTTGGCCGACAAGGTCAGAATCGGCGCGCAAGGCAACCACAATTGGTCGCATGAGGTAACTCAGGTGAGGCAGAAGGTGGCTTAATCGTGCAGGAACGGTCAAGGTCAGCTCAACGTAGAGATCCCGCTCCTGGGGCTTCCGAGCAGCCAGTAACAGATTATTGAACGTTTCCAGCAGCATCTCCAAAAGAGGAAGAATCTCCTTATAAAGAAGCTCGAAACGTCCACCGCCAATACTACGGAACAGTGAACGCAAGAGAAGGAAGTAGTTCATAGGTTCCTCGGCCGTGACTGACAGCTCAATACACTTGGTGACGATCTTTGTCACATGGGGGTGAAGAACCTGCTCGTTCTGCACAGAGAAAAGGGTCACAGCCATGAACGAAAGCTTGAACATCCTGAGGAGAATCTTCGCCTTGGTCATATCCGAGGTTCCAACCTCATGGATACGCTCCATGAGGTACTGCAGCACCATTCCTGAAAATGCTGGCGAGGTCGCTTCACTGGCGAGGAAGAATTGTGGAAGGTGCAGTAGAGCCCCATGCTCAAACATGAGTTCATGAAGGTAGGGGATTTCCGAATGGAAGACCTCGTGAAATGTTGCAGTGTCGATGCAGTGGAAGACAGTGCCGAAGCTTTCCAGAAGCTCTTTCTCTTCTCGTGACATGGGAGCTGTGTACTGACTAGCAAGGAAGTCGAATGGAGAAGAATAGTTCATCTCAGGGGGAGACTGGTCCACGCCGTAGTAGCGGAAGACACGCGCACCCTCATGGAAGAGCTTCTTGATGACCCGAACTTCCTCGGCATTGTACCCATAGGATACCTCGGACCAGTTGATGGGCACACTGTTGGGGTCAATCTGGATATCGTCTGGGTTGCAGTTCTTCAACTGGTGGAAGATGTTCTTCAAGCCGTTAATTAGGTTCCTGAAGAGGAAAATGTTGTCCGAAACAGGGTCTCCGCCACGGTCGCGGGGGCTGGAGGTCTTGATCGGAGACGCAGAGAAGATGTCAATTTCATCCCAGTCAGGCGGCTGGTCCTTCTCCGCAAGGTAGTTTTCGGGGCTTGGTTCGTCCTTCCGAGACTCCTTGTAGGCCTTAGACACCTTCACCGCATTGTTGAACTGATGGTTCATAGAGGCGAATTTGTCTCCAATAGCATCCAAAATCATGATCAAGAAATAGCGAGCCTCGCGCTTATCCTCAAGCTTGGAAATCTTCTCGGCCATGTTCAAGAGCAGCTTGGCACTCATCGTTTGGAAACTTGTGCCTGGGAAGTCATCATGCAGGTTCTTGGTATAAACTTCAACAGTCCGACGGATTTGGTCACGGCTAAGATGATCTCGAACATGGTGGATCAGATCGGCAAGCATGCTATACGCCAAGGGGCGCATAGTCTCGTAGACGGTGAGGCCATCACCGATAAGAGTGCGCTCGTCGAGAAGTTCATCGATCTTCTCGAGGAAGATCTTTCGATAATTAAAGTTGATGATATGTCGGATCGCCACAAGCAACTCCTTCCGAGCGCCAGATTTCTCTCGAGGACAATCTTGGAGAAGTCGGACAACAACGGATGGCAGCGTGGGAAGAAAATCCTGCAGTTGGTGGGCATATAGGCGAAGCAGATAAGCCAAAAAGCTCATTGTCTTCACTTGGGCAGTAATAAACTCCCCAAATGCCGCGCGGTTCTTGATCTCTTTGCAAACCCCAGTGAATATTGTGCCCTGGTTCGCAGCATCTGTGTGTGCCTTTTCTTGCGGTTTGGCCTGCAGAAGCAAAATCGATTTGATAAGCGGCACAAAAAGCTTGACATTCTGCGCAACTGAAGCGCGATGGGTTTGGAAGATTGAAACGACGATGATAGGGCATTCAGCTAGAACCTTGAACGACTGCATTCCCTTCAGGATCACATTGCTTGCCTGCTGGTCAGGGCCCAGGTCTGACACAGAGGTGGCAGGAGAGCTCGGTCGAGGAGATTGGAAGTTTGGTGCGCTGGCGTTCGGTGTTGAAGGCATACCGGATGGTGTCGCTTGGTTAGGAGTGTCGAAGGTATCCCGGACCACCTGATCCATGGTCTGGAACATCTCTTGAATGAGCTCCAAGAAAGGCTGCACCCGTGCCGCGGTAGCCTTTGCCTGATTTCGCTCCAGATCCATGATTGTCTTCATACACAGGACCGCATTTTCTTCGTTCTCAATGCGCGCGAGGTCCATCAACACATCCACCATGTCCGCAGCGTACGGTTCGACATCGGGGGAGGCTGTCGGTAATCGGTGAAGGGTTTCGAGGATACAGTTTCGGAGTTTCTAGACAGTATTAGAGAATTGAATATTCTGCGCGAACGTGACCATTGAAAGTGATTGCGCCCTCAATCAGGCCGACGGGCTAGCTCACCTGCTCATATGACATGCTGAAAAAGACTGGATCTCCTTTCAAAATGGTTTTGAAAACAGGCCATAGCTTTGCCAAGAACACGGGGTAGCTTGCTCCCTGGCAAAGCGGCTCGATGCTGTCGCGCAGCTCCGTTGCGACATTTGCTCTGACTTTCACGTCTGCGGCGAGCAAAAGCTGGTCAATAACGTTGCGGGTTCAAGGATAGTAAAAGATGCATCAGTCCGATAAACACATACCCAGCTTCTCATCCCCCAATTTGCTGGAGTAAATATCGATATTGCGCTCCATGGCGGCGATCAAGCCCCTCCGAAGGGCCAGTCAAGGAAACAAGACTGCAACCACGGCCAGGCCCAGTGGCCGCCTGATATATCTCCAGCCCGCGCAGCGTTCTCAAGTCAAAATCGTCGGGTCATAAGCGAGTAATGGGGTTGAATCGAAGCACTGCGGAGGTCGTGCAATATCCTCGAAAAGATCGATCGGAGACAGATGGTAGAGCGAGGCTGGGGATTCGTCAAGTCATTTAATTGCAAAAGAAGGATAACCTAGTCCATTTGAAAGATTCGCTGGCGGCAAGGCACGAGAAAAGAAGGAACCCCGTGGGGGAGGGGGTGGGAGAGCTAAGGTAATTGGGAGGATTGGAGATTGAAGCGCGCGACCTGGCCCCGAACAGAAAGCGCAGGAGAACGCGGGCTATCGCAGAGACCCCGAACGAAAGACTAGTCCGTTTTAGGCAGTCCGGCACCGGTTGTTCCGCACCGGTTTGCGCGCGTCTATCAAGCGATTAGACGCGCGGGTACCCCAGGGGTCAGGGCAACTCACCAGAGAGGATATATAATAGGTGGGCGGAAGAGATGCGGGGAGTTTTACTTGTGCTGCTACCTAGTTCAATGTGAGGCTAAATAGGAAGTCCAACATATTACAAGCAATTAACACCCACCTAAGAGAGGCTTGCTGTCGCCTCTCCCGGATACTCTACGATACACTTCGGAAGTCTCATACTAGGTATCACCCTCAACACACAGACCAACGGCAGATTTTGCCCCGGTCAATTACACATCTACTCTTGTTAATAGGTCCTTTGCTACCGTGTAAAACGCTTTTGCCCCGGGCGATATCATGTCTCAGTACTGGTCTAAACGGAAAACTGGCAACACAAAGAAAAAAAGCCACCGACACGCGGCAGTCGGGAGATAGAACGCCATTTGCACCGATTTTCCATAACCCGAACCCGGTTCTAAGACGGAATCCAGCTCAGAGGGTCCGCTCAGTACTCACAGGCCCATACACGGGGAGCCCGTCAAAGAATGGGAAAAATCAAAAAGCCATGTACACAAATAAAAAAGAAGAAGAAAAGAAGAAGAGGCAAAAGGCAGTCGAATGGGCATCAATTCGGACGAGAGGGTCGATAGTCAAGACACAAAGTAAACATTCGTTGTAGCCCATATTCGCTATGCCATGGTAGGTTTGCAGAAAATTAACGGAAGAAACATAACCATCAGCACACCCCTTCCCCGTCCGAGGCATTATTTAGTCGAGTTGCTGCGATGCAGGATCTGTACATGGGTGGCACTAGTACCGCTGCCAACCGATCGTCGTCGCGGGCGAATCTCGCTGCCGCTACCACTCCGTCGCCTCCGGGAACTACTGCCACCACGAACGGAGCCACGGCGTCGTGTCTGGAGCAAAACGGACGTTTTCACGTTAGAATCACGCTGGCTGTAAACGGGTGGACATGGTCTCTTAGCAAAAGACAATTACGAGGGTAGACGGAGCCAGAAGACAATAATCCAAAAGAAGAAGAGCCGCATGGGAATGCACGCATCTCGACAGGCATCGGAGCAAAAATCATCAAATATGCTCGGGACTCACCGAAGTTGGGGTTCCTTCCCGAGCAGGTCGATCCTTGAGCGCCTCGGCATCCTCCTGGATCTTGAGGGTGTTCAGCCGCTTTTGACTTTCGTTAGTCATGGCCTCCACCTCATCGATTGGCTCTGGCACATTGAGTGCGGGCGCAGGTGGGGGAGGAGCGCCATTCTTCCTCATGGTGGCTTGTTGTTCAATCACGTCCCACCGATCCTGGCGAGTCTTTTCACGTTGGTCGGCGCCGTTCTGGTGCTCGGTGTATTCATGGGAGCACTCATCGAACAGTTGAGGATTAATCTCCATAAACATCTTCATGGCATTATACACCATACTGTGGATAGTCCTGTAGCGCAACGGTGTTAGGCAGGTTGTCGAGGCAATGACAGTAAACAGGTGGGGTCACTAACCGGTTCCAGTGTCCCTTGGAGTTCTCGTAAAGCGGGGCGAACATTATCGGTAGAATGGTTTCCACATTATCGCTCACTAGGTTGCAGAAGTACTCGTTGTTCCAGAAGTAGAGAGCACGCTCGGCAACCTGTTGATGAAGAGAAGAGAGGATGTTAGAAAGTAAAATTCGTAGTAGGGACTCTTCCATGATACATACCTGGAAGTGTGGGCTGGCGACAGATTTGGCCAGCTGGTGGAAAAGAGGCTCCTGGACCTTGGCAAACTCGGCGGGATCCATCACTTCAAAGATGTCCTCGACCTCGTTGAGATACATGACTTCCTTGGTGCTGTTTGTCTTTGGCCAGTAGCGTAGCAGTCCAAGAACAACCTAGAGCCGGCATATCAGTATCAAAGAAGATTAAGAAGCTTAAAAGTGAGAGGACGATAACTTACATCTTCAGTCAAGCTCGAGTCCTTCTCGAGGAACTGGACGATACAGTATGCCAGCTGAGGATGATACATGCTTAGGCTCTTGACCTTGTGCATGGGTAGCAAGACGCGAGTCAAGAACAGCTTGTGCTCCTCCTTGAGAGGCAGCGCAAACCCGTTGATGATGGAACCCAAAATCTCCAGCAGCTCGGCGATACCGTTGTGTCTCTCGGTCTCGTACATGAATTGGAAGAAGACATTGTTGATAGATCGCCGAATGTATGACCGCAGGTTCAAGAATTTGCCGTAAATTCGATGCAGGGTTGTTTTCAGAAAATCGCGCTCCCGAGGGTCTTCGGAGTCAAAAAGGTCAAGCAACTGTGTTATGATTAGTAAACTGTGAACCTCAAATCAGGAGGCTGCCTAGATCCATACCTGAAGCACAAACTGATGGTCAATATACGCTTTGGCAATGTTTGTGTTGAAGTCCTGGCTCTCGATGAATCGCAAGAAGAACTCGTAGACAACCTGGATGTGGGGCCACGCGACCTCGAGAACGGGCTCGTCCTCCTCCGGGTCAAATGCCTCGCCCTGGGGTGTCATAGGCGGGGGAATCGGGCGAAATAGGTTCTTGGCAAACATCTCCACGACACGAGGGTACATGGGCTCCGTAATGACAGACCGGTTGTTGGCGACGTAATCTAAGAGCTCGTGGAGAGCCAGTCTCTTAATCTCTTTGGACTTCATGTCGGCAGTAGGGTCATTAAAATCGAAAATGATGTTGCACTGATCAATCTTTTGCATAAAGAGATCCTGGCGCCGATTGGGAGCCACCTCATGGAATCCGGGCAACTTCTCCAGCTCTCGCTGACGCTGGTCGGAGATGTCGAATCGCGAGGAGTGTTGGCGCTTAGGGGTTCGGATTCCTTCTGACATGTCTTTCGGGGTGGTCTGAAGGCGATCGAAGACGTGGGACTTTCTCGGAGGCGCCAGGTCTCCAGGCATGGTTTCGGCGGCACCAGGGGGAGGAACATGCTATACGCCGAGAGCAAATTAGTCCAGTCCGATATATAACACTATTATCATGTCTCGCCGAGGCATTATACTTACCGGTGCGCTAGGACTGATGATCACACTGGGTGCAACCGACTGGCCCTGCCTCGTCGGGGTACCCGGGCCATTGCTGATGGGCTGGCCTGCAACGCTGGCTCCTTGAGGTATATAGTGTTGGGTCGGCGTGGCGCCTGCGGCCGGGGTTCCTGCCGGCGAAGCATTGTCCGGCGATTTGCCTCGTGCATCATTCAATGAGGTTGTAGACGATGTGGGGGTGCCTTGGCTCGGAGATGTCGACTGCTGTGTTTGGTGAATGCCGAGGGAGGCTGGGTTCTGGGATGAGGAATTGGAGGAGTCTTTCTTCTTCGAGGACTTGTTGGCGTCCTTTGCCCGCGACAACTGCTCGTGCTGTAAGGTTAGGCAAAAGATGTCAGCTTGGGTGAGAGTCGAGTAAGGGGGTTCACCATTTGCAGGGTGGGGGGAGGGGAGACGGGCGGAAGTGATGGTGCGGTGAGCAAGCACACCGATGACAAGGGTGACGACTTACCACTCTCTGTCTGAATCCCTTCATTTTCACACTGGTATGGACAGCCACATGTACTCCGCTGTTGTTCTCGGTGCTAGTGCAGGCGGGTGCTGCACTCTAGCCAGAGCGAATCGGACGTGAGGCTAACGGGGGAGGGGGCGGGAATTATTTGTATGGACCTAGTCGCAGAAACTCATGAGCGTTCCATAACAAATCACACATAAGACGTCCAATATTCCGTGGAACAATCTCCAGCAATCGCTATCAGACAATCCCGAAGGAGGGTGGTGAGTGCCAATGGCCGTCACCCCAGAACGGGTGATGTCGCAGCACGCGCACGGGGCAAGGCGCTTCGATGTTGGGGAGCAAGGACCGAGGGAGGCGAGGCGGCAACGAAGGGCGGGCAAGACGTACCTCTATGACCTGAGATGGGACAATTGGCGTTCAAGGTGCACAGAGGACTGGGCTGAGTGGCGCAGAGGTTGGTATAGGACGAGCGTGCTTGGTCCGCTCTGAGAGATCTCCGTGTCGCTTAGTGGCAGGCTGGGGCGGGGGGTTCGAAAGCGCCAGAGCCGATTACACTCCGCGACCAGAACCGAATCAACGGGTTTCAAAAGAAGCTGGCAAAGGCCAGGGAATGCAACGGGTCGATTTTAGGGATGCTGGCGGGCGAGTGGGTTGGGGAGGAGGAGGAAAGATAGCGGAGGGTGTTGTTGAGGTAAAGGGAAAGGCGGGTTCTCCTGGCTGTGATGGAGATGGGGGAGGGGGCTTTGACTCCCAAGTCCAGCGCACGCAGCGCGCGACTTTCTTCTACAGTCGCAAGTACTTGTGCTATATCAGTCTCTGTCTTCTGCGATCAGTCTACGCTATTTGACTTTTATTTCCACTGGGCGTACCGCATCGCTCCCATGTTCACTCTATTTTTGTATGCCTTTTCCCGCTTCTTTTGCTGCTTATGTCATGGTCACGTGTACACATCCCAGGGGGAGGATGAAATTAACCGATCGAACTCGAGTCCTCCACGACAGTTTTTACAAGACTAAAGTGATTCATTGCGAGCGATTCAAGTGCATCCCAGAGGAGGGGTGCTGGGTCTTTTTTGTGTCTTGTTTAGTGACTATCTACATGGACCGGAGTTGTTGAAATTGTGCTCAGTGATTGTCGACCACTTGGGCAAAATATATATCTAGAACCTAGGTAGGCGTTGAAATCTATACACACTTTCACTCGAAGCTTTTGTTGACGTGAACCTGGGAAATTTCACTGAAGAAGGAAGTTGAGTGCCGAGAAACGCTTTTTTTTGTACAGCAAACCTCCAGTTCTCACTCCCACCCCCCTCGTGTCACAATAATCTTAAAACAAAGCGAACCGTGGTCCGCCGCCTCGATCGGTAGCTTAGTCAGCCACACGCAGCCCTTCCCAACTGCGCTTGTGGAATGTGTCGCTGGAGACGAAGAAGACTCGTATCGCACATTGATTTGGAGAAGCGGTGAGACGGAGAAAGCGTCTAGTTCCTCGTCGCTCAGACTGTGGAGGAAATTGCGGCCCATAGGTCTTATTTGGTTGCTACGAGCTTGTTCGCGACCCACCATCAAACCGAATCATTCGGATCACATCTGTGCAGCCCGACGCCTATAAGCAGGGCTGCTAAGACGATTGATGCGTAGCATATCTCAACTCTTCCTGCTTACGAGAGAACTCGACTCATAATGGAGACTCATCGTGAGTCCAGGACCGCCTCTTTCTACCACGTTCCGGCCCGGCACCTGGTCAGCGTCGAGCACCCTGCGGTGATTCGCAACCTTGAGAAGGCCGTGAGCACCCTCCAAGGTAACACAGGGATCGAGAGGGTGAGCCAAATGAAGCCATATTGTCCGTAAGCCGACGAATCCTGCATACTAACTAGATATAGATCCTGAATCCCGCCAAGGCGGACACCTCCGCCAATCTGATGCTGAGGCCAGAAGATGCTATGTCACGGCCCATTCAGTCAACCAGCTGTCCATCAAACAATGTCCTGCTCAAAATCACAGTCCCCAAGCGGACAGGTCGAAAGCGCAAGAGGGGCACGGATGAGCCCTTCACTGATGCCACTCCCGAATCTACCGGAGAGCCTCTGCGGCGGCGGACTGCGAAGGATACGATGCGCAGTCTTAGTGACAACCCCTCAAATTACAGGGTTGAAGCTGTAGGAAGGGTCGGGCGGACCCATGTGTTCCGAGGTGTGTTTTCGCTCGTGGTTCCTTCGGGTCTTGTTAGTTTGACTGATAGACCCAGGCATGCCCGATTTTGTATATTCGACGATGAACAGCGCCTTCACCAACAGGTTCCGGGAGCAGATCCTGCCATATGAGTGTACGGTCGCAATTCCTGGGAATAGTGACCAACAGCTGACACGCGAAAAGTGGAGAAAATCAAGCAGTTCGATCTTGATATGAGGAAAGGTGCTCTCTTGAACGCGGATCTTATCCCACCACCTTCCTTTAGCCAAGGGGAAGTCCCGTTCCAGTACATGTACGTACCTCTTCTATCATCTCCCAAACCAAAGAGATATCGAGCAATCTCAAACTTGCTAAACACTCGCCTACATCAGATACCGCCAAAACCCAACTGTCAAGACGGCCGTCGGCCAATCTGGCGAGGTCACAACTGTGAACACGCAACAACCAACCAGGGTCCGCACTCACCTCGTTGCCTACGACATCCCAGAAGTCCCATCCAAGCCGCAAGAAAGCCTCCGCCCAATAGAAACCCTCGACAACGGCCTGCGCTCGCTCATCAAAGTTCTCGAGGAGCTCTTCGAAAAGCGCCCAGCCTGGACCCGCCGCGCCCTCCGTAACCACCTCACCACCGATGAACAACGCAATCTCCTCCGCCACGCAGTGCCCTACATCGGCTACATCTTCCGCTCCGGGCCCTGGCGCGACGCCATCATCAGGCTGGGCCACGACCCGCGCACCTCCCCCGAATACCGCCACTACCAGACCTTCATGTTCCGCATACTGCCCCGCGAACCTGAGCTGGCCCGCGACGGCGGTGGCGGCCGTCGCCACAACATCCCCCGTCCGATAACCGAAGACCCCAGTCAGGGAAACGGCCTATCAGACTCGCACATATTCACCGGCGAGCTGCCGCTGCCGCGCGATGGGCGAATCTGGATGGCATGCGACATCCAAGACCCGGTGCTCGCAGAGGTGCTCTATCCGGCCGACCCGGATCCGACCTTCCTCCGACCAGCGTGCGAGATCATCACGGACGGCTGGTTCGGCAACGGCACGCTGGCCAAGGTGAAGACGATCATGCGCTTCAAGATCCAGAGCCTTATCGAGGACCGGGCGCCGCATAACTCGGATTTCCGGCGCATCGTAGCGTTCCCGGATCATGCGTATACCGAGGCTGATCTGGGTCTGTTCACAGTCCCTTTGGAGAGCTCGATTAGTCGGGAAATCTCTATGGCGACCGAGGTCAGGGCTTCGATTAAGGGGGCACCATTGTGGCGGAAGATGCATGATCGGGGACAGGGCGATCTTGATGGGGAGAAGGTGCAGAGGCAGAAGCAGGGGCGGACGAGGGGGAAGGGCAAGAAGACGAAGGTAGTAGCGTTTGAGATGGAGGAGGAAGAGGAGGAAGGGGATGGAGATGGAGATGGTGGCGGCGAGGAGAGTGAGGGCGAAGAAGAGGAGATGGAGCGCGTGGAGATGTGGGAGGAGCAGGCGGCGGCTGCAGTGGCGGCGAGAGAGGCTGCATTGGCCGAGGAGGATGAGAATGAGAACGATGAGGGGGAAGCCGAGGGGGATGAGATGGAGGGTGACGAGTGAGAGCAACCTGGAAATCGACGAGTTGCATGAATGCAGCTTTTCTTGTCTACCAACCCTAGCAATTCCTACCTTAATAGTTCAAACGTCTGGCCTGGTCGCCGTTTCACCACCAAAACCTGATATGTCGAACTCTATGACAACACATACATATGTGTAGCAATTTGCCGTTTTGGGGGCTTCTACATATGCTCTACGTAGACACTGGTATATCTTTATAGAGAAGGGTTTATAAATTATTATAAATATTATAAAGGGGTTGGCAAGCTATAAACGGCTAACCTCCCTCTCCCTCCCCCCTTTAGAAAGAATATGTAGGTAGATAGCCCGACATCCGATGTACAATAGGAATTTTAATACAAAATCATCTAGTTGAACACCGCTTGTGTCTCATAGGATTGAGTAGCTATTTTTCTACCCTTTGAAACAGATGGTACTGCCAGCAAGGATCAGGAAGTAGTTTCATGGTAAATCATGTCAATCATTGCTCAAACAAGTTTTGCTGTATACATCGTGAACTCGGAACAGACATCAAGACACTCAATAATTAAATCCGAATGAGAGCAAAGCATATGCAATTGACGGGGAGAAAAAGACCCGAAGCATCGTACTCAACACACCACAAAATTGGCCAGGGTATTCAAAAAGGCAAGACAACGCAGTTATCAGCAAGCATCAAGACATCAACTCCATTAACCAAAAATCATCATCATAGCGCCATATCATAAAAATACCAGTACCGTAAGGCCGAACCAGGGCCGGAAACAAAACGCCGGGACGAATGCAAATGTAAATTTATAGAGATCGATCTTGAGGATCCAGATTTGTCCCTATGAGGCATCCTCGGCTGGACGAGAGCTCTCCGCAATCTCATTGCCGGCATCAATAGCCTCGGCAGTCTGCTTGAGCGGGATTGCCGTCTCCAGCAGCGAAGCGATGGACGTAGTGATGGCAGGCGGGACAAAGATAGACTGGGACGGAGGAGTCATCTTCTTGGACGTCGGGACATTCTCGTTCGGCTCATCATGCACTACGGCGAACGAGAACGCATTGCAGTCCTCGGGGTAATAATCGGCAGCATTGAGCTCGCCGAGCGGGGCGCGGTCCTCCTCCATCTTGGAGGCCTTGCGGGCGGCAGCGGCAGCGGCCATCGCCATTGCCTGACGCGAACGAGGCAGGTCAATGCCCACCTCAGCAGGAGGGACGTTCTCCTTGCCGCGGCCATCGGCAGCAGCGTTCTTTCCCTCGTCGTCACTGATATCGAGCACCCCGGTCGAGTGCTGCATCAGGTTGGTCATCTCCTCCTGCTCCGAGTCGACGTGGATGTCGAAGAACCACGAGGCCGGGCCCTTGGGCGTCGAGGGGGCCTTGGACTTGCCCTGGGCGAGAGCGGTGGCTAGGGAGAAAGGGCGAGCGACGCCGCCGCGCTTGCTGGGCTCAGGACGGGCCTTCACGATGGTCGACCGGCGACTGGAGAGGGACTTGATGGACTTGGGCGGGGGCGAGCGACCCGCGGGCTTGAGGATGGGGGCGGATTTGGGGGTTGACAGGGATAGCTTCGACGGGGTGGAGAGCCGGGGGGCGAAGTTCATGTCGCGGGTGGATAGAGCCATGCGGGAGGCCTTGAGGGGCTTGGGCGAGCCCTTGGAGATGTCGTCTTCGTCAATGGTGCGCTTGCGCTTACCGGAGACGCCGAGGGCGTGGGGATCGATGTTCTCGGAGTCGTCGATGAAGATGGAGCTTTTGGCAGACATTGCCGCGCCTGCAGGGACGGGGAGGAGTTGCCATTAGATTCCATGTATTCTTTGGCGAGGTGCATATCAAGGAATACAAGCAGAGCTTACCATTTTGCTGGTTCTGGCGGTTCAGCTTCGACCGCATCAGGGGACGCATCCTGAGGGTATCCAGGCTGGCAAAGGGCTGGCGAGTGGGGGGAGTCATGGTGAGAGCAGCCATGACGAGGAGTTGAGGCAACAGGAGCACGCGAGAGTCGGCCAGGTGATTTGTTTTGGCGTCGCGGCGCCAAGTGGGGAAGGATGGGCGGTCTACGCTCGGACAGTCGATCGTGAGATCGAGCCGGAGAATCGGATGGTTGGATGATCAGATAGGTTGAAAATGAGAAGCAGGAGAAGGAAAGGAGCCGTATTTGTTTTGTCTCTGGGCTGAATGATCGGAGCACGCAAGTCAAGTGGTGGTCGTCAGCATAAGGAGAGGGAATGGCAGATCCGGCCGAGGAAACCACTACGGGAAGGAGAGGATGGCTCGCAGAGAGAGGCGAGGTCGTGTCGAGATTCGATAAGTGGGACAGGCAGGTGGCAAGAGCATATAGTTATAGTACGGCTCAACCCTTCTTCGAGTGGAGGAAATTCTCGGAGTAAGGAGGTGTAGAGACGCTGGTGGAGGGTCAAGGGGAGCGCAGGGCTATTTCAAGGTCTCACGCATTGCAGTGGTGCGCAGCGGCGCGTCTTGTTCGCGTTCGCATGCAAGGCGCCATGAATTTCAGGCGATTGGACCATGCCAGCCCAGCAGTGGCGTTCATGCAGGCGGGCACAATTCCATTCTCCAATGGGACCCGGAGCTTATTCTGGGCCCTTGGAATGCCGGACGCGATGGTATACCGTATGGTCCAGTATAGTTCGATAGGTTGTGGTTCAAGCACGGGTTTCCGGGACCAACAATCACTATTGATTGAGTATGGGGAGACGTGCACTACCAATAATAGCAGGACTCCGTACTATTCGTGGACACCTGCTGGAGTCAAAGCGATATCCCACGATGGCCGGGCGGATGCCGACCGATCACAGCGTATCCCTGCGGCGCGTCGGGCGAGTCGCGGGTACCTCCCTCGACTATGCACATCCCCCGCCCCACAAGTACCGAGTACTTCCCGACGCGCGACACGCCTCGCGTCCAACCCCCCTCCCTTACACTGCGCGCGATATCATTACTCTTACATACATCGCCATCACGCTTCCAAATCCAGTTTCACGGTCCCACCATCCGACCCGCTCCTGCCAACGCATCCGTCCTCGCGCCATTGGCCCCCATCGGTCACTCGGAAAAGAGGCAGGACGATGAAACCATGCGCGGATGAAGCAGCCAGGAGAGACAGTTGGGGCCGAGATGCTGGCTAAGGGCGTCTACAGACCTCCAGGTTCTCCCCCGTGCGCTGGGCAAAAAGGCTGGAGAATGCAGTGTAGTGCCTACGTCCAGCTCAGACCCTAGGATGGTCAGTCCTACAAGTATGCACTCTGTGCAACCCCCCGGCCCCAACTATCCGGGCGCTGTCGCGGACGTGTAGAATTTACCACAGCCCGTCTGAGCCTGTCGTCCATTCTTAGTTCCTTCGTGAAGGGTGCAGGGCGTGTCGGCCACATACTTTTGCTCTCCACGCTCCTCGTGGGCTGGTCACAACGCCATCCCCGTCATCGCACATCCTAGTCGCCGCATTCCGCAACGGCATAAAGGGCCAAAGACCTGTCCTTCTCGCTGAGGGGCTGCCTGTCCAGGTTCCTGGAGGTACTCCAAGGGGTAAGCGAGAGGCTGATCGGACAGGGGACGACTCGGAGCATAAGAAATCAAAAATAGATCGCCGTCCACTCGATGATATAATGATAATGTACATGACCTCGTTCTATCCCTTCTCGTCTGAACCTTCAGGTGACCTCATCCTCAAACGGAATGCTGTCCATCGCACCCTGCCGCTCCACGGCGCGAGCGGAGGCGCGTACTGCCAGCCGCATGCCCTTGTCCATGACCGTCTGGTACCGGTGCGGCTTCTCTGCATCAGCCAGGTCCTGCCCAGCCTTGTCCTCCACACGACGCTGCTCGCGCCACCGTGCCACCTGCACCGCATACGCTCCAACGAACGTGTCCCCCGCCGCCGTGGTGTCTAGCACCCGCGACACGGGTGCGGCGGGGATCTCGTTCGTGAAGCGCCGCACACCATCGCTTGGCCCCGTAGATCCTCCGTCAGTAGCACTATACCAGACCCCCTTCGCCCCGAGCGTAATCAGCACATAGCTCACCCCCAGCTTGTGGAAGTACCGGGCGACTTTCTCCTTGCCGTCCAGGCCCGTTGCGTCCGGGACGACGCGGAGTAATTGTTCGTCCGGCGGACTCATCAGCTCGGCCTCGGTCTCGTTGAGGATCAGATGGTCAACCGCTGCGTAGACGTCCTCCGGCAGGCCGCCCGGCGGAGCCGGAGCCGGGTTGAGCATGACGTCGGGTCCGCACTCGATGCCACGCATGCCCCGAGCGCGGTTCTTCGCCTTGAACGCGGCGAGTTCACGGAGGATCCCGATCACCGTCTGCACTGGGATCTCGCCCTGCATCACAATCACGTCTGGCACGGGGCTGGCCAGCGCGGAGGCCAGAACGTCCGGCGTAGGCTGCATGCCCGTGTAGTTAGCGCCGGGCGAGAACACGATGCGGTTCTCGCCGCCGGCGGATGAGTCCACGATGATGACTGCCACGCCGGTGTATGCGTTCTCAACCACCCGCACGCGTGACGGGTCCACGCCGGATTTCTCGAGTGTGGGCTTGAGCACGGCCGAGAAGTGGCCGTCCAGCGCGCCGACTGCGCCAACCATCTCGACGGTTACATCGCTCTTGGTGTTTAGGCCGTCGGTGGCCGGCTGTGGACGGGACAATCGGCCACAGGCCACGGCTTGGTTGGCGCCTTTGCCGCCGGCGCTGGTGAAGTAGGATGATGAGGTGATGGTCTCGCCGGGATCGGGGAAGCGGGGGGTGATCGACACCATGTCGGCGTTGAGGGAGCCAATGACGCGGATGAGAGGGGCCATGGCCGTGGCCGGTTATTTGGAGCGGTTTCTGGCTTGGTGTTAATAGGTCAAGATGTGTTTGAGAGCTTCGAGAGAGTGGTCGGCCCTTCCAGAGGTGGGGTATGGGTGTAGGGAGCTTGAGATGCTTAGTTGGGAACCGAGGCTGTGGCTGGGCCCCTCAAAAAGGAGACAATAATCCAGTGTATAGGACAGAAGGTGGGTTCTGTTGATTGTAGCGAAAAATGGGTCAGTTTCGTGGCGACGTGCGGGGAGTGCGGAGAGTTTGTAAGGCGTTTGGACAGGAAGTGACGTGAGGCGCGGGGGTGCTGGTGGTGGGCCGAGCTTGGGCGGCGGCTGATGGGCCAAACGGGGATCAACTAGATCGCGGGGTCCGCCTACTTTCCCACAGCGATCATTAATTAAGGCGGTACAACCTGTACGAATAGTCTGGCATGAGATCAGATCGCTACCTAAATAAGAAATGTATCTTGACCAGGAATATCTTCGGAACAAACAAAAGGTTCGAAAGAGGCCTTCAGTAGCATCGGCAGAGTCTTAAGGACGGACGATAAAATGAATATCTACCGAGAAGACCACCAGTGCTTTACTACGCAGGGTGCAGCTCTTTAGTGGAATCTGTGAAATCCCGTACCACACGCTGAATTATAGCTGGGGGCCCTGAGCTGTGGAATCTGGTACTCTTTGATCTCATTGACCGCATGCTCCAGAGCAAGAGCAATGGTAAACATCTCCATCACTCCACAGTTTCGAATACTGCCATGTATATCAGGGTTCTCTATTTTCAAGAAACTGTATTTTGGTATTTTCCTGGTACTGATCGCTAGGTATCAACTCTGTGACCCCGGCTCCTAACCCTACCAACAGAGCTCCATCTCTCCTCTTTTTATTTTCTACCCAGCGGTTGATGCTCGAGGAATAAATACTGTGATACTTTGTCTAATAGTCAAAATTAATTTATGAAGCAACTGGTTTATTCATCGCAACACTCTGATTTAGCGTAAAGGTTAACTATTCATGGCTGATGCGACTCACGATGCCGTCAGGCTGGTGGGTAGATAAGTCATTCATCATGTAGCGGTTGCCAACGAGAGACCAACTCACTCGCACTTTGCACCTTCCTTTTTGACTATCCTCAACCAGGCTTCAGCAACGCCCCAGCAGCCGTGTTTTGCTTTGGGCTGGTTTGTTTTGACCGGCTCTCCATCGCCCCATCTCCATCGCCCCATCTCCATCCCCCGTCTCCATCACCACCCACCACACTCCCGCCATTAATCGATATCTGCCCCATATTGAGCCGCTTTCCTCATTCGGGTCGTCATGGTTGTTGCACTGAAGCATCTTACGGCAGGACTGCCTCATGTGTACCAAAGCCCTACCCCGACTTTCATTCCAGAAGCTCCACCGGCGTACCAAAGCAATATCCAGAAGATCGTCAAGCGGAGTGTCTCTCCCTCCCCTTTCGGCGTTGAAGACGAAGGCAAAGGGAGATACCGACGATCCGCATCCCCGTCGCCTGAAGAGCCGAGACACGAAGAGGTGCAGGAGGTCCCACTCAGCGCAGAGTGCAATGCTGATCACAACGCCCGGGTCACGCCCATGATCACAATCTCCCGCAAGCGCAAAAGATCAGTCGGTCTGACCTCAAATGTGTTCTCACCGGTAAGGTCCGACCAGGATGAGGCTAGAGACTTTGGAAGATTCAAGGGTATCATTGTGCACCGGAGGTTCGAAGAAGCGAAGGCATTTGCAATGCTCATGAACCAGGTGCAACTCAAAATCGAGACGGTCTACCGGCACATCTTCTGGACCGATGGCTCTATCGTCAATCGTTCCTTCGCAGCTGGGGCAGTTGCTTGGAAGCAGCCAGCCACTACGGGGTGGAATACAGAAGGCTTTCCTTATCCTCGGAGTATTCAAAACTGTGAAGTGGTGGAGATGTTTGCCATTGCTCATGCTCTGAAGCGTGCTGTCAATGAGGTCAAGAAGTTCCAGATTTACACAGCTCAAGGCCCCCAGCTACAGCTTACTCATGAGGTATTGGTTTTCACTGATTCCATCGGCGCTCTTGTGAGCATCAGCAAAGATGCCTTGGGGAATCACAGGAATCCGTACTGCGAGCAGGCCCACGTCGTTATCGACTACAGCATTCAGCTCCACAAACTTGGAGTTCATGTGGAGCTGCACCTAGTCCCTGGACATCACAAAGTCCCAGGAAATGAGCAAGCTCATCGTGCTGCCTACAAAGCGGCCAAAATTGTTGCGGTGACTAGCAAATTCCAGAACCAGCATGCTGTTCCTCCACAAGGAGCGGAAGTCGATCCCGCCGTCCTCGCTCCAACCCTGCCCTCTACAATCCCAGCTGTTCCGGTCACTGGACCTCATCTCCATAAGACTTGCCGTACTCTCTCTGGACCAGTCACATCCCCAACTCCGCTAGTTCTGATCCCACCAGTTAGTTTGAAAGATGACGCAAAAGACGAGCAGAGAAATGGGATTTCCCTATCCCCCATTGATACTCAATCTGCTTGCGTGGGTGGGGTCCTAGGCTCTTCGTTTACTCCGGTTGATGCTAGCTCGGTCTCTTCTTCCATAGGAAATCCGTTAACAGGGGTATCCTGTTCTGCACCTCCGCAAAAATTCACAATCTCGCCTCCAGTCTCACTGAGCGTGGCTACCAGGGCACAAAAGATGGTCATTCCGCCCGATATCCAACAAACGTCGGCAAATCTTTCGGATCCACTAGCTGGGGTATCATCAGCTCAGGCAAGCGTTTCTGTCCTCAGTCCAATGCACTGGTTTACCCCAATCAATACAAGATCAGCCATTACGGAGATGGTGAGGACTGCTGCGCCCACGCCGGCCAATCTGGAGTTATATGCAGGGGACGAGTCTCGCACTGAGGATGGCTCTGACTCTGCACCTTATACATCAGCCCCAGGTCCAGCTTGCGCCCCAGAGTCTTTATCTGTAAGCCGACTTCATGGGTTTACTCCACACAACGGAAACCCAACTCTTCCAAGCGCAGTGAGGTTTGGATTGCCTTCTCTAATCAGAGCACCGGCAACTCTACTTTTTGCCAACACAGTCAGACCGTCTTACTCTGAGTTTTTTATGCCAAGCAAAGCTCCAGATTCAGACCTACCACCACTCAGCCCACGACATTTCTTTACTACAATAAGCGAAAGGCAAACGGTTTCAGAAACAACGAGGGCCTCTTCTCCAACCAGGTTTGATACTCAACCAGCCGCAGTCGCTAGTACTCCTACGGGCCAGATATCTCACCCCGGACCTCCCACGCCAAGGGCGGATGTAGCACCAGTGTTGATTTCCATGTCCTCTCCAAACGATACTTGTTCAATGCAGACATTTAATTGCCTACCAAGAGAGCCCCAACCTCGCTCCCCTGCAGATGCTGGGCTGCACCCTCTTCCAACGTCGATACGTACTAACGCCAATACCACTGCTTCGAGCAGCATAACAACGACGGTGAGATCCTTAGACTCTACACAAGAAGGTTCTACATTAACATTAACTCTCTAGCATAATTAGACACTATGTCTGTGGCTGCTATTGAAACTTCTGCCTGTGTCTACACCCCACACCCTCTTTAGAGATCACCTGTTCCTAGCCCAATTTCACGGCAATCAGAAACTTGATATACCTATACAACCCGAAATACATCAGTCGAGGCTAGAGGCTTTCACAACTCCAGTCGGGTCTACTGAAAGTTTTGAACGATCAAGAAAATGATTGAGATAGCCTGTTGGGGCAAACCAACTGAAGATGTAATGAGGAGTGGATTCAGTTCATTTGGTCTATCTGCGGAAACTAGATACCGTAGTAATGTTTTGGCCTATTTTTACCCATTCAAAATGTCTTTAATTACTTGCCTTCTCATAAAATGTAAAGTTTTCGCACGATCTGTCCTCCGATTCACTGACAAGTTGTCACAGACATCCTCAAAATACCACATGCCATACATGCAACATGTCATCAGGCACTGGGCAGGACCAGTGGTTGGATGATGGAATGTCTGAAGTCTACAAATAGACCATTTTAAACTTGGAACCATTGATTTAGGGCCCTACTGTATGATGGCTACAATAGCTACCATAGTTTTCAGTCGAGGTGCTTATTCAACAAACTTCAAATGCCCATCCTCATTAGTAATACGCTCCACCAAATTGATGTCTGCGGACACTTTCTCTCCATCAAGGTTGCCTAAGTTGGCTCGAAGTACGGGGATTTCCTCGCCATCATCACGGGGCTCACAGGAGAACTCGATGTCCTCGGCCCTGTCCTTGAAGTTCTCGCCTTCCCACTCAAAAGAACCTGTGTCAAATGAAGAAAGAAAAAGAGATTAGTCACTTTTCAAGGATCAACTCGCTGCAAGTAAGTGAGCCCAACCATTGTTATTGCCAATGTACTTATTAAGATCCAGCTCGGACTTCACCTCCTCTCCATCTCCCATTGTAAGAGTGGCTTTTAGGATATGGCCATCTTCAAGGTCGATGTCGACGGCGGACAAGTGGAAGCTCATTGTAAATAGCGTGGAATTGAGGCTGGAATATCTTCAATTAATTGCTCGGGATGACTGGTGGTATGGACATACATGAATAAAGGCGACGATTGGCTTTATTTATAGTCTTTCCTCACACCAAATTTCTTAGACAACCCGATCTGTTTCTGACAGGGAACCCTGCAGCAGCCCGACCTCTTGTCTGACACATGTCCCCGACTCATTTGATAGCTGTTCTGATGTGGGCTGGCTAGTTGCAGATATTTTCGCCTGGGAGGGGGAACTTGAATAACGCAGTTGTGAGGCGGGTGGAGCTAAGTCGATGACAAGCAGGCCCCTCCGTGTACCCCAATTGACCCAATTCTAGCAGACCCAGCTCACACAGGTGGCCAGAAATATCACGTCTATCTGCGCTGAAAGACATGCCAATCCCAGTGAGCTGGAACATATGAGCGCTCGAAGCACGACATACAGGACCTTGAATCCTTCTCATGCGCCACAATAATGACGCAGGATGCAGCCCTACATTCCAGCCACAGAGTCGAGCGTGATGGGCTCTGATGTTGCACTGGTCCTGCAGGCCAAGGACAGTCTATCTGCCCTGCGCTTGCTTCGGGACTGGGCGCTTTGTCGAGAAATCCTGGTGCCTAGAGAGCAATGCTTTGCCGGCGGGAACCGAATGTCAACTCCACTCGGAGAAATATGCAGGCCCAAAATGGAGACTCTTGGCAGCTTCCATGGTTAGCGAATGACAGATCGGTTCAGCAGGCGGAGCGCATGGTTATGTGAATGGTTGCCCAGGGATTATGCTACAGACTGCGTGGTGTTTGGTACTGTAGGTGCTAGTGAGGTTAATGTGCGTGATTCCTGTAAAGTGCAACCATTGAGGCAGAAAGATGGAACGTGATCGAACAGAAAATGCAATTATGCATGTAGAGACAAACTAGGCTAAAGTATATCCTCAAGAAATATTACACACGCCGCAAACTCCGCTCAAACTCCCATGCCTTGCGAGCCGAGTTGATGCACAAACCGAAGAAACAACCGTCACCCATTGCACGTACACGGTGTAGAAAGAAGAATAACATGTCAAAATCGTGATAAGGCAGGCGTAGAGATTAAGGCTTGTTCCGGTAGATCTGCGAGCCACCAGAACGGATCTGCACCGTCTCCCGCCGCTGCAAGACAACTAGGGCCCGATTGAGTGCTTGCTCGGTGTATCCCTTGCCGTCAACGAACTCGCGGCGGAGCGTCGCCAGGCTGGTGCTCCAGCCCAGCGGCAGGCGGCGCTTGAGCTCGTCCTCGATCTTGCTCGCTTCTTCCATGAGCTCCTTACTGCCTTGGCCCTCGCCTTGGGTTATTGCGTCCATGGTGGATGCTAAGAAGAGGCGAATGGCCTCGTCAACGTGGGCCTCTGTGGCGATGGGGGAGAGAGAAAGTTTGGCCAAGGACTCGGTGATACGGACGATGGCTTCCAGCTGGCGGACGGTGATGGGGATTGAGGAGCGGGTGTTGGACTCCAGTTCTGCGCGGTGCACTTGCTTGCGGATGGAGACGAAGTGCGAAGAGAGCTTCTCGGCGGCCTCAGGGGAGAGACGAGGGGCACAGCGGCTAGAAATAGTATGTTAGCATCGATGCGGGCAATTGGCGTTGGAGGATTGTAAAGTTTACCTGCGGCAGTAGCTGATGTAGCGCTTCATTTGGTCGACGGGAATCTCAGCCTCGACTTGCTCCTCCATACCACGGCCACCCATGTGCACACCCATAACGTGGCGGGCAATTCTTTCGTCGTGGCCACGCTCGTGGTTATCTCGTACAATGAAGATCATATCGAAACGGGACAGAATGGTGGTCTGGAAATCGATGTTCTCGCCAGGGGTTTTGAGATCATCATAACGGCCAAAGACTGGATTGGCCGCGGCTAGAACAGATGTCCGGGAATTCAGAATCGTTGTGATACCGGCCTTGGCAATAGAGATAGTCTGTTGCTCCATGGCTTCGTGAATCGCTACTCGGTCCTCGTCACGCATCTTGTCGAACTCGTCAATACATACCACACCGCCATCTGCCAGAACCATGGCACCGCCTTCCAGGTAGAATTCGCGGGTGGTGTGGTCTCGCTGGACAGAGGCCGTCAAACCGGCTGCTGAGGAACCCTTTCCGGAAGTATAGATGGCGATAGGGGCAGCCTTTTCAACGAACTTCAACAGTTGAGACTTGGCAGTTCCGGGGTCACCAAGCATGAGCACGTTGATATCACCACGAAGCTTCATTCCATCCGGAAGAATTTTCTTGGAACCACCCATCAGCAGACAGACAATGGCCTTTTTCATGTCGAGGTTGCCATAGATGGACGGGGCGATGCTTCGGGCAAGAGCATCGTACAGATCTGGCCGGCGGCTGAGCTCCAAGAACTCTTGCTCCTCCTCCTCGCTGAAGACAGAATTGCCCTTGGCAGTCTGATCCATGTCGGTGTTGATGCCCACTGCCCGAAGATAAGGGTTGCGAATAGCCACGGCAGCCTCCTTCTTACCGCCCTTGGCTTGATAGATGGAGAAAATTCCCATCACAGTGCAGCGAGAACCGGGGACAACGCGGTTCGCCAAGTATCGGTCGGCGGAAATCAGCACATGGCGGGGCAATTCACCCACCGGCACCTGGTCGGGAGCCTCCTGAAGCTTGAGAACCTGCTGGTCCACAAAAAGGCACTTCTCATGGTGAACCACGTAGGGGTCGAGAGGGCATTGTTCGTCCGGTTGGTCACCAGGGACCTTTGCACGACCGCAACGTCGGGGGAGCGTCAGTCCAGAGAAGCCACCGTCGACGGTAATATTTTCACTATGGTCGCAATTCTTGCAGCGAATGTGGACTGCGGTCGCTTTGGACGAAATAGTCGAAGCGCCGATCACAATACCTGGGATTCGGACCAAGTGAGAGATATTGGTGGCATTGAGATCACGGATAGAGATGTGGGTTGCGGAGGAGTGAATAAGCAGTTGGTGGGAGGGGAGACTGATATCCTGCTGGCCGGGGAAGACGATTCGTTTCGTACATTCCTGGAGCGCCGCTTCAAACTACTCGTGTATTAGCAAGTGAAAAGATGGACGGGATAATACAGCGTTGCACCCACCAGAGGAATGATATCGGCGGGCTCTGATGTGAGCTTGTGCGCCAAATCCTCGTTGTAGGAAATTAGGTGGGCGATATCAATGTCGCAGTAGTAATTCTTTCCGAGCACATTGTGTCGTAATTGGTCGCTGCCATAATGGATGGATGGGTCAGCTCTTGAACACAACACAGCCTCTGAGGAGAATGATGGATGTGGGCTGCGTACCGGTAAATGAATGCATTATCCAGCTGGAATTGTAGCACGAAATCGCGCAGACGAGTTTGGGTGAAAGAGCGAGAGTCCTCAGCGCCATTAGTGCTGGACTCGAGAACACTCAGGGTGTAGGGGGTGCGTCTATCCATGGTGCTTGCGGACGGTGGTGATGGAGAGGGACAGGAAGGGAGAACTTTTGGATTTAGGCGGGAACGCCAACGCGTCGCGTCGAGCGGGACGCGTAAAGTGGTTCTGCCCGAGCCCTGAGGCACTCAGCAGCGTTAGCCGCGGGACGGCCGGAGAAACAGCTTCCCCGAGGGCTTCTCAACAAGCTGGCGCCTTTCCCGATTGGGCGGAACAGCACATGGCACCTGGAAACAATGCCACGGCGACAACTCTGCTTGGCATTCCCTTCTGGCCTCGCAAACTCGTGAAACGTTTTCGGATTGCACAGACGGGCCCGAGGGATTGACTGTGAAGTGTCCACAGCGGCACTGGCCTGGACTGGTGCAGTGAAGACACCTATATGTCATGATCAGGTAACTCCGAGCTTCCCCAGCGATCGACCCCGGGTGGCCGTCGCATCCGCCTTGCGGACATGAACAACATGGCGCCATCCAGTCCACGCAAGTCAATTGACAGCCTGGCGTCTGGCGTATCGACGCCGTCGCTCTCGCATTATTCTACTCCGCAGCTGGAGTCCCCTCGGGTTGCCCCTCAACGATACCCCCTGAGGAGGGGGTCCACAGCGAGCTCGATCGTGAGCATTGGGGGCATCCTAGACATTTCCCATCACCATGGCTCCATTGCTGAGTCCGGGCAAAATGGTTCGTAAACAGCGCTGATCTTAATGGTGATATGATAGCTGATCAGTTTATGGATCCTCAGCCATCTCTACCCTACTCCAACATCCAATAACTCGCACTGGCTTGACGCCTCATACCGCCGTATCTTCCACGGGATATAAGCCCCCTTCGTCCCGCGATATCCCTCCGGTGACCCTGACGAATATCCCGCATGTGGACTCGAAAGCGTTTCAACCATACCTCGCGCAAGTGGGCTCGCTGTACGATGTTTTCCAGCAATCAAAGGAGGGCTCTGGGGAAGACGCGCAGATGCCGCCTGGTTTCAAGTCCCCCAAACCCGATGATATGGAATCATTGAAGCCGTGGAGCTCAGAGCGAAGGTCCTCAATAATGTCTACTAGTTCACGGCCAACTTCCCCCTATGATACTCGCGGCCGACGTTCCTCCGGTGCGCGTGGCCGTGGCCCTGCTGTGACACCTTTGTCTACAATCCCACCGGTATATTTCGAAGAAGACTTTCATTTGGAGAACCCGCGTACGTTTGATGTCATTTCAGAAAAATCAGAGGTGGTTAGACCCCCACGGCCACCGACTAAGGACGATCAACCCGCCAATGGGGGTGTCCCGGAGCCAGTCCATACCGGCAGGAAGGCGCTTGCGACCAATGCAATTCTTCAAGAAAAACTATCTTGGTACATGGATACGGTGGAAATTCACCTAATCTCCTCTATATCGACTGCCTCCAAGTCATTCTTCACTGCTTTAGGTTCGCTCAGAGAACTCCATGCGGAAGCAGCCGACTCTGTTAAGCGCATCCAGATTTTGCGCAAGGACTTGCAGAAAATTGACAAGGAAATGGCTCTGGGTGGTTTGAAGATCGTGAACTTGCGGCGGCGAAGAGAAAATGTGCGGATGCTCGCTGCTGCCGTGGCTCAACTGCGAGACGTAGTGGAGTCCGTCTCTCACTGTGAGGAGTTAGTCGAGCAAGGAGACATTGAAGTTGCTGCCGACGAACTTGAAGAGGTAGAAAAACTGATGTCGGGCGAGAAAGCATCTGAGCGGCCACCTGAGGAAGACGAGCAGGATCTTCCGCGAAAACCCATTGATCTCCGTGGCCTGAAGGCTCTTGAGGGAGCGTCTGATGATCTTGCTCTATTGAGACAACGCATTGGTATGGGTTACGAAACTCGTTTCCTAAATGACCTGTTGGGAGATCTACGAGGTCATGTCGAAAATGTGGCATCTGCATTGACCTTGCAGCGTTGGGGTGCCTCATTCTTGCGACAACGTGGTGGCCAACGTCCTGTATCAATGGTTTCCCCTGCTTATATGAATTTTAACAATGAGCTGCGGTCCAGATTGAACACCCAACTCACTGGACTAGCCAGATCTCACTACACAACCGCCGCGGCCACATCTTTCAAGACGGCCGTCTTACGAGAGATGAAAGGGCTTATTCGAAAATACCTCCCCAGTTCTAGCGATGACGACAATGAATCCATGGTTTCAGTGTCCACTCATGGCGACCGGCAACGGAGCCAGCAGGAGAAGTCGTCCATTCTTGCGCGGAATCTACGTGCTCTTGACTCAGGCGATGCCTATGCCATGCTTGTCGGGGTCTATACAGGCATTAGTGAATGTCTGCGCCGGCTGAGTACTCAAGTCAAGATTCTTTTGGATATAGCCAGTGGTCTTGGAAGCTCTCCGGCCGCCGGTATCAGATCACCCTCTCGGAATTCCAATACGCAGAGTTCAGACCAGACCATTAGGTCTCCCGACCATGGATCCTCGGCTTCGGCTATGGCCCAAGATGAGATCTTGCAGGTTTTGGACATGTCGAGCCTGCTTGGTCAAGCGGTTGACATCGCCCAGTCTCAAATAACCAAGGTTCTGAAGGTCCGCTCCGAGCAAACCTCTCAGCTTTCCAAGGAAGAGTTCTTGAAGTACTTCACACTCAACCGCCTTTTCGCAGATGAGTGTGAGGCAATTTCGGGACGTGGTGGCACTGCCTTAAAGACCATCGTTGGCAACCAAATCCGTGAATTCATTACCCGGTTTGGCGAATCTCAACGCCACCGCATTGTCAAGGTCATGGACTCTGACCGGTGGGATGCGCGGGACTTCGGTGATTCTGAAGTCATTGTGCTAAGTCGCATTCTAGACGCAAGCACCAAGGAGATCGAGGCTTGGGTAGAAGTTTCCAAGATCTGGGTTCCAGAGAGCGAGAGTGAGCGAAAAAATGCTTCCGAGGCAGGCAATGGCGTCAATGGATCGGGCAAGGAGAAGGTGCGCAGCGCGGTTATTGACGAGCAGAAATACATTCTGCCTGACTCGGCACTGGCAATAATGCGCAGTATTGAAGAGTTCGAGTTCCTCATGGCGAATATTCCCAGCATGATTCAGGACATTGTCCCACAGCTGCTCGAAATTTTGAAGCTGTTCAACTCACGTTCCTCACAACTGATTCTCGGCGCCGGTGCTACGCGCAGTGCGGGCTTGAAGAACATTACGACCAAGCACCTTGCCCTTTCGTCGCAGGCATTGAGTTTTGTCATTGCTCTTGTGCCGTACGTACGCGAATTTGTCCGACGCCATGGACAGACCAACCAAGTCATGGCTGAATTCGACAAGGTCAAGCGACTTTGTCAAGAGCATCAGACCGGTATCCACGAGAAGTTTGTTGATATCATGAGCTCGCGATCGTCAGTCCATGTCGCCGCCATGAAGAAGATCGACTGGGACAACGAGACTTCCACGGGTGTTCATTCTTACATGGAGACATTGGCCAAAGAGACTGGTACTCTTCACCGTGTCCTGAGCAAACACCTCCCCGATATGACTGTGGACATGATTATGAGACCTGTGTTCAACAATTACCGAGACCAGTGGACAGAGGCCTTTGAAGAAGCAAATGTTGAGACAGAGGCTGGAAAGAAGAGGTGAGTCTCTATGATAATGAAATATTCCCCCCTCAGAACAGAAAACTAATAAATTGGCCAGGATGCAAGCCGATATCGCCCATCTTCAGTCTAAACTGGGAAAGATTGAGGGTGCCGGCAACCTGGGCGACAAGCTGCTAGAGCTTGTCAACGCAAAGCGCATTTCTGAAGCCGCAGCTGAGCCAGAGAATCCGGAGAAGACCGAGTCTGCCAGCGACAAGCAAGACTCGGACAAGGGGGCTGACTCCTCTGAATCTTGATCAATTCCTTTAATTCCTCATTTGCCCACCCCTTCCATCTGTGGCAATATGTGGCCGTCCGCATCTAGTCCGCATCTAGTCCTTATCTAGTCCTTATATATAATTCTTGTGGCCGTCACATTAATTTTTTTTCTCAAACTTTTTCCCCCTAGAAACTGTACAGAAGCAATCATGTCCTTTTAGTTGCTCTTGTTTCAAACGGTGGTTTTTCCACTTAGACATCAGCTAAGCCCGCTTTATATTTGGTTTTCTGCTCATTACGAGTTTGAATGAAACTCAAGTGTTGACGTTGTGTTCTTCTATTATAGAGACTACCTAAACGTGGGACAATCGTGGCACCCGCTTTACGTAAAATAGTATTGGCCATTGGAGGTTACCGAAAGACCCCCTGATACGATTGCGGGTGTCCTCGTGGTTTCTTGCTTCTTACAATTCTCGAATGACCAGCAGTTGCGCATAGATAGCAGAGATGCGGAGGCGGAGACTATCTACAACAGCGGCACGAGAATGACTGATGGGAACATTGTTTTAGGCTGAAGCTTTCAAATGAAGTGGTGGATCAACGATATCTAAGTAATTCTGGGCCTCCTGGCCCTTACGACCGTCGGAGACTTTTGGAGCTACTTTCCAGGGAGAAGCTTCGAGTTCCAAATTTCCAGATCGGTAGTCAGTTAACGAGGAGATCTGTCAATAAGAGGTTCCATACAAAATAGGTACTTCGTCGGCTGGAAAATCTGCAATTTGAATGTCATTGATTCAAGTTAAGACTTTGCTTTGGTGAATACATGATTAGGCACCTTTACGACATTAAGTTGATCTGCTGGACACGCTTTCAATGTTTGATATTTCATATGATACGCAATACGTAACCCCATAAACTCCGCCTCCTATCGCGCGTAGTAAAGTACAGATGTTCGCGTAGCTCGTGTCATTCCAAGTGCAATAGCCGTATCCTCAAGCAGGATGGTTTCGGATGGTAAGATCGTGATCAATCAACACCTTAGTTTACGCCCTGTCGCTAACGCCCTTCTTCTGGCCCATGGACTTGGGTTCGTGGCCGCCCTTGCCGCTGTTCGAGCCAGCACTGCCTGCGCCACTGTGAACTTCGCGCTGTGAGCCCGTTTCTTCAGGCATAGGAGCGACCTTGTTCACACGGTTGATGGGGGCATCCTGATGAACAATGGTGTTAGCTTTTCGATCGATGGATTCAATTGGGATTCCAATACTCGGTCCGACTTACAGTATTGCCCGTGCCGTGAGCCTTAGTTTCGCCCGCCTCAATGGCGTTGTCGCTCTGGGGAATTCCGTTGTCGTACTCTGCGCCGCGAACCATATTGAAGGAGTTGGTGTAAGGACGGTGGAAGAAGTGGATTGAGCTGCGTGGATTTCTTGTTAGAAGTGACTTCTCCCAGACCCATTGAACATATTGTGCAAATCCGTACTTGAATATAGAGTTGTTGTTTGACTTGAAGCTGAATTATTGATAGAAGAAATTTGGCGCTCTGACCGGCCTTTAATACCTTTGTTAATAGTCTGGAGATATGCGTGACACCATCATGAAGTCATTTCCCCACAATGACTTCACCAACGAATGTGCAGCGATCTCTGGCCAACCTTGGCGGAGATACTTGGCGGAGGGGGTAGGTGGAGCTAGGCATGTCCTGGACCTGCAGGACAATTACAATTTACGGGACTTTCTGGTAATATTTGATATCTGGCTTACGATTCGCAAGCTCTGAAAGCTGGTGGCCGATGATGCGGGCGCGGTCGTGTCGCGGCGGCAGCGCGGAATGGGAGAATTCTACCAAATAATTATTGTTCAAGTATAGAAGCAACTAGGCGAAAACAGCACCATTGAATGAATTGTTAAGTCCAGATTACCAAAAGGGCTATCACAATACAACATTATCTAACGAAAGGGTTGTCAAAACAACTAATCAAATCTTACCATAAATATGGGTATCAGGTGCGAAGAGAAACAAATGAGTCGTCCAAGGTAGCGCCAGCGCCACGCTCTAGACAAATCATTGCCTAATTAAACGTCCTCATGGGAGGACTTGCGCTTTTTTCTTCGAGACTGGGCGACAAGGCCAGTGTCAAGAATGTATCTGAGAGAGATCTCGGTATTGTGCACAGAACCGCAGTCATCGTCGAGTCGCCGACTGCGCGAAGTCGGCGTATTGGAGCTTGATGAGTCCTCTGGACTGATAGGAGTTGAGCGACTGGGAAATCCATGGCTGTGCTCCTTGGTCGCGTCCAGAGAATCGCTCGGCTGGTTTTCTACGATCGTGCCAAGGGGGCTAAGAGGACGCGACTGACTGTCACTGAGTTCCTCGGACATCGGCCGATCCATCTCGAATCGGCACATGTCAGTGGTGAGAGGGGATAGGGGAAGGAAGGTTAGAAACGTAAGGCGGTAGATGACATCGGTTCTCGCACGTCTGGCTGGACTGCCCGAATTGGAGATCGGAGGAGGCGTGCCAGGAGGAGTGAGGTGCATCTCGAGTGCATGCGGATAATCCTGGGAAAGAGCACGAGGAGAAAATGAATCGAAGGCCTCCGCTTGACTCTCCGAGTCAGCCGATGAACCCAACATAGACTCGATTTCCGCTGTTAGTTCCGTCCATCTGGCGAACGATGGGGAAGAATCCTGACCTTGATGCCCGGCGGCATTCAGCGCGGACTGCCATTCAAGTTCGATGTTTACAAGCGAGGGATTGGATCGTAGTAGGGATGGGGGGATGGTGGACTGTTGATCTACCGTGGATGACGAGGGAGACAGATCTGGGTTCGGCAGTCTGAACCTAACGCGACGACCGTCCTGCGGATGCACGCTGCGCCTGGATCTGTTCACCCGCTGGCTGGATGGCTCGGGCGATGGAGTCCTTCGTCTCGCCAAGTTCGAGCGCCCCTGCCTCGACACAGGCTCCCAACCCGGTGGCATCCCGTATTTGCGGCGACTTCGGGCTTTGAACCATCGCCGGGCTTTCTTCGACATCATGGATAGGAGTCGCTGTGAGGCTTTGCCGGCTTGCTGAAGGACATTGGACACAGGATTGGCATAGACGTGCGCATCCGGGTGCGCGTCACCTTTGAAAGCCATGAGAAGAGATCGGGAAGAATGCAGAGAATGGGGATGCAGAAAGGGAGAGTGGAGGGGACAATCGAAGATGGTCATCATCAAGACGGGACAGGGTATTTATCTTCCTCGCTATCCAGCATTGCTCTCGCATAGCCCACCTGATCTTGCGTTGATCCTTTCAGAACTTGACAAATAGTCAAACGACTGGAACGGGCCTTCTCGTCGATTCGGGCGCATCCAACGAGGCGACGATCCTGGGCAAGCGATTCTCGTCTCAGGGACAATGCCACTGTGATTGTTTGAGTCAGGGCCAGGGAGGATCTCCCAATGGTTCTTTGTACTCTTTGCTCCCAAGATTTGCAAGTCCAGTGTTTGTGGGCACATCGATCGACCTACGGTCCAATTCTCTGCGAAGGTAAGGCGGCTTTGTCACATGTATGTGGATACCGTAGGCATAGATGAGTACACGGCGGTTGTTCGTGGTCTTGGAGTAGCTTGCAAGCTTCCCCAAGTCCAAGTGTTTTGCGTCATGTTCCTCACTTCCGCGACCTTTTCCAGGCCGACAATATGATGAGCTTATAGTAGATGCTGGGATTGAAGAATGGGAATATCGCAACTCTTCCTCATTCCAGGAGGATTCCTCTTGGACAGATGCCGCCAATGCTACTACTTCCGTGAAATAGGGCCATAACCGAAGAGACCTCAAGGCATGGCACTTTCATCGCACTGGCCGGGAATCTCCGGACGGAACGGTTGGTATAGGACGGGCCATCCGACAGGTCGGTCCGCTTTCACTCTCAGAGATGCTATTGCTAGCTCCGCGGGCTTCATGCTGATGAGGTCTCGTTGAGTCATGGTGGCGTGACTCCTCGTGCCTGGTACCATTAGTACCATTACCCCCAATTTGCAACCCGCTATGTCGAGATACCCGCAGTTTTGCTGCTTGTCACTTGTTTTACAGCAGTCATCACGCTGTGTGCCGAAATGGCAGCTGTATGCACTCTCGTTCCACTTTGATCGAGCGCGGATCAGGCTAGCAGGATCTGTGTGAATGGCGATTCCTATCGTCGCCTGTTGGCCATATCCGAGAAGTTCAACGTATATGGGGACGCCGAATTGATCTGTGCATAGATTAAATTCCGCAGGATTCTCGGTCTACTCATCATAGCACTTGTGGCCGACCTTGGCAAATCCATTTCCACCGGCCCGGATTGAAATGTTTCTGCCCCGGGGCTTTCAGATTCCTCTGAAAACCTGGATATCGATTCGCCTATTCGGGAAGAGCTTCTCGGGTCTGCATCAATCGCTGTAGAGGCGCGACAAAGCGAGCATTAGCGACGCAGCAGCGGATGAGTGTGAAAAATGGGAAGTAATCCGTCGTGAGTTCTTCCGTGATGGCCTGAGGCAGCCGGCAGTCAGTGACTTCCTCACGAGAGACTCCGCCAGTTGCATCTTCCACCTTCCACCTCCTCATCACAAGCACCCCCAGAAGCACGCCCAGGCACCGCCAGGCAGGGGCGGCTTCTGTGTCCATCGATAGCTATCCATTGGATCAGGGCACGGTCCACGGACCAGTCAACATGTCAGCATGTCCAGTGGAGCCCCGCTGATGACATCATCGCTGCCAGCTTTCCCCAGACGAGCTCCGCGTTGCTTTTGCCGCCCGCCGACGACAATGGCGCCTGTACCGCGCAATCGCACCAGACGGCATTGGCCAGGAGTCCCGATGATCGTCAGTCATTGGACTCTCCCCATTGACCGCGGTCAAATGATTGCTTCAATCGTCCCTCGCGAGCTGGTTGGGGTAGGGTCGTATTCTGGGGGCGAGGAGTAGCTAGCGTCCCTTGGGACTGAGTCTGGAGTATGCGCAAGCGACTGACCGGGAGCTTCTTTCGGCCATTGACATGACAGACAGACAGACTGGCCGACCGACTCTCCTGGCCTCAGAGCCTCATAAACTTCAACCAGACGGGGCTAAAGGTACTACCGTCAGGTCAGGTCGTAAGTCGTACCGTGTCTGTCTGCGGACAACCACCTCTGCCAGGCCCGCCCAAAAACTTGGCCGCATCCTTGTTTTTGGGCGCCCCTATCTTTTTCGGCTTGCTCCGGTTCTTTTTTTTTTTTTTGGCTTAATTTTTCTTTTCTGGCTGTTCTGAAATAATTTGCGAGCTTCCAAGCTTCATAGTGGTAGGACCTCGTAGCTTCACTAGCTCTGTTCTTGTCCCCAGTGAATTTCCCCAGCCACCCGGGGAAGAGCTGCACGTCGCAACAGAGATCCCGAATCGCCCCCGCACAGACCGAGTCCGGAAGTCTATGCCCCGTCCCCAAGCTCTGCTGCCATCGCCCCCCCTCCTCTCTTTCGTTTCTTTTCGCCCTTTCCCCTCTTCATTCATTCAGTCAATCCAGAAAATCAGACAGTCGCCTCTTCGGACGGATAGCGTCCCCAGCTCCTTGCCATGGCCGACGAGAACGGCACTGAACCCATCAAGCGCGATGTGCGCAACCATATGCTGTTCGAGGTGGCCACCGAGGTGGCCAACCGGGTGGGCGGCATTTACTCGGTGCTCAAGTCTAAAGCCCCCGTCACCACTGCCGAGTATGGGGAGCGCTACACCCTGATCGGTCCTCTGAACAAGGCCTCCGCGGCCGTCGAGGTCGAGGAGCTCACCCCGTCCAGCCCGGCCATGCGAGACACCATCAACTCCATGCAGGAGCGCGGCATTGAAATTGTCTACGGTCGCTGGCTGATCGAGGGCGCACCGCGCGTGCTGCTGATCAATACGGGCACGGGCTACCGCTGGCTCGACGAGTGGAAGGGCGATCTGTGGAACAACTCCGGGATCCCCTCCCCCGCCGCCGATCATGAGACCAACGAGGCCATCGTCTTTGGATACATGGTCGCCTGGTTTTTGGGCGAGGTACGTTCGAACAGGTCCGAGAGGACGCCCGACACGGGGAGCGATGAGAACTGACTTTGTCTTGCCATAGTACATTGCCCATGAGCGCCGCCGGGCCGTGGTGGCCCATTTCCATGAATGGCTGGCCGGGGTCGCCTTGCCCTTGACCAAGAAGCGCCACATGGACCTGACCACCATCTTTACCACCCACGCCACCCTGCTGGGTCGCTATCTCTGCGCCGGATCTGTGGATTTCTACAACAACCTCCAACACTTTGACGTGGACGCGGAGGCCGGGAAGCGCGGGATCTACCACCGCTACTGTATCGAGCGCGCCGCCGCGCACAGCGCGGATGTCTTCACCACCGTCTCGCACATCACGGCCTTTGAGAGCGAGCACCTGCTGAAGCGCAAGCCCGACGGGGTCCTGCCCAATGGCCTCAATGTCAAGAAATTCTCCGCCATGCACGAGTTCCAGAACCTGCACTCGCAAGCCAAGGAGAAGATCAATGACTTTGTCCGCGGCCATTTCTACGGCCAAAATGACTTCGACCTGGATAACACCCTTTACCTCTTCACCGCTGGCCGGTATGAGTTCCGCAACAAAGGTGTCGACATGTTCATTGAGGGTCTGGCCCGCCTCAACCACCGCCTCAAGGCAAGCGGGTCGACGACGACTGTGGTAGCCTTTATCATTATGCCGGCGCAGACTTCGTCTCTCACGGTGGAGTCGCTGAAGGGCCAGGCCGTGGTCAAGTCCCTGCGGGACACGATCGAGAACATCGAAAAGGGCATTGGAAAGCGCATGTATGAGCGCTGTCTGGAGTGGAAGGAAGGCGACAACATGCCGGATGAGAAGGACCTCATTACCAGCCAGGACCGAGTCCTGCTGCGCCGTCGCCTCTTTGCCATGAAGCGACACTCGCTGCCGCCCATTGTCACGCACAACATGGTCAATGACCACGAGGACCCGATCCTGAACCAGCTGCGCCGGGTCGAGCTCTTCAACCGCTCGTCCGATCGCGTGAAGATCGTCTTCCATCCCGAGTTCCTGAATTCGTCCAACCCCGTACTCCCGCTGGACTATGACGATTTCGTCCGGGGTACTCACTTGGGAGTGTTCCCGTCCTACTATGAGCCGTGGGGTTACACCCCCGCGGAGTGCACGGTGATGGGCGTGCCCAGCATCACCACCAACCTCTCCGGCTTCGGGTGCTATATGGAGGAGCTGATTGAAAATTCCTCGGACTATGGCATCTACATCGTGGACCGCCGCACCAAGGGCGTGGATGACTCGGTCAACCAGCTGACTGAGTTCATGTATAACTTTACCTTGAAGAGCCGGCGGCAGCGGATCAACCAGCGTAACCGCACCGAACGCTTGAGTGACCTGCTGGACTGGAAGCGGATGGGCCTGGAGTACGTCAAGGCCCGCCAGCTGGCGTTACGGAGAGGTAAGCGTGTATCGTTTTTCGTCTCGTGTGCAGAACTGTGGCTAACACCGGCTACTAGCGTATCCCTCTTCGTTTGACGGAGCGGAGGACTACTTCGATATCATCGGCGGCACTGAGCAGAAGATCTCCCGCCCGTTGTCCGTGCCGGGGTCCCCGCGCGATCGTTCCGGCATGATGACCCCGGGTGACTTTGCGTCGCTGCAGGAAGGCCGGGAGGGACTAGGCACCGAGGACTACGTCGCATGGAAGCTGCCGTGAGTTTTTTTCCCCGTGCCCCGTGCCCCGTGCCCCAGTATCCCCAGACCGGATTATGGCAAGATTAACCATATCACAGTGAGGAGGAAGAACCCGATGACCACTTCTACCCGCTCACGCTACGCACCCGCAAGACCAACGAGCGTCCCCAATCCCCGCTGGATAGCATCCCGGTCAATGGGGCCCGTCTTTCCGAGGGCAGTCCGAAGCAGGCCTAACTTTCACGCTCACATCCCACCTAGAGCCTCTCTGGCTCGCCCCCGGACGGGACGACAAGGATGGAGTGCAAATGATTTTTTTTTGTTCATTATTCATCGGCCCATTCTTGGGGGCCTGTCCTTTGTCACGTTTTCCTCCCTGTTGTTTTCTCTTCTGCATCTGGTGCCATGTTTCTCTTTTTCCCAGAGTGGACTGTCCCACGTCTGGACCCCTCCCTTGACGTCACCCGTGTAATTTGTCCTCAACTGCTGCATCGTTGCATATGAAGCCTATGTTTTAAATGAATTTGAACTCGCCCTCTGGATGCATTGACTATGAGCGCCACTATCATCCCGCCCATCGGGCTAATGACTACCTGCTGAGCCGACCTCCCCCATGTAGCTCTCCCCTCGTAGCTCTCCCCTCGTAGCTCTCCCCGGGGCCCATTGTCAAGCGGTTGTGTTCGGAGGCACGATGGTGGGTTCGAGTGGGATTAAGTTACGCGGAGACCCAATCAGCGCTGCGGATCATTTTCGTCTCGGTGAACTCTTTCCGTGGTAAGGTCATCATGAGCGAAACACCTCTCCAAAGGGTAAGGAGGGTACAGCCGCACGGGGCTCCCCACTCCGGACGGACGGGTATTTATTTTCTACCCCTCCATGCGTTTGTGATTCTTTTTCTTTCCTCTAAACTGTTTCAATTGCTTTGTTCGCTTCCCTATCTACCGCCTTTGTTCACCCGTCTCCCATCGGTATGACTCCCATGGAGTCGCGCACGTCCTAGTCTCGTGATGTCTTTCCCCACCGTGTGGGGAAAGTCCGAGATCGGACAGGGTCCTCGCTAGGATGATCACCCTGGGTCAAGGTATCGTACTTGGTATAATGGTCACTGCCCACGCATGACAGGTGTTCGGCTCAGCCTGGTCTTTGATCGCTCTTGGATGGTAGCATTGTATTCTATGCATTGCGCGACGCAAGACGGTCAAAGGTCGGGCTGGTCGTTCTGAGATTATACTGTCATAACTTGATCTAGATAATACTAGCGAAAGGACATGCGTGACTTTTGATTGTTCCCCCTTTGTGCTTTGGTGTTTTCTTTCATCCCATGTTCTTTGATCGATCGTGTCTATTACGCACGTGGTGGCCGATTGATCGAGCATGGAATGGAAGAAAATGCCCTGGTCTCTGGCATACTGACTTCCTGAAGTTATTCAATAGCTGAATTTTGTACCGTCAAAATGGCAACGGACAAGATCACTTTCCTGACCAACTGGTATGCTGACAGCACACAGCCTCCCCCCTTGTTATATCTGCTTCATTCTGCCCTCGTTTCGTGCATCGAACCAGGCTAAGTATTCTCAAGGCACGCCACCCCGTACCACGCCCCGCTGTACCTCGCCCAGGCCCGCGGCTACTTCAAGGATGAGGGCCTCAAGGTGGCCCTCCTGGAGCCCAACGACCCGTCCGATGTGACTGAGATCATTGGCAGCGGCAAGGTCGACATGGGCTTCAAGGCTATGATCCACACCCTGGCTGTACGTTACCCACACATACATCTATACCTAGAGAGAGAGAGATATAGATATACCCCACTCACCAACAGCTTCGCTGACATCTACCAGGCCAAAGCCCGCAACTTCCCCGTGACATCCATCGGCTCGCTTCTCGACGAGCCCTTCACGGGCGTCGTCTACCTCAAGTCCTCCGGGATCACTCCGGACTTCCGCTCGCTGAAGGGCAAGCGCATCGGATACGTCGGCGAGTTCGGCAAGATCCAGATCGACGAGCTGACCAAGTACTACGGCATGACGGCCGACGACTACACCGCGGTGCGCTGCGGCATGAACGTCACCAAGGCCATCATCCGCGGCGACATCGACGCGGGCATCGGTCTCGAGAACGTGCAGATGGTCGAGCTGGAGGAATGGCTCGCGAGCCAGAACCGGCCCCGCGACGACGTCCAGATGCTGCGCATCGACCAGCTCGCCGAGCTGGGCTGCTGCTGCTTCTGCTCGATCCTGTACATTGCCAATGACGCCTTCCTCGCCGCCAACTCCGAGAAGGTGGGCAAGTTCATGCGCGCCGTGAAGCGCGCTACCGACGCGGTCATCGCGGATCCCGCGGGCACGTATGAGGAGTACGTCGACATGAAGCCGATCATGGCGACGCCCGTCAACCGCAAGATCTTCGAGCGCTCGTATGCGTACTTCAGCCGTGACCTGAAGAATGTCTCCCGTGACTGGGAGAAGGTTACCCGCTACGGCAAACGTCTCGGTATTCTGGACGAGGGCTTCGAGTCCAACTATACCAACAGCTTCCTGTCATGGACGCTGGATGAGGACTCGACTGATCCTACTGGAGACCAGAAGCGCATGGCGGAGCTGCAGAAGGAGGTTGCTGCCAAGGGCGGCTTCAAGCGTCTGGAGGTTTCGGCCTCTGCTTAAGCTTGTGCAATTGGCACTTGCTTTGAACGTGATCAGTTCACAGTATACCGGGCTTCACTCTTTGGCCTGGCTCCACCGAAATCAATGAAATAACCAGCTTTGGCTTTATTTGTGGACCTGCGTAGTAGTAGTCAAAATAGTAAATCTTGCTCTCAAGAAGGCCAAGAAGGCCCTTGTGCACCCTAACGCCTGCCAATGATAAGGTAGTGTACAATGCAATAACATCCATTCCCCTTCTCCTCTCCCCTTTTATTCCCCTGGCCGTTTCAGTAACGACTCATTCGCGCGGTCTCCCGCCTCCAAATCGTGGAGGTCATCCAATTCATCCAATTCCTCACCAGAATCCACAGGCTGCCACACCTGTCCGTCCTTCTCATAGCCTTGCTGGCGCTTGCACAAGCTCTTAAATGAGCTGCCGTAGGCAAACCTGCACACGAGCCACGCACAAAAGACGAGTACCGCTGCAGTCAAGAATCCCATTCCAAACATTAGGGGGGATGCAATGTGTGTCCCCGCGCTGTAGCCGTTGTCTTCTGTCTCTTTCTCCTCGCCACTGAAAACTGCAGTCTCGCTGCTCATTTTCTCGGGTTCCCAGCCTAGTAGCTGTGTTGCACCGAGGAAGCTACCCATCTTGTCGAGCGCGACGATCCGCAACTTGCTATACCGCGCCTCTGGAGGCACAGGGATGATAGTTTCGAATCCCGTTCTCGGGACAGCCGAAATGAACTCGAATTCGACTTCTTCGGTACTCGCGAACCGTCGAACGAAGCCATTCTCCCCGTTTTCCTTCCCTGCCTTCTCTCCGGCAGGAAATGCCCCTTGTAAAACCCAAGTCGCAACTTCAGTAGCCCCATTCCAGCTAACAGCCGCCTCGGTGCCGGATAACGCGACAGCGGGGTTCGTCAGAGGCAGACCGACCCATGCCTGCTTGAAAACGCGGTATGAAAGAGCCTGCCCATGGGAAAACTGAGAGTCCGGTCCGAAATGCACTTCGCATAGCGGCTCCCCATCTGCGGTAAACTCCATCCACGCGGCATTGTACCCGTAGCCCAGGACCACATTCCCGTTTTCAAGGAGCTGCATCGACCCTTGAGACTGGCTGCTAATGGGCTTCGGATTCCAGTACTCCTGTATCACAGCAGCAGTCATGTGCTCTTCGTCGAGTTCAATGAGTAACCCACGACTCGGGTTCTCGGGCGCGCCCTGGCCGCGGGAGGAGTTGTCGAAAAGCGAGATTGCCCGCGTGGAGTTCGTGTCGTATTGAACCTGGAATCGGGCATGATGCTGCCAGCTGAAGTTGGTTGCGGCCCCGTCATTCAGGTCCTCGAAAGAGTTCTGCTTTCCGCCTAGTTTCCAGATCACATCGCCCGTTCGGCCGTCGATGTAGGCTAAGGAGCTCATGTAGCGCGACGAAACGAGGTAGTTTCCGCGCCAATCTTTGTCGATGCTGTTGATGTGGTAGAAGTCCCAGGGGTTGTCTTTGCTGTCGCCATCGCCTTCGCGGTCGCGCTCGACTTCATGGAAAGAGAAGTGCTCCGAGGCGCGCCATTGGAACAGTAATTTATTGGTTTCGACGTCAACTTCCTGGAATAAGCCGTCATAGATCCAGCCGTCCCGCAAGCCGCCAGCTTCCCGAAGATCTGCGGGAACAATATCGTAGACAGCGAAGAGGGCGGTATTGTCGCGGGTAATTTGGAATTCGTGCAGATCTGCAGACTTGCCATTTGCGCCGCGGATTTTGTATGCTTCCTTGTAGTGGGAGTCGATCTGTGTTCTGTTAGACCTGCATTGAATGGACATCTGCCTGCCAGGAGCATGCTTGCAGGATGTTGAACAGAGTCGCAAGATTCATGCGGGAACGGCGGAACCCACCATATAGTACACGCCCTCTCCGTGCCCTTTGACCGAATCATCGCCCGCCCAAAAGGTCAGATATCGCTCCCCGTTGTAAGTATGCACATTCGCATTGTACGTGGTACGGTAGTCCTTAAACCACACCAAATGCCCCTGCTGGTCCACAATCATCGGGCCCGAGTGCCGCACCGAATCACCCCGCGGCGCCAGAATGGTATACAGCCCATCCTCGCACGCCGCACTCCGATACCAATAATTCAGAATCGGGCCTGCCACATCCGCCGAACGATATCGCTGCAGCGGAAACGGACCATCGAAGCCCTTGGCGTACTTCTCTGAGCGGAAGAGCGCCTCCTGATCCGGCGATGCCGTTGCCGAGACACACAGCACCCACAGCGCACATATGGCTAGGGAAACGAGCGGCAGAACGACCATCGCGGGATGCAAAAGGAGAAGGGCATTGAGATCGCCTAGCAGCAAAAGAACTGATGGAGAACGGTTCCAGTCCGTGGGCGTGGCCACCTTCTTAGCCTCCCCACAGCCTCGCGGTGTTCTTCGTGCATATTTTCGGGATTGAGAACCGGCCCACGCGGCCGAACCCTCTGGATTTGCTTTGCCTTGCCCATCTGAATCAAAGACTGGGTCTCCTGGCGCCGATGTGACAGATCTAGTGGCTAGTCAAGCTGAGGTCCGCCACAAAAGGGGGCAATGTGGAGCCTGCCGCGACGACACCCGAGTCGGCACTTTTGCTGGTGTGGAGTGCAACTGGCTTGGAGCCTTGCAAGGGGACTGTTTAGTCTCAATTGGGTTGAATGGTGCTCTTGGGAGTTGGACCGTTACAGATCTCGATTTATACCTCCAGACGTGATTTCGTGCGGCAAACGGACGTGTTCAGGTAGGTTTCTTGCGAAGATGCACGTCGTCGTCTTCCGCGTCAGCTCCGCTGACGTGGAGCCGACTGTGGCTACCGCCCCAATCAATAGCCTCGGCGAGTGGAATAGGCCAATTGACTGAGAGCAAAAAGGGGAGAGCAGTGCTGGTGGTGATGATGATATTCAGGAATATGAGAGAGCTACCTGTGGGAGATGACTTTCCAGAAGAGGCATGAATACAAATCTTTTCCAATCGGGCTTCATCCAGGGCCCTCGTGTCCACACCCCAAGCATCGTATATATTGACTTAGCTAGTTACCTAGCTGCCAGGCATCTATCTCGTTTCCCAGCTATATCCATATTGTGACTGCATTTCTGGTCACACCCTACGCGTTGCAAATTATAAATCTCATGGTACTACTCCCGTTGCATGCAGAAGACCACCAACATAGATACAAGGGGAATCTATTATATTCAATCGATTATTCACAAGTGCCGAAAGAAGCCCTGCATCTCGTCATGTCACATGCAAAACAATCGCTATGTGGCTCTTGATATCGCCAACTCTCTAATAGTATGTCGGTCGTCTATTTGGTGCGCTTGTAGATCTTGGCCAGGAACGACTCAAAGACCTCCTTCTGCAGGCCAGTGGTTTCGTCCACAGCGGCAATCTTGGTGCGCAGCTCATCAACGACCTTCTCTTCGTACTCCTTGTACACCTTCTCCAGCTCGAGCTCGTCAAAGATCTTCTTGACCTTGGCCTCCTGCTCCTTGTCCTTGCGGCCGTAGGCGGAGTCCAGCACCGCACGCTGCTCAGGGCTGGCGCGGGCAATGGCCTGGTTGACCAGCCACGAGCACTTGTTGTCCTGAATGTCGGTGCCGATCTTACCAATGACTGAGGGGTCACCGAAGTTGTCCAGGTAGTCGTCCTGAATCTGGAAGTACTGGCCCAGAGGGATCAGGATGTCATGCGACTGCTTCAGGTTCTCGGGGGTAGCCAGCTGCAGGTAGATCAGAGCCAGAGCAACGGGTAGGTAGAAGCTGTAGTAGGCAGTCTTATAGGTGACAATGAACATGTACTTCTCCATGGAGAAGTTGTCGAGGTTGACATTGTCCTCGGGGGCGGTAATTAGATCGCACAGCTGACCCAGCTCGGTTTGCCAGGTGGTCTCATGGAAGAGCTCGACAAGGTCGATGTAGGCAGGGTGGGAACGGAAGCGCTGCTTCAGGACGAGGTAGATGGCCGACTCCAGCATGAAGGCGTCGTTGATGGCGATAAGGCCGACACCATCCTGGCGGTACCAGCAGGGCTGGCCACGGCGCGTGATCGAGCTGTCCATAATATCATCGCTGACTAGGAAGAATGCCTGGAGCAGCTCAGTGAGCCAACCCAGGATGCTCAAGTGCTCGAATTGCTCCGCGGTCAGGGGCTTCTTCAGGAGGGCGAGGCCGGTGTCGGGGACCGATAGGCCACGGTTAAGCTTGCCGCCGGGGGTGTTGGCAAACAGCGACTATCATATGCGTCAACTCCAATCCCTTTCGCCAATGGGGGACATGTTGGTTTATTCTCGCAGGAGGTTCAGGTTTGCGAGGGGCATTGTCCTACCTTCTCGAACCATTCGAGAGCGTTGGCGGGGAGGGTTGTACCGCTTCGCGTGTTCCAGAATATCCTTGGCCAGGCCAGGGAAGACCGCCTCGAAGTCGGCACGCTTGGTAGTGGAAGCCATGATGGTCTAGACAATTGAGCAGTGAGAAAGTCAAGAAGGGGTCGGTGAGCAAACAATCCACAATGGCTTTTCCCCGCGGAGGGGTTACCATTTGTCTTGTTTGGCATGTTTGCGCGGTTTGGCGGGATCGCCAGGCGCAACTGGCAACAGCTGCTCGCTGTTAACATTTCTGCTCGTTTGTTTTCCTCGAGATAGTTTTCTGAAATTTGCAACAGTTACATGATAGAATCGACTGAATTTCGACTATCCACTCAATATTTTGCTTGTTGCCGGCCTACTGTGCTGAAGCTCTCCCGCCGACCGCGTCGACAACGCGCCAAACCCGCGATATTTGTTGCGCCAGACCCAAACTTAGAGCTGAATTGCAGCTGCCCCAATACTGATTCTAGGCTGACCGAGGAATGAGGTTCATGGTCGAGTCTTCTACGTGATCTACAGTCTCTGATATAATTGCCTTACGGTTGTTCACGGGAGTGTGACCACCAGGTATCCTCGGATATTTGCATCCCCCGCGCTCGCGAGGGTGATCATGGATTTCACGGAGGATGACCTGCAAGAGCTGAAGCATCGGCTCGAAGATGCTGCCATCAAGTGCTCAGAGCGGTGTCTATATCAATCGTCGAAATGGTAGGCATCATTACTACATCTGCCTCCCTCTAGAGACATGGGAGAAACTGACAAACTCGACGGATGCAGGGCCGCAGAGATGCTCGATTCGCTTTTACCAATCAATCACGAGGACACCGATCCTGAGTCTCCGATGGAAATCACAGATCCGACTCCTCCACCGATCAATCCCTATCTTCGGACGCAAGACCCGACCGAAGCTGCCTTGGAGGCCCAGGAAGCCCACAAGTACCTTCTTGCCAAATCCTACTTTGATACCCGGGAATATGATCGCTGTGCAGCCGTGTTCCTTCCTCCAGCGACACCTCCAGTCCCTCTCTCGGTAGCGTCGCCGAACTCCAAACCCAAACAACCGCGAAGTACCCCCCTCAAGGGCAAGGAAAAAGCCTCGCCTTTCCAAAGCTCCAAGAACCACGGCCACGCCCCGGGAAACCCATACCCCAAGCTCAGTCAAAAATCCCTATTCCTTGCGCTGTACGCAAAGTACCTAGCAGGAGAGAAGCGCAAAGATGAAGAAACGGAAATGGTGTTGGGCCCAGCAGATGGCGGGATGGCGGTCAACCGAGAATTACCAGACCTCGCTCGGGGGTTGGAAGGTTGGTTGGCTGACCGCAGTACAAAGGGAGAGGATGACCGGGGACAAGGATGGCTAGAGTACCTCTATGCTGTTGTTCTGCTGAAGGGTCGAAATGAGGAACTCGCAAAGACTTGGCTCATCCGGAGTGTGCATCAGAACCCGTTCCACTGGGGGGCATGGCAAGAGCTGAATGACTTGCTAGGCAGCATTGAAGACGTAAGGGATTGTGTTTGCTTTAACATGGCTATCCGAATGCTAACATGGCTGGCAGTTAAAACAAATCAAGGACCTTTTGCCCGAAAACATTATGACCCTCATATTCTATGTCTACTGCAGCCAGGAGCTGTATCAAGCGACGAGCGATACATACTCAACATTAGGTGACCTGCAAGCCATCTTCCCCAACAGCGCGTTTCTACAAACCCAGCATGCGCTACTTTTCTACCATAATAAAGGTATACTTATCGATATTCCTGCCATCATGATTCGATGCTAAACAACATCAGACTTCGAGCGAGCGTCCAAGATCTTCAACGAAATTCTGGCTACATCGCCGCATCGCCTGGATAGTCTTGATCATTACTCCAACATTTTGTATGTCATGAACGAGCGGCCTCGGCTTGCCTTTGTTGCCCAAATTGCAACTGCTACGGATAAATTCCGACCCGAAACTTGCTGCGTTGTGGGCAACTACTACTCCTTGAAGTCAGAGCATGAAAAGGCGGTCATGTACTTCCGCCGTGCCTTGACACTTGACCGCAATTTCCTGTCTGCCTGGACCCTCATGGGCCATGAATACATTGAAATGAAGAACACTCACACGGCCATTGAATCGTATCGGCGAGCGGTCGATGTCAATCGCAAAGATTATCGCGCCTGGTACGGTCTCGGCCAAGCCTATGAGGTCCTTGATATGTCCTTCTACGCCCTCTTCTACTACCAGCGTGCAGCGGCCCTCCGCCCGTATGATCCGAAGATGTGGCAGGCTGTTGGTTCATGCTATGCGAAAATGGGTCGGGTGGAGCAGAGTATTCAGGCTTTGAAACGTGCATTGGTAGCTGGGTCCTACTACGCAGACGACAATCCTGGCGCCGGTGCGCGGAAAGTGCTTGACCCGGAAACGCTGCACCAGATCGCGACCCTCTATGAACGCCTTGACGATGAAGACGAGGCAGCGGCATACATGGAATTGACTCTGCAGCAAGAATCTGGCGGGGCACCTGTCGGTGATGACGATCAGTCTGGCGAGGACGATGAATACTCATCCGTGTCAGAGCATATTGCACATAGCGACGGTGAAGCCGACGAGTCTGGCGACGACGATGGCGAGCGACATGCACGTTCTCGACGCCACCACCGTAAGCCCCGTGCCAGTACCTCGTCATTTGGTATGCAGCACGATGACTCTACGGCGGGAGAGACATGGCACCATCCTACGCCTACTACGTCCAAGGCACGACTGTGGCTTGCGCAGCATGCATTGCGCAATGGGGATTTGGATCGGGCCGATCAACTAGCGAGTGAGCTGTGCCAAGATGGGATGGAAGTAGAAGAGGCAAAGGCTTTGATGAGAGATGTTCGTGCTAGACGTGAGGATGTTGGCTAGTCTTGTGGCCGGCGTGTGGACCATGAGCGTTGACCCGTATTTCCCTCCATCTCATAATACCGCGGCGTTAGTCTTAATGATCAATCAGGAGCACAAGCTTTGCATTATGGTGGCCGTGATGTTTTGGTCCTTATTCAATTTCCTTATTTTTTTTTTTTTTTTTTTTTATAAAAAAAAACTAGTCTAGTTGTATATCAGATGTTGCTGGTGTCGGTCAAATGGCTGAATGACCTGTACTCGCCTAAAGCGAGGATTTCAGCTTCATCAAAGCTTACCATAAGGCCAAGTGGCTGCGAACCGTTAACATTTCGGTGATTGCCATCCATGTGCTCTGTCTGAGTTTCAGTAGGCAAGCCTGCCTGGTTGGACCTTTCAATCAAATTCCATCGGAGACAAGCGTAGTAATATTTTTGGCCGAGACTGTACCACGTATTACGTAGACAGAATCGAAGATCTGCGGGGTTTATTCTCTCTGCTAATATGACAGCGTCCAAGAAGAATATTCTGCCATTGGCGGGAAAAGAGTTCTTTACGTTCTGCAGAGACCGAGACAGACCCTTCGCAACCTTGTGGATCAGTTGTCCAAGGGGCGATTCACCAGGATTGGCAAGGACTATACCAAACGCGGCACCTCGAGAAGCGGCTTGAGGGTTCGAGTGTCGAAGAAGAGATCTTGTTTCACTGGAGCCCAGAGCCTGGAGGAATTGAGATAGGTTGGAGGAAGTTATACCGTCCTCTGACTGCGTCCCGGACATGTATACGGGAATTGTCGTAAGCGGGGATTTCGGGAACTTTGTTTGCTCGAATGAGCCTCCGAGAGAATGGTTCCGCCTGTAGGAACTTTCGACTGCTTTGCGAGTTGTTCGCACTTCTCGATGTGTGGAGGTGAGGTTGGTGACCCGTGAACAAGACGACTCTGTGAGAGCTGAATGAGGTTGCGAACTTTCATCCACGGCTTTTAAAATATTCTGCTTCCCCTGGTGGATGATACTGTGGCTTTTTTGGCCTGAGATCCGGAGACGTGACAGGTTATCGTTCTCGGCTAGAACGTGTGATTCGTCTGGTAGGGCAACGGCCCCCGAGGGAAGCCTGACTTCATCAATATAGACCACAGGAGCATTATCGGTGCTGCTGAGTGTCTGGCCATGACCCGCATTTGAGGATAACACTTTTTGTGTGTAGTTATGACTCGGTATTGGATGCTGACCAACTTCGTGATCGCTCACCGTGGTCTCAGAACCACCGGGTACATCTGACTCTGTGCTTGAGCCACTATCCGTCGAAAGACTGCGTGACCGGCGCACGATATACTGATTGAGCCCATTTCCAGTTTTCAGCCGCTTCTGCCACTGCGCTCGGTCCAGCGAGAGTTCTTCAATGGGCACAGATCGTGCATCTTCCGCCAACAGCTGTAGTTCCCTGTAGGATGCGGCATCTTCCAGGGTTCTGTCAGTGTGTACCTTCAATATGCGTGGAAATCGAAGTGTGAAATATCGCGCCCCAGACGGCTTTTCAAACCCGCTGCCCATCATTTCCACAATGAAAGGCTTTTTGAAAAGCGCCGATGCTGCGGCGAGATTATTTCGTCCGTACTCAAGATCAAACCCTTCGAATTCCTCAGGAGAGCACGCATGGAAATCGCCAAGTTGATTGAGGAGTTGCAATACATTTCGGTGCATGCAGTGGCGATCGATCGCATCAACTACCCGGAAATGGGGCTTGGCACCCGACTGTAGAAAAGCGGTCTTATTGAGAAGGCATCCGACTAGGAAGTGCGTCCACCGCAACTGTTTGGTAGGTTCAAAAGCAGCAGCTTCCTGGGCGTTGTACCATGCGCCAACTAACGCAAGGTCGACTGTGTCACCGAGACCAGGGATATAGTCTTTCTTGAGCTTGATCCATCGGCCGAATGATCTATCAACACCCGCAGCGTAGATTGGAAAATAAGGTTCGTCACAACCCTTCAACACTAATCCCTCCCATCGTTGAGCAATAGCGTTGGCAAAGCTCGCCTCTAGTCGATCTTGGCTGTCGGACCGGCCGAAGTCCAGTATTTCTTGTTCAGAAATGGCCGCACGCCCTGGAATCGTCTCCACTACACTTTGCAGTAGTAGACGTCTTTGCCGATGCGGGCTTTGTAGACAAACGTCGTCATCCAGTAGTAGGATGTCAAAGAACACGATCATGAGATGTTCATAAGGCTGGGGCCTGTTTTTATCAGAATGTGATTTTCGCCCAGAGAATTGAAGCATGCTTACGGTGAATCATGGTCAGTCCCAATGAAAGTCCCAGCACGAGGCAAAAACTTCCGAAGCTTGTGAAAATCTGCTATTCCGCCACGCCTGTCACTCCAGACAAGCAACTCTCCTTCTAGAATACAATAATTCATAAATTTGCAGCCGGCCATCCCGATCTGGAGAGCATCCTCCAGGACCGGAAGGATATTGGATCTGTCCGCGGTAGAATCTTTGCCACTTTTGGAGAAAATCTGGATGGGGGTTTGCTTGTTCAACAGATTGACATGGATCTGACAGTATTCACCATCGTACTTCCGTTCTAAGCTCATTCGACGGGCGTTGGCCATTCTGCAGCAATGATTGATGCTCCTAGCCTTGGAGTACTCGGGCCGGCCAATCTTGACTCCCGTTCGTGGCCGTAGATAGTCAAGCGCAGTGGAGCATAAACTGGCCGCTAGGCGTGGATCTGGTCGGGGAGGGAAGTGGTTGATCGGCTCCGAAGATAGCACTTCTAACGCGCCCTCGAATGTATCTTGAAATTGAAGGAGGTGAGGAAGCAGGAAGTGGAATCGTTCTAACGTGTACTTTTCGGGCAAGGCCACGGGGGAGTAGCTCTTGAGGATCATTCGAGTAAGCCACTTGGCATCACGACTGCTCATCCTTCGGTAAAGAGGTGAAAGGGCGCTTTCCACATCCACAGCTGTTTGCTGGCGGCACACTCGAGGGCCTGAAAAGCGACATCGAGATGCGATCATGGTCAGTGCTTGGTCAATCTCTTCCACAGAGACCTCTCGGTTCGGGCAAATCTGATTCTCGGCTTGGCACATCACATTCTCCACGCATTTTCCAAGATCTGGACCACCGGACGTGCGCCATTGATGTAGGTCCGATAGTCTGGAAGAACCCAAGCACAAGCAACGGCCGATTACGCGTGCGAGAGAGGTGGCTTGTAGCCAGTATACCCGGTCTGGGCGCCTCTCCGGGAACATGCACGACAGTAGGGCCAGCCTGTCTGTGTCTGGGTGATAAATGTGTCTGTCATGACGACCAAACCATTGCGCGATCGTCCGAATATCCGGCGTGTCCTTGGTGGTCGCAGTGGCCTTGACTATCCGGTTGTCCTCGAGACTGGACAACAAGTCACAGAGGAAGGAGAAATTGAACCCCATGGGGTCCTGATCCAGGTGTTACATCAAGATGACCACGCCACGCTATAGACGGCTTCACCCTTGTCAAGTTGTCACACCCAACATGAGGAAGGCAGAAGCGGGACGCGAAAATTCGCGGCGGGTCGCACCCATGGAACGCGAAAACACGTGACTACAAACTATACAGAAGCTTTGGAAGAGGTCCATTTCAAGGAAAGGGGAAAAAAAGAGAAATAGGTATTCTTTGAAGTGGTCAGCCCACCTGGCACCTGGGAGCCTGAGATCACTGGGGACCACCCATGATATTCGCCGAACTCCAATCCTTTTGTATAATATTAACACAGCGACCCCAAAGGGCCATGATCGAACGAAGCAAATGACCCGCCTGGAGGCTAGAGAATACCCTGCTTTTGAAGACTGTAAGGAAGTTAGAATATGCGTGAGTCTGTAGTGATAAGGGTGCAACTGACTCCAAGTAGATCCTCTCTGGCATGACATTGCCCTCAGCATCCTCCATCTGCACGACATTGTCGCGGGAGTCACGGTCCCTCTTGCGGTCCTGTTCAAGCTTCTCCCAGAGTCGCACAGCGTCTTCAATGCGGGTAATTTCCCGGAAAAGGTTCGTGTTCGATGTGATACCCAAGCACTTCAGTCCGTAGATGTGCAAAGCTTCAGAGAAATGCTTATCGAAAGCCCGACGGCCCATGTAGACGTAGTTACCGCAGACTTCACACGGATATTCGACACCGAGGCCATGTAGCTTGTACAGCCAGTATGGAATAGGCTTGCCATCCCATGCCAACGGCAACTTCAACGGGTTGTAAAGTCTATCGGAGTCCTCCTCATCCGACTGATCCCGGTCGCCACCGTCCACATAATCTTCGGGATCAGCCATCATGGCTTCATTATCCGCTTGGCGCTCCCGCTCAGTCATAGCCTGTCTGCGCTCCACATTGTCCCGAGTCGCTTTCCGCTTTGATTCGAGCTCCTTCGACAAGCATCGGATGCGATGTTCGCGCTCGGCAACTGCGCGTTCCTTGAAACTGAATGAAGATGAGCCGTTGCTAATAGGTGCAGATGACTGCTCGCCCGATACACCAGCGGCCTTCTTCGCCGCGGCAGCCCGTATGTGTTTCTTGCCGGTCAAGTGATTCCGATAGACGTTCTCGTTATTGAATTCCTTTTCGCAGTCCGCACACCAGATTCCTGCTCCTGTTCCCTCCGTCTGTGGGCCGGACGCACCGTTCTCTGCCTTCTCGTTCGTCCAACCCGGAACCTCCTTCGCCGACCACTGGGTGTCAAATTCTTCATCGAAAGCCGCGAATAGCTTGTCGAGATCTTGCAAAGGGCGCACTCGTTTAATAAACCCTTCGAGGTAACTGGCAAGTTCGCTGACGTAGCGGAAGTACTTATCAGAAACCTTGTCTTTCCGCTTGATGTTCATTGTAGGTGGTGTGAAAACGTCAAAGACACCGAGGTATTGGGTATATGCCAGCCGCTTCACTCCTGGTAGGTTCAAGTATTGTTCATGATTCATCGTCAAATCCAGGAACTGCCCATATGCCTCTTCGCCGGTAAACATGGTATCAATTTCCATGCGTGGCGTTTCGCCCTCGCCAGGTTGACGGCGCTTGTATGCGCGCTCGAGATTCTCAACCGGCTCATTCGGGTACCGTTTGTGGAAATCCTTGATTCCATCCAACTGTTTGTAGAACTCTTCGAACTGATCTCCTGTCGAGATCATCTGCGCTTCCTTCTCACGAAGTCCGTCGGCATCCTTGTAGATCTCCAAGAGGCGCTGAGACTGCTCCTCGATTCTTGTTAGGAGCCTCGCAAGCTCATGGTCGCGAGCGAGACGATGTCGGATCTATGAAGGGAGAACTGTCAGCTTACAAATGTGGCTAATCGACTGTAGAACGTGCAGCACTCACATTTGAGGGATTCTCAGCCACGCGATCGGCGACGGCTTGCTCCAGCCTCTCCAAGTCCTCATGAAGGAATCGCTGGTCCTCGAACAGCATCCTGAAAATGCGACCGTGACACGGACCTTTTCCTCAATGGTGCGCAAGAAGTGTGGATGAAGACAGCGGTGGTAGTTGGAGGAGAAGCCGCGGGCTCAAAGCTGCACCTTTGCGGCCGATCACGTGAGGGTGGCACTTCTCATCGCAAAAAGTCATTCGGAACTCTTGCTGCGGCCAGCGATCTCTGTGAACCTTGACAGAGTACCCAGATCCATTTTTCTCTGCCAGCCGAATTATTTGTTCCTCTAACCATGGCTGAGGGAATTGACAGACGTGCCGATGGTATGTATCTTGAGACACTTTATTGAAAGGAAGCATCCTAACAGCTACCCCAGAGCGGATGGAGTTCAGCACCTCCAAGGAGGTTACGGTGGCCCCGACCTTTGAGGACATGCATTTGAAGGAGAGTCTTCTTCGTGGTATCTACGCCTATGGATACGAGTCCCCCTCAGCGGTCCAGTCGCGTGCCATTGTCCAGATCTGTAAAGGTCGCGATACAATTGCGCAGGCCCAGTCTGGTACTGGTAAGACGGCGACATTCTCGATCAGTACTCTGCAGGTCATTGATACTGTCGTGCGCGAAACCCAAGGTATGTGGATTTTGATATTGTCCCCTTGGGCGACCTCACTGCTTACCGGCTGTTTGATTTCCGTTATAGCTCTTGTCCTCTCCCCGACCCGTGAACTTGCGACCCAGATTCAGTCCGTTGTTATGGCTCTAGGCGATTACATGAACGTTCAATGCCACGCATGCATTGGGGGTACCAACATTGGCGAGGATATTCGCAAGCTTGACTACGGTCAGCACGTCGTCTCTGGAACACCGGGCCGTGTTGCAGACATGATCCGCCGTCGTCACTTGCGCACACGCCACATTAAGATGCTCGTTCTCGATGAAGCAGACGAGCTCTTGAACCGCGGTTTCCGCGAGCAGATCTATGATGTGTACCGGTACCTGCCTCCGGCGACACAGGTGGTGGTTGTTTCGGCTACTCTGCCGTACGATGTATTGGACATGACCACCAAGTTCATGACGGACCCCGTTCGTGTCCTGGTCAAGCGTGATGAACTGACCCTGGAGGGCATCAAGCAGTACTTCATTGCTGTTGAGAAGGAGGAGTGGAAGTTTGACACTCTGTGCGATCTCTACGATACTCTTACTATCACCCAGGCTGTGATCTTCTGCAACACCCGCCGCAAGGTCGACTGGTTGACCGATAAGATGCGTGAGGCCAACTTCACTGTGTCAAGCATGCATGGCGAAATGCCACAGAAGGAGCGTGACAGCATTATGCAGGATTTCCGCCAGGGCAACTCCCGTGTTCTCATTTCTACTGATGTCTGGGCACGTGGTATCGATGTCCAACAGGTGTCGCTCGTCATCAATTACGACCTGCCCACCAACCGTGAGAACTACATCCACCGTATCGGTCGTAGTGGTCGGTTCGGCCGCAAGGGTGTGGCCATCAACTTCGTCACCAGCGATGATGTCCGCATCCTTCGCGATATCGAATTGTACTATTCGACTCAAATAGATGAGATGCCGATGAACGGTAGGTTTTCTTTTGTCGTGATTATTATAATCTACCATCGAGTGCTAATGGCCTTGTGTTGCAGTGGCGGATCTTCTCTCATAAGTGCCTTGAATCTTGCTTCACCAACTACTCTTCCTCCAAGGAGCCGAAAGGGACACGATACAACTCGTACCCGGGCGTGTTGATACACCCTTTCTCTGTCAAGCACATCGACAAATGTATATGAATGGCATTCAACCAGGGATCAATGCGCGGCGGGCTCTAGCGTGGAGGAAAGGGAAAATAAAATGATCCAGTGAGATGACGCAGCTACGGATTGACCGAGATATCTGTCCTCGCTAACACCTTGCTGCTCCAGTTTCAGAGTTTCTAACAATGTGTACACCATCCGGTGGTGTACTTATGAATTTATTTCTTTTGAAGTTTGTGCTGTGGTGGCGAAATCTGCTTAATTGTTGCTGCTTATTTGCCCTGGATATTTGGTTTGGGAGTTACGAATGATGGAATTGAATGCATTACTTTCTCAATCCTTTCTTTGTTCACGAGGGAGGACAAGTTGCCTCCGGATAAGCTAAATCTCCATCTCGTGTCCAACAGCCTTCACCCAGCAACCAGGGACACATTTTAACCTCAAGTTGACAGCCCAAAATGCCCGAATATACCATCTCTCCTTCCACTCTTGTTTCTTCGCCCATTTCCCTGCCTCCATAGGATCATCCTCCCTCTCCGGCAATGGCAGGAAATCCAATTTTGGCACCCCATCATCAGCAACACTGACGAGGTCCGCAAAAAACCCCAAGATGGGGAGAAATATACAGCGCAGCGAACTTCAACGGCCAATTCGCCAGCACCTCTAACCTCGTAAATGTTGCCCCTGCGTCGCAGATGGCTTCGCTCTTGGTCTTAGACCCGTTCCCCATTTGGCGAGGGCTGCGGTGGTATCGCCCAAGGATAGCACGCCACTCGTGCTGTTGACCATGCGGACAATATGGTTCGCGAGCGATGCAGCGTCTTCGATGGCGAGACTGGCGCCTTGGCCGATATTAGGTATCGTATATCATGATCAGCATGCGATGTCAGACTGGAGGACCAGAAGTAGAAAAGAAGATGGTGATGCAGGACAAACCTTGTGAACGGAGTCCCCCAAACACGGAAATTAGCCCAAGCCCATGACTTGCAAGTTCCTTCCTTAATGGAACATACGAAGTCGTGACATTCTCATAGACCGACCAAATCTTGATACCAGCGCCCACATGCGTATATCCATAAATGTCTCGACCCGCAAGCCAAGTTCCTCTCGTGAACTTGGGCCCGTTCGGATACTGAAACTTCCGGTCCGTTTTGGTAAAAATGAACCAGGAAACCTGATCTCCTTTGCCGACGTTCACAAAAGTTGTGAATCCCTCATCCCAGGTCCGATGGATCTCTCCCAGGTTGAGACCTTTAACCAGATGTTACATTCCCACAATACAGGTGCGTTCAGCCATCATAGCTACAGATCAGATTAGGCCAGCACCTTACCCCCATTATCTCAAAGGGAAAAACATACCTTTCCGATCCTTGTCAGCCCTGATCCTCCACTTCTCGCTCTCCTCCATGTACCTCCACATTTTCTCCCGAATGGTGCTTTGGATTCCATCGGCGCCGGCTCGAGATGCTCGGCGATATCATGGTATATACCCATTTGATCGAGGACTTGCAACCCATTGCTGACGATAGTCAACGCACCACCAATTGAGGCGTCAATCTGACTGTGATCTTCCAGTACGAGGAAATCGATGTTGGCGCGTGCGAGGGCCTTGGCGAGGGTAAGGCCTGAAGTTGAGCCGCCGGCTATGATCACTTTGAAAAAAGGTAGGGGGCGGGTTTTTCAGTTTCTATGATGGGATTGAGGGTTGCCGAGTTGTTTCAGAAGGAATGGGCGAAGCTGGGCTGGTTTGAGGCTGGTAGATAAAGTAGAAATAGATACTATAGCAATTGCTACGGAATACAAGTCCAGAAAATTGGAAAATTGGAGTTTCTTCTCTAATAGACCGACTGTGAGGCGAAGTGGAAATCCAGAACAAATCTATGAAGCCTCCTTGTTTACATAGTATGAGGCTTTACCGACATTATGTAGTGGGGCTGCCTCACTATTTAGCCCCGCTCTTGCATGCAATAAGAAGATGTAGGAAAGCGTCATAAGATCATCCCTGCGGCAACCTCAGACAGCTAGAACTATAGACGATAAATACGTTCACCGTGGAACGGGGTAGTTGTTGTTGCCGCCTAGGTAATGAATCTTATTCCATTTCAATACAGCCTCGTTCAGCCTTTTCAACCCCATTTTGCCTCTCCAATAACATTGAAGATCGGCGAGAGAGCAAATCTGGCGCTTGTGGAACCGCTAGTTCGTATTATGTATGTATTCTGCGGCTCCTGTAGTGGACCAGTCGACTACGGTGGGGCGCGCAACAGATACCGACTGATACGGCGGCTGAACAGAATGCAAAAATGATGCAGGAGTGTCTTATTAAATTTCTGGGAAACTGTGTATCCCGCCACGCTGGAGACTTGGGGCCAACTGGAATCGAAGTTCGAGAGTTGAGGACCGGGGACTCTGCGGCATGCACTGCTCTTGCTATCCTGCGTTAGGATTCCACGCCTGGGTTGAATTTTGTAGCCAACTGTAGCAAATCCTTACCTACCTTTGCATCGTCCAATCCTAGAGTAGAGCAAAGTGAGTGGATTCCATTGTATGGCTCATAGGTGCCTGTAAATCTAGATATACTTTGACAAGTAAAGAGCATATCAGACGCTTGAAGCGTAGTAGTTTGAGAACAACCTGAATACTATGGACCACCTAGATAAAACTAAGGAAAACGATGACTAAAACCTCAATGACTCCAGCCCTCCAGAAATTCATCGTCGCTTGGGTTGCTGTACTGTGTCTATCAACATTTTGATCATTGCTCGCAACGCAGGGTTCGACTGCCCAGTAGCTTCCTCCAGTGCTGAAAGCGCCTCACTAGTGTCCTTGCTCAAGCTTTGCAGCAAGTCCCACGAAGCCTCAAAAGCGCCCGAACGCTCGATCAGACTCAACATGTAAATCTTGGTGTTTCTGGACAGCGCACCAACAGCGGGATTCCGCTTTTCCCGAAAGATACCCAGGATGATATCCCTCGCGGTGGGATCGGAGTCGCAGCACGCTATAATGGGATATGAAAACTTTCCCTCATCCAGATCCTCGCAGAACCCCTTCTTCTCCGAGTACGTGTCGTCTTGGAGGTTTTGGTAGTCGTCACGTAGCTGATAAAAGCGGCCGAGTAGAACGACAAACCGATCGAAAAGGGCAATGATACTGTCGTCTTGACGCTGATCAGACATACCGTGCATCAGATGAACGAGCATCTTGAGCATTGCGCCTGTCTTGCCATCCACCATGGCCATATATTCCTCCGCGGACGGACAACGGAGATGAAATTTCCATTTCAAGTCCCAGCTCTGACCCACGAACAAGTCGATCGTTCCCTTCAGCAAGGCATCCATTGCCAATGTGTCTGAGTGCTGGAGACGCTGCAATTTCCAACATGTGTTCATAATCATGAAAGTGGCACTATTGATCGCCTGTGCATTTCCAAAGACACAGTGAGTCGCCGGACTGCCCCGGCGTAGCAAAGAATCATCCTGAATATCGTCGAGGATCAAGGACGCGTTGTGGAGGTCCGAGATAATGTCGTCAATGACGGTGGTGAGATGCTCAGGCAGCTTGAACCACAAGTTGCAAGCTTGGATGACTTTTGAGCGGACGTTCTTGGAAGGGAGCATTCGGATGTAATCGCATGGTGCGATAACTGCCGAGTCGTCCAGTCGGGCCTCACCCAGCTCGGAGCTTGGGGAGCTGCTATTTTGAAGAAGATCGCTAGAAGAGGAGTCTCCCACTGCTGTTTTCTCTTCTGAATCGCGAGCTTGAGTTGACTTGGGTCGCGATGAAGCTCCGCTGCATGGAGCTGCCTCTGAGATTGTCGTGGAGCATTGCACTTTGCCTTTGGGAAAGCTCCTGCGGAATAGCTTTGACTCGCTCAAAAAGATAGCCATTTTCATGATGCTGATGGATGGTCAATCTTGAGACAGTGCCTTTAAGTGGAGTGATTTATATTGGTCAAGAATGATAATCCGCTCCGGTTAGTACCAACGACTTCTCAGGCTAGATAAACCATTTACTTCACACGCCGAGCATAACCTGACTGGGCTGCATCAATACGAAAGTGCTGCCCCTAGCTGGCCAGTCCTATGGATATTTTCTCCCCGCATAGTGACGTGTTCACCCGGGCCCACTTCGTCAGCATTCAAAATAATTCGGCAGGGAGGATGCTGCTCCATACTCAGTTAGACGCTTCGTGGCTGTTGAAATGACAAGATATGGAAATACCATGCGCATCATCGTGGGTCGTGAGGTGGGGCGCGCTTGGGTGTTCATGCGTTGAAGATCAAGAGCCTACATCCCGATCGTCGATCTCGGGGTCGCCAACACTAACGGCACTCTAGGCCCATTGTAAAGCAGTCTAACAGACTTAGTCTATTGCGCCATCAGCTCCCAAAGAGGCCAAGGCTTTAGCTAAAACATGGAAAATGGCCTAACCCCCGACTCGTGCAGCACTCGGCTCGTCTGCCCTCAAGAGGCACCAAGTACGAGCAATGTGTGCAGCCCATATTGCAACTCACATCATGATTAGCAACTACAGGTCGTTGCATGCGTCTCTTTTCTCGTCGATCATCCGGAAGGTTCGATCCAGGAGTCGCAAAGGCGAAGTCAGCTAGCTGGCTGGACCTTTCGCTATGCTCCTTACTCGACCGGCCAAGAACAAGAGTCTTATCTACTTCACAGTTAACGCCAGGGCTTCTGATATCAAACCTTCAATCCCAATGGCTGAATCCCCAGCCACTTGCCCATCAGTCATCGCCCAGGAAAGGGGCCCCTCCCATGAACCCTTACAGAACAGAAGATCTCCACGACACACTTGGCCAATCGCTTCATATTGAGAGCCGCGGCAAGGGAAAAACCGGACAAAATACGAGCAACACGCCACGCGAGTCTGGCACCGAGTTATTCCGAGCTTTCTGGGTCCTAAACAGGATATCTTTCAGAAAAGCCCGATCGGCCAATTCCAATCTCCTCGATTAGGGGATGGGATTGGGGCCGGCTCGGTAGTGAAGATGAAGACTTGCGGTTCTGTGACATACAAGTTTTCTTGTTAGACAATTTGAGAGCTGGGGAGACTGCACAGGTGGCTGGCTGAGTGTGATGTTATGGAAATGTGGAGAGGGTCTCTACTGCGAGAAAATTGCCTTGCATAGAGCTCAGATAAGCCTTGCTAGACAGCGCTTAGCACAACAAGATGATGCTCCGAATTGCAGATTGGTATTACATCTATAACCTACAATTTTGGCACTGGCGGGGTGTGGAAATCATTCGCTCTGGCGGTCGCGTCGTCTATGACCGCTGATTGAATCTTGTGCCGTAGGGGACCGCACAATATAATCACCCATCTGCATATGAAATAAATAATACTGGTTTGAATCTTTGGTGTAAAGCCATGGCTAGATTCGAGGCCGTCTAGATTTTTAATTTCCGTTTGTGATCGCAGCAGCAAGTATGCAAGGTGGAAAGGGAGCAACATGGTGCTCAGAGCGGCACCAAACAATCGAACATCACACACCGCCATTGACCTCTCAGAAACAGCTCTCTCGAGAAAAGGATGGCGCGTTTAGGGTTTTGCCTCGAATTCTATCAGCGTAGACACAAGCCTTGTGGTCTGAGAAGCTCCTGGCCTATGGCCACCGCATGTTCAGCCCAGCTTGCCGATCTAATCCTAAGTTCGACCCCGAGCTATTAGCCTGTTGACAGCTCACTCAGTGATCTTCGTCTCCTGTCATGTACCATTTAGGTAGCTGCACGATCTGAATAGTATTGATTCGATACCCGCCACCGGGCGTAGATCGCGGCCTGTCTTGGTATAGTCCGAGAGAGTGGGCCCGATAGTGAAGTGGGTCCCCTGACACATGTACAGAGCAGAATAGGCCGGAGAGGCAATGCCGATTCAAAGGCAGTTAAAGTACTCTGTTCGTGTAAAACTGGTATTTTGATATTCATCCTATTCGATGCGACCGAAATTCCAGTTTCTTTAGGTGTTTGTAGCGAAATGTAGATGCCGTTACGAAACCCATGCAGCCACCGTATCTTTATTGCTAGTCGTCAGTTCCGAGGGCGATTTGCTTGTAGCTTTGATCCGTTACAGCCGTATAATTCAGTAATCCCTAAGTCTTTCAGTCCATCGTTTAACATACAACTTCCCTTATGAAACGCTAAATCTGCCGATATCCTGCATACCGGGATATGCCACGAATCTCTCGTATTTCTGCTGCGGCAGCACCTTAGTCCAGCCATCCGCCATTATCCTCGCTGTTTCCACACATCCAACACCGATAGGACCCTTGCAGACCTCCTGCCTAAGCCGCCAATTCCTTGGTGGTGATCGGGCCCTAGGTTTGTAGGTAAGAAATACGACAATTTTATTCTTATCTAGATAATCATATTATACGCGGTCGGAAATAGCAGAAGAGCTACGTAGCTCGGAGAAGAACATATACACTCGGCCACCCTCTTTGATAATATATTATAGAAATGCCATTCCTACAATCGAGCTAGCGGAAAATTCAAAGCCGTGCACTAAAACCGATTCCTCAGCGAAACGTGCGAAGGCGATCTCTAGAAGGCGGCCACATATATGAAACCCCGAGACTCCGTTGCGAGTATCCAGCACTAAAGTTCGGCACAAAAGAGCTCACAAGCAACAAGACAAGGCCTAGGCTTTTAGAGACGTGTTCTTTCATAAGATAGCCGACGCCGAAGAACACTTCAATTCAACCTCCGTCTAAGATCTTTAAGCAACCAATTATAGAGCTAGAAGTCTACCGGTCACTAAAAGCGGCTAAAGGAAATACGGCACTAGGAAAGGACGGTACCCCGACTCTCGTGTGGAAGCACTTGTGAAAGAAGGTCGGAAAGTTTATCACCTAAATCCCTCTGAGATTTACCGGGGAGGAGGGGAGAAATTCGCTGTTATGGAGCCATAGTTACACAGGAAAGAGAAGGAGAATGTTGAAGTAACAACCAACTAGAATATTATTTAACCGTCCTGCAACTGTTTCTACAGACTCTGGCTCCAGACTGTGATAGTGACAGACTTAAACCTTCTCTTCCTCCGCATCCAGCGTTGCTTCTTCCTTCTTTCGGATATCCTTCCATCCCATCCCCAACGAGCTTAAAAACGTGGCGCAGGCACAACCCAGCGCAAGGTAGAATACGCGGTCCACGGCCTTGCTGTATGCCATCAGGACCCCGGCTAACAGATTTGGCTTGCTGATGAGCTGGCGAAGACCCGTTGCTCCCGCCGCGATGACCACCTCTGGGTCAACGCCCGGCGCATAGGTCGGCACGGTTGTACTAAGACTGTTGGTGAAGATGCTTTCTCCGACTGTCAAGAACACGGCGCCACCAAAGGTCTGCGAGAAGGAAAGAAGCGACATAGAAATCGAAACTGTGTCGGGAGGAAGCGTGTTTTGGACCGCGATGACCGGCATCTGTATCCCAAGTCCACGCCCCGCGCCCATCAGGATCTCGTATCCAACCCATTCCTTGGTCGAGGTGGATGGGGAGATGGTGCACAACAGGCCATTGCCAATCGACATCAAAATGGCACTAACCACACTCCAGGGGAGGTAGTAGCCGAATTTGCCGACTAAATTGGTCAGCAGGGGTTCAATCATATATCCCATTTTCATTTGAAGATCAATTATCGCTTACCAGCAGCCCCTGATGACGCGGCACCAATCAACTGACTGATGAGAATGGGCAGCATGTATGCACCGCTCACTGTCGGCGACACTTCCTTGATCGCCTGGAAATATATGGGCAGATAGTAGGTGGTGAGCTGGAGCGCCCCCCAGAAGAAGAGTTGGACAAGACAGCTGGACCACACAATGCGTTGTTTCACCATGGAAAATGGGATCATAGCCTCATCGCCTTGGAAGTATTCCCAGACCAAATAGACGACGAAGGTGCCAGTTGCACCGCCAAAGAGCCCTATCACCGTTGCACTATTCCACGCATATTGGTTTCCGCCATATGCAAGAGCCATGAAGAATTGAATGGACGCCGGTGCAAAGAGTCCAAAGCCGATGAGATCGAGCTTGGTCAGGACGGTTTGTAGGACTGAAATCTCTCGCGGTCTAATGTTGTCTGGGATGTGAATGGAGAGCAACAAGACAGCAACAATAGCCCCGACAGGGAGATTGATATAAAAGCCTGAATAGAAAACCCAGATTAACTTTTGCTAGATCCTATACTGGCCCGCGTCAGCTTACACCACCGCCAATTCACATATTGGGTAAATGCACCACCAAGAACCGGCCCACATATAACCCCGAGCTGAGAAACTAAGAAATAGAGGAGCAGTCAGATCTCTATCCATTCTGGCCCAAACAAACCGAGCACTTACCGCCCAGCAATACTCCAATGTATGCTATTCCTGGTCAGCTCACGAACCAGCAAGTCGCAGGTCAGATCGACATACCAGGCCGTTTGTGCAAGGGTAGGCATGCGGATAGAATAGTCAGACCTCCGTTAACGAGACCTGCAGACCCAATACCCGCCAATGCTCGTCCAATGACCAGCATTTTGGACGACGTGGCCACTCCACAGACCAGGGAGCCTAATTCAAAGATGAAGAAGAAAGCTAGAAATATCCACTTTGGATCAATAAGCACGATTCCCTCATTTAATCACAGGTCAGCTTGAGACCAACCTTTGAGCGGAACTCCGAGTAGAGCTTTCCCGCCAGCGGTTGGAGAGACGCACTATATTGATGTCAGTATCAGTCCTCTTCAGGATATTTTCTTCAATGAATACACACCTAGCCAACTGATACGCACTGCCATACCAACCGACATCTTCAAGAGAATGAAACTGACTTGTAAGGCGAGGAATTGCCTAACATCATAATCATGGTCAGATAATGTTCTAGTACAGGCCAGGAAGTGTATCGTCATACCGTCGCAATAATAACCATATCTAGCAGAACCAAGAATGCGACCAGCGTCACAGACAACATGACCAAGTGAAGCTTGGTTCCAGTGATGTAGTTATCCATAGTTGGCAACGTTTGATGATTTGGACGCCCAGTTGAGAACAAAGGAGCCCCTACTCAATGAAAATAGATACAAAGAAAAGATCAACTGGTCCTGACTTGCTCCAGTGAGATGGAAGAAGTCCTGATCTTTGGATCAAACGCTCTTGCAACGACTTCAGGTTCAAATAATAAGTAGTGAGGTTGATAGGACAAGTCTATACAGGCTACGAGACTGAACCGAATGGAAGATTAATGCCTGGTTGGGGCCCAAACGGTGGTCCATAATTTAATTTGTTATAGGGAGTAAGTAATTTGGCGAGTGGGCTTCGGTGACGGCTACTATATTGATTGGCTCACGGAAGCAAGGAGACCTTTTCCCCCTAACATGGTGCATCTTTCGATGCAGCGGCCGGCAGACAGGTCTAGCCATCTGTTTATTGTTTTTGATGCAGCGGCCGGCAGACAGGTCCTAACCATCTAGGTTCTCACCATATTTTGTTAGGCAGTTAGCTGAGGGGGCGTGTCAAAATATGGCTATCCACCTGTATTATCCAGCTAGCTACTAAAAACGCATCTCAGCTTCATCCTAGGTGCGTGTCTATAGACGATGATCGGAAATCACAAATCACTATCCGTGCCCAAGGAGCCCCACACCGCACCGCGTTGTGGAAGCGGTGTGGGTGGGACTTGGGCACGAATACATAGTTTGATATGCAAATATTTCGGTAGGCCAAGAGCTACTGGTCGTAAGTAGGGAGCGGGCACTCACCACGATGGATGTACTCTTAGAGTACTTTCAGCTATGGGGAAGCTATAGTCAGGAAGAGTAGTCCCCTTCTCCCAATAAAATTCCTTACCGACCGAGTTACCATCTCTAGGATTGGAGAAGGTGTTACTAAGGATGTCGATCATGAATTCCAGCTTACTTTTTGACCCTCGATGTTCTCCAAGAATTGTGAACGACCAATTAAACCAGGGCGATTCAAACTTTAGGTCCTGGTAAACCTGGCCCACAAATCTGCAACTTATATGCGCCCAACCTGCATTTGGACTACCTAAATCTGACCCGAAACTCACAAATAATTTTTCTTTTCCCAGTTAGGCGTGCGTCCAAAACGGGGGGCAGTCCCCACCCTAGCTGTGGTTCTAACACCGCTTGGTTTATACTCACTTGCTGCACCTATTTGGGGATAGCCTCGCGTGAATACGTCACATGGAATCAAGTATATAAACACCGAGGGCCGACAAGCGGTTTGGAAGGCCACAGCGATCCAGGTTGAATCTGTCTATATCACATAATTGAGATATACAGATAGCTTTCTTCAACCTCAATAAGCCTTCGACCGAAGCCGACACTTCTTCTGTATCCCTTACCCTCATCTATCAGTCACCCCGATTTACAGGCATGGATATGGATATTACAAGGCTGAAAAGCTCCATTATCTGGCAACCATTATCAATGTGTATTGGAAGCTTAGGTTTGACAAGCCTGATCGGCCATGCGCTATATGGTGCGGTGGACTGGAGAGCGGTAAGTTATATCCTAATCCACTCACCTCATATTCAACTGATCAAGTGAAAAGGTAGGCTTGACCATGTCTGTTCACTTCGTCTCCGTTGCCTTGGACCACTATAAAGATCACCAACAATCTTACAAGCTTGCAAAAGTGAGAAAGAATCAAGATGCTCTCATTGTCTTTCGACTTGCACAATGGATGATGTTTTTATCTTCCCTTATCGCTGTTGGGATACTTACACAATGTCCGCTATCTACAACCGTGAAAACATGCTGTTCTGCGGCACCAGCACTACTATGGGATTTCCATCTTTTTGAATTTACCTATAATGGAAGAAAGGAGTATGTCTCTGTGAAACGGATTCCTGGTATTAAACCATTTGTTGTTGGGTTAATCCGTGGATGCGGGACTTATGTAGTTGTGGAGTCAATCATGACCCCAACTTACACTTACCAACCTGTTTATCCATGGGACGCTTTTAAGCTTGTTTTATGGGTAGTAATGGACAGAACATGCTTTTCAGTAAGTTGATAACCAACTATCTAGTGTTGTTAAATGCTGACGACCTTTGAAAGTTTCTGTTAGATATACGTGATTTTGATGAAGATAAGAAGGGGGGAGTACGCACGCTTGCGGTTCTACTAGGCTCGATTCCTCTCTCCAAGCTATTCCTCCTTGTGGTCCACTCCATCGTCATTTGCATTTTTTACAAAAACCTATACATTATAGGTGCGACACTTTTTGCAGAGGCTCTTGTTTGGTATTTGGACCATAAGAGTAGCAGGATATGGTTCGATTTGGCCTATCATTCGTTGACTTTTGCTGTTGCCGGCTACTTTATTGTTCTTTTAAAATACTGATATATCAACTTTGCGGCCACGGAGAGGATACAAGGTCAATCAGGAGAAATCAGGCTAAGACAAGATAGCCTGCAGAGTTTTAGGCTAGGGTTGAAGCATGATTTTACAAATATATTTCGGGATATAGGGCCTACTATATTAGTTTTTGGAGAAGTGGTAACCTATTATATGCTTTTCATCTGTGCACCCTATAGTTCAGAGTTTAGTCGACTATAGCGACCTGTCCAGCTGTTGTAGTCATCTTTATTTACTAACGTAATTCCCGCCCGACCGGAACACCTCTTCAAAAAACGCGTCTTCCAAACCACCTATCTAATTCAACCACCTACCATGCCACCAATTCGGCCCGAATCTGCGCAGAAAGCGGCCAATCAAGAGGGCAAGATCTTATTAGCCCTTGATGATATCAAAAATCACCGTATCTCTACTCTCCGCGCAGCAGCGAGGCTATACGGAATACTACTCACTACACTATACGCGCGCGCTCACTACCGGACCTTACGCGTCGATAAGCGCCCGTCTGGCTATAAATTAACCTAAACCGAAGAGGATTCGCTTACTAAGTGGATTATCTCTATAGATACGTATAGTGCAGCCCCTAGGCCCTCTATAGTGCGAGAAATAGCTAATATTCTACTAGCTACGCGTAGTGAAGACCCTCTAGCTACTGTAGGTAAAAATTAGCTATCAAGCTTCGTGTAATAACGCCCTAAGCTTCGTTTAGTATTCTCTAGACGCTACGATTACTAAAGGGCCTAAAACGAAGACCCTACCTTACTACGAGCCTAGTTTACGACCGTATAAGATATTATCGACGCGAACGGTATCTAACCGGAGGATATCTATAACTTTAACGAGACTAGCTTCGCTATAGGGATTATAGCTACATAGAAGGTTGTTATAAGGGCGGAATATTATAGTCGGCGATCGATTTTATAACTAGGTAATCGTGAATAGATTACTGCGGTCGAAGTAGTGAGCGCTAGTAGCTATTCGTTACTACTATACGTGATATTTAAAGCTAAAAACTTTATAGCGTCGTAGTTCGACGAAAAGCTTTATCTTCTAAAGGACTAGCGTATTAAGGTCTCGCTAAATAGTTAGACTACCGATGAAATTAGCCTTCGGTAGCTATAGAAGCTATTTATTCTAGCGATAACGATACGTACGAAAGAGAAATATCGGTTATTAATTCTTAATAGCTATAGTAGCTATCTTACGGCTTAATTCGACTAGATCTATACAGAAAATCATATTATACCCCTTTATATGCCTCCGTACTCTTCGTATCTTTTATAACCGCTTAATATTAGGTGTTTCGCTATATTAAAATATATATACAGTCGCTACGTAAGCGATCTAGCTCGTACGTCGTATAACTATATCGACAAATTCGATTTCCTCGTAGAGTACGCCTAGGCGTATACAGAGGCCTTTTAACCTTATATTATTTAAAATAGCTTCGCTGCTACTGGTCTTATTCCGGTCGACGTAGATCGAGTACTTTCGAAGCTTAATATCTCACTCTAAACGCCGTCGCTACCGAATAGCCGACCCTACACTAGCTATAGCTAATTTAGCCTAAAAATACCCAGAACCGTCGTCTAATTACAAAAATCAGCTTCGATATTGAAGGATCTATTAAGATATCGGTCAAATAGCCCTCCGAGCCTATCAAAAACCGTACTAGATTAGATTATTAAAGGCGCTTGCATCTCGCTTTATAGGGCCGCGATATTAGCGCAGGAAAACAGCGTTCTACACATAGCGAATGAGAAAATACGCCAAAAACGTACACGATCAAAACAACAGATAGTGTACGAAGGAGGCCTCACGGTCGAAGAGGGCCTACAGCTAGTTCAGCAGCTGAATTAGCCAATTAAAGACACTCCGGTAGTAGCGCAGCCGCAGGGCGATGAGGCTATTTAACCAGCTCAGCTAGCAACTAGGGCTCCACCGAGGTGTAGTGGGTGTTTTCAGATTGGGCACAGATATAATCATTGTAAAAACCGCTAGATATAGCCAAATTGATGCGTTTTGCTTAAGATATTAAGATTCAAAATATCCTAATGGGGGTGGGTGTTCCGGTCGGGCGGGTGTTCCGGTCGGGCGGGAATTACGTTAACTTCTTTAATATTAGGTATTGTTAGTCATAGTTTTTCAATCTTGTAATCTAATATACCAATTCTATTGTAATATTAAAATTATTCTAGGGAAGTCATCTAGAAGGGCCTTATCCTAGAGGATTAGGGTTAGTAGAATAATATTTTGATAAATAGGGGCTACTAGGATCTGAGCTAATACTTTTATTCTATGGAACTAGTTAACTCGTTACCGTAACTTATAACGTGCTTCCCGCTCATTCTTAAGGCAGCTTCATACGACCTTGCAAACAAAGCTTCTCATCGCTCAAGGCGTTCTACTTTAGTACGGAAAGGTAGCGATGGGTGTTGTATTCTCAACAGAACTGCCTAGTTTTATCTTTTAAGCTTGGCTATTCGGCAAAGCATTTATTCTCTCTAATCCTGGCAAGACAAGAGTATTAGGTACCGCAGATGATTTCGCTAAAGCCCTCAATCTTCTAGTTGATAGTCGGTCCGTGGTCCCCTCTGCATCCGTCTGCAGCCAGCCCTTTGCCGACCCACTTCAGCCACGCCAATTTTTTTTCAGCTGGACGGGGCTGGCCGACCTTGGCAGCCGAGTACATATGTGAGCGCACGGGTCGGCTATTAGGATCACTTGAAATAAATGCTTAACTGCAGACCGGACATATTATACAAGTGCAGAAGACTACTGTACAGTAGGTGGTTTGCTGTATTTCACCGTAAACTTGAACAACTTGCAGAGTGGGTCCGTCCGATCTACATTGCAGCGTCCCTCCCTCTAACTAGCGCATTCATTTTCACGCTAGCGATTTCGTTGCAGCAAGGGTCCTGGTGTCAGAGTACACGCCCGATTAATCCCGTATTTTTTGGGGTCTTGCTTGCTTGCTTTTTTCTAATCAGCGCAAAATGACATAGGGATCGAAACTACGTGAATTGGGGCTTCCGACCGCCATTTATGTTGCCACCCTCCAAACGTTACCCGTTGGATCTGCAGCGCGCGAAGGCGCTTTGGATGCCTATGTCTATGGAATAGACGGTATTTTCTGAGGTAATAACAAGCATTGAAGCTCTTAGCATCTTGGCAATGCCATTTGTTGCCGGTCGGACTATGGATAAACCTCTGGAGTCTAATCATGTCTTGCGAGATGGAAAGGATTTGGCGTAATCCAAATGCAGCCATCCATCTAATGACACTAAGAACCGTTGAATGCCCGGACTATGAGTACAATCGCCGGAGGAGAAGGATCCCGGGTCATTCATGGTAGGGTGGCCGAATAGATGTAGAAGACACAGTCACAGGAGATGTATGGATGTATTTTGTACGAGGTATAATCATAGGATCCTATTAATTCAAACTCCAAGATTATCTGGTCATCTTCAAGGTCGCTCTCATAGTTTTCCAAACAGCATAGGTATGTGGGATTTGGATATCTACTAAGACCCGAGGTGTATAACAAAGACTGCTATCTGACAGTCTCAATTCTCTTGAACAAAGTGAAGATACTGAGACCCAAGTGAGCTTCGGTACCGACTTATCTATAGATTTAAAAACAGGGTACATCATTAACAATCTTGAGTTTATTTGGCACGGTTAAGCACCAAACCTGACGCCGGAAGCTCGACACTGACAAGTCGTTCATCCTCTAGGTTAAAAATGAACTCATCCGCCGGTCCAGAAAAATCGAGGTTCATCCACGTAAAGGAGTTATCAAATAAGCCTCCTTTGCCTCCCTCCACGGCAGCACGGGGCTTCATTGGGATTTCTGGCTCTGCCATACGGTGTGCCACGCGCATTTTACCCTTAGACCTGTATAGCGATGACAAGGATCGGGAGATGGAGTTAAGCCCAGTTGGGTAGAGGCGCCAGTGCGCATTGTGGCGACCGTTAACACCTTTAATCCAGAAAGACTTGAGCCCAAGGCCAGGGCGGCCCTTGTCAACAGTCAACGTCAGGTTTGTGCCAGACGAACTCTGATCAACGAACGTGCCAGCAAGGTTGCGCCGAGCATTTTCCCAAGCCGCATGCTCAGCAGCGGGGATGAATGTTTCGCCCACCCCGTCACGTAGGGGCCAACGCGCAGGTGTGGCGGTAGAACCGGCGATTAAGATGGAGAAGCCAATTCCGTGGTCTGGAGCCAGGGCGAAAATGGCTGTGTAGTCCTGGTTGCCACCAGCCTTGGTATAGAGGTCTGAGATACGGGTTCGATTCGAGCCCGGAGTAACAGGAATCTCCAGGCGAGAGATTTCCCAAGGTGCACCAACAAGCTCAACTAAGCTGCCCGTTCCACTACGAGGCTTCATCCATTCGGATGTTGTGGCTGGAGAGAGCAGCTCCGAGTTCAAGATTGAAAGACCTGCCGTGCGAAGGTCTGCACCATTGGCGTACAGCCCGCCAGATCTGCACGGCAATTTAGTTTGCACTCCGAGTGGAAACTGAAACACGTCCAGAGGAATGGAAGAGACCTACGATGCGACAACCTCGAGGTCAAGGCCCCATGATGAATTCTTGTCGACGATAGAGCGATCGATCGCATTCAGATCTGAGCCAGTCGGCACCTTCGTCGACGTACTGCCCAGTCCCAATGGCTCGAAAAGCATGTCGCGGATTGCATCTGTGTACGTCTTCTGTCCGGACAGACGAGCGAGAACCTGCCCGAGAACAGCAAACCCTGCGTCGGAATATATGGCATTTCGGAACGGGGAGATGACGGGCTTTTTGTCCTCGCGCATGAAAGTCAAAAACTCTATGTAACGTATTTCGATTAGTCTCTTCATCTTCAACGACCACAAAACGGGTAAATACCTCGCGACGTGTAGTTCAATGGGTCGTCCGGCTTCAGATATTTCGCAAAGAAGTCTAGTGGAGAGGTCAACATCTGCTCACAGGATACTCAAAGGCACACATACCCCCCGGTCCTCCAGTGCCAGCCTGCTGAGAAGCTAATGCTCCGACGGTAATATCCTCCCAACGGAGTCTCTGCAGTGGGTCGGCAGATGAATTTCCTGCAAGCTCGGGAAGGTATTTCGTCACCGGTTGGCTGAAGACTTCTATGCCTGCCTTCGCGATGATGGCGTAGACCGTGAAGAGCTTGGTTACGCTTCCAATGCGAAATATCGTCTTGTCGTTGAGGATTCCAGCAGTCAAACTCTTGTTTGCATCATGCCCGACGTGCGAATAGTTATATATCGAACTGTTGGTCGCCGCGGAAAAGACGTCGACGGAAAAGACCAGGTCCGTGCGATTAAGAGCTCCGGTGGAAAAGAGACTGTCCACGAGGCCAGGGAACTTCAATTTCGCACTCTGGATCGCGATTGAATTTGATAAATCAAAATTGGAGATGAAAGATGGGCCGATTAAGGGGACCTCATCTGTGGCGATGATGCGAGCTGCTGAACTCGCCAGGAACCCGAGCACGGATCCAACCAATACTTTGTGAAGAAACATTTGCAAGTAGTTCGATGAGTTTTAGACTAGATATGAAAAGTTCACACTTCTCGAAAATTTCATGGAAATTGTTAAAGCCCAAAGAATCCTGCTTTGCTCCTTTTATATTCGATTGCCGGTAGCTGTGAATCCGTGGTGTTGATGAGCTGTTGAGGATCTACACTGCGTATAAACAACCCCCAGACGTAAGCCAAGCCCTCGCGCTAGCCAAAATTGGTTCGATGTATCGCTCTCTGAACACTCATGAAGATCATGACAAACTATAATAAGCGACTTTGCCCCAACTCAGCCCCAGCCAAGCGGTAATTTTTTCACAGCCAGTGCAGTCTGGCCTTGGTGGCGACCCTTTTTTCGGACCCCAAAACCAAGCGCGCCATACAACCCGAAACGAAGGACAGAAGTGGACTCTTCGAATTCCAGTCTAGGAGCTATGTAGGGCTCGCGCTAAGTATAACCTGGTCGGGTCATAGATTTATACTGCTCCACCGATCCATGTAACTGGGATTCAATTAGCCAATGCAGTCCATGCTCGCACCTAACAAGACACCTTCACTGTCACTCATTAGAATACTTGGCATATGGCGCGCCTGCCCCTTCCCCACATCTAATTCACTACTGCCAGCAGATATCCTGACCATTGCAACGCACGCTTTATTCAAGGCCCATGAAACAAGCCACGCCTCAGGCTGCCGCCATCTTGCCGCCTTCTTCCCTTACCATTTCCTATCGAATGAGTTTGACAGATATGTTATGCCGCATTTGCACCCTTGAATTTTTTCTCTGCAGGTTCTACTTGTGAACGCCAGGGATAATCCCCCAGGGTTCGTGGTCCGCTGGCTGCTTGCTTTGCCGCTTGGTCTGCTTTCTCATTTCCTTCGAGTCCCGCAAGGCCTGGGGATGCGTTGCTCGCAGCGGTTGCGGTGGCTTGAAGGTTCTCCAGGCCGGATAACACGGTTAAGGTGTTATACTTCAAGTTGAACGAAGATATAGAGACGGTGGTTGACCATGCCCTGGAGGTGGCGTTCATGCCACTAGTTATCCACGTGCTCGTCGAGGCGTAGCAGGAGGCGCCCAGCGTAGACGAGGTCACATTGCAATCCAAAGTCCCAGTAACGATGTAGATAGTGCGGTTCCAAGCTGGTGATATCGTAATGATAGTCCTGGAAGGTCGCACCGGTCGTGGGAGTTACAGGCAAGACATAACCGGAAGAGGAACATTGGCTGGCCTCGGCAGATCGGCAGTCGACCTCAATTGCAGTAGCTGAGGTATCGGCGCTCACGACTCTCCCTTCCAGGTAATCCAGATTCATCTCATATAGGGCCGGGAATAGAATATTGACCTCTGTTGACTGCGCCGTCGTCTGCGTCGTTGTGCCTGCCACCATCGGCATTATTGCAGCGATGGCGACGGCCAGGGCTGTACGGAGAATGCCGGTAAAGTTCATTGGGTCACGACAAGGAAGGGCGAGAGATGACGTTTCGCAACCTCATTCAGGGGATTGTCGTTCTTTAAGATCTGTGACCCTTAATCCTAGCCTAAGACTATCTAGCGTGACGGCTTGTTAGTCCATAATTAGTGCGAGGAGAGGAGCCATAGGATATCTATCATTCTTATGGTTGGATCACAGTAGTAATACTGGGAGACAAAAGTCTTTCGCTCATCTTGAGGTTTTCCCAGACCCTCCGAATATCAAAATGCTTGGAGATATGTAAATGTTTAAAACATGTACTTAACACAATTTTGTAGCACAAGTTAGCCAGATGAAATGGAATCTACACAGTTCTCCTCTTGTTGATCCCACGGATACCAAAAATCTAGAATTCAGCCCCCACCTCAGCTTCGAGTGGAGACTGGACAACAAAAAGGGTTGGAAATGAGGGAGTGCGCCGTGAGGCGGCTGAGGCTTGGAACAAAAGTGGAAAGAACACGAAATAAGCCTTGTGGAGTGCCAATGATTTGGGATTGGCTGTGATAAACTTTCTGTGCCGTGGCAGCGCACCCCCTGGTCAGCACTAACAACCTGAACCTATCTTAGGGCTTGCATTTAAACTGCGACTTCCACTTGGCTCGATACGTTAGTCTTTTCCGGTAATCTACGGCAGATGAGCCTATCGATCAGCTCATCCCTCCGGAAATGAGTGAGAAACAAGGCTTCTTGCGATCGATCGACAGTGGGCTAACTCAACTCTGAAGACAGATTGTCTGGAAGAACAGTCCAGTGCGAGCTTCCCATTCCACCCAGGTATGAAAATAGCCACATATATGTGTTGTATTTCTAGAGCGTGGAGGCGGCATCTGCGTATTCACCGTGCCCCGAAGTCGTCCCACGCTTACGCTCGGGTCCGACAGCTCGCGCGCTTTCGGGCGAGCTTACCGCTCTGAAGGTTGGTCACGAATAAACTTATTGGGCTCAATGTTTTCCCCTCTTCAACTCTCCACGGCCCAACCACACGGGCAGAGATGGCGTCAACAACCCAGATGCCGGATATACCGCCGACCATGCGCGCCTGGGTCCGCCCACGGCGGGGCCCCGCACGCAGCTCGCTCGAGCTGGTCACTGGCTTGCCCACGCCCGCCAAGCCGACGGGCTCGTCGCCAGATGTGCTGATCCGCGTGTCTCACGTGTCGCTGCAGTTTAATACCGAGTGGCTGATGAAGATTCTGCCAAACTTGCCCCTCACCGGGCCCTGGATCCCGGAGATCGAGCTGTCCGGAGAGGTGGTGGCGGCGGGCGAAGGCGCGCCGGTTGAGGTGCGCAACCCGGGCACGCACGTTGTCGCCTTTCAAAGCATCCCTGGCGCCGTGCTCATGGGCCACGGCGTGCTGACCGAGTACGTGCGGGTGCCGGGCAGACAAGTGGCGCGCACCGATGCCGCCATCGACATGGCGTCGGCCTCGGGCATTAACGGCGCCGGCAGCACCGCGCTCAAAATGATCCGCACAGCAGGCGTGCGCGAAGGTCATACGGTGCTCGTGAATGGCGCCAGTGGATCCGTTGGCTCAGTGCTCGTGCAGCTGTGCAAGCTACGAGGCGCCAAAGTCGTCGGCGTGGCCAGCAGCGGCAATGAGGCCATGGTACGCGGCCTAGGCGTCGACGAGGTAGGTGGAGGTTACCAGTGGATGACACGGGTACATGGCTCACACGGTCCCAGTTCATCGACTACCACAAGCACGACCCGCTGCCGGCGTACCTAGCGCATCAGTATGGTGATAGGCCGTTCGACTTCGTGCTCGACTGCGTCGGCACGCAGGCGCTCTTTGTCAACTCGCCAGCCTACCTCAAGACTGAGGGCGCGGTGGTCAACATCGGCATCCTCGAGGGCATTGGTTTGACTTTACGTAATGTCCTCTTCAACATGTTCCTGCCCACCTGCCTGGGCGGCGTGCCGCGCCGCTATATTATGTTCAGCACGCCGCCGGCGCGCGACGATGCCATCTACCTGGTGCGCCTGATTGAGGATGGCCATGTGCGCATCCCCGTCGACTCCGTATTCGACATGGAGGATGCCGTTAGCGCCTACGAGCGCATTGCTACCAAGCGCGCACGCGGCAAGGTCGTGGTTAAGGTTTCCAGCGGCTAGACTGCGGATGGGGAGCGGTCTTCTGTTAACGAAGACCAGCTGAATATGCCTGCATTCGCCGATTTGCTGGCGGGTGGTCCCTGTCGTACATGTACAAGGCAAGGGAGTTGCGTCATGAACACAGCCGAGGTTGCCCGGTGCCGAGCGGTCTTGAGTCGAAGCAAGCCTGAAGCATGATGGGGTAACGGCCGATGTGTTCCTCGCAAGGATGGCAATAAGCTAGGTGCTCCAATCTGGAAGATGACGGGGAGATGGTGGTCGTTGGACAACGGAATCTGGGGTTCTCCCTAGAGAAAAGTTAACATCCGAAAGAACGGGTAAGGTCATACCACTACACTTTGAGCAGCAATTGGAATTCCGGGTTTCATGACCTTTAGTGCCTAGAGGAACAGGGGTAGGATCGCATGAGATTGAACTATTGCTGATAAGCAAAGGTTACCTACACCCCCCACAAAACAAGTCAGAGCCCCTGGGAACGCAGTATTGGGAAGGCATGCCCACATGGACCGAGGTTTGTCGCTACTTAAATTCCGGAATATTCTCGTTTTATCACTACCGCTATCCCCTATCTGCTATATTCCACCATCAACTAGTCAACGAAAGACAGCCACAACGACAGTGAGCAAAGCCATAACAAAGCCATAACAACCCAGACGATGACCAACTACATTACCTATAAGTTAATATCGATTCCATATTTACCACGAGATATTCGTTAATCGACAATTTCATAAAATGACATTCGAGGACCAAACATGGGCCACTAGCTATAGGAGCACATGTCCGATGATGCCCAAAACTACCCAAAAGCTGCCCGGCTGCCCATTCGCTTCAAAAAAACAATGCGCATTTTGGGTCAAAACGCTCGTGCTCCTGCGGCAAATTTCGTCCTCATTGGACTTAATCTATTCAACCTGGCCAAAGACCAGCTGGTCATAACTCCTGCTGCTGGAAAACAATAACTTCAGCGCCAAATTGAACTTTTGAAATATCTCAGGAACCAGACCAGTTAGCGAGTAACAGACCACGGCAAATTTCATCTAACTCCCTGCGCTACACTTTGATACTGGCATTGACCCTGTCAGGCCAGTATCATAGTGGTGCGCGCGCAAAAGGGTGTTGGGCCTGTCCCGTCAGGGGCGCCCGGAGGCCCATCGAAATCTCTGCCATCGAACCGTAAGCGCGTACTGAACGCCAATCATGATGCACAAGCACTGTTAAAAGCACTGCGCAGTAAGCAGAATGGGGTAAAGGCACTGGAATCCCAGTATTCTAAGCTCGCCGACTTCCTCAAGCGTATAGAGGCGCTCACTAAGGACCTCCTATTAATACCGTTATAGACGGACTGGCAGGCTAAACTCGCAGCTATCCGTAAGGATATATAGGATATCAAGACGGTAGTAGAACCGCTAGCGAAGCAGACCGTCAGATCCTTCGCTGAATAGGCTAGAAGAGCGCCTACGCCCGTATACTACTAGTCCTCCTCCCCTAACTCGTCCGATTCTACGCCCGTGCGAGCTTCGGACGTCGTATGTGACCGAGAGGTTATAGTATACCTTAGAGATCGGGCATAAGTAGGCGTCTTCCGCCGTCTAACGCCAGCAGAGCTCACTAAGCGTGCTAACCAGGCTAGGGCCAAAGCCGCACAGTCCCCTCGCGATCCGATACCCGCCCTCGCCTAGGTAATAATCCTAGCGTCCCGATAGCTTAAATCGGGGGATATCCGGTTCACCGTATACGACGCGAAAGAGGCAGAGATCCTACGGATTCACCGTAATAAGTAGACTAAAGGGCTCTATAAGACTACCTTCGTCTACCTACTAATATAGGGAGTGGTAGTTCACGACGTTAACGTACGCTCTTTAAGAATTAACCGGGCGTCGGAGGACCTACCGCAGGAGGAGGTAATTAAGGATTTGCTAGCGGAGAATATTCAGTTCTAGGGAGATACGGAGATCGCTAAGATCTACTAGCTCAAGACCCCGTCGGGTAAGAGCGGCTCTCTCGTCCTCGAGTTCACCTTACCGGTCCCTATAAATACGGCTATCAGCCACGGAGTCCTCTGGGACTATAATAACCTAATAGCGGTCTTATACGATCGAGAGTCTCGGCTGCGCTAGTGCTTTAACTGTCAAAAGTTTAGATATATAGGAACCGCCTATTCCTAACCCATTAGATATATATACTACGCGGAGGGCTATTAGTCTCGGGATTGCCCTTCGAAGGATACATACAAAAAACATAAATATACTAACTACGAAGGCGCACACGCTATATAGAGTCAGGACTATCAGCTTCGTGTCTAGGAGATCGAGCGGATAAATAAGCGAGCTAAATACCGGGGAAGATTTCATCTAGTCCCCGTACCGTTCAGCATCCGATAGCTACCGGCGAACCTATAGCCCTCCTCCGTTAGCTTATAGGGAACCCCCCAAAGCTCATCCAGCGAAGAGCTTAGCGGTACGAGTAGCGATGTACCAGCCGCACAGCCTAATAACGGAGGCTCGTAGGATACCGGTCCTATCCTATCTCGATCCGCCTAAAACGTAGCTACGCTAGTTACTAAGGTAGCGGCTACTAAAACTACTAAGACTATAAAGAATAAAACTAAGATAGCCAGTAAGCCGGTAACAGCTACCGACACTAAGTCGACAACGGCTCCGGTAAATAACAGTATAGAACAAGGACAAAAATCGTCAGATTTAATAGATACTAGGGTAGATAAGGCCGAGGAAGAACCTACCTCTAAACCTATATAAGCCCACCCCGAGCTAAATTCAACGGAGGCAGGAATAGAAGAGGCTACGGAAGCCTATACCGTATTAAACTCGACCGATATAGGGGCAGAAAAGGCTAGAGTAGGCGAGGCTAGAGTAGAGGAGGCCAGGGAGGAAGAGGCTAGAGAGGAAGAACCTAGAGAGGAACTTATACTTAAACCCTTACAGATTCGCCCTATAATCCCCTTAATCTCGCTTAAATCACTTAATAACTACTAATTCGGGCCGAGCGATAGCGTTATACGGCACTAACTAGTCTTTTACCGAACCTTCCCTCCCGTATCATCTAAATCCGAAATAGCCAGAGAGCGAACCGCTAAGGTACGTACTACCCGTATAAAGGCTATAGAGGAAAGGAAATCATAATTAACTAGCGGAGGAAAACGGTCCGGGGACTCCTAGTTAGGGGACTCGAGCAGTAGAAGGTTAGTAAGGATATCGAAACTAATCGAGAACGTAAACCGGCGAAGGGCAGAATTAACGTCCGAAGCCGAGGGCGATATATAAGAACCCAAAGGCTAGTTAGTACTATATAATACTAACGAACCGTCGATATCCTCCCTCTCTTCCCTACCGGAATAGCTATCTAACTAGGAGTTCTAACCGTTATCGCTACTATCAGTACTATCGCTACCGGATCGACCTAGCTCGCTACTAGAGATAAGCAGTAGGAAGCGGAAGAAGCTATACGGTAAAAACCGCTAAAAGGAAAAGCTAGGAGCGCGGAAAACCCCGAGGAAACTAGCCCCGTCTAAACGTTAATAAATTAGTATAATCGGTAATAATATATACTAAGAGAACTTAAAATATACTAATATAACGTAAACCGATAGAAAGATAAGGTAATAGCTTAGTTTCTAAGGGACCCGGAGGTTCTCTTAGTAGATATTATCGCTATCTAAGAGCCGTAGAAGTCAGAATTCAAAGATAACACTTACCGGCCCTACTAACGTACCTATAACCTCCTCCGACCCCCGACAGACCCGAGCCTACCCGTCGAAGTAGCTCGTATATGCGTCTGTATATTTATATTAAAGAAACTAGGCGAGTATACCTACGTTATCTACTCCTACGACCTATAGGAGCTCCGGATGACGCTAGTCGACGGCGAAGAGCTTCGGCTATTTAATCTATATAACGAGAGGGGCAGCTAGGGAGCCTTAGATCTATTAAAAGAACTTATACCGTTAGCTAGAGAACGTTAGAAGGGCGTCTCTTACCTAATCATAGGTAACTATAACCTACACTACCCGGTATAGGGAGGCGATAGGGTCTAATAGCTAGAGCCTAAAGCCGATAAGCTACTCGACCTAATAGCCGTCGCTACGTTGGATCCGTAGCTACCCCCAGGTGTAATCACTAGGCGCGATAAGGACTTAGCAACGACTATCGACTTAGTTTTGGCTACGGCTAACCTACGTATACGCCTAGTAAGCTATACGGTAACGGAGAAAGTGTATACTAACTCGGATTACCTCCCTATATATACTATAATAGACATCTCGCCTATCCTAGCCGAGGAAAACCCGCGGAGGAACTAGAAGGCGATAGACGTAGAGAAGTTTCTGAAATTTATCGAACTAAACCTATATCAAATCAGTAGTAATAGTAACAGCCTCCAAACCCCGTAATAGATCGACGACGCCACCGACTACCTTATACGTATCGTCTAACAAGGCATCTAGGCGTCTATACCCTTCGCCAGACTATCCGAATAGTCTCAGCCCGAGTAGACCCCTAAGTGCACCGAGGCCATTAAGGAGATACGCCGTGCGTTCCGTCGATGTAAGAGGGATAGCGCAACGGAGGAGGACTGGAACGAATATAAAGAACTAAAGAACAAGAAAGGGAAGATAATTAATAGGGCTCTGAGAAACGGCTTCCGCGGCTAGGTAAGACGGATGGTAGAAGATAGTCCCTGCGGTCTCTAGAAGGTCTCCGAATAGGCGCGTATACGCGACTAGCCGGCCTGCCGCAACGTCCTAACACTTAACGGGAGAGACGACCCGGCAGAGACGAACCAGCAGAAAGCAGAGACCCTCCGCCAGGCGTTCTTTCCTTAGCTACCGGAGGCCGACCTCTCTGACATCCCTAATACGCACTTACCGAAATAGCTAGACTTCCCTGTCATTACCTAATAGGAGGTTAAGGACGCTATCAAGAGAACACCGCCTAACAAAGTACCTAGCGAGGATATAATCCCGAACCGTATATAGAAGATCTTAGCAGACAGCCACGAGTTCGTAGCCACTCTGACAGCTATCTTCGACGTATATATACGAACGGGCTTCAATCCTCGCCACTTCTAGCACTCGATTACCGTCACGCTACTAAAGGGAGGACCAAGAGACTTCCGTAAACCAAAGTCCTAGCGCCTAATCGCCCTACTAAATACCCTCGGCAAGGTACTAGAGTCAGTCGTCGCTGCTCGCATCGCGTAGGCAGTAGAGGAACACCAGCTCCTACTAAGGACCTATCTAGGTAGAAGGAAAGGTATTAGTATCGACTATACCATACAGATAATCCTTAATATAGTATATACCGCATAGGGACACGACCGGGTAGTCTCCGCGCTGTTTTTAGACGTTACCGGCGTATACGACAACGTTTCCCACCAACAACTGCTTCACAACCTCCGCAGGCTAGGACTGGGCTATTTCGCCGCTTAGCTAGAGTCTTTCTTAACTAGCCGCTCGATACGTATTAGGCTACCAACTAGCTATACCTCAGATATCTTCCTTACACTAACAGGGATCCCCCAGGGATCACCGCTATCGCCTATTATCTTCCTAATCTTTAACACCCCTCTCATCCTTACGTGCATAAAGGGCACAAGCAAGGATAATTACGTACGAGGAATTAGGTAGGTAGACGATGTAGCCACTATCGCTATCTCTAAGTCTTACTACCGAAACGTACAATTACTAGAAGGCGCATTAACCAGGGCTAACGTCTAGGCCGATCGACACGCAGCCAAGTTTGCACCAGAGAAATTTAAACTCATTCACTTTCGGAACCCCCAAATTCAAGACCAACCCACAGCCGACCAATATCGAATTATCCAGCCAGAAGATAGCGACTTTGATATATATAACATCGACCATGCATTCCCTACCGGCCATAACCAGATAGCTATACAAACCGCTACTCAGACGATCCAACCAGTTAAATAGGCCAAATATCTCGGCATTTAGCTCGACAAGCATCTTATATTTAGTACACATCGCCAAAAACTACTCGCTAAGGCCAACGGGAGCCTCGAGGCCCTCCGGGCCATCACTGGCTCTACCTAGGGTACATCTCTCTACGCCATACGGCGGGTCTACCAAGCGGTAGTAGTCCCACAAATGTTATACGGCGTTACCGCGTAGTATTACCCCAAGGCAAGAACGATGCTATATAGAGAACGGCTAAAGATCACCAACGAATACACCAAGATCCAGCGACGCACCGCCCTCCTGATCTCCGGCGCATTTAAGTTAACCAGCGCAGCCGCGCTCAATATAGAACTATTCTTGCTACCCATCAAGCTCTAAATGGAACAAATAATCGAGGAAACCGCCATCCGGATCCAAACAGGGCCAAAATAGGCCCAACCGGAATGCCTACGCTACAAGCGTACGACTAAGGCCACTAAGCGTAGAGGATAGGGACCACTGGAAGCCCACCGGTGGAAACCAAAAGGAATCCTGAATATCCCGGGGGTCTAGGAGACCCGTAAAGCGTTCGTTCTATTACCGTGGGAGATACGGATCCCATACGTGATTGAAGATACAGAGGCGGCGCGAGCCTCGTACGACCGGATCGAGACAGAGGCTCTCTTCTAAGAGGGCCTTACGAACCTAATATAGGAAGAGGGAGGCTAAATAGAAGAAGGGGGCCCGACAGGACAGAACTGCAGCCCGACAGTCCTGTCCTTCACGGACGGTAGTAGATACGAGGGCTAAGTCGGCGCCTCCGCCGTCGCCCTAAGGGACGGCATCTTCCTGCGACGATACTTAGGGACTCTCTAAGAATCCACCGTGTATCTCGCTGAGCTTAATAGCATCGAGATAGCGATCGCTAAGCTCTAGTCTAATAGGGGAAAGATAGTTATCTTCTCTAATTACTAGGCTACTATTTAGGCAGTGCAAAACCCTAAGCGGTTATCTGGCTAGTATATTCTTACCTACATTTATGACTACATACGGGCTATCCAGCCGCTAGCCGCATAGCATACGCCTACGTCCGATACGATTCCCGTCGAGATCCGCTGGATCCCCGTATACGTAGGCGTGCCTAGTAATAAGACGGCGGACGTTGAGGCAAAGTTAGCGGCGACGGGAGGTATAGAGAGCGGAACGGATTAATATACGTCCGACTACCCTCGACTCTTACTGGCCAGCCTCGCTAAAGGCCGTATACGGCGGCGAATTAAGTAGCGCTAGGCTGCTAAGTAGGACCGCGAAAAGACGGGGAAACTAACTAAACGGTTACTCCCTAAGCCGGATAAGAAAGCCTTAGAGCTATACAAATCTCTGCCTAAGCATTACACGTCGGTGTTAATTCAGATGCGCTCAATACGTATCACATTAAACCATTTCCTGTATAAAATCAGCGCTCGTAATTCTGATCAGTGTCACTGCGAGGAAGGGTCCTAAACACCGAGACACATCCTTATATAGTATCCGTTGTACACTAAGCAGCGTCACGAGATACTAGAAAAGATCTAGGCACGGATAGATCTTAGAGCGACCGCTGATTACGACGCGATCGTCTCTTATCCGTAGGCTACCCGCTACGTGGCCGAATTTATGTTACAAATAGGCCTTCTAGGTCAATTCCGACAGACAGAGATCGAACTAGAGCTAGACCCTAATGCTAAGCCGGATGCTGACGCTGATGCTAACACTGCGCTAGATCCTGACCCTGATCCGGAACTAGAAGACGACGAAACAACGGCCAGAGACAGCGAATCTAGTAGGGGAGCAGGCGGCGAAGACGATATGCAATATAACCGCCGAAACCCCAGCTCAACCTAAGACGGGCTAGGACGATTACAACTGAATACGCTGCACCGACTGGTCGAGTCAACTCTGGTTGACTAGAACAGCTTGTGTGGCCAGCAAACATCAATCGAAAGAAGCAAGCAGCTGCATATACGCTGCCGGAAGTGGAAGAAGGTGATACATGGCGACGCAGGCGAGAGAGGGCGAAGTGAGGGAGGAAAACAGTGGGATTGATTATTGAGGGTGTATGGGTACTGTAATAGGCTGATATTCAGCTGCATTTGTTTGGCAAAACGCCGTTTCCCTTTGTATTTACTATCTACTGCGTTTCGGGGGCGTTCGGTTAGCTCTTGCTTCCGCCGGAGGAAGCGCCTACATAGCCACTGCGCACTAGCTGGGCTGCATTAGGTTAATAGAGTTATCATCATCATCATCATCAACTCCTGCTGCTGGATCAGAGAGAGAAAGAGAGCGAGCTCTTGTGATGGGTAGGGGTGTATTCCGGGATGAGTATGCCGATGAACGATGCGTGAGAAATTCCTAAATGATGGCTAAAGTCCTAGGCTGTGGGACGACTATTGAGGTTCCCAGTTTCCAAATAGTCTCAGGGGTGATAAAATCCACCAGGAACTCGATAAAAAGATAGCCTTGGTAATATATCTGGTTAATGTAGACCCTCTAGCATTTCACTCCTACAAGCCCCTATAGACCTCCTAGTATTGCCACCTTAAACTAATGGACGGTTGTTGAAAATTGCCTGAACCGCGTTGGCAAAAAGTGCTCTCGCATACAGGGCGTGAAACCGCTTGCCCAGCTCGGGAATCCATGATTTGTCGTGTTGTGGGTTACAAATAAACCCTTCCAGACTGATCCTAATCTGGCACTTCGGATTCTCGGCGCCGACTGGTGCTCCCGAGAGAGATGGGAACCTGGTGACGCTAAAGCGGTGGCATCCCGCAAATGAATAGTTGTCTGAGCCGAAGCCATAGTCGACGTAGCTCGAACAGCGAGCCTGTGATTCAGATACGTGCTTGTCGAGGAGTTGAAAAATGCCAAAAAGTTTGGTACCAACTGCACACAGATCGTCTTTGGATAATTCTGAGTTTTTCCAAAGCTCGGGTGACTGTCGACTTTGCGGGAATCCTAATTGAAAGATTAGCTTGATCAATTCCGGTACGCAAGGAGCAATTTAGATAGGAAACAAGAATCGCACTTGTAAAGTACACGGGAAGCACTCTCCAGGCTCCAGCTCTCAGTAAAATGCCCTCGATACCGAATACAAATCCCCCAAAGAATCCTTCCGTAAATGAGGCCAGGATTTTCTGGTCGTTCATGCCTGCCAGCATCTCAGCATCGAAATCTTGCCAGACAGTGTCCGAAGATAGCAGCATATTTTGTCGTGGGTTGAGGAGACCAGCAGATGAAGACGTCAGGAACCCATTCCGAACATGATTGTCGATGTTGCACCTATATAGGGTGTTGAAGAACTGCTTCCTCGGGAGCGTTTGTAACCAGGACCTAGCGGACATTGGGATTGACGACAGGAGTTTGGCAGCCCTTTGCTAAGGCGACCCAAAAATAGACAACGGGTCAGGAGATCTTAAAGTGAAGGGCATCCCGTATTCAACCTTTCGATTTAAATTGATTTCATGGTTTGACGCCATCCGGAAGGATTCGTGGTCTCTTTCTGAGTCATTTGGAAGGCTGGGCTCCACAGTAAGCGAGTCTTGGATAATCCGGGCCTTCTAGTTGAAAGTAACGTTAACTAACTAGAGAACGTGTTGCGCAGAGCTTCATAGGGGAGTTTAGGGCTAGGGGAAACATGCTACGATAACACCTCCAAGTTAAAGGAGCTACGTGCAGCAACTGCAACTGTGAGTAGAGCGGATGAATACCCTTCATGTTGACCTAAGACGCCTAGACCAATGACAACAAGCACCGAGAAAGAATACCAACAGTCACAAAAGCGCAACACACCTTACACATGAATGGCAGACGCGAGTTCCCAACTGAATACTAGCGCCGTTCCCGTATTGACGGAGATGGATGCTTGGAAAAAGAGAAACTGCTGGCTTGGGGGAAGATGGACATTGGGTAGGTAGGCCTATATTGTATATGCGACAGTGCACGGAGAAGGCGAGGGGGAGGTGATTAGAAGGGGGGACATGCATGGCGAGTGGGGGTGGGTGAAACTGTAAGAGGAAACAGGTCTTTCTCAACTTTGAATCCAGAAGCTTCCGATATGATTCGCCCGACCGTCGTACAAGATTTCCCGGTCAAAAAGCAGGGAACGTAAGGAAAAGCCCTCGCGGGACGGTAGTAATGAAAACATTCTTTGCTTGTGCGATGAGAAATACGTCAAAATGCGGAGGTGGTCCTTAACGCGCTTGTCCGTGGAAATCCATTTGATGATATCCCTCGCCGGTGGCTCGGCCCTCCTATCGAGCGAGACCGATCTTGATCCTTGGACCAACTAGAGACATTGTTAGGAATCTGCAAATGGGATAAAAGGGGTATATGAAATGCTAGCTTACATGCGCACAGTTTTATCATCGCCAGCCGAGACGAACAGGCCCGGGTCTGTTGGACTCCACGATATTGAGTTCACACAGCCCTTGGTGTGAGCCTCCAAGGTTTCTACAAGTGTCCCATTCTCCTTGTGCCAGATATAGATTCGAGAATCTAGAGAGGGTTAGCACGTCGGATGACTTTTCTACTACTATTGAGGCGCACTCACCTTCACTGCCACTGACAACAAAGTTCTCGGCTGCCCCGCCAAAGACACTCCGGATTACATAGTTGCCCTGCTTGTAGCCCCGGAACCGCCGAACAACAGCAGTAGTTTCCATGTCAATCAGTTGGATTTCTCCCTCGGTCAGATTGACCAGCATATGCTTCGAGTCACGGCTGATCACGACGGATGTCGGTATGCTTGGAAAAGAGAGACAGTAGTCTTCTTCGTAGGTGCGGAAGTCGAATACGTGTAGTTTGCAAGCAGTGTCTACTGCCACAAGCCGTCGGCCATCGGGGCTGACTGCGCAATCTTGTGTACGGAATCCTCCTTTCCACGTATACAAGGGCGATCCACGCATACTCCAATGACAGAGCGCGGAGCTGGGGTCAAACGAAGAGGTCACGAACGACTCGCTGTCGGGGGCCCAGCCAGCAGCAGTGACTGGTTGGCAGTAATGGTCGATTGTCAAGAGACAGCGGCCAGTCTAGTATGATTATCATTCCAAGTAAGTATGGGCTTATTCAGCTTCCAAGAATCATCAGTCCTTACCTCGATGTTCCATACGCGGGCTGTTCTGTCTCGAGAACAAGTGATGAGCTTGGAGTCATCCGGGCTCCAGCTGGCGAAAGCAACTCCATCGGAATGCCCGTTCAATTTATGGATCACGGTGAAGGAACTTGTGTCGTAGATCAGCACGGAGCGGTCCTGGCCTGCAGTAACCAATTTGGTTCCGTCGTGAGAAAACCCGCAGTGCCAGACCTCATCGTTGTGCTGATTGAGGTTGGCGCTGACGTCCAGCGGGAAGTCGCTTCGCTCGCACATGTGGTCAGAGTAGAGCGATGGCGAATCGGCAGTGTTATGGTATAGGCAGTTGCTGATCTGACCCCGCTTCACATAGTCTAATAAGATTGCAAGACGATGCTGAGGAATCATAACCGAGGGGGATATGGATTCTATTGCCGATTAGCAAGGAACGAAACCTTCTAGAGGTGGTGATGTCGCTGGGGTTCCTTACTTGATAGGTCGGCCAGGAGCCGTTCTCGGGAAGAGGTGACCGGGCCATCCCATCCTGCCTGTTCATGGAGCAACTCCGTCGGGCACATGAGAAGACTGGCGAAGCATAAAAATTAGTTATCCACCGTCTGGAACCACAGCGGAACAACTGGGCATAGATAGAACCCACCTGGAAAGAGCATGGAGCCGATCGACGTCATAGTTTAATGGCGTGAGTTCTTGCCGGAGAACCAAGAGAGCCGAACCTAAATCTCGTGCTTCGAGCAGCTCCAAGAATTTCTGTTGGCGGAGGTAGAATAGCATTTCACTCCTGTCCGCACCCTCCGCCAATACCAGGGTGTCCTCGTGAGAACCCTTCTGCCCATTATTCGATCCCGCATTCCGGAAAGACTGGATGAGAATCCTCTCCGCTTCTGACCATCGTCCGCCTAATACGGCGCTCCGGAAGGCTGCAACACCCGACGTCTCCAGCTGGTAACCACTCTCGGAGCTTAACGTCGAGGCCGCGCTGTTGTAGCCAAGCTCGTACAAGCTTTGAATTAATATTCGCGTCACCTCCTCCCGGTTATGGCCATAGTACGACGAACTTGCCAGGGCTTTCCCGGCGCCATTTGTATGTGACTGTCCATTAGCCGCAGTCAGTTGAGGATTCAGGCTGGCTTTTCTCGGGGTCGATCCGTTGGACGCCTGGGAAAAGCCATTTGTTGTCGATAGCCCGTCGGCGCGCATGGTTGCCAGGCGCCTGCGCTTGCGGGATGGAGAGCGGCCGTCAGCTCGGCCGGGCTGGAGGTTCGGGTCGTCTTGAGACACAGCTTCACGTGCCCCGTCTTCTGCACGAATGCCGGCGCCGGCCGTCCGCGTAACTAGAGACTCCTCAGAGCTGCTGCTCGATCGGAGAGCACGGCGTCGGGTATTTACCGGACGGGCGGTTCGACCGGTCGAGGGTTGGGAGGTAGCAGTCGTGGTTCGGTACTCGGACGAGGATGGGGGACGTTCGGGACTGCGGGCGGGGATGGCAGTAGGATCGAGGGGAAGAGAATGTACGGGGTGGTCGGAGGCGAAGGGATGGTAGGGACGGTTGTCGGCCAGGTCGGTAGTTGGGATCTGCCCAGTCCCCTGGCTCTTTGAAAGAACCAGGTGAGCAGACCGACAGAGGGTGGTGGCGGGTGGATCAGTCCTCGCCGGGGGGAGTAGCAGCTCCAGACGTTTGTCGAGGGGGTAGAAGCGGTTCTTGTTCGGGTCACAGGGTTTGATCAGCGACAATATCAAAGGAGGGTGCACGGATAGCGGAGATAGCTGAAGGCAAAGGGCGTCGTGGGCCTCGTTTCCCCTCCTTGGTGGTGGTGGTGGTGGTGGTAGTCGTGGTGGTTGGGTGGAGGTTTTGGGTTGGGACGGGCGGAGATGTGCTTATCGGACTGGAGGGCAGACTGGCCAGCCAGCCAAGAAGATTGGCACAAATGGGAGGGTTGGGTGCGGTGCTTGGGGGCGATTGGGGCAAGTGGAACTGGCAAGTCACAAGCGGGTGGGTTCCCCGTCACAAGATGATGACGATGCGGAGGATGCGGATCAGGGCTGAAGGTCACCGCGTTTCACCGTGAAGTCGATTTATCAGCTGGTCGGACAAAGGTTCATTTTCCTTTCAAATCTGAGCTGAGTAGGTCAAAGTAAAGGGGTCTCGGGCGCTCAAAAGGGTCGACAAGCTGCTGCTTGCCGATCCTCGGGGGCCTATAGTGTACTCTATATAGTTACGAGTGGTCTCTCGCGATCTAACAAAAGAGAGCCCCCGGAAAGTTCCTACAGCAAACTGCTACAGAAGCGATAGAAGCATGGGGGAGTGAGATATTTTTAATGTTCTACAAGTGCCAAGGCAGGATTTAGCATCCCGCTGCCCCAATCGAGTAATTTCCGCACGGGCTTGAAGTTCGGACGAAAGTCCAGACTATCGGACGGTTGATATACATCCAGAGCTATAAAGCTCACCACCTGGTCCACTCAAGCGCCTCAACTGTGTTGCACCCTAGCTTAGGCTACTGAATACTGCCTACCGACACCGGGCACCCACAGACTCCGGCGCATTCCATAAGGTTACGGTTCGCCATCCACACTGACGCCATCATGATGCCGACGGTCCTACCTCTGCGAGCCACCCGGAGTTATAAAACCCCACGGCCTCCTTTCTAGCATGATTGACTATAGACAACCCTTCTATCAGTCACTGATTGTTCACTTGATCTATTAAACCACCTTATAATTATTCTTACCGAAATTCATCATGGGTTGTGACTGCGGAGCCACCTGCAACTGTACCGGTGCCCAGGGCTGCACTTGCGACAATACTTGTTCCTGCAAGGGATGCGCAGTATGTGATCCACAATTACCTCTCAAGGAAGCTGGTGTGAGCCATTGAAAGGAATCGATATGCTGACTTGCACATCGTGCGTGTGAAGAAATAAAGGAAGGCGTCTACTCCACAGCTAGACCGGATGCCGTCACCAATGCGGAATCATTATCCGCGCTGCAAAGGAGGGGGCGTTTTAAATCTTTGGAGATGACTTTATTCGATCATTACTACGGCTTCTTTCTTTACCTCTAATGTGAATTTCTCTCCATATATCTGTTCCGTATAGTAGACTTTTCGGTTGATCCTCCGTATGCCCCAGCTGTAGACGTCATCAAGACCGGTCGTTGAGCCCGCCGCTTCGGAAGTGCTCAGCGCACCCGTGATCGTAAGGCGTATGAAAGGTGATAGTGCATACATTTACTTTGGATAAGCAAATGCACAGGTATCTTCTAGCGGTTTCCTTGTTACCGCCAATGTCTTCGCAATAGCTATCTTCTTCCAATCTGAGGCTGGCGCCACTTCCCTCAGGCCAAAGGTCACTAGCGCCGGCCGGGCCGGATTCAGCATCATGCTGAACCAAAGCATGGAATGATTCTCCAGAAGCACTCTATGCTTTGCTCGTTCATAAATTAACGAGATATTCACTGCTGGCCAGACGACCAGTCGCAGAGGGAAGGTCCTTCTGAGGCATTGGGATGCGGAAGAACGAACCAAACCACTTGGTCCAGCGGTGGACGGGCGCTGCGGGTCGTTTCAGTTAACCCTTCATTGTCATCGGGCCAGTGTTGCTCTTTAGCGCTGCCGAGGTGACTGCTTGGGTGGCTGTCGTCTTGGAGCATTTGGAACGGATAACGTAGGCTATTATCTCATTGACTACCGCGCAGGCAAAGAAATAGCTTTTGTGATCACTCACTTGCGTCCGCCGTCTTTTCGTCGCCGCGGAGGATGAGCCGGAGACAGCCTACGCTGTCTGGTGACTGGAGAAGCAGCAAGTGGAGGGAGTTGGTACTGTTGAATGAGGATTTCGGTGTGACCCATTGGCGGTGCCGAAATAACCGCGCATTTCGATGAGCCAGGCCGATGGACATATTGGAGTAGATTATAGGCGATGCGAATACGATGGGCATCAGAAGTGCTCAGTACCCGACCCAAAATATCGATATATTGAGACCATTCGCTAGAACTGGAAGAAAGCTCCTTGAAAAGAGAGCGCACTATAGACTGATGTAAGCACGCTGGAATTGGAACCGTAGCCTCAGAATAAATCCTGGTGTAGGCCTGCATATTGATACAACACTCATATTCGGACAGCCTGCAAAAGCTGCTCGGCTGGAATCAACTTCGCGGCGAAGGCCAAAGCTACGGCAAGAGTGACTACCGCACCAAAGGCAGAGAGAAGTCCCAGGTACCCCAAGCTCTCGAGACCAAGTCGCTCAGACTTGGTGGTTCGTCGCAGGCCCAATCGCGTTGTTCGTGTGAGGGTCGGCATGTACTTGAACTCGTAGCGGCTTTCGCCCCCGAGGCCAACTTTTCCGTCCATGAGGACCTTGTAGAAATGTTTGCGGCGCATCTATTGTCGGTGGATAAGTCTCATGGAACAACGCGCTCAAGACACAACTTCCCCCTCCGTGAAGTGGCTTACCTTAATCATAAAACGATCAAGGAAGTAGATTTTAGGGATGACGGTTGACACAAGCCGCACCCAGAAACAATAGCCCCATAGAATGGTACGATAATAGAGACTAGTTCGTGGAATGTCCAGTTCATCCGAGAGCTGATCGCCATTTAGAAGCCGGCTCATCGCCTCCAAAAACTCTTTCGATGCGTAAGACGGCGCTGTGTTCTCCAGGCCAATGATAATATTCTTGGCTAGGACCTTGCCGATCTCGGTGGGATCGATCTCCGATATCAAGAGCGACTCCATCATCGCCCGGGCCTTGGCTGTATTCTCGAACGGTTCGGTTGGTGTGCCCATATAGTAGGCGACAAGACGCCAGAGTGCGATGTAGTCTTCAATCTCCTGCTCATTGAGGTAGATGCCCTGGCGCGGCAGACCGAGCCAGACTACCGAAGTGCAGAAGGTGTTGATGGTACCGATGCAGTCAAGGTCATTGACAGGCGTGCCGTACTTGGCCACGTCGTAATACTCCGGCTTCTGTTCCACCAGACTCAAGATCCTCATCCGGACGGACGCATGAAGGAGTCGGACACGGATCGAGGAGACATTGCCCTCTCCGCCCGGCCGCATCCCATCCGCTGAGCTGTTGACCTGGAGGACATGTTGCAGAGTTTCGAGGACTCGTCGTCGGACTACCTTGGCACCGAAACCGCCGGTTCGTGCAAGTGTTTCCACTACTCGCATCGCGCCCCTATAGAAACGTAAGCTTGGCATGGATAAGGAGGAGAGAGCAGAGAGCTCGTACATTCCACCAAGCAAGCTCTCGAAGCCAAGCTAAAATTTTTAGTTATCTGTGGCCATTACGATTCGGAATCATCACACAAGACTCACCACATTCAAGATCGGGAGGCCGTATCGAAAGAACACATCCTGTCCCCTCTGGATTTGCTCCCAATCCACCCACTCAGGAACCGTATTGACCTCATCCCATAGCTGCTTGAGCTTGGGATCCTCATCAGCGTGGTTCTTTAGCAGCCCGTACAAGTCTCTCTGGAACGGCTTATTCGAATCGTCGCCGGTGGGGATCTTGTTCAACCGCTGCACACATTCATCTGCTAAGCTATCGTAGGTCTGGATCAGAGGACGTAACTGGTCTGCCGAGCGGTGGAGGTCGGTCCAGTGAAATGAGTAACCCCAATAGTGGCACTCGGTGCGGTTCCCTTGTCGAGGACTCTTCAACGTCATAGTTGGTGGTGGTCAATATTAGGACCAGCAGCGGGGCAGAATCTCGACTCGTCCGGCGACATCCATCTGTGTATTGAGAGGCTCATATTTGCGTATATATACGGTCCAACGTTGAGGCCCCCGTGCCGTTCATGACCAGGGTAGCTCTTCCGTCTACCGTGGTCCGTGGTCAACGGCGTGAGGGGTTCGGGCTCGGGCTCTTGCTCTTTGCATGTGAACCTGATTCCCGCTGAAATCGACACCAGTCAGTTGGGCTAAAATAGAGGGTGTTTGGTTCATCTATTTGCATTTTTTGTACATTGATGGCCGATGGGCTGATTGGTTCTACGGCACCCGTCACGAGCCGGACGTCCAGTCTACTCCTCTTGGACCCCAGGAAGAGCACAGATGACACAGTTCATGTGCTGTTCTCCCCCAAGAGGACGCTTTAGCGGCTCTTTGAAGTGCAGGAACACATAGTTGATTTTGGGATCGAGGAAAGAGGTAGGATATCGCCATGGGAAATATGGAGGATGCGGTATGTGGTTTCGGGGCAGGGGGCAGGAGGAAGTATATTACTCTCTTGGGCAGAGCCGCAGCTCCAGACGCCCCAGTTTGGTCTGTGAAAGCGCCTGTTGTACGATAACCGCAGTCCTTTGTCTCAAGAAAACGGGCGATCGGTTGCCAATCCCGCGCCGGCCAGAGCGAGACCTGGATTGGATGACAGCTTAGGGGGGGAACTCCACGACTCAGCTCCCTTGTCGATTGGCCGCCAACACCGCCCCCTCCCCGACTGCACATCGCAAGGTGCATGGAACTTGATCTCTGACATCTCAGCTGAGCGAATGTTAGGATTGGGCAGACCTCGACTCAAAGCACGGCCATCCCTGCTAGATCTGATTAGCCGACGTGAGGTCGACCAGCCCGTCGCGACTGTGACTGCTACCATTGGGGGTGAAGCGCCGTCGTCACCGCCCGAGCTGCCACCGCTTCCAGGCTCGCCCGCCTCAATCAGCTCGACCACCTCCACCACCTCCCCCGTGTCAATCCCCTCCACGCAAACCTCCTCCACGATGGCACCGGCAACGGACAGTGAGCCTCATGGCTCCGTCTTCTCGGTCTCCGGCCCCGTCGTCGTCGCCGAGAACATGATTGGCTGTGCTATGTACGAGTTGGTAAGACTTCTAGCAATCCCTCCGGAAGCTCTTCCCCAGCTTCGCCCCCAGAAGGATTCGCCGCGCTGACAGCATTCTCCCCTCCAGTGCCATGTCGGTCATGCCCTGCTTTCCGGTGAAATCATCCGAATCGAAGGCGACAAGGCCACGATTCAGGTCTACGAAGAAACCGGTACGCCTGCTCCCTCTCCCTGCCACGTATATGCTCCGCATCGCGGCGAACCCCCCTCCTCATATATCAGCCATACTAATCCGCACGTTATTGTGGAACAACAGATGGCTTGACCATCGGTGATCCCGTCACACGGACTGGCAAGCCCCTTTCCGTCGAGCTGGGCCCCGGCCTCATGGAGACGATCTACGACGGTATCCAACGACCCCTCCGGGCCATCTCTGAGAAGTCCGAGAGTATCTACATCCCCCGTGGTATCCGTGTCAATGCCCTGGACCGCGAGAAGAAGTGGGAGTACAAGCCTGCCGGCTTCAAGGTCGGCGACCATATCACCGGCGGTGATATCTGGGGCATTGTGTTCGAGAACAGCTTGGTGAACGACCACAAGATCCTCCTACCTCCGCGTGCGCGCGGAACCGTCACCCGGATAGCTCCCGCCGGTAACTACACGGTCGAAGAGAAACTGCTGGAAATTGAGTTCGAGGGCAAGAAGGCTGAGTTCGGCATGATGCAGACCTGGCCCGTCCGTGTGCCGCGCCCCGTCAGTGATAGGCAGTCCGCCGATGCGCCCTTCATTGTCGGCCAGAGAGTGCTGGATGCTCTCTTCCCTAGTGTGCAGGGTGGAACTGTGTGCATTCCCGGTGCTTTCGGATGCGGCAAGACGGTCATCTCCCAGAGTGTGTCCAAGTTCTCGAACAGTGATATTATCGTCTACGTCGGCTGTGGCGAGCGCGGTAACGAGATGGCTGAGGTGTTGATGGATTTCCCGGAGGTACGGTCTCCAGTTGGTGATATGCATCGAGTTTTAATTGCTTACCCTAGTTCTTCCTGTAGCTTTCCATCGAGGTCGAAGGCCGCAAGGAGCCAATTATGAAGCGTACCTGCCTGATCGCCAACACCTCGAACATGCCTGTCGCTGCCCGTGAGGCCTCCATCTACACTGGTATCACCATCGCCGAATACTGGCGTGACCAGGGCAAGAACGTGGCCATGATGGCGGACTCGAGTTCTCGCTGGGCCGAGGCTCTGCGTGAGCTTTCGGGTCGTCTGGGTGAGATGCCTGCTGATCAGGGTTTCCCCGCCTACCTGGGTGCCAAGCTGGCCTCCTTCTACGAGCGTGCCGGCAAGAGTATTGCTCTGGGTAGCCCTGAGCGAACCGGTAGTGTCAGCATTGTCGGTGCCGTCAGCCCGCCTGGTGGTGACTTCTCGGACCCGGTCACCTCTAGTACCTTGGGTATTGTGCAAGTGTTCTGGGGTCTCGACAAGAAGCTGGCTCAGCGGAAGCACTTCCCATCGGTCAACACCTCGATGTCCTACAGCAAATACACTCCGATCCTGGACAAGTACTACGAGAAGCACAATCCTGACTTCCCTCGGCTGCGCGACCAGATCCGTGAGCTCCTCTCGAAGTCCGAGGACCTTGACCAGGTCGTGCAGCTGGTCGGTAAGGCGTCGCTGGGTGACTCGGACAAGATCACCCTGGATGTAGCCGCCATGATCAAGGACGACTTCCTGCAGCAGAACGGCTACAGTGACTACGACCAGTTCTGCCCGCTATGGAAGACCGAATACATGATGAAGGCCTTCATGGGCTACCACGACGAGGCACAGAAGGCCATCGCCCAGGGCCAGAACTGGAGCAAGGTCCGTGATGCCACCGCCGACCTCCAGAGCGGCCTGCGCAGCATGAAGTTCGAGATACCCGACAACGAGGAGGAAGTGTCGGCCAAGTACGAGAAGCTTCTCCAGTCCATGTCCGACCGGTTCGCTTCGGTTTCGGATGAGTAGACGGGATTGACGGGATGTCGCTTCTTTTCGTTGTGTTGCATCATATCTCTTTTCTCCCGGCCGTTATACTGTCTAGCACACATTACCCTGTAGTTATTGTTGAACCCGATTTTCTTATCTGGGGTAGACACCCTTTTTTTTCTCGTATACATTTTTCTCGTATAACCTGGTCATGTCGAGGCAATAGGAAAATCAGGCGACAGTGAAAGGACTGGGCCAGAGTGTACTTCAGTATTCCAGGCACCTAACCATGTATCTCTCTCACTGACACAACGCTTGATGGATGCCTACCGTCGACCGTCAGGTACTCCTGGCCTGTGCACGGCCTGCCACTCGCACTTGGGCTGGACCGCCACCCTCATCACCGCCTTGGCCTCCCCGACGAACAAACAATCTTCCGCTTCTCTTCACAGCCTGCGACTCCCTCCCTCCCTCCTCTTCAGCCCTGATTCTCTTCATAAATTTGAAAATACCCTTCTAATTCACGACGGATTCCCTTCCAACTTCGCCAGCCATGGCAAGCCCAACCACTGGCTACTCGTGCGCAGCCCACCCCCCACCCCCTGCACCCCCCTCCGCTCCGATGCGGCCTAGAACTGACTCGTGCGCAGCATAAATGTGAACGATCCCAGCTTGATCTCACTGGTCAACAAGCTGCAAGATGTGTTCTCGACAGTGGGCGTCAGTATTCCTATATCCACGCCTGTGGCAACCGTGGTCTTTCCACCTGGCACTGACACCGCTGCTTTGATTTAGGTGCACAACCCGATCGACCTGCCTCAGATTGTCGTCGTCGGATCGCAGTCGAGCGGAAAGAGTTCAGTGCTAGAGAACATTGTCGGTCGTGATTTGTATGTGCTTCCCCGATGCCTTCATGTGGTTCCCTCGCTGCCGAACCTCCGCGCAACCCTGGTGGTAGCCGGGGGAAGGACGTCCCAGCAGTGTTGTCGTCAGCCGTCGCTAACCACCCTCTCTCGGACTTGTTTAGCCTGCCTCGCGGCTCGGGAATCGTGACTCGGAGACCTCTCATCCTGCAACTGATCAACAAGGTCCCTTCGACACAAATAAACGGCGACAACAAGCTCGAGACAACAGACAGCGAGTCCAACGTCGACGAGTATGGCGAGTTCCTGCACATCCCCGGCCAAAAGTTCTTCGACTTCAACAAGATTCGCGAGGAGATTGTTCGTGAGACGGATTCCAAGGTCGGTCGCAATGCCGGTATCTCGCCTGCTCCCATCAACCTGCGCATCTACTCGCCCAACGTCCTCACCTTGACCCTGGTCGATCTGCCCGGTCTGACCAAGGTGCCCGTCGGAGATCAGCCCAAGGATATTGAGCGTCAGATTAAGGACATGGTGCTCAAGTACATTAGCAAGCCCAACGCCATCATTCTAGCCGTCACATCGGCCAACCAGGATCTGGCCAACTCGGATGGTCTGAAGCTGGCGCGTGAGGTGGACCCGGAGGGTCAGCGCACCATCGGTGTGCTGAGTAAGGTTGACCTGATGGACGAAGGCACCGATGTTGTGGATATTCTCGCTGGTCGAATTATCCCGTTGCGCCTAGGCTACGTTCCCGTGGTCAACCGTGGCCAGCGTGACATTGAGAACAAGCGCCCTATTGCCTACGCTCTGGAGAACGAGAAGAACTTCTTCGAGAACCACAAGGCATACCGGAATAAGGCCTCGTACTGCGGCACCCCCTATCTGGCCCGGAAATTGAACTTGGTAAGCAAGCGGTTGCGCCAGTACCGAGGAGAGACGTGTGTAGCACAAACTAACATGATGCCTGGATTCTGTAGATCCTAATGATGCACATCAAGCAAACACTCCCCGATATCAAGGGCCGCATTTCCTCCTCCCTTCAGAAGTATTCCACGGAGCTGGCGCAACTCGGTGACTCCATGCTCGGCAACAGTGCCAACATCATCCTCAACATTATCACCGAGTTTAGCAATGAGTACCGCACTGTCTTGGAAGGAAACAACCAGGAGCTGTCCAGCGTTGAACTTTCGGGTGGTGCCCGTATCAGTTTTGTGTTCCACGAGCTCTACTCGAACGGTGTCAAGGCTGTGGATCCTTTCGATCAGGTGAAGGACATCGATATTCGCACCATCCTGTACAACTCCTCCGGTTCCTCGCCGGCCCTGTTCGTCGGAACGACCGCTTTCGAGTTGATCGTTAAGCAGCAGATAAAGCGTCTCGAAGAACCCAGCACCAAGTGTATCACGCTAGTCTACGACGAGCTGGTGCGCATCCTCGGCCAGCTCCTGAACAAGCAGCTGTTCCGTCGGTACCCCATGCTGAAGGAGAAGGTCCACGCGGTGGTGATTGCCTTCTTCAAGAAGTGCATGGACCCCACCAGCAAGCTGGTTAGGGATCTAATTGCTATGGAGGCTACCTACATCAACACTGGCCATCCTGATTTCCTCAACGGACACCGGGTAAGTGAAAACATCGATGCCGCCGCATAGCGAGAAATGAAGCTAACTCCACGCAGGCCATGGCCCTTGTCAACGAGCGCCAACAAGCCGCCAAGCCCACTCAGGTCGACCCGAAGACTGGCAAGCCCCTGCCCGCCGCTCGTGCCCAGAGTCCGTCTCTGGACACCACCGGTGAGGGTCCCAATGGCAGCGGCTTCTTCGGCAGCTTCTGGGCTTCGAAGAACAAGAAGAAGATGGCTGCCATGGAGGCACCTCCTCCAACTCTCAAGGCTTCCGCCAGTCTGTCAGAGCGCGAATCCACTGAGGTTGAGGTTATCAGTAAGTCCTTAACCCTCTTTCTTTCCTATCGTGACTGCGTACTAACTCTATGCCAGAACTGCTGATCACCTCGTACTTCAACATCGTCAAGCGCACGATGATCGACATGGTCCCCAAGGCTGTCATGTACACCCTGGTACAGTACGTATCTGCCTCCCCCCCCCCCCCCCCCCCTTCTCGGCCCTTGCATGCTAATATCACCATTAGATTCACCAAGGACGAGATGCAGCGCGAGCTTCTAGAGAACATGTACCGCAACAACGAGCTGGACGACCTGCTCAAGGAGAGCGACTACACCATCCGCCGGCGGAAGGAATGCCAGCAGATGGTCGAGAGTCTGGGCCGCGCCAGCGAAATCGTCAGCCAGGTGCAGTAATCAGCTGCCGCAGGCATTGGAGGTTTTGATCGCGGTTCTTTGCGGGCGGGATTGATAAGGTCGTCGGAGTCAATTGTATGATTCGATTCTTTCGCGCCGGCGAGAGTTGGGAACAACACCTGCATCTCGCTTCTTTGTTTTGTGACTTTGCAATTGGTTCGGATCTTGACTATACTCGTATTTCTCGCACTGTCACGCGTGTCCCTGCATGCCTTCTCCTTTCCGCCGGTCCTCGCATCGAAAACCAGCCATGAGACTGGGCTGGCTTTAGAGCTGTTTGTTTTTGTTCCGGGTCTGTCGGAGCTGTGATTGTGTCTTGAGGGAGACGAGCTGATTGATCATGCCGGGGATCTGTTTCGGGTGCTATCACTACTCCTCTCTGCTCTCCTCTTCCCCCTGTTCATTTGGCCCGAATTTGATAGCCCTATACCGTTTTTCTTTTCTCTGTTGGTCTGTTGTCTGCTGTTCGCTTGTTTTTGAGACCCATGAGCCTTCCTCCAGATGACGACTGTATCAACGATTTCTTGTTTCTACCCTATGACTCTGCTTTAGAACTTTGATTCATTGCTTTCCTGAACCTCCTGTGTTGACTGAAAACATGTAGATTCCTTCTCCGTTCGGCCGAGAGCCCACGGAGCCCATGCCTTATTTGCATAGCAACATTACCTAGGCCAGACACTGTGGTAGGCCCGTCGATGCCTAAAGTCTTCTCTTCGCTTCCACAATAACAATATTCACGCCGGTTTCCTCAATCTAGCCATACCATACTGCATAGTCCGGCTTTTTAACTAGTCTGTAACGCCGGTTGTCTCGTTCCACTGGACCGTAACCCCATTGCCTCTCTGCCTGTAAGCAATGAGAACGTGCAGCGGTCGAATTTCTCAACGTGAGAATATCGTGAGGATAGACAAGCAGCATGTCGACCGTTTGTCGGATAAGGGCTTCGCTTGGTAGACTTCTGGAGGTAGCCCGATCGATATTTTCCAGGATATTGGCGAGCTTCGGTAAGTAACGTGCCATCTTCCTTGTTTGATTCCAGGATCACATACTAAGCTCCGATGGTATCGCAATACCGGCCACGGCTTTAAGCTCGGGGTCCTCAAGAGTGAGCTCCAGACCGAGCATCATCTGCACATCCCCCAGATTGAGACTGGAGATGAAAAGTTGCTCGACACTGGACTTGCCTATCTAAACCTGGGCATTGCGAGTTAGTAATGTAGAAATATAGTCTCTAGGGTAGGAGCTATATATACCTATCGCATATACCTTTTACCTATATAGGAGGTACCCTATGGACTTGAAAAGCGAGATACTTTGAGAAACACAAAACGTCGAAACAATACATAAGCACATGCCCAGGTAAACACAGTACTTAGAAGTGAATAAATTTGGTAATCCGTGTTCTTTCCAAAATTATCAAAGAAAATGTTTCAAAACATTGAATCCATCAAAACGCCATTATTATCATCACAAGTCATTAACCACCTCACTTAAGTGCTTTCTCGTACAGAATCATAAAAGCAAAATCTCCGCGACATCTGTACAAAAATACTTCGTACATCGCATCTCAGGAAATCCTCCACATATACTGTGGCTGATTATTCCAGGGTTGTTCGTATCATATTTTGAAACATGCAAAGCTCACGGTCTGTTTAGCTGTTCTCGGCGATAGAAGAGAAGGAAACCAAAACTGCAATGATAGTCAGTAAGAGCATTGATTGCGAAAAAGGGAACGATGGCTGACCTAGCCAGAAGCTGGAAGAAAAGTGCAATCCAGAACCATGCATTAAAAACCTTATCCACCGACGAGCCAACATTCGGAGAAATGCCAGCTGGGCCGATATTGTTGGGAGCAAACGCACGAGCGCAAATGGTGGCAATCGATCCAAGAGACTGCGCGGCTAACAGGACGAAGCAGACGTGAACTCTCGTCAGTGTCTGCAAGAGAATCATTCCGAGACCGACTTGTTGAATTTCATCGAGAACACCCAACCATAGCCAGAGACCGCGCGATATGAGGGCTCCGGAAGTCAAACCACCGGCCCATGGGAGATAGTAGCCAATATTAGAAGTTCCCCACCAGGATTGCGCCCAGCGTGGTGCACCGAGACTGAGTCCGAAGACAGGTAAGATCCAGCTGTGCTCCTTGGATAAGACGCGGAAAACGAGCAGCGCACCGATCCAGACAACGACAAAGAAGAAGAGGACCAAAATGAGGACTTCCCATGTTTTTGCGTGTATGGAAGACCAAAGGAATGTCCAATTGCGACCGAAGACGGCGGAAAGGAACCAGTTCTGAATAATGACCATGAAGAAGAACCAGAGAACAATGCGCCGACGGAAGAGAGAGGTGTAAAAGAAGAGGATCTTTCCGGGGGCTTGACGATAGTACTTCGGCAAACCTAGAGCAAGGAGCACGCCGATGATGAAACATACTGCAGCAATGGGCATTACGACAGCTGTCAGTCTCCATGAGCTCAAGGCAGCTGTTGTAATACCGCGAACTTCCACCGCAGTGACTTTGGAGCTCCAAAACCACAGGGCTACCGTGTAGAGCTGTTGCATGCCCTGGATCAGACTTGCGCGGAACATCCAGTCCTTGACTGGCACAGCACCCTGATCACCAAAGTTGAGGGCAAAGAACAATGAGCCGCTGGAAGATGCGGTGGCATAGGCGCCTGCGGCAATGTCCTGAGCCCATGCCCGACCAACAGCCGAGAGTCCGAGTGGTGAGATACCCACTATGACGAATGCAATGCAGTAGATGAACCAGGGAAGAGAGAGGACAATCACGGACGGGAAACGGTAGAACAGGAACCACCAAACGATGGATGACAAGCAGTAGACTGCCGCAATAATGTAGAGCTTGACCGCATTCTCACCGATTTCGCCAACCAAAAGGGTGATTTGTGCCGAGTTTGTCGCGATGATCTGTCCGAGACCCAGGAATAGAGCGTAGACGGGCCAATTACCGACGCGCCATCTCATGAATCTCTGGATGGCGATGGGTCTTTTGTATCCAAGACGAGAGAGCCATTGATCCATGTCATCTGCTCCGTTTGATTCCGATTGTTCAGGAGTAGGTGAGATGTACTCATCCTCCGTGTCCTCAACGGCATGATTCAAACCAGTTTCAGTCAAGGGACGCACCCCCCTCTTGGGCTGCTTTTTTAACTGCGCGTCGGTGTACATGTCGAAGAATTTCCGCTCACTCTTCGTCAAATAGACTTCAATACAGTGATCTGTGATCGAGTTCTTCTTGTTGAGGTTGGTGAGGAGCCTTTCAAAGTTGCGCGTGAAGTAACCCATGCTGTCAGTGAAGGTAGGGTCGACCTTCTGCAGATTGAAGACAGGTTTATCGTGATCCTCAAAAACAGATACCATGGAGAGAGTGGATAGGGTGCGGGTGTTGGCAACAGGTGCAGTGTTACCAGAAAGGAAATCGTCAGCAGGAACGGGGGCTCTGAATGGAGAAGTGTCACGAGAGACTGATGAGTTGGAGGTCGATTTGTTAGACTCGCCATGAGAGTGTCGGTTATCACTAGAAGACGAGTCGAGATACTGGGATGTGAGAGGACGATTGATGGCCGCCATTGCCTCTTCGGGAGAGATATCTTGCTCCAGTTGCTCCTGTGGCGTCCCAGTGCCATCTTCGTCAACGTCCGTGGTATCACCTTCGAACAGCTGACTCTCACGCAGTGCCTTCTTTATGAGACGTTTCCTGCCCTGTCCAGGTCCGAGTCGTCGACCGAGAGACAGCTTGCGGCCCATCATGTTGTATCTGGCGCTCTCAGGCTCTTGCTTGCCTTCAAGCTCCGCTGCTTGTAGTTCCAGAAGGGAAGGCTGAGCGGGCTGCGAATTTTTCGCTGGTGTAGTTCCCAAGGCACCCACCGTAGACTGACGGAATGCCGGGCGGGATCTTGAAGGTGGTAGACCATGCATATCCCAATTCACCTGAGACTCTCGGGTGTGCCCAATAACAGTGTCCCTGTTCTTGCTGTTATGGATGTGGATTGCAGTTTGCTGCAACTTTTCGAGCCTTTGAACCCATTCAAGGACGGGGAATCGCTGTTTGGCGGAGTTTGCACGCATCTCCTCTCTGGTCTCCGGGGATGAGTCCAAAGCGGACTCAATGGCGGTCTTCAACTGATGCAAGAGATGGCGAGCCGAGTCGGATTCCACAGTATACCACCAACCCGGCATTTGCCCAAGACCTCCAATGCGAGAACCAATTCCAAGAGCACCCTTCCGACCAAATTCAACGGCAACCAATCCGAATGGCTCATCTCGAGATGGGATCAAGGCAAAGTCGGCACCAGAAAACACATAAGGTGGAAGAATCGTGAACTCTGGCCTCGAGAACACGCGACCTGGATACATTTCCATGATGCGCTCGAGCTTGATCGCAGCCAGCTTGCCGTACAGATCAACAAGGGGACCGATCACAATCAATTGCACGAGAGGTCTGGCAGAAAGAATTGCAGGCATGACATCTGCAATCAAGTCAACTCCCTTCTGCTTTGACCATCTTCCGACGAACACGAGCAAGTCGGCATTGGGGTCCTCGTTCAGACCGGCCCATTTCTGTGCCTGGAGCTTGTCATGAATGAGCTCGGCGTCAGATTGAATTGTGACCTGCACCTGTGCGCCATTCTCCACGGAGCCTGTATCAGAGGGGTCTGGATTTGGAAGGCTACCGATGTTGCTAAGACTCCAGAAAATTGGATATCGTGCAAATGAGCGCTTTCCGTACTTCTGTGAAACACCCACTGCGCCGAAACCGCGCTGATGGAATCGTAAATAGCTAGCACCGGTATGGAGCAGGTTGAACACATTTCCAAATTGACAATATTTGGTCGCTATGTCAACTGGAAGATTGAAGACAGAGCACACTTCTATCTTCTCTTTTTGTGTTCTCAGTGGCCAAAGACCTTGGAATTCGGCATTGTGCAAGGATAGGCAAACCGGAATGGTTCGCGTCGGTAGCAGATACAGCGGTGCAACACATCCGTGAAAATCATTGATGTGGTAGAAATCGATGGAGGGCGTTCGCTTGATTGTTTCTGCGATGCACTGATTCCAAGCTGAATAGTAGATTGCGCTGTCAAGGTCGTCCATACGGGGTGGGTAAGGCTCCGCCTTAGTCTGCTGCCTGAAGACGGGGGCGTCGAGCAGGACGTAGGTGATGTTCTCAACGATGTGGTACTGCACCTTCACCAAATAAAGCCTGTCAAGAATCGTCACGACGTAGGGTTCAATCGGTGTATCCACGGGATAATCGATATCACCAACACACGGAACCACCCAGATAAGATTCTGGTGCTTCAGGTTCAGGGACATGAGCTGAGCCATGACTCCCAGACCACCAATCTTGACTTTGAGTTTCCAGTCTGCGATGTCATACTCCATCGTGGCAATCAAAATCGTTCGTCGTTGGCTGACCACCTCTCCCACGGCAATGCCTGTCGGCACAACCTTTTCAGAGATCGTGTTTTCCGCGCCAGTCTTCCTGGTAAACTGGACTTTGACTTTGCGCCAGAACAAGAGAGGCAACGTCTCAACCTTGAGAACATTGCCGTCTTTGTTAAGCTTTACTTGATAGAACGATTGGATAAAGATGAACACTCCTACCAGACCCATGATGATAGGGCAAATGCACAGAAGAATGAAGAGGGTGAGCTGGGCCCATCCAGATCCGATGGGAACCTTTTCATACCGGAGATTGCCATCATTGAGGGATAGCCTCCAGCCGAGATGTGGGAATGGTGGCAAATCCGTGATGTTGATCACGTTGGACGAGAGGTAGGATGGAGGAAGCTTCAATATCGTGGATGAGTTGCCCACGTCGCCGTAGACCTCCGAGTTGTCAGGCACACCCGACGGGTCTATACCCCAGGCATTTATCTGTCCTACGGTCGGCCATTCGTAGACAAAATCGTAGTTCCAGCGCAAGGTCTTGGAGTCGAATTGCATTATGTTGTCGAGGCCTGCATCGTAACCGTACTGGTTGAATGGGCCGTTGAACCACAAGTGAGGGAACCTTCGGACCGAACCTTCATCCCAGTTATAATCTCCTTCTTGGATGTAATCGCTGCTCCCAGTGAGCCTGGAAAAGTACTGCACGCGGATATGGGTTCCTTTCCAGGCTTGCATGGATGTTCCGGTGAAATTCGGAATGGTAACACTCGTGTTGCCTCCCTCGTACATCTCCCAGCTTGACCAGGTGCTCCCGAAATCAGCTGAATACCGGAACTTGTCAGCGCCTGCAGCGTTGTGTTGGACGTAGAACCCGTCTCCGGATTTGTGCACTAGGCTGGTGGAGTAATTGGCCAGTGGGGTGATCAGGGGATTGGTAGGAACACCGACGCGAAGCAAAAAGCTGTCTGTCGCATTGGTGTAAACTCCAGATCGGTTAGACGTGGAAATGTTGGCAACAGTGAGCTGGTGGATTCCGTGATAGACATTGGTCAGGTTTGCAGACCATGTCCAAACGGTCGGGACCTCTCCGATAAAGTTGTTGCTGGTCGTCCTGGCAGTGACATTGGTGCAACTCACACTGGAAGTATCAAGAGTGGCGACGGTTCCTTTCTGCGTGGTAGCATTCAGGCTAATCGCGTTGGTAATAATGTCGCAGTCCATTGCTGTGGAATACCCAAGCTGAATGGGGATGGTTTCACCCGTGTCTTCTGCAGACAGCAACCGAGCATCATGACCAGGGACAAACTCGGTCACAGTAGGACCAGGCTCCATGAAGATGTCAACCGGTACGTAGGCCCGATATTCCCATGCGTTCAGCTCCATGCCGCCGTTGACACATGAATAGTTGCTGTCTGGTGGACCATCGTTCACGGTAAGTTCGTGGTATGGATAGAAGAGGTTCTTCAACTTGGTACCCGATGCAAAGGGCGCCAGCAAGGCAGCAGAGCTGTTACTGCAGCTTCCACCAAACGTCTTTGTCTGGTTTCCATTTTGATAGACGAGCCATATTGTTTGATTGGGCCAGATTGTATCGACCTGGACCTCCGGGAAGTAGCCTCGCAACACCGACCAAAGCCCGGTGACCGTGGGAGTAGTAGATGAACCAGGAAGATAGATGTCTTCTGTGAGTTGAGAGATGGTTTGAACGAACAAGCCATCATTTGCGACCGGGTAATGAGTCCGTATCTCGAACATTCGCTTCATCAGGTTGCGGAGTGGATGGGCGGGATTGCGTTGATCGTAGGTGACGGTGATGTCGTTGCAGCCATTGCTTCCCTTCTCAATCGGGAAATCGTAGAACTTGGTGGTGTCCACATTGAAACAGCCATTTGTCCACCATGCGGTTTGGGACGACATCGGCTGCCGACCGTAGAGGTAGTTTGCTGCAGTGGCATCGAACACGTACATGGCCTGCTCTTCACCCCAGAGGATAAGGGGAATCCCCGGAAGTACCAGCGTGATCACGTTCAATCCCAAAAGGTATTTCGACGTGCCGTTCTTGATTGTCGGCCATCGGAAGTTGTCTTGGTTCGAGACGCCATACATATGTCGGGGATCCAACTCTCCTGTGAATGCATTGAGGAAGTCATTGGTGACAAGCATCGCATTCCAGGCTTCAATAAAATCGGTCGGCAAGTCTTGTCCTGCAACCAGGTTACCGTCCATTCCTAGAAAACGGGTCATCGACCGGTAGATTGTATAGTGGAATGCCGTGGCATCCAATGCTTGCAACCCGTCCTCTCTCAGGAAAGCACCCTCCGAGGTGTTGGTCAGCTTAGCACCTTCGGCTGGATTGTTTGGACGCTGATTTGGCTGGCGCCCGCGGCCAAGGTAGAGACTGCCAAACGTATCGCCAGATGTGATCTCTCCCGGGAGGAAGAAATTGTGCTTTCCGTACATCTTCGCGCATTCACGGTATACCGCCATCATCTCGCTAAGGGGCTCAAGGGTTACCTGAACAGCCTTATCGAAGCGGAACCCGTCGATGTCGAGACTGGCGATTTGGAAGCAGGAGTGTCGAGTGATGATATCACGAACGGGCTTGTGCCATTCGCGCAGGCGATCCTGCACTGAAGCAAACTTCGTAAGCTGACGCTGCCAGTCCGGGAAATTACCAAATGCTTCTAGTTCTCCGAATTGATCGAAGTCGCTGTTATAGCAACCATCGAGGTCTTGGACTCCCCCAGAGGTTAATGGGAAGCCATCCTCCCACCAAAACTTGGGGTAGTCGCATGTGTTGTTCCAGGTGTTGCTGAAGGAAAAATCGGCATATCGTCGGTCCGTGACCCATTGGACAGTGTATTCGCTTGCTTTGAAAGGAGCCGAGCCGTTCAGGTGGCCCTTGAACCCGATCAAGTTGCTCAGACTAAATCCTCGGATGAGCTCCTGCACACACCCCATATATCTGGGACTATGCTGGAGCATTGACTTACGTTGCGACCGTATTGTCCACAAGTACGTACATATCCCGGCTGTGAATTTCCGTCACGGTCCGTCTCCAGTCTGCCAGTGTGCCGTAATGTTTGTCGAGCAAAGTGGTATCAGTCGGCGAGTAGCCATCGAAGGCCCAAGGTAGGTTCTCCAAGTACGTCCCGGCGAAATAAATTGCCTGGCTAGGTTAGCATTGGGATTTGGTCTAGGTTAGATCAGTGCACCTTGAATCCCATCCCCTGAATATAGTCCAGCGTGTCTATCAAGCCTTCCAGGTCACCGCCGTGTCGCATCTGATTAGAGTTAATCACATGCTCGAATTTGGTTCCGTTGATATTGTCGTTTGTCGGATCGCCATTAGATATGCGGTCCAAAAAGATCGTATAAACAGGGAAGCGCCAGTTGTCCGGCGATGGATGATAATCATGGTCCGGCCATGCTCCCCAATAATCGATGGGGCCTTGAGCGCTTTTGTTCTGATTTAGGTTGTAATCAACGAGAGACTCATCGTAGGGCCAACACAGGACGTAGGTACTTAGAAACGACAGTATGACAAGCGTCGAGAGCTGCATTTCCATATATGCTATCCAGGTATTCTGCAGGAACCTACTGCCGGAAACTGCGCGAACACCTTAACGAAAGTGATGTTTCAGTTATTGGCAAAAGCGAGAGTGAGGTGAACGAACAACGAACGAGTTGTTCACCCAAAGCGAGTAATTCATAGTAGAACCTTTCTACGGGTACGAGTTTACTAGGAATAGGAATCTAAGACCCTTATCGGGCCGAACGGACGGCGAAATCCCCTTATGTCCGCTCGTAGTGGCGATCCGCTCGGGCGCTGGTAGCTATCAATCCCTCCACCGATCACTTATCGCCCGCGCTGAATGGCCGCGTTTGACGGTGTCTCAGACAGATCCAACAGCGGATTCGACACAGTTCGCCGACCCATGCAGCTACGCAGAAGCTGCATTAGCGACTTGGTGACCTCTGCGTGGCCGGAAACCATGTCAGATACCATTTTGATTCTTGAAGGTTTTGTGGATTGCCCTTCCCTCCTTTGCTTTATTATCTACAGCCTAGTATTCCATTAATGGAACAATTCCCTTTGTTTTCGATCAACATCTCTTAGCGACACTCCAAGCCAGACCGACGAACAAGTTCTCACCGGGCCTAGAGCCTTGCCCCACAGCTCCCGATGTGGCATAAGGCGTCACAAACATAAACTTGTATCACCAGCCATTAGCCGTGTCTCGATGTCATTCTGTGTGAAATAAAGCAGCCCTCGTATTCAGAACCTAGAAATTTTTACTGTTGGTGGTATTTTGCCACAATTCGCTCCTCCTCAAACCTGTGTCGCGAATTTTTGCCCTTTTACGTATTTAACCGCTCATATCTGAGATAGATAAAGGACTGATCAACGAATGAAACACACCGCACAGCCTAGAATACGCACCAGTTTGGTTTTAGCGCCGTTGAAAACTCGTATCGGCACAATCAAGATACAGGTTAATTGACAGGGATCTCGTAGGATCCATAGTTACATACGATATGTACGGCATGATATACTGTTTTTACCCGGTGCTGGGTGCTACAGTAGGGTACATAGTCGTCATGCACTAGTTACCAGATGGGACATACTGTAACTTGGCTTTCGTCATGATTATGCTGGTCAGGTCGTGTTCTGTTCTCACAAGAAATAATTAATCATTTCTTCTGAAGTCTCCTTCATTCTAGTCTCAAATTTTAGAGAGAATAGGCGAGCGTGATGTGATATAACCTGAATGCAAGTGCCTAGACGCGATTCGATAAGGACGTCTTGATTTCTTCATGAGACGTACCTTCCAAATATAGACCGATTCGGGATGGTGATCAATTGTGATTCAATCCTGAGATCTGTGGACCTAAAATGCAAATCCTAATTGACCTGCCCCAGCCGCCCTACTGTTTCGCGTATCCACTTGATACCTTATTTCAATCTGGAATCCTCATTGATATAAACTTAACTATTTACAAAGCCCTCTTGCAGGATAAAAGTCAGCCAACAATCAAATTAGCACTTCGTAGTACCTTACTATAGCATGTTATCTTACAGACTAGCCTTTGATAAAGAAATTAACCCGACAGCTGGTAACTTGAGTGCGCACAACTTGATTTCATCCTTATTTACGATCAACAAAAGTAAAATTCATCATCGCGGTGATACTATTATGTTATTTCTTATTTGTCACCATTGATAATCCTAGGGGAGACAGTGCAGGTGTTGTTTGAGCGCGATCGGCCCGACCCATCAACCACCCATACGTAGACCAAGACCTCGGCAAGGACGGCAAGGGACCAGACGGACTGGGGACCGGACCATACTATTACTATGTAGGGCTTAGTCCCTTACTATCAGGATCGCACTACTACGGTCTCATAGTCCTATAAATAGAATAAATACAGAAAACCCTATTAATATATATAAATTATAACGTTCTTCCCGCCTGCGCTGCCAACCCACCTGCGTCGCCAACCCCACCAAAATCGTGTCTCTGGCACGAAATGCCTGTCTCCCCCATGAAGCTATTCCCACCCATGGGAGATCACGTGGCTTGGTACACCGATTCCCCAACGATACCTCATCGATAAAGCCCCACTCTTCCACCTAGGCATCCTCCGGGCTGCCCCGCTCCGAAGAGGTGGTGTACCTTAGTATATTAAATCGACTATATCTCCGTAGTGAGACACCACTAACACCCTAACGGTGACACACCCACCCACACCGCTCCGTGTTGTGGGTACTATACCCCAAATTAGGCACAAGAAGGGGATTATCAAAATCCCTAGTATCTAGTAGTAGAAGCTAGTAACTTATGAAAGGCTTTAAGGGGTTTAGCAAAGGCTCTTCTTATGCTTTATTTACTAGTAATCTAGTGGTAGAGAACATAAACTCAAATTCTATTATAGGTTATACTGTAGGTCTTTAAACGTACCTCTACTATTATCTAGAGGAGAGGAAATATCAATATCACCAAGCTAACTACTTATAGGTGCTATATATAGACTTTCACACATCGTCGCTTGAATTTGGGCTCGGAGTCTTCAGTAGCAGGTAGAGTATTAAGCTATTCCTAATCTGGTTTTGCCAAATCTATTTCAATTAAAGCCTAGTAACTAATCTATTGTAAGTAGAACTCCTAGTATTTAAGGTGCGTATCAGCCTTCGAGTTCAAGAGATTTTCTAGGTGCAAAGCTCTCAGCGTGCTACGCATCGTTCGGCAGCCCAACCACGGGGCTTAGCACGCAGGGGGTATGAGGCTCAACTATGCGCAGCAGATTACTACCCCAATTTCACGTTTCACCGCACGATGACAAGGATCCTCGACATTCCGTCTAGTTACTAGTCACTCGGTGAAGCGGTGAAGTCGTCACGGTGAGGACTACCACTATCAAGTATCGTTTCCTAGGAGAAGGGGCACGGAGTATCGACTGAAACTCAGAAAGTGGCCACAATGATTCAGCAATTTGCGATGCGACTTGGGCAAGAATTGAATAATAATTACAGCGACGGTATGTCCATAGAGAGAACTGCGCACCCGACTTCAGATAGTGAGCTATATATAGAATCTATGTAGTCTAATCTTGGAGAGAAAAGAGGACTTAGGTACCTGGGTTTTCTTCTGTTCAGGATGGTAAGTGGCTAAATACTGTACAATTTTGCCTTGAACACTTTCGATGCTGGGCAAGCTAATCGATACCCTTCCCTTCACTGAACCTTTTACCACCTTGTGAGGTTTTTTCTAACTCCCTTCCAATGTCTTTGTCCAGAATTCTCGTCCGTATGCACCCGTCCATGCTCCAGTAACAGCTTCACCGCTGTCTCAAAGCCGTTTGACGCAGCCGCTGACCGTGGCGTGCGACCACTAGAGTCCCTAGAGTTGACATTCACCCGCCTAGTCTCTAGCAACAGCTTCACTATCGACTCGTAGCCTCCCGAAGCCGCCCAAGACAGTGGTGTATGACCACTAGAGCTCCTAGAGTCGATATCTACCCGCCTAGTCTTTAGCAACATCCTTACTATCGCTTTGTGGCCCTTACGCGCCGCTAGGCAGAATGGGGTAGACCCGAAGCGGTCCTTTGAGTTGATATCCACCCGCCCCGTCTCCATCAATAGCTTCATAACCGCCTCGTGGCCCTGAAACGCAGCCCATGCCAGTGGTGTGGTAGCCGCGAAGTCCTTGCCGTCGACATCCACTCCACCAGTCGTGAGCAATAGCTTCACCACCGACTCGTGGCCTTCTGACGCTGCCTTGTGTAGTGGCGTGCGACGACTAGTGTCCCTAGAGTCGACCTTCCACCCGCCCAGTCTCTAGTAACAGCTTCACAATCGTTGCATGGCCATTGCTCGCCGCCAGGGAGAAAAGCGATTCATCGAAGCGGTTCTTTAAGTGGAGATCCGCCTGTCCAGTCGCGATTAACAGCTTCACCCCCGACTCGCGGCCTCTTGACACTGCCTTGGATAGTGGCGTGCAACCCTTCGAGTCCCTGGAATCGATTTCCACTCGCCCAGTGTCCAGTAACAGCTTCACCATCGTTTCGTGGCCATTACACGCCGCTAGGGACAATGGAGAGAAACCGCAGCGGTCTTTCCCGTTGAGCTCGAGATCCACCCGCGTATTCTCCAGCAAAAGCTTGGCCACTGCCTCTCGGCCATTCATCGCAGCCCAGGATAGCGGTGTCCTACCATGTCTATCGATCGCCTCAACATCAGCTCCTTCGGAAACGCAGGTTCGAGCCGTCGCCTCGCTCCCTCGGGCGGCTGCCCACAACAACACCGAACTTCCAGAAGTCAGCGAATTGCGCCGGTAAAGGTATGGATTAAGGAGGAAATAAAAGTGCCGATTGATTCGAGCTAAGGATTTGATATCTCTTTCTCTATCAAGAAAATCCGCAACGAGGAGCAACAATTCACCAGGAAGATAGGGGGTCGGCATTTTCATTCCTCTGTTGTGACCTTCGAAACGTTCAGGTAAACATGATCGCGAAGATGTTCACGGATTCGGGGAATCCATGTTCTCCAGGATATTCGGACAATTGAGAACACGCCACCACTTGCCCGACGCCCGGCTCCTGCGCCCGACTAGGCGCCCACGACGATGAGAAACAACAACCTAGAATATAACTATACAAACAAGACAAACATAGTTACATAGACACGATAACGTAACTAAACGTGCTTCCCGCTCACCCATCAAAGTCGTGTCTCCCATACCTGCACATCTTCTTCCACCACATATCATGACACGCAAAAACGCTCAAATCGCGTCAAAATGGCAGGGAGAGGATCTTACTCGCTACAGAAGCTTATAAATATAGCTATTGTCCGTTTATTCGCGCAGCAGCTACGCGATATGAAGTGCCTTAGTTAACACTATGCGATCGCATCAACGGAACACTCTACTATATCAAAACATCACTATCGGCTAACGCTATCTTCTACCAAAGAGGAACCGCTAAGATAGTGAATAATTGATGCTAATATACGAGGTCTAGCGCCTAGACCTTCGACTATTCGAGACATAGCTAAAATTATCCTCGCGACTCGCGGCACAATGCCCCTACCTATAGCCGGCAATGGCTACTAGAATTGATAAATTACTAGCTAGAGCTTTGTACACAATAGTCTAGGCGATATAACTATTAGCACTCTGAGCAAGCCAGAGGATGCGTAGGAAGATAAGATGACTAGATGGAGACTCTACAAGAGGCAGAGTAAGAGGTGGAAGAAAGATATTGAGGAAGCTTGATCATAATATTATTTAGCTGGGGACTTTCCCGGTATTGATAGCTCAGTCTCACTAGAATATGATCGGATATCTAGTTATTACTCCGATTGGTGATGTGTATTATAGTTGTAGTAGTCTAGAGCAATTGCATCAGACAGTATGATATCAGCGATATTACCCTATATTAGATCGCGTTAGGCTGCATGGTATTAGCCTATAAGATATCTATAGTAGCGATAGGGTATCTATGAATTCTAATAACTGTTATAATTTAACACTATCTACTACCTGGAGACTATTCATATCCCAGCATCCATGCGGCGTGGACCACGAGAATTCACTACAGCGAGCCTAGTTTTGCGTCCCTCCCAAATCGAGGCCCTACTGGAAGCAGACGAGTTCGTTGACGCGGAGTTGGGAAGCCGTGCAGACGGCGCATCCCGTCTCCTTCCTGCTGTTTTAAGCGCAGTTGACGCTCCTGCCTGTTTCCCTCCCTCCCACACCCTTTCCTGGCCCGTCCATTTACCCAACACTCCCACATCCATCTGTCGCCCGCCTCGACTTACCCCAGCACCCATCATGCCGCCCCCGGCCCCCGTCAACCACAGGGAGCTGAGAGCTCGATACCGGGCATCGGTGACGAACATGCTTACCCAGCTGCGAACCTTCTCTCAATGGACCTTCAAGGTAGACGACCTAGCCGCACTGGGTGTCGATGTCTGCGAATTCGATCCTTACGATCTGAGAGACTGCACTCCTATTTTCGAGCCTCTCTCGGAGCAAGAACTCGATGATTACGATCTCGACGAGGACTTGGTGCTGAACGAGGAGATCTTAGAGAAACTCAACCTCCAAGACTGGGCCCCGAGCACATCGAATGAAATCTCCCGCCGTGAGGAGGAGATGGAGGCGATGCGAGCTGGTGGACGCATCTTTGAGTACCTGGAGGCAAGATATTCGTGCTGGTCAATGATCTACCAGCCCAAGACCCCCCTCTCGATGGTGCGGAACTGGACGGACGTTGCGTGAGTGGCCCCCTCCGCCTCTGACGAGCTTGGGCGAGACTGACGATTTAGTATCCCCCACCCTGAATACACCTGGCCTCGGTCCCTTGGCATCAATAGCTGGCCTCGAGATCATGGGCTTCTGTCCCGCCCGCGTACCCGAGACCATGTCGGATGGCGCTGTGAGATGGTGGGTGAATGGAAGGATCGTCCGCGGCGAGGAGATCCGACAACTCGACCACATGTTCGCCTCATCATCGTGCATGGCACCATTGGCTCTTCGAATGGGATTCTGCTCGGTGAGCTGGGAGCTCTGGCACAGGTGATTTACAACCGCCTCTGCCAGCCGAGTTTTGACCATGAATCCTTCTTCCCGGTAGAGAACATCCATTCCATTTCAAGTATAAGGAACTAATGAGAACAGGTACTGTTGATCTCGCTTTTCGGACCTCGCCATGGACGGATACTGCAGGGTGTGTATAGACGGAACGGGAAGCTTGACCTGCGAGTCAGTCGGGTCTACAGCTTCGTGAAGGTGAAGGAGGCACCCCTAGACCTCTTCTTGCGGTATCTCGCGAGTACTCCCCGGCGCGATGACTGCTGAACAGGATGATTGATGGGGTATCACACGCCTACAGAATATCATACACCAATCTCACCGTAACCGACTATCCTGCTGAGCACTGATTCGAAATGAAGAAATACGTTTTCTAGTTGAATACATGCATCCTTACCTCCTTGTAAATGAGAAAGGATGGGTAGACGTCGGGTTATAGAGATAATACAGCCATGTGGGAAACAAAAACATGTCCTGGCTATCTAAAAGCTGACAAACATCCAGTTTGTGACTTCCTACTCCGAAGCCCACCTTATGTCCCACTCTTTGAGGGGTAACAATTCAGATAAGAAGCTTGCAGGGTGGAAGATGTGAGATCGTCAGAATAAATTCAGAAGGACTGTTCATATGCATTTCCAGCTGGCTCATACTCCATCTTCTAATCTTCGTATCCTCCTCTGCATATCTCTTGTAGCTGGCTGAGAGGCTATGAGCCGAGTGAGCGACATTACATCTCATCTGACTGCCTCCCAGGGGGAATACACCACGAAAACAGCCAAAGCTAGAATATGCAGATAAATTACGATCAGGAGGCGGGTGTACGGCCTATAGATATAGTTCGAGGCTTCGATTTTCATGCATTTCTGCTCGTTGCCGCGACCTCTACATATTCCGGTCAATAGTTTCTCCCGCCCGAACTATACCGGCGATGTCGTGTCTATGGTGCACATGTACCATCTCTACCTGTACAAAGACTCGTATAGATTTGTCTTCTATGTACTTCTATACACCAGATATTCACCAGAAAGTGCTCAACAGATCACCTATCTCTACATACAAACTTGAATTGTAGTGATCGATATCACAATATCCACGTGCTCGGCGAAATGACACTGCGGGAAAAAGAACCTTGCAGGGAAGGAGGATAACCTTACTAAAGTTCAGCGACATGATACTGCTAGAGACAAAAGCACAAGCGAATCTCACCAGCCACGGGGGTGGAAAAGCAGAGTGTTGAGGACTCTTCAGAACCAAGAGACGTCCACGTCTCGTACACTCCCCTTACTTCGGCGATCTCACTTTCTCCCTCGATCATCGCACACGCCATCATCATGTGCTACATCGAGTACTTCCCAATCATCCCAAAAGGGTGCATCGCAGCCAACAAGCACGTACACATGGTCAAGGACATCACTCCGTGCTTTGAGACCGTCGCCATCGCCATGGCTCGGCAGGCCGACTCGGAGACAGACCCCAAGGGCGAGCTCGCCATCACCCTCTGCCTAGACGCAGAGTGCATGCGGATCGACTGTTTCCGCCGAAAGATGCATGTGGCGCCCCTGCAGGAGTCCAACCCTCACTGCCCCATCTGCACGGGCGAGAAGACCCTCGTGGCGGCCTTACTGGTAGGTTCTCCCTCCTGTTTTCACGTCGAAACCGCCCCATGAACTACATCCAGGTCGACACCGACACCGAGTACGCCGTGCTTCCGACTGGCAGACAACTGCGCACCGCGGCAACGGAGCGCAGTCTCCCCAGTTACTTCCGCCGCACGGATCTCTGGTATGGCCCTGACTTTGACATGGACCGCATTCGTCTCGTCACCACCGCGGACAACAAGTTGCGCTACGACCCTGCCCGGGACGGCGTGACGAACCGCGCATATGAGGCTCGGGTTGCAAAACGGATACGCCGCGTGTACTTCAAGCTCTGCAAGCAACTGGATGAGGAGAGTGATAGCGTGGTGCCAGCTACTTTGGACCTTCGCATGAGTGTCTTCCAGCACTGATTTGTCTTTTCTCATTAGTGGAGTTTCGGGGCATGTAAAGGAAGGTGGTCCTCGCACACCAACCACCAATATGAATGATATAGATTTTCCTTTCGTGATACGGGGGTCGAGTCAAAGGAATGTAGGGCATGCTGGTTTTGGTTTCATTTTCTCGTATTCAAGACTAACACATGGTGGTGGATGGACTCCCTGTTCACCAGGCCTGGCAGACGTAATACCCGATCATCAAAGAGTCAACATGTGCACGATATAACCTACTGCGACGCTGTATGCCGATATACGTAATGCCAGTCCTCTTTCGCAAGATCCTGCCGGACCTTATAGTTCTGTTCCGCAATATCCAAAAGCCCGAGATCCATATCGACAACCCGCATGCCCTCCTCAGAGCCCATCTTCGACACGGGCCCAACAATCGGGAGTGCAACCTGGGACATCCCGAGGAAGTCCTTTTGGGGACCGGCAGCGTTGACAAAGATGATGCCACAGGTATTTTCGTAGCAGCGGGCTGTGAGCGTGGAGTTGAGGAAGAGGGCCTCCGACTCGGGGTTGTGGCGGAGGGCATCGTCGGAGGCGTCGCGTGGGGTCCCTGTTGCAATCAGTATGAGGAGACATGCAGCTGGACAGAAGAAAGGCTTACAGAAGGTAGGAATGATCACGATGTCGGCGCCGTCGGCAATCAACTCGCGGAAAGCCTCTGGGAATGCCAGATCCCAGCAGATCAACATGCCAACACGGCCGATCGGTGTGTCTATCGCCGCATGGCGCTCCTGTCCGGACGACGTCAAGTGCGGCCGCTCGGGATGCCAGATGTTCTTCTTGCGATAGGAGCCCAGCACTGAGCCATCGTTTGAGATGAAGTAAGCAGTGTTGTAGAAGAGGTCGGCCTGTTTCTCAATAATAGTTCCCGGAACCAGGCAGATCTTTAGCTCTTTGGCAAGCGCCTGATATTGGGCGAGATATTTGGCAGCTTCGCCCGCCTGGACAGCCCAGAGAGGGTCGTTGGGGACCCAGCCACTCAGGTGGTATCTGGACACAGTGTGAGCGGCAGCGGTAGCAAGACCGGCAGGTATACATACTCAGGGAGAACTGCTAGCTCGGCGCCTTCGGCGGCAGCGTCGCGGATATACTTGCATGCTGTCGCGTGGTTCTCCTCGATAGCCAACTCCTGCAGAATATCAAATTAGCTGCAGCTGACACATGCGTCATCGACGGCCGTTAGGGATCGGGTGGGATCGGATGGGATCGGCAGCATCGCACCTTAATATGCCACTGGATGGTGGCGACGCGGCGAATTGGGGCCATAGTAGGACGCGAAGGGATGATCGAATTAACAATGGAAGAAGCGAGGAACGAGATGCAGTAGAAATTATAAATTGAAATTAGCTGAAGCCGGAGAATACCCCAGCGACCCCAACTGGAATCGGAGTTGGAGATGGTGGGCTACGGACCCAACCGCGAATCAGAGCGGCGCAAAAAGAACTCCCCGCGCCGAGCGTCTATTCCCACTACGCGCGAGGTGCTATGAGATAAGCTCATTCCCGCGCGCCAGCAACACTGTATAGGATGAACAATGAGAAAAAAGCAGAATTACGACATTATGGTGGGACATGTATCATGCAAGGAAATAAAGACTGATCGAACGAAAATCATCAAACACCGCCGCCAACACCCCATGCAGATGCAGAGGACCGTCATGCTAGGGCCACCGCGTCTTGGTTGAAAGTCGGCTTCTTGCTGACGCGATACACGAGCCGGTCCGTCCAGAAGTGCGCAAACACGGCGTGCAGGGTCGGCACGGCTCCGTAAATAGTACCCGCTATGGGGAAGCACACACGATCCAGCAGGTACTGCGGCTTGTACCAGACGCGCGGGGAGCAGCCGGTGTCATGCAAGTTTGCGTCGCGCATGTCCTGCATTCGAGTGTTAAGGCACAGCGTGTGCCAGCGCTCATAGAGACTCAGGCAGATGTTCATCCCGATGAAGGAGAGCGCGCGCAGGAGATCGGTGAACGAGAAAGCCCAGGCAAGGGAGGGGTGCAGTTCGGACACCGGAACCCAGAGAGGGTATAAGACGGAGAACAACATGATGATGGTCAGGTGGCAGGGCATGAAGTGCGCTTCCCAGAGTAACTCGAGGAGGGCAAAATGCCGTGGGCGCAGGAAGAGACATCGCTGGTGGAAGCGGAGATAGCCCATTGTCCGGCGCGCCGCAAAGCCCGAGTCCAGTGCTCCCCACATGTGCCGCAGTGCCTGGCGGTACCGGGCGAAAAGGGTGTCAAGGGTACGCCGCCAGCCACGGCCACGGTCACTGGAGACATTGCATTGGCTGGCGGGGATCCAGATCACGCGCGAGACGACATTGCCCGCAGTCTCGAAGTAGCATTTGAGCAGCATGTGCATATCCTCGCCAATAGCGGTCGGATCACTGTCCCATCCTCCGACCTTTTCGGCCAGTGACAAAGGCAGTGAGTAGACTGAGGTGGGGATAGAGATCCAGGTCCCCGGGTACATGGTGGACAGGCCGGCGAAGCCCCAGAGCAGATCAGCACATCGGACGAGAACAGGGCTCTCGTGGGAGTTGCGGTCGAAAATGATGGGGCAGCAGTAGATAGTTCGGTCTGCTTCGGTGATGTACGAATAGTGCATGCGACGAATCTCGGTGAAGTAATCGCGGGAAAGGTGGGTGTCCGCTAGAAGTGGTTCGGTCAGATTTCTCGCTCCCAGCGATGGATGTAACTACTTCAAAACCTACCGTCCATGACTGTGACAACAACATTGCAGCAGTCCATCTTCAGCTCCGGCCGGTGGATCTCAACAATGCTGCGCGCGGCGCAGGCCACATTGGAGCTCTTGCCCGCAATCTCGCCTTGAATTCCTGTGGGGTGGAAGGTGGGTCGAATGTGGAGAAAAGACTTTTCGAACATGGCCACCAGATGGGATGCCTTGACGGTGGCGGTGGTCTCTTTCTGCTCCATAGCCAGATACACCTATATCCTGGATCAGCAGTCTGTCAATGCAATCCCGCGCTATGGTGGGTGGCCTACTTCATATTGCGTCTTGGCCCGTGGGTGGCTGGCCAGCACCTTGAGAGTGGTCTCCAGGGTGTGCAAGTCCTCGCAATAGTTGGGAAGAATGATTGCGTGCACCACCTCCTCCTCCTCCTCCTCTTCCTGGACCTCCATCACTGTTATTCCGGGAACGTCAGTCTTCCTCACCTTGGAAGAGTCCGACGCGAGGGAGATTGGGGACAGCGGCTGCTCGATAAGCTCCTCGCCCGTCATCTGGGGGGACTGGGCCGGCTTGCACCATATACGCCGATTAAAGGACTGCTTGGCGTGTCTGGTCGCGCTGAATATGGACCATGCCAGGCGCATCGTGAAGCCGAACATGTGACAATGGATGAGCACTGCATACACGATAAAGATGCCCTGGGCCGGGTTGAGCCCGCTCCAGAAACCATCTTGCGGCGGGGGTTTGCCGGGATGCACTGGGTTGGGCGGCAAGAAGCTCTTCCACAGCGTCGACTTGAGGATGTCGGAGAAAGCACCCAGCAGCAGGACGCCGAGGGCGATAATGCTAAGCCCCGGAAGGCAGCGAGTCAGCCATCCCAGCATCTTGACTTGGGGCGCGATTATCGGAGTGATGGAACAGGTATTGAAGGCCACCACAGAGACCACGGGAAAAGGGCAAGTGCGGTCACAGAGAAAGAGAAGATAAAGATCAGAAACCAGGAAGCCAGCAAAAGAAGAAAAGTAGCCCCGATGGGTCCCCTAGAGAGAGACCGGTCACCAGGAAGCCAGGAAGCTTACCATTTTTTTCCTCCCGTATTGATGAAGAGCTGCCGCACGATAGGATGATCTTCATCTAGTGTTTTGGGACCTGCGAGCTACATGAGCGGATTCTGGGCGAATCAGGGAGCCTAGAGGAGGAGGATGGGAGCGGGTGAATCAGAGACTCGCTGCGGCCCAAAGGGGCAATTATCAGCAGAGCAAGAGCATTGGCGATACTCTTCACTCCGCACTATGCCCTGAACAGCAATATCAATTACCCTTTTCCCGCTTTGACCACCGAAGACGCTCAACACCTGACTGCTTCACTCATCACACAGCGTACACTTCGACTATCAAAGCCCGGCAGGCTCGAGTGGAGCACGATCCGCTAAAGCTTGGCACAGGGTGGACTGCTGATTGGTTCAGAGCGGATCAGGTAAGCAGCCCCATGCACGCGCCTCCCCACGACCATTCATCAGGGTGCCGGCGGCAGCCAATCACGGCCGGCCAAACAACAGCGTGGTCCAGCTGTGGCAGGGAAAGATCGAAAGAGACGTCTCAATGCTTGCCAGAAAAAGTATACTCGTTTCTCATTTCTCATTTCTCAGGCAGCAGCTAATGGGCTTGACCTTCCTCTCGCCCGAGCCGTTGCAAGTCTGCCAGCCGATAATCCCTCCGCACACTCGCCCAATCCCAGCCGTCCCCGACCAGCCCATAGCTCTCCCACTCGCCTGTGGCTTTGCGGGCATTCAGCGCCCAATACCCCCAACTGGTATCCACCTCTCGCAGGAAACGCACCAAGTGATGCCAGTAGTTAGTATCTCCTTTACTGGGCGCGTCCGGTGTGCCCACCTCGCCCACCCACACCGGCGCGATCTCCTCTGCCAACAAATACCCCCAGTTCTTCCACATCGTCGCTGCAAAGCCTTCATACGACCGCCCTGAGAAAGGGCGCAAGCTGCCCCATCCCGACCACTTGTACACATGCGCCGAATACACCACCCGCCCTGGCAGGCTGAGCTGCACGGGACGGGCCCTCGCCCCCGAGAGATCGTTCGCCGACGAGATCCCCTCCACAAACATCAGCCAGTCTGGGTTCAGTGCTAACAGTCGCTCCGACGCCTTTTCTGCAGCATCCGCCCACTCGTCCCAGTGCATCGTGCCCCAAAGCCCGCGCACCTCGTTGCGTAGGTCTGCCCCCATCACCAGCGGGTTGGAAACCAGCGGAGACATCACCATCTCCCAGTTCCGCATCCAGCCCTCTTCGCTCTGCGGTACCGAGCACAGAATGTCGCCGCCGAACCAGTCGTTCTTCCAGCTTAGATCGCACGGATTCATTCCGCAGCACCACGTCGCCTGCGTGATGTGGTTGTTGACAATCACCAGCAGTCCGGCCGACGTGAGGCTCTCCACAACTTCATGGAAGACATCTAGCGCCCGCAGTGGAGCTCCGGGCAATACAGGATTATGGAATAGATCCTGGTTTGCGGCGATGACACCCGGATTGATGACGGGGTTGTTTGTGACGATCTCATCTGCGTACGGCAAGCGCACGCTGTTGAACCCGAGATCTCGGATGAGCGCTGCGATGGCATCCCGATGCTGCACGTCCAGTCCCCCCGGGACATAGTCGGCATCGCTGGCGCCATACCAGTTGATGCTGGCCAGTTTGATGGGGACACCCTGGGCATCGATAATATGCCGGCCTGCCGTGTGGAAGGGCGGGGTGAAGTTGAGCGTCGCAATGGTCGGATCGGCCGCAGTCGTCATGATAGTGGGTACCGAATCCAACCCGTCTTCATGCAATTGCCACAGCACCACCTGAACCAGCGCCAGAGTCGCGGCGGCCAGAATCAGGGATACCGGACGGTTCCGTCGGATCCAGTGGATGAGTGGGAGCATGATGCAGAGACGTGGCCCATTTAGAGTTGGGCGCCTGGAATAATTATGAATAGTATAGATGGCAGATATATTGTTTTCGAGTTATTTTAGATGAGATTGAACCGGTCGAATGAGAATGGGGTAGGTGAAGGTGGATTTTGACCTCTAATCGCGCGGTGACGACCACAGGAGGGCACATCCGGCTGGGCCGCGCTTGTTCTGGCCGTGTGCGATGCCCCTTCGGGCGTTCGGCCAATGATGCGGCCGATGACCGACTAGGATTGGCTCTGCCGAGCCATTCATTGCGATTCATTATCATGATGAGGTGTCTATTTTCCTACAATGAGGTCGAGGTAAATACCTTGTAATTGGGAAACCTGGTCTTGAATTTTAGAGGATTTGGGTCTATGCATCCAGGTTCTCCTCAATCGACCTGGCCACCGGCTGGCGATCAACAGACTACCAGCATTCTTTCGGCTTTCCAAGTCTACAAACACAGCATTACCCGTCTCTCTTGTTATGAAATATTCCATGATGCCATGTTTACGTCCCACTTACCCAGATGTCAATGTAGCCGAAGCACTGTTCAAATTGATATTCAATCACGGCCAACACCGGGTTTGGCCACAAGGCAGGAGTATGTATACGTGTCTCCAGTCACTCTCCTTGGTCAGGGCTAGGCCCTGAGATAGATCCCTCAGTCCCTCCCTATGCATGCCGTATCATGCATTGACCAAGACTAGCCCTTGCGAGGCGTTCATGCCCACCTTATCTACTCCTGCTCTACCCCGCCTAATCAGGGCTAAAATGGAAGGCCAGCGGAAGGGAATAATCCAATAGAAGCGGTGAAACATGGGTCACAACCGGGTTTATGCGAGATACATGAGATTTTCTGAATCTAGATCGCATTCTGGTAATTGCTTCTACGAATGTGGGAGTGGGTATTATATCCATTTCCGATACGATTAAACTTCCCGTCAAATATCTAAGAACAAAGTCACTATGCAGCACGAGAAATCTTAATGTAGTGTTAATTCAGAATGAATCAGAGATGAAGGGAGTCTGAAAGAGCCAGTTATTATCCACGAAGGGTAGAACTTGGTATTGCGCCAGGCTCGAGCTCTGACATCGCGGACGAACGACACTAGAGTTTTCAGCCAAAGGGATTATAAGATGAACGCCCATCATACCATATCGTTTGAGAAACAGAGTAGAATACACTAGTACATTAGCCTCTGTCCATTAAGAAGTTGCACGACTACACTATATACTGGCTGACATCTCTGGGCATCGCCGCTCCAAGTGCGGTTCCAGATTCGGCGTCGGGACATCACAAGTCGGCCCTTTAAATGATTCGGCGCAGGCCTCCATGATATCAGCATCTCTTCTCTGGGTTTGAGCAACTTTCTTCTAGATCCTTTCTATCTGTATAGTCATCCTTTGAATCTATCACTTACTCGATCGAGATTCACAACTTTCAGTTCCCCAGCTCGAGTTATCTAGTACAAGGAACAAATCAGGACAGGAGCCTCACGACTCAGCAACAACGACGATGCAGCGATCCCAGCCGCGGGGCTATTCTCTGCACCAAAGGCCCACCGCCTCCCCCACACTACTCACTGCGATTGTACTTGCGACTATCATCTCCAAGTTTGCCCAGGTTGTCAAAGCCAACCCAAACTATTCCCCGCTAGGTTATCAGTTACTCGATACATACGAGGGCACGTCGATCTTTGATCAGTTTTACTACTTCTCGGATGAGGATCCAACGAAGGGTTTCGTGAGGTATGACTCCTTCCCATCTTAGAAATACACCAGCTACTCGTTTCGCGCTAGATATGCTACCAAAGAGACCGCCCAAGATCTCAATCTCACCTCCACTACCGACACAACCGCCATCTTGCGCGTGGACTCATCAACACCCGCTACGGCTGGAGGTCGTCACTCGGTGCGGATTGAGTCAAAAAACAGATATGACTCCGGCCTCTTTATCTTCGATATCATCCACACGCCGGTGGGCTGCGGCACATGGCCGGCCCTCTGGTTAACAGACGGCCCTAAGTGGCCTAGCAACGGCGAAATCGACATCCTCGAGTCCCATAATCACGGCTCGCATGGTAATGAGATGTCTCTGCATACCACCGCCGGCTGCAGCATGGATGTCGCGCGCATGCACAGTGGGACGACCCTCTCGGATACGTGCGATATCAGCTCTACCGCAAATGCAGGTTGTACTGTTGTGGGTGGCCCAGCTACCTATGGAGAGGCCTTCAACAGCAATGGTGGCGGAGTACGTTGTCTCGGAATCCAAATTTCCAGTCCAAATGTGTACTTCCAGTAACTTATACTAATTTGGCCTTAGATATATACGCTGGAACTTCGCGATGCAGGAATCCGAATATGGTTTTTCCCACGCTCCTTGGCTCCATCGGACCTAAACAACGCATCGCCCGACCCTTCAACCTGGGGCACCCCGCTGGCGGACTTCCCCAGTACAAACTGCGACATCGCGTCACACTTTCGCAACTTGAGCATCATCGCTAACATAGATCTCTGTGGTGAACTGGGCGCGCTGCCACGGCACTATACCGAAATGTATAACTGCCCGGGTTCCTGTCCTGATTTTGTGGCCAATAACCCGTCGAGTTTTGAGGAGGCCTATTGGGAATTTGGGAGTATCAAGGTTTACAAGGCCTTGTAAGAGGTTGTGTGGTTTGTGTCACGGCTTTGTGGCTCTTTATTGCTTTGAGTTTGCTTCAGTGGGCTCGTTTAGGCATTTCGCTATATATCGCTGTCTTCCATGCGTCTCAGTGCAGGACTTAAAAGACCTTCTCTCCATAATTTGCTACTGTGGTGACCTGAATTGATTCCACATAGCCTGGTCTTACATAGCAAAAAGAGCAATGATGTTATAAGATCCTAGCTTGCTCACTAATAGATCGAATTCTCAGCAGAAAATGGGTATCTTAACAATTGGCCATACATCTCAAGCCCGACGATCCGATCCTGAGAGGAGACCCTCAGGAATGCTTGAGGTTTTTGTGTTTTGGTCTTCCGATGATTGACAGCTAAGACCTTCGTAAAATCGCCGAGAGTAGTCATTACCGAACACCGGGAAATTCCCTGAAATAAATCATGTCATCGTTGAAGGTCATTTGCCTACAGTTGCCGAAGCAGACTGCCTTCCGCAAAGGGGTTATCGGCTGACATATCGAGCAATGGACGTGTTGCGTTGCGGTCGCCTGTTGCGACGCCGTGCCCTCCTGTTGCCTTGCCCTGGCCCTGGATATTGCTCGTCTTCCGGCTCGCCGCTGCTAGCAGACTGTTCGCCAGATATGGACTATTTGGAGAAGCCGGGCTAGCCCCGGCGGAGTGGGAGGCTGGGCTCTGAACGGGTGCAGAGACCTGTCGCCCGCTGCGCATGGTATTCGAGCGGTACCGGGACTGGGAGGAGATTTCGGCGCAAGGTCGGCGCCAGGAGGTCGCCGAGGGAACCGCCACAATGCCGGGGGACAAATCGGGTCCCGTGGCTGCGTCGATCAACTGTCTTCCAGGCTCAATGGTGATGCCGCGACCTTTGCGCGTATGCTGCGGTGGTTCCACGAAGACCGGAGTCAAGTCGACCAGCGGTTTCTGAGTCTGGTTGATAGATTGGGTACGCCCCAGATACGCGGCAGCATCGGCCTGGGTAGGTGTATTGGTGCGGCTGCTCGACTGAGCCGCCGGAGAGTACATAGGGCTTCCACCCACGAGTCCTTGACTAGCAAACGGATCTTGCGTCGCCCGTTTCTCGCTCTCTTCTCGCTCACGCATCGCTTGCTGTCGCTGGGTATATGTTCTACCCAATAGGCCAGAAGATGTGAAGACAGAGTCATTCAGGGCTTCAGTGGCAGACAACGATCCCTGAGAAGGGAGCGCCTGAGATGTAATCGTATTGGTATCGATGGCAAGAGTCTTGGGAAGAGAGCTGGGGGGTGGCCTATGATCGCGAGTGGTCTTTCTGCGAGAAACAGACATCTCGGATCTCACTTTTTGTGCATGTTCTTTGGAACGGCAAGGCTCTGGCTCACTGTTTTGACGATCTAGCCGAGGGGTATCGGTAAGTACACTTCGCTTCTGGGAAGTCATGGTCATCGTGGGTTGCAACATTGAAGACTTATGATCCACATCTTCTGGCCTTTTGACCGGATCCGCAACGCCCACTTTATTCACGAGATACCAGCTGCGCCAGCCTTGGACAGCCTCGTACCACCTATCCGCCACAGCGCGGTCGTTGGTGCTGAAGAAGTGCACAAAGTTTTCCGTTGAGAGAAACATGGAAGATTTCTGCTGACTCTTGATTGCAAAGCAAATCCTTTTTGGTGGGTTGAGTTGCTTCGCAAGCGATCGGACATTCGGGGAGTAGATATCAAAGTCGGATAAGTGGCAGATGTTGGTGCTATCCTTCGAGTTTTCTTTCTTGGCGACTGTCACCTGCCCATCTGCACGGAGTGTGACATATCGTTTGTCCCACTTGCGGGGACGGTGGGAGTGGTAGAGGTAGACAGTAGCCTCGGCGGGTTTCTCGGCAGGAACACTCTGAGCCTCGAGCTGAGCGATAGCTTCCAAACTCGAGGGCGGGACAATAATGAGGACGCCATCGCTATCCAGAGTCCAGGAGTTCATGACATCTCGGATGCGCTCGTACCGGCGCAAGGGTCGTTCCAAATCGATCTGTTGGAAGGATTCAATCAGGATGAAAGTGGCGGGATCAATATCGTGTGAGATGTGTTGGGAAGCGGACGCCAGTACATCTTGCACCTGGGTGTACGGAGTCACGGGCATCTTCGCAGTAGCATCTCGAAACTTCACCAGCACTAAGCGCTCGCCAGCATTGACTGCAGAGACCGGCGCATCAGTTCCGGGCACAATGCCCCCCCTCCAACCCCAATATAATTGGGAATTGCTGCTGGCGGTACTTTGGAGTGTTCCTTGACTTGATCACGGGGCTGCTTCGGCTTGGAGAGCCCAACCTTTTGCAGGAGCGACTTGCGGTTGTTGTCACCGGAGGAAGGTGGAGGGTCAGCTCGACGTCTCCCTGACTGAACCACCTGCGATGATGTCGTCGGTGATGTCGTTGCGGAGCCATCTTTATGTAACCCCTTCCTCGGCTGGACTTCTCTCGCTGTCTTTGCAGACCGCGACGGGATTGATTGAACCGCAATCGCCCCGCCTGTCAACTGTTCCATGGCATTCAGCCGGTGTTGCTCTTTCGCACGCTCATCCTCCGCCCCCAGCGTTTGCTGAGCGCTTCTTGGCAGGGGAGGTACAGATTGAACTTTCGCATGATCTGGAAGCGCAGGGGTTGGAGGTGTTGTCGAAGCGGCCGATGGGTCGGTCCGTGCAGAAGGTCGATTGCGTCGGTACCGAGACATGCTTCTGGCAATTGACGGGTTCTGCTGGTTTGCGGCGTTCTCGCCTGCTGTAGCTGAGCGCACACCTTTTTCCATCTTGTCTTTGTCGGCACGCTCTCTTCCCGTCAGTGGTCGATCTTGCGACAAATAATGCGGGGAACCCTTCGTCGGCACCTGCTGCCCTGTCGCGTCCACAGTGTACTTCGCCATGACTCTGGAGAATGCAACGCATGCACCCACGGGGACTTGTGTCACGGTTTATAATTCCAAGTCAAATCCTTATCGCCGTTCGATCAAAGTCACATTCTCGGGGGAAGACTGATGGCCAGGGATGTCAGTGAGCACCACAACAAAGATGTGTAAAATGTGACAACCAAGATGCCCTTGCACACGAGGGGGAAATAAAGACCAAAGCAGCAGGCGACAGGGTGGTGGGATTTGTGCGAAAGCAAGAGAGAGAAAAAGCAGTGGGAATAAAAGGCACCAGTGTATGAGATGAGGCTGAAATCGACTCCGACAGTCCTGAACACAGGCCTGCACACCTCACACGGCTGAGTTTGCAATGAATATTCGGTCCCTCGGAGGGAAAATGCGAGTGCTGATCAGGAATCTGACTACATTTGGGCTGGGGTGGCAGGACGCGTGGACGCATCTGTGGCGCGAGAACAGACCAATGGCACTTACCAGAGAGCGAGCTGGATGGGGTTGTGGAAATTGAGAGTGCGCGGACCGAACGTGGGCATGTGGATGGGTTGGTGAGGAAGAAGGGCGAATGTGAATGGGGTCGAGGAAGCCGTTTCCGGGCGACATTCTTCAGTGCGACAGGTCTGCGATCGGCGGAGACTATTGGCAATATCCGCCCTACTCGTCCTATGCCTGCGCATTCTGAAACTCTACTCCGACGACTACGGCCTCGTTCCCCTGAACCTAGCTACCGAGCCGGACTAGTGGGTGTCGCACAAGGCTTTAATTTGGGGGACTTGAAGACGCGAGGATCTGGACCCTGCAGACTCCACTCCACCGCAGTCGACTGATCCGCAGTGGACGCCGTGGATAGACCCGAGGTCCACCTGGCGTGGGATGGGCGACTAGGGATCGGTTGGGTCTATCCTCCCCAATGCACGTCATGAAGGCGCTGTATATTGACCCAATCACAAGGGCCAAACATGTGTCGATCTATGATCTGTATTTTTGTCTTGAGCTCCTAAATAGTGGTTTCGTGCCAAACGCCGAGAACGCTGCAAAGCGCTTTGCCGGGCCTTCACCGGTGCGATTCATCCTCTCGTCGAAGTAATGGGACAGCGGGTCGTCCATCTCTGCGACAACAAGAGTAGGAAAAGTGCTTGCAGAGTGGATGCAGGTGCTTTCCCATGTTAGCTTACCCGACAATGTACCCCCCCGCAGCCGCGGCCTCACTCTCGCCCCTTTGAGGGATCTCTCGATAAGCCCCAAGTTTCACGGTCAACAGTATAACCTATGTCTGGGAGCCGCTAGAGTAATCTACGCCGCGCTATTTGCTTCTCTACCAGGGAATTGGAGCCACACGAACTCCCGTCGCGCGAATTTGGGTCCCACAGCGGTACGTTCCACCGCAGGGAAGTCTTGGTGCTAGAGTCAGCCAGGTCGACGAGTTGGTGTGAGAATAGTCTTTCACGGCAATTCTGGGCCTGTAATATTCATTTATTTTCCATTCCTGATTGAGCAGGGCCTACACAAGTCTTTACACATGCGGCAGCGGAGAAGCTTATACAAGCTTCTAGCGAAACTGATCCCTTGCCATGGTCATTATTTTCTATACGCGCCCAATTCCCTCCGCCTGAAACAAGTAAACATTAGCCTCCTGAGACCGAAGAAAAGACGAGATATCAATGTACTTACCACCAGGCAACAAAGTCCATAGTCCGCACGTCAATGCCCAAGTCCACCAGTGCCTTGGTGGACAAGTGGGTATCGTAGGGCCGCTGGACACCTCCGGGCTCATTGCCCTGCTTGTTCCGGATCATCCCCGGTAGGCCCCAGCCCATCACCTCGGCCAGCTTCTCGCAGATTTCATACTTCGTCATGCGGTCCTCTGAGGTGAATTGCAGGATGTGCGGCAGCTCCTGGATTTGGTCCTTCTGCTGCAGATACTTGATGACAATGTCCCGGGTCACGCGGGCCACATCTTCGGTGTTGGTGGGATATCGCTGGGCCCAGTCATCCATCTTCACGCCGGCATTCTCATCCTGCGCCTTCTCGACCGCGTCCAGCAGGATATTGACCGCGCTCTCGGAGTTTTGCTTGGCAGCCCCGTACAGCACCGGCACGCGCAGCACCACGCCGAGTCCCGAGTCCTTGGTGGCCTCCAGGACGGCCAATTCACCATCGCGCTTCAATTCACCATAGATGTTTGGTGGGTTGGTCTCGGCATCAGCCTCATAGGGAGCTTCACCCTCCTTGCCGGAAAAAACGTAGTCGGTCGAGATGTAGATGAGGAATGCCCCGCGGGCCTGACATTCTTCGGCAAGGGCGCGAGTCGCGTCAACGTTGACCTTGCGTGCTTGCTCGGGATCTTTCTCGCACAGGTCCGGGAATCGGTTTGCCGCGCCTGGTTCCAGCCCGCGTTAACTTGGGCACAATGATTGGATTACTTCGGAGGATTCCAGTAGCTTACTGTGGATGACAATCTGGGGCCTGGAGCAAGCAAGGAGCGATGAGTTAATTGCGTTCACTAAGTACCAATTCTTTTTCCCAGAACTCACTTGACATCGTCCAGGAGAGCTTTAATGTCTTCTGCCTTTTCCAGATTCGCCTTGAGGATGGTCGGCGGGGCAGCACGCGTGAGACCCTGTCCGACCACTAGGACCCCCGAGCGCTGGAAAATGTTAAACAGCTGGCGCCCCAGAAAGCCGCTGGCGCCGGTAACGAGAACCGTGGAAGTCATTTCAAAGATTTGCGTGAGAAGAAAGAGCTCGCCGGGTGAGAAATCGAAGCTGCCCGCCAGGACCGCTGGCGGGGCACTAACATGACGTAACTGACTCTCGCGTGGTCGGGTTTCGCGGTCCAACAACTGGGTTTTTGTTTATTTGGATCAAAATCTGTAGTAGAAGGGCCGGGCTGGATTGAATAATACGCTGGTGGGCTACAGTCTGCATGCTCACTGTCGTCTTGAGACACTAAGTAGGTGGGTGGTCAAACATGATCGATATTGTTTTTGACGAGACTTCGCACCGCAGATGAGCTCTTACTTGAAGGTATTGGTATAAGCTCACAGGGTTCCAATCGCAATTTTAGGGTTGATACTCGGATGGTATAACCTGGAAAATGAAATCAAAATGTAAAAAGCACTCTTCAACCAATTAGTATCGCACAGCATCCAGCTCTACACAGCCTTTCCAGGTCGACTTGATGGAAGCACCGACGGTGTAGGGTGAGGTGACTGGCTCCGAGAAATCCTTTCAGTCGGGTTGGTTTCATGCTAGTAACTTTGAATTAGGCACTCAAGAAGAATGGCTGTAATGGTTTACCCCAGGAGGCATTTCAATTTACGGTATATTTTTGCAAGCCCTGGGAGGGTTTTGCGTGCAAGGATTTTCAGACAGCTGAGGAGTGGCTTAGATTAATCAATGCGGACGAAAAGTTGGGCCGCGAACGACGACCGTGCCAGACCGTATTCTTGTAGTCTTTTCAGGGTATTAAGACTGCTTGCCGGGATGCAATTCCTGCTTCGTTCGGTCCGGGATTGGATCCAGATCGCAAGTGTTGGGGAAATTGGCCGCCAAAGGCCAGCGCCGAGAATCGCCGATGGCGTGCAAAGCGGATACAAAATCCGAGTGCATGTAATGGTGCGACGGGCCCGTCGGCAGGAGATCGGAGGCGGGATCTCCACTCTTCAATTGACCCATCCACCCCAAAATTTATCTTCTTGATCCTCCCTCGCCTTGTTTTCTCTTCCACACCCTCCACACCATGTCTGGTGCTCGGAACCTTTCAAATGCCCTGCGTCGGGCACGCGTGCCTCGCCCGCGTATCATCCTCCGACCCACCCTCCTCCAATCACCAGCTGCGACTGCTGTCCGCACCTTCAGCGGAAGCTCCACCGTTCGAGCCGACAAGCAGATCAAGTACACTAGCGACGCATACCCCAATGTGAAGCGTGATCCTAACTTCGGCGAGCTCACCGCCGACGATGTGGCCTTCTTCAAGGAGCTTCTGGGCTCCCAGTCCGCCGTTGTCGATGGTGTGACCACCGATGCGACAGACGACCTTGAGCCCTTCAACAGCGACTGGATGCGCAAGTACCGCGGCCACACCCGCCTAGTCTTGAAGCCCCAGAGTACGGAGGAGGTCAGCAAGGTGCTGGCCTACTGCAACGAGCGGAAGTTGGCTGTGGTGCCGCAGGGTGGAAACACTGGTCTGGTCGGTGGCTCGGTCCCGGTCTTCGACGAGATCGTGATCAACACCTCGCGGATGAACCAGATTCGCTCGTTTGACGAGGCTTCTGGTGTGCTCGTTGCGGATGCCGGTGTGATCCTGGAGGTTGCCGACCAATACCTTGCGGAGCGAAATCATCTCTTCCCTCTGGACCTGGGTGCCAAGGGATCTTGCCATATTGGAGGCAACGTTGCGACCAACGCTGGTGGCCTGCGGCTGCTACGCTACGGCTCTCTTCATGGAAATGTGCTCGGTCTTGAGGCGGTGCTTCCAGATGGTACTATCGTTGACGCGCTCTCTACTCTGCGCAAGAACAATACGGGTTACGACCTCAAGCAGCTTTTCATTGGTGCTGAGGGAACTATTGGTCTCATCACTAAGGTTGCCATTATCTGTCCCCCGCGGGCCAAGGCTGTGAACGTTGCCTACTTTGGACTGGAGAGCTTCGAGCAGGTGCAGCGTGCTTACCGGGAGGCCAAGGGCCAGCTGTCGGAGATTCTCTCTGCATTTGAGCTGATGGATGGCCGCAGCCAGCGCTTGGTTCACGAATCCACTGGTAGCAAGCAGCCTCTGGAAGGCGAGTACCCTTTCTACTGTCTGATTGAGACCAGCGGCTCCAATGCCGAGCACGACATGGAGAAACTCGAGTCGTTCCTCGAGAACGTCATGGGCGAGGGCATTGTCGCCGACGGCGTCTTGGCCCAAGATGAGACACAATTCCAGGCCCTGTGGCGATGGCGTGAGGGTATCACCGAGGCTCTGAGCCACCTGGGTGGCACCTACAAGTACGACGTGTCGATCCCGCTGCCTGAGCTGTACCAACTTGTGGAGGACTGCAAGCAGCGGCTGACTGAGAAGGGCTTAGTCGGCGATGACGACTCCTTCCCTGTCCGTGCTGTTGTTGGCTACGGCCACATGGGTGACTCGAACCTGCACCTGAATGTGTCCGTGCGCCAGTACAACAAGGAGGTCGAGAAGGCTATTGAGCCTTGGGTGTACGAATGGATCCAGAAGCGCCAGGGCAGTATCAGTGCCGAGCACGGCTTGGGCATTGCCAAGCGGGAATTCATTGGCTATAGCCAGAACGACACGATGGTCAAGCTGATGAAGCAGTTGAAGGCGCTCTATGATCCGGTGAGTACTTTCCATACCCCCATATCTCCTTCCGCTGTGATCACAATGGTACTGATAAATCACTCTCCAGAACGGCATTATGAACCCGTACAAGTATATCTAGGGGTGTCCCAATAGAGCATCGTCGATTGTAGTGGTGTATAAAAATAGATTTCCCTCCAGCTAATAATCCACCCTTTATCGGATAGTTATTCACTGATTTTGACTCCTCCTTTGCAAGAAATGTGGTGCATGTGATACAATCCCCTCCCGTGACTGGGAACCCTTGCGCATACGCCTTTCCTAATGGGGCTAGCTTCATCCACATTTAATGCCTCAGGCACTAGCGGTTGCCATGCGAGACGGGGCTGTTGTTTGGGCGATTATCGTTATATGCTCCACCCCTTTAGCTGCCCGACTCTTCATGTCCCTGGACACTTGCTTGCTGCTGCGAAGCTCAGAGCTCTTTCCCACAGCTCACAGCTGACCCCAAAGCTCACCAGTCTCTCCTCCTCTGGATGAGCACCGTCAAGTCCGTTGCAGCCCTGTCCGACCGGAGTCGCTAGCTGGGTCCGATCGTTGCGCAACCATGGCGGACGATATGGCGAGCCGTTACCAGGTGATGGAGGAGTTGGGAAGTGAGTCGGACATCTGACCCCAAGCCCCCTGCACATCATGTGCTGACCGCATTTCTTTTCTTTGTTTACAGGTGGTAGTTTTGGCGTCGTCTACAAAGCGATTGACACCCACACTGGCGAGATTGTCGCCGTCAAGCATGTACGGTCCCAATTAACCCGAAACTGCCGGCCGAATCCCCATTGACCTTATCCATCATCGCAGATCGATCTTGAGTCTAGTGAAGATGATATTCAGGAGATTCAGCAGGAGATTTCCGTCCTAGCCACCTGCGCCAGTGCGTTTGTTACACAGTACAAAGCCAGTTTCCTGAAAGGGCACAAGCTTTGGATTGTCATGGAATACCTAGGAGGCGGATCTTGCCTAGACCTGGTTCGTCAGATCCCCGTGCTTCGATTTTGGTTGGGGTCCCAATGGCTAATCAGGTAACAGTTAAAACCAGGGGTATTCAACGAGGCACATGTCGCGATCGTTTGTCAACAACTACTACAAGGTCTGGAATACCTACACGCCGAAGGAAAGATTCATCGTGACGTCAAGGCTGCCAATGTCTTGCTCTCGAATACAGGAAAAGTGAAGCTGGCAGATTTCGGCGTGGCTGCGCAGTTGGTCAACATCAAGTCTCAGCGCAACACCTTTGTAGGGACTCCGTTCTGGATGGCACCAGAAGTGATCCAGCAGGCTGGCTACGATTTTAAGGCAGACATCTGGTCTCTGGGTATCACTGCGATCGAAATGATCAACGGCGAACCGCCTCACGCTAGCACCCACCCGATGAAGGTCCTGTTCCTTATCCCGAAGCAGCCTGCACCCCGCCTCGAGGGCAGTGATTACAGTAACACTTTCAAGGACTTCATTGCGCAGTGCTTGACCAAGGACCCAGATCGCCGACCCAGCGCGAAGGAGTTGCTGCGACACAAGTTTATTCGAAATGCGGGGAAGACTGAGGCCTTGCAGGAATTGATTCAGCGCAAGCAAGACTGGGACGGTGGTCGGGGAATCACTAAGGACGTGAAATACTATGCTGAGTCTCTGTAAGGCACCCCCAATAAGGCTCATCTAAAGCAGTGACTGACGGGTTTATCTGCAGCAATACTCTCACCAAGCCACCCCCTGCCGAGGACGATGAGGACTGGGTCTTCGACACCGTGAAGGCGCCGACGATGTGGGTGCCGAAGGGCAAGGACTGGTCTACACTTGATGAAGAGGACGATGATTGCGACCCAGCCGAATTGCTACAGGACATGCACATTTCCCAACAACCGCCACCGCCCCCGAAGCACCAGCTCAATTCCACTATCCAAGCCAATTCGACTGTCCGACGTACTCCGACCGTTGAGCGATCCGCTGAGCGATCTCCTTCGATTCGGCGCGCAAATACGAAGCGCCGATCTAGTGGCGTCAAGCAGCCTCTGGGTCTAGATTTGAGCTTTGGCAACAGTCCGTCTACTGTTCGCCAATTCCGCCGTGTATCGGATAAGGTCCCGAACGAATCTACCCCTCCCAAGGTCCCACCGGGCTTTGATGAGAACACGAGCCCCAAGGCCTTGTCTTCTGAACCAACGAGCAAAGAGGCCCAACTAGGACGGCGTGCCTACAGCCGGGCTATCGGCATGTCCTGCCAAGAAGTTCTTGCTACCACTGGAGACGGCGAGAAACGCGAGGCCATTTCTCGGCTGGCCGAGGCTTGGAGCGACCTAGAGATGGTCGATCCCGAGGGCCTCTACCACATTATCAGAAGCATGAATGAGAGACTTCAAGCCGACCCACGCCTCTCCACCTTGATCCCCGCAACGCCCCCTCAACCGGACTCTCCGTCTCGTCCTCGCCTGGTGCTAGCCCAAAACAACCCGCACCTCAAGAGCCACCGTCGCCGACAGTCGACGCATGGAGTCGACGTTGTACCTCAATCTCCGCCTCGCTCCAGCATGCCTGGCCAAAACGTACCTGGCATGGAACACACCAAACAACTGTCCGATGTACTCTACCAGCGCTGGGCGGAGGGACTCCGCAACCGTTGGGGAATCTAAACTCCAGATTTCTCACCAAAAAGCAATTGTCCTCTGCTACGCATTCAACTCCCTTGCTGCCATGAACCTTGTTTACGTTCATTGTATAGACTATTTTGGCGTTTTGACTTGTCTGTATAACCCTTGCATTCGTTTTTGCCCTTCCGAGCTTGCCGCTGGCTTTGCATCCTTGGTGTCCGTTCATTATTCCCCTTTTGATGCCCGCTTGTTGATTCCTTAGCGGAAATGGCCCGGAGTTCTTGACTGGTCATGATCTGGTGTAATATTCCTTAATACTTTTTTCTGTTGTCCTTGCCCGTCCCTTTCTTTCTCTTGCCCTTCCGACAGAATTATGGGCCGGGTCTGGTGTCTTACCAGGGCCGTTGTGTTTATTCTTCTCTTCTGCATAGATAGTCTTTCTTTTCTGCCGCTGTCATTTACGTGTGCTATTGTCGCTATTCCCCTGTGACCCCCTACTTCCGTTATGTCGTGCTGAAGAGCAAGGGGGAGTTCAAATGTGCAATATGTGTCAGAGATCTCGATAATAGCCTGTCGCAATGGAAATATATGCTATGGTTGGATATGCTGCCATCCCATTAGAACAAATAGCCCACCAGTGTTTTTTGAGATACTTGCTTCGCACTGCACCTCTGCTGTTGGTGGTCTTCGGCCTGCAAGTGCGGTGTCTGGCAGGTGATCGATTTAGAACTTTACCAGGCGACATCCATCTCGGCAAGGACAGATTTTGTTTCATTCTGGAATTCAAAAGTGTTTTCTCAACCTGACAAACTAGCTCTCCACACTTGTTTACATTTCACCCCTTGAGCTGGAAAAAGCATATTTCACAATCAGCGTGGAAGAGTTGCGCAAAGTTATCGACTTCCCAATACCAATCAAAGAACCAAAATGACAGACTTAGTACCTTTGCCCCATAGACTTGGAATCCAATATCTAATAGGGACACCCTAAAGAAACACGATCCCTTCTTAGTTACTTCGCATGATGGCAAATCACTCGACCCGCCCACACCGTCTCAACTATAGAGGCAACCCCCACATTTAAGTTTAATTCACCAGGTTGGCTGCAAGCCACATCAAACATTTTTCTTCGAGGTCATGGAACTAATCAAACAAGGGATCCGCAAAGAGGAGCCCGCTTCGAGGACCATAAATTTATTATTGTGATTACTCTCGCTGAGTTAGCGGTGAAATGTGGATCCCGTACGGAGCACTTGGCAACGAATCGAGGGCTTAGTACGGAGTATGGTTATTATTCTTCGTATTGTGGTGATTAGTCGCCGCGTTGGCGCGACCCACGCGGCTGGCGGAGGATAATGACCCCACGAGGCGAAGACCTTCGTGCTTGGATCCTAATATGCCAACGGAGTTGGGCTTGCAGTCAAGGTCGTTTTCGGCAAACATATCTCCATATCTTTGCAGTACGATGAGACACCGATTATTGGGCTAACCGCGGGCGTGCACTACAACTGCAAGAAGCTACAGTATATATCTTGACCGATTGCCCTCAAAGTACTCCGTACCTAGAGAGGTGGATGACTATTGGAATATCCAGGTAACGACTGATTTACATACCCTGCGGAAATAGATAATGACCGAGGACTCCGTACTCCATACAGAGTATAGCCAGTGCGCTCGAGGAGGATATCCTCAGCAGCAGCAAATGAACATGGAGCTCGGGGAAATAATCACCATCTCCATAATAATAATCATCATCGCGACAGGGAGGAGTGGAACGAAAGCCTCGGGCCCCTGAAACGCTTGGGGCAAGGATGCGCGGTCGCGGAGACCCGCCGGGTGGACTCGATTCTCTCAGGAGAAGAGCACGGGGATTTGTCCAGGCCTCGACGCCTGTCACTCTTCTTCTTTTTCTTCTCCTCTCTCCCTTTTCCCCCTTCTCCTCCCATCACCCGTCCTGTACATAGTCATTCGCTTCATGTTAATTCTTGCCTTTGTCCGGTGATTCTCCTCTCCCTGTTGGCTGGCCCACCATGGAGCTCTCCCCGGGAACGGGCGACGACCTCATCCACGGTCCTCCGCCGCAAACGTCCCAAACTTCGACGCCGATGACCACCGCGACCACTCCGGCCTCGCCGGTCGTCGACTCCCCAATCCAGCCGGACGTTGCCTCCGAGGAGCCTTCACAATCGCTCTCTCGATCCTCTTCACTCTTGCGGCAGCACCCCTCATCCTTACCTCGTGCCCACTCCGGAGCTCGCCATACCAAGCGCTTAACCTTGAATTTCCCCATCAACATCCCGCTGGACCAGCCTCCAACTGCCGTCTCCGAAACCAGTGTCTCTTCACCAGGATCCATGACCCCTGTGACGCAGTCGTCGACTCGCCCATCCTCTGCACTTCCCGCCGGGGCTTTCATGCCGCTCGATGCGGATGACGATGGCTACGATTTCCTTCGCGCCATCGCTTCACAAGAACGGAGGGTGATGGAGCTTCGAGAGGAGCTGCACCGGGCCGAGGTAGACCTGATGACGCTGAAGAAACAGTGGGCACAGTCGGAAAAGTCGAAGAAACGGACCGAGATTAGCCATCATGCCGAACCACTACTACCGCTACGGTCTCCCGATTTCAACGGGCTGGAAGGGACAGCTTCACATCGTCGGGAACAGAGTCTGAGCTCGGTCGGAGGCTCATCGGTATCACAAGAGCGCGTTAGTCGGGAGTTGGACCGGCGAAGCAGTATTCGTGTGGCTTCCGCAAAGGGAACGACTATTTCGGCCAACGGTCGGCGAATCTTCCAGGGGACGCACACGCGGACGTTGTCGCTGCTATCCCCCGTCACCGCATCCAGCCCGACGACCGGGGATGCCAGTCTCTCTGAGGCTGATCGCGTGGGCCGCACCCCGCGGTCAGCTACACTGCCATCTGTCGAGCGCAACAATGTGTCCAGCATTGGGGCACCCACCGATGAGAGCCAGGTACCGGAGCATGTGCTGGCGCAGTGGCGGAAGAATATGCCTCCCCCATCAAGAGAGGCTCTGGTGCGTACCGGGAAGCAGATGGCTTCCGATCTACGCGAAGGCTTATGGACATTCTTCGAAGACATCCGACAAGCCACCGTCGGCGAAGAAGGTATCAACGCAACAGAATCACGCACCATGTCCCCATCGCACGGCTCATTGGCCCCGCCCAATACGCGCAAGCGGGACTCTCTAGCCAAATCACGCAGTCGGGATCAGCTATTTGCTACAGGGACCGCATCGCGATCGTCATCGTCGTCATCGCGGGGTCGGGGAACAGCAGGCGAGACATCATCTGGTAAAGACACCAAACCGGCGGATATTTCTACGTCTTTCTGGCATGAATTCGGGGTTGATTCACCAGCACAGACGTCTCCCCGGCCCGGCCCTCGCCGCAGCCTCGTCGACAACACCATCGCCGCCACGACCCCACGGGGCGAGAACGAACCCGAGCATCCCGATCACCCCTCCAGCAGTCTAGTGGAAGTGGAGGATGATACAGCCGACAACTGGGACATGTGGGACACGCCGTTGCCCGCATCTAAGATGATGCATACGCCCTCATCCAGTCGGTCCACGGTCGAGTCCTTGAAGCATAATCATTCGCCCGCCACGCAAGGCAGCAGCCCCCGAACCAGTGCTAGGTACAATTCGACTTTCTCTGATTTCATCTATGACAACCTCGTTATGCGCTGACGCCTGTTCCTCCTAGTTTTGGCGAGTGGAACCCCAGTTCCGCCGCGCCTGACCCCAGTGTGACCGAGGGTATCCCCTGGCCGACCATCACAAAGTTGGCCCCCTCCAAGCTGCAACGTACTGCCTCGAATCTCATGGCTGAGTGGGAGCGTAGTCTTTCGCCGTCCCCAGAACGGAAAGATTCTTCCTCTGGATCGAGTCGCGGCAAAAACAGCAAAGCGGACTAACGCACATCTATTTTTTCCTTGCTCTACCTTCTATGTATATATTTATCCCATTTCCTTCTTCGGCTCCATTCTCGGGGTCTCTGTTGGACGAATTGGCACGAACACCCCCCATCCACGGAATCATGCTGGGCTACGACTTATTTAACACGAGAGCGTTGTTACTCTCCTCTTGCTTATATTTGAGGGCGTCTGGTTAGATTACTTTGCTCTTTCGATCCGGTCATTTGTCAATGCGGGTCTACTTAGCAATCTCATAACCCTTACAGGGATTCAGACATCTCTATAAGAATCCAAAATCCAGATTATCATACCGATACATCCCCATCGCCATGTATATCCAGGAAAGGCGCAATGATTGGCCGGCCTCCAGTCACGTGCGAATTTGCATGTTGGGCCTGTTTGGGCCACCGGGAAAATAAATTTGCGCGGGTCGCCATCTCCGCAAGGTCTCCGCGCCTCTCGGACCAGACTTTGTTCAAGTTGCATCGACGCAGGGGAAATCATACCCACCTCTTCTCCCCCCCCCCCCCCCCCGGCCGCCCGCACATATCTTAGTGGCTATCTGTCCATCGGATAGAAAATCCATACAGCGACCACTCCTTCACCGTTCCGCAACTTCGAGCTTATTCACATAATCATTCACCATGAGCATCCCAGGCATGACACCGGGGATGGGAGGGAACACCCAGACGGCCGGCATGAGCGAGCAAGAACAGGCGATGGTCAAGATGGTAGGTGCCATTTCGAGTCGATGGGATCACAATGTGCGTTAACGAATTTCCGCCGATAGATGCAAGCTGGTATGGAATCATGCCCCGTGAAGACTGTCATCTCCGGTACGATGGGGTTCGCCCTCGGTGGTGCATTCGGTCTATTCATGGCCAGTGTAAGTTAAAGTCACTCTCCTTACGCATACACAACATTGCCTGACAGCTCGCCTATCGTCCAGATGTCCTACGACTCTCCTCTCACACCACAAGGCCGCGAAATCTCTCACCTCCCCTGGCGCGACCAAGTCCGCCGTGGCTTCAAAGACATGGGCGCGCGCTCCTGGTCGTCCGCGAGGAACTTCGGCATTGTCGGCGCACTCTACTCCGGAACCGAATGCTGCATCGAGGGTCTCCGCGCGAAGAACGACCTGACCAACAGTGTCGCGGCGGGTTGTCTGACCGGCGGCATCCTAGGCGCTAAGGCTGGTCCGCAGGCGGCTGCTTTTGGCTGCGCTGGCTTTGCTGCGTTTAGTGCTGCTATCGATGCTTACATGAGGATGCCGTCTGAGGAGTAGATGTGTATGATACCTTCTTGGCTCCGTTCCGTTTCTTCGACTTGTATATTTATCATGGCGTTTGGCGATGATTGGGATAGATCAGAGAGCATAGAGGGCGTTCGGTTCTTCGTTTGCTTTTGCTAGCTTTTTCTTTTGTGGAACACTGTCTCGATAGAGCGGCAGTTGTTTAGGGTCAGGGGTTGTGGGTGTCTTGTGCTTCGAGAGCACGCACTCAACGGGTTGACAATGGCATTGTCTCGGTCCAGAGGTCAATTTTGCTGCATAATCCGGGAGCATCTCCACTCCTTTCTTGGATCTATATTACTTGTTTGTATTATATCGTGCGGAGTGTACAAAATATGCCTAGATTGATAGAACTCCAAACACAGGCGACCCATCTATCCTCTCCCTACCACCTGATTTGTGCTAAGTTGGCATTTCTTGGAGGTCCTGAGAAGTCGAGCCAAGTCCAAGCTGTAGGGTGACATGTATGAAAGACCGATTCCATGACCCTGCACAGGTGTAATGAAAGGTGCTATCTGTTAAGTCAGCTCCAATGCTATAAGGAAGAGCTCTGCATAATGTACTACTGCCATATTGGCAACCGAAGGCTAGATTAATCGCGGTTGCCAACCGACTTTCGTAGCGTCATTTGCATACTCGTGCCACCGTAGCTCCGTGTCTCCGGATCTAGGTATCTAGGTATCCAGACGATGAACTAAATGGGTACCGAAAGACATGAGTAACCTCGTCGCTCTAAATGTCTCGTACCTCAGGAATTGATGTCGAGGTATTAAAATCTCAGCTCTACGGCTCCACGCCGCTTCTGCCGTCGGGCCGATCTCCTTGCGCATGATGGTGAACGCTTGTCGCCTTGATGTGTCTAGATATGGTGCTCTTTGAATATATCCCTCGGGGCTGGGATTATTATCTCTCATGAATTTGGACAGTCTGCCGTCTTCTATTTGTCCTGTACAGTAATGTAATGGATAGATATCTATTCTGCCTATATGAACTAAATACCATGGGTTCATATTTAAGCGAACTTGGAAGGTCCGCCCAAGTAGCCCGAGAGAAGACCTCGCTTCAACATCCACCTGCAGTGACTGTGAGTGTTCGGTATTGTATGCATCTCCATCCACATTCTACACGCTCCAGCTATGTCTTACCCATGCATAGCAATACAAAGAAGGAAAATAATGCATTACTCTGCTCAGCTGTCTCTCTACTTCCATGTGGGCGGGCTCGATCACCGTGATGAGTCAGCTCTCACATGACCCCACCTTATCGCACCTCCCCGTTTGGGCTGTTTGTTTACCGCCCGCCACTCCTCCTCGCTCTCATCTGTGGATGCGCGACTGCCATGCCTTTTGCCCTTCACTAATTGCGCCTCGATAACCCACGCCCACCATGCCTGGCCGAGTCGCCGCCCGTTCGACATCTGCGGCAACGCGCAGGTCATCCGCACAACCCTCCACTGGACGTGCGCCATCGGTGACTCCGTCCTTCGCGATTCCCGAAGAACCCGCACTACCGTCAACATCGCCCAACCTCCGCCGTGATGTGTGCGCCATATTTGCAGATGCCCAACGATCAACTACCGGTCATCGCAAGCTAGTGGTGCGCTTGCGCAAATTACAAGAAATTTGCTGTGGTATTCCCCAGAGGAACAAGAAGGGAAAGGATCAAGAGCCGGAGGAGGTCGTGATACCCGAAGAACAAACAGTCGCTGAAAAGGAGTTCAACATCGAGGTTGGCCGCTGCATGCTGCGTATCCTTCCGATTAAGAAGTCAGAGCCTGTCGGGGACCGTATTCTGCGCTTCCTGGATACCTTTCTTGCACATGCTTCCGAGAAAGATGCTGAGCTTTTTGCATCCAAGGATGAGGAAGATGATGGAATGCATTCTGCCCCCGAAACTCCGACTTCTCGTCTCACCTCGAGCCTCGTAGACTTGATGGTTCCCATCCTCGCCTCGAAGGATAAAATGGTGCGATTCCGCGCAACCCAGATTATTGCACACATCGTCAATACCCTCGAGTCAATCGATGACGAGCTGTATCACACCATTCGACAGGGCTTGTTGAAACGAATTCGCGACAAAGAGTCTTCTGTGCGAGTGCAGGCGGTCATCGGGCTAGCCCGGCTGACAGGTAACGAGGACGACGAAGATGGCAATGATGACAACTCCACCGCACTCCTCGAGAAATTGATCGAGATCATGCAGAACGACACGAGCGCCGATGTTCGCAAGAGCCTTCTCTCCAATCTCCCGCTCGCCCAGGTTACTCTTCCCTACCTCCTCGAACGAGCTCGTGATCTCGACGCACCCACCCGACGGACATTATACTCACGTCTTTTGCCCACACTTGGCGACTTCCGCCATCTGTCCCTCGGGATGAGAGAAAAGCTGCTGCGCTGGGGCTTGCGTGACCGTGATGAAAGCGTTCGCAAGGCAACCGGAAAGCTGTTTTACGATCGCTGGGTAGAAGACTGTGCCGGTAGCAATCAAGGCGAAAATCCCGTCCAACGATCTGCTCCCAATATGAACGCTCTTTTAGAGTTGCTGGAAAGAATTGATGTCGTCAATTCCGGGGTTGAAAGCGGTATTGCCCATGAAGCGATGCGTAGCTTCTGGGAGGGTCGTCCCGACTATCGGGACGCTGTTGTTTTCGATGAGCCGTTTTGGGAGTCTCTAACCGGAGAGTCGGCATTTCTTCTGCGTTCGTTTAACGCGTTCTGCCGTGTTGAAAACGAGGGAAAGTACGATGACCTTGCGGATGAGAAGATGCCCACCGTCACCGCCCTGGCCTATTTCCTCTCCAAGTATACCACCAAGCTGTTGGAGCGCAAGAAGTTTTCCAAGGAGACTGGAGACGCCAACGATGAAGATGCAACTGAGAATGAGTTTATTGTCGAGCAACTGTTGCATATCGCAATCACTTTGGACTACAGTGATGAAGTGGGTCGACGGAAGATGTTCTCTCTCTTGCGCGAGTCACTTGCCGTGCCAGAATTACCGGAAGAGTCGACAAAGCTTGCTATCGAGGCTCTAAGATGTGTTTGCGGTCCAGACGCTGCTGCCGAGAGCGAGTTCTGCAGCGTGATTCTTGAAGCTATTGCCGAGGTGCATGACACCATCGGCACCGAGGAGAGCTTTGTATCCGCTAAATCTGAGATCAGCGATGATACCAGTAGCCGTGCTCGATCTGAAACACCGGCAACTGATGACGAAGTACCATTCAACAAGGAAGAGGCCAAGGCAAAGATCCTCCGTGAGATTGTGGTCAATATGAAATGTCTTCACATTGCGCAATGCATGCTCCAAAACGTGGAAGGCAACTTACAGCAAAACATGAACCTCCGTACCATGTTGAATAGCCTTGTTGTACCCGCAGTGCGAAGTCATGAGGCTCCTATTCGGGAACGTGGTCTCTACTGTCTGGGCCTTTGCTGCCTCCTTGACAAGGTATGGTTATCTCGGATATTCGATACGTGTTTTGCCTGCTAATCTTTTATGTCTTCAGAATGTCGCCGAGGACAACATGACTCTTTTCATCCATTGCTACAGTAAGGGCCACGAGGGACTCCAAGTGACTGCAATCCAGATTATCTGTGACATGATCACAACCCATCCCTCGTTGCTGGCCCCAGTTGTGGATTCAGATGGCGAGACGTTGGCAACCCCCGCCATCCAGAAGCCCATCCTGAAAGTGTTCTCGCGGGCTCTGAAAGCAACCTCTCCCGCTAGCGTGCAATCGGGGGCCGCTACCGCCCTTTCAAAGCTTCTGCTCACTAACACCTTCACACCATCTGGACCAAACGTCCCCCCTGCAATCCAAGAATATAACCAGAATGCCGTTGAAACGCTGCTTCAAAACCTGGTTGTGTCTTTCTTTCACCCACGGACTCGGGAGAACCCAGCTCTCCGTCAATCCCTGGCATATTTCTTCCCAGTCTACTGCCATTCGCGACTGGAGAACACTCAGCATATGCGGCGTGTTGCTGTGCCAGTCGTTCGAGCTGTCATCAACGCGGCCGAGGAATATTACTCGCTAGAAGCTGAAGAGGATAGCGATGGTGAGATCGACGAGAGTCTCGGCGAGCGTGAAGTGAAGGCCCTCATGACTGGTGTTATCGGCATGCTTGCCGAATGGACTGACGAGCGCCGCGTTGTTGGACTGGGTGGCGAACGTGTCCTGGCTGGTGGTGCAGCTAGCTCAAGTGCATGTGGCTGGGTACACCTGGCGCTAGTCAAAGACATCCTTGAGCGAGTTCTGGGTGTCAGTGCCGGTACCAATCGTTGTTCGCGGGAAGAACGCAAGCTGCTCTTTACACTCCTCAGCAAACTCTACATTGCCGCTCCCACGCTTCCATCGCGTGGGGGCTCTCGTGCTCCCGAAGGCGAAGACCAATTCCGCACCAGCATTCGCAGCGCGACTAGTATCGAAATCGATGCGGAAAATGTCGAATTGGCCCAAGAAGTTAAGGAATTGTTGGATCAAACCATCGATGAGGGTTTGGCTGCGGGAGCCTCTAGCCGCAATGCTCTCGTTAAGACCAAGAACTCCACTCTCAAGATCCTTGCTGTTGCTCAGGATGCTCGCGCCGCCAGTGTCCGCCCTCGTGCAGCTACAGAGGATCTCGAGAGTGATGCAGGAAGTGTTCGTTCAGCCAGCGTCCGGCGCTCTGTCGAACCCATGGGCGCCAGTCGCCGCCATGTATCTGTGGAACCTAGTATCATGGAGGAAGATGAAGGTGATAGCGGCATCCGATCTGGCAGTGTGCGCCCGACTGTTGAGGGCGCTGGAGCCAGTCGAAATTTCGTCTCTGTCGAGCCTAGTATCATGGAGGAAGATGAAGAGGACGACCATGATACTAGCAGGGGAACCATCATCAAGGAAGAGGTCGCTGATGAATGATGAGGTTAAATTTCATGCTCTGGGGTTTGGGATTGGCGTTGGTCGTGCTTGGGCTTTTGAATATTGACGATATCGATCTCCATATCGACGGTGGGAATAGGCCCGGGGCGTGTATAGGATTCGATGTTGCCTTAAAAGGAATGAGTACCATACTTTCAACTTTCCTCCAAATGGATTCTCAAGATACCACGAACAAGTATCGTATATGCGATCTAGTGTGTAGATGAATGCAGACTGAGTGAGGCTGGTACATATAGTGAAAATCCCTTTGCTGCCACTAGCGGTGGCTGTGGTTCTTTAAGCCCGCCTCCGAAAGGAGAACTCTGGGGGAGATTCAGGTCAGTAAGAAGCGGCGAGACTTCCTCAATTGTATGCGTGCGTCTGCGAGAAATCCCGAAGCGAGTCTTGTTTCAAGCATGTAGTTATCCCATAGGTCAGTTTTAAATGAGGAGGTTCAACGACTAAAGGTGAGTATTGCCGTTACAGAATTGTGCATCATTGACGTAGGCAACATCTGTTTGACGATGATCACTCCCTCGTTGGCCGCCGTTGCCGTCGGGATGGTGAAAGCAGAGGTTGTGGTTGCGCTGCTGACATAGTAAGCCGCTGTTGTTGGAAGTGTGCTGGACGAAGAGGCTGTGGAGCAGCGGTGGCATTTGCAGAGGAGAGGAAGCTCAGAATGCTTCCTACCACACGTGCTAGACCTCGGGAGATCGAATGACTACAGCCATAACCATAACAAGTATTTAAAAAAGGCGTGCCTGTTTCCTCGTGCGTCTGTTTTGATGTCGAGAAAAGAATCTTGATTTTCTTCCACTTTTGGCGTTGTTTTATTTTCTATTCTTTCTCTTAAGATGCACGTTGCGTCGGACTCGAATCGGTTTGTGGCCCATGGCATTCACGCGTCCTCCGTACCAGTCTTCGAAGCGGAATAGCTTCAAGCAGACTTCAATTGGCCCCACGCTGCGATTACGTCTCCTTGCAGGTTCTATAAAAGAAGGTATATGGATTCAGCTGCACGGACAAAATATCAACAGGTTGTTATGCCGCAATTCTGGATGTCCGCAGGCCCTCCAAGGTCAAAAAGCGCGAAGGTCAAGCCACTGCACTAGGTTCCACTGAGTGAAGAAACGAATGTTACGGGTAAAAAGGGGGCAAGCGAACCATTTTCCTTCCGAAAGTCCATCATATATGCAAATATGCAGAACTCTCTGTTTCTCAATAACACCCGCGGCATCCGTGACGGTTTGTGGTCAGTCAGTCTCTTAGAATGTAGGAAAGGGAATCCAGGAAAGGCAAGAACGGTTTTGAGAGTTCACTGGCGACTCTCCATGGTGAATGGTTCCATGTTGACTGTGGACAAAAATAGTATTTATCTAGCGACTCGCATATGTCCGGCATGGACTGCGCCTCCCCGAACTTTTTCCGGTGCGGTGAGATTAGATTCGTACGTCTCATGTGAGTTAAAGCTTCACTTTTGCATTCCTTGGACTGTCATCCCAAATATGCGCCCATCCCCAGTTCGGCTCCACGGCCCCACGGCTAACAATACCAAACTCAGCTTAACAAGACGGCAATTTCTCAGATTTCAGTAATAGTTTATTTTCCCGCCTTGATGCCTCCGCGGTATGTGGGGTACGCTCGGATCGTGTTGGAGAAGCACCATCATATCATACTCGTAGAAGTGAATGAAGACGCTTCCCCACATATAACATAGCCCTAATGGGACACTGGCTGGCATTCTGGACACAAATTTGAATTAGGTGGTCGAGGCCGACACAGTGGTGTAGACGATCGCTACGGCCACTTTGTCTAGTTTTCACGACCAGGCGTATCATGTGTACAATGCGCTACTGTAGTTAGCTCCGTCCGGAAGAAACGAATTCGGAAGGAACAGGTGAACAAGGCACACCCCGAGGCATCAACAATTAGTCATCGTGTGCCACGTGACCCGGATGGACATCTCCGTTCACCAGTCGATCGACTTGTGAGAACTGAATCGGCTGGAGGGACAGGGACTGTTCTGATGCCGTCTGTTATGGTCCAGTGTCCAGATGCGACTCATCTCGTCCTTCCGGGGTTCGATCGGCGGGCCGCATGTCTGTCCATTATCCATTATTAATCCTCCTCGACGCAGTCTGGGCCCATCCCTGCTGGGACTCTGACAGGATCCACCCTGGTATGCTGGCCAACAGGTTTTCCCAGGGCGACCGGAGCTGCCTCTGGCCCCCTCAGCGAGCGAGAGTTGCGGTGCAGGTATCGAGGCCTTTCTGGATTAATCCCGACCCTTAGGCACAAGCGAAGTTAGTGAGACCCCCTCAGCAGGGATCGGGCCCGGCTGGGGTTGCACGGGAGTAGAAGGGAAACGAGCTGGTCCCCGATCACGGGGGGAAGAAGGGCGGAAAAGCAGCCCAAGAGAGATGGCGTAGAGTCGAGGAAAGGTCCTCCTTTTTATAGATTTAGAGCGGATAGACTGTTGCTTTGCGCGGTGGTGGGCGTGTACGTCCGTAGTAATCTCCCGTGAACCCGAAACTTTTCTTTTCTCGCAACTCCACCTTCGCGCCAGTTGGGCCTCTTTTCTTCTTTCTCTTTCCCCCCTTTCCCTCTTCTCCCCCCGGGCCTCTCTTTTCCTTCCGTTTCTCCACGACATCGATCCCCCCGGTCTGTCGTGTTGAATTGTCTCCTGCACCTCCGGCAGAGACATTCCTCCTTACCCCCTAACCCCTCCCCCCCCCCGGGCTCTCCCCTGCCGCTCCGTTGGCAGCGACAAGTCAGTGATGGCGGCCGTTTCAGCACCCACACCCAAGCTGGATCGCTACATTGTCATCCACGTTGCAACCACCTGCGACGAGCATGGCGTCTATGTCACCAAGGATTCCGCCGAGGTCATCGAATTGGGCTGGATTCTGTTGGACACCAAGACCTGCGAAGAGGTACACACAATTCCCGAACCCGCTAACCTTCCCCCCCCTCTCCCCCAACCGTTTCGCACATCCATTCTCCTGCCCCCCGAATCAACCCCAAAACGACCAGACAAGCTGACTCTCAATCGTTCGATCTCTTTAGCTCCACCGTGAAAGTGTCCTCGTCAAGCCTGTCAATACTCCCATTACGCCGCTGTGCAGTAAGCATGCCTCTTTCCTCGCCCACTCCCCTAGGGACCGACCACCGATGATGCATACCCAACTCCTCGGGAAGATTGTGATGACTGACCCAAAATGATGATACAGCGAGCCTGACCACCCTGACATGGGAGCACGTCCGCTCCGCAGGAACCTTCCGTGATGCCATCTCCCGATTCGATGCCTTCGCCCAGGAACACCTCACCAGCAAACAACTTGAGTTTGCCTTCGTGACCTTGGATTCGTGGGATCTGCGCGTGCAGCTGCCCCGCGAGGCCCGTGATAAGGCCGTGGTACTGCCCGCTTACCTGCAACACTCGCGCACCTTCGACCTGCGCACTGAATATCAACGCTGGCAAACCCACCACCCCGAATCGCTGCCCTTCGGTCCCAGCTCTCTCGCCAACATCTGTGCCGCCCTAGAGGTCGAGCCCGTTCAGTCCTCGGCTCCCATCAAGCACAACCTGCCCTTCCACCTGCAAGCGTTGGCCCCCGCTTCGCCGCGCCGTGCCATGGAAGAGTCTATCACTCTGGCCCGCGTGCTTCGGGGCCTGATCCGCAAGTCTCAGCCCCCGCACGAGCATCCCGAGATCCTCACGCGCCCTATGGATGCCCACGCCGATGTTCGAGCCTTCCTGGCGGAGCGCAGCAAGGTCCTGCACCTGAGCGGCCTTCCCCACGATACCACGCAATCGGAGTTGGAGAGTTGGTTCACCCAGTTTGGTGGCCGGCCCATTGCCTTCTGGACTCTTCGCACTCCCGACCAGCACAAGCCTACCGGTACTGGGTTCGCGGTGTTTTCGTCTCATGAAGAGGTATGATTCGTTCACAGAAGAAAGAGTGTTCCCATCTCTTCTCTTCGGGCCCCCTCACTTTCCAATTTGTCTTTGCCTGCTAACCCTCCATCTAGGCCGCTGAAAGCCTGTGCATGAACGGCCGCGCCCTCAACGAGAAGGCCATTGAAGTGTCTCCCTCCTCCAGCCGTGTTCTCGACCGGGCGGCTGAGATTCTCACACCATTCCCTCCCTCCAAGAACCGCCCGCGTCCCGGTGACTGGACTTGCCCGTCTTGTGGCTTCTCCAACTTCCAGCGCCGTACCGCCTGCTTCCGCTGCTCGTTCCCTGCCATGGCAGCGGCACCGGACCCCATGGGTTACGGCTACGGCTACGGCCCGCCCAACATGATGCCTCCCCACATGGGCCACAGCCACGGAATGGGCGGCCACGGACGTGGTATGGGTGGAAACGGTGGCGTGGTCCCCTTCCGCGCCGGTGACTGGAAATGCGGCTCAGAGGGCTGCGGTTACCACAACTTCGCCAAGAACATCAATTGTCTTCGCTGCGGTGCTCCACGCTCGGGCGCCGCCGTTGTGGCCGACTCGGCGTTCCCGTCTCCCATGGAACCCCCGTCGCAATTCGGCATGGGCCCCAACTCGATGGCAAGCACCCCTGCCCCCGGTCCTTTCGCCTCCACAGCCGGGGGCTTCGGTGGATTCAGCCAGCAGTTTGGCGGCCCGCCTAGCAACTATGCTCTCCCCTCGGGCGGCCTGAGCAACAACCCTGGAGCGTACCCGCCCATGGGCCAGGTGAACTCCGGATACGGCTCGTCGGGCACCTCCCACTCCGCCGCCTCCTTCGCCAACCCAGCCACCCAGGCGGCGTTCACTGGTGCTGATCACGGCGTGCCTTCCACCAGCGCTTCCAACGGTGCTTTCTACGGCGGTTCCGAGGGCTCCAACGATCCGTTCGCCTTCCTGTCTACCGGCCTTGGCGGCCTGACGGTTTCGGATGATACCCACTCGCGCCGCAACGGCGCCGGTGCGAACAAGTCGCCCGCGTAAAAGCGGCGCGGCTGTATCTATTTCAAAATGCCCGACGAACCGGGCGGTCACACTTACGTTGTCCATATTGCAACCCTGCGTTGTGGCAGGTATATGCGCTGGTTGATATTCGTTGATACGCATTTGTATAAGGGATTCTGCGGTTCCGGTGCATCGGGTGGGAAGGAGCAGGCAGGTAGCGTGTCGATGGTTCCGGATTGTTCTCTCGTCCTCTCGCCGTCTTGTGATTTGTGGGATGTCTTTTTTTTTCTCTCTTTTCTCCGTTCTTTTTTCCCCATCTCTTTGGTTGTTGAGCGGTTCCGCTCCCTCTTGATTCCATATTGAGCTTTCTATGGTTTGGTCTGCTTTTTTTGTTACAAAGGATGGCGCCGACTGGAACTCCGGCCGGGGCGTGGGTTTTCTCCAGCCGTGGTCTTGGGTGGGTTTCGGACGCGAACGCATTGTGAGCGTAGGTTACGCACTCAACCTGCTTTGCATTTTAGATCTTTTGTCGTCCCTTTTCTGCGTTGGGTCATGGCAAGCGTCGGAGAATTCACGGTATTGATCTCACGGGTGGGATATACAATGGTTCGGACTCCGTTGGGGGTGTTGGGGGATTTCCTTTTGCGCTTGCGCTGGCGATGATGGATCGAGGGACTTTCTTCTTCGAACCCCGCCAGGGCACTGTGAATGCAACAAAAAAGATTGTTTTGTCCATATTTCCCTTGATCTATTTTTCCTGCATCTTTCTGTATCTTTGTTGTATTTGTCTCTAGGGTGGCTCCGCATGGTTTGGTGGTGGAGCTTGGCACTGTACAGGATTATTCGGGAGCGTGACTTGAGTCCTCGGTACATGGGTTGGGGTATAATCAATTTTCATTCAATTTGTGATTAACTTGTCCAGTGCCAGTTCTCCATTATCAACAGGTAGGCATTACCTACCTATGTACAATGGAAATGATGCCCCTTGACGGTGAGAGACGGTCTAGTGATATATATCTTCCACTCGAGTGTGAATAGATCTAGATTATGAGGGCAAATAACTGGGATTTGGATGACAGGTGCAGGATAATTTAGTTTATTCAAATCCTGGTTAGTGAATTCCGCCAATTTCAAGGGTTACAGGTCTTGCAAGAAACCTCAGCAAAATGATCGGAAATTCTAGTATGCCAATCTCGTATGTACCCTTGAGCAGCCAAAGTTGAGTTTTACCGCGCGGCTGCGCCAAGGCAACCGTACGCTTTCGCGTCCACCGCCCGCTGAGATCCCGTCATTGCTGCTGCCGCAACCCCATCACCGCCCTCTTTGCCCAGCGCCCTCCTCCAGCTTCTTTCCCGCCTCATTGATCTCTGTCGAGTTGTTTCTCGCACTTCTGACTTCCGTCTGATTCGTTTCGTTGTTCCTCCGCCACAATGTCCGGCTATGACCGAGCTCTTTCAGGTAAGCCAGCTAGCTCCTGGTTGGCCAGCTCTCTGTGCTCTCCTCCCTGCCCAGAGGACCGACGATGCTAACTCTTCCTAGTATTCAGGTATGAAGCATCCTCACGGAGCTCCAGTTTTGTCAATAAACTAACCATTACCCAGCCCCGATGGGCACGTCTTCCAGGTCGAATATGCCATGGAGGCCGTGAAGCGAGGTAAGACCATCCCAGTTCTGCAGGCCCCCAGAACCTTAGCTTACAAAACCTACTCCCCTTGAACTTCCCCCCCTTGTGGTAATCCAAATGAGTTGCTGATGTCTCGTTCACTGTAGGAACATGCGCCGTCGGTGTCAAAGGCAAGGATATCGTTGTCCTCGGCTGCGAGAAGCGCTCCGCCCTCAAGCTCCAAGATACCCGTATTACGCCCTCCAAGATCGCCAACGTCGATGACCATGTCTGCCTCGCCTTCGCTGGACTGAATGCCGACGCCCGCATCCTGATCGACAAGGCCCGGTTAGAGGCCCAGTCACACCGTCTGACAGTTGAGGACCCCGTCACCATCGAATATATCACCAAATACGTTGCCAGTGTGCAACAGCGTTATACACAGAGTGGTGGTGTTCGCCCGTTCGGTATTAGTACGCTGGTCGTTGGCTTTGACAAGAATGACTCCACACCGCGCCTTTACCAGACTGAGCCGTCTGGAATCTACTCCGCTTGGTTAGTGTTTCCTCCAGCCTTGCCCATCTCCATCTAAGCATCACCATGCTAACCTTAGACGCTACAATTAGGAAAGCCAACGCCATCGGTCGATCCAGCAAGACCGTTCGCGAGTTCCTCGAGCGCAATCACCAGGAGGACATGGACCGCGAGCAGACGATTTCGCTGACTATCAAGTCATTGCTCGAGGTGGTGCAGACCGGGGCCAAGAACATCGAAGTCGCCATCATGGCCCCTGGAGAGCGCGTGGAGATGCTGCCGGATGACCAAATCGAGGCCTATGTTAAGAACATCGAGACTGAGAAGCAAGAGGAGGCCGCCAAGAAGAAGACCAGCCGGGGAGGTGCCGGCACAGCCGCTATTCTGACTCGGCCTAGCGGCGGCGAGTCGACTGATTAAGAAGGATTGAGGTGGCATCTGGCCCCCTGAGGGGTGACTGGATCAATGATTTGAGCCAATTTACCGTAGCGCTAGTCTCTTTACTTTAACGAGGACTCAAAACCACGAAATTCCTACACATTTGACATCGATCTCCTTGGCGTTCCTTCGCCTATTGTACAGCATAGAAGTGATGGTTATTGATGCCACATTTTGGTCTATTATCTCGTAGTTTTGACTCGAGGCCAATGGTCACAGAAGCAGAAACGCGTATCAAAATCGTCAATATCATGAAATGAGAGCCATCAACGGGTATACTCTAGCCCATGCGGTCGGAAACATCGCGTAAGTTGAACAGAGATCGTTCTTGGTCGCCCCGGACGCGGTCATCCTTGAGCATCCTGAGAAATTGTGAGCCTCCGAAACAAAACTCGACTTCGGGTTGTCCTCCACATACCTGCTGTCCATGCGCACGTCATCCCCTTCCACCTGCAGCGTCGGCTTTGGTGTCATGGCCTCAAGAACGAAGTGGTTATCACAGTGTGGGCAATACTCATCACTAAACACAAGCACGAACATGTTAGTCCCTACTAATCTTTCTCCGTGGGACGCGCGCTAGCCATACCTCTCTTCAAACTCAGCGGCATCCTTGCGGAAGCACTTCTTGCACTTCTTGCACGCAAAGATCTATTTCGAAATGAGTCAGACCCTGTTTCTTTGCCGGTCAACTCCATAAGAAGACCAATGGGGCCATACCATCTCCTGAGCCTTCTGCAGCATGTGCGTTTCCTGTTCTTGGTGGCATTCGGCGCAGTCGAACCACTTGCGGCCTAGTTGAAGCTTAGTCAACACATTTTCAAGGATAGATTTCGAGTCGAGGGTCGAGCGTACAACAGGGAGAGCGAATAGCCACTTGGGCATTGAGGATGTGTTTACTGCGGAGCGGGAGCATTAGTTCGTGATGCCTTTAAGCTCAGATCCAGAATTCTGAGTCCCGACGGAGGTACCTCAGTAGCAGAAATATGAAGACTTACCACATGATTGAGACTGGTATGCCTGAGTGGGTTACTGCGCAGACAGACAATTGAGGCACCCCGCGGTGTCAGGGACGGAAAGTTGCGCAGGAACCAGATGATCTGCCACTCCCGTGATCGTCCTCCACTTTCCTCCCCGCCACTCCATTTCACCATTCCACCTCTTCTTCCTCTTTTCCCACTTCCATGACCCTCGCACGGTCGACTTTGTTTTGACTTTCACGGCCGCTGCGCCGTTCACGTTCTGCAGTGTCCCGGCGCTCTTCCCGCTTTCTTTCGGCATCCCTGTTGCATTTGGGCGCCCGCCCTCCCGCCTGCCCTCTCCCGCCTGCCCTCCCGCCTGCCCTCCCGCCAAGGTCTACGACCCTTCCGCACCGTCACACCATCTCTCTCTCTCAGGGACCGAAAACTCAAGCTTATGATCGATCTTGCCGGCTGGTCTCGGCGACGGATCCGCGGTTATGGCCATGGAGGGAAACGGCAGGGAACAGGAGAACACTGACGACGCTCCCATAGTATGCTTGCCCAACTAATCTAAATTTGGCACGCGGATACACTAACACTACTGGTCTCAACAGAGACCTGTGTCCTCCCTGCTCTCACACTTTGAGAATCTCGCCCATCATGAACCCAAATCACCGCCTGCATCTGGTACTAGCCCGCGTGACTCCTCTGGTCGCTTTCTGAAGACCCCCGAACCCGGTGACGAGCCCCGATCCAGCCGCGCCTCTTTGGACTTACCTCGACCACGGTCCCCATGGACCACGGCAGTCGATGAGAGACAGGGGCGCGACTATGGACAGAATGATGGCGAGAATTTGCGAGTGCGCGGATCCCCCGGAGGTCGATATGGCCGACCAATCTCGATGATGAACATCCACCACTCGTCGCCACAACTTCCGCCTACTTTGACCGTCCATTCTCCCCAATCGCCGCCGCGGAACCTGGAGCGCAATCGCCCATCACCTCCCCAATATGATAGTCGCAGGTCTCGAAGCTCGGTACATCTTCCTCGTCAATCTGTGTCTCTGGGGGTGTCGCCTGCGCCGACGGCTCGACCGGTGACGCCGCAGCTCGGATCATCTATGCCTGTGGAGAAGACAACTGCGCGGCTGTCACCGGATCTGTCCCCCATTGTAGATGGGCGCGGTAGCCCAGCAGATCGCAAATCGAAGAGTACATCACTGCCACCGCCAGCTGACAGGGCTGAGAAGCCGAAAATTCCCGCGAAGCCTGCGATGTTTTCACACCCAGATACCAGCTCTCTAGCGCCACGACCTGACAAAGCATCATCTGACGATCATGTCTCACCGTTCAGCACTCCTCCTAGCAGCCCCGAGAAAGTCCCGACCAAGCCGGCGTCTACGGACAAGACCCGCCTGAAGCCACCTGGCCGACCTGTTACGGAACCGCCGAGCCGGCGCTCGTTTGAAGATCGGTCACCAGCACCATCAGCCTATGCGAGACATGATGCTAGGGAGCTAGGTTTCTCCAGGACTCGCCCGACCTATGAACCTAGTCGGGCTACCAAGCCTTTGATGGTGCAAATCCCACCTTCCTCGCCTGGTCTTCCTGATTATGCTTCAGTAGCTCCGCCTCTGTCTGCTCAACGGCTTCGAGCGAGTGACAGTCCTTATGATCGCCCAGGTCTTCCTCCCAGACCGGCGTCTACAGCCATCCGTCGGAGCGGAGCCTCACCTGTTAGAGAGCATGCACAAACGGTGCGCAGTCCAGCCCAAATGACGCCTATTGCTCGATCTGCACCTGCTTTCCCGCATGTAGACAATGGAGCTCGGACCCCGCGCCAAATATTGCGACAACAGTCGTTGCCTCGCGAGTCGCATATGTCTGCTTACCCGGAGCGCCGTATTGCCAGGACGGACACCGAAGAAGAGGAATCAACAGCTGATGAGCCCCAAATCTCAAGGACGGACTATCCGGATTCCTCGCAGGCAAATCGACGCCCTCCCTTACTTAGAACGGGCCCCAAAGAGATTCCCACCAAGTACGACACGCGACTGCTTGCTGTATGTGGCAAGTATGTCTGTACAACTGGGTACTTAACCCGTGTTTGGGATCTCACCACTGGTGAGCAAGTTATGAGTCTCACTCATGGTGAGACGGTGAAGAGTCTGTCACTCGCTTTCAAGCCGGGTACAGCACTCGAAAATGAAGGACAACGCATTTGGCTTGGCACTAGTGCTGGAGAACTCCACGAGATTGATATTCCAACCAACGCCATTGTGACTACTCGGTCCTACCCATCTCGCCGAGAGGTCATTCAGATCCTGCGCCATAAGAAGGAAATCTGGACCCTTGATGATGAAGGTCGGCTGCTGGTATGGCCGCCAGATGAAACTGGCACGCCCAATTTGCAATACAGCTATCACAGCCCTCATGAGCGTGTTGCCCGAGGCCACACGTTCTCCATGGTTGTAGATGACAAGTTGTGGTTGGCATCTGGCAAAGACGTCCATATCTACCGGCCAAACGCGCGGGAAGACTCGGCCTTCAAAGTGTTCAAGCGGCCACTGGGTCTGCAGCATTCCGGGGATGTGACCTCTGGCACTTATACCACTCAGGATGGTGGCCGCGTATATCTGGGACACGCGGATGGCAAAGTCACTGTTTATTCCTCAACTGACTACTCATGCTTGGCCGTGGTCAATGTTAGTGTCTACAAGATCAACTGCCTCGGCATTGTGGGAGACTATCTGTGGGCCGCGTATAAAACGGGCATGATCTACGTCTACGATGTCAAGACCAATCCATGGACTGTGAAGAAGGACTGGCGTGCTCATGACAGTCCCGTCTGCGGTTTCGTACTTGACACAAGTAGCGTGTGGACGATGAACCGCCTCCAGGTGACATCACTTGGAACGGACAATTGTATTCGCCTTTGGGATGGTATGCTGGAGGACGATTGGCTTGGTAAGTACTTGTCCATTCGGTTACGGCCTAATCGCCTTTTCTAAGACTTTTTAGACAACCGAATGCAAGACAAAGACGTGGAGTATTGCAAGTTCCGCGAAATTCGAACCGTCATCGTTACATGGAATGCTGGGGCTTCAACACCAGGTAGTCTCCGCACATCGGATTTTATCCGAGACGCTGTCCACCCGGAGGATCCGCCCGACATTATTGTCTTTGGGTTCCAGGAGCTGGTCGACCTTGAGAACAAAAAGATCACAGCTAGTAGGTACCTCTGATCAGGATTCTCTCCGGGCATATTTACTAAATTACTCGCAACAGAGAGCTTGCTGCTCGGTAGCATGAAAAAGGAGAACGGAGAAAAAGAACACATGAGTCGGCAGTACCGAGTTTGGATTGATCATCTCACGCGATCTCTTCACGAGTGTATGCCTCTCGAAGAATCTTACGTTCTTCTCCATACTTCCAACATGGTTGGACTCTTCACCTGTGTTTTTGTCAAGCACAAGGAGCGGCACAATATCAGCAATATTAGCGCATCGGAGATCAAGCGGGGAATGGGAGGATTGCACGGAAATAAGGTTTGTGGCGTGTGTCCGTGTCCCTTTGGCGCAAGATTGTCTAATTCAAGTGTTGCAGGGTGCCCTTATCTTCCGCTTCGTTCTCGACGATAGCTCCATGTGTTTTGTCAACTGTCATCTCGCGGCGGGTCAAACCCAGACCGCGCATCGTAACAACGATATTGCGGCAATTCTCGAAGCCGAGACCTTGCCACCTGAGAATAGCTTGACTACCCGCATCGATCAGTTCGCTAGTGGCGGTGACGGTTCGATGATTATGGACCATGAGATCTGTATTCTGAATGGGGACCTGAATTACCGCATTGACTCCATCCCGCGTAATGTCATCATCGACGCTGTCCGCCAAAACAACCTCCCTAAGCTGCTCGATCGCGACCAACTTCTGGCTTCTCGGCGAAAGAACCCGGGCTTCCGACTACGCAGCTTCACCGAGGCACCTATAACGTTCGCACCGACATATAAATATGATGTCGGGAGTGACCAGTACGACTCGAGTGAGAAGAAGCGCTCCCCCGCCTGGTGCGATCGCGTTCTCTATCGTGGCCTCGGCCGCGTCAAGCAGCTCGAGTACCGCCGGCATGAAGTCCGGGCCTCCGATCATCGGCCCGTCAGCGCGACATTCAAAGTTCGCGTTAAGACGGTCCTGCCGCAGGAACGCGCGGTGGCGTGGGAAACATGCCAACAGGACTTCCAGAATGAGAAGCGACGGCTGGCTTCCGAAGCGAGGTAAGTAAATGATCGCTTAAGTGGCCTTCAACCCATCTGCAATTGACTGATGGAAATTCTAGCATCGAATACCTCATTACTGTCCTTGGTACGGATCCCCGTCAAGCCCGTGCGTTGATCCTAGGCAACGGTCAATAGCCGCGCCATTTCTGCATTCTAAAAAAATAGGTGAGCACGGGCATTGCGGCGGCGCGGAACCTTTTTTCGTTTTATATGAGGAGCACGGGCGTATATTGTACGAGTAACGATTCCACGATAGACATGTATCATGACGGAGCTAGACCTGCGTTGCTTGCTACTGTAGTATTGGTCTTATTGCGCTAGTTTGTATTGTAGCATTCCTGCCTGCCGATCTGCTATCCGTCAGACGCCCCGGAGGTGCTCGGGTGAGAGATGTCCGGGGGTACAACAACATCAAGCTCTGTTTGGTAACTGCGTTCCATGTTCCGGACTCCATTAGGCAACTGGAACTCCATTCCCAGGTTCCGGCCCCTCGTTTATCCCCTCTTCAAGCCCGATCCGAATACCGGATTCCCGCCTCCTTGCCTATTCGGGATGGCACCCTGCCCGCCACCGCAGGGATCGACATTACGTTTTGTCTAAGCTATGGATAGGAGCGTTGCGGCCCTTTATCCGGGGCTCCAGATCCACTGGGGTGTTCCCCGCACAATGTGACACCATATAGCAGCCGGGTTCTCGTCGTAGCATCCAACGTTGACCTGCTTACTTGTTTGGACCATACATCATGTTGACTTTGCTGTCTTTCGCTGCGCTGGCATTCCTGCCGTCGGCGAACGCGCTCGTGAGGAAGGAGAACGTGGTAGGTTCCTCTTCCTCGCCATTGCCTATCCATCGGATATTGATTTGGCCAATAGGGGAGACTTCCTGCTTTGGGTTGGAACTCGTGGAATGCCTTTGGCTGCGATGTGGATTCCACCAAGATCATGACTGCCGCGAACGAGATGGTGAAGCTTGGTCTGAAGGACCTTGGATATGAATATGTGAACAGTGAGTTTTCGCTTCCATTATGTTTATACCATTATTTCTAACTTATTTAGTTGATGACTGCTGGTCCGTCAAGGACACGCGCAATTTGACGACCAAACGCATTATCCCGGATACCTCCAAATTTCCAGGGGGAATTTCTGGGGTTGCTGATCAGGTGCATGACCTGGGGTTGAAAATCGGTATTTATAGTAGTGAGTCGGCCTAATTAGGTTCTCACGAGCAAGGGCCTTAACAGATTCATAGGTGCTGGGGAGACTACTTGTGCCGGGCATCCCGCTAGCTTGGGGTATGAGCAGGTCGATGCAGAGGCTTTCGCGGAGTGGGGAATCGACTGTCAGTCCTTGTTGAATGGATTCTCATTTGAACCCAGCTAATCAAACTATAGACCTCAAGTATGATAACTGCGGGGTCCCCAGTAACTGGACTGACCAGTATACCGCCTGTGTCCCCGATGGGTCTGGCAACTTCCCTAATGGGACTTGTCCTGACCTCTCAAACCCGGCTCCGGCCGGTTATGACTGGGCACAGTCTAAGACCTTCACGCGCTATACTATGATGCGTGATGCTCTCTTGGCCCAGGACCGCACCATCTTGTATTCACTCTGTGATTGGGGCCAGGCTGACGTGAACACCTGGGGCAATGAGACGGGCAACTCGTGGCGTATGTCGGGCGACATCCAAGGTGGGTTATTTGCTAGCCATGAAAAGTGACAGTAGCTAGCAGAAGCTGACCCGTAATTACTAGCAAATTGGCCTCATGTCGCTGAGATTGCCAACGAGAATAGCTTCAGGATGAACTATGTTGGATTCTGGGGCCACCCGGATCCTGATATGCTCGAAGTTGGAAATGGAAACCTCACAAGCGAGGAGAACCGAGCACACTTTGCTTTGTGGGCAGTCATGAAGTCACCATTGATTATTGGCACTGCGGTACGATGCAATGGGAGCAGCCTTCTTTATCTTATGTGGATATCCATGCTAATATCCTGTCTAGCTCGACAACATCACCGATGCTAATCTGGCTGTCCTAAAGAACCAGTACTTGATCGACTTCCACCAGGATCCCGTTGTGGGACGCTCTGCTCACCCTTACAAGTGGGGATACAACCCTGACTGGACTTTTGATCCTGTCCACCCTGCTGAGTACTGGTCGGGTCCATCCTCTACTTTGGAGGGAACCTTGGTGTTGATGTTGAATTCGGAGGACTCTACTTCGACTCGTATTGCCTCGTGGAACGAGATTCCAGAACTGAAGGGCCATGACGCGTATCAGGTGATTGATGCCTGGAGCGGCGAGGATCTTGGGTGTGTCAAGGAGGCATACAGTACCTCGTTGGCCAGCCATGACGTGGCTGTGCTCGTGGTGAAGGGGGCCTGTTAAGGGGGGAAATGAGCTGCAGAACAATCATTGAGGTCTAGGGCTATTAGAACAGTCGTCAAACCTGTTGCAATGGCTTTCTTTGTTTCTTATCTTACATTCAAAGGCATTGACAATTCGACTGTTTCACTTGGGAGAGCATTTCTGAGCCGAGAAAAGTAAATGGATAGGCGTGAAGAACCGACACTTTCGGTAGCTGCATCCCCCGTCAACCATTGCGAGTAGTGAAGTGTATTATATTTTTATCAAAGGCTTTTCTTTTAAGGAGGTTTGGTTATTGATCCTGTACTTTGTCGAACACTTTGTTTTGTTTCGGAAGGCAATATTGGAATCAAGTCTTTGTGCATTGTCTGGATGGAAATAATGGAATGAATGATCTCAAATAAGGTAGTTGTATTTTGGCTGCAGCATAATGCGAGTGGCCGATTTTAGATCATTGTTTGGAGACGCCACGCTTCACCATCCTTGGCTTTCATCGAAGATACTAATAGCTATTGTTAGCCGAGACTTTGTGTCACCCTTTGTCACCGGAAGTATATAAGCCGCTCGCGAAGTATGCAATAGATTTTCGGCTTATTCGAAGCGGGTTTAAGAGTGCAAGATAAACTTGTGAACATTTTTCAATTATTTGTAAGTTACTAGCTAGCCCATCTAGACCTGAGATCTTGATACGACAAGATGCCTAGGAGAAAGCAGCCCAAGCATGAGGGGTGCTCCGTCCACCAGTGGAATCCGAAGTTGGTGTGGCTGGGACCAGGAGAGAATAGTACGCATCTTGCAGCTGTTCAAGAAACTGGCGGAAGGTAAGCGGATGATATGACGAATAATATTAAGCAAGCTGATTGAGCTCACTACTGTATCACAGTCGCTTCGCTAAGAGTCTCCGTGAGGGGGAGGACCGGTGGGTTAACATCTACTGTTTTGATGCAAACCCTTGCCGGGCGTTGCCGAAAGCTGATTTCTTCCGCGAGTCGGAGTATTTTCAGAATATCTACGCCCAGGTAAGCTTCATGATCCCTTGCCATTGATACCTCATTTCATAATGCGTCAGTTACTAACGCCCTGCCCGGTGTAGAACTCGGCTGTCAGCGCGCTCCGTCTCCCGGACCAGGTAGGTTTTCAAGACACCCATTTCATTGCGGACTTTCTTTGGGCAGGTGATTATGCTGTCCAAGAAAAGAATATTGTCAACTACAGGTTTCGCAATGTTGAGCCCCGTCACCCTGTTTGCAAAGCCTGCGAAAACCACTGCTTCCTACTTGCTCTTCACTTGGATATATTCCTCTCCGCACGGCACCTGGGTATGGAAACCCTTCAACTCCTAGCAATGGAGAAGTTCTGCCAGGCCATCAAAAATTCTAGTGACTCTGTTCTAAGATGGATTGTTCCATACGTGTACCAGACGGCGGTCTTTCGCCTTGAGATCATCGCAGGGATTGCGTACCCATATGCGATTGCAGGACTCATCGACTACCGCCCAATCCTTGTGGTTGGTGAGATCGTCACGTATATCCAGCGATCGAATTTGCACATACGTGAACCGCTCTGGGACATCTCACTGGGGCGTTTTCAGCCCGTGAACTATTTTGAATATTTGCGGGAGCACATCCCCGACTTTAGTTTTCATTTGGAGAGGGCGTTAGAGGTGGCTTACCCAGGATAATGAAGAGGGCTTGTGTTCTACCTCACCATATCCTCTCCAAAACGTTTCCCCCTAATAATAGGCAATGACTACTTACAGATGGTGGCTTGTGTTCATAGCTTCGAATTTTCTTAAAGAGGTATAGGGTTAGTGACGTGTCTGGCAAAGTGCAGATGCTAAAGATTCATTGAGCGAGATGATGCACCAATCATATACCAAGAATCAGATACAACGGGAAGAACTACAGTAGTCTATTGCGAATTACCTGAACTGGGTACATTGACCCCAGTGGCTCCCATGAATAGTACCATAATAACTCCGAGACATTCCAGCCTCTGCTATCACCCACTGCCTCGATGACTTGTGCGCCGTCAAAATTCGCAAGTTTCAAGCAGCCCCTTGTCGAATTAAGCAAAAATAAAAGCAAAACGACCGGTCTGTACATGTAACGAGACGAGGATATTGATTATACAGCACTAAAAATCCGAACCACAGTTGATACTCATTCTCGTTCCGCTGATAGGGTCTTCAAATTGCGTAGCGGAATCCATCTGACTTAGCGTTGACCTCACTTCTCGAAGCAAGTCAGCTCCGAAGGCAGGAATTTCATGACTTTCCTGCACAAATTTGTAGTTCTCGTCTCGAAGATATCCTTCAACCGAGGCTGCCGCTATGATGCGACGCACCAAATGCCCTGGAGGCAAAAGAGTTGCCCAAATAATATGTTGACGTGTGAGGTAATAGGTATTCGTATCGATAGGTCGTGAACAAAAGATGTCGCATTGGGGACCAGGATTGGCAACAAGTACATCTTTGATATACTGAGCCATTTGAGCTTCAATGCCTGTAATATGGCACATGTCTGCAAGTCTGACGAGCTCTATCGCACCCGAGATTTGATCTTCTGGGCCTTCGGAATCGAGTTGGATTCTGCGCAGGTATAGCCACTTTATGAGTGCTTCGAAACTCCGCACCGAGACTACTCCTTCCACTTCTTCCAGAGTTGCTACCTGCTGCTGTCCCTCTGCAAAGTTACTTTCGAACATTGTGGTAAAATAGATAGACTCCTTGTAAAGGAGGTGCTTTGAAATTTCGTATTCATGGTCGCTGGAGCTTATCCGAATCTTGACGGTAGGACCATGATACAGTGGAAGAAGGCTGAGTGAGAGGTTTTTAGATACCACCATTCTCGAATAAACTTCAACGTGCTACTTACGTTGCTGCAAATTCCTTAGCACTTGTTTCAGGTAGGTCAGTCATTGCTTCGATTCGACATGCGAAGGAGGAGGTGGGAAAAGGCCGGATCGAAGAGAGGGGCAGGTGCAGTAAGTGACGACGTATTATACCATGACGCACTTGGAGCTACCGCTGCATACAGTATGTACAGTACATTCTTAAGCTGTTATTTACGACTGTTCTGGATTACTGCCAAGAAAGGAGGAACGGATATTTTAATGCAATCGACACAGTTTTGATCGACCTAGCAGCGACTCACCTTCCCGTGGGTTCGTGGACTACGAGCCAATTCTCTGCTGCCCTGGGATACGTTTAGATTGTACAGGGTAAGGTCTTTAAGGTCTCTACAGAGCCGTTGATTGAAACTCGAGCGCAAATGGTAGTGTCTTTCCGGGCAACCACAACACCACCGGGCCAGGAGAAATGCTGTTGATACTAGCATAGCCGGTTTGGATCACTCGAACCTTTTTCTCAGGGCGACTTATCGCCTTAGCAAGCCCGAGTTCATGAGCTAATATTGGTGTGAAAACCACGAAGGCACCGTCCATGCACTGAATAACCACCAGGCTTTTTGATTCATCCTCGGATTCTGAGATAGCCTTTGAGTTATCATACTACTTTGACTTTCAGGAGGCCCACCGGATGGAGATTCTGTCGGAAATACCTTCACTCTTGCCGCTGTAGTGCAGCCGCCAATTCGACGCTAGACCCGCTAGATCTGGATGGCGCTTAGCTGGGTACCGACGGTCCCTCTGGATCATGACGGACATTCGGGCCTTGAGGTTCTACAGTACAATAGTAATAATGACATGCGGGCTGGAAGAACGGACTGGGCGGGACAACTGGTCCGATCGACGCCCGCAAGAGAAATGAAACAAGCCCAGCCTCTTATGGTAGGGATCGTTCGCGCCCCCTGATGGCCGCGCAATCCGATGACGAGGGAGACAGAAAATCGGGTCATGGTTGAGCATTCGGTATACTCCGTACATGCTGCGCACCCTGTGTTGGCAAAGAGAGATCCAATAGGCGGAAACAGGATTCGCATGCCCTCCCAATCCGCCTCGTGTGATATCTTGCCATGTGCCTTCTGAGCGATCGACCTCCAGTTTTAATCGAGTGCACTCCAGTTTCATATCCACCTGCCTCCATCTGACTGGCGCCGTTCTACCTCGTGCAGCGGTGGCCATGGCCATGCTCCACCCCGAATGGGCGATAACAGCGGCCCCTGTTCTGACCGTCGACGCTGTCGGTTTGTCCATTTCGACCCACTAGACTCTCTCCTTGTTCCGAACCCGAACGAGTCCGGACCGCCCACTGGGTCTCCTCACGGTAACCTCAGGGCCACAACCGGGAAATCTGTCGCTGGTTCCATGGAAATGCCGCCCGCTCGAGGGGGCCTCCGTTACGTCAATTCGAACCCTCCACTCGACTCAACCCTCTAACCCATATCTCATTCCCTGTGGCCTAATTCGAAGGGCCTCTCAGAGGGTTTCCTATTCCAACAACTACCGCGTCTCTTCTATATAATTCGCTCACCATGAAATGATCAGCGATGAACTGGCTTCTGCGCTTGTCGTTTCCGAGCCGCAAGCCCGGCGCGGTCACCTCGACCCGAGGTCGGCTCTTTGTGTACTTGGCTCTGACGGCGATAGTCTTGCTGTTTTCGTATCAGCTGGTTCTGAACCGCGAATCTTTCAGTTCGGATCTGAGATGGGCCGTGGGCAATGGCTTGAAGCCGCCCGTGGACTATGTCGTCCCTGTCCCTGAGACGCCCCGCGAGGGGGAGCAGCTTCAGGAGCAGTCTGATGATATGCCTCTGGAACCCCCCGAGCAGCAGTCGGAGGAGGAACCCGTGAAGCAGCAGGAGACGTACCCGTTTCGTGAGAAAGAGCTGGTGCTGGCTGCCATGAGCACAAGCAATATGTCCTGGGTGGAGGACCATGTGCCCCAGTGGCACCCCAATATCTATCGCGCGGATGTGCCTCCTGGAGAGGCTGACTTGACCGTCCCTGCTAATAAAGGCAATGAGGCGATGGTCTTTTTAACGTATGTTGGTCGTTCATCTGATATGATCCGATCGTGGAGAACTCACGTCAAACTAGTTATATAATCGATCGCTACGAAACCCTCCCCAGTATAGTGGCCTTCATGCATGGCGGTCGATATCAGTGGCACAACGATAATCCATTATATGGTATGCGCCTTTCGTCTCTTGTGTTGACATTTCTTTTGATTTTCTTTCTCCCTTTTCGTGTTCTTTTTGCTGCGCGCAGACCGTATACATCTAACATTCTCCAGACTCTGTCATTTCCATGAATGATCTCCAACTCGACTACGTCCGCGAAGCCGGGTATGTCAACCTACGCTGCTCCTGGGTAATTGGCTGCCCGGTTGAACTCGAGCCAGCACGCTATTTACGTGAGCGCCCCGAGGATGAAGGGCATCCGACCGCACTCGAGTTCCCGGACCGCTTTCTGGAGCTCTTCCCCGGCGAGGAGCTACCGGAAGTGGTGGGCACCGCATGTTGCAGCCAATTCGCGGTGTCGCGGGAGAAGATCCAGGAGCGTGGCGTCGAGCATTACATACGATATCGGCAGTTTTTGATCGACACTAAATTGGGATCGGAAATCAGTGGGCGGATTTTTGAATACGTGTGGCACAGTACGCGTCCCTTGCTTTTGATTTTTAACCTTAAAATTTAACATTTTAAACTTTCTGGCGATCGGTGCTGACATTCATTCCTGCAGTCATGTTCGGGAAGCCGGCACAACACTGTCCGGACCCGCGCGATTGCTACTGCCGTACATACGGGTATTGCAATATGACCGAAGAAGAGCTGCAAAAGCAGTGGGAGTGGCGTGGCTTGGCTTTACCGGAAGGGTGGCCCGACGTCGACGAGTCGGCGGGATTGCAGAAGAGAGGTGACCTCCCATCTGTAGAATACTGGCGGAAATCAACATCAAGACGAATCTAGCCTCAGACACGCTGGCGCAAGCCTGAGACGCTGAAGACAATAGACAATGGGACACGCATCAATTGCACGTGGCTTCGTTAGGTCATGTAGCACTTGCGTGCAGCTGAGATACATGCGGACTACCCCCGATTCTGCGACCAAATCACCCAATAATCCAACACAACCCCCATCGTCCCGGATGAACAACACTGATGAACAATTACCGCCAGAGATCCTGTCGACTGGACCGTTTGTATCCACTGCTACTCTTGGGGCGCTCCCCATCCTCGGCAGGCACGGCCAGGAACCCGCCAAAGCCGTTGCCTACCAGCACACTCTTCCGAGCATCTCCCCCCCAAGATCGACTTAGCTGGGCGTCTTGGAAGCTCACCGGCCGGGTCTTGACACCACTGTGTCCCAGCGCCGGATCCGGATCGTACGGGGTAAAGTTCCACTCCAGCTCGTCGAGACCTTTGCTGTAGACATTCAATGGCTGAGAGAGACCCCGGCCCCCAAACTGGGGCCCATTCTCACCGCCACCGAAAAGCCTCGGGGGCGGCGTGAGGAGCAGGGTGTCGGGGAACTGTGCGTCTCGAACGTAGAGATCACGCAGCGCAGGTAATGCGCGAGACATCAAGGAGGAAATGAGGTAGGTATAGTACGAGCCTGTCACCGGGGGCAACCCATTTGCCTCCGCCTCCGATGTAATCTCATAATGGAGGAGCTGCAGCGACGTGGACCGCAAGGGGGGACGTGCTCAGCCGGGAAGGATCGAGCGACTTCCTGGACTATGGAGAGGTTCTCGAGCCGCGGAGCCACCGATAAGATTCGGTGCAGGGTCGAGGGAAGGACCCCCGTCGCGGCCAGAGTCAAAGACTGCAGGGCGGTTCGGTTTTCTGGCGCGGAGAGAAGCGCGGCAAGCCCGCCTGCCGTGACGTTGGGAGTCTCTCGAAGGGTCAGCTGCTGCACCGCCGGAAAGGGGGGAAGCGACCCATTGCCAGCAAATGCCGAGTCCTCGAGCCACGGGAGGTCGTCCAACGTGACATCACGCAGCTGGGGGAACGAAGCTAGGCCGCTACGAAGCGTTCCGGCTTCGATTTGCAGTCCTGACAGCTCCAATTTTTCCAAGTTGACCCACAGCTGCGAGCCCGGAAGGCGCGCAAATCCGCCCTCGGCTCCATGGCGATAAGCGATGCGGCGAAGATCGGGGCAACGGATCATCAGCTCCTGTTTCAGCGCTGCGCATGAAGGCTCATCACTGAACAGCCCGGCCGGGAGGTCGACAAAGCGGAGGTTGGGGAGGACGGAGATGGTGCGGGCGATGGTGGCCTTGTTGGCTTCCCGGGTCATATAGGGCATGCGCAGCGAGAGGACCATATTACCTAGGCCTTGTGCTTCACGGACAGACCGCATGAAGAGCTCGAGGCGGACTTGCGGGGCGTCGATCGGGTCGCCATTGCGATCGAAGAAGGAGCGGCGTTTGCGCTTGGCCGCGAGTTCGACTTCGAGTTCGCAGTAGTGGACGGGATCAATGCGAACATTCGTATAGCTAGGGCAAGGAGGAGAGAAGATCCGTCAGCAGGAAGCCAATCGGCTGTGGTGGTTGGGGGTTGCGGTCGCATACAGGAGCGCGCGTGCTTCGAGGAACCAGCGCTTGCAGACCTGCGCGCAGTGCGCCAGGTCGCGCATGTCACATAGCATGCAGCCATCGGTCATCGACTCCTCGGAGGTCTCATAGGAATTGTCCACAGTGTGTGGGCACACATGGGCGAAGATGTATGCGAGCACAGGACGGGGCAGCTTTCTAGTGTAATCGCGGCCAGTGGTCCTGGCCGAGCGGGGCGGCGTTTGGTGCTCGGTCGCAAGCCCCGCACTGCGCCGCGGACGGGCTCGGAGCCGGTCCAAGAGGCCCATCCTGGGGAAACGAGATGAATCAAGGAGGTTGGGATGCGGAAGGGGGCATCGGCCTCGAAGAAAGAGAGGGAGGGGGGTTGGGTGGAGGATGCCAGACAGGCGCGACGTGAGGTCTGGGGAAGGGCAGCGATTTGGTCGCTTTCATGCAGGGTCCGCCCCAAACAGCCAAGCTGAAACGCCCAATCGAATAAGCCGCCGTACGCTTGTTTCAGCTGGCCGCTTCATTTCCTCCCCTATGGCCGGGGGTTTGCTGAGAGGGTGTGGCGACTCGGGGATGGGGATATGCCGGGGAACGTATCGCTCTTCGCTCTTCGCTCTTCGCTGTTTGCTGTTTGCTGTTTGCGAGGATGCTGACAGCGCAGACATGATGATTCTGGGGGCGGATGAAGTGACAGCCCCAAACTTCCCCAGGTGGGGCGACGTTCGCCCCTGGCCAGACCCGGTTCCTGGCCATCGCCCATGGGTCATAGATCCTAAACGCATACCAAGGCAGGCAGCATCGGTCATCGGACAGTGATCGGTTGGTTCCATGGATGTTCCATCGGTGTTCGATCCAGGCGAACTCGGTGGAGCCCGTCCAGACATGCTCGGCGCAAACCTGCCCGGCAGGACCATCATGACATCACCACGAGGTTGAACCCACGAATGAAACAGTCACCAGAGAAGTGTCGTCTCAATGGAGGAGAGGCAGATGGACGTTGCTCTGTGTCTCTGGAGTGCATGGACAGAGGGAAACCAGGTGACCGTCACCGTGACGAGGAGCCCCAGCGGTCCAAAAGGGACATGAAGAACCAGTTTGCGGAGGCTCAACTGACATCATTCCCTTCCGGTCCACTGTATAAGACGGGCATCCAGCCTGGTTTCACAGGAGCTTCAACACCACTACGCCCTGTCTCGCTGCTCGCTTCTCAACTCTCAGTTTAGTTCTCAGTTCTCCATCGTCACCATGGCCGAAATGGGCGCGTTCAAAACGGACAATCCGCTGCCGGCCCCAGCGGTCACCAACAACATTTCCGAACATACGCTTGACGGCGAAGAATGGAAGCACCGTGCTCCATATCAGGTTCAGTCCCCCGACGAGTTTGGCCCGATCAAGTGGCGCGCCCAGTGCAAATGCAGACGAGTTTCATACGCCGTCAAACGAGACAAACCTCTGAATGCCAAGTTTTGCCATTGTCGCGGATGCCAGGTCATGCATGGGGCTCCCTTCCAATGGGCTGCCATCTTCCACAAGCACGACTTGAGCTTTACCAACGGTTCCGCCGGCTTATCCTTCTACTCGGCGTCCCACGACTCCCAGAAGTACGACGTGCCGACCAAAGTGTCCTGTTCCTTCTGTCATACTCTCATCATGGACGAGGGCCGCAATATGTGCCTGGTGTTTCCTCAATTGATCCAGTTGGAGGGCTCGCAGGACGAGCAGCGAAAGCAGAGGGATGCGTTCCGCCCAACGTATGTATATGTATGCCGCCTACCCAGGCTGAACATGACCGTTGACCTGTCTTCCAGGTGTCACATCTTTTACGAACAGCGCATGATGGATATTCCCGATGGAATCACCAAATGGTCCGGGATGGACGAGAATAGCCAGCGTATGGATGACCAAGGGGCAGTCATGGAGTCGTAATGGGCTGATGTGAGTCGATGTGAGACCACTGGACGTGGAACAGAATTGGCGTGGGCGAGTGGTGTTCACGATAGCAATCGGCCTCGTTTGACCGACATTCGATTTGGGAGCCTTGGACCAGGGTTGCTTGGTGATGCAATGACAGTCTCCCGTGTGATATGCCGGATGGAAACCGGATTGAACGAACCAACCGATATTCAACCCCCTCGATTTCTATCGATTCATTCCACCGACATGATCGGCCTGACACTCGACCAGCTCATCCTGTAGAGACTGGTTTGCCTGGTGTGCTACCGACCAGCGTAGCGGAATAGTAAAATTGGCCTCGGGGGATGTTCAACCTGGATTGCATCTGGATCGCGATCACAGCTTCATATGTCCATACGGAAGGTGCACTACGAGGAATTGCGGAGGAAAAAGGCTGGTTCTCCGAACTCTTGTCTCTGACCATCTCCTTCTAGTATTAGACGCGAGCAAAAGGGAATACAGTATGTTCATTACGGAGCCTTCCCAAGAATTTGATCAAGTTCAAAGGGTATCACGTGGCCGTCGAGCTGGAAGACCACAGCCTGCAGAGCAGAATGAAGATCTCGCAAGTGAGATGCTGCTGGCCCTGCTTGTGGTCCAGCCTGGCCAGCCGGCGGGCGAAGCGGTTGACCTTGCAGAAGACGCTCGGTCAGCCAACGTACCGAAGCCGAGTGTTTCCTCCAGGTGCAATGCCGTCCACGAGTATTCAGACCAATCACGGAAGCCCATCCTGAAGCCATCCTTTCTAACGACGGTCTCATGCAGGGATGTGGTACCGGCTGGTTGTATACCGGCTAGCGTTAGGTATGGAGCCCGCTTGACCCGCAGGGTCTCCTCAACATTTCCACACTAAACATCTATGTGCATTTTCCCAATCTTAACGTCTGTCCGATAGCCTTTAACCGAACCCGGTTAGGCTTGATAAAGACGCCCGGATCTTCAGGGCCAGTGGAGCCCAATCACCATCTGATAGAAGTAGCGTGCAGAATCGATTGCATTTCCGAGTCTGTGCTGGCCGGGCACATCGGCTGGGGCTAAAATGCGCCGGTGCGGGATTCCCACGACTCCACGATGCGACCCTTTGCAGCTCATCTCCTAAACAGGAAATACGTCGCCCATCTCAAGCTTCCCCCCTCTTTTTGCCCGCTGTGGCCCGTTCTCCAAATGTTTCACTCGGCAATGCTCGAAGACTACTCGCCTTTCTTAAGGCCGCATTCCCTCGACATGGTCATGTTCTCCAAAGCTACAGATCCCCGGCGCATTCGTGATTTCCTTGCAGACCTTCTCCGAGAATGATGTGGCTTCAGTCATGGGCCCATCTTGCCCTGTTGGCTGGCCTGGCCGCCGCCGTCACGCAGATCACCGACGATGAGATGTCCTCTCTTCTCGATGCCGGGGCGGTGGATCTGGCAGACCGTTATGCGCCCCTATGGTTCTTTGGTCAGGCCCTGAACCAACCGCCGTGCTACCCAACCTGGGCTTTCGGCGGGTCGCCGACGACTGCGGACGTTTATGATGACGCCCACAAGACCCCAGCGGCGCCGCAGTGTGAGTATCCCGACGTGGGGTGCAACTGCCGCAACCCCGGAGTGGCCATCGGCAACCCGGGGCCTGCGTTCCCCGTGTACTATACCTATCAGCGCTGCAATGCCACCGAGGTTCGCGTCGCGTACAACTTGTTCTATGAGAAGGATGGGGCGACGGTTGGCGCGATTCAGACTGGTCATGACTAGTAAGTTCATCCGGCAGGTCCACCGGATGCTTCGATCGGTTGACATCTCCTCCAAAGTGACTGGGAACGCGTGATCATTGTCCATTCGCGGGATGGCAGCAACAGGTGGGCCCCATCGCGCGCGCTGCTGTCGGCTCACAGCGGCTACCACGACCTGGCCTGGGGCGACATCCAGAACACCCTCACCACGGACGAGATCAATGCCGGCGACGCGAAGGACCCGAATGGTGTGCAGAACAACGACCATCCCAAGGTGTACGTGTCGTGGTCGAAGCATGCCAATTTCGACACTCGCAATACCGGCTGGAATGACCCGGCCAGCCAGTCGCTGGACAATGCGTTCCGCAGCCAAGACTGGTGGTACTTTGTTGACCCCCAATACTATGTATGTTGCCCTCAATTTCGGTGAATGGAAGCGGTTCCGGGACTGACCAGGGGTAGATTCGTGCCGACGACAGCACCGACGCTGGAAAGGCCCTGGGCGCCGCAGACTGGGGAAGTGCCACGAGTAACGCGCCATCCGTGCAATCGGGCATTTGCAGTGCATCGTAGATATAAACCTAGATGGTACTGGATAAAAATGGTATTCAACCGGGCCCTATCTCGCTCGTTAAACAAAACACAAACAAACAAACCCAATATTCGATCCCTTTTGATACCACCTTCCAATTCCTCAGAGGGCAGAGCATTGATCCGACGGTCCTCCGGCTGCAAGAGAAGCAAGAGAAGCTAACCCCCATTCTGACTGGTCGACATGAATGCACGACTGGCTGCTCGCGCGTCGACCGATCGACGAACCCCGCCAGTCTGTCTCCCGGCTTGCCCATACGCAAAAGACTATTTGGTTATAGCCATACTGGAACTGAAAATGGAACCTGTATGTGGTCAATGCGGATATCAAGATTCATACTAATCTATCCTGAACGAACAAAGCAGCATTTAACTGGAATAGCTGCCCAGCGGATATCTTGTACCTGGTATTCAAGTTACTGTCGCCTCCTGAACACCAGTCACTTTGTCTTGTGAATCAGAACTTCCGGACAATCGCCGAGCCACTGCTGTACTCGAAAGTTCAGTTCACTTGGCAAAAGAAGCATGACTGCTACTCTCACCTTGAGGCGCCCCCGCCAATCCCCCAGCTCTTACGGACGCTCCTTTCCACGCCTCAGCTGGCGGCTTACATTACGAGCCTCCACTTAGACGGCAACGCCTACGCCTTACATGCTACTCGATTCAACTTCCCAAGATTCACATCCCCGAGGATCAGCTGGACGAACCGATCGCGTTCAGCCGCCGGACTGGAGTCCCATTCAGAGACTGGTGGAGTCGAGAACTCCATGATGGCTCAGTAGATGCTCTTGTTGCACTACTATTTAGCACAGCTCCCAAGTCTGAAATATCTGCATCTTGGCTGTGCTTTCACGCGACAGAGTGCCCTCACTGGATTAGTGCTCCGATCAGCAATCTGCGAGCCTGGGACTTATAAGCTGGGCAATTTTCAGCATCTTCAAGAACTATCTTTCATTCATTTTGAGGATAGAGACGAAGCCTGCGACAGGATGGTCAAGAATACTGCAGATATCTTGCCATTCTTCTATCTACCGAATCTTCAACCCGTCTCCGCCTCAATTCAGAACCCGGATCAATGGGCGTGGCCCGCACCACACGCACCGGTCCCACCAACGCTTAAATCCCTGGATTTAACTAATATCCGAGAAAGGTATCTAGGGGAAATCCTTGCTGTGACGAAGAACCTACACACTCTACGCTGGAAGTGGTATTACGACTCAGGCGTCCAGGATGACTTTATTACCCAGACTGTCGACCTTGATCAGATCGCTGCTGCGCTATCTCATGTTCAAGGAACTCTAACGGATTTGGCCATCATTGCTGACTGCCAGCCTGCAGCTGCAGTTGGTGATTATCTGTCCCCGGGGTTAGAAGCGGTGGGCTCGTTAACACCGTTGGTACACTTTGACCGGATCAAGACACTCCAAATCCCCTTGGCGTTCCTGGTGGGATTCGCTCAGGATAGGACGAAACGGCTACAGGATGCTATCCCTAGAAACGTCGAGTTCCTGACCATCACGGATGACTTGGCGCTGCAAAATACGGATTACATGGAACAGCAGTGGCCTGCATGGGAATGGAGGGATTATGCTATCTTAGGCCTATTGGAGTCATGGCTGAGGGAGTGGACACGATGGACACCACATCTTAGTCGCGTTACTCTGCTGCTCGGTTGGATTGATACGGGTACAAATCAATGGTCGCCGAGGGCGAGGGAGCAGCTCTGGGGCTTGAGTGCTCAAGTTGGGATTCCACTTGAGTTTGTCAACAAGCCTCGATTGTAAGTGAAATATTGGTCGGGTCAGAACTAGCTAGAGCAGCTGCCTTCGTCATGAACAGTATCCTGTCGCAGGGTCTCGATCACTTGAGCATTGTCCTGTATCCATATATTAACGGCCATAATGAGCTTATGAAATATACTCAATTCGCCTAAATTTTTTTTCAAATTATCTCCTTGCGAATTCCTCAACTACGAAGACAACATTGTTCCCCAAAGTCTCGCGATAGTGTCCATGAAAATTGATAAGAAATATTCTTCCAATATGCCCGGTGATCAACTCACCATTTGCAACGCTCCGCATATCTACTGTATCCCGGGGGATGACTCTTGGGCTGGCCAACCGAACCGAAGTATAACCGAAGTATAACCAGCTCGCGGGCCCCGAATGACATCAGAAACCCCCCGCCCAATCACCGCCCCCTCAATCTCGCCCGCTACTTGCTCCCCACCTCTCACTTTCCACCGCGACACCGCACCATCACAACCACCCAAGCCACCATGTCCTGGTTCCAGAAGACCTTCACCCTGCCCGCGCGCAGCCGCGGCTCCTACCTGATCACCGATCACGTCCTCTCGGAGCTGCCCGAGATCCACGACTACAAGGTCGGCATGCTGAACCTGTTCGTGCAGCACACGAGCTGTGCGCTGTCGCTGAACGAGAACTGGGACGACGATGTGCGGGCGGATATGAGTGATGCGCTGGATCGCATTGCGCCCGCCGATCGGAAGGGCAATTTGTATCGCCATTCGGCTGAGGGAGAGGATGATATGCCGGTGGGTTGATTCCTTTTTTTTTCTTTTTGTTCTATTTTTTTTACTTGCCAGGCGGGTCGTTATGCGAATATCCGCTCGAACAGGCTTCTTTTGGTGCGCAATGCTAATACCATGTTGTCGACTAGGCTCATATCAAGTCCGCGCTCATCGGTGCCTCGGTGAATATCCCCATCTCCAATGGCCGCCTGGCGACTGGCACTTGGCAAGGTATTTGGTACCTGGAGTTCCGTACCAGTCGGCATTCACGCAAGGTTGTCGCAACCATCCAGGGTGAAAAGGCGTGACCTGCTGATGGAGCGAAAGAGCATTTATAACGGGGAAGGTCCGGTTGGAGTATATTTTCTTTTTTTCCTTTCAGAGGTTTACAGATACCAATGGGTTTCAGATATGGCGGTGATGGTGAAAAACCCAGCAACCGTATCATTGTAAACCCCAACGGCAGAGACACTGCCAACTTTGGTCCAGATAGATAGTGAGAGCCACGCTGAACACGGGCTCGAGACAAGCGCAGCTCCCAAACGAAACACTCAATACTTCACTTCACCACACAGCGGGCGAACGGCAGATCCATTGATCAATATTTCTGTACACGGCCTTGGGCCCAAAAACCAAATAACACACGCAAGGGAAAGATCAACGCCGACAAAAGGAATCTGATGCTAGTCGTCTATCGCTGCTCGAAGCCACCTTCCGTGACACGCTGGCTCTCGTTCACCTCGGCGGGGTCGTTGGTGGACTCGAGGGGGTAGCTGGTGGCGGGGAGAGATTCGAGGTAGGAACGGTGTTGCTCGTGGGCCTGTAGAGCGAATGTTAGCCATAGTTTCTGGTGGTATATGCGGCACGGCGACTCACGAAGGGAAGACCGCAGTATCCGCAGGTCGCGATATCGGGCTTGTCGGTGTTGATGAAGACCTTGGGGTGGCCGAGGGGACCACCACCACCGTCACAGCTGACGACCTTGGACTTTGTCCAGCGGACAGGCTGCTTGTGAATGAGCTCAATAGCGGCCATTGGGCGGGGCTAGATGGTCAATTGGTTAGTTGCACTGTGTCTTTCTCTCCCCCGCAGCTCAGACCAATAGTCCCAGCTGGGAGATGGGTAGAATCCGCCCACCTGAGTCTCCATAATGGTCTGCTCGAAGCGAGGGCCGACCATAGCTTGCTCGCGCGGCTGCTGGCTGGCAGCCCAGGTGTTGGCCCGGTTGGGGGCCTGGAGGCTGCGGATGCGCTCCGCCTTGACGGGATCCTCCTCCATCAGGCCATCCCAGACAACATGGCTATCGGTCGTCACGGCATTGGTCTCAGAGACATTGGGCTTGACCACGGGCGGGTTCGGGTCGTTGGCCTGCATGCGATTCTCAGACAGCCGGGGCACGGTCGAGGAGTAGGCGCGGACGGCGAACTGGGGGCGGAACGACACCAAGGCCGTGAGGCGGCGGCTGCAGGACATCATGCTGGGCAAATTGAGTCCAGGGGAGGTGGTGAGGTGGGGAGGACGAGACGTGGTTCGGGAAGGAGTCTAGTCGAGGGACTGAATAATCCGTGAGTTGTGGTTTGGTGCACGCTCACCGCCTACCGCCTGCTGAATGCGCCGGGAAGCTGTCGGGTTTTCTGCCGGAGGATATTCTGGTGGATTTGCTTGCACCTGTGGACTTCCAACGCGCTCGCATTGTGCAGTTAATTGCCCACCATGTCATCGTCTCCAGGTGCGGCTGCAAAGCCGGGAAAGGCCATGTCGTCCCGTCTGTTGACGATGAAGGTATGCTTTCCCCAACATGGTCCTCTTGCGGGGCGGAGCTAACTTCTTCACAGTTCATGCAGCGCGCTGCTGCATCTGCTGCCGCGAAAGAATCGCGGAGTCCAGCGGCTGAGGATGATCAGCGCACGCCAAAGCGCCCCAGGCTGTCCACAGAAGCCGGCAGCCCGGCCACTCCCCAGTCCGATCTGGAGGCTATCTCCGCGGCGCTGGCTGCTGAAGAAGCGAAGCGGCGAGAGGCTGTTGCTCGACAAGCAGCCGAGGCGGGCGAGTCTGAATGGGTGCTGGACATCCCCGCTGCAGACTATGCCCCGCAGCCAATTGTGCTTGCGGCAGACTCATTGGATGCTGAGGATGATCTCCCTCAGGGTGGCCGTCGTGCATACGGAAACTTCAAGCGCAGCAAGCCCTCTGTGAGTTCCTTCTTGCACATGTCCTTGTTTGATCACAGACTAATATTTCCACAGGCACCCACCCACCCCGACGCCGACCAAGATGATGACGACGACGATGAGGAGGAGGAGGAGCTGACTGCCAAGGACGCAGCGAATCCGCAGGCTGTTGAGGCCTGGCTTGAAAGAGTCAGGCAGAAGGGGCTGGCCAAGGAAGCACGCCGAAAGGCGGCTATGGCCAAACAAGACAAGGTCAGGCTATCTGGGCTGACCAGTATTTCTGGCTCGCGCCCGGCCGCGTCTCCCAAGAATAACTCCCAGTCATCGAAAAAGAAGAAGAAGCGCAAGGATTAGGCGCACCACTTGGGTGGACCATGTGCTTTCCAAAACTGCAGATATCCTGGGGGATCTACTCGAGTCAACTTTGGCGTTCAATATGGAGCATGGACAATCGGCGTTGGGGAATTCGGCAGCATAGTTGATCGCTACCAATGCATATTTCAGCACACCATTCTATTTCTAACACCCGTCATCCTGGTGAAACAAAACATCAAGATTGTATGATATCTAACGCCGTAGAGGCTCGATTCTAGGCCAGTCTGTACAGGTATAAAAAAGAGAAAAAAATTCCACAAGGTATCAGAACTTCCAAGCAAGGACAACCATCATCATCACATCACAGCTTCGCCTTCTCCTCCCTCCTCCTCTTCTCCCATCCCTTCTGCGTCGCAAAATTGACCACCAAATTCCACACTGCAACTCCCATCCCAACCGGCGGCGCAATTAGCAACGCCCACGCCCACCACCGCGGACTCGATGCCGCAATACTCGCCATCGCCTCCTTCACGGCTGCCTCTAGCTCCACCTTATCTGCATCATTCCAGACCACCACGCCCCGCGCCGCGGCGGTGCCCCGGAACTCGGCCTGGGCTGCCTTGGTCCGCACATCGCCCTGGCTGCGTACACGGTTCTCTGCGTCCTCGGCGGTGAGGTGGGGGTCGCGAGCGCGCAGGCGCGCCATTTGGATGGCCGGGTCGTGGACGCCGACCACGATAACCGTGCCGCAGATGAGGTCCATGCCGCTCTCAAAGAGCAGCGGCACGTCGAGAACCACGGCCCATTGGCCGCGTAGGTAGTGGTAAATCAGCGCAGTGTAGACTTCCCAGCGCACGGCGGGGTGGATAATTCCGTTAAGGACCTGGCGATCGCGCTTGCGCTCTTCCGTGTCGCCGAAGACGCGGCGGCCTAGAGCGGGCCTGTTGAGCGGTTTGCCGTGTGGAGAGGGAGCAGGGGCATCCTCGAGGAGAAGGTCGGGGGTGCTGGGACCAAAGTAGTTCACGATTGCTTTGTAGCCGGCCGTGCCGGGCTCGACGACCTTGCGGGCGAGGATGTCGGCGTCGACGATGGGGAGGGAGTAGGGTGGGGAGGAGAGGATGGAAGAGACCGTGGATTTGCCCGTGGCTATGGAGCCAGTGAGCCCGATGATGAGCATCGCGGGCGGTAGCTCTGTGAAGAAGAGGGAAGGGGGTAGGAGGTCAGGGTGGTTATTTCGGAGAGGTCGTCAGAAGTTGAAATTCGGCGATGACGGAGGTTGCTGGCGAATGCGGGGAGATCCACCTCGACTACCTCGGCCCGCTTTGGGAAATAGCGAAATACAAACTATGAGATTTGCGACGATGTGGCATTAAACATTTTCCAAATCCAGACTATATAGGCTACTGGTACAGGTAGATCGCAACCGAACATGCGAGATTTGTCCCGTCATGTCCCTTCAGGTCAACCATGTATCGACCGGCGCGAAGATTATCCCAGCTTGATGTCAAGTCAGTCGCAGTTGATCGGGTTCGATGCCCGTTGCTGCTCCTCGGGCAATGCAAATTTGGTGAGCCAAATCGGTGGCAGCGCAGTATGAAGTGGCCAATTTCTGCGTGGTTCTGGTTCGAGTCAAAGATGCGGTCCAACACTTCCGAGGACCGTCGTATCTTCATCCTCATGACTCGGGCAGTCCATAACTCGGATCTTGTGTCTGGCCATTCCAACCAAGATAGGGCCAGCCCTTGGGCAGCAGCGAATAGGGCGGTAGCACATAGCGATTATCGCACGCATCCTCATGAGGACAAGTCAGATTGCACAGCCCAAAGACATTACAGTAGCATTCCTGTGCATTCGGGCAATGCACGGGCTCTTTTCCAAAAATCACTGCGAGGCAAATGTTAGTAGCCAATTCCAGAAAGAATAAAGGACAACATGACCACCTACTGTGCCACGAATACTCCATGATCCGCCCGCTCATCTCGTCCTTCAAGTCCGTCTCGGCAAGCCACTTGCGGTAGAACTCGTAATCACTCTTCGGCCGCTGGAGCACCGTGTCGCGGGTCACGCCAAATTGTGCGCAGCATGAGACGCCAACCTCTTCGGGGACTGGGGTGCCAGGGAACAGCTCCACGAAGGCATTCTTGAAGTATTCGCCCGCATGGACGTCTTCGCGGTGGATGTCGCTGAGCGGGTGAATCTCCACGGGACAACCGAGGGTCCAGACGCACCGCAAGTTCACGTATCCCTCTGCTTCGAGGTAGGCGGTTTGGAAGTTGCGCAACATGGGGACGCCGTCGTAGTAGGGGTCGTCGTTGTGCCATTGGTAGCGTTGGGAGTGGATGAAGAGCATTATATCGGGCAGGCTGTCATAATTATCGATAATATAGCTAGCAGCCGAAAAGAGACATCAAGGTTCAGCACCCATGGGATCCGTTCGGGCTCGATTCAGTTCATACTCACGTCAAATACACCATCGACTCGCGTCCCTTGTTGCGCATCACTGTCAACGGGGCACGGTGGTCGTCCACCACGTAGATACTCTTCGACCAATCCGAGAAGTATTCAGCCAGCCATGAGGTATCGTCGCTCTTCATGCTGGCAACGACCATGTCCTTGTGCCGCCGAACCACGGGACGAGCCGACTCGTCCGCTGCCTCGGGGGTGGTGATCGACTCCGGGCGATGCGCATATGGAGTGGTCTTATCACCGTATGTGGTTCTGGGTGCCGACTCGTCGCCGGCGAAGAAGAGAAAGTATATGGTGAGAACGATCGCGATGGTAAAAAGGATCGCTTTGATGCGGTTGCGGCGACGGGGACTCTGCGGTCCGCCAGGGGCGAACAGCATGATCGAACCTGGAGAAACTGGTGACAGGCGCTGTGCTGTCACCGGGGATCAGGCATCAGAGAAACCGCGGCAGGCAGTCAGCGTCGCATAGTGCTGATTGCTGAAGGTACGAGAATGGCAGGAAGGGGCCGGCGAAGCAAGCTGGACGCGGAGAGTTCGAGAGGTCCAGCTGGGACGGCAGCCTGGCAGTCCGCGATGGAAGAGGGTCGGGGAATAAGTGTGTAGCTTGGAGTGTACCGGAGATTGCAATTGAGCGTGCCAAATATGCAATGATGCAGCTCCGCAACGATTACCGGTTGGGCAACGTGTCGGCGGTGAAGGCCTCCCCGCCGCGCGGTTCAGCACCCCAGCCACAGCCGATCTGTGGGTCCCTCAATCTACACGGGACAAGGTAGTTTAACGAGGGTCCACTTCATCATGCATACACGTTCATATTCATCATAATCGGCCTTGCTAACACCCCCAGCCGCTGTGAGAAGTACTCCTATTGACAACCATCGATATGCACAATGTACCAGTTGTGGGCCTCCACGCTTGTACCGCTCGCCCCAGCGTTGCCTGCAGTCGAGCCCACGCCTACGATCTCCGTGATATCGCCGGTCGTCACCGTCACATCGTTGCCACTGGTGATCCAGTACTCCGGACTGGCATGGGAAAAGCCCCACGAAGCTGGCGGCAATCTAGGGACGAGATCCATGGTATGCGTGACGCGCCACACGCCTTGGTTCGTCATGTACTCGGCCAGCGCGGTGCTGCCCACGCGCGGTTGGCCGTAGGTGTACTATTGGTCGTGCATGAGCGGCATGAGCGGCAAGTCTCACCACGAGGAGACGACACTTACCAGATCCAAATCATATCCAGCATTGCGCAGGGCAGTCGCGCCGAGCGCAGCCACAGCAGCACCGAAGCTGTGGCCCGTCAGAACCAGCGTGTAGCTGGGATATGTCGACTTTGCGCTCGCAATCTGGGAGGTCAGTTCGTCCGAGACCGACTCCCAAGATTTCAAGAATCCCGAGTGAGCTTTGCAGCCATCACAGAGGCTGCTCGCGTCAGTTGCGCCGAAATCCAGGTTGGCAATCCAGGTGCTGATGGTACGGCTGCCCCGGAAGGACAGCACCAGTAGTTTGTTCGTCGGATCCACGGCGAAGAAGCCCGCTACGTCGCCAAAGTCCGTCGAGCTGAAAAGGTCAGGTCTGGCAGGTCTAGGCGGAGGTTGGGATGGCATCCACCTACTCGTCAAACTCATACAGGGTCTTCGCGCCTGCTGACTGGACCAATGGGCAGTAATCCCCCGAGCACGCCACGGCGTTGCCGGTGGAGTTGATATTGTTTGTGCAGTACGAAGCCGCGGCGTATTCGGCGAACAGAGTGAGCTCGCCCAGCACTGCGGACGAGACAGCTGCTTGCAACGTCAGCTTCCACCCGCCGCCAGCGATATTCTCCTCGTACCTCGCGGCATCGGTCTGGCTGGCGCAGCAACCGCCAGGGCCGCCGCAGCCACAAGCGTCCAAAGTTGACCCAAAAACCCCATATTTTCTCTGTACAAGCCTGCAGGGACTATAGATACTCACGCGGACCTCTTGCAGTGTCCCCCTACTTTGATGTGCCCTCCATTACTGGCAGGACTTCGCGCGATCTTATATACCCCCACAAGTATCCAGGGCCTACAAACTACAAGCACGCCTTCTACGAGCGGGGTATCTGAACAATGCCCATGCGAATGCGACACCTTGCCCTGCCCCGCGTGAGCCAGCTTCCTCACGATCCAAACAGGCTCGTCGTCCGTTCCTCGTCCGTTCCTGAAGCGACAAACCCGGGCGCATGACTGGTGGGGATTCCCGCGGGATCGGCATTGCAGCTCGAGTTCTTCACGCGGATGTAACCAGTCAGCCACAAGAACGGCCCCGGGCACTGGCTGAGTGGGGGACTTTTCGAGGCCACGAGGACAGACGGTGTGGGTGAAGTCGGACTTCCGAGCATCTGGTCCGTTCGTGTTCTTGGGTCTGGTGGGAAAGGTGGTGGGGATGGACGGTTTAGGGCATGTTCCGTGGGTGAACCGCTGTTCCTGCGTGGGGAAGATGGCTGTAAAGGGCGAAGATCGTATACTTCGTCGGCACATCCCTTGGCAGTCGACCTCGACTGCGGTCAGTCCATTCACCAATATCCCACTACCCCGTAGAATGCAACTCTTTTCTCCGACTGGCCCGCTGCGACTAGAAACATTGCGGCCCGCACCATACTCCAATGTGTGTTGGGGCGGGGCATGCATTGATGACAACATCCGCACGATCACGAATAAGACTAAAGCAAGCCTCGCCGGGAATAGGCACTGCCCCGTCGGAGTCAACGGTGAGAAGATGCATTAGTGCAGTTGGTTCTGACTGCGCCAAACTTCACAGCTAGAGACTTGCGTGTCAAAGCACGTCAGCTCGTGCCGGGAAGAATGCAGCCCGAGGATCGTCCGTGGAATCATGAATGGATTGGAAAACACTAGAATGACTCTACCCCACCCTTTCCCCTGCCTCGGCCTGAAAGGCACGGCTACTGCACTTCAGGCCCTTTCTCCCCCTCCCCGATATCCGTCATGCCCGTATCCTGTCCATCATCCCCACCCGCCAGCACCTTAGTGCGCGGGATCTGGTCCTCCGCCAGCGGCGTGCCCGGGGTGACAGCCACCACATTGTCATTCTCATCGACAAACTCGAAGTTGTACCGCGAGAGCAAATGCGGGATCGCGGAGAGCTGGGGACCATAGCGGGCGGTGTTGTCGTACAGTTCGAACAGCGGGACCGCCAGCAGTTTCATGTTCTTCGGAACGGAAAGAACCTCTGCAGAAAACGGTGTGAGCAGGTAAAAAAAGACCCTCCCCGGCAAGGGGAGGAGATGGAAGAACCCCCGGGGGTCACTCACTCTTCTTCGGTAGCGTGATGAAATATAGCTTCTTGCACTCCTTCGGCCGTGTGACATGGCCTGGCAGAAATGGGTACATGAACGTCTCAAAGTTCGGTCGCCACCATTGAGCCAATGTGTCGCCAATCTCCCAATCCTCGTTGACACCCTCGCCCGAGAACTGCGAGCCAACAGGAGCCAGTCGCTCGTTCAGGCGCTTCTTGAAACCGTCGATCTCGTCGTCGTCGTGGGGGAGATAATCACCGGGCCTAGACGTGATCACATTAGCAGTGGCTTCGGCCGGGTTCATAAACGGGGTATGAGGTTTCCATACAGCTTGAAGAATGCATTGGCAATCTGCAGCATCAGGACGTGTGGGTGATTGTGTTCATGGCAGACGAGGACACCCTCGCAGGTACGGCGCATCCCGTGCTGGTCATAGTGCTCCTCCAGGCGCTTTAAGCGAGCCAGCACTGACGGATCCTCCTCGGGTTGAGTCTCCTTGGTGCCGAATGTGTAGTTACTCAAGGGGTATAAGCGGATGGTCTCCGGCTGCTGTGCGGAGAAATCCTTAGGGAGGATGGGACTGCGCAAATGGGCCAATGTCAGTTCCAGCGCTTCTTCTCAATTGCGAGACAGGATCTTGTTCACTCACGGGCGACTGCTCTGGATCGCCGTTGCTGTCGTAGTCGCCATGATGTCGGTGAAGGGACGCAACTGTCTGAAAGGGCGCGCAACTTCGCAGGCTGGTGCTGGTTGTTATCGCTATCGGTGTGACCGCCTTCCTAATTAGGAGGCGATTCTATACAATACGACCACGGCATGTGAAGGGACATAGATGTGAGATATTGATGATATTGATGGTCAGTAGGTAATGTAGGTGGTAGATGACAGGTGATTACGACATAGATCCCGACGCCAAAACCCAGAACCTCTCGACACTCGACTCCACGCCTCTCATGACATGCTATCCAACCACAAGCTCCAAGCTCCTCCCACAACAACCCCCACACTTCCGCTGGAAAAGTAAATTCACACACAGAACGCCTACAGCTTCGCATCAAAATCCTCGAATTCAGTGAGGTCGGCCACGGGCACAGGGCCAGTGCTGACGGGCAGACTGGCCTTGAAGGTGGTCACGTCGGTGATAGTGATGGCTTCCTTGGGACCGGTGGCCGAGACGCCGTTGATCTTCTCGTCGGTTTCCGGCTCCAAGCCCAGCTGTTTCAGTTGAATACCGAGGTTTTGCTCGAGCTTCTCAGCCATCGCGGCGATCTGCTCCGGCGACAGGGAAATCTCAGTCGCCAGGAATGTCTTGACAATATAGAGAACCTGCGAGCGGTCAACAACCGCCATGTCCATCTGTTCAAAAGCCGCCGTAAGAGTGGCAACGTCCGCAGCAAATCCAGCAGCCTGGAGCTGCTTATCGACCACTTCAATCAGGCGCGAGCGCTTGTCGGAGGGACTGGCATCAGCAACGTGTGCCCCCGCCTGCGCGTTCAGGTGGACAGATAGCTTGGCCCGGGTCGACGAGGACGGATCAATGTACTGCTTGTAGAAGGCAATCACGTCCGCCTTGCTCAGCAGGCGCACGTTAGCAGCGTCGGTCTCATGCTGCAAGAAGTCAAAGTACTCCGACCCAACATGGGACCAATAGCGGCTAGTCTCCGAGCCCAGGTTCTTGAGCTTCTCCAGGCGCTTATTGATGACACTCCGCTTGTGACCCTCAAACTCCTCCTCGGGCATGTTCTCTAGGGTCGCGCCAAATTCAAGCAGGAAGGACTCAATGCGGGACTCCAAGTACTGAGCGGTGCGCTCACTCTGGATGATGACGCGGTAGCCCATGGTGGTTGCGTTGTACCGCGAACCACTCCACACAACATATCCGAGCTGCTCCTTGCTACGCAGCTGATCGAAGGCAGGCTCATCTGTCAGCTGGGAGAACAGCTGCAGCTTGGAGCGCAGAGCATCATCAGAAAAGAAGCCAATGTACAGATAGTACTCGATACAGTGGTTGACATTGGCCGGATCCTTCAGGGTCCGCGGGTAGACATAGTTGCTGCCCGAGGGCAGGACCATGTTGCGGCGCAGATACCACTGCGATGGGGGCAGGGCACGGCCCTGGAGAATTTTCTCGATCAAGTCTGTCATGCGTAGAGCATCTTCTTTATACAGGTTGCCGTGAGCCAGGACTTCGATATGAGTGTGCTCCAGCAGCTGAGGAAAGAAGTTGATCACATCGCCGGCTTGGATGTGCTCTAGCTCTTCAATATACTGCTCGTTGACCCAGCTGCGCTCAGACAGAAGGTACCGAGTGTAGTCGCCGACTTGATAGAAGGGCTGCTGGTACTCGGCGTTGCGGAACGCCCGGGTCAAGCGCTCTTTGATGATATTGAACCGGTCCTGACTGACCACGAGACCACGCATGGTGTTCAACACTTTCTCCAACAGCACGGACATCTTGTCGTTATAGCCGCCAACGGAGATATCCAGACCCAGTATATTCGCCGCAAGATGGTAGTCCAGCCCGGCCAGCTCGGCATCGTACGAGTACTCATCCAAAGAGTCTCGCACTAGTTCGCAGTAGAGTTTCGTCTTGATAAGGTTGGCGGGTGTAGCCCACACCAAAGGATTACGCAGGGTCACATGGACAGTTCCCTTTGGCACCCAGAAACGGTCATCCTTCTTGAACCATAGACGAACACGGTCATCATGACGGATCAATTTCGGGGTCTTCGCGGGCTCCGCAACTTCCTTCTTTTCCACGGACAACCGTGTAGGAACGAACTCGTTTTTGTGAGGCATGTGCACGTTAGAGGTACGAGTGGCCGCAGTAGACTGCAGGGCCGTCTGGATGCCACTCAAGAAGTCTTGTGGGATCTTCTCGACCTTGTACTCAGTACCGTACCACTTCTCCTTCTGATCCCATTGGCCGGGATACTCCTGGGACACGATGATGAGACGGAAGTTATCCGCACGCAGGTAGGACATGGCCCTCTTGATTACTTCGGGGTCGAATCGTCGCAGCAGCGATCCGCTGAGCAGCCACTCACGCGGCATCGGCTTTTGCATCACACTGCTGAGGCGGCTGGTAAATCGGCTGGCCGGGGTCTTCTGCTTGAATCGGAAATCCACCTCGGCCAGATTCTTCATCTCGTCAAAGATCCACTGCTCTGGCTCACGCTCCTTGATCATAGCAATGTACTCGAAGATCACCTTGGCGACTTCTCGGTACTGCTTCAGACCCTCGGGTGTGAGGCGCACCGAGATGGTGAAAAAGGCGGAGCCAGGGCAGATGGGCATAGCGCCTGCGGAGAGACCATTGGCCCAGCCCTTCGCCTTCAGATCGGACAGAACACTACCCGGGCCTTCATGACCGATCAGATGGCTGATATACCGGCTGGGCTGAGTATCATTCAGGTTTTCCTCGTCCAAGAAGGGGAAGTACATGTCCATGGAGCGCGAGTCCATGACCGGCTTCGCAAATACCTGTGTGCACATGTCTTCCTCGGAGAAGGGCTGGACGTCATCCCAGCGGTTTTGAGCCAAGTTCTTGTTCTCGACATCCGCAAACAATTCCGAGACCCATTGTTCGAGCACATCCAAAGTCTCACGTCCCAGAACTACTAGCTTGGCCCGGTTGGCCGAGTAGTGTTTCTCGTAGAACCGAATGAACTCGCTACGAACCTCAAGGCCGCGTTTCTGCGGGTCCTCCTTCAGGGTCTGCAAGTTACCGGTCGAAAAGTGGTGGTATGGATGTTCCGGGTTGGAAAGCGATTTGTTCAACTGCATCAACCGCCACAAGTCGCTCTGGAGATTCTTCTTGTTTTCCGAGTCCACGGCCCGCAGCTCACGGTCTAATGTCGACTCCAGAAAGAGCGGAGAGACGAAAAACTGGGCAAATCGATCAAGAGCTCCATACAAGGGTGACTTGTCGTCGGAATCCCCGGTGCTGGTAGATGAAGAGTCATTGGAAACGGCATTGGCTCCATTTGTAGATTCGGTAGGGGTGTTCTGTCCGGTAGATTTCGGGGCGCTCGAGTCGCCGGTGGCCGATACTTCAAAAAAGTAATTCGTTTCAGTGGCAGCAGTGTACGCATTCGATGAGCCGGAGTGGGCGGCTAGATACTGGTTGTAGGCGTTCTCTTTGGGGTACTATTGACAGAGCAGGCGACGTATGTTAGCATTGCCACATAACCCCCTTCCCCGCAAGACTTCCACCATTGTGAAACATACTTTTTTGGTGCCCATGAACAGCAGGTGCTCGACTGCATGAGCCATCCCTGGCATGTCATCTTGGTCAGAGAAGTTGCCCACATTGACGTTGACAGCAGCGCTAGCCTTGTCGGTATCCGGGTCATGCACAAGAAGGGCCTCGAGCTGATTCGGCAGGCGAATGACTCGATACGACCGGTCATCCAGCTCAGGCTTCTCCAGGTGCTCTGTTATGCGTTCGATCTGAGTCATGGCTGGAGACTTGGCGGAAAAGGTGAGGAGGGAGGAGGAGCGAGAGAACGGGCGGGCCCAATGGTGCTCGGATGGAAAAGCCGGGGCGGTAGAGCAGACGGGACGAGTCACAGACAAGATGCGTGATGGAAGATATGGGCGTGCAGTTGGATTGCAGTTCAGGCCTCTATACCACAACAAAGCTGCAGAGGACCTTGGGGGCATCAAGGGAACGAATGGAGGCCCAAGAATGGGAGGGAGGGGGTGCCAGTGGCGCGCGGCTCCAGGCGTGGCCAAAGTATGCCAATTCTCAACAGGAAAGTCCAGAGAATATATGGCCAGCACAGCACAGAGAGAGAACGAAAATGTGAGATGTGATGAGAGGCTCTGATTGCAAAGACAGCCGAGGGGGTAGTCCCGCCTGGCCGATGAATAGCGGAGGCGGTGAGCCTCAATGAGTCCCGATCTGCCGTTGGGGGCGGTGGCGTCTGGCTGGGCCAGCCACGGGGGTCGGTGTTTTGCGTGGGGCGCGGGGAGGCACTAAACGATTACAATGAGCTGCAAGAGCCGACTCCGGTAAATATTAAATGATAAGAGGTGTAGGACGATTCAGTTTCAGTATGAGTCCCTTATCCCGCAATTCGAGAGATAGTTGCTTCTCTTAGTTGCTTCTCTTACCCACCTAGCAATACTTCGAAATATCATGAAAAACATATCGGTAAACTCGGAAACCCCAGCTGATGATCGACATCGCACATGTAGGTGTAGGCAGCCGCCTCCACATCAGTGCTCCATAGTAAGCATATTACCTATTACCTATGTACAATGGAATCTCACAGAAACCAGCAACATATCATTTTCTGACGTTGGACTCATTAACACTACTTACGAGCCAATCGCGGAACCCCGAACCAGATGAGGCTCTTGTGCGGCCCCCGTATACTTCGCCCCATCTTGGCGGCTGCTCCCAAGCCACAAAACTAGTATGAAGCCATGCATATCCCAGTGTAATATCCTCCTCTTACAAGCTTGAACTAGAAGCTCCACTCGCCTAATCGCTCCGTATCTAGCATGAGTCGGCGCACAGAGTCAGGGTAATATTGGCGTCCGTGCTGCACGATTCCGTCTGGCTAGTAGCAGTCGCACGAATGCCCTCGCCCCAGCAGATCTTGTTGCAAGTATCAATAGACGGGTTGACGACCAGGGTATGGCCGGAAAAGGGGTCGCCGTAGACATCAAACAGGTCGTAGTAGAGAAAGTCGGTCAGCGAGTACTGAAAGTTGGTCTGCGGGCTGCCGTCATAGAGGCCGTCCTCGCTCCGAGTGATCTTGATGGCGATACCGCCTGAGATATCGTCATAGTGCAGCGCCTCCGTGTAGTTGGTGCCCGGGTCAACGGTCTGGCGCTCGCCGACCGAGCCACCGACGGACCACAGGTAGACCGGGTCAGCGCAGGCATTTTCGACGACGGCGTTGCCGGCAAGGGCCAGCGGGGCCAGGGCGGCGGAGGCCAGGACTGTAGTAATGATGTACATTTTGGCTGGGATAGAGCTTTGAGCTTTGGATAGCTGTTTAAGAGTCTCTTTGATAAATGAAGTTCAACCGGTGATGGAGATGGTGGAGAATCCCTTGTTTGGCCTGGAATCAAGGTCACCTTTATAGACTTGCTGTCCATGCAACGTCCCTTCCTTTCCGTGGAGGAATGCACCTTCTCTGCGTCCTCATGGGGACATGCTTTTGGGGGCTCAAATTAGGAGTCCATCGTCCACGCTTCCATCTCCCCCTCACGTTCAACGGATCAGCCCATCGCCTTCCCACCTTCTCCGTGACAACCTTGTGTTCAACAGAACAACTAGGGGAAGTCGCGATACAATCAGGCCGACCATCAACCCCCGACCAGCACAGCATGAGCCGATCATGATGCAGGCCCCGCCACGGAGGCGGGACCGAGTGACCGTGGCACGAAGCATAGATCGCACAGCATGGTTCCGGATGTGGTGAGCATGTCTCAGGGCACACCGACCCGATCCTTCTTTAGGATAGTAACGTCTAGGCGGCTGAATGGGGAGTGGATCATGGGGACCCTCAATGTGAAAGTGGAGGGCGGATGAGATGAGGGAATGAAGAGGGTCCGGGTAAGGCGGGCTGTTGGAGGTGGCGATGCACGACCAGATGATCGCCGGTGCCAGGCCAGATTTTGAGATTGAAGAAGGGGGGTGTTTGTCAGGGTGAACTGTAAGACATAGTTGCATCTCTCATGCACGGCGTGTATGCCAGGGCCCGCGTGATTGGTGATGTCTCACCTGCCGGTCAGGGCCAGAACAGCATAGTAGCAGATTAATCTCTTGTGCTTTCTTTCTCATGGCTCGATTCGTTTGTCGAGAGATTATGAGGCGAGCCTTGGGTTTGGAGTTCCTTGGCAGTGCAGTGGACTGCTAGATTCGTAGATGGTCCTTCAAGGATCGCTTATAGTATATAAGACTACGCTAGTTGACCGTGGCTACCATAGCTATGATGCGACACAACGCCACCCTATTGTGATCTGGGTGGAATCTGCGGAAAATTGGAAAACCAGGGGGTTACAACGGTTATGGTGGGAATGATGATGATGGTTGACTGTATCTGAGCTGACATGCGGAACTTTCAACAATCCCGATGCAATGGTGGAGAGGACTTCCTTCGCCCAGTCTCCCCTCTCGTACTCGGTTTCGTTTCGTTTAGCGGAGGCTAGAGACGAAGAATAGAGAAAGAAAGGTTCAAGGACACGTAGTAAAATGGACTGGGAATCGAGTATTACCAGACATGCGCCAAATTTCGCCGAGTCTCCGCCCCAGATGCTTGCGAGGGGCCTAATATTCCTTTCGCGCCGTCACTCTTTCATCGGCGAGTCCTGGTTCGCCTCGTCTTCCGTCTCCTCGACGGCTTCGTCGGCCCGCTCGGCGAGCCACTCGAAGACTTGAGGTTGGTGCTCCGCCATCATCTCGTTGAGTGAGGTCTTGTTGGACTTGTACAACTTGCCATAGCGCTTGGACGGTTTGCGGTCCTGGTTATTCCAAAGCCCGTGGGATTCGGAGACAAAGACAAGCGAGTTCTATAGGAGCCGCGGTCGTCAGCAGACTGGGCTTCCCCCTGCATAGGCGTAGACAATCAAAGACGATTTGAACTTACATCCCGGTACCATTTAGACAGCCACACCTGTGTGGAAGACGCGACAGCGCGGACAGGGTTCTCTGCCACAAATGAAACGATGCCGTTGACACGCTTGTACAGGTTCTCTGCTGCAGGTCAGTTCTAACCTTCTTGGCGGCTTGGCTTCAGGCACCAAAGCCAAGTGGGCGCAGGGTGTCGCGCGTTAGGCGTACCTCTGTTTATCAAGAGATTGACAACGCCAGCAAAAGCGCTGCCTATGCCAAGGAAGAATATCTCCCTCTTTTCGTGGAAGCTGCCAGGCAACGAATTAGTTGGGCATGCCCAATTGACTGCGTTGAAATCTTCGGGCCGCTTACTCGATATAGTTGTCCCACAGATAATTAGCTAGCTCCTCGGTTGCTGTCGGACGGTTTTCATCCTCATCTTCGTATCTTCCGGTGGCCTGGATGTCTCGAGCGGTAAGCCTGGGTCCAGAGAAGTTCTCGATGGGTGTCGGGAAGGTGCAAACCAGTGCGTGAGTGATATGTTTCGGGATGTTGACGTCGATCACGGCGTAACCTTTGCTCACGATCCATGCAACGTACTCCTTTTGGACATCAGCCTTGTGGATGTTAGCAGTTGTGAGATAATTCGCTCAGCGACCACGCTGGGCGCACTTACCAACCAACAGTTGTGAGCTTCTAATCTGTTGGTCACAGGGTCAGGATGGCCCATAAGCTCCGGTCTAGAAAATGGTTGGTCAGATTAGGCCTTGCATGGTAGGGGCTCCTGAGAATACTCACGGGTCATGGAAAATGACGACGAGCGGGACACGCTCGTGGTAATTAGCGCTGCAAGGGTTGTCAGTCCGGTTGGGCAACGAGCTCTTTATCGAGTCTTCCAAGCCTACCTTGCCAGAACCTGGTTCTCAAATGACTTGGATATCTTCGTGCGATAGATGTACAGCGGCGTGAGTTTGAAGCTATCGTACAGCTGACGAGCTTGGTACTCGCGAAGGACATCTGCAGAGCCAATTAATCCTGCTTATGTACTCCCTGTCCAGCGAGCACCCTCGAAGATACATACCGTGCAGCCGGTCCGCCCAGACCGGGTGCTGAGGCGGCTTTGGGTACATGCAACGCCAATACTGCGCCTGCATGTTCATTACCCGACCCACAGTCTCAGTTGCATCTCTGGTTGGTGCTGTCTTGAGCAAACGGTCTGGCGGTTCCCCCATAAGGGTCTTGGTCACGGCCAGCGCAGACTTGGAGATCGAGCGGAAGTTGTATCCACCCTAAGTCCCTCATCAGAGACCATCCGCAAATGCGAGGAAGGGAGAATTTGGAAACATACCTCAAGGCAGACAGCAACCTTGCCGTTGGCGAGAGTCATGAGCATGTGGGTCATTTGAGCATAGCACGCAGGGGACACGAAACAACCACCCAACACATCGCCAGCAGCTGCATCAAATCCAGCAGAAACTAACCCAATGTCAGCAACTGCTTGAAACAGAGGAAGTCTGTAAACCAACTGATAACCAGATCTGGGTCAAATTCCAAGGCAATGGGCATCACCACTTTCTGGAAAGCGTGCATATAGTCACCATCACCCATACCCTGGTCAGGCCAAGGGATATTGACATTCCTATAACCAACGATGAGGTTCAAGTCCCCGGTGCGCTGTCATCCCAATTTAGGGTGTACTTACTTTCCAAGTCCGGCTCCCGCGCCGCAGTGATCCCAGTCGCCTTCATCGCCACCAGGATAAAACTTGCCGTTCTGGTGAACGTGAATCGAGATGTAGAGAACATTCGGGTCATTGTAGAAGGCCTTTTGAACCCCGTTTCCTATTTTTACGTGTTAGTGTTCCATAACTTCCTCAAAACTATCTCAACAGGTATTCATATCCCATCGTACCATGATGAACATCCCTGAAGGGTGTGTCAGCAACGCCACACTCATTTTGCAATAAGAAGAGTACATACCAGTCCAGAATCAGAATCTTACGGCACTGATCGCCCAGCTGGTTTTGGCAGACTCTTGCGGCCACAGGCACGTTGTTGAATAGACAGAAACCCATGGCTGTGTCATGTTCTGCGTGGTGGCCAGGCGGACGAATGACCGCGATGGCGTTCTTGACCTGCCGCCGAGCAACAGCCAAGCAAGTCTCGATAGCACCTCCCGTTGACAAGAGCGATGAGGCGAAGGTCAGCCGGTTGAAGTAAATGGAGTCCCGAGTTCTCTCCAAATAGACCAAGTCATCATCGGTCATGTCTGTCTCTTGGTCAGTGTGCTGTTCGGCCCGAAAGCTCTCAAAGGAGCGCAGATCGGCCTATTTACCTTGAGTGCTCTTGACAAACGCAAAGTGGGCCTCTGAGTGAATCAGGGTGATTTCCTCCTCAGTGGCGTTCCGGGCGTCGATCCGCTTCAGCGTCTGCGGCGCCAGTGGCCGTGTGGACTCTGCATCATCCACCAAGCCAGCACGACACAGCTCTTTGTAGATGTAGTAGATTCGCCGGGGGTCTTCCGGGTGCACATCCGAGGTAGGACGGACTTCACAGTGATAACGCATGCGTACATCGTAGCAAAGACCCGTCGCGAGCGATCCCACGGGTAGACCGGCCCTACCCATGACTTCCTCATCCGACCAGTCCGAGTTAATTTCGACGAGGCTATCCCGCTTGACCAGGTTGTCGATAGAGTTACTCTCAGAGTCGCTCATCTTGACACGGTCTGGCGGTGCCATGCCCGTCAAGAGGGTGGAGTCCCGGGGTGGGAATGGCTCTGAGCCCGGGGATTGGGACTTGTGCGCAGAGGGAAGAAAGGAGGGTGCTAGGGTCGGATCGCCTTTGTGGTGGGCATGTGCTGGGGGGGGGGGTTGGGTGAGGGAGGAGGAGGGAAGAGGAGGGAGCTTGCGGGACTCCCCCATAACAGTGTCCTCGTCTTCTTCCATAGCTAACAAGGCGAACAAATTGACAACAGCAAGGACCAGCCCTCTTCCAGTGAGGTTGTGGTTTTGGAAGGGCTTAGTATTTCATGACAAAATAGCTCGCGCAATGGACTTCCTGTTCAACAAATGCACTTGGTTTTCCCCTAAGGATCCACCGTGCGATAAGGTAATAGCTTTGCTAGACGTTATAGGTAACAGCCCTTATTTCACGGTACAGGCTCCCTATCAAGTCTGATGTATTGGGTTGCTGGGAGCGGACCCCCGGTTCTCGGTATACAACCACGTCCTGGGTGGTATTTCCGCGTGAACAAAGGTGGCCACCAGAGACCGTCACGATTCCCGTATTCCAGGCAAATTCGACGCTGTAAGACAGAATTGACGATCGCACACTGGAATGGAATGAGTCTCTGCTGGTAAGGAGTAGCCCCTGCAAAGATGGGGAGTTTGCGCAGGGTTGATTGGGGATTCGAGCGATGTGCATGTTGGATCCGTTTTGGGGTCGCCCGTTCTTACTGCCAGACATGCTATACTCACCGCCAAGGTCTACCGCCTCCCAAATCAGCCAATTAGAGCGCAGTATAGGGGTCTCCTCCTTCGTCTGGGGTGGCTGACTCAGCCAACTCGACTGTTTATGTTAGAGGGTCCCCTGCAGAAACCAAAGTAGCATGACGCCTGCAGTCCGCGATGCAATGAGTCCTCCTCTGACGTGGAGGTTTGCAAGGAAGTCAGATGAACCGGCAGACAAGCGTTCTTCAGACTCAAAGCTCAAGCTTGCCGGAGGATTGTCAGACTATTTATTAGATCTTACGGGAAAAGGCGGTTCTGATGAACGTTTCTATATTTTGTATCGCAGAGTAGTGGAACATTGGAGCAGGAGACCTGTGACAATAATTTTGAAGCAAACGTAACATCAGCCAATCTCCTCCAGTGTATCTGTATAGCTCAATAATGAAGCCAACCTTAAAACTGCATCAGCCGTGCGCAAACTGATTATGATCACAAAACTCCATGTCCACCCTAGGCAACCGAAGCCTCGGCCTTTCCAATTGAGCAACACAGCCTTGACTGAAGTAAACTGGTCCTCCTAATTCCTACCTGAATGCGTGGATCTAGGTGGGTATCAAGGCCAGATTCGGAAGAAGAAAATTAAGAACGGGAAAGAAATATATTTGTTTCATTAAGATGACGTTATCAGTGGTTTTTTCTCAAATGCATTCCCAGCCTCCTTTCTAACCACTCTTAGCAAGCGACTGTCATGGACAACTCAACAACCTTAGAGAAGACTCCTAGCCCCAGGACGCCGTCCTGATTCCTACTGGCCATCAACCTTGGCGATGTAGGCTGGAAGCAGAGTTGTTAGCAACAGGATTCTGTAGATGGGAGGAGCAAGGAGACTCAATGACTTACCAATCAGGTCCACAACACGGTGGGAGTAGCCCCACTCGTTGTCGTACCAGGAGACGAGCTTGATGAAGTTGGGGTTGAGGGCGATACCAGCCTTGGCATCGAAGATAGAGGAGTGGTCATCGCCGTTCAGGTCAGAGGAGACGATGTCGTCCTCGGTGTAGCCGAGGATGCCCTTGAGCTCGTTCTCAGAGGCCTTCTTGATGACGGCCTTGATCTCCTCGTAGGAGGCGCCCTTCTCGATGCGGCAGGTCAGGTCAACGACGGAGACGTTGGCGGTGGGGACACGCATGGACATGCCGGTCAGCTTGCCGTTCAGGGAAGGGATGACCTTGCCGACAGCCTTGGCGGCGCCAGTGGAGGAGGGGATGATGTTCTGGGCCGCAGTGCGGCCACCACGCCAGTCCTTAGCGGAGGGACCGTCAACGGTCTTCTGGGTGGCGGTGTAGGAGTGGATGGTGGTCATCAGACCCTCAACGAGACCGAAGTTGTCGTTGATGACCTTGGCGAGGGGAGCCAGGCAGTTGGTGGTGCAGGAGGCGTTGGAGAGGACGTTGATGTCGCTCTTGTACTCGGTGTTGTTGACACCCATGACGTACATGGGGGCGTCGGCGGAGGGGGCGGAGATGATAACCTTCTTGGCACCACCCTTCAAGTGGGCAGAGGCCTTTTCGGTGGTGGTGAAGACACCGGTGGACTCGACAACGTAGGTAGCGCCGGTCTCAGCCCAGGGGATGCTGGCGGGATCACGCTCGGCGTAGAAGCGGATCTTCTTGCCGTTGACGATCAGGCCGGAGGTACCGTCAATCTCAATGGTGCCCTTGAACTGGCCGTGGGTGCTGTCATACTTGAGCATGTAGGCCTAGAACGAAAAGGGCGGCAGGGGTTAGCATATTACGCGGTGCATGATTGAATGCGGGGGGAGAAACAAAACAAGGAGGCGGTAGTGAAATTGGGTGGTGGCGTCGGGGTAGCGTCGGGGTTGCCGCCCGACGCCACCACCCAATTACCAACAAAACGCGGGGCGAGGGTGAAACGTACAGCGTAGTGGACCTCAATGAAGGGGTCGTTGACAGCGACGACATCGACACCGCCGTGGTTGATGCTGTGGGACACGTTAAGGGTGCTATTCGTCCCCGGAGATGTGGGGTCAAGAGGAGCTAATCACTTACGCATTGCGGAAGACCTGAGAGGTGGGTTAGCTCGATACGTTTCGAACGTGCCAGACGGCGACAGGGAGGAGGCGGAACTCACAATGCGGCCAATACGACCGAAACCGTTGATACCAACCTAATGGGAGCGTGTTAGTAGGAAGGCGCGGTGTCGTGGTGCGACCCGGAGCGCGTACCTTGGGGACCATGTTTGCGGGGATGTTGATTCTAGCGGAGCTGTGAGCTTGACCCTAGAAGGCAAGAAGGCGGGGTAGCGTGGCGGGGAGGGGGATGGGGGAGGGGCAAGGAGAGAAGTGAGAGATGATAGATAAGGGGTGGATGGATGGAGAATTGAAGCTTACCTGAAGGAACAGAAAGTAGATGTGATAAAGAGGAGGAGATGGGGAAGAGAAAGAAAGAAGAAGAGCAGAAGATGAGGTGGGGGGAGGGGAGGCAGAAGTAGTTTCTGGGAGGGCTGACGCAACAAGGGAATCACCCCCTCGACAGCGGCTATGTATGGAACAGTAATCAAGGAAAGTAATAATACTCCGTTCGCGCGACTATGAGGTACACACCGAAAAGCCCAGCCCGTAATGGGGCCCACCCCCAGACAATGCCACCGCGGGTGGGTAACTCCTCGTACCCTACAGGGTCAGCCTTTTTCCCGGCCATTGCCGCCTGCCCAGCGCCCCTTTCCGGTTTCATACACCGGGCAAAGCAGGAAGAGTCACGATATGTACGCCTGCATTGCCCCTCGGGAGCTTGCACTCTGCCAATGAGCATGCGCTGATCATCCTCGCCAAGTGCTCGTTCTACCTCGGAGGTCGCTGCTCAAGAATGTTTTGCCCGCAGTCGGGTATTGGGGGGACCATCACGATAATTCGGCTCCTATGGCAGGCATTCCGAGGGCCCGATGGTGAAGCGATGACGGTGATGGAGGGGCAAGGCGGGAGGGGAGTGGATGATGCCACGACTGAGGGGCAGTGACTCGAGGGCCGACTCGCGTACCGTACTTTCTCGCACTCCCAGAGGGACAGGAGCTATACAGGATGCGCCATACCCGGCACATTCACAGCTCGGCTGGTCCACTCGCTTCAATGGCATTCAATATTTGATTCATGGATTTCTTTGGTGCCCCTCTTCTTCAGCCCATCGCAGCATCCCACAGCTCCCGGTCTATACCGCATGCGGCGGGGGACCAGCGGGTAGCTCAAAACAGCCTGCGGTGGACCGCCCGGTGTATAAAGAGGGCGACTCGGGCCCTGAAAAGAGTCACCGGGGAACCACCACGGGATCCAGCAGAGTTTTCGGTTGTTGCGATGTGAGGATGGCTCTGATTTGATCCTCTGAGGTTTCTGAGACCGGCCCGCGTATTCAGGCAGTTCCACGAGCTTATAAATCCCCCTCCCCCGGCCACTCCGGCGAAGAGGCAACGGAGATGCGACACCGATGCATCACCCTGACCGCTACTGTACTAATGGTTACCACGTGACGGGGGACTGGACTATGACAGGTACCTCGATCTGATATGCCGAATATCCGAATATGACATGGCGCGGCCGAGGCCCCCAGCACTGTGGAACCTCGTGGAAGCCGACGGCTCGTCGGCTTGTCTGGCAGCACCGCAGCAGAAGCTATGGACACCACGGCGGATCCCTTGCTACGACCGCATGAGGCTCAATGCGACATTCTACATGGGGAAACAAGCAGGGGAAAAAAGAATTATGGCTCGAGACTGCAACAGCGTAACCGAATACGCCATTGCGGGCCCGGGGGGTGGGGGAGTGAGAAGATATAAGAGTGGTATAATACAGCCAGAAAAAGTGATCGCCGTGAACATGACCATTCCTGCTCCATGGACCTGGGAACCAAAGAGAGAGGCAGATACAAATAGACCTCCGGATTGTCCACTCAAACCCATCCTATGTATGCATTTACTCCTCCTTAGCACCACCCCGGTAGTTCTTCTCCGCGTTCTCAATCGACGCCTTATCGCTCTTGGGCTGGCCCTGGGACATGAAGCCGCCGGCGTTCTTGAAGGGGCGAGCCAGGTCACCCGTAGCGGGCTTGCCGAACACGTGGATCTTGACCAGGTTGGCCTCGAAGGCGCCCTTCAGGGGAATGATGGACTGGATGAGCAGGGGGTTGGTGTACTTCATGTACAGGTGCATCACAGCCATCATGCCCACACCCATCAGCTGGCTGCGGATCAGCTGGCGCAGCTGCCCCTTGTCGTAGTCCATGTTGGTGGTGGTGACCGGCTTGGACTCCTCGCCGGTGCCCATCGGCGCGGGCTCGACGTACTTGAGGGTCGACATGTCTGCGTCGCGGAGAAAAAGAAGATGTTAGTGGTCTTGATCAGAGAGAACCAGTCCAGCATGCGATCGTATTCCGCGCGATCATTGGAGGAAATGGTCGCACGCGATCATCAACATACCCTTCTTCGCATTGATCTTGGCCTGCGTGTACAGGTAGATACCCAGGATCAGGACGTTCGACAGGATGTACATGCCGCGCACACCCATCAGCACTTGCGGGTCATCAAAGGGCACCTTCTTTGCCAGCTGCATCATCACCAAGATGATGCCAAGGTTGGTACTGCCAAAGTCGCGTGTCAGCCAGGTGAGAAAGAGAGATCGCATGATCATCGGGAAACCTACACTTGAGCGGAGACCATTTTGCCGGGAGGTGAGCCTGTGAACCGGAGCCGTAGGAGAACTGGTGAAGGAGAGAATGGGGGGAGGGGATGATCGGAGCGTACGGGGGGAGGCAACAAAACCAAAACTCATCTCCCCCGGGCCACCTGGCGTTCTGGAACGGACAAACTATCACCCGTTATCGCGCGCTGTCAGGTCACCTGACTGCCACGCCGCCTGCCCGCTGGTCGAGATTCAGTCCGTTTCGTCGTCACCGTTTTGAAGGCTGTCTCCACGACAAGGGTTGCTCTGCTTTCCACTCACATGGCAGGAGAACACCAGGATTGGTCCACCATGAGAAACACTTTCGCATTCCCTACCAGCTTCGAGGCCTGGGCCAAGCCGGGATAAACTGGTGGTGGAGGGGCCCGCAAACGGGTTCTTACTTTGCCCTTCCTAACCAACCGCCTACCCCTATGGCGATGGGGCCCGCACTGGGGTTATATCTTGATATTTGGACACCTTGATAGAAGACCCTGGAAAAAGGCTTCTCTCGTGTATCGATCCCCATATCCCCCGTCTTTGACAGCGACAGACGAACGAACGGCCACTTGGGCCGACCTTGGGATGATGACCATATTGGGACTAGCGCCGGGTCCGCGGTCGCAGTCTTTAGCGACCGGGACGGTTGGACATTTCTGACTTCTCCATCCATCAACAACGCGCGTGCCTACCGCTATCTGATATCGCACCTTCATCCCTCCACCTTGTGCCTGATCGCCTGCAATCTCTGATTACCGCGCCTCGATCTATCTCTACGACCCCATCCGAACATTTGCCCAAGATGCCTGGCGGAAAGGGAAAGTCCATCGGTGGAAAGGGTGGTTCCAAGGACTCGGCGGGGAAGGCCCAGAAGTCTCACAGCGCAAAGGCTGGTCTGCAGGTCAGTGGTGTGGTGGTTGTGATGTAACCGGATGGACTGGGCGCAGATGGAGGATATGCGATAGGGGCCTGGCAGTCCCTTCATGTATGATGCAGAGACGCGTCGACATCGACCCTTCCCCTCACTGCCCTGCTCGCCAGGGCTTTCTGGGGGTCTCTTGCATCATGCCACCTTGTCGCATGTCCTTTCTCTCGACCATCGCGAACCGGTCGCGCTAGATTCTGTCGCGCTGTCTCAACGGCTACTAACATCGCTCTTCTCCCCTCTAGTTCCCCTGTGGTCGTGTCAAGCGTTTCTTGAAGAACAACACCCAAAACAAGATGCGTGTCGGTGCTAAGGGTATGCCTCTCCCCCCGCCCCTTCTACCCCTCTTTCTCTCTTTCCCTATCCTCTCTAGACTCTGCTGATGCTGACAAACCTTAGCGGCTGTCTACGTGACCGCGGTCCTCGAGTACCTGACCGCCGAAGTGCTGGAGTTGGCCGGCAACGCCGCCAAGGACCTGAAGGTCAAGCGCATCACCCCCCGTCACTTGCAGCTGGCCATTCGTGGTGACGAAGAGCTGGACACCCTTATCCGCGCCACCATCGCCTTCGGTGGTGTCCTGCCCCGCATCAACCGTGCTCTCCTACTCAAGGTGGAGCAGAAGAAGAAGGGCAAGCCCGAGCTGTAAACGGACCCATGGGATTGAAGGGAATGATCGATGGCGACCGGCAGGCTCCGAAAACGATGGGCCGGAGTTTGTTCACCCACGACTGCTGAATCCGCTCCCCTGCACCACCCAAGGTCTCTTTTGTCTTATCGTACTTCACGGCGCGCGACTCTGATGTATTGTCTTGTCTATTCCCCGGCTTTTCCTTTCTTCTTTCTTTCCTTTCTTTTTTTCCTTTTCTTCTCCATATTTCTTATTTGTTGGATCCGTGCGATGTCTATTTCAAGTTCACAGGGCGCTGTAATGGGAAAATGGGGGAATATCCTGGTAGTGTGGAAATTACTACTTCTGATTGATTTACACTGTCCAAATGTAGTCTTTATTACCTATCACTTTCCACACTGACCATTGTAATCTGGGCTGACAAGTCCACGATGCAATTCGCTCCTAACCGGAATCAATGCCAAAAGCCGATCTGGGCCCCGTAAACAGGCGTCCGTGGGACATTCCTCGCGGCCCGCTACAATGGCCCAGCTTCCCTTCGGCATGGAAACCAGCCGTGTCACATCGCGTCGCATATGACTCACTACAAGTGAAAGCGAAAAGCGAAACAGAAGGTATGAGAGTGTATATAGATCCTCAGGTTTCAGGGCTTCGACCGGAGTCCTGCCAAGATTGCCTTGCACGAGAGACTCGGACTAGAACTCGACGTGCATGGATACGGGGGATCGACAGGGACAGGCATGCCGAGACCGGGACCATAATAAACACAGTACACACAGTAAACAAACGGGGGAGCTGGAGGCACTCCGCCAACCGGTGAGCCTCTCCGTGAGATCATTTCGGCGTGATTGAAGCAGTATATTGTATCATGTTTCAATGCGTTTTGTCTTTAACTTGATCCTAGATAGGCGCCCAAGCACCCCTAGACCGAGGATGGTCGGAGTAGGGGACTGGTCTAGTTGAACCCTGCTACAAGTACTCCTTCATACTCCAACGCTACTCAGGAAAGAAGTAGAAACGCACAACAGTAAAAGGTACATGGATTGTCAAAATTTCAGTACAACATTGAAGGAAAAAGTCCCTAGACTGCAAATGATACCAAGCATGGAGAGAAACCCCTCTTCGACCAAGACAGAGACTGTATATGGACGAGCAATAATCCCCGAATGAACAGCAGTAGAAACCTATCAATATACACATACATCAACAGATGTAGGTAGAGTCAATCCAGGCCATACCACTTGAATCAATCCATGAAATCACCGCCTCCAATCTTCCCTACTCAAGTCCCAATCGTTTCTGCGAGACAAAAACCAACCTCCATCAGAGCAGTCGCACCATACAGAAAAATTCACAAAGGAGGTGATGGGAAAGAGAAGATGAAAAGAAGAAAAGGCATACTCGGCCCCGCAGGCGTAGAAAAGCAACCGCCGTCCATTCCCCGGAACGTCACACATTAGGGGGTAAGTTACGGAGGAAGCATCAAAGAGAAGAGAGAAAAACGGGCCAAACAATAAACGATGCGAAGTCGCCCCCCCATGTACAAACTAAAACAGGCGGAGAATATGCAAATGCTGAGATTGTCGTGTCTCCTGCCGAGGGACAGGGTTCTTTCGGTCATTCTTCGTATGCGTCCCACGTCACCAAGCAGCACTGGACCTGGAATCATGGGATCATTATCATCATCGTCCAAGAAATGATAGCGATCATGGTGAGAATCCGGGATGCAGTGTCTGGGGAAAACCAAGTAACAAAGCCATGGAGAAGCTGTGCATGCAAGAAACGGCGCCCGCAGAAAAAGGCCAAAAAAAAGAAGAGAAGGAAGAGAAACAGAAAGAAAACAGAAATAGAAAGAATAAAATCAACAAAAACAAATCCAGAGTTTCACTCAAAAGAGTGACGGGGGACCACTGCTTCGAACATTATCCAGCTGAGGATAACATTCACCACAAGTGGGTGATCCCACGGGTGCAGAGGTTCGAATGTGCAAATTGCAGACAGAAGTGCAAGCGCGGATTGTTGGGCTGCCCCAATATAGAAAAAAAAAAAAAAACGTCTAAACTTGGCTAGTAAAAAGTAGATCAGATCAGCGAAACAATGGATTTTTCTGGTCTTTTTTTGGGTTGTCATCTCGTCATCCCTCATCGAAATCGTAAGCCGGTAATTCGCAGAACAGGGCCTCGTGATACAAGTTCGTATTCGTCTCGCGGCAAATCAGTCGGATGCTGGCAAAAATAGGGGTAAGGGAATAGCCATCGTTTCAAAAAAAGGTTGCGCTCTTTCTTTTGTTCCAACAAACACAGGCAAAAAGTAGGGTAAGGTAGTGGTAGTCGGTTTGCGAGGGGATCGGGTCATTTGAGGTCGTCTACTCCACGATGATCTCGACGCCCGAGGTGGCACGCAGCTCATCACTGCCACGGGCCTGGTGCCCGTTCTGGCGGCGGAAGCCGGTGCCCTTCTCGGGAGTCGGGCCACGGGGCTGTCGGATCGGCATGCGCTCTTGCTGGGCATTGTCAAAACCCACTCCCATGCCACGGTTGCTACCAATGGTGCCGGCCGCCGAGGGTTGGCTATCCTGCTCCCAAGAGAACATACCACGCAATCGCCGAGGGCTGGAGTTCGGACCTCCGATGCCGGTTCCAAGAGACAGTCCGCCAAGGCTGTTTACAAGCAGGTTATCATCACGCTGCATACCGAGGGAAGAGCCGGAGGGTGCCGAGGTGAGGGTCGGGGTGTTCGAAGTGGCGGTCGGGGCGCCTTCGTACTGGAGCCGGGTTCCGTTGGACTGCAGAGCGGCAGGGAAGCTGGCGGAGGAAGGGACGGGGGATGGCGTGTACGACCGCAGGTCGGCGAAGGACTTGGCGGCCCGCAGGTTCTGGGTGTTGGCAAAGTTGCCCGGAGAGTCCATCACACCTAGGAAACTGGAGGTCTGGCCACGCAGCGTGTTGAAGGCACCCGGGCCGCCCTCGTTGCGGGCCTCGCTGAAATCAATGGTGGCCGCACGATTGAGTCCGCGGCGGGCGCTATCGCCAGCCTGCCCAGCAGGCGGGATGGACGACAAAGGGGGCTGACATTGGTGCCCGCAGCTACCTTGAAGACCTGGACCTGGCGCTGATCGCCATTGCCGCGGGAGGCATGGGCCAACCCCATATTATGAGCCAGGGTGTGAACCGTGCGTCGCTGGGAAGGGGTCAGATTGGGTGGGAAGATGACGGAGTCGCGGGCGGTGTCTTCCTTGAACAGGAGGAGTTGGGAGTAATAAGAAAGAGTCTGGCTGTCGTTCAAATCCACCTCTACTTGTTCGTGTTGATGAGCAACCAGGTCACTGTCGGATGTCGGGAAGTGCCTGATTGACTTACCCAGCTTCTGACCGCGTTGCGAAACGGGCGAGGGCGAGGTGGCCGGGATGTGCGAAGTCAGCGAGGACATGGAACTCTGCGTCTGCAGCTGCGAAGAGGCCATGGGCCGGTGCTGTTCTTCCAGCTGGCCGCGGCGCTCACGCTTCTCCCGTTCGATTCGTTCCCGCTCCTGCAGGGGCAACATCTTCTTGTACTCCACGCGCAGTTTCCGCCCCTGAAGTTCAAAATGATTCAGGACCTCGATCACGGTGGCGGTCTCCTCCGCCGAGGTGAAATTGGCAAAGGCCAATCCACGGAACACGCCGTTGTCAAAGTGGTAGTTGAAGGCGTAGGGAAGAGGCAGGTTCAGCTCCGTCATTAGTTGCACCAGCTGCTCCTTCTTGACGGCAAATGGGATGTTCTTGATGACGATGGCCGTTGGGATGAGTTCGTCATCGCCCTCTGACGAAGCCGATGCTTCCGGCCGCATCGCGCTGCTCTGGATGGGGCCAGGGCCCAGGTTGGAGAAAGCGTTGGGCATGCCGGGCTGCTGATCGAGCCAGGTCTGCGTGATAAGATGAAAGTAGTTAGTTGACATTCAGGTGAAAGAACCACACATGTGGGATGGTTTGAAAACGGAGAACCAAAAAAAAAATCAGAAAACCAAAAAGTCACAGGGGGTTGTGATCAAGGGCAAAGGAAAAAAAAATTTGCGTAGCGGACGTGGAGCATAACAAGACACATACCGTAGGCAGTCCGGTCCGTCCACGGGCGGAAGGCTTCAAACTGGCCGAGGCCGACCGAATCCCACCCAGGGACTGAGCGTTGGCGAAGCCATTCGGGTTCCAAGTCTGCGAGCCGGACAGGTCATAGCCGTAGGAGGCATTATTTTGCAGCGAGGGGTTCAGACGCTCGAGGCGGGCCGACTCGTAGCGGGCCATCTGGTCCTCGTAGAGGTTGACAGGCATGGGGCCGTAGGCGTCAAACTGGCGGGAGGGCTGACGGTGCAGGGGTTGTTGATGCCGCTGGGAGCCAGGGGAACGTGCGGAGGGATCGTGATACATGTCCGACTGTTGGTAACTCATGGCTGAGAAACGAGGGATTCCCGAGGACCCGAGGAATGTGGGCACGTAAAATCCACCACAACAAGGTCCAAGTCCAAGTCTCCAAGTTCCAGTCCAGGTGTAGGTCCAGGTCCAAGTCCAGGTCCAGGTCCAATCCAAGTCCCGGGTAGGTCGAGCGAAGTCCGTGGGAGCACGGATCTACACGGACATGGAGCAGGCGCGAGTAATTTTTTTTTTCGAGTGGGAGGAGGTTAAGACGTGGTGTGGGAGGAGGTGGAGTGGCGGAGGAATTTTGCGGAGGAAAACGCAGGCACCAGGGCAGAAAAAGCGTGCGGTGCGAGGTCAGAGGGCCAAACAGCAAAATCGCTCACGGATGCAAAGTCGTGCTCGTTCGGGTCGTGAAAGGGGGGAGGGGTAGGGGGGGGAGGGGGAACACGATATGGGGTCAAAACGAGAGGGGAGTTTTGTTGGGCTTTTCAACCAAACAAACGACGCCGGGTAGGAATTCACGGTATCATCGAGGCCGAGTCGAGGAGAGGAAGAGGAGGAAGGAGAGAGCGTGGGGCAGGCGAAAAGGTTTTTGGCTTGGGACTGGGAGCGGTCCACTGTTGCTAGACTCCGAAGACTCGCCAAGAACCGGGAGTAAGGAGGCCGCGGGCTGCAATCACGAATTGCCGTTCAGATGGGACCTATGAGAGCTGGGATCTGTTCCAAATAACCGAGCAGAATGGCAGAAAAAGAAAAGACGCAAAGCCAATCCGTCGCGGGTTCATGGGGGGGGGGGGGAGACTGGCAACGGGGGACTTATATAGCACCACCGACTGACTGACTAACTCCAGTTCTCCGTACTTACGACCAGCCGACGCCAAAAAAAGAAACCAGTCGAGCCCCGTTTGGAGCGTTCGTCGGCTCAGAGTGGTTCCTGCGTTTTCTAGTTTCTTGGTTCCCGGCCACGCAGAGGAATGAGGAGACCGCGAATGAGCATGAGGCCGGTCTTCCTTCGGCGGATGAGTACTCCGTCAGTCTGATGGACACGAGTTCGGAACTGTTGCGAACTTCTTTGGTCAACCTCTACTCTGTCCACTCTATCGGAGTCCTCCCCCTGCCCCTACGGACTCCCCAAGGACTCCCCAATGATGCCCCCCTGTCCCTTTCCCCTGATGAGCTCTGCTTTCTCTACGGTCGCTCGCGGGAGGCCAATCGGAGTGCGGTCGTCCTATAGGTGATTATTGTCTCGGCTCCCCACTCGTCGTCTCTCTCCTTAGTATGGAGTACGAAGTACGGTGCTTGCCTGCCCTGGGGCTTAGCTTGACGGAGTACGGAGTTCCCTTTCGTTTCCTAGCCTTCGATTCCACGTTCTAGCACGTCCCCTAGTCCCCTTCGAGCATTGCGCGTCCATTCTTGATTCCTAGTGCCCACCACGATCGGCCACCCCCTGGTGTGGTGGACGGGTCCTTGACCATCTGCCGCGCCGACTGGGCTCCAGGTTCCAAGCTTCTGCGGTCAGCTCCCCTGTCCGGCCTAGTCATCCTCTGTCGGTCCGGTTCCTGGCCGTCAGGTCGAATGGCTGTGGGAATGGCTATGGGAATGGCACCCACCACACGGGGAAACGCAAGCGCAAAGGCATCAGCGGGGCTACTGCCTGAGGGTGAGAATTATGTGCAGCAGAGTCGTCATAACGAGGTCATGCTCGGTAGTAGTCCAGACTACAGAGGTCACTATACACCCCGTCGAGGGGTACTCTGGACCGCATGGACGCCAACGGGGATCGCACGAGCAGTTTCAAGAGTGACGGACCCAGTTCACGTGCCTCGTGGTCGCCTCGCCACTCTATCTGATACGACGGTTGCTCGCCCCCTGCAGATTCGCCCTCCTCAGTACGAGTCATAGCTTTTGTATACTTTCCTTTTCCTTTCCTATCTTCCCAATTCCTGTGCAGCCCTCCGTTTAGGACATCTTTCGTCAAGGAATCGATCCCCCTTCTCCCCCCCTCCCCCCCCCCCCCCCCCTTCTTCCCCTGATTGGCCTCCTTTTTCCATTTCTTCCAAAATAAGCCCACTGTGCTATACAAGGCATAGCGTGCCTCTCAAGGGATCGCCTGCCTCGATCAGTCCTGGCCGCACGTCTTTTGCCACCCTATTCTTCCCTTTCACTACTCCGTACTTCGTAGTAATATGGTCATGATGAGGACACACCCACGGAGGACTCCGTTCTCCGTACTTGCCAACTGATGATTTGATACTATATCATGTACTCCGTGCAGGATCATCGATGACCTCAAGAGCGACAGAGAAAACAATACTACGGAAGAGCAAGTGGACACCATATCCCCCCCCACCCCCTCCCTGGCCGCCGGTCACCAATAATTGGGTCTGAACGGGACGGCCCAGCGCTTCCCGACATTTTGATATGGGTTCCTTCGGAATATTCCTTTTGTCTACCGTGTTCTCCTCTTCATCCACGCCCTGATTGACGGCGCATGGTGCTATGCCACGCCAGGTCCACCTCTCCCCTCCACTCCTGGGCGCCAAGTGGAAGCGGAAAACTTTCGCCGTCTCCACGATCCGCACATTCCGCGTTTCTAGTGTCCCGCGGCGCCGCGGAACGACCTGCGACCTGCCCCGAACACCAGCTAGAACCCGCTGGAGGCGGGTTCGAAAGCACTTGGAACGTCAGACTCCGGCCTAGGGTGGAGTTGGGGGTGGCGGTAGTCGGCTTCGCTGCTCCGACTCGACGGTGCGCCTGCGCGTGGCGGCCGCCATCACGAGCCACGGCCAAGCAATGGGGATGGGGAAAGCTCCCGGAGCTCTTGCTGCCTTTCCGAGGTGACAAAGGGACAGAAAACTCGCTGCCTAATTGGTGCTTCTGTTGCTGTCCCCCCTATCTCTTTGATCACGATGATGCGCATGCAGGCCGCTGAGATCACCGGGCCCCTACGATCTTCCCTTCGCCACCTCGTCCTGGGGATAGCTTGACGAACCCCTTTTCCCAGCACCGACGCTCATTCCTAGCTGGTGCCTGGTTCCCTCAACTTTACCCAGGACTACGGAGGACGCTTTTCAGAGCTGTGGAAATGAGAATGCCTTCGGCCGAATCCCGTTGGAAAGCTCCAAGTGGGGTTCGGGCTCTGGTCTTCCAGAAGGAGCTTCCAGGTTTAAGCGTGGCGATGTAAAGCCATTCCGCGACCAAGCTAAACAATAGCCTCATGACCTAGTGGATAGGGCCGGCGAATGCGGCATCTCTCATCGGCCAGAAGCATCGGAGAAAGATGTTCGTCTCTGCGTTCAGGGGGAGACGTCCCATCAGACAAGTGGGCCAGGGACGGCCAATTGTCTTTTTCGAACCTGCTGCGAACGCCAATCATCCGGATCTCCGACAAAGAGGAAAATCTTCAGTTATGGGCTTGACGTGTCGTCGAGGCGAGCAAAAGCCATTTCTATCACACGAATGGCCACGAGAGGTGACGTTCTGAATAGAGTAGTGGCCGGTTACGCCCAATTGTGCATCCTGGGCGTGCTTGGAGGCGATCCTCGAAAAGGTGGCGCACAGTCGGCACGGTAGTCCAAGAGGGCTTCACGTTTCGTATGCCCCGTAGGCAACCGGCCGTATCACCGGGCAAAGGCCGCACAGAATCCATGAGTCCCACGTGGAATTGATGGCGGTTCAATAGTGTGCCGACTGGAGGGGAAAGGGGCGGAGAATCGATCAGGAGTGGGCGAACTGACATCACCCCCTACTGCGAGACTAAGAGCGTGGCCGGGAGAGAGTACCGAGTACCGAGCCCCTGGGATGCCTCCAACCGCCTGGACATGTCCATAGTTGACCGGACGGGCGGGCGGTGAGAAGGGGTCTGGACCAGGCCGGTTTCTCGAAACTCTCGGCTTCGGCTTGCGCGTGCACATCTCCCCGAGTCTGGCATTAATAGATCGGACGGTGGTGATGCAATCCTACTCAGTCCATTCAATCTGCTGTACGGAGGACATGGATTGCAGACGCCCCCGCGGGTCTCACAGACCCTGCGAAGACTCAAGGGTCGAGCAATCTTTTTATGCTTTTTTTTTTTTTAATAAATCACCGTTGAAACCCCTAAAGGCGGTAGGACTCGCTTTATGGTATGGCACTATGTTAGAAGATTTCACCAAGGCCTCGACAAGGCCGGACCAGGTGGGGGAAGCCGAGGCAAACAAAGAGGAAAGGCGGCAACAGATGACTTTGTCCACTCCGACCCTGTCTCATCAAAGAATAAGCACCTGGCAAAAATGGCCAATGTGTTCACAGCCACGCTTCTTACGTCCGTCAATCAACCAAACCTCATCGCCCTCATCCAGCAAGAGTGACGGGGTTATGCTGCACCTCGACGACCCAGGGTGTTTTTCCGTCGGTCACCCAACATCTTTTCCCCCCAAATGAGACACAATACGGTAGATAATCCGTTCGAACATTCCACCAAGTCCCCTAGTCCCTTCGCTTCGCTGGGAAGTCGACTAAATGTCGACATGCCGAGGAGAGCACCGTGGCGTAGACAAGCATGCGGGACATGGATCAGTCATGCAACTTGAAACAAACCATGGTTCCAAGAGGGGACGGCTGACGAGGCCCCACTAGATTCGTTCGCCGATTGCGCTCACGAGTCCCCTGGAGTCAATGGCCGCCTATGGCACGCTTTAACAGAAATGGCGGGGTTCTTCGTGTTCGATAATAGAACCATGATGGCCTGAAACCGATCAGCCCTATTGACGATAGCTTGGGGGCTCAGCTCATGTTGATGGCGCAAGTCCGTCCTCATACGCGGCCTCTGCAAGCCACTTGAGCCAAGTGCCGATCGGCTGAGGCGTCGTCCGGGAACGATGAGGATCAGCCCAGACAGCCAGTCGTGTCAAGCATTATGGGAGTGGGGCCAGACAATAAGTTGCAGGCGCCCAAAAATTCGGCATGTTTAAAAATGTTGCTGGCCCTCGTGGGACTCCGCAATTCCGAGAAGGAATTTGCGTTGCTGTGTTGCTGTGTTGCTGTGTTGCGTTGTTGCTGTCTCGCTGTCTTGCTGCTGCCCCTGAAGGGGCCTAATTCGGTCCCGCAACGATGCGGCTCACGGTTCGCGTGTCGATCACTTTCGTCCTGATCCTCACAATTCTGCTCGTCAAGAATCACTTGGACTCTCTCTCGCCGCAATGGCAGGCCGACCGCGGCGCTGAGCTCGCGCCCGAGTTTGTGCTGGACAGCGCGGGCGCGCATATCGAGCTGGTCTCGGTCGATCGCACCGGTCCGTCACCTTCGCCTTCCTCCATTTCAATTGCGCTGCCGTCCAGCTCCGCGCCGGCATCCAAGTCGTGGCCCGAACCGACGAAGCGGCCCGCGACGCCGACCAAGTTCCAGCCGAAGTCGATCCCGGTAGATGTGCCGGGCGCGGATGATGATATATGGCAACAATATCCGTTTTGGTCGCATGACGATATGCAGATTATCACGCCAGACCAAAAGCATAGTTTGAATGTAAAACCGCGGCCTACGTCCACGCCGAAGCCCAAGGTGTCGCCGTATCCCGATCGCATTATTGTCATGGGCCGCATGTCGTGGGAGGACTCGGGTTGGTTGGAGGATGAGTTGCCCGAGTGAGTTCCGTACAATTTGTCCCGCCAAACTTACACATGGTGGCTGTCCATCGCAGCGCTGGTTGCTTGGACCCAATGTTGACAAATATGTACGACGCAGATGGCAACATGCAGTTTACGTGGTCGATAACCCTGACTCGGAATACGCCGTCCAAGAAAATAAGGGCAAAGAGTCCAACATCTACCTCCAGTATATCATCGACCACTACCACAAACTCCCCGAATACATGGTCTTCCTCCACGCCCATCGCAGCTCCGAGCACGTCGAATTCTGGCAGCAAGACAATGCCCTCACGGTCCAGCGCCTCCAACTCGACTACTTGAAAAGGGTCGGCTATGTCAACCTGCGCTGCGGCTGGGGCCCTGGCTGCCCGGACGAAGTCCAACCGTTCCGCCAGCTGGCCGGGCGCACGACGGAGATTGCGTTTGCGGGCGCGTGGATGCGCATTTTTAATAATACCGATGTGCCCGAGGTGGTTGCCACTCCTTGTTGCGCGCAGTTTGGCGTGACCAAGGCACAGGTCCACGCGCGGCCCTTGAGTGACTACCAAGCGTATCACCGCTGGCTGATGGAGACGGAACTGGACGATGAGACGAGCGGTCGCGTGTTTGAGTATTTGTGGCATATCGTCTTCGGGCAGGACCCCGTCTTGTAAGTATACCTCGTGGCCCTGGATGTGCATGGAATGCAATACTAACTAGTTCATCGCTAGTTGTCCATCAAAACAGCAGTGTTACGAGGATGTATATGGACTGGAGTGGGACCCTGCCTACGCAGAAGATTTTGTGGACTGGGTCGATGATGACTTCTGGGATATATGAATGATGTTTTTGTGTATAGATTTGGGCATACAGTGCACCCACAGGACTGTTATGTTGGAGCATGTCGACGAATAGATACCCTCATGCCTTTTCATGTTTTACTCGATCTCCAAATCGTCTGTTTCCACCTTGGTACCTTTTAATGTTCCCGCGGCTCCTTAAGTTTCCGCATGGCTTGCGGGTTAATTTCAGGCCTTTCCCTACCCGCGCGGCCCCGGCGACCATCCACTACGGCTCAGCGAGAGATCGGACCTAGCCGATCAGAAAGACTGCATAGTTCTCAAAACCACAGGTGCCCTCAAATTGATCAACTATAGAGAAGCTATAAAATGGATCATGAACCCCTGTCTGGGAGAACAAATTGCAATGTTCAAGGAAAGTCGTGTAGGGAGTTCATATCGCGCGTCGATCGTTCACGTTCACATCACACCGGGCTGCAATTTGAACAGCCCGCCCAATCGTCTGCCCCATTCACAGCCAAGCCAGAGGCATTAGACCAGCCAGAGCGACAAGGGACATACCACCTGGAGCCGACAGGCCGGTGGCGGCATCGGTAGTCGGGGTTGCAGTCGCAGCACTGCCCGTAGATTGGGTCGAGTCCTGAGACAAGCTGCCAGTAGAACCAGAGCCAGAGCCAGTACCAGAACTACTGGTAACCGTGGTGGTAGCATCTGTCGCTGCAGTATCGGTGGTCCCTGTGCCCGAAGCACTCGGAGTCGTGGCTGCAGCAGCGTTATAGGTGGTTGTGCTGAATTTGCAGGAGTGAACAATGTCAAGGGCCTCTGCAGGATGTGAATTAGCACCATGCTATCAGATAAGCAGAAAGAGATAGTTACCATTGTCATCATCATCGTTGTCGTCGTCGTTGTCGTCGTCACGGTCACCATCCGAGACGCGATACTGGGAGATGCAGGCAGCGCAGAGAGGAATCTGCGTCTTGGCCGCTTCCCAGTTGCAGATGCACTGCAATTCGGCAGAGTCATTATCATACTGGTGGTCGCAGCTCTCGGAGGCTCCGACGACGGAGCCACAAGCATTCCAGCAGCGGTTGGGGACATCGTCGTGCTCCAACCTGGCTGCACTTGCGATATTGCCAGCAAGAATGAGACCGGCGAGACCAAGAAGCTGCTGAGTGCGCATGGTGGTGGAATTTTTGAAATTGAACTAGATTGATAGCTTAAAAGATGTTGCTTGGTGGTACTGATGTAGATGCCAGTGGAAAGATGTCCTGGTGAGTGGACTGGTCCTTTATATGTCGCCCTTCACGATAAGGATCAGACTGTTTCTATAAATGAAGATAGTACCGTCAAACCCTGCCGATCCCATGGTATCGTGCGGAGCATGTAGTCATCTCGTTCATCACAGGTAGCCGACAGATAACCTTGAACTAGGTAACAGACCCGCTGAGCCCCCAAAGTCATTGCCGACCCTAACTATCAATATAGAACCGAAGTTCATCTAGCAGGTTGTACATCACTGATCAACAGGGAAGTAGCCAATATCCTCAGAGCAAAAGCCGCTGCCTGGGCCATCTGTGGGACTAGCCAAGAGCCAGCCAAGAGTAGCGCGGTAATAGTTCATCGGCCAATGTAGGGACTGGATAGCGAAGTGGTATTGTTATGCTGCAGTGCTTCCCCCCGGCTCATGTAGATGAAGGATCATTCAGTGGCTGTGCTAGCATTGATCTCTAAATATTTGGGGTCTACAGAGATACCCTGCCCATAAGTGATGGGCTTAGAAGAATTCAAATATGGGACAATTGTTGTCCGCTAGGTGTGAGCGATGCACAAAGATATTCATCTAAGCCACCCTGTGGGGCCGCTTGCTCCTTGGCGCGGCACTTCTGCACTGCTGCTCGTTCAGGCCACCGCATTGTGAGATGAATCCGAGAGGGCAATATGGGGGACTTTCAAGGATTTCTACAGATTGAGTTGCCAAAGGATATCTTTCTGGCCAAAAAGAACGGGTGGAGTCTGTGCTGCATGGACGCTGCCGGGAGCCGCCCCAATTTGCTCCACTGCCGATGAATATATATAAATAGTAGAGATCGCGGGTATGGCTAGGCTTCAACATTGTTCAAAAATTCTTGGCCTAGGGTTTGTTGTCATTCTCGATTGGGGAGATCGAGAGTGATATCCGCTTCCATTTTGGCTTTACCCTGCCTAAATAGCGACCCCCGCAGCCAGCCGCAGCAACTATACATAGGTGCATCACGACTAATCTACCTCTGTTCCCTGCATCGCATTCGTTATGATCACAAAATTAAATTCGATGAAATGTTACAATGTTGTTTAGTTGATTCAGGTACAAAGAGTAATCGTTGAGAGCCACTTACTAAGGAATGCGACCCCGCTGGAACCCCACGCGAGTTGGAAGGTAGACTCCGTCAACTACATCCAATCCGACAGCGCAACCCAGACATCACAACATGGCCCGAGTAATGGGAAAAGTATGGGAGTCGTACTACCTGCGGCCTGCCGGAGACTTCACTTCCACACTCATCCCAGTTTTCCTCTACGGGACGGCCTGGAAGAAGGACCGGACGGCCGACCTGGTCTACACCGCGGTCAACGCCGGTTTCCGGGCCATCGACACGGCAGCACAGCCTCGACATTACCAAGAGCATCTGGTCGGCGATGGAATCCGTCGTGCGATTGTGGATAGGGTTGTTCGTCGAGAGGACCTCTACGTAAGTAGCGACCAACCAGGATGGACGAAGCCCGCTGGGCAAGGTCAGTGTGGTACTGCCACTGACAGCCACGCAGGTGCAAACCAAATTTAGCCCTGTCTCGGCACAGGACCCCAGTAACATGCCATATGATGCGGAGGCCTCTGTGACAGAACAGGTACATGCGTCGATCCAATCCTCGCTGCATAACCTTCGTCCTTCCGAGGACCCGAGGACTGCCGATGATGCGTATATCGATACGGTGGTAATTCACTCCCCGCTGCGTACCATTGACCAGACATTAGAGGCCTGGCTGGCCCTGGAGACCTACGTGCCCCATCGCATCCGCAACCTGGGCATCTCTAATTGCTCTCTACCCGTGCTTCATGAACTGTTCATGGCCCCCGAGGTGAAGGTGAAACCCGCCGTGGTGCAAAACCGATTCTACGAGGACACCCTCTTCGATACAGATCTACGGATCTTTTGTCGCGAGAATCAGGTCATCTATCAGAGCTTCTGGACGCTGACTGCCAACCCGGATCTGGTGCGCTCTGACCCTGTCCAGCAACTTGCTACCCTGGTTCAGATCAGTCCGGCATCAGCGTTGTACACCCTTGTGATGGGGCTGGGGGATATTGTTGTGCTGAATGGGACAAAAAATGAGGGTCGTATGAAAGAAGACCTGGCAGCTCCACTTGCCGTGAAGGAGTTCACCAGAACGCATCCAGCCCAATGGCAGCAGCTCCTGACAGGGTTTCGAGGGATGGTTGGAGATCCCACCTCATAGGGCCCTTTTATTCCATCATTGTTTGCGAGATCGAGGAAGAAGAAACGCTCCACTATATTTGCTATCAATCATGTTCTGATGCGTAGTTAAGTCGACCTGAACGTGAACGGGTGGAGTCAATCCTTGACCGCCTGCTGAGTCAGCAGCGCCAATCGCTGCTCCGCTCGAATTGACCTCATCGCCGCCAAGCGATTCAGATTTCCTTATTCTCCTCCAGCGCCGCTATTCCATCTGCCTGCCTTGTCGCGTTTCTTTCGCATTGTCTGCTAGGCCGGACAGTCATCCGTCAACTTGGACTTTCCCCCTGGACTCCTCCTCAGCCCAGTCTGAATGTCGGGCGGTGCTTGCCTGTGCTGATTGTGGTGTGCCTCGTCAAGGCCATCCCGGGTCGCCTATATTGAGCCCTCCTCGACCACCGACCACCGACCACCGTGTTCAATCTCCGCGTTGCCTTGCATTCATTGCGTTGCCTGCTGGACCACCTTGGTGCTCGTCAGATTCGGCCTGTCTTTTGCCCAACTCCCTGCGGGCCTGACCTTTTTTGCGAGACTCAACATTGACAGCGACATCCAAGGCCGCGCCCTTGCATTCGGTGCAAGAATTCATCGGGAGTATAATCATAGTGAATTACGTCCGCTGCCTCGGCGACTTCGCATAAATACCGCCTAGCCGGGCTTATCAATTTTCGACATTTCCCAATATCTCGATACCCTTCCTCCACTCGCACTAAAATACGCTGTCTACGACCTGTTTCACGACACAATGAGCTCTCAAGGCATGACTCGCAAGAGGCCTGCCCCTGGCACAACCCCCGCGACTCACTCCCAGCTGGGCACAGTCTCGAACTTCCAGACCCCGAATCCCAACTCCCAACTTTCCAACGATCAGTTTCTACAATGGGGCCAGAATCCCTCCGCAAATGCCATCAATACCTCCTTTGTCGACCCTTCCTCCTACAATTCCGCTGCATATGCGTCAAACCAAGATTTGTCCGATGCAGCTGCGTCGACCTCCAATCAGTTGACGCGCCGACAGCAGCCAAACCAGCTGGTTAGCCGAAACCGTGGTTACGAGCAAGCGCCTGTGGCGTACTCCGACAACAGCGCGGGTGCAGGCACTGGAGAGGGCGCATGGGGCGAATCGATTGATGAACTTTACAACCGGGCTCGTGCCGCCAAGAGAGAGGCGCAATCGAAGAGGAAGCAGATCCCTCCGTTTGTACAGAAGCTGAGCAGGTACGCTGATATACTGGTCCTATGGTATTTGAAGAACGACGCTAACAAGAAATTATAGTTTCCTTGACGAATCTAAAAACACCGAGCTGATTCGATGGTCTGATGATGGCAATTCGTTCATTGTTTTAGACGAGGATGAGTTTGCCAGGACCTTGATCCCAGAGCTCTTCAAGCACAATAACTATGCGTCTTTTGTGCGTCAACTTAACATGTATGGTTTTCACAAGAAGGTGGGGCTGTCGGACAACTCGATGCGTGCCAGTGAGCGTAAGAACAAGAGTCCCTCCGAATACGCCAACCCTTACTTCAAACGAGGCCATCCAGAGTTGCTTTGGTTGATTTCAAAACCAAAGAATGCCACCGGCCATGCGAGCAAAGGAAGCAAGGGCGGTGCGCGTGTGAAGACTGAAGATGCAGATGAGAATGATTTAGAGGAATATGCCGAAGAGGGCGGATCTGGCTCTCGCGACGACCGTGCACGACCCCGGCAGCTGTCCCTTCTCACAGACAGTGCCATGCCCAATGACCAACTTTCTGGGGTGTATCGAGAATTGCAGGCAATTCGCCAGCAGCAATCGATCATCTCGAGTACCATTACCAGATTGCGCAAAGAGCATGAGCAGCTCTACGCTCAGGCCGCCAACTTTCAGGAGCAACACACTCGGCATGAGAACTCGATCAACGCCATTCTCACATTTCTGGCAACAGTCTACAACCGCAGTTTGCAAGGCCAGGATGGAACACAGAACATTGCCAACTCATTTGCCGGAGCTATCTCGGCTGATCACCAGGGCAATATCGTTGACGTGGGTGATGACTTTTCCTTCAACCCACTGGCCTCGATGGCCAGTCCAACTGGACAACGTACAATGAAGAAACAACAATTGCTGCTCAAAGCACCGCCTATTGCGAATGGGGCTAACCGGGCAACCACTCTCTCGCCTGCTGCTAGTGGGTCTTACGACACCCGATCTCGTGGTCATACTCGTCAGTCAAGTGCTGCACAGTCTGGGCATGTGGAAGAGGTTCTCGACAGCAGCCCAAGACACAATTCTATAGGTGTTTCTTCCGGGCAGCAAACAGACGAGAACTTCCCGCAGCAGGATATCATGTCCGTTATCCAGGATTCGAATGCGCGCAACGGCACCCCAACCAGCTTCTCTGAATTCCCCAATGTCCTTTCTTCGCTCGAAACCTCCGGAGGCAACGTTCCTCTTACCCCTGGCCAGCGTGCCCACATGCTTCGGCTCATGGCCAACGAAACCGGAGATCATGAGGGCGCGGCCGCGTCGAACAGTGCTCTCATCACGCCAACCCCTCCGCCAATGCCGCATAACTACTCAGGTCGCCTTGCCAATACTCGACAGGAGATTGACAATCTGGTGAAAATGCAAGCCGAGCAGGACCGCTCCGTCCAGAACTTGACCAACCTCCTCCAACCACTAAGCCCGACCGGCGCCATCCCCGGCTTGGACAGTGAAGGGAACGTACCACCTCCGCCCCTTGACCTCGACCAGATTTTTAACAACGAGTACTTTACCGATCTGGCGGACGTGGGCCACGACCAAAAGCTTGACGCTGCTGGCCATGACTCCGCAGCCGGTGCCATTACACACGATAACATTGGTACTACCCACTCGGATGACGGTGACACCAATAATTTTCTTAATTTCGACCACCTCCCCGACGACGGCGAACTCTTCAAAGGACCGGGTCAATACCCCTATGGCTTCGACGGCACCGGTTACGGTGCGGACTCGGGAGCTGGAAACCTTGACTCTGGCCGGGTCGTCGAACAGCTGACGGATAGTGACACTACGAGCCCTGCAGCTGTGGATGACCATCTTGGCGGACCCCAGGATGGTGGTAGCGCTAAGCGGCGCAAGAAGGCGTGATCCGCCGTCTCTAGTTGAGAAAACTAGGTGGATTTGACGAGGAAATAGAGCTTACTGCAGCCCCTGGGGAAGAAAAAAAAGGAGAGAGTTTACGGAATACCTCAGGTGGAAATACGGCGTTATCTGTTCATAGCGTTATGCTTCTTGGGGGTTGTGGGGTGGTTGGGCTGTATAAATCGTTCCCATGATATGATTGATATGATGATTCCAATCAATTGAAGTCTGCACAAGGCTTCTTTATTCTTAGAGTGCTATGCATGTTTTGTTTTGTTTCTTTCCAAGGACCCGTTGACAACATAAGCCCGTTTTGAATCGATTATAGGAGATAGGTTCCGTGGCCATTGTGGCATATATCAAGGTATCAGGTCCAACCCAGAATCTCATATCTTCATAGCTTCCTGTCTTCTACCCTTTCCTTTCTCGGTCCCACTCCAACTCCCCTGCTCGCTCGCGCTTGCGTTCTCTCTCCCGATCCCTTTGGAACCCTCTCTTCCGTCCACTCGGGCCCCCTATCTCCCTCTCCTTCTCACGAGGATCAATCACCATCAAGGAATCAGCATCGTCGGGATGATCCTTCTTCCACTTGAGATCCTTGCCCAGAGTATCCTTGCCGAAGCGCAGCGTGTGGTTTAACCAGTCCTCATCCTCGCGCTCACCGTCGTCGTTTGCACCGGCATCTGGATCATCCCAGGACTGGCAAGACTGGCAGTTGGCAATGAAATGGAGATCACAAAGCTGCGCTTCTTCATCTTCATCCTCGACATGTTGATCTTGAGCCTTGCCCTTATCCTTTTCGGTGTGTCGGTCGTGGTGTGAGTGTGACGGTGCCGAGGTTTTGGGGTCGGCTCCCTCTAGTTTGGCTTTGAATGCATTGAACATACTAAGTGCGTCCTTTTCCGCCGAGCTTCGGAATCCCGACCCAGCGCCTGCACCATTGCTAGACCCCGGCGCTGGGCGTTTGCGGCCCCGTGTCGCAGTCTCTGGAATCATAGCTTCTAGGGCGGACTTCTTGCGGCCCGCGTCGGCTGGGCCGACGTCGACATTACGTCGCATGGATGCCTTCAGAGAGGCGATCTGGGCGTTGGTCCGCGACAATTTGGACTCTTTGGCTGGCGAAGAGACCGGACTCGGAGAGCGAGTAGGTGATTCGGGATCTTGCAGGGGTAGTTGAGTCTGTGGGTCCGGTGTCTTGGGGCGCTGTCTGCGCTCTAGGGACGGGGAGCGTTTTGAAACCGGGGACCGTGGCCGTTTACGCGGTGCAGACTCTGTGACTCGCGCTTTTGTCTCGGTTGGTGCATCGTCCACATAAGGCACATCCGCGACAAGCTTGGTATTGAACTTGGGCTTTGCTGGTCGCATGGGCATGCCCTCGTCGCCTTCATCGTCGCCAAAGCTCAGCAAAACTTTCCCTCCCTTGCCAGTCTTCTTCTTTTTCTTTGGCGCTTCCTTCTCGGTTCCAGTTGTTGTCGAGACGGTCTTCCGGTCCTTCAATTTGCCAGCCAATGGCCCCAACTCTCCAACTTCGCAGGATGTCACTTTCACCGGATACACAGGCCGCTCCGTGCCCTCCACACGCTCTGCATCCGCAATCTTCAGCACATTAAAAATGCTGTCCCCTTCCAATCGCCCGAAAAGCGTGCACTGCCCGTTCAACTCGCGCTCGGTGTTGTTGAGCGTGATGAAGAATTGACTCCCATACGACCCATCCTCGCTCTTCGCCATGCCTAGTTGCCCACGCCGGTTGAATCGCAGGCGACTGTGTATCTCATCTCGCAGAACGACGCGCTCGTTCGGATCGCGTGCTTCGGGGTCGTATTCGAACTCGGGATATTCGTAGATGGAAGTCCCACCGGATCCAGTTCCGGTAGGATCACCGCCCTGGATCACAAAGTCCGGAGCAATGCGGTGAAAGATAGTTCCAGCATAGTAGTTGTCCTTGCAGTGTTGGAGGAAGTTCTTGCAGGTGAGAGGGGCTTGGTTCGCGAACAGGGCGATATGGATGGGGCCGACGGTGGTGTGCAGCGTCGCCGACGCTGTGGGGTTCGGCTCGCTGGCATACTGGGTGGACATGATGGAGGAAGGAGGATATGGGCGCCCTATCCACGGCCCGTCGACAGAGGTCCGCGGGTGTTCACGAGGATGGGCCTATTTCTGCGGTCGACGGGGGAAGGCGGACGTCATGGCACGTGATCTATTTACCAGCTATATAGATAAACCTCGGTGCTAGGGTATGTGCATTTTAGAGCTCGCAGGGTGGGATATGTACAAGAATACGGTATATACATCCAGGAAGGTTCGCCTTTATATGTAAAAAGACCCATTAGAACCCGGTGTTGCTCGGAGGAGTGTCGCTTTCGGCTAAGTATGGACATGTCGCACGGTTTGTTGGAGGCCATTGGGAAGTCGCTTGGTTGGCGGCAGAATCAATTCGTCTATGAGTAGCGCGGGCAGATTGTTGCAAAGGGAAATGCGTAATGTGAGCTCCAGTGTAGGGCTGCATGCTGGAGATGAGGGTTTTGTCGTGAGAGCGTGCCCGCTCTTCCTGGAACAGTGATTGAGAGACTGGGTATTGATGTTGCCATAGGCAACAGTCAATCAGTATCATCACGGCCAGTGATACATGGCACTTGGTGATGGCGCGTGGTGGGCGTTGTTCATGCCTCAAAGGCATCTGCTGAGCCAGCAGCACAGAACCTTACTGCTGGCAATCCAGTGGAAGGAGTCCTTGAGGTGTCGCGTAGGGAAAACTCTAGAGAGAGGAGAACTTTGGCGCATGAGGGTGGCATAAGGGTGGTGATTGATGTATTGGCCGGGGAAAGCAGCGGCTCGGCCATACGAACGGGTCCATCACCCAGACGCGGGGCACCATACTCAAGGGCTTCCAGCCATCTGGGATCAAGGCCCCTGGCCAGTTTTCGCTGCCATCACCGGGACCGACACAGCAATCGGTAGAGGAAGTGGAAGTCGAAGCGGCCCAGACTCCCGTTCCTGCTCAAATGAAGCCCTCGCATGAAGCCCGAGCTGGAACCGTAGCCGGCGGAGCGTCCGCTCAGAAATGTCATAGCCGTCTTGGTGCAGCAGCTTCAGCATTGCCTTGTCGGTCAGCCTATCTTGCATGAAGAGTATTTTGATCCGTGCATGGAGCACTTCATCAGCAGTCGTGGTTCGGCTGCGTTTGCGGATACCCCACTTGCGTAGTCGGGACTGGATGGTCCGTTCTTTGACTTGGATGCTATATCGGCTCTCGAGGGTGCGGCTGATGGCATCGCTACTGATGCCGTGTTGAAACAGCGTGATTATCTCGTCCCGGTAGGGTTCGAGGTTGATTTGTTGGCGTGGCATGGTGAATGCTAGTGTTGGTGGGGGGCGTGGAAAGGGGCAGGGATCGAGGATGTTTGGGGAAAGGTGCCATGCGGAAAAAGGCGGTGAGTCTGCGGGATGGTCGCTCTCCGCTTTCGTTAGTTATTGGTTACTTCCCCGCTCATATTCCGTATAGATTAGGGCTTGCCAATTACCACTGCCAAATGTGAATAGGGCTATCTAATAAGTTGCTACGTCTAACTTGAGGGATTGCACGAAAAGATGATAGGAAGACAGCCACAAATGGGATATTTTTAATTATTATTGATCTTATAGGCCCATCGAGTCGTTGACACATCTCGAACCCCACTTAGCGAGTCTCAGACTTGGGAGGAGATATCAGCGCACTCGACACATTGCCCGTCTACCACATCAAAAAAAGTCCATGTACTGCATCGGGCTTTGTTCATGACTTCTTTTCCTCGGCCGCAGCAGCCGCGACAGCCATCTCAGAGACAGCCTTGCTCCGCTTCGCAATGCGGAATCCACCAACCAGGAAGAAGAGAGCCTCCAGGCCGAGAATCACAGCCAGGGTCACCATGGCGCCGATTACACCGGCCACGGCATGCGACATGCCGCTGGAGTTGGAGCCAGACGAGCTGGAGGAGTCGGCATTGGTGCTAGCAGTAGACGAGGCGCACTTGCCGTCGGTGTTGCCGCACATGTTGCACCAATCATCGTCCGAGGTGACGGCAATCTTCTCGATACCCGACTTGAAGTCTGACCAGGGGAGAAGATCATTCGACTGGCCGAACAAAGGGAAGACAGTAGGCTCGGCGGAGCCAGTGATGGTGCCGTTGTGGAACATGAAGCGCACGCTGATGTCGTCCTCGGAGGGGAAGCCAGTGCCGGTGGCATTGGTCACCAGCTCCAGAACCATCGAGGAGGCATAGTCGGCGATACCGGTGAAGTCAACCGAAGCAGCGGGCAGCTGCACCAGTCCGAAGAATGACATGAAGGTACCATAGGAGCCGAACTGGACACCGAGCTTGGACTTCTTGCCGTCTGTGGCAATGGTTTCGTTAAGACCGGACAGGATTTGACCAGCTAGCACAGCACCATCAATAGCCCGGACGGTGTCGGTCTCGTTGTATGCTAGGTTGAACTGCTGGTTGCTCGCCAGCTGGATCAGCTGGGCGTACACATCATCCGTCAAATCTTTGAGGGCAGGGGAATCCGTGGTGGAGTTGTGGATCTGGCCCACGTTGAGGTAGTCAAAGATGGTGTAGGCGTTCTTGAACGACATCTCTGACGAAGTAAAGGTCGAATTCAGCATGGGCGACAGCGACTCGTAGAAGTCCTTGGTGGACTTCAGCATCGAATTGTATGAATCCGATATGTAGTAGTTGTTGCTGCTGACAGTCGCCTTCTGGCAGTCACTCGAGCCCTGCAGCCAGGTCGCATCTTCGCTGTCGGCATCAGACGAGGTGGAAGTCACCTGGATCAGCTGGTAGCCCCTCAATGGGGACACAACAGTAGTCGAGTTGGCCAGAGTCTGGTTGGCATCGTTGCCTGCGGGGGGTACACCCCCTGCAGGAAGCCAGTGGCCGAGTTCTGCAGTACCGCATCAGCCGGGGCGCTGGCGCTAATCTGCTGGGCATTGACAATCAGAGAGCTGATGCCCTCAATATGCTTGTCCGAGCTGGAGAGGATATAGCGCTCATTATAGAAGGACCCAGCATCAAAGACTTCGTTGTAGCCCAGGTCGGTCAATTGGGTGTTGCCGAAGATCTTGGCAGTGCGGTCACCGTGGCGCGCAAAGATGTATGCGCCCAGCACACGCTCTGCCTCCACCATGGAGGCAGACAGAGAGGCGACCAGCAGGAGGCTGGACTGAATGGAAGAGCGCATGACGAGGCGATTTCAGAACCAGCGGCAGAGCAGCAGCAGTAGAGAGCAGAGGAGAAAGAGAAAAAGCAGCCGAACCCCTCATCTACTCTGCAGCGCGCACGATTTACTTATACTGGACGGCACTGATCTGCGGAGATGGAGTCTCGTCGGGTCTAGCGGCGGGCGAGTCAATCGATTTCGCCCACCGAACCAGGCCATCCCAGCCCTTTAGTAGGCCCAAGGATCGCAAGGGTCGCCCTGGACTCTGGAGGGGCGGAGGGTGGGTGCACGGAGACTGCCGACATTTCACGGCCGAACTAAGCCCAGATGGTGGATCTCGAGAGTTCTGCAGGACAACCAGGCCAACTCCGAGGAGCTGGCGGGAAACAATTAGCTAATGGCATGGGCGGGCACCCCAGGCGATAACGAGGTGAACGACGAGTGGTAATGAATGGGTGGATGAAGTGGAGGTGGAGTCGGAGAAAACCTGGACCCTCTGGGGACCCGCCGATGGCAGTAGACAGTCTATTCTTCGATGCTGATAGGTCTGCCCAGCACGTCGATGCTAACTTACTGAGTGACTAGCTAGTTCACTCGCGTTGATCCAGGCAAGAGTTGCCATAAATGCACCATTTGCTGACGGTCCTGAGCGCTCCACATCGGTATGCCCTTTCTGTGTTGATCTGGACGAGTGGAACCATGGACGCGGAAATACGTTGTATTCCATACTTTTAGTCGGTGTTGATGTTGGTGATGCTAGACTGACTTCGTCCTTAGGTCTTAGGTCAACTAGTCAACTAATTAAGAGATTTAGACCCGGCTCATTTCATTCATTTCATTTTCAAGGCCCGCAATGCTGGTTTCTCATTGTTCATGCCAAAGCGACGCCCTTATCGCCCATCAACTCGCAGCCATTCCGCACGACGCCCACCAGTCCGCCAGTCTGAATGGCCTCGGATCCACCGCCGGACAGTCGCCACTCGATTTCGGCCAGCCCCTCCAGCCAGGTGATGCGCGTCTGCGGCGGTACTTCGAGCTGCTGCAATTGCTCGGCCAGAGCGGAGAGGATGTCAGCTAACGCCAGACCCTTGGTCGTCTTGAGCGTATTCACGGTATTGAGGCAAGAGGTCACGTCGCTGGTCGATAGAATGGTGCTCATGATTTCTTGGATGTCGGCTGGGTGTGGCGCCGCAATGCAGTCGTAGATAGTCGCGTTGGTGATGGTCTCGGATACCGGCAGGGGGGCTTTTGGCGCATCACGTAGGGGCAAGGGGATACCTGGACCCGCAAGTTAGCTGATTTAGCTCATCTGCGGAGGAGTTTTGGGGTGGGGGTGAATAAAAGGAGAAATCCACGGGGGAGGAAGAAGGAAACCCACTGCTGGCGTAACAGGCTTGCAAGACGTTCAGCGCCCTTCGCATGTCGCCCTTGCTCAGTCGTACCAGACTATCCACAGCCTCGGGCTGGATGCGAACATTCTCTTTCTCAATGACTTGGTCCACGAGCACTCGAATGTCGGCTTCTTTGAGGGGACTAAATCGGAATCGGGTACATCGCGATAGAAGTGCTGGGGAGAGCTTGTGTGTGTAGTTTGCAATTATGCAGAACCGCGTGTTCGCAGTATATTTCTCCATAATTCGGCGCAGGGCCATCTGCGCGGTGGAGGTCATGGCGTCGGCCTCGTCGAGGATGATCAGCTTGAAGCCGGCGAGGGAGGACTTGTCCGCGGATTGCGGGGCCATGGAGAAGATCTGCTTTGTGCCTGCGGGGAATCTGGCTTAGCACTTCTGTCCACGGAGATCCTTTGGGTGGGAGTTTGTACTGGCAAAAGTCTTAATCTGTTCCCGGACAACGTCAATGCCACGGTCGTCACTGGCATTGAGTTCCAGCACCATCTGGCGCATATTCGTCGTGCCGTATATCCGCCGAGCGAGGGCGAGAATGGTCGAGGTCTTGCCGGTTCCCGGGGGCCCGTACAGGAGAAGGTGAGGTAGGCGCTGTTATCTTGTGTGAGAAGTTATCTCTCCAATGCGACTAGAGAGCACCTACGTTGGCTTCAACAAATTTGTTGATAGTGGCTAGAATGTCTTGGTGGCCAGAGACATCGTCCAGGGTATTGGGGCGGTATTTCTCGACCCTACCAAGAGTGTCAGCGGCTAGATACTTCAACTAGTTTCAACCAAGATATTCCATGCATACCATGGGAGGTTGTCTTGAGCTTCGATGGGCAGGTCGGCCGCTGTCCTTTTCTTCCCACTGGCATCCTCTGAGCTGAACTGGACGTCCTTGGCGGGCGCATCGACGTCCATTTCATCCTCGTAGTCTGACATGGTGAATGAAATCCAATACAAGGGAGGGGAAGGGGTGGAGGGTAGCTTATCGCGAAAAGTTGAGCTTGACGCGTTCCGCGCGTAAAGAGAGGCTCGGGGCGGAAAATCAAGGGAAGCTGGGGCCACTCCGCTCGATGACATCCTCCCTGCCTAACTGCATCGCCTGCACGCCTGCCGCTCCGCAACATCGCTCTGCAACTCCCCCGCGGCGACAATTCCTTGCCTGTCAACCATCCACCATGCCGGTATGTTGGGCTCTATGTGCAATCTCTCTAGCTACTGACTTCCGCAATTTAGGCATACCACTCCATCTTCCTGGAGGACCGCGACGTCCCCGTGATAGGTATGCTGCCCCGCCCCCAGCTGTCCCTTCCATGCGACACCGAGCGATGCCGCCAACAAGGACTATGAATTGACTGGCTGTGATACAGGGAACTTCCCTATCCTCCCCCTGCGCACTCGCACACGTGGCCCCGCCTACACTCTGCCTGCACTTCCCGCCAATACTCCCGACGTGGACGTCACCCCCGAGAGCGAGTCATACGACTGTGTCGATGAGATCCTGTCGCTTTTCCGTGCCAATGTGCTGTTCCGGAACTTTGAGATCACTGGCCCTGCGGACCGGATGCTTATTTATGGAACCCTGTTTGTTAGCGAGTGTCTCGGCAAGGTGAAGCCGACGATGAATGCCCGCGAGGCCGAGAAGGTAGATGCTGCAGGTTCTTGTCGCATCATGTTGGAAACATGACTGATATATGGATCTCATAGGCTCTGATCAATGCTGCCCTCGACAACTTTGCCGTCCCCGGTGATGTGTCCTTCCCGCTCAACCAGGCCTTTGAACCCCCACGCGATCGCCAGGATGCGGAGAGCCTGCGGGCGTACGTGAACCGAAGCTTCCATGACCTATTGAATCAAGTACTAACCGATGTCTGCGATTAGATACATCTCGCAGGTGCGACAAGAGATCGCCGTCCGGCTACACGCTAGATTATACCCTGGTGGAGTGGGACCTTCGAAGGTAGGCCTAGTCAACCACAACGTCCTGACAGAGAACGCACTAACCATCTCCACAGTTCTGGCTTAGCTTTACAAAGAGAAAGTTCATGGGCAAGAGCCTGTAGAGTTCTAGGGTGATTGTATATTGTTTCATGAAATTCAGCGCATCAATGGACCTTTTTTGATTACGCAGCGTCGTCAAGCGTGGTGCAGACCATAGACGCCGTAGCTGCCAGAGTCGATCCCAGGCAGCAGTGCTCCCTTCAACTTTAGCTTTCCCAGCTTTCCGCCAGTCCATGGAATAAACCTATCGAGTTTATCGAATCCATCGGGTCACCATGGTTCCTGAGTTGCAAAATAAGACCATATTTGGGGTCAAGTTGAATCATTATATTCGTACAATTTCTGATACTCTCCAAGGCTAATAATTTAGGGTGCCATCTCCACGTCTCGATCACTGACAGGCGTAGAAGTGGTTTCCAACTTGCGCTTCTTGCGGAATGTGCCCGCGGCCTGGATCTTCACATCGGCGGGGATGACATGGACGCCATGGAAGAGGTAACCCTCTGCACCTCCACGTCCGGTCATGAGGGGATGTGTCCGACCAGGCAGTACTTGCCAGGCACGAACGCGGGTAGTGTGTAGTGTTGGGGGCAAGAGTTGGGTGGGATCCAGGGGGAACTCCTCGAAGAGCGAGGACAGGTCGACGGTCTCTTCTTCGGAGGCTTTCTGCATCTCAAGATCCCGTTTCCGAGTGATAAACGCTGTTCGACGGGCAGTAGAGTACAGATCCACGAGCTCGGTAAGCGGTTCGATAGTTGGAGAATAGACCGCAACTGAGGCCGACCCAGAGAGGAGGGGAACAACGTGCTTCAAGATGCCGGCGGGCTCTAGCAGCGTAGCGGCAATTAGACCATCAAAGCCACCCGCGCGGGCCTCATTAGTGACATTGCGGAATTTCTCCCAGCGGTTCCGCTTGAAATAATAAGCGGTGCGCTTGCTGGGCTTCATGGCGGAAAGCTCCTCGGCGGGCAAGACAGGAGGCTCATTCGACAAGATCGGGTCTACCGAGGGGTCCACAAGCTGCAACCACGACATGGTCTTGAGATGGGTATGAAGAGGATGCGATTCATCAGGTGTGTTGGCGTCGTAGCCGAAGTATTTCAATAGTGACAGGTTTGGTTGCGAGTAGGCATGGATGACCGTGACCGTGTTCCCGGATGCCGACATGGGCCGAGGACGATTGCGCCGGGGTGTTGAAGCTGCGACCGGGTTCTCTGCGATATTTTGCTCCGCGGCAGGATGTTCTTCCTTTGCCTCCTCTTCAACATCGTCTTCTTCGGGGTACAAAATTCCCATCCGCTCGGCCATTGCCGCGACGATAAGGCCACCAGTTTCATCGACCACGAAGTACCGACCATTTAGCTTGATCGTAGGAGTCGCATCCAATATCGATTCTGCACCATGGTGCACATTGCCCAAGCAGCCAAGCAGACCAATATGCTCATCCCGCAACTCCATTGTGCGTTGCGCATCCCGCTGTTCCAGCAAGTAGTTGGCGAGAAAACTGACGTCCAATGGCAAAACAGTAAATCTCCGGATGTACTTCTTGCGCTTGCGCAATGTGTATTTGGCCAGAGAAAACGCCGTTTTCTGGTCCAAGCTAGAGTGCGACTCCAGGAGTTTTGCGACAATATCCTTGCCTGCCCCACTGGCCTCCTTCTTCAGCTCTTCAATCTCCTGCAGCGTTAACTTTTGAGTCGAAGCATCGTCAATGATTTCGCGATTTGTGCGCATAGGTGTGCCATCGCCAGAGTCCCCATCCTCACCCTCGCCATCTGCCTCGGCTTCTTCGATGAGGTTTTCGGCATGGAGCTCCGTCGCGGAGACCACCCGAAGCTGGTAGCCATCACTCTCGGGGGCGTCAAGAATCTCAAACGTCAGGTAAAAGGGACGCCCAATGATCTGGTTCGCGGCGAAGCTGCCATATTTGCCTAATTGCACAATGCTGTAGGCCTGTAGTTAGTTCTGCCCTGATAGCTC